TTTTTTAAGGATATATCTGTTAATAAGTTTATAATATTTCTTAATATTGTTTTAGTTTTTTCCTCCTGTATAGGTTTTAAAGTAAAATCTTTACTTAAATAAATTCTTAATAATAGTTTTTAAAGTTTATTTTTATATAAAGTGGGTAATATAGTTATTAACGTTATAAAAGGTAAATTCCTATTGGTTATATATTAGGGGGTTATAAAAATTATATTATTTTATAATTTTTAAGGTAATATATGTTTTATAGTAAAACGTTTTACAGAACGTTAGGTTTATTTATTTATATTTAAAACTGAATAAAATGTTATTTGTTTTTTAGTTTTTTTATAGAAGATTATTAAGTTCTTTTACTGCCTAATATTTATCTTTATAGTTTAAGTTTATTATTCTATAAGAATAGTATAGTTTATATAATTTAAATAATCTATAGTCTTTATAGGGCTTTTTTAATATTAGTTTTTGGTGTTTTTTAAGGTTAATTTTTAGAATATCTTTCTATAAGGTATTTATGGATTTTTAAAGTTTAAAGGCTTTATAGTTTTTTATTAAGTCTTTTACTAAAGATTTTTCGTTTTTTTTAATGATTTTTTTAATTTTATAGTATTATTTAAAGTCTTTATTTATTATATTATAGGTGTAGTATAGTCCTTTAGGTCTTTATAATCTGCATTTATAATATAGGTTATATATTTTTTCTTCTAAAAGTTTATATTTTTTTTAGTTTTCCTATAGTATAGTATTTAAAAGATTATTATTATTTTCTTTAAATATAATAGTGGCTTTTATATTATCTAATGTTAAATATACTTCTGTAAAAGTAATTAAAGCGTTATTGATGTTGCTTTATTTTTTATACTTTTTAGTTTATTTTTCTAATTTAGTTAGGTTTTTAAATTTATCGGAAAGTTTTTTTAAGTTTTAATTAATAATTTTATTATTTTTATATTTATTAGTTTATTAGATAATGTTTAGGGTTTTTTTTCTTTTAGGTATTTTAAGAAATTATTTTATATTTTATTTTTTACTGAAATAGGTTTTACATTTATTATTATAATATCTTATTTAACTAAGGGATTTATATAAGATAATATTAATAATATTAACTGTTTTATCTTTAGGTTTAAGTACTGGAGTTTATTTATTACTGCTTTTTTTCTTTAATATTTTATAATATTTCTTTATATAGCTCTTTTTTCTATAGTTAAAATATTTAACGTTTTTATATTATTTTTTAATAGTACTTAAGTCTATAGGTTTTAATTATCTATTATTAAAGGATATAAGATTTTATTTTTTACTTTAGTTTACGTTATTATATTATATATAGAAATTTCTTAATTTTTCTTTTTTTTTTTTTTATTTATATTTTTAAATTTAATTATTTATAACAATAGTTTATTATATATAATTAAAGAAGTTTATTTTTTTATAGTTAATTTTATATAGTTTATTTTTAATTTTAGGTTTTACTATGCAGTAATAGGTTTTTTTTTTATTTTCTTTGGTTTAATTAACTTTTATTAAAAGGTAGATAAAAGTAGTAGTGCTTTTTAAAAAGGGTCTTTTTTAATATATATTTTAAAGGAGTTTTTTAGCTTTTTATTTTTTATTAGCGGTTTTAAATAATTTCTTTAATTACTTATAGAAGTTTTAGTATATTTTAAAAACTTCCTGGGTTTATAGTTTTTAATTGTTTAAAGTATTAGCTTTAAAGTCTTTTATAATAAGCTAGGCTTATTTTTTAATTATTTCCGTTAAATAGGTAATAGCAAAGATAGTTTTATTTTTATTTTCTTTTAATATAGATAGAAAATATTTAAAATAGATATTAAGTTTTATAAAGTATTTATTTATTTTTTAAGGGTCTTTATTATATAAGTTAGGTCTTTTTAGTTGTAAGACTTTACTATGTTTTTTTTTTTTTACTTTAAGAGCGTTAATTTCTTTTTAAAGTATTTTAATTATAACTATAGTTTATTTTAGGGTTAAAGTTTTTTTATTAGCTATTATTTTATTATTTTCTTTAAGGTTATTTTTAATTTTAATATTATTATTTAAGTAATTACTTTAGGTTTTATTTTTATAATTAATTTTAATATTTAAGATTTAAAATTTAATTATTTAGTGTTTTATTTTTTATTACCTATAGGTTTAAGGTAACTGTCTAAATAAGAGTTGTTAACGTATAATAAACTGGTCCTATATATAGTATAAGTTAGCTGTTTCTAAAGGATAAACCTTTAGGTTTTAGGTTTATATTAGCGGAGCGGTTAAGTTAATTATAAGTATTGTTTTTTTAATATTATATAGTTAGTAAATGTAGTAGCTGAATTTAATTTAATTACTATATTAATAACTAGCTATTTAAGCTATTTAAATAAGTGTAAAAACGTAAACTTATATATCTAATTAATTTAGGCTGGATTAAGAGGATTTTTATTAATCTGTCTGGGGATTGCTTTTTAATTTATCAATCCTGTATTAGGTTAAGAAGTTAATTTTTAATCTACTTTTGATTAGTCTAACGGACTGTCTTTTATCTGGGGACGCCTACCCGGTAGGCCCATTGTCGCAACTATAAGAGCCAGGTCGTAACATTATTTTTATTATTATTATTAATTAAAATATTAAAAAGTATTATATTATTTAATAAAGCTATTTTCTATAGAATATTATAAATTATAATTAATTAAAAACCTATAGTATTTTTTTTATATTTTAAATTAGTTATAATTAATAAAATTCAGTTAGAAATTTAACAGCTATTTCTTTTATAAGTATATTTACAGTCCCTGTTAATTTAATATATTGCAAACAGAGGTTATAGTATTTTATTTAATATAGGGAAAATTAATATAATTTTATACTAAAAATCCCTACTAAATAAAGTATAGTGTTTATTTTATACTAGCTAATTAGTCAACTAGTTTAAAAAAGATAAGTTAGATCACACCCTATATCTCGCGTGTGGCAGATACTGGCTAGTGGAATTAGCTTCTAAATTACGTATACTTACAGTTACGCCTAACCTAAAAAGTTCGGTCTGTTCGGAGATTTTAAAGATCAAGCGAATTCCGGAAGCCGAATAGATGAGCAAACCATGTAACGGCGGTAGAATTCCCGAGAAATTTCCTTGCAAGTAATGCTTTCGTAAAATTAGTCGGGTAAAAGAACATGCGTTCTATAGAGAAATTATTCGTCAATGGATGGAGTAAAATTGCCAGAGAGCTCTAATCTACCTATGAAAACTAGAGTGGTGGCAATAATTGCACAAAGTGCTCGGCACTTGGAGTTGTAGTGGGGAGCTTCCCAGCGAACTAAGACCACCTAGCCCTATGCTAACGGGAGATCTTGGTATCCGTGACATAAGCTTACGATTTACTGGACAAGAGAATATTGAACTGGATATTGCGGCACCATGTATTGTATTCTTGTGTTCAACGGAGATTGGACTTAAGCCATTTGGGCATACCGATTTCATAAGTCACAGCTGAGCGGTTAAACTTTGTTTCGATCTCCTTAATGCCTTGGGATCTCATAGTTTAGTAGAATTATTTACCAATTTCTAAGTAGAAAGAAAAGACTTATAAAGGGCTCTTTGTGGCCAGTGAGGAACTTAGAGACACTGAGAAAACAGATCAGTTATCAAGAACCTCATTCACTGGCATAACACCGCGGCTTCGTTATAAATTCGTCAAACTTTATTAATTCTCTCCTTATTAAACTTCGCTACTATGGCATTCTCACTCCATCCCACTATCGACAACGGAACCACCAAAGGTGCCGCCAACTTCACTGGAGGTACTCTTTACTGCCATTGTCCCTCTGACAAGGTGGCCGTCACCCTGAAAGGCAATGTTCTTCACAATCATGCTTGCGGCTGCTCCAAATGCTGGAAGCCAAATGGCGCGCTCTTCTCTATTGTCGGAGTTATTCCCCGCGACTCCGTCTCGGTAACTGCCAATGGATCCAAGCTCCATATTGTGGATCCAGAGGCAACAATCCAGCGCAATGCCTGTAAGGACTGCGGCGTTCACCTATTTGGTCGGATCGAGAAAGACCATGCTTTCAAAGGCTTAGACTTTGTGCACGTGGAACTGTCCGATGTGGAAGGCTGGCAGGAACCACAATTTGCGGCGTTTGTGTCCTCTATTATCGAACAGGGATTCAATCCCAAGGATATCGACCAGGTACGAGGAAAGTTTAAATCCGTCGGGCTTGAGAAGTACGACGTTCTTTCCCCCGCACTGATGGATCTGCTGGCGACCTTCACAGCTAAGCAAGCGGGTCTCCTCTAAATGTTCGGCCCGGACCTGCAAATGTGGGAAAAGTTGATGGAAATAAAAGTTGGCATGGATCTGGATTTGTATGTAGTAATCGAGCTATTGCTACAGCTCCTTGAGCAGCAATGTAAATGAGATACTTATGTCATAACCACTATACTACGAAAAACTTTAAAGTGAGATATTTGCTGAAATAAACGACTTTCCAAAGGATAGCTTGCCGTATGTTCAATTTGATCCGCCGAGAGAGTCGCAATGGTGTAGTAACCATAGTTGTACTTTGAATGGTAGTTAGTTCAAACCGCTTTAATATTTGCATTCCTGGCTGCTGTTCAAAGGGCTCTGTGAAAAATTGACTTTGCTTGTAAAAAACTGTTCTCACCGGCTTGTATCAGAAGTGCCGCTTCAAGACTTGGCAAGAGAAGCTGCACGCTACATTAATTAGTGTGTTTAAGGCAACAGCTCATGTATTCACTAGTTCCATAGCATTGTGCTATTTCCATTTCTCTCATTGGTCGTTACTGAAATATCCCTAAAACACGCCTCGGTCCCAAGGTAGCTTATCAGATTAACATTCGGGGTAGAGGCGGAAACCGACATGCGCTTGTCAAATATTACCTAGGGGCTCAAGACACGTCATTACACGTCCAAAAAACACACTCAAGAGCTGAGTGTGCGTGGATCGTACGACTTTTTCGCAAGGAGCGGTGGATACAAAGGCCAGGGCCAGTATACAATACCGCCATCTTCAAACCGATTTCTAGTACAAGCTTGCAGTAAGTGGCTCTTGATGTGATCTACAGCTGTCATGATGAGATCATGTTGTGATTACATACAGGAGATGGTTCTCATTATGAGATCATATTATAGCGCTATCCGCTAGAACCTATGAATACATGATATTACTTGTTTCAGTTTGAGGCGAAATTGTAAAACAACATAATGGCGTTTCCAAAATAAAATATAAATAATAAGTAGTAAGGTCCCGAAATAAAATCTATAAAAACTCCACAATGTTGGTACATACTCTCCATCAAATCTTCTCTTAGTAAAGATCTTTCACCACCAGACACATTATTAGCTACGTGCACAATATCTATTTTTTGACAATGACTCCAATCCTACCTTCGATTACAACCGGCATTAGCAACTATGAGGAAACCGGCTATGGAGACCCTGTTCATAAGATGTTAGCGCTTACCTGGCAAGCGCAAAACAAAGTGAAACTTCGTAAGTAGCAACATTGTCTTTTGCATATACTTAATTATTGACCCGTGAGATTAGTGGAAACTGCAAGGCCAACTATTGTTGACAATGGGGACGTGATTGTCAAGGTGACAGGAAGCACCATATGTGGTAGTGATCTCCATCTTCTCCATTGTACGTAATCTCTCAACCCCTGTGAGAACGTATTTTAATCTTCATTCTTAGCTGCTATTCCGGAGCTTCATAAAAATGACATCCTGGGTCATGAATTTTGCGGCATTGTTGAGAAGGTCGGACCAGGAGTCAGGAATCGCAGAGTTGGTGAGCGAGTGGTAGCTTCCTTCCAGATTGGATGTGGCGAGTGCTTCTACTGCCAAAAGAAGCTCTCTTCTCTTTGTGAGCGAACGAACGGTAGCCTTAGTGAGCACGCTCTCTATGGGCGTCGAACTGCAGGTGTGTAATATTGCTTTGATATGCCGTCCTTCCTTTTGCAAGTCCCCATCGCTGATGTGTTCAGGCATGTTTGGGTATTCTCACTTTACAGGAGGGTTTGCTGGCGGTCAATCTGAATTCGTCCGTGTTCCCTATGGCGATGTGAATCTTCTACCACTACCAGACAATGTTCCCGATGAAGTGGGGCTCTACTTGTCGGATGTGCTGTGCACTTCTTGGAATGCCGTGGTCGACACAGGTGTTCAGCCTGGAGATACCGTCGCTGTGTGGGGTGGCGGTCCTGTTGGACAAATGGCCGTGGAATTTGCCGTTGTTAACGGCGCAAAGAGAGTTATACTAATCGACGGAGGCCAGGGACGCTGGCGTTTGGATTTCGTGAGATCCAAAGTCCCACAGCTCGAGACCATTGACTATACAGCGCTGCCGAAGGGGGAAACCGTCGTCTCTACTTTAAAGAAGATGTGTGATGGACGTGGCCCTGATGTCGCGATTGAATGTGCGGCCGGCGAATACTCCAAAACACTGGGCCATACTCTCCAAAGAGCAGTGGGCTTAGAAAACGACACCCCAGAGCTAGTGAACGAGATGATTGAGTCAGTCAGGGGCTTTGGAAGCTGTGGTGTGACTGGCATTTACACAGGTTATGTACGTGAATACTGTCCTCAACCAGCACAGCACTGATCCCGCTAACCTGTCCAGTGCAACGGATTTAACATTGGTTCTTTAATGGAAACCGGTATTCGTCTTATCGGAAATGGACAGGCTCCTGTGCATAAGTACTGGCAGCAACTTTTGGTACTTATCCAGCAGGGCAAAATTAAGCCATTGAATATGGTCACTCATCGATTCAAGCTTGAGGATATGGAAAAAGTATACGATATGTTTAACCATCGTGCAGATGGTATGCAGAAGATCTTTGTGGAAACAAAGTACTCATCGCCGCCGGCCCCTGGCACTCCTGCTTTGACAGTACTTTAACATCAAGATGGAAAAGAATTCGTATCCACGAGATACACCAAAGGCTCTTATAGTTATTATTTATGCCAAAATAACAATTTCTTGAGATTTTTATCCATTCAGTTTGTATCTCAATTAATGTCTACATGCTGTCGTATTATGCATATATGACGTATCAAAATTTACTAATAATTTTACAATTCGACGAAAATGTAGATAAATATGTTGTTTTTATGTTAAAAATGAAACCCCCAAGATCATTCAATATGTGGAAAGCACTTGGAGCTTTCTGTGACTACTACCAACGGCAGGTATTTTACAATAGTAGCCTTGCTATGAAGGGCTATAAAATGACGCTCAGCTATGACACTATGTTGGACTGAGGCATCGATGTCATAGTGAAGTATAGTACCAAGTGGATTTAGAGGCCATCGGAGATCTCTCCGGCTAGAAATATACTCGTACTGCCGCTGACTCGCGTGGCGCATACCTTTACGATGTAGATTATTCCCTCGACTCACTGGGCAAGAAGATTTGTTTAGTAAAGAGTCCAATCATTGTGCATATACCAAATGTAGCAATAGTTACTGCTTGAAGAGGTTAATCTCTAATATTCACGAATAACTACATTATTATCCTCAGCGACGAAACAATGATCTCATGATGATAATGTATGACAGTTCGCACAGGTATAACGGGACTCAAGAATTGAGGATTGTAGAGTACTACGTATTCTTCTCTCACTCTATGGCCTATTATATATAGCTTCCGAATTCGTCGTTATCTAGTATTTATTACTTTCACCAATATTCACGGTATTACATGTGGTGTATATCACGCTTCATCACATAAATCATTATGGCCAGTTATCCTATTACATTCACTAGGGTTATTACAACTCATGACCCAGAAAGCGGCAATGCCATCTTCGACAAAAGTGTAGATAGCAACGTCCCATTTGAAGGATTTCCAGTTCCTACCGGAAAACCGCCCACATCAGACTATGCCCTTGCGTATTCGACGACAACATTCCCAGTCGAGGGACTCTCTCCGCATAGGGTGGAGACACCTGAAGCCAAGGCCAACCAAGATATCAAACAATATAAGTCCAGTTTGCAGAATCTATCACCTTTGAATCCAGCCGGCGGCACAGCTTGTACCATAGTCGAGGTGCCGTATGGAAACGATATCGCTATGCACCGGACAGTCAGTCTGGATTATGGTGTTATTATTGACGGAACCACTGAGTTAGTACTTGACTCTGGAGAGAAAAAGACTCTTAAAAAGGGAGATGTTTTTATTCAACGAGGAACTGCCCATGCTTGGCGCAATCTCACCAAGCAAGAGGATAACGGCGGGACATTACGTATCTTCTTTGTATTCCAACCGATTGAGAAAATTCACGTCAAGGGTGGCGAATTGGATCAGGACTTGACTCTAGGCTTAAAATAAGGTGCTATACCAAAATTTATCCTGTTGGATTTTATGAAGGAGAAGCAACTTTTGATATCTTAAAGCCTCCATCATTATCGCGTCTGCTGTACTGGTGAGGCTGCGATATGACGAGTCGCGACAAACCGGCCGCCTATCCCCTTCCCAAAGTAGTTATCAGGGCTAGTGGGGAATTTTTTTTCTTTCTTGGCGCTTTTTATTTCATGCTTGGGATTTCCCTCCGGTCGTGCTTGATGTGCTGATTGTGGGTATTTAAATGGTACTTCACCTCGCCCACACACAGAGCTTGATTAACTCGTCAAAGCCTACAGCTTTCTGCAGTCTGGCATATTCAGACTACGAACAAAATGGCAAAACCCTCTTTCCCACATCCAGCAGCATAGATTTAGATTGTTTTTCGTCTACACATGTATAAAGGAGTGTTCAAAGTGCAAAAGACTATGAGGACTTTTTACGCCAACGACGTAGAATAGGGCAGTGTCCCCATCTCACATACAAGAAATGTCTGCTCTTGCATCATAAACTGTCATGATATAGCTTTTATAATTATTATAACTGCCCCAATGGCTCATTGATCAAGACATGCTGCATCTCTAGTGGCCAAACTCACTGAATACTGATTGTAACTTTTGATGGAGCACCCATGACGAAAGTTATCATGGCCGCAATTTCTAATAATGAGTAATCATTTTTGTATTCAATTCGGATTTATGTCAAATCATTAGACAATATATGCCATCATATGTTCCAGGTAAGCAGAAATGAAGACACAAGACTGCCCATCTAATCCCAAGTTGGAGTTAAATCTAGGTCCCTATCTCCGTATTCATTGGAAGAATTCATGGATTCATAACTGAAGGCGTTGAGACTACTCAGTTAGGTCCCGAATGGAGATTTTTATGGCAATCTTTTTATAAAATTTACTCAAAGATTTGTACAACTGTGCTGCTGTATGTGGCGTATCAGAGGTATATAGGATTGCCATATGTCGGAGAGGAGAATCACCATGCGACTTGAGTAAAGAATGAACAAGCGTAGATATCAGCGGATACGCGAGTCACATTAATAATGAGGATCCACTTGCGCACTCACAGATGGTATGCTGACAGGAGAATTTGTGTCAGGCACTTGATACAGGCAATTTTAGTCGTCTTGATCGGTCTTCTTGGTCGGTCTTCTTGGTCGGTCTTCTTGGTCGGCCATTTTGGTCGGCTAATTTGGTCGGTCATCGTAGTCGGCAAGATAGTCCGCCGTTAGGCCAGCTGTAACGCAAAGATATTGGCGAAGTAGCAAATGGTAATTACGACTACAGCAACCTATCATGATGACTGCATCAAAATTTGTCAGCGCAATTGGAATAACCACGGCCAACTTGGAGATTGGGCAAGCTCTGCTATATCCACAATCTACGAGATTGTTCACTCATGGTCGAGTATTACTATTCTAATTACAAGGCATATTATACGAGAAAAAAAATAATTATAAAGAAGGTTGTTGTCTCAAGAACCATGATAGATTATACAGATATCGATCTACAATACAATTCATTGTTCTCGTTGAGCAAATCATGGCTGGTGACCTTGTTCTTGTGAGTATCCTCTCTACAAAATTTCTGTTTCACTCTATGCGTCAATGGTACGTCCATTTTTGGCTAATAAAGAGAAAATATTAATTTCTTCACATAACAGCTTACTGGAGCCACAGGCTTCATTGGATCCCGTACCCTGGTTCTTCTCCTGGAAGCAGGCTATAGGGTCCGTACTGCGGTTCGAAATGCCGCTGGTTATGAAAAGATTAAAGCACTCAAATCCGCTGCTCCGTATGCAACACAGATGGAGCAAATCATTGTTCCCGATATAACAGTACAAGGAGCCTATGATGATGCAGTCCAAGGGGTTAAATACATCGTGCATGTGGCATCCCCCTTTGCCTCTCCGGACCTTGCCCAAAGTGATTACAAATCCAGCTATATAGAGCCAGCTGTTAGGGGTACTGTTGGTATGCTAGATTCGGCAATCACTGCTGAGAGTGTGAGAAGGGTTGTCATCACTGGATCTATTCTGTCTATTACAAGCCTCGACTCATATGGTACCGATACCATCATCAACGGTGTGTATTCTCCATTTTATAGCAGACAACCGCTAATGAAGTCATTTTCAATGTTCAGAGGAACACCGTAGTGCTGTCACTACAGGGCCTTATCCTAGCTGGATGGCTGCATATGCCGCTTCCAAAGCTCTGGCCTTGGAGGCAACGAAGGTGTGGATGGCAGATCATAAGCCACAATTCGATCTCATTACCATCGAACCGGTTTTTGTACTTGGTCGAGACGAAACAGCCAAAGATGTTGAGTCACTCCTTAGAGGCCCCAATGCTACTCTGATTGGTCCTCTTCTCGGCAACCCGCAACTCAGACCACTTCCATGCATGCCCGTTCATGTCGACGATGTTGCCTTGATGCACGTTCGCTCTCTCGACCCTGCCGTACCTGGTAACGAAGATTATCTTGCCAATTCTCATTCTCTTCAGCGAGTCCAATGGGACCAGTCATTCGATATTGTCAAGAAGCATTATCCGAAAGAATGTGCCGAGGAAATTTTCAAGGTGGATACTGCAGAGCGACCAAAAACTCAGAAAGCCATGGTTGATAGTACCAAGGCTGAGCAGGCATTCGGTATCACTTTTAAATCTTTCGAGGAGCAGATAATTAGCATCACTGGGCAGTACTTGGAACTCATTGGCCAGAAATGATAAGACTTGGTGTTCTAGGTTCAGCGGCAGTTCCTTACCAGCGGTTATGCTTGCCAAACAATCATTCTTGGCTCCAAGTTATTAGGGATGATGTGATAAATTTAGCTTCCAATATACTCTGCTTCATCGTATTGATGGGGCGGAAAGATGCTTCAATGCCCGATACACATTAATCTTCTAAGCTTCGTAGAGTTTCTGTACGATTTGAGTCTGTGTTCAACACTATGAGTGGAACGAAGCTAACCACTTTCCAAAAAAAAAAAAAAAAAAAAAAAAAGAAGGTAAACCGTGAACAGTATCGAAGACATCTAAATTTTAGTTAGATATTACTAAAACTGAAACATCAAGAAGTTTTGCTCGCATCTTATCGTCTATATCAAATCTGTAGCAATGTTAATTAGCATTCCCATCTTATCCACACCAGCGTCCCAAGTCTCTAGTCTCCGCCTGTAAAATAGTTCGTTTGACCGTCTTTTCGCTTGTACAAGCTCATCGAAAGTGGTCATTGGGTAGCTTGCGTCATGCAATGCCTTTTCGGTTTCCCACTCTTCGCGAGTGCGGGCTTCCCAAAGAGACTTATTTGAGACCAAAGGCAACATACTCAGAGGATAGGCACGCATGAAAGAGCTGCCAGCCGAAGGTGAAATGATACGGCTCATAAAAAACCAAAGGCATATGATTCTAGTGTACGTTAACATCAACCGCTGGGAAAGAAGTGATGCTGGCTTACCGTCGTCGGGTTTCAGCAAATATCCATTCTTCCCAAGTTGCATCCGGGATACTCTCTCCAGAATATGTGAAACAGTTGCCGCCAAGAAGAGAACGTGTGCGAGTACACAAAATCTATAGGCATCAATAAATTGAGCAAATTGGCATCCGTATATCTAGACGTACGTGAAATGTCTGGATTAGCTTCGGTGCCCAGGACAAGGCGATTGTATCTTGATCAGTAATTGCCATGATGATAAATTGCATAATCGCTTGCAGAAAATGCTGGAGGCTGTAAACCGAGGCACTTTGCGCCTTGACAGTGTTGGCAATCCCTACAGCTCAGAAAGAGTCAATTGCGAGTACATACCTCGCCTTGAAATCGTTGTAGCTCGGCTCCTATCATTCTCCAGAGGAATGGCCTGGTTTCTGGTGTCCGAGTCGCGTAAATCTGAGCGATGCTCATACAATTCGCCAGAGTCTCTGGCATCTCTGGCATATGCCAATGAGCGTGTATAAAGGGCGGGAAGGTCTGCCGGCGCATCATCATTTGCGGGAAGGCATGGATGGCGTGTGTGAGTTGATCAACAGCGAAATTTGAAGAGAGACTTCCCGGGTGTATATTTTCTAGTGCCATCGAACTACTAGAGTCTAACAAATCGCTACGGTACGCAGTTAATGGGACAGATTCGACGATTGGCTGCCCTGCGCTAGGAATCGTAGCAGATGAGGTCAATTTAGAACCGCTTGGACAACTGGGAGCGCATTCATCAACTTCTCGTGTGGTATTGAACGCAGATATCTCATTCGCCAAAGGAGTTGTAGCGCTGTGAAACGTTTCAATGATATGAGGTTCGCTCGGTGGCAAATTATCCGCAGATGTGTGGTTCGACTGCTGTCCGTCAATAATTGAAGCATCCACCGTCAACGGGCGGCGCATGGGCCTGTCATAAGTGCAATCCAATCCCTGAGCCTGGCATCGACTACATTGAGGCTTTGCAAGACTGCATTTGATTTTCGACGTATGGCAGCCAAGGCATGCCCTTGGCCGATTTTTACGCTTCGCATTGGCACGACGGCAATAAGAGACATGGCGACTGAATGAGTATTCTGCATGGGAATATGGAATATTAGGCAGGGCTGCTCTGTAAAGAGAATTGACATTGCAAAGACGTACCCTGTGTGAAAGGCTTCTGGCAGATCGTACAGAAACTGAGAAATGTAGGCGGTGCCTGGTCAACCGCTCTTGGAGCAGGTCTCTCCATTGTCAAACGTATTGAAACTGGGGTTTCTCGTTGAGGGGAAAGCTGATGGTAACAAGACGGCACCTCGCACTATTTGCACTAAAATCTGAGACTGGAGAAGAGATGGACACTCCCTTAAGTACCTGTATGTGGTGTTGTGGGGATTGACAGTAAGCAGCTGTTCAAGGATTAGGTAAATGCCTGGGTACTGGGTAGGCAGGCATAGGTACCAGACGATACATGTACTCTATACGTGCAGCTACCTCACTACTAGAACGTAATGATCCATTCAGATTAGGTGTGCAAAAGGCAAGAAATCAAATGCCACGGACATCCCTCTGAGCTGTACTAAATGCGTACCTTGGCATGGTGGTGATATTAAGGTCAAGTTCGGCCACTAACACTAGCCTAGAACCGCCATCGCCATCTATGCACGCCGAATATTCAAGCCCGAGGACACTGATTATGTACCTTGGATAGTACAGCCAGGGCTTAATAAATCCGCAAAGTATAACATGACTAACATTAAGTGGAATATTTATATCTAGTAGGTACAGCTCAACATGATATGCACATGGCTTCAGTCGGAAATTTAGATCTTAATTTAAAATTTCCCTCATCTTCCTTATAGCGAATATTTTTCTCAGCCAATCTTTCGCAAAGAGTTGCTCATGGGAGCTCTGCTGCCGAGCAGATTTACAATAACAGGCAGTCTCCTCTGTGAGCGACTGTCAAGCTTGATCCTATTAGTTGAACAAGATGCACTCATCGCAAAGGTCATCACAATCTAATATATTACAACGTGGCCCCTCTTTGTATACATCTTTCGCCTTGCAAGGCACTTCTAGCATATTACTGGCACTTATTCCAGAGAGAAAGAGCTGCTCTACAAGGAAACATTGGGCCAAATTTTTTTCCCCCCAGTTATTCAAGGTCCATTCGATTTGAGGATACAGCAAATCGTCGGAAAACTTTACTACCAGTGGAGCGAATGGAGGTTTACCAATAGCTGGGGCTTAATTTCCGATAATCCGTTTGTGGCGGTGTTCTCTTTGCCTTTTTTTGTTTGGCCTATATCAAGGATCCTAGCAAATTTTTACGTTTCTGAGCTCCTCTGTGCGATTCCGCGAACAGGTCTGTTTCAGGAAGGTCATCTTCTTTATGTTCGTATCAATAGGACGGATGGGCATCAGATCGGACTAGTCTGTAAATGACATTAGGAGTAAAAGTTCATGTCAAACACCCCATAAGTGACCATGTATATGCCTACATGAATATGTGGCTCAACTCTTGTCATTTACCATTCCGTGAAATAATTATGTTTCTCATGGTAGAGAGCACAGTATTCTATTACCTCCACTCTCACATATACATTAAGTAAATGCGCCTAGTCTACCAATGAATTGTTTAGTTGCTGTTGAGAGGAACAATTCAAGATGGCAAGTTAACGTAAACTAAATTTAGAGCTACTACAAAACTGTGTCTAATCATGCTAGAAGCATGTTAATAGTGCTCAAAGCAGATCTAGAAATCCACAATCCTTTAGATTCTTATAAAAGCACCCTAGCTGCTTAATTACCTTGAAACGTTTTTCTATATTGCAAGCATTATGAATGATGGCGGCACCTATTCTTCTAGCCTTTACTTGTGATGCTGCTATAACCGATACTCCACCTCCCACCGAATACATGTAGCTAACTGCTAAGATCTTGTCGGCTGGCTCGGGTTCAATAGTATTCTTCATATACTCACCTTCGTTCAGTATTTTGTGTATAATATTACTATCTACTTCTGCCCATTTAAATTAAAACCACTTGTATACGATTGAGAAGAAGAACAGGTTTACTGCCGACTCGGCTAGCAACTCGACCACCTTTGAGACTCGTGGGACAAAATACATGTAGTTGAACCGAGATAGCCGTAGTGGACAAAGAATATGAAACATTGAAGACAACCACATGGAATGGGCTAATGGTCTTTCTGGATCACGCTCTTTCAAAAGGAATATAACCTAATAGATGCAATGGATGAGGATGTATCCCTTTAGTTCTTCTCCAAGGTGTATTCCTTACTCTTAGATTTGAGTACATGTAATTCAGAACCGGCATTTGTGAACGCGCTTCTACAAGTTATCTAGCATATGGCTGTTGATGAAGGCAGAATGACCTCAGCCATTGTACACGCAAATAGGCAATATTTAAGAGCTTCAATGTTTCGAGTGCACTATTTACGCCGATAATGCGTGATTGCCTTAGACCCTTGCTTCAAAAATGTACGTAATTTCATTAGTTCCTTTCTATTAGACCCTTCACCAGGAGGTAGGTGTTTACATATTGTCCAGCCAAGCTAGAAACAGAGCATAATATATGTTACCCAAATGTATATTTTTAAGTACCAATTCACAACGAAATTTGCTACGCTGTTCTACGTCCTCCTTAATATATTTATTATAACTAAGATAAGATAAACGACTCAAGTAACCTGACCACAGCCTCGCGCCCGTACCTCGCAGCCCACGACAGCGGCGTCTGGTCGTTTTCATCTTTTGAATCAACCTCAGCCCCTGCATTAAGCAACAGCTTAGCCACAGCCTCGTGCCCGCCCCTCGCAGCCCATAACAGCGGTGTCCGGCCAAATTTACTGTCTTTTAAATCGACCTCAGCCCCTGCATTAAGCAACAGCTTGGCCACAGCCTCGTGCCCGCCCCTCGCAGCCCACGACAGCGGCGTCTGGCCGAATTCACTGTCTTTTGAATCAACCTCAGCCCCTGCATTAAGCAACAGCTTAACCACAGGCTCGTGCCCGTTCTCTGTAGCCCACGACAGCGGCGTCCGGTCGTTGTCATCTTTTGAATCAACCTCAGCCCCTGCATCAAGCAACAGCTTAACCACAGCCTCGTGCCCGAGCCTCGCAGCCCACGACAGCGGTGTCCGGTCGTTGTCATCTTTTGAATCAATCTCAGCCCCTGCATCAAGCAACAGCTTAACCACAGCCTCGCACCCATCCCTCGCAGCCCACGACAGCGGTGTCTGGCTAAATTCACTGTCTTTTGAATTAACCTCAGCCCCTGCATTAAGCAACAGCTTGGCCATAGCCTCGTGCCCGTTCTCCGCAGCCCACGACAGCGGTGTCTGGCCGTTTTTATCTTTTAAATCAACCTCAGCCCCTGCATTAAGCAATAGCTTAGCCACAGCCTCGTGCCCGTTCTCCGCAGCCCACGACAGCGGTGTCTGGCCGTTGTCATCTTTTGAATCAACCTCAGCCCCTGCATCAAGCAACAGCTTAACCACAGGCTCGTGCCCGTTCTCTGTAGCCCACGACAGCGGCGTCCGGTCGTTGTCATCTTTTGAATCAACCTCAGCCCCTGCATCAAGCAACAGCTTAACCACAGGCTCGTGCCCGTTCTCTGTAGCCCACGACAGCGGCGTCCGGACATATCCATCTTTTGAGTCGAAATTGATAGTAACTTGACTATCGCTTGCTAGAATGGCTGTCAATACTCCCACAATGCGATACCTCGCCGCAATATGTGCAAGAGTAGTCTCTGTTGGTGGACAATGTTCAGAATATTCCTCGATATTAATGAAAACGCGCGTCCACAGTTCGACGATCTCGTTTGATGGCCATTTAAATAGCTCTAGAATATTTGCCTGAGGAACATCCATAGCATCACTTTGTTGTAAGTGTGACACCCATGAAGTCGTGGCATAGTGCAAAAACGAAAAATCAGCTTCTAATTCGCGACCCTCATAGCTTGCTGATTGGCTAATTTCCTCCATCTTGAGGTAGCGTATGCAGGTTCTAGACAGTTGAAAATGTGCCATTCCAATGGCCATCTCGTTCGATGTTGATCTGTCATCCAGGGCTTTTAGGCCCTCATCCGTGAAGAAGTCTTTGACAGACTGATGAATAAACTGGACGACGTGCTCATCTGGTCCCGGAGTAACTTCAGCAAGTCCCCGACTAAGCTTTATTACTTGTTGACCCATTCGTCTGCTATCAGGTATATAATCCTCCGCCTTTTGACACTCCTGCAATGACGGATATCTGGCGTCGATGACCATTGCCCATCGTAGCTCTTTTGTTGACAAAGGCCGCATTGCAAAGCAGACCCATTGAATTAGTTTTAAAGAGGATGACTCCATGCCCAGTATAAGGTTTTTGTATAGGTCATGAAGACTTTCAGGAATAGAACGAATAGTCGCCTCGATCTTGTTTGGCCCAGCACCATCCTGGTCAAGACTCCGAACTTGATTCACGACTAATTGTGCCCACAAGAAGACACCGGAAGCACGAGAAATTATCAGATTCTGAATCACGGATGGTGTCGGCTCCTCAAAAGAAGATAGATCGAGCTCAGATTGCACGTAGGTCGAAATGTCAGTTTTGTTCTCCATTTCAAGGCATACCTCAAACAGACCCGGAGAACTTAGAATTGGATAATGACGACAGCTAAAGCAAATGTGGAAATGAACCCAAATGGGGAGCGGCGCTAATCTCTCGAGCAAAGACTTGAATTTCTGGACAAGATATTTTGCGTGAGCTTCGCCACATTCGTCTAGCGCGTCGACAAACAACCAAAGTGAGCGATCTTCCAAGATCTTTGGAAGAGACGATTCAAATAAACTCCACAGTTCTTCCAGATGCCACTGCCACTTTTCAGGATAATTACCCATTATCTTGCATTTCTGTTCATAGGCATTGACAAGTTCTGACAATGCTTCAGGGGCTTTCTCGAGGGCCTGATGAAGGATAGATCGCAAAAAGCCAAATGGAGTCTTTTGAAGAGTGTCACCACGGCCATGGAAGAAGAAAGACAGGACAACATCGTCGTCTCTTGCACTGGGTATATCTCGCCGTTTACTCAGGGCATATTTGAGAAGCGTAGATTTCCCGGCGCCTGGTTTCCCCTTGATCCAGAGCAGGCCTTTGGTAACTGCGGCCCAGTTAATATACGACTCATGCTTGAGCAGCCACTCGCATGTCCCTTCGGTAGCGCGTTCAATTTCGTTTCCCCGGTTCCACATCTGCTGAAATGCCAGCGATTTCAGACAGTCTTGATCTTCCTTCGACAGGTTAGGTTGAAATGAGCCTGGGAAGGTTTTAATATAATATCTTTTTTTGCCTGATCAACGTGGAGTTGAATTTGGTCACATACTCCTTCGTGCTGTGATTGCATGTTGAGCGAGGCTTCTTATTCGTCCAAGGACCTTGTCGTACTCAGGGTCTTCTACCGAAAATTTTACCATTTCCGAGTGTGTGCGATTGATGGCACAAATATGTTCTGGCCCGTCCTCCCATGGCCGGCAATGCGTGGCGGACGCTTTCGATACCAGGGCGGCTGGTTTTCCTGACATGCTCCATCTGCCCCCTTCATCCTGTTACATTTTAGCACAGTCCGTCTTAAAAAATCGATGGAGCCACACCTTTAATGCGGTCGGCGATAAGCGGGTTTCGTAGAATGAAACAACTTCGGACTCGCCTGGGCCACCTAGTGCCTTCGAAAACTCACGCTGCTGGATGCTGAGGACCTGCGAGTTGGTAGATCCAATGGATTCCAGCAGGAATCGATTTGGCCCATCCCCAGCCATGGGAATGAGCGAACTAATGTCCATGCCATCATGTGGGACACCAAAGAAGGCAATACCGTAAATTGCGCGTTTTAAGCTGCGGTTCACCTTGTCCTTTGACATGCAGAGTGATATAAGGACCTACTGCGGCGTTAGAATACTGTTCCCAGCCTAGATGGATGTCGTTAGTGGGCGTACCTGTTTGGCGACCAATCCACCCAGGCTATGGGCAATTAATACGATAGGTTTGAACGAACTGTCAAACGAGAGTGTTCGAAGGTCGGAATGAAGAGATGTCGCAATGTCTTCTAGGTTCTGAAAGCTGTCACTGTTCGGGACACTTGACTCGTAGCCATACACCATAATGCGTGCAAAATGCTTGTCACTTTCATCAATCATACCATGTGGGAGTGCATCTCTCAGCCACATGTGCTCCCTGTCTCGTTCCTTAAATGATCCAAACGCATGTCCGCCAAGACCAGAGATGGCGATGATGCTTAAGCCCATCAATATTGGCATTAATATAATTTTAGAAGACAGGACGACTGCTCACTTACTCGACTTTGTGATCCTGCTGCGGGGGAGTGAAGAGACTGGTAATGCCGATAAAGTCATGATCAAGTGTCAAGATCCGCTGTTCGCCAAACTGGCCGGAATATGCAGGCAGAGAGATCTTCAATGGCAGCTGGCAGGTGTTTTGAAAAAAGACTGTAGCTGCCTGAGAGCGCCCATGAAACTCCTTGGCCAAAGACTGTACCACCGGTGCAGCAGCAATGTCTCTCTCTGCTAGGAATGACTCTAGCTTGTTTCTGTCCCAGTCATTGGGCACTCCCCGTACGCGAAACGTTGGTTCTCTGTTTGGCTGAAATTTAGATTCTCTCTTTGGCGGATGTTGATTGCCAGGTGGGGTTTTTTTCTGCTGTCCGAATGGCCAGAAGAAGGAGGACATTGTCAGCCAAGTAAGCGGCAAATACGGTGTATAGTTGAATGGGATTTACAATGAATGTTGTTCACAGATTGAATGAACCGACTATAAATAATCCAACGCAAGCTTTCGATATTTCTGCTCAGTGACCCTACCAATCAACGTTGTTCGGGCATCAATCTTCGTGGTCGCGCTCCTTTTCTTAATGCTGAATCGGTGGCCAAATGCACATGGGAGCCACGAGCCAATCCCAAGACGAGGCAGCACACACACTTGCGTGCTGGAAAACACCGAGTCCATGTGCATATGCTGCCGAGCCCAAACGATCGTGGACGCGTCGACTGCCAAGAAACGAGGCTGGGGAGCAATGAAGTTGTCGCAATTCAAGTAGCGCGCTTTCTTGCATGTAGTATTTGCCTTAGGCTCCCCTCATGATGGCCAACATCCGCTCTGCCGACACTTTGGCTCGGACTCTCTTGTCCCGCTTCGGCATCTCCAACTACATGTTACATGTGCGAATACCATGTGGTGGATTACAACTGGAGGCTACTAATTAAAGCCGTGACGCGCTTCGGATGGCGGAACAACACGGGCCGCCGCTACTACCCGGCCTTTAGTTGATCGGCACTACTAGGCTTGCTAAGGCACACGTATGTGCACCTACAAAGGGAGTTACGGAGTACCTCCTGCATCAAGTCACTCAATCGAGACAAGACAAACAAAATCTACCCATTGTATAGGTACCTCACAAGCAGCAATTGCTTCATCAGCTCCAAAATTGGAATCTGGAACATTTTACGAGCACACACGTGCCAAAGTGTCAAGTGCCAGTTGCCAAACTCAATGTTAATACGAGAGGGTAATGGAGATCATTTTTCACACTTATAGTACGGTAGATCGACAATTGATCTCCATAGATTGCACGGATGTGTTAGGCTGAGAGAACACATCACTTAGCACTGCCTGCTCAAGTATCTGGCAATGCCCCCATCAATTAAATGCACGAAGATTCATCTGATGCGCACAGCGACACCAGTTCGCAAGACTCTTTTCATGTATATAGGTAGATAAGACACAATTATTACATTCATCGGGCATTCGAATACTTGGCCAATGTCCATTTTAATCCAAGCTGAGCGTGAGATTCCTCAGCGCTGGTGCATCCTTAAGCATCGATTCTGCTGAGTATCGGTATGTGCTCATATTGTGATTCTTATGCATTACTATACCAACGATTGGTCTTTCTACTCAGGATGGTAGAGATTTGCACGAAAACGAATTGCGCCACCGTGAATTTTCCGAGACTGCCTTGAAAAGCTGGAGAACCAGTCGACGAACAAATCTACCGTGTGCAAATGTTCAGGTTGAATGGTATAATTCACAATAAGGTCATAGAGCTATCAGAACGCATTGCATTTCATAGAACTTCATTCACCTTAACTTGTAAAAAGATGGTATTTCACGGCGTCAAATAGTTAATAATCGGTTTTGCAATCCCGCCATCTCAACCAAAGGGCAAAAACTTCCATTTTCCAGCTATACCTCGTGTAGGCATCAGTTCGATATTTTTTACATGTCTTTAATACTTTTCTGTTTTAAATATACATTATTATTTGAACAATTTAACATTGCGGCCGAAATGTTTTGCTAATGATAGTTGCAGTGATCAGAAATATGAGCCACATACACTTTAATCAATTACGTTTGGGACTCCCAACCTACAGCACAGACACACTAAATCTATCTAACATTCTCCGATTTTTAATTCCCTGAAAGGCCCGTCAAAAAAAGTATTCACTTAAGTCTTGTCAACGCATTTTTTAAAAGAAAGCCCGGCTTACCCACTGTAAAATCATTGTCCATTCCTCTCCATCATTTGATGGTCCCACCTTGTTAACCAACTCAGATAAGTAGAGAAAGCAAACGACTCTTTCGTCCTAGAATTCTGATACAAAGGCTCCGATAACTTGTTTGTTAATGATCGGCGTTTCCTTGGTGACGGATAAGTTGTTGTTGGCCCCAACAAAGACCGTCGTGGCATGGGCACAGTACTTGCGTACTAGGTGTATTGTAGCTTAGCATTGCGCAAGGGCCTCTCCAAAGCGCTGCATTATGAAAGCCATCATCCTTTCTAACTAGTTCTATCAAACGCAGCATCTTCCTGTTTTCAATACTCCAGATTACCAGATTCACATGATGCGGAGCTGCCTCCCTTGGCAATGGCGGCGCGACGGACCTCCAACTAGCGATGCCGCTTCCTGTGCTCATGTTATGCCCAGATCAGTGTCAAATTCTATACAACAAGATTTGACTTCAGATATTGACAGTTACTCCTTTTTGGTGTTTGGGTTCCGCTATATTGCACAATGCTGCAAGAAGGTAAGACATCGTCTGTATATAATCTGCAGTATTCCATCATACTAATGGTTTGTTCGCCTGGAGGATCTGATGCTCCCGAAAATGGTCGGCTTCAACTTGGCTACAGTATTTCTTGTCCCATCAGATGGGTCGACAATAATATCGGACGAGTGGATGCGAAGGCGTCTAGATGAATACAAGAAGGATGATGTGTTCAACGAAGCATTTCTCGCCAACGTCATATTCCTCGAATCGCGTAAACGCCATAGAATTGACAAACATTCGATTACCAAGGAGACCATTAAGTTTCTTAAAGAACATGGCATGAAACAATGTATCTTCAGCTCGTCTCCAAATTATCTACCTGGTCCCCATGTGATGGTGGATCAGGAACTTAGAGAGGTGTGGAAGTTGGTGGATAATTCAAATGGGACCTGCATGGTTACTTTGAAACCACAGCAAGAGTAATGGCTGATATTTCAAATATGGCATGATTACAAGCTGATGTATTTTTAGCCCATCGGACGCATTTGAAGCTCTTTCGATCAGGGGACAAGGCAGTCATGCCCTTAGCTTTGCCCTCCCATCTCGCATCAAGAGCAGTGCTCAGAGTCTTCCTCTCTCTGGGCTGCGTATCCTCATCAAAGATAATATTCATTTGAAGGGTGTCAAGACATCCGTTGGCAACCGAGCTTTCTACGATGCTTACCCTCCGCAGGAAAAGACTGCCCAGTGCATCCAAAAGCTAGTCGATAAAGGCGCGATTATAGCTGGAAAGACAAAATTAACCTCTTTTGGTAATTGGGAGGAGCCAATCGAGTACACTGACTATCAAGCACCATGGAATCCTAGGGCAGATGGCTACCAATCTCCTGGAGGTAGTAGCTCGGGCAGTGCTTCGGCCATCGCGGCCTATGATTGGCTTGATGTTGCCATTGGTACTGATAGTAGGTATCAAATATGTTGATTGACCAATATGGATGTTATCTGATGGATATTAACAGCTTGGGGGAGCATTACTCGGCCTGCTCACTGGTGTGGATGTTTTGGCCTGCGTCCTAGCATCGGTAGTGTCTCTACGGACGGCATCGTGCCATATGTCCAGTAAGTGATTGCTTTTACCTAGCAACCTCTTTGATCACTTGTATAGCTCTGACAAACTATCTAAGATCTTGGGATATTCCAGGAATTCTTGTAAGAGATCTGCAGATGTGTAGGAAGTTCGCCAAAGAATGGTTAGATTTTGACAAATTTGAGAACGCACCCGAGGTATATTTCCTTGCCTACAAACCGCTGTAATCTCTAAGCTGACCCATATCTAGTTATTTTCTTCTATTATATGGCCGACTGACTTTTGGAATATCATTGGCTCCGAGCAAAAAGGCCTAGCGCAGTCATTTGCCCAAGAGATGGCCACCAAGCTCAATGTAAAGTTCGAAGAAATTTCCTTTGAGGAGCGTTGGAAGAATGTGCCGCCAACTGATGAAACATCTTTGCTACCGGCATTCATAAATCAGGTATTTATTCTCTCACATATGTTGGCTATTTAAAATTTTAATGTCCTACTAGGCTACGGCTAGTCTTGCATACGATGTCTACCATAACAGTGAAGACTTTCGTTCCCGTTACTGGGATTTGTTTAAACGCGCACCTTATACGACTATTCAAAATGAGCGACTCTGGTACAATTTATCCTCGCAAGGCGAATGCTTACTTTATTTATCCGACATAATTTAGGTCTGTTGGAAAGAACATTACTTTAGAAGAAAGGGATGCCGGATTTCAGAAAATTGATATTTACCGCCGGTGGTTCCATCAACATGTGTGGACTGGGGATCATACAAATGCCATCACAGTGATGCCGCTTGAGAGTGCAGTACCAAGATACAGAGATGATGTCCTCGGGTCAGTAGAATCTCATTTATCAACTACTGGGTTAAACTATTCTTTTAGAGGCGCATATAAGCTGACTAAGTTCAAGTTTCCAACGGCCACCTCAAGACAGAATTAACGCTTTATCTCTTGGTCCCGTTATGAAATCACCGGTTCTTGCTGTTCCAAGTGAGATTGCAGCCCGCAAAGTGCCATAATTCCTTCTAATGATACACAGTTGCCGAAATTCCATATCATTCGAGAGTCAGCAATCAGCAGAGCAATTGCCCTTTGCAGTGGCACTAATGGGAACGCCAGGTATGGACACGAAAGTGTTTTCAAGACAAGATTTAATAGCTAACAATTCTAGGTACCGACCTAAAATTGCTAGGCACAGCCATTGAAATCTTGTCATCATTGAATCTTCCCACAGCTCTCCAAGTAGGAAAATACATGTACGAAGTTCAAGACATATAGTGCTCGATATTGGAATGTTAAAGGTTATCTACCCAAAATAGTGTCTGCTGATCGGAGTTGTGTCAGCTTCGTGGCTTTTTTTCGGCAGCTTGGAGTAGTATCAAAAGCCCCAATTAGCTTCAATGTACTCAAGAGGTTATTACAAAGATAGTTTGACAAAGTCACATAAGCGTGTAGTGAGCAAGTAACTAGATCGTCTTGTATAGTTATTGATCTAGCTGGCGGTTTTGCATTCAGCTCAAAAGATAATGTCTGTTAATAAATACTTGGGACATTGTGCTTGTGGTTAACATATTCATAATTCCTTTTGTTACTCTCCTTTACAATGGAAATAAAACACTCGATACACTTCTGAATGGCTTCAAATAAAATTATTTCCCACAATTAGGTTAATGTAACTTGATAAAGGGGGGACTTCATCTCTATTCTCTCCTACTAAGACTTCTACCATTCATATGAGAGTGAGGGATTTTTGAGCAGGACCTTTGGGTATCAGTTCGTATTACCGCTAATTAACAGCCAAATTCAATTAGCTGCTTGTTTCCCCCCAGCATATCTATGGAGCAAGCCGGTATCACATTTTAATGCCATCGGATGGAATTCCGACCAATCCTACCATTTCAAGCATTTTCTGTGGAAGTTTATTGGTTAGAAGCATATCTCATACGAATCCGCAGTTACTGTTATACGAATTCGTAAACTTATGATATGTGACTCGTAGTGGCTACACGGATGCTCCGAGTGTAGCCTCGTGTCTGCAGCCAGCCGGTGTTGGCTGTGATGTTACAGGGAGTCTCTGAACTTACGGATCATACACAGTGCGGCAACTTCTACTGCTTCTTTCGCAAACTCCATCTAGTCATATTGGTTGAACTCCAAGTTCTGGCTCAATTGAATGCTGCTTTCGAGTAATTTGCATCATTGAAGAATTCCGCTGAAGCGTTACAGAACACGCGACTTGTTCTTTCAACCTCAAACATTTCCCTATTTCTGGCAGAGCTAGCAGCAGCGCTGAAGATCACTCTCACACATTTAGTGGTCTAGACTAACGGAATATTGACTTGCACATGATAGACTGCAATAACCTTTCTGCTTTTGTTTACAATAGGCGCCACCGTAGTGGAAACAGCGTTACATCTTGGGAAGAAATATAGTTTGATAACGGTGCATCGTGCACCAAATTGTATGAGCCTTCACATGCTAGCGACTGCCTAGCCGGGCTCTCTATGCGAGGCAAACTACAGATAATATTGGAAGATGAACGAGACGTTGTTCTACCTTACATGCCAAATCTGCTCTCCGCACTACATAGCTTCTAAACTAAGCGAGAGAGCAAGGATATGAGCAACTCCTTCCTTAGCTCACATGAAATATCCTGTATAAATGCCATCTGCTACTCTAGAAATTACAGCAGGGAACCTCCCTGAACCTTGGCGCGCTGATTGGCTCCGATTTAGTGAAAGACTAGGCGATGATTTTCCAATCGGAAGGGCATTTGATCGGACCAGTATCTTGGCATGCTTGTCATTCCCCTGTATATTGATAAGTATATAAACAACCGTGGCTATCAATGATAGGGCCACCTGTGTTCAAGGGTTGTTTAGATGACAGGTCGTAGGTCCAGCCCGAGGAGCAATACACAAGTAGCTGCAGATTTCAAGAGGAATGGATCGTGACCTTGGCTTCACAAAGGGCCAAATATATGAAGAGAATATTTGCCTGCTATAACTGCTTCGTTTGAGGTAATGAAAATGCAGCTACTAATGCATAATGCTTCTTTTTTCGGAGCGAACAGTAGATCGGAGCCATTTTTGCCGTCTTACTCATACGATAATCATAGTCAATTCTGTGTAACCATCCCAGCTGAATATTAGGGGGGACACTCCGGTTCTTCTGATTGGATACTGACCAAGATCCAGCCACCCTGTCTCCATGGTCTATTCGAAAGTGTCAACGTTGGCTGGCGCGGGGCTGATTCCGAGCAGCCACAAGCTACCTATTTGGCAGTGCCTCGCTTGCCTCAATATTGAATAGAGAGGCACAAAATCTCGGCTCACACCAAAATGGGCCAAGGCCGCAGAAGGAGTCGGATCCTGGCCGCATCCAAAAAGATCATCAGCCAAACGCTCTGCCTCATTTCAAAGACGACTGCAATTGGAACTGGCTTTAGTTTCAGCCATTCCTTCGGAACCCCCGATCGATGCAACGCGGGCTTGCGGAGGCGCTCAGTCGGTTCCTGTGAAGATCCCATCAATACCTATTCACACGGTGAGTCTAGAGCCTGAAGGTAAGTATACAGAGGATTCCAAAGGTTCAAGTATGCACTATAGTATATTACTGTTACATTGAAGTGCTGTGCCAATCATCTGCGGAAATTCAGTTAGAGGATGCAGGTCAAAAGTGCAATTTTACACTTCATTTGACTTCTGCTTGAAGCTTACGTATAGCATTATCAAGCATGGCTTCCTCTTTCACCAATTGTACGCCAATTCGCAAGCTCAAAGATTCCTGCGATCTTTGTTCAGCATCGAAATTGCGATGCAACAAGCAGAAACCAACATGCACTCGCTGCGCAGCTCTAAATCAGCCATGTTCCTACAGTCCAGCACGACGTGCTGGTCGGCCACATCGTGTACGGGAGAAGAGCCAACAGCAATCTTTAGATGTTACCGTTGAAAGCACAATGCAGCCTGCGGGAGATTCCGATCAAAGCAGCGATCTGAGCCTCGGCACTGCAGCATTTCTCGGTGTGCAATCCCAAAGACATGACCGGAATAATGAACAACGCCACCAGCAACAACCGCCTGAACCATTATCCCGCCAAGTTTCTGTTCCCATCCATGACACGAGAGAGGATTGTACTAGAGTTGCCATATACATACTGGAGCAACTAGATCTTGCCAGAAGGCAGTCCGGTCTTGCAAACGTCAGCTCAGCGACGACAGATGCGTGCCAGCGTCTCTTGACTATTCTCGTCTGTCCATGTTCAGAGCAACCAGGCGTAGCACTTCTTGTGGCATGCGGGTGCATTTCTCTAATGGATACGGTTCATCACTGCCACGTAGCTCAAGGTACATCAATTCCAGAGCTACCAAATAGCACAACCACGACCCCTGCTACAGAGAAGGACATCCCCGGTTGGCCAAGATCATCATCTTCACACAGCAGTCATGGCGGGATGGAGCAGTTGGCAAAGATTGCCAAGCTCATCTTGCAATTCACAGATAGATATGCTCAGGAACCAAAGGGTGGAACTGGTTGGGCGCAGACAACCTGGTTGGTTGCTCCCATTGCGGCGTTGCTTCGGTTCAGGTTGCAGTCAGTCACCCATCAAGCGGCAAAACGTCTCGTCTTTTAATTAGTCACGCTCAAATACGCAATGCGCCTATGAACGAAGTTGTTTAGACATTATATTTGTCCGTGTGCGATGGTAGAGAGCGCAGTGGCTACACCAGGGAAAAACGTGTATAACAAGTTGCGCTTTGAAGTTATGCATCAGTGAAGTGAGTTGTTTTATCATGATAGACTGTTGATACAGTTATGAATCGTTTATTATCTGGAACTCAGGGATAGATATTTATTCTCATGGTTACGGGACGCAAGGCTCTCTTTTTCTTGGAGCTCATTAAGATATGTTAACTAAACATACCATTCTCTTTTCCTAACCCAAACTCTGTTTTAATGTGCTTCTCATTTTATAAATTGCCCATAGCAGAGAAACTGAACTTTGTGAGGCCATTTGACAAGGCATATCCAAAGAGAACAACTTTATGCACATAATCTTTAATACTAAACACATAAAACAGGAAACTATGAACGTTTTAGATACTTTGACTGTGAAATTCGTTGACTATACCTTCTATTATGGGGCTATCTTACATTACTTTTTCTTGTAGATACATGTATGTTCGTCTGGCTTCTGCCTTGGCATTTATTCCTTGTAGTTAGAGCGCACTACTTCCCTAGTGAGTGATTGCCAATACGAGAAACATAGCTGTGACTCTCTCAAATGATAGACACATATTTCACAAGATCAATCTCTATCCTATATGCAATGACATGTTTGCATGGCGGAATATTCAAAGCGCTTCAAATCATACAGACTGAAGAAGGATTATATATGAGTGGAGATGCGCAAAATATTTTACCTGTAACGTACTCTTATTCGCCCGTAGTCAGTCCTGTAACCAGCTCTGTTTCGTCATTGCTGGAACCTTTTTTCTGTTCAGATTCATCAAGCCCAAACTCTGTGACTAGTTCTTGTCGGAGCGGCACTTCACGGATGAAACAGGCAATAGGGACGGCGACAACGGCAAACGCAATCAGAACCTGCCAGGACTCTTTGATACCCGCCGTGTATACGTGAAGAAGTTCTTGCTTCAATGTGCCATTGAAGGAAGACATGAAATCAGCCGTCGCATGCTGGTAGGCGCCACCTCGCCTCATGATTTCTCGCGTTGCCGGATCGCTGATTGTATCGAGAAGATTGTCGACGCGAGAGTTGAACACTGCTGAAGGGATGGCCGCACCCCAGATAGAGCCAAAGCTGCGCACAAAAGCCCAGGAGGCCGTGGCAACAGCTACATCAGACTCATCCAGCGGCGCCTGTACAGCCGGTAACGTTGCTGTCAAGGCCAATCCACCACCAACACCAGCAATTATCTGGAAGATGACCCATTTCGCAGTAGAGGAAGACGAATCCAGGATCGTGAGACAGCCGACACCAATCGATAGAAGAGCGTAGCCAGCCACCATTGTAGGCTTATAACGACCAGTCTTCGCAATCGTCAACCCACCAATAATACCAGCAGGCATCAAGGGAATCACAATCGCCAACAAGTTTACGCCGGACATGAGGGGACTGGCCTCAAGAAGAACCTGGAAATAGACTGGAAGGAAGAGGCTTAGCCAACTCATCTCGATGCCATGAAGGAATGTAAGTATGTAAGCAAGCAGTGAAACACTGTTACTATAGACTCGGATAGGCATTGTGGCCTCGACCGCCAGGTATTTCTGGTGGAGATAGAAAAGGACGAGCCCTGCAACTCCAATCAAGAGCGGAACCAGAATATGGTATGAGTCCCAGGCATAAAGAGTACCGCCCCAGGTCAGGGCAATCAGTACTGACACGACGGCGCTCATCAAAAGCACATTTCCGGGCAAGTCGACGCGCCGCAGCCGGGTCAGTAGTGTGCCTTCACGCTTATAGTGAACGCGGAGGAACAGAAAGACAAGCACCAGGGCCGTTCCACCAATTGGCAGGTTAATGTAAAACACCCAGCGCCATGAAATGTCCGTGACAATAACGCCGCCAATGATGGGCCCAATGAAGGTGCCCAGCGCGAACGTGGCCATGATAACTGACATGTATTTTTGCCTGTCTCGTAGAGTAACAAGATCCGCCACGATGATGTCAACCATGACGAACAAACCACCTCCGCCAATGCCCTGTACAAGCCTGGCCGCAATCAACATTGGAGTATCTTTAGCTCCGCCACAGAGCCCGCTGCCGAGCGTAAAGAGGGCGATAGAGACGAGCATCGGGATGCGGCGTCCGAAGATGTCCGAAGCCTGACCGAAGAGCGGCTGAACCGCAGCTGTCGACAAGAAGTAGCCATTGATAATCCAGATATACAGGGCACCTGAATTGAGGTCGGCGGAGATGGTTGGCAATGACGTTGCGACGATGGACGTGTCGAGGCCGGCAAGCAAAATGGCAAAGCACAAGCCGGGGAAGACAGCCCAGAATCGCCAACTATGTTTTGGCTTCGTCTCTCCAAGGGCAGCCTCGATGGGCACCACGGCCTGATTTTGAGCGTCCAAAGACATTTATCACAAGCTGTCTTTAGAAAGTTGTGGCATGAGTAAAAATTCTAATGGTGAGCGAAGACAGTGCAGCACGCATTTATAAGGAGTAGCGGGCAAATGCGGAAGAGGCAAATCAGCCTGAGGCAACGATGATGAGCGGAAGGCCGCAGTTAATTGGGCCATGAGACGGATAACCGATCTAGGAAGTGCAAAATACAACGCAAAAGTATACACTCCGAGGTCATTAACGAAGTGTGCAGGCTCTGAGACAGCTGGTGGTGGTTGGTAAGTATGGCTTGGACAATGTTACATTCATATGTGCGTTGGTTGTTCCCCTTGTCAACCAAACCCCAGTCTCCGTCCACTAATAAGGCCTGTCAAAGAAATTCACATAATCCAACTTAGCTAACTTCACCTGTTCTACTTCGTTCTCGGTTAGACAGCTTGAAATCATGAACTCCACAATGGCCCGGAAGATGCACGCTGACCACACCAGAGGGCAAGAACTAGAACATGACACCCCACAAGTACCTATATCAACTTTAGGTTACTGCATTTGATAAGTGCAGGTGCTTTCATAGTGTCTGGTTGTAGATTACTTCGTGGGTCGTTAAGGAGAAATCTTTGTAAAAGTACTCATTCTCGCAAATATAAATACAATTTTCTTCAAAATTTGTTATAGGTATGGCTCTGTCCTATTTTCATTTTCACCGCAAGACATAAAACTCTGGATCTTGGAATAAAGATTGCAGTTCAAACGATAAGGCATAGAGTAGCTGTATATGAGAGCACAAGAATCAAACTTGAACACCGTAACTTTGATATCTCAATGGTTGGGTGCAAAGCGCTCCGCTTTGGCTTAAGCGTTTGCGTGCATATATCGAGATGATTGAAGGAGTTCGGTAAATTTTACGCAAGTATAAGCCAGGTGATCGTGTTATCATGTTCCGTTTGAGATGCTTCCGGACTTTCCTGCGCAACTCTGAAGGCATGTTTGAGAAAGTTCCGGATACTTTATCGTTTGAGGGTGCTGCCTCAATTGCTTTTGTATACTCCACCGTGCACTACTCGTTGTTCCATGAGGCACGCTTGGAACGCGATGAGACTATACTGATTCACGCTGCTTCTGGTGGTCCGGGACAGGCCGCGATTATCCTTTCCCAACAGATTAGCGCTGAGATTTTCGTTACTATGTCTTTAGAAACCAAGAAACAGTTCTTGATTGACACGCACGGTATTCTGCCCGACCACATTTTCAACAGCAGAGAACACAGCTTTGCTGCCGGAATCAAGCGAATGACAAATCAAAAGGGGGGAGATGTTGCTTTGAACTCGTTAGCTGGCGAGGTTTTGAGACAAACGTGGCTCTGCGTTGCGCCGTCTGGCCGCTTTATCGAGCTTAGCAAGAAAGACATTGGTAAGTTCGCACCCTTCACCCTTCCACTTTACTGTCTTTTCCTTTTCCTTGCTTTTGAAGGTTTGCATGCAAATCGTTAACTTGGATTTTAGTTGGCAATACCAATATGGACATGAGCAAGTTCATGGACAACATTGCTTTTATCGGTGTTAACATGCTTTCTGTATACCGCGAAAACATTCCATTGTTTGGGCGTATTATGGTCGGTGTCATGAAGACACTCGCTGATGGCATCATCAGATCAAAGTGGCCTTCTGTATCATGCAATCTGGAAAGCGCATTGGCAAGATGGTTCTCAGTACCGGCCCTGAAGACCTTGTTCCGGTATGTAAAAACACATCAAGTCCGACGTCGATCAAAGTAGTACTAACGGGTGAGGTATACATATTGTTTTCCAGAAGAGCAAGCCATATCCATTCTCTCAGGATGCGATATACATGATTCTAGGAGGTCTGAGTGGTTTAGGTCGTTCGATTGCCGCTCGGACAGTGGACCAAGCTGCACGACATGTCGTTTTTACAAGCCGCCCGGGAGCAACCACGCCGCACGCTTGCAAGCTTGTGGATGAACTGACCAAGAAGGGAGCCAAGATTCTAGCATTTGCATGTGATATTAGCAATTTCTCGGAATTCAAAGACGTGTTGAAGACTGTGAAGGACAACAATTTCCCGCTAATCAAGGGTGCCATCAACTGCGCCATGCAACTTCAGGTATGTGCTCCGATAAAATCTACGGTGAGCTACACAGAATTAAATGGGACTGACAAACAAATAGGACGTGTTATTAAAAAATATGACCCTAGAGGACTACAATGCAGCTATCCGACCAAAGATTTACACCACTAAGAATTTACATAATCTTCTGCCGAGAGACGTGGATTTCTTCATCTGCCTTTCGTCAACTAGCGGTATCGTTGGATCTCGCGGACGAGGCAATTACAATGCTGGTGAGTTTTATAGCAATATCTTTTTTAGTTTAGCTTTTGAAGAAATAACATACTGATATGCTTAAAGGCAATACCTACTAGGATACGATGGCCCACTACAGAAGGTCCCAAGGTCTACCAGCAACTAGTATGAACCTCGGTATTGGTGTAGGCATCACGGCGGAACGCGGAGAGATTCTGTCGTACCTCAAGACCGGAGCCATGATTGGTCTCCACGAGCAAGAAGTCTTGGCTGTCGTCCAAGCTGTCATGTCGGGCAAAATGCCAATCCAAGCCGTCGTTGGCCTTGCAACTGGTGGTCACCATCTCGAGAAGAATGGACACGAAGGTCCTTTCTGGTTCAGTGAGGGCCACTTCGCATCTTTGGCACACAGTAGCTGCAGGCGACTCGGGTGACTCGGGTGCTGATTTGCAGGCCGTGCTACGAGCAGCAAGCACCTTGGCGGAGGCAGCGGATGCCGTTTGTGTGGCTCTTGTTCGCAAGTTGGCCAAGGCCATGATGGTGGAGATTGAAGAGCTTGATCCAACACGGCCAGCGAACTCCTATGGTGTCGACAGTTTGGTTGCTGTCGAGGTCCGTGCCTGGGTATTTAAGGAGGTGAAGAGTGATGTTTCAGCGTTTGATATTCTGAGTAATATGCCCTTGCAACCTTTGGCAACCAAGATTGCTGCAAAGTCGTCCCTTTTACCCCCGACGATCTCGGACACAGAAGATGACGCATAAACACTTCGGAGTAACAACTATGTTATGATGTTTGTGTCATTATTTTTTATGCACTTATGTTTGTCAATATCGTTTATGCACTTGTGTTTATTGTAACCAACATACGTGTATATACTTTGATGTGGCAGCTGTCGAATATTAGCATCCATCCAAAAAAAAAAATTACCTCCAGCTACACGTACTTATGCTTTATGTAGCAACTACAGGTATATATTTTATTCCCGTTTTCTTAGGCGATGTAAGTCCTGTTAGCATCAACCCATCAACAAGTACATATATTCAACGCCGCCTAGATGCAGATTCTGCAATCGATATGCCATAGAAGAATTATAATTCCATACCTAAAGGTCAAGCATAAATAACGCCATACGGTAAATAAATTTCGTCATAAGCAACAATACATTCTGTTAATTTATTTATCCAATCTTTCTATAGTACGTAGATACTCGGTAGAACTTCATCCTATGAGGTCGTCTCAATTTGTTTTTCTGCCTCCGACTCTTCTTCAAGTCCATCCAACAGGATCCCATTCTCGTATCGCGGGAATCCCTTAAAGCCTAAACAGAGTTCCTCAGTTCCTGGTTTCTCACCGATGATGAAATTTTGCCGTGCTTTGAGTTGCTTAACGTCCCAAGCTGCGAATACAAGTCTGCCGTCAAGAAACTCTGCTTCGGGCGAAGCGATCCAGACAAGGAAATCGGATGTGAGAGAGACTGAGAAAAACGAGGAAAAGGCGGCATGTTAGTTCTGTGTGCCTATGAGATGAATCGTTACAATACTTACTGTCATCATATTTGAATGGTAGTTGCATCGTCTTCGATAATTTCTCAGACATTGCTGTTCTGAGAAACCCAGGATGCACATTGTGAAGGCGCACGCATTTGTTTTCCGCTGCAAAACACTCCAGGAGCTTGACAGCGGCCATCTTGCTGCTCACATACGCACCCATTCCATGGAAAGGAGGATAGACGATGCCCGCAGTGGTAACATTGATAAAAGTGATGTCTTTGTGCCTCAGAGCCTGCTTAGCCTCTTGGCATTGCTTTTTAAGCTGTTCAAGCTGGGCCGTCTCGGCCTCGCCGCTCTCCTTGGCCGTTTTTAAGGCCGTGTCGAGCTCCTGGAAATTCTCCAGCTTCTTTTGATAGGCTTCTTGGGCTGTCTCGTTTACCCTGAGGAAAGCTTGTGCCGTTACCAGCGTGCCGACGATGGTAGTTTTGTAACCATCAATAAATGTGGTGGGATTCGCCTTAGCGAGGGGGACAACTGTAGGTAAGATACCAGCACAATGAACCAAGACGTCGATGCGGCCAAAAGTCTTTTTCACCTCCTCGAATATCTCAAAGGTATCTTTATCAATACACAGGTCGGCAGTATAAAGCTTAAGGGTTACAGCTTTCTGGCTAGCTTCGACAGACTTCTTGGTTTCTTGAAGCTTTTCTTCGCTGCGACCCAAAAGGACAAGTGCCTTTGGTCTCGAGGCCGCAAAAGCCACGGCTGTGGCCCGGCCAATGTCACCGGAGGCACCAGTAATCAAAACAACTTTGCCCTCAGTTGAGAGGCCAGACAAGGTAGGATCAATATCTTTATAGGTTTGACGATAAACCTCCTTTGTGTAAGAGAGGACCGGTGCTGACATTGTGTCAAAGGGTGTGTCAAATATTGAGGTTTTGTTAAATATAGTGTTGAGGGTATGATGAATGAAAAAAGTAGTCGTATAAGAAGAATTGCGAAGGTGAAGTAGAGACTAAAATACGGCTTGAAATACCAATCTATGGAAAGCTGGATGCCCTGATATTGGCAACACGACTCAATCTACCTACCTTTATAAGAAAGCGACAAATAGCATGTACCAGTCTTGTGCCTGGCCAACACACGAAAATGCGTCAGTGCTGGGACACAGTGTGATGTAATTGTGTTGGTAGGAATGTCCGACACGCACCAATATCTCCTGGTTACGTCGCATTAGTTTAGCAAATGGATCCTCTCGGTCTTTCTCGCAAGTGCGATGGTGCTCAAAAGTGCGTTGGCCGATGCACTCGGCCGCGGCCCCCAACAATACCGAATAGCATCCTTTTATCCTTACCCACCTAGGTATTTATCGTCCATGTACTTTTGTCCTACAGGAAGCGAGTCGCTTCGCTTTTGCGGCTGAACGATATTGGAAGAGGTATTCACGACATGCATAACGCCAATGTCTCAGTTGAGTGGCTTGCGCGCTATTCCGAGGGCACACAGAGTGCACACCGTGAATTTCAAGACGTTGTCGTGCAAGAGAGATCCAACAAGTATAGGTATATAGCATTAACCTCATCACATGCATATACGTAATGATATTGTCGATATACTGGCACTGCAAGTTCACATGCACCTTACATCGCGATACTATCTGCATCAAAAATACTGCCTCTCGGACTACTCTTTGCGAAATAGATTGCGTCGGACACCATTAAGGCCACGGGTGAAGTTGACCGCGTAACGTCTCTGCCGCCCCCGAGCCCATCGCTAGAATCGTTTAATGGATTTCGAAAGTTTTGTCGCCTCGGTGGGTGACTTTTTGGGGCCCCCCGATCTTGATGGATTTGATTTCGAAAACAAATATATGTCACCGAAGTGGCTTAACGACGTCTTCTCCATAACCCCCCAATCGCCCGCAGATTTTGTTCCTCCACCGACTGGAGAGAACAGGAGTATGTCATTGGAACTCAGAGCAACTTCCTCGGAACCACAAAGTTGTCAGAATCCCCAAGGTCTTTGCATCAGCCTGGCAACTGGCCTGCTCAAGTCATTGCATTCCAGTTCGCAATCATGCCTGTTAGGCATGGCCAACGAGCACACTCAGCCACCAATGTCTCGGGCAGTGGACACTGTCTTGTCCGATAACTATGAGGCTTTGCAAGCCATTCGTGGCTTACTCCGATGCCCCTGCTATTACACAAGCCCTCAGCTGCAGCTCCTTGTGACGACTTTGTGCGCAGAGGCCATCGCCTGGTACTGGCGCATTATCGACACTTATAGCCACTACCGTAGCACCAATATGGATAGCGGCAATCTAGTGGCCGAGAGAGTCGAGCTGTCGCGACGATCTTTCTTCATTGGTGACCAGTGCCTGGAAAGCCATTTGGAGGCGAAGCTAATTGGCCAAGTTATTTCCAGCAGGCTGCAGGAACTGGAAGATCTGATCGGAGACATTTCTTGGAACACGGAACAATCTGCAGCAATTACCAGCGAAACTAAAAATCACCCAATGTATAGTGCAGTGCACATCAGAATGGATGCTTTCCTCAATACTCAATTAGCTGCTGTTCGACGGGAGCTACTCAACCTACAAGATGACTCTCGGGGTTGTCATAAAGAGACTGCTGGTCAAGGACATCACACATCAACTACTAGATGAATATTCTAAATGCGCTACTTACTGTAAAAAGTATGAACATCGGGAATATAACGCGGATTTGACAGTGAGCAGAGAATTACAATAAGATGTATACCTTTGTGCCACAGTTGTAATTTACGAGAGGATCTTGATAATTGAATCACCAATAAAACCAGGATGCGAACTGGTTGACTTAAGCTGCCTGAAAAGTGAATCTGTGCTCTGCATCGATGTCTGTATACGGTTCCTGAGAGATTCAAACGGGAGGAGAATATTGACCCTCGAGTATTACCCCATTTACCTCGGAATGCCATGTGATTTACTTCCATCCGATATTCTATTCAGTATTCCACAGAAACAGCTGAAAAACACCTATTTAGCTCCCCTGCATCCTCCTCATATTACTCCCCAAAATAGCGCCCAACGCTGCCGTAAACAGAAGGTTACTATTTGCTGGTTGAGCTAAAGTCGGGATCCGAGGATCCTTGTAGCCTGCATATTATGGGGCGAAGTCGATGGGGCGAAAAACTTAGGGCACGAAGGCATCGCTGGATTCAGGATGAGGTTAGGTAGCTTGCGTCGGAATAGCCGTAGGCATAGCCTTTTGAGGTTTTGCATTAGGCTTCAGCATCTTGTTTCTTCGTTTCTCCTTCGGAAGCCGTATCTGAAAGCTCGTTGCCGATATCCCGACTAATCCTCACACGAGCCTCAACACGGGGGATCAAGACTGCCCCCAATAGCACTCCAAACCCCTGCCACAAACATGTTACGAAACTCTTTGTAGTTGGAATAGGCGCTTCTATTTCAATCATGGCGTAGAGTCATCCTTTTGTTGGTCAGGCATCCCTTCAACACGCGACAGCCTCAATATTGCTGAATAGATCGGAGCGGACGCCTATATATAGAAGAATCTTTGGCAGCATCCATATCTTAGATAAAATGCATAAATAAGAAAGTCATATATTCACTCTTTGATATCCATTTCCTTAACCATTCTTGAATAAGAACCACCATCAGTTGTTTTCTCCCGTCTTATTCGTTGTTTCGCCTTGAGCCGATATATGTTTCGGCATCCAACGACAGTTAAAGTGATTACTTTGAGATTATAAAACCGCTACAATGTATCGATTTGTTCTTCAACTCCTTGCAGTCGCATTACCGGCTGTTGCTTCTGTGGTCCAGACATGCAAACGTCTCGATGCTCAGATCCCAGGTCGTGTCTTCTACCCAGACAGCACGACATACAATTCATCAATTTCTTCTTACTACAGTGGTCAGGAACGCAACTTGAACCCTAGTTGTATTTTCAGGCCCACAAAAACCTCTGAAGTTTCCCAGTTTATCAAGTTGGTGACTGACTGCGGAGATACCAAGTTCGCTGTTCGAGGTGGTGGTCATACTCTCTGGACTGGCGCCGCAAATATTGACGACGGTATCACGGTTGATATGCGTTCACTCAATGGTTTTGATTTGAGCAAGGATCATAAAATCGCCCGTCTCGGAGGTGGTGCCATTTTCAGTGACGTCTACCCCAAGCTCGTGCCTTTTAACTTGACTGTCATGGGTGGTCGTGTCCCAGGCATTGGAACAGGAGGTTTCGTCACCGGCGGTATGTTTTGTACTAACCATTTTCAAGCCAACCGGAATTAACTTCTACTTAGGTGGTATCACGTTTTTATCACGCAGACACGGTTACAGCTGTGATAATGTCTATGGCTACGAAGTTGTTCTTGCGAGCGGCAAAGTCGTTTATGCCACCGAAAGTTCCTATCCTGACCTCTGGCTCGCCCTTAAAGGCGGCTCTAACAATTTTGGTATCGTTACCCGCTTTGATCTTGCCACTTTTCCTCTGGGAAACATGTGGTATAGCGACCTCAGCTACAACTACACCGATAGCGTATTGTTGGCTCATGCTAAGGCTTTCAGTAACTTTATGAAGCCTGTCAACTACGACAGTGCCGCTATGATGGGAGTATTCTTGTATTACACAGGTCAGGGTTTTGGTGTATCTGACGCTATGTGGTATGTTGAAGATGTTGCAAACCCAGCTGTTTACGACGCTTTCACAAAGATCCCCAACCTAGGTGGCACATCGGAGTTAGCCACCGTAGATAAAGTCGTGGAAACATTCGGCGAGAATCTTCCTGCGACCACCGGCCGGTATGTGTAAACTCTTAACATTTCGTAAGAAATATTTGGCTAATTTAATTACGCGTATCATTCCAGCTCATACCAACTCACCTTGACTTTCCAAAACCCCCCTGCTGCTATCTACACGGAACTATTCCAAATTTGGGAGAAACGCATCACAGCCCTCGCAAATGTCAAGGGACTATTCATCGAGTTCCTCTTACAGCCACAACCTGTCACTAATGGTACCAATATGTTTGGCCTCGCTGCTGGGAAGACCGACGATGTGCTCATCGATATGACGGCTGCCTATGATAACGAGTCTGACGATTCGTTAGTTGCATCAGTTATTAATGACATTGTAAAGAAGCAGCGGGCATTCTTGAAGTCGCGCGGATACCTCCTCGACTTTATATACCTCAACTACGCTGATATTTCACAGAACGTACTTAGCACCTGGGGTAAAACTAGTCTCACCAAACTCCAGGCAGTCAGCAAGAAATATGACCCCAAGGGTGTGTTCCAAAAGAAATCTCCTGGTGGCTATAAGCTCTTCAAGTAAATGTAGGATATGGAATTGTGTTGCAAGTACACTTTGAAACAATATGTATCACGGTTGTTGGATTAGTTATGTACGTTTGAAACTGTACTGAGTTAAATTTTAGACACGATAGTTATTTTTATATACGATGCTTTGGAATATGCATTGTGGTATCCCTTCCACAGACTTTGCAGTGAAGTTTTAACCATATTTGAATTGGCTATGAAATCCAACTCCTCCTACGATTATTACTTACAAACATTCCATATACCTAATGGTAGGAGATGACACGGAAAATTGGGGTAGTGATGGTAGTGTAAGGCTGTTTTGAAAAATTGGCCAAGCAATATAGATCGATTGGCGTGCCTCTTAACGGGATTTAAATGCTGGATTCAACAAAGTATCAAAAATTTGAATTAGTAAATTTCGAAACTGAAAGGTCAAAATTCTATCTTCTATATGAAAACCATCGTGGTCTTGCATTCTCAATCTGGTGCAAGCGGAGCATCCATCCTCCATCCTCAATCCTGAGCATAATCACAATCGACTATCTTATTCATGCTTCCTCGCTCCAGCCTAGTTAAACCCTTATGCCTGAAATATTCCAACTCACTTATTTAATCAGCCAGTTGACCAACTCCTGTACAGTAGCACACTCGAGGAAAATGGAGGCCTGGACCTCGATACCCAACTCTGCCCGCAACTTCCCAGACAGCGCAAGCGACATCAAAGAATCCACACCCAGCTCGGCAAAGGCGGCCTCACCGGCCAAATCTTCTAATTCCAGCCCGGTTTCATCCGCAATGAGCTGGAGACAGGCTGCCACTTGAGGGTTTTGTCCGCCATCTGCCTGTTTCTGCTTTTGCTTCTGCTGGGTAACTGGTGCTGCCGGTGGAATGGGATCCTGTAACTGTGCAGTGACAGCTGGATCTTGCCGTCGCGGATGCGGCGCTGCAGCCACTGGTGGCTTAACTTTGTCAGAGCCACTGGAAGTAATGCTGCTGCTGGTGAGAGCAGCAACAGGGGCATGACTACGACTCTTCCCTGTCTGGCCAGATGGAAACATGATGGGCATCAAAGCGCGCGGAACTCTGTTGAACCGGAGGCCTGCACACACACCCACGACCTTTTCACCACGCAATAGATATATATCGCCTGTAAAGGCACCGGTTTCACCTTCGACGGGAAACATGCGGACATAGTTGCGATAAGTGACACCAGGGCCAGGCTGGAGCTTCTCTGCCAGCCGGAAATGACTCCACCCCGGGGTGATGTAGAAAAAGTCGCGAGATGATCCAGCTGTTTCTCCGGTGCCTTGAACCCCAAAGGCATTCATGACGAAGCCAGCCAGCTGAAATGCGCTGTCTATCCAATGAGGAGGCGTATGCCAAGTGCCATGGCGATCGATATCCAAAACGACGTCCGCAGTAGCCTCCTGAGTGTCTGCAGCTAGTGCTACACGTTGCATGCCACGATATCGTTCACCATAGTCTACCACGTTTGCAAAGAGTTGGTAAGCGGCACTCTGAGAGAATGTGCTCACATTACTGTTCGCTGATAGATCCTCGCCTGCTGCTGCTTTCCAAATCGAATTAGCCCGCGCAGCAACGAGATGCGATGCTATCTGCCATTCGTCCTGCCAGGCTTGAGCGTTCTCATAGAAGACTGTTGCGGTGGCGAAAGCCTTGTCGGACTTTCGAGTTCCATCAGCGTTTGCCGTATACAAGTTTATTTGAGTTTGTCTTTGTAGCATATCCAAGGCTCCCTCGACTTGAATGAATTGCGCCGGCCCGGAAGTCGTGTTCTCATGTAGTATTTGCGCCTCCGTCACCTTCATATTCCTCACATCCATGAACGGCGCGTCAGCGTTTGGTACCGTGTGTTTGTACAAGTATTCGCCAACGGTGAGGGTCAAATCTACCCAAATACTCTAAAAAACATTGCGATTAGCGAGACATCAACAACAATTTGGGGAATAAGAGAGAGAAATGCCAATCATACCCCCGTCACGACACTGCGTCCATTTATTTTATGCCCACTAGCTGCTCCAGCCAAGTCGGGGTGGACCAAGTTGGACAGGACCGTCATCCGTCCTACAGACTCAGTAAACTCCTGGGAAATGATTTGCTGCGCAGACGAGGTGAAGAAAGACGGACACTGTGAGTCTTTGTTCTTTTCAGTGTTTCCGAGCCCGGTATGTGCTTTATCCAATGTCCATGTACCCTCGTATTGGATCCAGTAGTTCTTCTGGTTCCATTGATACGGTTCAAGGTGAATGAGGCGAAGAGATTTTTCATCTGAGGCAAAGTATTCATTCCACGCAACAGGCAGACCCAGACAGTGTAGCATTGCTAGACTTCCTGGCAAGGTAGAGAGTAGGTTATCTCCCTGCCGCAGCGATGCAAAAGTTTGCGTCGCCCCCTTCCCATAATGGTTGCGCACGAAAGAGGTACAAACGGGATGAAGTCCTATATCTATCCAAACAGTTTTATCATCAACAAGGCCTTCCGCTGCAGCAGCATCAAGCGCTGTGACAAAGTTGACAGGCTCGCGTGTGGCACGCCGTAGATAGGTCTCATTGATGATTTGACCCTTGGAGACGCATTGTCCGAGCAGTGGAGAGATAACTGGAATGGTAGGGGCTTTGAAAGTGACGCGCTTAGCTTCCCGTTCAAAGTCATCGAGGATGGGCTGTAGCTGTGCAGAATGGAAGGCAAAGGGGATATCGAGCAGAAGACACTTGAGGCCAGCATCTTGCAACAAGTCACGCAGAGCAACCATGTCTGCTTGTAGGCCACTAACGACGATGTCTGTGACCCCATTGATACACGAGACTTCATAATGGTATTCGTTCTCACTCTCTCTGCACAGTTCGGCTATACGATCGGTCGAGGCACCACGGACAGACAGCATGATATGACTCCCAGGCTCGCAGGCTGCCAGAGTGAGTTTGGCTCGCTTGCCTACCAGATATAGGGCATCTGCCACAGATAGGACGCCAGCCGCAACGAATGCAGCATATTCTCCCAGGCTATGTCCGATAACGATGTCGGGCTTAATACCAAGCAGTCTCCAATACTGTGTCAAGGCGATCTGTAAGACCACCAAGGCGAGTTGAACGACTAATGGGCTCTCGACTGTTACTGGCGGAGCGACTGTACTAGAGTCGTCAGTTGACGTCGGCGTCTCATACCCTGTCTCACTACCAACGCTAGACGAGTTGTTTGAATTGCCGTCAGCATTAAGATTTGCAGCATCACCGACAATAGTAGCAAGTACAGAGGGATATCCCAGCTGGCAGACAATCCGATCCAGCTGGAGAATCTGGTCACGGAAAAGGGGTGCATGTTGGAACAATTGTTCGGCAGCGCCCTGGTAAAAGCAACCTTGACCTGAGAAGGCAAACACTGCAGCCCTCTTCTTGGCTGTGGAGACATGTTTTGCGTGTGCATCAACATTTTCAGCAGCAGCTTCGAGAAACTCGCGGAGCCGGACAGTGTTGGGAACTGAAACTGCAATACGGATGTGATGGTGGATTCTTCTAGCACACGTCGTATAGGAGATGTCCTTCAGTTCTGTCTCCTGGTGAGCATCTAGATGGCGGAGCAAAGCGCTGATGTTACCCCGAAGCGAGGCTTTGCTTTTAGCCGAGATGCAAACTACTTGGTGGGTTGCCGCCTCTGACAAAACCTCACGATTGTCTCCTTCAGCGCGTGCCAACGGTGCATCTTCAAGCAATAGCGTCGTGTTTCCGCCATGAGCACCAAAGCTGTTTACAACAGAGTAGCGCTTTGTATTATTTGACTTCGGAAGCCAGGGGCTGTTTTCAGACATGATTCCAGCGTTTCGATTAGCCAAGTGGTGAGCCACGACTGGATTCATGGTCGTCTTGATGCCAACGTGACGCGGAATCGCACTATGCTGGTACATCAGCAGAACCTTTATCAATGAGGCAATTCCTGCAGCAGCTTCACCATGTCCAATATTGGATTTAACTGCGCCTAAATGCAGACGTTGCTCAGAGCGTCGGCGTTGACCCAGAGGCGCGAAGAAATCGAGCACTGATTCAGACTCAACAGCATCCCCAACCTGGGTTCCCGTGCCGTGTAGCTCAACATAGCTAACATCCAGGGGGTTAACACCTGCACTGTCTAACACCTGGCGGTAGTTGTCTTTCTGAGCGCCTGCATGCGGCTGAGTTATAGAAATGCTCTCTGCTGAATGATTTGTAGCACCGGATATTATAGTCGCCAGAATTTTGTCGTTGTCTGCAAGGGCATCCTCAAGCCGTTTGATGACTACAGAGCCGACGCCGTCTCCACGACAATACCCATCGGCTCCAGCATCCCACACCTTACACTGGCCCGTCTTGGACAAAAAATGCCCCTTGTTTAGCATACAGTAAATATCTGGATTGGTCTTTTTTTACAAAGTTAGCACTAACAATTCATCTCTCGGTTCCTATCCCACGACTCACAATAACATTGAGACCTCCGGCTATTGCCGTATCGACATCGCCAGCCCACAGCGCCGAGCAAGCCGCGTGAACTGCAGCCAAGCCACTCGAGCATGCCGTGTCGATGTTGAAGCTGGGGCCTTGGAATTTGAAGAAGTAGTTGATTCGGCCATTTCCGAAACCACGTTCAGTACCAGGAATCCCATAGGTGCCAATATTCTGGCTTGCGTTTACCTCACGATAGTCATCACTAGCTTGACCGTAATAGGTTCCTACCCGTGATACATGAGATGAAGGCGTCCGATTCGGTACGAAGCCGGACATTTCGAGAGCTTCATATGCCGTGACAAGTGCTAGTCGTTGCATCGGGTCCGTTTGTTCAGCCTGTCTCATTGTCTTAGTATTAGATGGACAATCATTCAAGATCAAATGTCGTGGTTGTATCTTACCTCACGCGGGGACATATTGAAGAATCCGGCGTCGAAGTGTCCGGGATTTGCTATGAAATTGCCAAATTTCGTCCCGATACTGTTCTCCATCTCGTCGGTAGGGTCAAAGTGGGCTTCGACATCGAATCTATCCGGGGGAACAATGGTATGTGTATCCACACCATTGATTAGGAGTTTCCAGAACTCCTGAGGACTATCAGCTCCGCCTGGCATGCGACATGCCATTCCAACAATGGCCAGCTTCGAGTTGTGTGGCGCACTTGAGATACCATGTGGTTGATCAAATGTGCACTCGTCTTGCATCACCCAATCCACCAGGTCCTCTCGCTGCACACTAACGATAGAGAGTTTATCTGTGACATCAGATATGATTGTGTCCGATATGAGCGATGTCCTGTAGTGAAAGACTTGGAATGAAGATATAGCTAGCTCCTGTTTATGCAAAAGCTGCATCACCACACCATCCGACAGCTTGTCAAAATACAGCGGCTTAGTTAAAGCTTCAGTGCAAATAGCTTCTATCAGATGGTATGCATCTGAAGCCGGAAATGGTGCTCCTGTGTATGGTGAAAGTAGAGGCAGCTGGACGGAACGTGAACCCCATCTCTGCCAAACTTCCGCTGCCTTGAGGATGGAACAGACATCGTTGAGATCATAGACATTGGAAACATGGCAGAGACCACCTGAGATAGGCAGTGCTGAGTGGCGCGATGAGCCGAGTATCTCAGACTGGGAGAAGATTTTCTCAAGGCGAGCAGGAGGGCCCGTGATGCCAACTGAAGCTTGGTCAACATGGCTAATGCTGATCTTAGTTAGAGGCATTGTTTTCGCTCCAACATCGCTCAACTCCTCTTGACCATTAAAGTGATCCAATTCCGCCTGAACTACTTCAGCTGGCACGCCAATCACCACGGATGCCCAGCTAACAGGTGATTTTGCTAGCTCTGTAGGCTCTGTTGGCTCAAGGAACTGTGAAATCCGGCCCACATGAACGCAAAAGGCAACAGCCATTCGCACACTCTCAACTCCATAATAGACAAGGTCTATGAGAGAAGCAGATACGGCTACTGCCGCGGCTGGGAAGAGGCCAACGCTGATGCCTGCCAAGCAGGTTTTGCCGATATTGTCTTCTGTTCCATTAGAGTATGGAATGTTATGTGCTTCATGGTATCTAATGTTGAACGTAGTTGTGGTCAGTTATTTTCATTCTTGAAGATATGGTGTGCCAAATCTTTGATTGCTAGGTAATAGACGACAATAAGGTAACAAATTCTTACCCAATAAGCATTGCAATTTCGTAGATGCAGAGGAAAGCACCCTCCCAAGTGCCACAAAGAGAACTACCCTTGAGCTTCTCCCAGTGGGACGCAAGCGTAACAACATCGTGAAAAGGCGGAACTTGGTCACGCAGTGGCCGTGGCAGCTTCTGGACTTCTTGCTTCAGGACCGCAGCGCACTCTTGCAAAAAGCGGGCAAGCTGAGAATATCGAGGCAACTTAGCATATCTATGGAGCCTGCGAAACAAATCCTTGACATCACCGCTTGGAAGTTCGTGGCTGAATAGGATAAACTTGGTAGTTTCGTCCACGTTGATGTTGTTGTCTAAACGTTCGATGCCGGGCTCAATAGAATTTGGGGGAGTATGGACAAATTTTTCGCTCATTGTCAATGAGGGCCGGCGTATTTCACCAGTGTGTATCAAAACGAGAGGTGAAATAAAAAATAAACAGAATTTGAAGGAAATATGCTGCACACAAAAGGCTGGTAACAGAAGAATATAAACAATCGGATTTCCTTGTTCGTAAATCAGAGATGGAGATGGGTGACCAGTCACAGATCTCAGGAGGGATAGTAAGGACTATTAATTGCAATTTGTCTGTTATTTGGCCTTTAAACTCTATTCTTGCTTCATTCTGCGTTTGAAAGTACTAGAGCAGAATGATAACGATTCCTACGTAGGATTGCTTGTGTTCGAGATGTCAGCCGAGGCGACCACTCGAGCCTCAAAACGGCTTCCCCGACTCAGAATCAATTCTCACTATGTTACACTAGTCCCAAGAGAGGCGACAGCCACGAGCTCGGAATCCGACTCGGTGGATTGTACTGTTATTCCCCGGGTCCTCCGGAAATCCATCAACAATGATCTCTAGGAGTCTGAAATACGAATGGGTTTGTATACAGAGACGATTGTCCCTCTCTCCTTTTCTATTTTGGGCATCATAAATATTCAGAAATTCGTCTCTTTGCCTATGAGGTAATTGGATAATTAAATAGTAGTATCAATTGACTAACTAATAGCTTGCACCTCTTGCAAACCAGTGCCGAGTCTTATCTGACCCTACCAATTTAGAGCCAACCTTGCCGTTTTCTGCCAACATGAACAGTACCTGGTTCAGTAGAGGCTTCAAAGCCGATTCGAATGCGGCAGTATCCTTAGAGACATCCCCATATAAGCGAAGGCCTATATCAGAGGTGGATAGGCCCATCCTATTTCCGCTTTGATCATCGCCGCTACCGCAGTCGCTCCCACTGCTGCTGCTGCTACTTTTACCGCCACTGCTTTTGCTCCCAGAACCTAGGACATCGGAAGAAGCTTGTTTGACCAACTCTGCGTAGACCTGCCGCTCCCTAGAATCTCTCTGAGCGATATAGTTCGCCATCTTACGTGGTAGGTCACGTATTACTTCTCCATGGCCAGGATAGCCAACAGCACATCCTAAGCTTGCCATCAAGCGAAGGCTCGCCATGTACTCTCCCAAACATTCAGCTACACTGTATCCGTGGCCTAATACGTTGTCTCCTGTAAACAATGCATTCTCTTCTTCCAGTAGGAAACAAGCATGATCCGCTGTGTGTCCAGGCGTTAGTACCGCCCGTATAGTAGCACCCTGAGTTTGGAAAATTTGTCCATTTGTAATGTTTTGTTGATTTTTGTCGGGTTGGTTCTTGTGCACTGCTATAGTTGGGTCGTGGACAAGGAGATCAGCAACTCCTCCTGTATGATCCCCGTGCCAGTGCGTCAGAAGAACATGAGATATTGATATGTCATGATCTTCAAGATACCTGGTCACATTCACAGCCCATTGAGGAAGACCCTATGCATATTCGTTGTTAGTACACTAAGTTCCAGTAAACAGAAGGAATATACGCCATTCACACCTAGCAGCACAAGATTGCTCGGCAAATAAAGTGTAAAGGGTAGATGGTTCCATAAGACACCATAGAAGGATAGCTCAAAAGAATAAGAAAGAGTTTACCTCTCCAGTATCAATTAATATTCTAGTATTTCCGGTGCCAACTAAGTAGGTGTTGGTACCCTGAAGTTGCATGTCTCCTGGATTACCAGCGAGAAATCGCACGATGCAGCCAGATATACCATCATCGACATCAGAAAGCACAGGCAGTTTGTTTCTTTGTGTTGTGAGGTATTCATTCCAGAAGCTGGACGAGTAAAATCTCTTGGGCTTGGTGGTTGAAGACATTGAGACGACAATAGCAGATAGTGACCACTGATTTATTGAGTGAATAAGTTTTTTTAAGACATATGGATAATGCATACAGAGAGATATGTGCATGAGTGAGAAAAGGGTATACATTTTGAATGCGAAACAGACCAAAATGATCCAGGGTAATAGCGGTGTGAATGATTGGCATTTGTGCTTCCCCAGAACTTCCGAGTAGCTTGAAATCTTCCTCAATACAATCCTTACAGGAAGGTGAGTTTTATAACGCCACTATTCCACATTAGCTACTCAATGGCAAGCTGGCGAATTACAAAGCAGCTCAGAATATGACCTTGTGAAGGTCCTCTTTACTGGCATGGCACTAGATTGGGCCCAGGCAGAGCTACTTACAGCCCGTCTCAATCGAATAAACCCGTCCCTTTTAACGCGTGTTGCAGTTGGGGTGAGACTTGACGCCAAGTGTTACCATCCAATCCGAGTTTCAGATGGTAATCAGAGAATGGCGGCTCTTATGTCAGACTGTATCGCTTTCGCATAATCATTGGGGTCGTGCAGCATGAAAATTGGAGGTCGGATTCCGAGAGAAAGCAAGGCTGTGAAGCGGCTGAAGATTTAACCTCCCGAAATCCTTCCGATGGGATGTGGGATTGATTGATAGGATGTAGAGGCAACGCAAAGGCCACCAGAATTACAGCATGTCAGCATCCCGACTGAATCCTGTGCAGCATCAATCATAACGGCAGCAGGTGAAAGTTGTCTCACTTTCGGAGTGAAGTTCGATTCTTTGGGCGAGAGCAGTATATATGTTTCCATATATCCGTTCATTCACATTCACCTTCGACAGCAAACACTAGCGCAGAATAAACAATCATTGCTTTTGAATTTCAACCTAGCGATAGAATATCCACCTTAAACACGCCGTTAAACGCTGACAAAAATGGCCAACATCCCGGAACAGTGCACAGTGCTGGTAATTGGTGGCGGACCAGCAGGCTCATATGCTGCTTCGGCTCTTGCTCGAGAGGGCATCGAAGTGGTTCTCCTTGAGGCAGAAAAATTTCCGAGGTCGGTATCACTAGATCGTATTTGATCCTGTATTTGGCCTATCTTACAAATCCACCAGATATCACATTGGCGAGAGCATGCTTCCCTCTATGCGCCACTTCCTCAAATTCATCGATGCCTACGAAAAGTGGGATGCTCATGGGTTCAATATCAAGGTAATCAAAATCCCCTGTGCTACTTAATCGCAGTAAATGATATACGGAGAGAGAGGGCTAGAGACAAGGAAATAGTATCGCTGACGCTCAGAAACAGAAAGGCGGTGCTTTCCGTCTCAATTGGTCTCGACCAGAAACTTGTAAGTCCCTAGTGCCATCCACTAACAATGGTTTCAATGTCACAGTAAGCGATAAATGAGTTGCTAAACAGATTATCTTCTTTCAGATACGGACTTCATCGCAGCTGGGGGACCCGGAGGCTACGCCTGGAACGTTGTCCGATCTGAGGCAGACGAGCTGCTGTTCAAGCATGCAGCGGAGTGCGGTGTCCAGACATTTGACGAGACTAAGGTAGCATCTATTGAGTTTGCTCCAGCTACCTCTGATGTTCAAAGCTTGGGTCGACCCGTATCTGCCACATGGACTCGCAAAGATGGAAGCTCTGGCACAGTTTCTTTTGATTATGTCGTAGATGCGTCAGGCCGAGCAGGGTTGATCAGCACCAAGTATCTGAAGAACCGATCTTATAACCAGGGTCTCAAAAACGTCGCTAGTTGGGGTTATTGGAAGAACGGTGGTGTCCACGGAGTTGGAACACACAAAGAAGGTGCACCGTATTTCGAAGCACTCAAAGGTATGTCCTGGAAACCACTTGGAATTGCCACTCAAAAGCTGGAAGGAACCGTGCTGACACAAGTTGTTGCTTTCTATTAGACGGTAGTGGATGGGTTTGGTTTATCCCCCTCCACAATGGCCATCACTCGGTTGGAGTTGTTCAAAACCAGGAAATGGCAGCCAAGAAGAAGCGAGAAATGACTGAACCATCTTCCAAAGGCTTCTACATCGAGTCTCTAGACCTTGTCCCCGGCATCAAGGAACTTCTCGCCAACGCCGAACTCGTTTCTGAAATCAAGTCAGCGTCTGATTGGTCATACAGCGCCTCAAAATACGCCTTTCCAGGTGTCCGTATTGCCGGAGATGCTGGGTCTTTCATTGACCCATTCTTCTCCTCAGGTGTTCACTTGGCTCTTTCAGGCGGCCTATCGGCAGCTACAACAATCGCTGCGGCTATTCGAGGTGACTGCGGCGAGAAGGCTGCATCATCTTGGCATGATAAGAAGACAGCCGAGAGCTACACTCGCTTCCTCTTAGTGGTCTCGAGCGCATTGAAGCAGATCAGGTCTCAAGATGAGCCTGTTATCAATGACTTTGATGAGGCGACATTTGAAAGAGCATTTGACCTTTTCAGACCCAGTATGTCAATTCTGTGCTATTCTGCAGTGATGTATGGATATTCTAACACTGCCAATTACAGTTATCCAAGGCCAAGCTGATGCTGATGCCAAAGGAAAACTGACACAGGCCGAAATTTCCAAGACGGTGGAGTTCTGCTTCAAAGCATTCGCCCATGTCTCATTCGAGGAAAAGGAAGCCTTGGTGAAGAAGCTCAAAGAACTTGGCCTCGATGGCGATGCTTACGATGAGAGCAACCGCAAGGCTCTCGATGAGCTTGAGAAGAAGCTGACACCCGAAGAGCAATCAATCCTGAAGACGCTGAAGGGACGGCGTATGGTCCGCCCCGAAGATTCACTTAACATTGACAACTTCACTCTCGATTCTATTGATGGTCTTGCTCCACGTCTGGAGCGTGGGAAGTTGGGGTTGGCTACTGCTAAGAAGGCAGAGGTCAAATTCACACGCCATGACCCCCTTTCATTCCTGAACGGTGAATCGAAGGCTGTGAAGAAGGCTTTACAAAATGGTCATGCTGAGTTGAACGAGAGAAGCGAAGTTCACAGCACCAATGTCACTAACGGAGATAAGCCTCTGAATGGACATACCAAGGTCGAAGACCAATCCGTTGCAAGCCTCGTGGCAGAACTTGTTGCTTCTGAGAGGAGCCTCCCCCAGGCATCACTTGATGAATCTAGCAGGCACCGCTTGATTTCGTCGTTGCAGGAGTCTGCAGAAGAACTTGAAACTCCATATGACTCTATGCTGCGCTTCCTCAATGCTGTAGGTGTATAGAGTAATGTAATTCTACTTGTATTGTTTTTATTACTAACGATACTGTCCAAACAGAGTCGGCAAATTGCCCTCATCAAGATCGGCGGTGACCTTGGAATCTTCAAGTGTCTGGCGGAGAGCAAGACACCTTTGTCTTCTAAGGAGCTGGCCAAGCCCAACATGGCTGACCCGACTCTCGTTGGTCGTATCATGCGCTACCTGGTTGCTAACCGTCTTGCCGCAGAGACGGCCCCAGATCAATATGTGGCCAGAAAGATGACGTACGCCCTGGCAGATCCTCAAATTGAGGGTCCCATGCGCTTCTTCCACGCCGTCAGCAGCCCTTCCTTCCAGGCTCTGCCCGACTTCCTAAAGGAGACTGGATACCAGAACCAACCACAGACTTCTGCTCTTCAAAAGGGCCTCAACACAGATTTGGGTCTGTTTGCCTGGTTGAAGCAGCATCCGGATCTGTTGAAGGACTTCCAGAATCTCATGGGAATTCCCAAAGAAGGTAACTGTCTCGATGTGATTTCGTTCGAATCTGCCGTGATCGGCGGCCACGAAGGTCCAGTATTCGTAGACATTGGCGGTAACACCGGCCATCAAGCAAAGCAACTGCTAGCCAAGTATCCCGAGTTGGCCAATCGAGTGGTGGTTCAAGATCGTGAGGAGACTATCAAAAGCGCTTCGGATGTCAAGGGATTCCAGCTGATGGCACATGATTTCTTCAGCCCACAGCCCGTTCAAGGTAAGTCTAATATTTCTAATATCGCAACCCAGTTAACTAATTGTGGTTAAAGGAGCCAAATACTACTACCTGCGAGCCATTCTTCACAACTGGGATGACGATAAAGCTTCCCAAATCCTGTCCAACATTGTACCATCCATGTCGACTGATTCACTAATGTTGATCGATGAGCTCGTCATAGCAGATCAGGGATCTCACGTCTGGCCTGCAGGCCTCGATCTCCAGATGTATACACTATTTGGGTCTTCCGAGCGGACGGCATCACAATGGGATTCTATTCTCGACCGTGCCGGACTTCGCCCTGTGGCAGTCAAGAAGTATGCACCGGTTATGGGAAGCTCGGTCATTTTCGCTGCACCAAAATTGTCGGACGCAAGCCTTAGCGGACAGAATTCTTTGGCTGATGCATATGTTTCTCAGTCCACCACTGTTACATGTAACTAAGATACCACAGTCGCTGCTACACTACACTTTAAGATATTTGCTGTGTATAAGTGGATGTTGGATGAAGCAAAACGCTCCTATCCGAAGATCAATTCGACTACCTGATGTATCTCTCAAAGAACAGACCAGAACAATTAGTTTTAGATAAAAAAGCCAAGAGAATATAGACTTTTTTTATGATTAAGTTAGATCCTCAGTCATAGCATGTATTATAGGAGAACTTTCAACAGCAGCATGACAACGGTTATACCCAAGACAATAGCACCGTCCATATATCATTCCTTCTCATCTTCCAAAACCGCTCGAAAAGCTTGGAACATATCTGACTTAAGATCTTCCCAATTTTCCAACCCAATGCTAACACGAAGCAGTGTAGGATCTGCGTCAGGATCTGTCATCGTCCTCCACTCAATCAGACTCTCAACGCCACCAAGACTAGTAGAATGAGAGAACAGCCTCAACTTGCTTGGGAATCTGCTAGCCATATTTCGAGATCTTAAACATATAGAAAACACTGGCCCGAAACCGTTGGGCATTTGAGATTTAAGCCATCCTTCCTCCAGATCTGCTGCCTGGAGAGATGCGTGGGTGACAGTGGCGAGGGCGGTCTTGATGATTTGTGATTCCGAATTGCCTTGCACCCCATTGCTTTCGTTGGATTGGAGGGTGCTGTTTAGCCATTGAACCAGCCTTGTAGCCGTTTCCTGTTGCTGCATGACTCGAAGATGCAGAGTTCTCATGCTGCGAACACCAAGCCAGCCTTCGAGGCTCCCCATCACGCCACCCAAGAAGAAGCGTTCTTTCTTCAACTGCGTATACCACTCTTGGTTATTCGTTGCAATGACGCCGCAGAGCATATCGCTATGTCCTCCAAAATATTTGGTTCCAGAGTGGAGCACAATATCAGCACCGTGTGTGAATGGGTCTTGAAGGCCAGGGGGGCCAAACGTGGCATCCACGACTAAGATGGCACCCCTTGAGTGTGCTTTATTGGCAAAATCCTGAATATTCATGGCTATGCCTGTAGGGTTGACTGGAGTTTCCAAGAAGATGACATCTCCTGCCTCAAGATCTTCTGCTGCGCAATCCAATGGCAGCTTCTTCATTCCATTTAGGCCACTGATTAGTGCAATTGTTCCATGACAACCTGGATATCCTTTGCCGATAGATATCTGTCGAGGTTTAAGGCAAACTAGTACACCTAGCAAGGCTGAGAGTCCAGAGGTATACGTCAATGAGGGGGCTTTGAGAAGAGAGGTAAGGACTGCTTCGAATCTAGTAGTATTTGGATTTGTCAGACGAGCGTAAACATGGCTTTTATCCTCTGCCTATGATGTATACGTCAGACTTCGATATGTTAAAAAAATTGGTGACTAATATAACTCACACTCCGAAGCCTTAGAGGAATGAGTTGTTCGGGATCGGAGGGAAACCTGAAGGTGCTTGCCACATGGAGAGGTGGTGCCACATCGTTGCTCACATCCAATTCATCATCAGCATGTAGGGCCAAGGTTTCTGGATGGTGCTCCATAGTAACTGCTGTTTCCAAGGTATGTATGATAAGAAAATAATACAAAATTAGTCCTTTGGAAAACAACGAGATGGAGTGCCGGGACCATCATCTTATATCTGGGTTGAGAGAAATTGGAGTACATGATGGGGGTCGCATCCTTCAATTCATCAAGTGCCGCATCTACCCGAGTTACTTTCTTTGAAATAATTCAACATATTTCGAATCTGCGGTGTCATGTCAGATAGGTGGAGAGGATTTTGGCCTGGAGTGTTTAGATGCAGCTCTAGTTCGTAGGGTTGCGTGATGCAAGTCATGAGTAGATTTCAAGGAATTTTATTTGTCAAATTGACCATTTATATTACAGTCTCAATTGTCAAACTTGATCTATTAATGATTTCGAAGAGATCGAGGTATTTAGCCAGGTAATTCACACTCATAATATGTTACAGCTCCGCAACATCCATGAGAATTCATAATAGTTGCAACAGAATCAACTGCCAAAGAAAATGGATCGATAGTGAGCACACCATATGGAATAATCATTATACATAAAGTAGACTCATGGATAATGTATCTCAATAACTTTCATCCGCTAGCTCCTACTCGTTACTCGCCAATTTCTTTCATCATGCTGCAGATTGACTGAAGTAGGAATTACGTCGGAAAGCTAACGGCTTTAGGTAACGGCCTGCGGTAGTTGGGAATTTCTCATATTTTGGTAATAATGCGCTCCCGAAATTGGTGCACGAGATGTGCCGGCTTAATCGGAAAACTAACCTTAATATATCATGCAAGAGCCTGAAACAATACCTATGATTCCAAATATCAGGTGGCGGTCAATATATGGTAAACTTGAACAAAGTCGTGGGCAAATAAGCTGCTGATGTTATAAGGGTTCTCACTCCACCGTCTAGATTTCCGCGCCACATTCTTTCTGTTTTGTTGAGTGCATGTATTTAGCCAGTAACCAATTCACAAGGCAATAGATTACTCAATCGGGCAACTTACCTGGGCAAAATATGCATAAAGCGTTTCCGAGACTACTTGGAAGCTGTTGCCTACGCCTGGCTTCGCGGACTGAATCTAAACGCCATGGCGGTAAAGTTTTCTTCATGGCGCTTTTTATCCCAATTTAGAGGCTGAATGGATCTCTGGGCTCTTGGCACTTCCGTTAACCTGGATCAAATACTTGTGTGGCTGTTAAACCGCTCTTGGTGCCTGTAGATCCAAAGCGTCTTCGCTTTGTTCACATGCGCTCGCTTAGCTCCCTCTCGTTCTGCCGTGGGTTCCGTTAATTAGTCCATTGAAGTGTGATGACTTCCCCTCTCACCTAACCCGACAACATTATAACACAAAGAATAACTGGAGTGACTATCCATCATCCATTGCCCACAATTACACGATAGCTAATATCTTCGGGGTATCAAGTGTTAAAACCCTTTCGTTGCCTAAGATTCATAGATAGAGGAAGATATCTACCTACTACTTTAGTAGGTGGCGATATTATCAGATATTAGAAGAAAGCTATGCAATAATTGAAGATAAAGGTGTTTTCTTCCACATCCCACCACGTATGAGATGAACTGCAATTATACCGGCTTAGACTCTGGATAGACACTCGAATTATTGACTCGGTCTGGGTATATACAAATGATATAAATGTACCAAAATGCTCCATCACCCCGCTAGTTCTGCTGGGGGCCTCAGCTCTTGATTCAGCTTCCCTCGTGCATCCAGCTCAGCCATTGTCTTCCCACGGCCGTCGAGCTCCTGTACTGGAGTCTTCACTGCGGCGTGAGTAGATGCTTTCCTCTGACGAAGTTTCCATGCCAAAAATGCAATCACGGCAAGGAGTATCACTCCAACTGCAACGCCAACGCCAATACCAGCTTTTGCTCCTGTGGATAGACCAGACGACTGATCAGATTGGCTCGGACTTGAGTTTGTTGGGGCAGCGCTTGTTGTAGTTGTTGTAGCAGGTGCTGTAGATGTCGCCTTCGTAGGTACTTTCGATGTAGTTGATGGGCTGCTAGTGTATACAGTACCAACAACCTTGTATACGCTCGCTTCATTATTCCATGTCGCCCATACTTGTGGGTTTTTTGGCAAAATATTGAATCGGCCAGCGCCGGTATCGCAACATCCATTGGTATGATCGCAGCAGTATGATGTGTCGGTGTTGGTAACATTGGAGCACGATATTAGGTCGGTTCCTCCAGTGTCGGCACCTATTATCAAATTCCATTCATGTCAGAAACAGTTATCATACATTTGCCATATCACAGAAATAGACAAAACGGCGAGAAGGGAGGAAAGAGTGGGTGCCATACTAAGACAGAAGTTGGCGCATTCGGGTGAGGACCAGTTCTTATCGCTGCAAGAACCTCGAATAATATTCCCATCATTCGATTGGCACAGCTTGTTCGAGAGACATGAGGCTCCAAGTCCTCCACCGCAACACGCACTCTGTTTCGCGTTGGGATCGCATGGAAAGTCGCTTGACGGGTTTCCGTTAGGGTAATAGCATTGTTTGATGGCTGCCGAGCAGGGGACCAACAACTGCAAGAATGTACCGATGAAAACGAGCGTCTTCATAGTGATATGCGCTTGGCAAGCCAAATGATACCCAAGAAGAAAACATTAAGGAGCAGAGAAACAGAAGTCTAAGCGCCAGCCATCCCGGCAGATCAAATATTGAGACATTCTATCAGCAAGCCTATACATCATCGCGCGTGTAACAAGAATCAGGCTAAGACACGCTGGAAATAGCTTCCAACTGCCTTGCAACATCTTGTTTTTGTAGCCTTTGCACACAGAAGGATTCGAGCTAATGCAGGGAGAGGCAGGCATAAGCACAAGGAGAAATTGAACAGTGACAGGGAGTGGCGATTCAACCGGCATCATCCGACTACCAAAAGAAGTCTTGCCATAAAATTCTAGTTGGTCTCTTTATTCTTCAAATTGGAGGAGAAGAATTTGACTCCCAATTTTGAACGATGGTGATCAACGGCCACTAGAAATCGCATCGTGTCTGTTGGCCGCAATGACGATTGTCAAGTTAAGCGCTGCTCAGCGTCTCACGGCTGTGTGCTTCGTAAACTCTCTCCAATAGGAACCAGGCTCCCTCTTTTAGGAGGCTCAGGTCTCAGTGGCCATGGAAGAATAGTCCCACCCACTTGCCGATCCTTTGACATGAGTTGTTCCATGATTGGACATGAGTTTCCTGCATCTGCCCATGTGAGTTTCAGCCTGAGCAGAATATCATTTCCTTAATCGAAGCAGATGCTAAAAGAGAGTAGCGACAGCAGCAGATACTTAGGATACTAAGTAGAAGAAAGGGGCCATAGTACATCTCACTGCGACACTTGAATTGCATGCAGTCACTGTGGAGGGGTAGTCAAGCTGGGTTGCTGAATATTATTAGACAAAAGGCATTGTAATACCCACAGAGAAAGTAATTACTATCTCTTCCGATACCGCTAGCAACGCATTCCGCAAACAGCATATAAATGCTTGATTTCTTGTTTGCGTACAAGTTATATACAATGATCTATTCCATGGTATAATTTTACATATCCTGATTCAGACAAATAAAGGCCGTTACTTTTTTCTTCTAAAAGCCGCTGTTCGTCGCTAGATTAATCTGAGATGATGATTTCTCTTCGTTACCGTCACTTGCCCCCCTCGATGTGCTACTTGTTGAATCCTCAGAAGAATTCTTGGATTGCGCATCAAGATCATGGGATCTCTTCTCTCGATGGACAGTGATGGCAGTCGTCATCATGACCCTATTCCCATTCTCAACTTCGGACGGTGTTGGCTTGTGCAGATTTTCGCTGCATCCACCTCTGGCATACGCGTGATACGAGCCGCCGCTAATCGACTTGGTGCTGCTGAAGGTATCCAAGACAGCTGAAGCATTGCTATTGCTGCGACCACTAGACGATGCGCTTTGGCCGCTAGAGTTTAATTCTCTCCCCCCGCTTGTCAGTTCGACGAGGCGATTGAGGACGGTGAACTCAAGCTTCAGCTTGACGCTGTAAGCAAACGGCTTGTATGATATCTGGTAGTCATAGAGGTTTGCAAATTCGAGGCATACAATGGTTATATCGAGGATCATGACGAGAATGTTGACGAGGATGAGGTTCTTTAGCAGACGACGACTCGATCGCTTGTTTCCAAGGCTACCTCCTAATCGTAATAGTTTAAGCGTCTCATAAATATAGAGGCCAGAGAGCATCATCTCTTGGAGAAAGAAGACAATGATTTCAATCCTTTCGGTGATCTTGTACGGCTGCTCGAAGATTTCTGGGCGGCTCGAGAAGGATCCGTAAACCAGCGGGATGACCATACCGTGGCAGACGATTCCGTTGAAGATGATGATGTATAGGATTATTTTCAGACGTTTTTGGTTCCTCAGCACTAGATGCAGTCGAGACCAAAGTACCAACGATTGACCCGTCACCATCAACACCCATCCCATGAGGCTGAGGGTACAGGAAAAGTAGCCCAGAGATGCAGGCCCAAAGTATTTGATGCAAAACCCAATGCAGGATAAGGCGATGCCGATCGTCGCCATCAAGAAAGACCAGAAGTATAGCCCAGCATATCGCTTGAAAGTACCCCAAATAATGCAAAGAAGTTCGAGAACGTTGTACAGGGCCAGGGAGAGGAAGACAATGATGATGGTCATGTCAGTCCAGTCGATGCCCTGGACACCAGTGCCGAAACTACGGAGTCGTATAGGAGGCGCCATCTTGGCATGGCAGTGCAGTGATGCTGATCGATCCAAACATGAGCGAGATCATAGAAAGATACTGTTTGTTGTTGCGTGGCTATTGTTGCCATGCATGGCCGTTCTGATGAATCGTACGGTCGTCGTTGCTTGGAGAATTGGGGATGAAAGAGAGGTCGTCACAACAGCTCATGCGGCGCCCTAACCGTTTGCTATTATATCCTACCTCATTTCGAGCACAAACCCAAACCACTGCATTGGTATGAGTGTGGCAAGTGGTTTTAGAAGAAACTCTATTTCAACACTTAACTATCTTGGATGAAGCTGAATAAATGCGAGTTTCGGCTACATCGACAAACATACTCGTGTAGCTGGACTAGCAGGTCGACAATACTTGGACTAGTTTTGAGGATATACCAAACCGAAACGAACAAGATCGAGGGGGTTAATGAGGCGCCAGTCGGTGTTGGTCTGGAACAAGCCAGGCTTGGCTGAGAGCCAAAGTCGATCTCCGCAGAGTGGGAGGAATTACCTAACTGACTTTTTTTGGCCGCTGACAGACATCCCAAGTGCCAAGCTCCTGTAGTTGTTGTGGCTGAAGCTGAGTGGTCACCAGTGAGCCTACGCATGAATCTAACTCGCTGGGACAACGTTTCGGCGCTCCTGGTCTCGCTGACCAAGCAAGCCACTGGTATCAGCCATATGCGAGACAGGCTTTTAAACGAGGGAGGTCGGAAGCCAGTCTGCGGCATCGATACGACACTGGGCTGCTTCAGTTCGAGGCTGAGCTTTCTCGGGCGGGGTTTCACCCCGTCTCTGCCCGCGTTACCGTCCGCGTCCATTTTATTACATGATTACATAGTTGCTGATGCACAACTCTGCGGATCGATCCCGGAATCGAGTTCAGCCACGAATTGCATAGTCAGACGCCGTCTTCGAACCCTCAGATAGTCGTTGCTGCATTTCCGTTTAAGCGTTCAACCTTTGTTCGTTTGCTTGAGGGCATTCACGAACTGGTTTCCGATTAGTTGGTCAACTGATGGCTTGTTTAAGATATTGGATACGTGATGATAGACAGTTTCTAGAACTGTGCCTTGGAAAATGACACCTTTCGAGCTACAACCCTGCGAGTAAGCAATTTTCACAAACTGTGGTGGCAATACAACAAAGCAGATAGACTAGCAAATTCAAAACGAGGTCACCAGCCACATGGCAGCAGATTGATATCAGCCACAGGACTTGTAGTGTGATTCAAGAAGTTACCGAATTGGGCCGAAGACCGAGTCAAGCAGCCACCTTCAGCTCCATCCTGGCTGGGCTGCCACGAGTCTGCCACGCTGAACAGCGACATGACAGCTCCAGGAAAAGGAGAAGTGGCAATTTAAACAATTAACCCTAAAAAAAGGTACCAGGAAATACTCCGTACAGACAGAAAAGCTTGCAAAAAAAGAACAGCCTCTTGGAGGCTTGGCGGATCTCTCCCGCCGGGAATTGAACCCGGGTCTCAAGCGTGACAAGCTTGCATACTGACCACTATACTACGGAAGATGTTTCAGGCGTTGCAGCGCCTGTTGTAGCGGATCACGTAAGCTGTTGAACTAATCTAGATGATAAAGCCTAAGCTACGGAAATTGAGTCTCTTGACATTAACTGCTATTAGACAGTAAACTCCTGTAGTTACAATACAGACAAGACGAAACGCAGACTATACACGCCCAACAACTCTAAAGAGAAAAGAAAAGATTCTAACTTGATGAAATATGAAAAAGTAACACGCTATGGAAAAAGGAAAAGAGCATCCATCTTTAATGCAGTCGCTTAATAGCACCGTCCTTCACATTTCCCAGCTCGCCCACAGACGACGCAATAAATCCAATCTCCATCAAATGCTGCACATTCTTCTTCACGGCTTTGTGCCATTGCTCATGCTCCGAGGATTCAGTAGCCAGTTCCTTGGCTGATCTTGGAGCACCAAGAGCTCCGAGGAAATGCTGTACGGGCCAAAGAGGGTGCTTATCTCCAGCTTCAGCCATGGCGACGTGTGCTGACTGTTTCCATTCAGCCCATGATACGGGCTTGCACTTCATATCCAGCTCTTCGTTGACCTTTTCCCAGAACACAGGAGTTGGCATACCACCAGTCACATGAACAAACGAGTCTATGGCATTCTCATGGAAGACTTGGCGCAGAACCGCAGAAGCAACACTGTCAACATCCGCAATGTACATCCAATTTTCCAAGGGCTCTACCGGGTAGGCATGCATCGCGGCAGCTCCTGAAACGACGCGCCAAATCAAGTCGTCGACGTTGGCGACTCCATTATTCGCTGAACCAATGATGCGACCGGGTTTGACTATGGATAGTCTGTTTTGCTCTCTCGGCAGGCTTTTTACAACATCTTGGATGACGCTTTCGCACACAAACTTAGTTTGAACATAGCCGTTCAGCCCATCAAGCTGTGTAGCCACTGTTGCCGTATGTTCGTCCGGGTCTGTCCTCAGCCCTCCCGAAACGAAGACAAATCGAGGATTGACTGGGGAGGAGGCTGCGGCATTTAGCAGATCAATAGTCGAGTTGACGTTTGGCGCCACAAGCTTATCGTAATCCGCATTCCAGTTGACCACGGCGCCGTTGTGAACAATGGCGTTGACATTGCTACGGTGGGTAGAGGTCCCCGAAAGTTGCTCCCATTGAGAGGCGTTAAGTCCTAGCTGGGGTTTGCCTAGGTCGCCGACCCAAACCTCAATCTTCTTCGCGTCGTGCTTACGCCACCATCGAGCTGCCTGGGCTGTTGTTCTGATTCGCTCTAACCCATGCTGTGGTGAATTGCACCGAACAAGTGCTATGACAGATTTAACTGAACTATTGCGCAACAGCTGTCGGAGAAGCTCCGTCCCTAAGAATCCTGTGGCGCCCGTGAGAAAGACGGCCGACTTCCTAGATAGCTTCATAACCGGGTGTTGAGTCAAATTAGTCAAATTGGAAGCTGAGAGGAGTTTGCTAAGGGATTTTATCTTCTCCATGAGATCCACGTTTGGCGTACCACCAGCCGTATCTGCGTATGCATTTTGAATGAACTTGGCCATATTGCTGACTGTTGTGTGTTTGCTATTCAGTATAGAAAGGCCCAAAGATACTTCATACTCATTTAGAATGGCTTTAGCAAGAGTGACAATGCGAATGGAATCACCACCCAACTGGTAGAAATTATCGTCCACGCTGATAGATTCTGCTGGCAGGTTCAACACATGTGCCCATTGGGACCGAATCCAACGCTCAGTTTCGTTGGAACAGTCGCGGAAGATCGTCCGCTGACCGGACAAATATTGAGCCAGATCATCAATAGACAGCTGAGCGGCTGTTTGCAGAAGCAACTTTCGATCAAGTTTGCCGGCACTGTTGTGAGGCATATTCGCGACTGGTATAACGTATGATGGCATCATGTGCTGAGGCAAAACGCGGCTCAGGTTGGCAAATGTCCGAGAGAATAATTCTCCCATAGTATCGTCTCTGGCTCGGAATTTGACATTTCCTGTCACACCGTCCGTATTTCCTTCGGTTCTGAAGCTAACAAATGCCGCGAGAGACTTTTCCTGAATGATGTCCACAGCAACATGCTCGAATGTAGCTTCCAGTCTCTTCATCTGATATTCAATCTCTCCCACCTCTATTCTCTGTCCCCGAATCTTGATCTGTGTGTCCTTTCTTCCAAGATATTCCATAATACCATCCTCGCCGTACCGAACTAAATCTCCTGTTTTGTAGAATCGTCGGAACCTTGTGTTTTCTATCGGTAGCCAGCTGACATCTTCGACGAATGAACTCCTCGTTTTGCTTTCATCTTTAAAGTATCCCCGTGCCAAAGCAGGACCTTGCACTAAAAGTTCTCCTATGCAGCCAATGGGTGCAAGTTGCTGATAATCATCAGGATCTACAATCCAGCAATGGTGAGCGAATCCACGCCCAATGGTTGTAGCAGAATCCGTGGGAGACGTGTAAATATGAGCGGAAGAAGCAATGCAAGCCTCTGCCGGGCCATAGGCGTTGCGCAGGTCCAGCTGTCCATACCACGTCTCAATGATATCCTTTGATGCAGCTTCACCACCAAGAATGAGCGTCTTGAGTGAAGGCACTGATTCAGGTGCAAGAGTCTTGATGACTGTCGGTGTCAATAAAGCGATATTCACTTGCGCATCCATTATGAATTTTGCAGTTTGATGCATCCGCTCTGTCTCAGTGGGTACGCATACGGTGCCCCCTGCTGTCAATGCAGCAAATATTTCTGTAATGCAAGCGTCAAACACGTAATTGGCGAACTGGAACCAGCGCGAGTTCTCATTAGTGTTGAATGCCTTGTGTTCACCCAACAGAGACGTGCAAATACCCTGATGCTCGACAATAACGCCTTTGGGTTTGCTGGTGGAGCCTGATGTGAAAAGCATATAGGCTGCGCTTGTTGGAGTAGCTGTGTTTGCGATTTTGGTCTTTTTGATACCAGATAGGTATGAAATTAGAGTTGGTGAGAGCTCAATCATAGTCTTGGTTAAATGCGCACACTCGGTAGCAACAGAGGAAGACACGATCATGATTTGAGCTCCGACCTCATCAATCAGTGCCTGTCGACGAGCAACAGGGTGGCTTGGGTCTAATGGGATAAAAGCACCACCAGCCTTGAGAATACCAAGCATAGCCACAATAGCCCACGGTGACTTCTCGAAACAGATTGGCACAAACGACTCTGGCCTGACGCCCTCTTTATTTAAGAAAATGGCGAGTTGCGAAGAGAGAAGATCGAGCTCGGCAAAACTAATGCTTCCTCCGGTGAAATAAATTGCTTTGCATTCTGGTCGCCGTTGAGCTTGTTTTGAGACAAGGCCATGGAGGCAGACGTCAGCAGGTTCAAGACTGGCCGCATTCCAGCGAATTGCCTGTTGAAGATCCCAGTGGCCTGTGACAGATATGCTTCCTAACACCTGCTCAGTATTGGAAAGCAGCTGTTGAATTACGTGGTTCAACTGCTCGGAAACAGCCACAGCTTGAGATTTTGTCATGCAGTTTGTATTGTACATGAGAACAATTTCGACTTCCTTGTCGTATACTAGACCTTGTACCACAAGAGGATAGTTGATAAAGTTTTGAATCCTATCTTCCATGTCTTGCTCAGAACTATCATCTATCAAAATGGCACCTGAATCTTGACTCTCTCTCATGAAAAATCCAGCGGGCTGGATGACAAGTAAAGAGGAAAAGTTGCAAGCATCTTTAGCATTCGCGCTTAGCGAGGAGATATTTGGCAGACCAAATTGCTCATGTGCAACCATCTCGGCGCTTTGTTCCTGAATGTTGCTAAGATAATTGAACACTGTCTGGTCTTTGTCAAGTTGAACACGAACTGGTACTGTCGCTAGCATAACTCCAGGCATTGAGTCTGCGCCAACAACAGGTGCGTTCCGGCCTGAAACAGTGGCACCAAAGCATATGTCGGTTGTATCACAATAGCGGGCAAGGACGATGGCCCATGCTGCTCTTATAATCGACGCTTTAGTAATAGACGTCTTATGATAGTTGGTAAAGTCCACTTTCTTGCTGACGTAGCTGGTAAGAGGATCATCAGAGGAGGTTGTGGTGGCGTTCGAAGGGAATGAAGCGCATTTGGCGTCATGGAGCTGCTCCAGCCAATATTTTCGAGCGGCATCACGATCAAGTCCCATAGTATATTTGACAAAGCGGGCGTACTGAGCCAAAGATTGTGGCTCATTTTCTCGATAGATCGAATCCAATGTACCCATGATACAACCCATTGACCAGCCATCGAATATGCTGTGATGCATAGTGAGACTAAAATAATTATCTTCATCGCCTCGTAGTAATGCATATCGAACTAGATTAGAGCCATAGCTGACACTTGTTGCGGACATCTTCTGGGAATAGGTGGATAAATCAACACCATCAGAAAAATCCCATTCATAACAATTTCGTAGAATGACCTGGATAGCCATTCCATCAACGAGCACAATTCTCGTTCGTAAATTGCTGCAGATTTCTATTGTTCTCTCCCATGCAGATTTGAATCGATTTATATCAACATGCTTTGGGAGTTTGTAAAGATTTTTCGCGATGTACGAGCCTGGCTGCGTGACGGATAACGCCATGAGGCCTTGTTGAAGTTGCGTGCATGGATATGCGTCCTCTACGAAGTCCTTATTGATTAGGCCACAGAGCCTAGAGACCTCTGACAGTAAATTGTCGTGTTTGGCAGGTGGCAAGAGGGCAAACGGTTCAAGATGGGTGGTTACGTTTAGCTGCCGGCTGCTTGCCCAAGAAGATAAAACTGATATCTGAGAATCCTTAAAGATGTCAGCCACAGTCAAGCTTATGCCAGCTCCTCCAGCAAGATTCACCAGCTGAATTGCAGTAATAGAGTCCCCGCCAATCTCCAGAAATTTATCATGCCGACTAATCTCGCGAGGGTCGATTTTTAGAATTTGTGCTGATAGATCCATTATCTTTTTCTCCACTTCCGTTGTTGGCTCAGCTCGTTCTTGTTTTGTGAGAGAATAGCTAGCCATCTGCTCTGTTGACAAGCCAGCGGCCAAATCAAGTAGTTTCCTGCGGTTCATCTTCATGGAAGTTACGAAAGGCATGTATCGAATAGGCAAGATTAAGCTAGGCATCATGTAAGGTGGAACGCGAGTCTTGACGTAGGCTCGTATAGTCTCCAATGATGGACGGATGGAATCATCAATAGTGAGAAGGAGGCTGCCTTCGGGCGTTCCGCCATTGAAGCTAACAAAAGCAACGAGAGACATGCCTGATTTGTGATGAAGAACATCTACGACGACGTGTTCAACGGTAGCGAGGGAGCATTTAAAGTGATACTCAATCTCACCGAGTTCAAGGCGCTGACCGCGAAGCTTCACCTGTAAATCTTTCCTCCCGACGTATTCAATAAGCCCATCCGGCGTATATCTGACTAAATCTCCGGTAAAATAGAACTTATACGGTCCGATGTTTTGTGAGAGACCTAGACAATTAAGTTGGTCGCTGAAAACTTTGCGAGTTTTCTCGAAGTCGTTTAAATAGCCACAAGATAACGTATGGCCTTGAATCACAAGCTCGCCAACGCATCCAATAGGAGCCAAGCCGCGGCGATCATCTGGGTCGACAATCCAACAAGCAGAGTTGAAACCCTGCCCGATAATTCTGTGCGAGTCGTTGCTTGATCGAACATCGTGCGTTGTTGCTATGACGCAGCTCTCAGTTGGACCATAAGCGTTAATAAGACGAACTTTACCGTGCCATATTTCAAGCAAATCTTTAGACACAGGCTCACCGCCGACAATGAGCGTTCTAAGCGTGGGAACTTGGGATGGAACAATTGTTCTGGCGAAAGACGGCGTTAGAAGGGCTTCGGTGGATCGCGACTTGGAAATGAAGGCTGGTGCATCTTGAAGACGTTCGGTGTCTGAAGGCACACAAACCGTTCCGCCATAAGCCAATGTCATGAATATCTCGTATATCATGGCATCAAATACATAGCCAGCGAACTGGAAAATTCTTGACGAAGGGCTGGTGCCAAGCACCTTGCCCAACCCAGTGATAGTGGTACAAAGAGCGGCATGATGAATAACGACGCCCTTTGGCTTTCCCGTAGACCCAGAAGTAAAAATCACATAGGCGGTGTCGCTAGTCGACTGTTTAAATACTGTATGTACTGACTTTAGCTTGGCAGTGGCTTCAAGTGCAGCGATGAATGAAGGGGATATTTCTACAATATGTTGAGCAAGATCTTGACAAGATGATGCAGAGCTTGGAGAGGTTATTATCACAGTCGCATTCGTCTCTTTGACTACAGCCTCTAGACGAGCACGCGGATGTGATGGATCAAGTGGAACAAACGCCGCACCGGACTTCAAAATTCCAAGCATCGCAATAATGGCCCATATTGACTTTTCGAAGCAGAACGGAATCAGCGTTCCGGGTGTGACTTTGAGAAGTCGAAGATGATTGGCTAGAAGTGCCGAGAGGTGATCGAGTTCACCATATGTCATTGATGCCTCTGAGGAAAATATGGCTTCATGCAAAGGGTTGCGTAGCGCCTGCGCAGAGATCAAGTTATAAATGTACGAATCGACGAGCTCAATATTCTGTTTGTTATATTTGGTGGCTTGCTCACGATCCCAAACACTAGTCAATGATATGTCCTCTAAAACTTGTTCGTCTGGCGAAAGAAGCTGCTTCACAACATGGTCGAACTGATGAGAAAGTGCTATAAGTTGATCACGAGCAAACATGCCTGTGTCATACATAAGCATTAAGTCAATCTCATCGTCGAGCAAGTTGCATTGGACTATGAGTGGATAATTAAAGAAGTTTTGCATCATTTGCTCGATATTGTCACCTTCGGAAGCTGGGTGTAATAGACTAGAGCTGCTACCGATATCTGTAAATCCCATCTGCTTTGCTGGTTGCACTACCATCAGACTGGAAAAATTGCATGCTTCTTTCGTTTGTTGGTTGATTTTTGCGATATTTTGAAGCCCAAATTGCTCATACAGCACCATCTCTAGCGCTTGAGATTGTATGTCTTGTAGGAATTGTTTTATAGGGCAACTGCGGTTAAGCTTTACCCTAATTGGAACTGTGGCTGTGACGAGTCCAGTTATCGAGGCAAGTCCTGAGACCGAAGCATTACGACCTGAGACAACAGAACCAAAGCAAACATCATCCGAATCACAGTAACGAGAGAGTACAATAGACCAGGCAGCCCGTAGGACAGTGGCTTTTGTAACAGAAGTGTTCGTCGAGGGTGGGATGTGAATTTTCTGCTCTAGTATTGCAGTAACTTGTTCATTACTGGTTGTGATTAACTGTTGCGTGAATGTTGCTGGCTTTGCTTCATGCAGCTGCTTTTGCCAATATTCCGCAGCGGATTGTTCGTCTATGTCTCTCACATACTTGACAAATTTCGAATAAGGCTCAAGTTTCGGCAAATCTGCTCCTTGGTAGGCCGCCGACAAGGTCTGCAAAGCTAGCGACAAACTCCAACCATCGAAAATAGTGTGGTGGATATTGAGGGCAAAAAAGTTTTGGCCATCATCTTGGAAGAGGCCGTAGCTGCAGAGGGCCGAATTGTAGCTAATATTGGCATTCTTGCAAGAAAGTTTGTACGATTCAAGGTTATCGTAAGAAGTTTCCCACGTAGGATTCTCTTGTAGCTGAATCTGGACCGGAATATTGTCTACAAGAACTATTTTCGTTCGTAGATTACTGCAAGCAGTAATAGTTTGTTCCCATGCTAGCTTAAATAATGGAATGTTGACATGAGGTGGGAGTTTAAATAGATGCTTTGCAAAGTATGAACCCTGTTGCAAGGCTGCAATAGCCATGAGGCCTTCTTGAAGTTTTGTACAAGGGTATGCATCTTGAATGACTTCCTTCTCTGAGAGGCCAAACTCCTTGCGGCGACCAATATCGAGTACTTTCGTCTTGGTCGAATGGCTAAGAAGACTAAACGGCTGAATCTTATCACTCAACTCAGTTATGGCGAGATCAATATTTATCGCTCTAGATGCGAGATAGCAGAGGCGTGAGTCTTCGAAGATGTGACTTATTTCGAGGTGGATACCAGCATCACGAGCTAGTGAAACAAGCTGAATGGCACCGATTGAATCGCCACCAATACGTAAGAAGCTATCATCACGGCCGATTGTCTCAGCGGGAATGCTCAAGATATTTGCCCAAATTGTTTGCAGACGGACTTCCATAGAGGTCTCGGGACTGTGCTTTTGAGTGCCATCTAACAGCGCAAATTGGTTCCACTGCTCATGAGAAAAATTGCCAATTATCTGGCGGAGTTTGACTCTGTCCAGCTTGGCTGAAGATATAAGAGGAAGATAGTTGAGAGGAATGAACAGCGTTGGGATCATGTACCGAGGGAGGGCTAGATTTAATGCATCAGCCAGCCCATTCAGCATGCCATGCAAGTCATCGGTCATAGTTATGAGCAGATCTTCGTCGTCTTGCTCAAGCATCTGTTGTGGTGTCTTGGTGCTGTCTGTAAAACATATGTAAGCAACAAGATGAGCAGCAGTTTCATTTTTAAAGACATCAACTGAAACCTGATGGGCGTTGCTAAGAGCGCTACGTATCTGATGCTCAATCTCGCCCAGCTCAACACGCAAGCCTCGGATTTTGACCTGCGTATCCTTACGGCCGACATAATGAAGTTTGCCATCAAGGCTGTAGTAACCTAAATCGCCAGTCTTGTAAAATCGGTTCCAGCTCTTAGTCGCGTAATTTGGCACCCAGTCAGGCAGGTGTGCTATTATTGCTTCTGATGTTCTCGTGGGATCTGAGAGGTATTCACGAAGCAGTGCTGGCCCTTGTACAACAATCTCTCCATAGCAACCGATAGGCGCCAAGCGACTTGGGTCGTTAGAATCAACCACCCAGACATAGGAGCCAACTGAGCGACCAATAGTCGTAATCTCTTCAGATGAATCCTTCCACTCATGTATAGAGCTGAAGACACAGGTTTCCGCAGGGCCCCAAGCATTAATGAGTCGAAGTCTCCCACACCAAGCGTCAAGTACTTCTTGTGGGAAGGCTTCGCCAACGAGAAGCAGAAGCTTCAAACTGGTAAAGTTCTCCGGTTTTAATGTTCTTGTAAATGATGGAGTTAAGAATGCCCATGTTACATTGGCTGAACGAACGAATTCATCGAGTTTACCATTCAACCTCATAGCATCAGAGGGAATGCAAACACAAGCGCCATGCATAAGAGGTGACATAATCTCGCCAACAGAAACGTCAAAAACGAATGACGAGAACTGAAGCATCCTCACGTCACTGGTGAGGTTCAGTCGCTTACTGATATCTGTTTGGCTTGTGCAAAGAGCTCTATGCTCCATAACGATTCCCTTAGGCGTCCCAGTGCTTCCCGAGGTAAATAAGATATAGGCTGCATCATCAGGAGTCACGTCAACGATTGGCATGCCATCATCAGGCTTGTCTTGTAGTTTTTTATACAGCTCAGGGCCCAGCACCACCACATCTCTAGTTAATTCCGTACATAACTGAGCATGAGCAACAGATGACATCGTCAAGTTAGCGTTAGTCTGCTGTACAACTTGCTGTAGTCGTTGTATGGGATGAGCTGGATCAATTGGTGCCCATGCCGCGCCAGCTTTGTTGATGGCAAGGATAGCCACCACGTACCATATGGATTTCTCAAAGCATACATGAATGATATCTCCCATACGAACATGGAATGCATTCACTAGATGTGAGGCCAGTCTATCAGTTATTTGATCCAGCTGGCTGTATGTCATCTCACCATCCCAAGCATGAATAGCAAGGGCATTTGGTGTTCGTCTAACCTGCTGCGAAATGAGAGTGTGAATGCAGCTATCAATAATAGCAGGTGTACTGTCATTTGACTGTATAGCAAACTGCAAATCCCACGGACTGGCAACAGATATTTGGCCAATCTGCTTTCCTTGCTGCCGGACTAATTGCTCTACCACGCTATTGAATTGACGCGCCAGAGCCTCCATCTGGGACTGAGAAAAGATCGCCGTGTCAAATATCGTGACAAGATCCACATGGTCGTTATAAACATGCCCTTGAATCACTAATGGATACGTGTAGTAATTTTGCAATAGGCTTTCTTGTGCATCGAGCCCATTGTCTGCAGCGGCCATAATGCTACTCAAATTACCGTCCTCAGCAACTTCTTGCATAGGCTGAATCAACATTAAACTGGAGAATTCGCAAGCTGCCTTAGCTTCGGGACTGATTCCCGAGATGTTCTGTAACCCAAATTGTTCATATGGTATCATATCAGTTGCTTGGCGTTGAACGTCTTGCAGGAAGTCTGATACAAGTTGCCCACGGTCTATGCGAATTCGGACTGGTACTGTGGCAACTGTTGGTCCGGCTATCTCTAGTAAACCGTCCAGTGATGCTTGGCGACCTGATATCGTGGAGCCAAAACAAACGTCGTCACTATCGCAATATTTCGCCAAGACAATCGCCCATGCTGCGCGAAGAATTGTTGCCTTTGTGATAAATGAGCTATTTGAGTGAGAGAAATTGATATTTGTAGTCAACGAGCCGGTTTGAGTTGTCCGTGTAGAACTGCTGGCAGATCTTGAGGCTGGAAATACTGCCGGTCTAGCGTTTGCAAGCTGTTTGGTCCAGTAAGCACGAGCATCGGACTCATCAATCTGTGATAAATGATAAATGAACTTGGAAAACGGCTGTGGAATAAAATCCGTGCGCCCGTGATAAGATTGATAGAAAGTTTGCAATATGAGTGGGATTGTCCACCCGTCATGGATTGCATGATGAACTGTCCACAAGAAGTAATTGTTGCCACTTTTATCATTTGTGATAGTAAAATTGGATAGTTGCGACGCATAAGACATTCGAAGAGATTTAATTTTCTCTACCGCATCTTCCAAGCTGCCGCTGGAAGTTTCCCATAGGTCGTCATCTTTAATCACGACCTGAATACACATTCCATCGTGAAGAACCAGACGCGATCGCAAGATACCGCAAGATTCAATAGTCTCATCCCAGGCTGACTTAAATCGATCGAGATTCACATCTTTAGACAGCCTATACACATATTTTGCGATATATGATCCTGGCTGTTTCAAACTTAGAACCATTAAGCCCTCTTGCAATTTAGTACAAGGGTAAGCATCCTCAACTAACTGGCTACCTGATAATTGAAGTTCGGCTGCTAGAGTCTTTCCAGTTACCCAGGTGCGTGCGTTTTTATCAAGTTGCTCGAATGGTGACATATTGGAGACTTGATCTTCCACCGTATCCAAGATTCTGGCTGTTGCAGCAACTGCTAGTAAACGGGGATCATCGAATATATTCTTCGCAGTCAGTAATATTCCATCCTCGCGTGCTGTATTAGCCAAGTGAATTGCCGCAATCGAGTCACCGCCAAGAGCTAAGAAACTATCATCGCGGCCGATCGAATCCATCGAAATATTTAGGATTTCCGCCCAGATTTTTTGCAGCAACTTCTCCATGGATGTTTCAGGAGCGCGTTTTTGGGTTCCAACTAGTGAATATAAGGCAAGATCCTGCTGGCATAATCCAGCTGTCAATTGGCGAAGCTTCTTACGATTAAGCTTTGTGGAAATAATAACCGGCATATAGCTGCATGGGATAAAAAGTGCTGGGACCATATAACGAGGTAATGCGACAGTTAGCTCACCCACGATTGCTGTCAAGCGAGACTGCAGTTTGTCGTCGATAGAGAGAAATGGAACATCGTCTGTGCCATTATCATCTTCGGCTGTTCTTATCTCACCACTCAGACAAAAATAGGCGACCAAGTTCGCTCCACCGTCAGATTTAAATACGTCGACTGCCACTTGCTTCGTTTCTGGAAAAGCAAGCTGAAAATGGTGCTCGACCTCACTTAGCTCCACTCGAAGGCCTCGAATCTTGACTTGTGTGTCTTTTCGAGCTGAAAATTCAATGGTGCCATCTGGGTTGTAGAAACCTAAATCACCAGACTTGTAAGATCGATTCCAATGCTGCGAGTCCCGATACGGAGCCCAGTCGGGAAGAGAGGTCATAATCGTTCTCTTTGTTCGGTCATGATCTCCAAGGTACTCTCGTAGTAAAGTCGGACCTTGGATAACAATCTCACCAATAGTGCCTATCGGGGAGAGCTTCGAGGAATCATCGGGGTCTACAATCCAACAAAAACCACCAACAGGTTTGCCCACAGTCAAAGCCGATTCATGAATGGAAGTAAATTCATGGAGAGTGCTGCAAACACAGGTTTCAGCGGGTCCCCAGCCATTGACTAGGCGAAGTTTACCAAACCAAGTGGCGAGTACATCTCGTGGAATAGCCTCTCCGGCTAAAATCATGAGCTTTACGTTGGGTATGTCGTGCGGCTTGATGGTTCGGATGAATGAAGGGGTAGACCAGATCCATGTGACATTCATATCACGTATAAAACCGGACAGCCCATTCATCCTAATGTGGTCTGACGGTATGCAAACACAAGCACCAGCCACCAATGCTAGAATGATCTCACCAACGGACATGTCAAACACATATGAGGCAAACTGCAACATTCTGCCTTCTGGAGTAAGGCCGAGCCTTTTCGCAATGGCAGTTTGGCTAATGCATACAGAAACATGTTCTATCAAGAAACCTTTGGGGGTGCCTGTACTGCCAGATGTAAACAGCATATAGGCCCCATCACCAGGGGATACGTCGGTTTTAGGGCATTCGCTGTCAAGTGTTTTTGAAGATTTTGCCAGCTTTCTGTCGAGTGATTCTGTGACTTCAATTACATTGGAGAATAGGTTTTTGCAAACGGATGCATTGGTAGGTGACGTCAGGAGAGTAGTTGCTTTTGTCTGTGAAACGACCTGTGCAAGGCGTTGCAGCGGATGAGACGGATCCAGAGGTACCCAAGTGGCTCCAGCTTTATTAATGGCTAGTATAGAAATAATATACCAAGCAGTTTTCTCAAAACAGACGTGTACAAGCTCCCCGATCTGGATTCCATAATTGTTGATCAAATGGTGCGCCAGGCGATTTGAAGCGCGATTCAAACTCGCATAAGTGAAGCTGCCATCCCATGCATCAATCGCAACGGAATCTGGGCGAATGGTAGCATGCTTCTCAATAAGCGTATGTATACAGGAATCAACAATATCGGGCAGTTCGGAATTGAGGCTGATTGCCTGCTGGATGTCCCAAATCGATGATTTTGGTATATCTCCAAGAACCATGTCTGTCTGAATAGCAAGCTGCTGAACAGCATGTTCGAGTTGGTGCGAAAGAGCAACTAGCTGCGGCTCTAAGAGGACATTTTTATTATAAATGAGCACAAGTTGGATTTGACTTTCGTATATGTGTCCTTGAACGATTAGAGGATAATTGAAATAATTGTGGAAAGCGTTCGCATTTTTCCCTTCTTCTGTAGCGACCATTATACTCTCATCGCCATCTCCAAGGAGAGATTGCATGGGCTGGACAACGAACAAACTCGAGAAATCACAGGCATCTTTAGCATCATTGCTAAGCTTGGAGATGCTTTGGACACCGAATTGTTCATACTGAATCATCTCAGTAGCATGCCCCTGCACATAATGCAGAAATTCCGAGACAGATCTGTTGGAGTCAGTGCGGAGCCTCACGGGTATAGTCGCGATGATAGGTCCTAGCATATCGACAAGGCCGGGTACCGGGGCTTGTCTGCCAGAAACAGTGGCTCCAAAGCAAATGTCTTCTGTTTCACAGTATCGGGCTAAAACAATGGACCAAGCAGCTCGCAGTATTGTGGCCATTGTTATGCTTGGGGTAGCTATTGTAGGGACTCCAATCATCTTGTTCACAATACCAGCATTATCAGGACTCGCGACGGCCGAGTCCAAAATAGTTTTCTTGGACGGAAATGAAACTGGCTTAGCTCCCTGTAGCTGTGATGTCCAATACTTGACGGTGGCTTCGTTATTCAACTCCAAGGTATACTGAATGAATCTCGAGTATGGCTGGACGCCAACATCATCGATACCGTAATACAGCTTTTGTAGTATGTTGAAGATATTTCTTATAGACCAACCATCGAAAACAGCGTGATGAAGTGTTAGGATGAAATATGTCTTTTTATGCGCATCGTCTCTGAGAATGGAATCGCGGCGAAGGCGAGAGCCATAGTTCATTTGAACCTGTTGGAGCTCATGCAGATACGCTTCCAGTGACCTATCACAAATATCATCCCAAGAGACGTCTTCTCTAACAATGAGTTGGAGAGATTGGCCACCCGACTGAACGATTCGAGTTCTTAGATTTGGGGCAACCTTAACGGTACGCTGCCACGCATCTTTGAACCTTGGAACATCTGTGTCGTCAGAAAGACGATAGATGAATTTTGCGATATACGAGCCCGGCTGTTTCACGGCCAGAGCCATTAAGCCTTCTTGAAGTTTAGAACATGGATATGCGTCTTCAATCTGGGTTTCGCCAGATAACCCAAGTAGAATCTTCGCTGAGTCGCTAGATGCGATGTTTTGGTGCTGTTTCTCTAATAAACTAAACGGCTGGATAGAAGCATCTTTAGTATCTTCTCTCAGCAAACACGCTCTGGCCGCTACCGCGAATAATCTAGGATCTTCAAACACATCGCTGACAGTCAACAGAATGCCTTGGTTGTGAGCGAAGGAAACAAGTCGAATAGCCGCAACAGAGTCACCACCAATCCCCAAGAAGTTGGTATCCCGAAAAATGGATTCTTGTGGAATATTGAGAATCTCACTCCACAATTTTTGAATACGGCGTTCCATATCAGACTCTGGCACGTCTTTATTTCCTTCCCTGTCATCCAGTGCATACTGATTCAATTCTTGCCTATCAAGCTGCTCGATCAATCCAAGTAGCATCTTTCGATCCATTTTTGCAGAGGTAGCCAATGGTATAGCCTTGCAAGGGATAAACAGCGCTGGTATCATATACGTCGGCAGAGCAGAGTTGAGGTGCTCACGAAGATTGTGAAACGGCCTCTTCAAGTCGTTTGTGAATGGAGATATAAGATCGGTTGGAAGGGGTGTGCCTGCGGGAATCGTATCGTCGTTAAAACAGAGAAATGCAACCAGATTGGAAGAGACATCTGTTTTCAGGACATCAACAGCAACTTGGCAAACCCCTTCCAATCCAGCATGAATATGATGTTCGATTTCACCCAATTCCACACGAAGACCACGAATTTTAACTTGCATGTCTTTGCGACCATGATAATGGATCGTTCCATCCGGATTATACATGGCTAAATCCCCCGTCTTGTAGAAACGACTCCAGTGTTTCGAGTTGCGGTACGGTGCCCACTCCGGAACTTGTACAGTTGCTGCAGCGGTTTTCTTCGTATCTGCTAGATATTCACGGAACAAATTGGGACCTTGAATAACAACTTCGCCGACTGTCCCTATAGGTGCTAGCCTCCTCGAGTCATTTGGATCGACAATCCAGCAAAAGCCACCCAACGGTCGCCCAATGGTCAATTGTGATTCTTCACTTGACTTCCATTCGTGAATAGCTCCATACACACAAGTCTCTGTAGGCCCCCAGGCGTTCAGCAATCGGAGTTTCCCAAACCATAGATCAAAGACATCCCGCCCTACAGCTTCACCTCCTAGTATAAGAAGCTTGAGACTAGGCACATCGTCCGGGTGTAATGTGCGAGCAAATGAAGGGGTCAACAAAGCCCAAGTAACTTGTTCCTGCTGAATATATTTCGTGATGGAATTCATCCGAGTCTCCCAGGATGGAATGCATACACAAGCACCAGATATGAGAGGGGTAATAATTTCTGCGACCGATGCATCAAATACAAATGAGGCAAACTGCAGCATTCTCACGCCTCGACCAAAGCCAAGCCTTTTACTGGCAGCGATTTGAGCGCTACACAGAGCACCGTGTTCAATTATAACGCCCTTTGGAGTGCCAGTGCTACCTGACGTAAAGAGTATATAGGCCGCATGCCGTGCTGTCACTTTAACACGAGGTTTGTTTTCATAGCAACGTTCGTTGATCAATTGAATGTTCAGCTGTTCCGTGACTTCAAGAGTTTTTGTGACCAGATCGGTTAATTTTGAAACGTTGCTAGGCGAAGTTAAAGCAAGTGACGCTCCAGTTTGACTAATGACTTGCTTATGTCTCTCAAGTGGATGAGAGGGATCAAGGGGTGACCATGTTGCGCCAGCTTTACTAATCGCCAGTGTGGCGACCACATACCAGGCTGACTTTTCGAAACAAACATGTACTATGTCTCCTATTTTGACGCCAAAGAAGGAGATGAGATAACTCGCAAGTCTATCAGTAATGGTATCAAGCTCCTTGTAGGTAAATTTTGCGTCCCAGGCAGATACGGCGGGCAAATCCGAATGATTAACAGTCGCTCTTTCAATGAGTGTATGAATGCACTCTTCAATAACTTGAGGAGGTTCGCCATTCGCCGTCATGGCGTAATCTAGATCGAAATGCCCTGCAATATTAACATCTCCAACACCTCGATTAGCAGACATATGCAGCTGTTGAGTAACATTGTCAAATTGAAACGAGAGGGTTCTTATTTGGGATTCTGCAAGCACACTGGCCTCGTAGATGAAGGCCAGTTTCACTGTTCCCTCTCCAAGGAAGCAGTGGAGAATCAGAGGATAAGTAAAATAATTTTGTAAAGTTTCTTGGGCAAGCTTTTCATCTGCGTTCAAGGATATAAGAACTGGATCGGATTCCTCGATTTCCACAGGTTGTACAACCATTAAACTGGAAAAGTCGCACGCTTCCTTGATCTGTGGGCTTAGTTTGGTAATATTATGGAGACCAAACTGCTCGAATGCGACCATTTCAGAGGCTTGAAGTTGGACCCTATCAAGAAATCCAGCCAGTTTCTCATTTTTGTCAATGCGGATACGCACGGGTACAGTGGCAATCGTCGCTCCTGGCATTGATTCCAGCCCGACTACTGGGGCATTGCGCCCAGCTACCGTTGTTGCAAAGCACACATCGTTGCTTTCACAGTATTTAGCAAGAATCATGGCCCAGGCGGTCCTCATGATCGTAGCTTTCGTGATGGAGCTACGCTCAGTCGCAGGAAGCTCAATATTTCTGACAAAGACGCTCGTCTTCTTCATGTCCAAGCTGGGCTGTCGTCGTGATGGTAAAGAAGGAAACGAAGCTCGCTTCGCATCTTGCAATTGATTAAGCCAATACTTATTTGCCGCCTTGGTATCCAGTTCCAATGAGTATTTGATGAAATTCCGAACAGGATATAGGATTGGCAGTGCGTGATTTCTCAGCAGCGCGGTCAGCGTTTTGATGATTACACCAAGACTCCATCCATCAAAAATAGCGTGATGGATTGTCCATAAGAAATACACTTCGCCATCCTCGCCCTCCAAAACACTATAGCGCGAAAGGCGCGATCCATAATCCATTATGATACGTCTTGAACGCGATATACAAGACTGAATGTCGGATGATGAAGCTCTATCCCAAGAAACATCACGATCCAAAACTACTTGAAGGAAGGCTCCATCAACTGACACAATTCTTGTTCGGAGATTGTCACACAGCTCGATTGTTCGTTCCCAAGCTGCCTTGAACGCGATTACATCAATAGAAGCCGGAATTTTGTAGATATTCTTCGCAATGTAAGAGCCGGGTCGGGTTGCAACTAGGGCCATAAGTCCTTCCTGAAAGGCAGTGCAAGGATATATATCCTGGATATTCTGGCTTTCTGATAAGTTGCACTTTTTTCGGATAATATTTGTGACTGAGTCTGTTGCTTCAAAAGGAAGTAAGCTGAATGGTACTAACTGAAGGTCTTTCTCGACATCTCCCGCAGTCACGGCGGCAGCCATTGCCGACAGCTTAGATTCAGCAAATATTGTTGCTACAGACAGCTTAATTCCTTGCTGGTTTGCCAGAGAAGAGAGTCGAATTGCTGAAAGAGAGTCACCGCCAATTTGGAAGAACTGATCATTCTTCCCAATCGTTTCAGCTTCAATCTTTAACACACGCGCCCACATGCTTTGCAGTTGCAGCTCCATCTCTGTTGTTGGAGCAACTCTCTCTCTCTCTGACAATGAATACGTCATGAGCTGCTCCATTGTAAAGTCCTTCACTGAAGCCTGTAATTTTTCTCTATCAAGCTTCATCGCTGCATTAAACGGTAACTCGCGAAGAGGTATGGTCAGCTTGGGTATCATGTAACTTGGCAGTTCTTCTTTCAGTTGATCAACTAATGTCAGGATTCGCTCGCGTATCGCCTGCTCCAGGGGAACAAAGTTATCTGTCAGAGGGTTTTTATTCCCTTCTTTAAAAGATACAAACGCAACCAGGAAATCTCCAGTTTCTCGTCTCAGAACCTCAACACCCACTTGAGCAATCTCTGGCATAATTCGTTTGATGCCGGATTCGATTTCACCGAGCTCCAAACGGTGCCCGCGAATCTTGACTTGTTTGTCTTTGCGACCGAGATACTCAATTTCGCCCTTGGCATTGTATTTCACCAAATCGCCAGTTAAATAAAACTGCTGAGGCCCGGATGAAATACACTTTATTTTTGAAAGAAACACTGCCTTCGTCTTCTCAGGTTCATTTATGTAGCCACGGCTCAGAGTATATCCTTGGACGACCAGCTCGCCGACGCAACCAATAGGCGCAAGCTTATTATAGTCATCTGGCTCAACGATCCAGCAGGCGCTGTTAAACGGTCGGCCAATATTTGTAGGAGTATCACTTATTTTGAATTCGTGCATAGTGCAACAAACCGTGATCTCTGTCGGACCGTATCCGTTGATGAGCTTAACATGTTTACACCATGTGTCCAACAAATTTCTGGTAGATGCCTCGCCGAGAAGAACCAGTGTTTCAAGCTGAGGTAGCTCCTTTGGGGTTATTATTTGCGCAAATGACGGTGTAAGAACCGCTGTATTGACATTTGCTCTCTGCATGAACTCGCCAGCGCTTTGCAGACGCTCCATTTCGGACGGCACACAAACGGTGCCACCAAACGCAAGAGTAGAAAAGATTTCTGTTACACTAGGGTCAAATGTATAAGACGAGAACTGGAGACATCTTGAAGCATCACTCCATCCCATAGCTTTTGCAAGATCTACAATGTTGGTACAAGCAGCAGAATGCTCGATAACTGTGCCCTTCGGTTTGCCTGTTGAGCCCGAAGTAAATAGCACGTAAGCAGCATTGCTAGGAGAATACCTCTCTGTTTGATAGGGAGTATGATGTAAAGACGTAGAGAGTCCCTCTATCATCGAAGATGATAACACGATAACGTTTTTCGCCAGCTTATCGCATGCTGAAGACGTTAAAGGCGATACTATTATTATACTAGCATTAACTTCTTCGACGATCATGCGTCTTCGATTTATCGGATGTGAAGGATCAAGTGGAAGATATGCTCCGCCCGCTTGCATGATAGCAAGCATAGCAATAATTGCCCAAACAGACTTTTCCATGCAAAACGGAACAATGACCTCTGGTCCTACTCCTAGATCGAAGAGGTGGGAAGCCAGAAGGCTGGATAGCCGATTAAGCTCGGCATATGTTAGACATCGTTCAGTGGAGAAAATAGCCTCTTGCTTCGGCCTCTCTGTGACTTGCATGGATATCAGGTCAGGAACGCGGTTTTCAATAATCGTTATTGGAGGATTCAATTCAGTGGCATGCTGGAGATCCCAAGCACCAGCTATGGCAATAGAACCAAGCTCGCTATCTTCTTGCTGACATAGTTGTCGAACAACAGCTTCAAAGTGTATTAATAATGCTTGGATTCTCCATTCAGAGACTACATTCTCGTCATAGATGAATTCTACTGCCACTTGGTCTTCCCCCAGATTGCACTGCAATGCTAGCGGGTAGCTGAGATAATTCTGCAACATTTTTTCATAAAGCTCACCAGCAGAATTGACGGATGCTAGCAGAGAGTCAGCAACATTATGTGCGTAAGCCGGCTGCACTGCCAAAAGGCTGGTGAAATCGCACGCCTGCTGAGTTTCCTTACTCAGCTTCGAAATACTCCGTAGGCCATATTGCTCAAACGGAATCATTTCGATGGCTTGATTGTGAATGTGTTGAAGAAATGATTTGATTGACTGCTGGCGATCAAGCTTAACTCGCACAGGTATAGTAGCAACAACTAAGCCAGGAACCGATTCTAAGCCCTGCATGTTGGCATTGCGACCCGAGGCTATGGTGCCGAAGCAGATGTCATTGGTATCACTATATCTAGAGAGCACAATTGCCCAAGCGGCACGCAGAATTGATGCCTTGGTGACCGACTGGTTAACAAGCTGCGGGAATTGTATGTTATGAGTTCTCACACGGGTCACCTTGCTCCGCGATTGCGTCTCCTCAACAGAGGGGAATGAAGCAGGCTGGGCGCCCTGAAGCTGAGAGCGCCAATAATTTCCTGCAGCCTCTCTATCTATTCCCATTGCATATTTGACAAAATGGACATACGGCATGAGTTTTGGGGCGGTCTTGTTGTGATATTTCGCAGATAGCGTAGCGAATATGAGCGGCAAACTCCATCCATCAAACACGCAATGATGAGCATTGAGAGCAAAGTAGAAGCCATCTCCGCTCTCTTGAATGATTGCATAGTGGCAAAGTCGTGACCCATATCCCATTGTCAAATTTTGAGATCCTCGTGTGTAAGTATCGAGACTCATCCCTTCAGCCGGATCCCATGCACCATCATCTTTTACTACGACCTGAACACAAATATCGTCAACCAAGACGATTCTCGTTCGCAAGTTGGAGCAAATGCAGACCGTTTCTTCCCATGCAGTTTGGAATATCATAATATCGACATCGTCTGGTAGTCGATACAGATATTTGGCAATGTATGAACCCGGTTGAGTAGTTGACAATGCCATGAGACCTTCTTGGAGTGAGGTACACGGGAATGCATCTTCTATAGTGGATTCTATTGATAGTCCACATAGTTTTCTCAACCTCTCAATAACATCAGTTGTGTTGATTATGCTATTCAAGAGATTAAACGGAGAGATCTGAGGCAATGCACTGTTGTTTCCATCAACCTCAATAGCCTTCAGCGATACTGCCCATAGTCGTGGATCATCGAAAACATCCTTGACAGTGAGTGACAAGCCCACATTGCGAGCTGAAGCCACAAGCTGAATCGCCACAAGTGAATCGCCACCAAGGTGAAGGAAGCTGTCATCTCGTCCTATCGACTCTGCTGCAATCTTCAATTCCCCTGCCCATAGCTTCTGCATGCGAATCTCAGCTGCAGTCTCAGGTTTTCGTGTGTTATTTGAGGCCAGGGAGTACTGGGCCAACTCATGTCGATTCAATCTCTGCGTGGTATCCCGCAACTTATTCCTGTCCAGTTTTGCCGAAGAGACAACTGGCATGAAACGACAAGGGATGAATACTTTGGGAATCATATAGGGTGGGAGTAAAATGCTGAGTTCGCCGATAATCGCTGTGACTTGTGATCGCATTTCTTCGGTGAATGGCAAGAAAAGGTTATCATTCTCAGTACTGACTTTACTGGTCGCGCGCCTTTCTTTATTAAAGCAGATATAGGCCACCAGTTGAGAGCCTGTCTCTGCCTTGAAGACATCCACGGTCGTTTGGCATACACTTTTCCAAGTATTTTGTATGTGATGCTCAATATCACCGAGCTCGACGCGAAGACCTCGAATCTTGACCTGAGTGTCCTTGCGACTAAGAAACTCCATGGTTCCAGCAGGATTATAATAAGCCAAGTCTCCCGTTTTATAAAATCTGTTCCAGTATCGTGATTTGCGATAAGGTGCCCAGTCAGGTACCATCGTAACAATTGCTTCGCTAGTCTTCTCCGGGTTACGTAGATACTCTCGCAAGACGGTTGGGCCTTGGACGACGATTTCACCAACAGTACCAATCGGTGCAAGTTGCTGAGGATCCACAGGATCAACAATCCAGCAAAAGGCGCCAACTGGTCGCCCAATATTAAGATTAGACTCGTCTGTTGAGTAGCATTCCTGGATGCTGCTGAAAACGCACGTTTCTGCCGGTCCCCAGGCGTTTATAAGCCTTGTTTTTCCAACCCACATATCAAAGACATCACGTTGAACAGCCTCTCCTATAAACAACATAAGCTCAAGATCCGGAACCTCTGCGGGATTGATTGTCCGCGCGAATGAGGGCGTAAAGTAGGCCCAGGTGACACGCTTATCACGAATGAACTGGGCAAGATTGTTCATGCGAGAAGCTTCTGAGGGCACACAGCAACATGCGCCATTAATAAGTGGCTGTACAATTTCTCCCACGGAGACATCGAATACATATGCGGAAAATTGCAGCATCCTAACGCGAGGCGTCATGCCAAGTCGTTTGGCAATAGCCACCTGGCTTGTGCAAACAGAGCCATGTTCCATTACCAGACCCTTGGGGGTTCCTGTGCTTCCAGATGTAAATAATACATATGCAGCGTTCCGTGGTGATACATTAACTTTTGGTCCTCGCGCGCTGCATTCGTAGTGTACGAGTTTCTCGTCTAAGCTCGAACACACTTCGACAACAGAGTCAACGAGACCGGCACATAGTGCTGAGTATGTCGATGAGGCCAAGGCAACTTTTGCCCTGGTCTGTGAGACGACTTGTTTCAGTCGTTGTTCTGGATGAGAAGGGTCCAAAGGAACCCAGGCTGCGCCGGCTTTGTTGATCGCTAGTATGGCAACAATAAACCAGGCCGACTTTTCGAAACATACGTGAACTAAATCCTCTTTTTGAATAGAGAGCTTGTTCACAAGATGATGTGCTAGCCTGTTTGACGCTCTGCTAAGCTCACTATACGTAAAGGTCTTATCCCATGCGCAGATTGCAAGGTCAGTTGGCCGTCTCAAGGCTTGGTTCTCAAACATCTGGTGGATGCAAAGGTCCACAATCTCTGGCACTTCGGGGTTAAATCTTTTTGCACATTCCAAGTCCCATTTTCCAGTAACATCTATTGTACTGAGCGGCCGGTCCGATGCTTGAAAAAGCTGCTGAGTGACATGTTCGAAGTGATGAAACAACGCCTCGAGCGCATCGCCGCTGATTGAATTGGAGTCATACGTTATTTGTAAGTCGACGCGGTTGTCATCAAGGAGAGTTTCAAGAACGAGTGGATAGCTGAAGTAATTCTGCGCGGATGGGTCAGACAGTTTATTCTCTGCAGCACTGCCGCGCAACAATATCGCGTCCTTGGATCCAGAATCCGCCGCAGAGGTCAACGACTTCGCTGGCTGAATCACAAACAAGTTGCTGAAATCGCAGGCATCTCTCGCATCTTCACTGAGTTTTGCGATATTCTGTAAGCCGTATTGCTCAAAAGGAACAATTTCAGATGCTTGTGCCTGGACACTTTGCAAGAATGCAGCAACAGACTCGCCACGGTTAAGGCGAATCCGAACCGGGACCGTAGCAATCACAAATCCAGGCATCTGGTTGATACCAGGGACAGGGGCTTGTCTTCCAGAAACAGTGGTTCCAAAGCAAACATCATCCGTATCGCAATATCGGGCCAAGACAATAGCCCACGCAGCTCTCAAAATGGTCGCCTTTGTGACAGGCATTTCAGCCGTGTAAGGAAACGAAATCTCTTTTGTCATTGCACGACTAGCCATTTCGGATCTTGCGCTCAGGTTGCGAGGAAAGTTGGCCCGACGCGCGTCTTGCAGCTGCGTCTTCCAGAAACTGCTCGCAGCATCCTGATCAATCGATGTGACGTACTTGATGAAGCTCGAATACGGTTGCAAGATGCTCGCTCCTTGGCCATGGTAGGTCTGGTATAAGTTGTCAAGGATGATGCGCGCAGTCAATCCATCAAATATCACGTGGTGGATAATCCAGACAAAGTATGACTTGCCATCTACATCATTCACTAATCCGTACTGACACAAACGGGTTCCATAAGTCATCGTTATGTCTTTGGATTTCGCTATGAACGAATCAATCGTTTCGTTAGCGGTGTCTTCCCAAGCTGTATCTCCCTTGATCACTGCTTGGATCGTTTGGCCATTGACGGGTAACAATCGGGTGCGAAGATTGTCGCAGCGATCTACCGTCTCTTCCCATGCTGCCTTGAACCGAGAGGCGTCAACATGACTTGGCAGCTCGTAAATCTGCCTCGTCATGTACGATCCAGGTTGCTTCTCCGATAATGCCATGATACCCGCCTGAAGCGCTGTGCAGGGGAAGGCATCCTGGATGATATCGTCATCCGTCAGTCCACATTTAGTTCGAACTTCTCTCATAATTGAATCCACCTCCATTTGTGGTAGCAAACTCAGAGGCTCGGCATTATACTCATCGTTGTGTGCCTCATCCAGGACTGCCATGGTAGCCATCTTTCGGAGTTCAGGGTTGCCAACAATTGCGGTGACCGTTAATCCGATTCCATATTGTTCAGCCAATGCAACAAGCTCGATGGCGTTGATAGAATCTCCACCAAGGACCAAAAAGTTGTCCCTTATACCAATATTCTGAGGTTCCAAATTGAGAACCCTACCCCAGAATTCTCGCAACACCAGCTCCGTCTCTTCTGTGGGGATTTCATCGCGGGGAATTCGATGGGTATCGGCACGAGCTGCTTGGGCTGCTATACGTGCCCTCTTTTCTTTCGGTGAAAGGCTGGATTCGTTCATATCCCAAGCAGTCAATAGGCGATAAAGGGCCTTCTCATCCACCTGCCCCTCAGAGGTGGTGGGAAGCCCGTCAAGAACAGTCCATTTCTTTGGAACTGTGAATTTTTCATCCGTGTTCTGATCCTTAAATTTCCGAAGGGCTTTGTGGGCTCTCTTGGTGATACTGGAGGCTTCTGCTTGCTCTTGTCCATCCAATCTGATCAGAGAGATAGCCACAACCCACTGGGGTTCATCGTTCTGCCATGCCAAATTTATGATTTTGGCCTGTTGGATAGATTCATCTTTTAAAAGCTCCCCTTCCATTCGGTCTCGCATTTCAAGGCTTTCGGGAGCCATGAATTCGTGTTTATTCTGTCGTAGTGAACTTTGCCCAAACTGCGTGGGTAGGAATCAAGTGTCGGCTTTGGGTAGCTTGCGATGGCAGGCGCAGCTACAACCACAATTGCTGTGGTAAAATAAATGATGAAAGAAGTGGATTTCCGAATCCCGATGTGAAGTAGATATCATATGAGACAAGCCAAGCGACCTGCGGAGTATTACCAGTGTTTGTGATGTCCACGGAGGGATGAGATTCTCGCGTGGTTGAAGGGCAAGCCACAAAGCCAACACAAGAAATGAGAGCAATCATCAGCTTGCAAGAGAGACATGAAGTGGGTATATTTGGCAGTGCAATTTACGTGTTGGTCTTGAAGGTTTCACATTTTTAATACAACTAGTTTGGTTAGTTGCAATAGTGTCTCTGGCTTCTTTTCGCCAACACAGATTCGTCATCTCACTATAAGAGAATCACGCAAAGAGCATTTCACATACTTCCATCCTCATCTCATCCCAAAAGAGTTCAATATTACCTGTACTTGGAGTGCGAAGCTATAATCAGTTCGAGCAATACAAGGGCACGTCCTGCATAACACGTGCCTGTGGAATGCTTGTGATCCGTCATATGCATCCCTTTTGTCACATTCCTAGACTCGCAGTCAGCAAATCAGGACTATTGAGGCTTTTCTCAAGCCAGTAGGTAATTTCCACGTCTAATGAGTGGCCTGGGGTGCAACCCAAATTGATTACCATGTATGCAAGGGGTGCCTTTGCGGATTCCACCCCAGTAAAAGGGAGATATCTCAGGTCGGGCCCAGCTTCGCAGTCCTTTATCAGGGAGGCTGTACTTGTATTTCAGTTTGATGATGGATCCGATGCGCCAGACAATGGCACAATATTATTGCAGACACAGAGGTTCGTATCCTTTTTTATCCCCATGTTCCCTATCAGCTGATAACAAAATGATTTTACGGAAAACGCGAAATGTCATTGAAACGTCTCAGAGAGTGTGGGGTAGCAATGACTCTCTCAAGTTGGACAGATGAGGCTCATAGGCTGGTCCCCGTACGTGTTATAGCAACACTCATTTTTGTTACAGTTCGCAAAGTAATATAAAGCAATTATATATCGTGGAATATATTCAAATATCTTTCTTACACGCCATTTTTTACAACGTACTACGTACAATGCGCATAGAGTAATGCGTATGCTGAGATTTAACTGAGTGCGTACGTACATATTCATGACCTACCCTAGAATCGCGAAAAGCTTGGTTGCAGCCCACTCGAGTGTCAGAGCGAATCTACAAGTAGATGCTATCTGTGAGGCGTCAATCTCTTTTCAACAAACAATACATAGATGGAAGCCCCGAAAGTGAGCCTAATGGCCAGATTTGTCGTCGCTCCATTATCATTTGCAGTGGTGAATCTCTTGATGTGTGTACGGAGTAATCCAGAGTTGGTTGGCTGTCATCTACTAGGTATATAAGCATGTAAGCATAAACAAAAGTCAAATGGATTCCATTTACAAATAGTATATAGCCCCTCAAGTTGACTGTCCAGTATCCCAAATTTATTACATAGTAGTAGGAATAGCAGATATTACAAGAAACAGCAGTAATAGCAGCAGTAGAAAGAGATGGCTACTGATAGGTACTCATCTATCCAGCTCTTCCGCCTAATTTCAAGCTCAGAGTCGCTGCAAATCTCGGCTTCTCCGGGCTGCTGCTCCCCCATCTCCATCTACATGCCACGAGCTCAGGTTTGGCATCTGTTATCAGAACGCGATCTAGAGCTTGGGGTCGTGTGGGGAGACTAGCAACTAGTCGACGGAAGACGAAAACAGCTCTAGAGTTTAGGTGGCCAAATGAAACCCCGGATCGTCCCATTCGTCATTGGCTACGTCTCCTCTTGTCGTCATCACTCATCATAGCCGACAGATCGGAGCATTAACCCGTGCTAGTATGTCCTTGGAATGATGGCGGGTGGAATCGTTTCACATGCAGATGGAGATGCGCGCGCCGTCAAGGCTCACGGCGATGAATAGCAAGACGCCTCATGCAAAAGATGCAGCAGAAGCAGCTGAAAGATGAGAACCAGCAGAGCTCCAGCTTCAGACTTTGAATGCAATCATCGTGAATGAATGAATGAATGTATGAATGAATGCTTCGCGAGATGACTTAGGTAATCTCAGCCTCAGGTCATAAGACAGCGTCATTTCCGTCCACGAAAGCACATGCCCAGCTCTAGCCGCACTCGTGGCCTTGCCATCAAGTAGTCTAGATGTAGACAAAGAACGACAAAAAAAGCTCAGCAGGCAGCAAAACAGCTTCTAATGAAACCTGTCCTCACCACAGCTGATATCAAAGCCCGTCCAAGAACGTGTTCAGACCACTATCAGTGACGCATCCACTTATTTTTTTTCTGCCACCTCAGAAGCCAATAGAACTCCACACCAGCCGCTAGCCAAACGAGCTGCCCGGCTTCTTCTTCCCTCCGTTTTCTTCTCTTCCCATCTGCTTCATCTTCCTCCAACCGCAACAATCTGCTATTCTGCGTATTCTACTGCTCTCTTATACCACAGACCGGGAATTCGACCTCGAAACTGCCTCGTCTCGCATCGCTGCCCAGCATCTCGGCTTTGTTTGGCTCTTCCGAAGCTACCCCTCACCACAGAAACCAGCTTCTTGCGCGCCGTCTTGAAGCTTCATCGTCATCGCTGCCTTTTGCCTAACGTCACGACCCCTCAGCTGGCGACGGCAATTAATACGAACGACACTATGGCTCCTCCTCCGCCAAATGCGAACCTCCCGCTACAGGAGCGCTTCTTGGCTCTGGCTCAGACGCTTCAGTGTACGTTGTTCAAACTCGGATGGTTTTTTTCTGCCGAACTTGCACGTGCATAATCGCTAACCCAATCCTCTTTGTTTGCATAGTCGCCTGGTTTGTCGGGTAAGATTCCTACCAATCTCTCAGCAAGCTGCACTTCAAGCTGCAGTTCAAGCTCTGCCTTGATCCTACCCTGTCTTTGGGCTGTTCCCAGCCTCTTCCACGCTGTTCCGCTGATACCCGACAACGACGAGCAAGAATCTGCATACATCACAAGCCGAATATAGCGTGGACTAGGGGGGGGCAAGCATGAATTGACAGAGCCGCAAGAATGACATGAGACATACGACTGACACTTTGTCCATCTCAGGCACCTGACTCTTATCCTTACTACCTCTCGATATGCGCTGTCATGGCTATTCATGAACTACTATAGCGGCATGGCACAGTTCTCATACCGGACATCGTTTGCCGCCGCGGCCCTCACGTATGGAATTGTCGTCTACAAGACACAGCGAGCTCGCGCAAAGACCGGAACCAAGGTGCCCAATGGCGCCCTCGGCCTCCTTGCTGACGAGAACGTCCAGTACCTGGGTAAGCCGTCTGGAGATGCTACACTGCTTGCATGACATTGTATCACTTGACTAACGCTTCAATAGCTATGGCCCTGATCTGGTTGTTCTCTCCTCAGTACCCCCTCGCTCTTCTTCCTTATTCCGTCTACTCCGTCTTCCATGTGGCCACTTACTCTCGCGCCAACCTGATCCCCGTCTTCAACCCCCCTCCTCCTACCGCAGATGGCGTCACTCGACCCAAGGTTAGCAACCCGTTGGCCGATAAGATTGGAAACTTTGTCAAGGAGTACTACGACTTCTCTATGACAGTTGTCGCCTACCTCGAGATTGCTCTGTGGGTTCGAGTGTTGCTTTCAGCCATCCTTTTCCAGCGTAGGTCGTGGGTTCTGCTTGGCCTGTATACCATCTTCATCCGAGCTCGCTACGCCCAGAGCAGCCACGTTCAGTCCGCCTTTGCTCACGTCACTGCGCGGGCCGATCACTTTGTTGGCGCCCAGGGAACCCCGCCTCAGCTCAAGCAGGCATGGGATGTCATCAAGAACATTGGTAGCAAGTTCCACGATATCACCGAGGTGAACAAATACCTTGGCGCTGGCCCGGCCAAGAAGACATCATAAACGACAAATACATCTTTTCGACATGTGCACGGCAACACGCTCGGATAACAGAGTGAAGTGCCTTGGGCATGCTGTGTGCGGGGCTTTTAGCGTTGATGGAATTGGAATTTGGTAATCCTGGTATTTCGTTCCTTTGAGGGCGAAGAGGCAACTCACATGCGGCAACTCGTCGCTTTACTGCGGCCAAAGCCTGTCGCTTGTGACTTTGAGTCTCGACGATATTTAATCTCTGCATATTTCCAACGTTGGACCGTGATCAGCTGGAGTCGACTATATCAAAACCTTTCCTTTCGAGTTTTGGAACAAGGGCAGGTCAACTGGGCGGCGGATCTCGACCAGCTATGGGTAGCTATTGGGAACTGGTGCAGCGAAAGGCTTCTCCTGGGTATATCTGGATGGGCTACTACATGGATGATTAGGAGCGGGACATGGATTTGGCATGCGGTGGGAATATTATTGCTGGCGGTTGTGGAAGTTGGTGTTGAGTTAATACTCTCCGTATTACAAAGTATCAAATACTACTTGTGTGTGTGTTTGGATTCCCTGGAGCAAAGGCTGCATGAATGATTCAGAAGAAAACATTGAACCTGAGCTTGAAGATGCCAAGAGAAATCGAGCTCGCGCACTGTGAGTGCGTGCTTCTGGGTTAATTGCTATCTTCTAGACTATAGTAAATTGTATCGCGAATTGCTTCACTTTTTCATTTCTTTTCCTTTTACAAAAGTTGATGTCATTGACAACCTTGATGTCATCCATTCTGGTGACGCCACTGTGGCACTAGCTCAAGCTGAGTGCTATCGTGGGGCAGCACCTCTGCTAATGACGTCCGTGGGTCGCCCAAGACACTCGCTAACGGCGCTGTACAGGTACCAGAACCCACTGAAACACAACGCCACTATCACTATCGCCATGTGCGTGGAGCCTGGTGTCAGCAATTGAATTCTAGTTCATGTGCCGCTGGATCAGGCTGAAGTAGCCGCTTGATCACGATGCCATCAACCAGGCAGCCCGACACAAGCTTTGGGCCTTGCATCGCCACAACGTCACGACTTCTAGATATTGCCTTCTCTCTTTTGTTTGTTTTCTCATTTGATCGGCAGTGGATTTGACGAGCCATCTCAGCCTCTATACAGCCTCTATACAGCCCGCGGTTCGCTTCTCCGCCGCTGGATTCGCCTCGGCTGGCTCTCCCAACACACCATCATGGCTTCGATCTTGCGGCAGATTGTTGCTGGTCCGCGGACGCGGCATCCAGAAGCAGGGCTGGACCTCTGTTATGTGACGGATTTCATCATCGCAACGTGAGTGAACAGAATCAATCGTCTGCAGCTCAAAGCATCACCTGGATCAACAACCTACACCGAGACATAATCGCTAACAATAGCTCTGCATATCCCAGATCCGGCCCTTCACAGACGTACCCCCAGATGGCCTATCGAACTCCTCTCGATCAGCTCGTTGATTTCCTCGATTCAAAACACGGCGAAGACTGGGCGATATGGGAATTCCGCGCCGAGGGGACAGGATACCCTGACGAGGCCGTCTACAATAGGATATGGCACTACCCATGGCCCGACCACCATCCCCCGCCATTTCGGCTGATTCCGTTGATCATGGCAAGCATGCGGAATTGGCTTCACGGCGGGGAGGCGTCGGACGGGCAGACGGAACACGACAACAAGCCGCTGCCACAGCCGCAGCCGCAATCTTCCAATCCGCCGAACGGAGACAACACTGAAGCTGTTCCTGAAGCTGTTCCTGAAACTTCTTCGGAACCAGCCAAGAGCGAGAGGAATAAGAAGAGGGTTGTAGTGGTTCACTGCAAAGCCGGCAAAGGTAGAAGTGGCACCGCCAGCTGCAGTTACCTCATTGCAGAGGAGGGCTGGAAGGCAGAAGATGCCCTGACACGCTTCACTCAGCGTCGTATGAGGCCTCAATTCGGCGCTGGTGTATCGATTCCCTCGCAGCTACGGTGGATCAGCTACGTCGACCGCTGGACAAAGGGCGGGAAGAAGTACACGGATCGTCCGGTCGAGATCGTCGAGATTCATGTATGGGGGCTGCGTAATGGCGTCAAAATGGATGTCGAGGCATTCGCAGACGAAGGCAAGAAGATTGAGACCGTGCATACGTTCACAAAAGAGGAGAGAGTTGTGGTCGAGGGAGATGCACCCGAAGGAGGTGGTCTGTCTGAGATAATATGGGATCTGGCAGGGTACTCAACCCAAAAGGATAAGGTTCCTGAGGCGGTGGAATATGCCGATGCAGCCAACGGCGATCTCAAGAAACAGTATTCCAGTGATGAACCCAAGAAAAAGGATTCCTTTGACCCTCCCCCCTCGCCCCCGCCCAGGCCTTCGGAATCGTCGATGGAGCAGATGCTGCGACGGAAGAGCGCCAAGCTGATAGAAAGAGTATCACCGCCCGGATCGCACTCCAAACTCGACAAGTTCCGAGCCATGCTTACTGCCGAACCAACCTCACCGACAGCTTCCTCTCCGTCCGAAGTCCGCACCGAGAGCCCTGATGAAATGGAGCCCGGTGGTATGGCTGTCATCTTCAAGCCGAAAGCCCCCATTCTCATCTCTAACAGCGACGTCAACATTGCTGTTGAGCGGCGAAACAGAACCCACAAATCGATGGGGCTGACAATGGTCACAGCCGTCGCCTACGTGTGGTTTAACGTATTTTTCGAGGGAAAGGGTCCTGAACAACAAGGCAAGGCTGACAGCCATGGCATCTTTGACATTGAGTGGGATGCCATGGACGGCGTCAAGGGATCCAGTAGGAAGGGAACGAGAGCGTTTGATCGCATGTCAGTTGTGTGGAGAATTGCTGAGAGCGGCGAGCCAAAGGCGGAAGAGGAGATTGTCGAGCCCAAGGAGGGCGAGCCAGTGCCACAGACCAAGGCAGCGGATTGGAAAGGCACCGATAATTCAAAGGCTTCGGGGGCGGAAAAGGATCTCGGGCTACGACAACAAAGCCCTCTCAGTGTAGACATAAGCAGAGCCAGCAGTATCAAGAGCATTGACGGAACAGTGAACCAGAGTCAAGGCCAGGGTGCGAGCATCGACAAGGACATGGAAGGTCTAAAGCGCAGCGGGCCATCTGGAGAGGACTTGGATGAGGCAGAGAAGAAGAGCTAAGGTAATGAAAAAGACTACATAAAGGCAAAAGTGGGAGCACGGCATGGTTGTTTAGTTTGAGGGCGACATGAGTTGTGATTGGGAAATACGGCATAAGAGATGAGGGAACATAGTACAGCAGCTTTGATACCAGCATGGAAGGGATTTTCTTTTCTTTTCCTTTATATGCCTGTCATACGCGGTTTCGTGAAAACAAGCATTTCATTATACCATGCGACGCTGTCTAACTGCAGGACGTATATATGCGTAACCAAACATTTTCCATTCAAGCGTGTTTCTCCCTCATTATAAAAAAAAATAACAATAAAAATAAACAATGACAGACACACAAACTCTCCCATCACGCTCACATTAAGTCGTTATTAGATACCAATAGACCAGTCATATCGCTGCAAAAAACAAAACATAAATCAAGATTCCGCTCCTCTTTCAAGATTTTTTTTCGAATAACTTGAAAAAACACTCTAATTCTTCTGTATGAAACCACTGTTGTAAACTCGTTCTTCCTAAATTTTCCTCTTCTTTTTTGTTTGTCCACACAATGCAAGAAGTCGCTTGGCTGATTGTAGATAGCTTCAAGAAACTACATCTATTGTACGAACACCGACGTAATTTAACGTATGCATTTATTCGAGTTAAGTAGGAAGATTTTCTCCAACGGACGGTGAAACAAGTCAGAGTTGAACCACTGCCATGGCCAGATTGAAACGTATTAAAATCGAGTAAAGTAAATGTCGGCGATATCGTGGAGTATAGGGAGGCAATGAAATCGCCACTCTAGTTGGGACTTGAGTGTTGAAAGATGTCTGATCAATCTCGATATAAATAGCCGCAGTAGCAGTTAATTATATCATCCATGCGTGGGGCTGATCAAAGCACTCATCCCACTCCGTCTTCCCCGAGGTCCAAAACCTCCTCATCGTCGCCAACGCAGCGCCGGTACACCCTCCCGTAAAGGGGTCTCGAACACCATTCAGCAGGTACATCTCCACCAACATCTGGTTTTCGACGGTTCCTGTCGCCGCTGCAGTACCGGCCACTACCACGGGCCATAGGATGTGGTCAAGCAGCGGTAGGAATTCAGCTGTGGTGTCGAGAAGATGGAAAAGGTTGGCTCGGTGAATCTTTTGCAGCTCTGCGCAAGGTCTGGACGGTGAGCATTGAGAGGTACAAGGAAGCGTCAAGGCGGCAAAGACGGCTACCGATGATTTAAAAAGGAGCGAGATGAAGAGGAGAGCGTTGGCTTTCGTCTCGTCCAAGGATTGGTCCATAAGTGGAACGGAATATAGGTCGATCCTTTCCAGTAGATGGCAGAGACTAGGCTCGGCAGAGCTGTCAGAGACTGCAGCCTCAAGCCGGAGGCGGTTGATGAGAAAGATTTCTCTAAATAAAGGCGCAGGGCAGTAGAACAACGGGGTGCTGCCGATTTCGTACAGGGCCATGACATCGTCGACGTCAAAATTGCAGGCATCGACCATCTGTGAGTGGCTAGGGCTGGTAGTGTTGAAGACAGTGATGCCACTGAAGGAGGTTGAGAAAACAAACGGTTAGCTTAAAACTCTTTCGATATCGAGCAAATGTACATACATGACGAAGCTCTGCATCAACAATGGGGTTGTGGAAGAGTCCATCAGCTTCCTCAGACCGCCGCAGTGTTTGATCAGCATAAGGTAGCCATCTGCATGGAGGCGCCACGACAATGAATTAGAGACGAGAACCTAAACCGCAAGTAAGTACACGTACATGTAAGCAGGCCATCTCCGCCAACTAAAGAGCCATTCCAAATCTCACCTCTGCACTCATCAGGTGGGCCATGCTAGAGAATATGTTAAAGACGTTTCCGGGGTAGCTGTGTTGAATCTCATCGTTGAGGGACCTGATAGAGTTGCCAATATGGCGGTAGAACTCCTGCCATAAATGGGACGCTGGGCCTGAAGTCGATGGCTCCAGATCCAGGCCGTGGATGATGGACACACACATGATGCGGTAACCAACAGCTATCGCAAGAATGCAGTGACGGTTTGCGTCTGTGAGAGTTTGTAGAGCTTCATTACTGAGCTCGCCTCCCCAAGCGGGATTCTGCACAATCTGCCTTGCACGCATCTTTGGCAGCAGCAGGTTGTTATCTAAAAGCAAACTTCAGTGTTAGACAGGGCGTACAACCGTGTACATGTAGGCAGCAGGGGTCATCCACTAGTCGCAAGGTCTGGGGTAAGCTCGAAAGGGAATATCAAGATAAAAATGCAAGTTGAACGGTGGAAAAAGGCAACGTACAATATTGGATCGCATCTACGAAATCCCACTGCTCTGGCCTCAGGTCTGGCGGGATGGGCGCCATATGGATTTGCCTGGCGCTGTTGGCAGAGCCGAATTGCGTCCTATTGGCGACGAGCTGAAGCTCCGAGTCCTTTCTGCTGAGCGAGCGTTCCCTATTATGGTCCTCATGATGGCCATCATCACTGCGAATAATCGTCTTCTTGATGATTGCAACCAAGCCCGAGGTCGAGTCGCCGGGGGACGCCTCCGAGATGGTGCCGGCATCGCTGCTCCGATCGCTGCCGCTGCTACTGCTGGCGCCGTTGGTTCCGTTGGTGCTATTGGATCTATTGCCGTTGATACTGTTGTTAGTGCTGTCCTTTCTCCTCCGCGGTCTCGGCGGCGTGCTCGCTACCGAAGCGCCCCGGTCCGGCGTCGACGACGATGCTCTTGTCGCGGCCGGGCTCTGCTTGAAGCGTCTGGCCGGCGCCGCGCTTCGGCTCTTGACTTTTTGAAGCCGCGATACCTTGCCCGTTGGCAGCCACGTGAGCGGCCTGTTGTTGTTGTAGCCAGGACAGACCATGCCGGCGTCGCTGCAGTTGCCGCAGATCGGAATCCTGCCGTCGCACGGCGAATCGCGGCGTTGACACTCCCAGCATTGCGGCCTTTTCGAGGTCATCTTGGCCGCCAGGTGAGCCGCATGCTGTGACGCCGGGGCGGCGGGAGATGGAGAGCGACGAGCTCTTTGTATCTGAGTCTCTTCGTTTTCAAACAGCTAGAGTTGGAGTCTTATGTAGCAGGCGCTTGACATTCGATACGATCCAAGAATGATGTCGCGGGGTGTGGCGTATGCTTAGCCCCAGGTGCTAAGATCACTTGCGGTTGGCTTCTGTCCAAGTCAGGTAATCAGCTGGATGCTAGGGGAGACAATGGCAAGGGGGGGAAAGGCGCTTCTACGGAGGAATGTTGGATCAAGCAAGACAAGTTCGGACAAATCAACAGCGACACGCAAGACTCGAAGCCGCGGAGGTAAAATGGAATAGGCAGTCACGAGAGCAAACACCGAATATGCAAGACAAGACGGGCAGAATCAGGGAGTTGGGATAAATGAACGATGGTACGGAGTACTCCCTACATGTATGATGCTATCAGTCGGGAGCGAGCCGCCATCCCACCTTTCTGCTGGCTCTTTTGAGCCGTCGAATCAAATCACCCTTTTTACCCTTGAGGCCTGAGCCCCCCTGGTGCATATTCACCCTGAGCTGGCTACTTCAGTAACTGCTACTATCATTGCAATATTTAGAAAATAGGAATATAGGATGCTACATAAGATAGCCAAACTTGGGTGCTTGGTAATACAAGGCAAATGTCTGAATGGAGTCTACAAGCCACAAGGCACTCTTTCACAGAAACTCCTTCCTCGGCTGTGCGGCCAATAAAGAGGATGGAATTTCTCCCCTCTGGCCGAGCCCCATGGCGCAGTGCATTGCTAGTGAGGGCAAGCTTACATGGAGCATGAACCATTATCAGACTATGTCTGTTTGTGCTTTTCACTTGAGCTTGATGCTCCCACTTGCACGACTAACCAGAGGCTTTCGTCTTCTCGTGAAATCCATCCATGCGTCTTGTCGGCGCTCCGATGGGATGCAGTAGCGGTGGTGCCATCACCAAAGGCCTCACTCAGTCTGTCACTCCAAGAACCCACTCAACGGCCTCCAGATGCAGCCGCCCCGATCTGGTCTCCCTCTCACGCTAAACAGAGCAGCCGAGAGCCGTCACCCACGGAAGCGCTACGGCGGATCGACGCCCCGTTGGCTGTCAACTCGTTGGCCTGTTTCCTCTCATCTGTCCGGTGTATGATCGGACCGACGGCTATGCAGGATGCCGTTCAATCACAGTGGGGGGTAAAAGTCTCTTGCCTGGTTCGATTTGACAAAAGATGGTAATGAACTCGGGAGAAAATGGATGGGTGTGGCATTGAGCGCGTTGTGTTATCAAGGGGTTGGCAGAGGAGTAAACGTGAAGCCTGATTGGCATTGATGCTCCATCTTATCTGCATCTGTTAAACTTTGCACAAAGTACGGAGCAGCCAGTGAACGGACTGCTTTCGGAAAGGCTAGGCCAAGGGATCGAAGGGGGGCGTTATTTAGTGCGGAGGACAAGGAGCAGGTTCATGTCGTTCGAGAGACTTTCAAGACCATGTTGCTCCTGTCACAGCCCTATTGGGTTAGCCACCACAGGTGGCTTGCTTCTCCTCTGTATGACATGAAAGAAATAGCAGGACAGGTAGTGGGAAGAGAGGAGAGAAACTGTAAATAATGATTTTTGCGTCTTTATGTATAAGTGACGCGCTGGAGCTGGGGCAACACCACACTCTCCCGAGGAGAGGCCAAGCCAAGGCCAAGCGCACACGTGCCTTGCAGCCGGCTGCGAATCAGCTACTACCCGTCAATCAAGGGCAAATTGATGATACCCCTAGATGTCCCATATAGGGTTAATGGCTAGCGATCCTTCAAACGTCATACCCAGACCTCGGCGACAAGAAATGTGGCGAATCGGCGAACATCGAGAAATGCGCCACGGACGCCTTGCTGACAAAAGAACCCAAGGAATTCATCCCACCTACCCTGGAGTCCCTCGGCCGATTTGCTGGGATATGGACAGTATGATCTGGAGAAGCTGTGGCTCTAGCTTTTTCAATACATCATATCTGCCTCTTCCGAGCAAGCCATAAGCCCGGACTCTCTTCTCCTTGTTGTCCCGGCTGACGGATGCTGGCGTCCATGAAATTAAGCCCATCTTGGCGGGCTTGCCGCTACCAATGTCTTGAGCCAATGATGTGTACATGTAATCTGGACACATGGAGGTGACAAGGTCAGATGGACGACCGTCCGAGAGCCTAATCGCAGCCAATTGTTCGCCTCACTCTTGGCCGGTCTGACACGGATTTTAGGCTCTGAATTGCCGTGGCAGTTGCGGCACGTTGAGGCAACTTGATTGATCCCCCAGATTGAGTTGCATGGCCAAACCGGCTTGCTGGGCCAAGCTGTGATCGATCGATAAGCAGCTGTCGGGCGAGCCGGAAATTTGTCTCCTTCCGAGGCTTCCGCACCACAGAGCCGGGATATATATAGTAAATAGTATAATATAGTATAATGCATAGTATTTGCACATGGCCATGGCCCGGGTCACGGCGATGGAGAAGAAACAATAAGCCCACATGCTGTCATTGCCGTCACAGGTCGCCGCCACGGACACGGAGAGGCCTGCGAACTTTGCACCTAGTCGGAATCCTGTAGTTTACCAACTGGCATCTGGAATTGGTATTAGTGCTCTTAGTAATGGCCAGTAATCACATCCTTGTCATCACAGCTGCGCGATGATATAATAAACACCAGGCCCCTTCCGCCCGGCTTCGTAAAAGCAAGCTGAGTGTACGAGTAAGCAACAAACCGATTTTGCATCGTGACAACCGCCCAGTGTCTAGTAATCTAGAATTGGGCACGAGACAGGTTTTATTCGCCCTTGGACTCACGGCTGCCAACCAACCGCCCCCCCTTTTCGTGCCCCCGATCGTCCTAGGACGGCATCCTATCGGGCTCCGAAGGTGCCGTTGCCGTCACTTGGATCTGTTCTCTGGCTTCTCCACACACACCCATTTAACCATCCGACAGCTGCTGTTCTGCGTTGAATCCTCCCTTGGCTCGAATTTTCGACTAATAGGCGCTGGCTGTTTTCTCTTTGTACTCCGTCAGCCCCCCTTTTAACCGCCGTGTTGGGTGTACTTGCGGACTTTGCCTTTGGCCTGGGCGCTGGAACTAGACCCTCCCTCCAAACGCTATTTCTTTCTTTTTTTCTTTTTTCCTTACTTCCGGAGCCGAGATTACCACATTCGCTCCTATCTGTGCGGCCAACAGCCTGTTTCTTCATAAAGCCATTCGGTCGCGTTACATTGTTTGTCTCTTGTGACGCCTCTTTCTTGTCTCGACGCGGTGGAATAGAGACACGGCAAGATCATCATGACGACCGACTATGAAGGTTCCGCCCCCGCGGGCCGAGTTCTGTCCTCGGGCTCGACCGCCAGCCAACAGGCGGGAATGTTTCCGCACGGTCACTTGGGCCACCTGAGCGCTCACCAGGAGGAGGCTCTGGAGCGATTCAAGGTGGTGCTGCAGGAAAAGGGCCTGTGGCGTCCTGGCCCTCCGGCGTCTCACGATGACCAGACGCTGCTGCGGTATCTGCGAGCGAGACGGTGGGTTGTGGACGATGCGCTCGGCCAGTTCAAAGACACAGAGGAATGGAGGGCGGCGAACAACATCGATACGCTGTACCGGACGATTGAGCTGGAGGCGTACGAGCAGAGCCGGCGCTTGGTGAGTCTTTGATATCTTGATATGTCGATTATATGGGAGCCCGTATGCTAATCAAATCTCCGGATAGTATCCCCAATGGACCGGCCGCCGTGACCGCCGCGGCATCCCCCTATACGTCTTCGAGATCCGTACCCTCGACTCCAAAACCATTGCCAACTACGAGAAGCAGGGCGCCAACAGCACCTTTTCACAGGCCAAGACGGATGGCAAGACCCCTCCTGGCCTGCTGCGACTCTTCGCCCTCTACGAGAACTTGACGCGCTTCAACCAGCCCTTTTGCACACAGCTGACGGATCGCGACCACGCCGACGTGCCCGTCACCATGAGCACCAACATTGTCGACATCTCCGGTGTCGGCCTCAAGCAGTTCTGGAACCTCAAGGGCCACATGCAGGCAGCTTCGCAGCTGGCCACGGCGCATTACCCGGAGACGCTAGACCGCATCTTCATTATTGGCGCGCCAATCTTCTTTAGCACCGTCTGGGGCTGGGTCAAGCGCTGGTTTGACCCCATCACCGTGTCCAAGATCTTTGTGCTGGCGCCTCACGAAGTCAAGCCTACCCTCGAGGCCTTTATCGATCCTAAGAACATTCCCAAGAAGTATGGTGGCGAGCTCGACTACTCGTTTGGCCAGCTAGGAATCCCTGATCCTGCATGGGAGGGCGTTATCCGGTGGGAGAAGGGACACAACTCGTTCCCCAGCGGACCTCTGCTTTGGGAGGACGTTCCGGGCGAAGAGAGACTGGCGTGTGTCCGTCTGGGTGCGGAGAACGGCAAGACGCAGCGGGAAGTCATCTGCACGCTGCCCAAGACATGGGGTCTGACCGAGAAGTCTTCGGATGAGTCAACTGCCACGGAGAGCTCAGCAACCACCTCTACAAACACGGCCGCCACGACGATCAACGACGTTTCTGAAGGTACTCAGACCTCAGAAGATACCCTTGACGACTCTACCCAGACCGACGGAGCCGCCGAAGCCATCGAGAAGCTGAAGATTGACGAAAAGGCTGAGACCAAGACGACCGAAGTGACCCCTATGACTGCTGCAACCGCCGCTGCATAAACGAACACATAATATACAACAACAAAGGCAAATGCATACCATACCATACCCTGTTTCATTTCATCATCTTTTTTTTAATACTATGGTTAGAGCCATTGGATTTTTGCATATACAGAATGCCTCTTTCTCAAGCTCTTGCGTCATTGTCGATTTGTATATCGCGGAAAGTTGGACAGGACACGTGCTATTCGTTTACATGGTGAATCTGTTGAGTTTTCTCAACTGAAAGAGAAGGAGAAATTGGACGAGACGAGACGAGACGAGACGAGAGATGCGAATCGGAAATTGGGAGTATCGTCCGGGTTGGGAATATAATCGGACTTGGAATATACCAAATATCTACGGAGAATAGTTGTTTATATTTTGCTTTATATACAGGCATGAATAATGCCCATGGGGTCTGCTTTATGGATATCATTACTTTTTGACTTTGACTTTTCCTTGACTGCTCTGTACTATATCTTGCTCTAACTGTGTCCTGTATACCCAATTCTGCGTACATCTATCCAGTGCACGCTCTATGTGCTAGAAAAGACAAGCCGCATCTACCTCTGTGCTGCCATCTACGCCTGTCCCGCCTCTTTATACCTCCTGCTCCTCCACAATTCAATCCCCTTTCCAATCTCCTCCCACGTTACCCCATCCGGGACCAGCTTCATCGTCAGGCCCAGCTGCTCCGTCTCCATATTCCTCGACTCGTCATCGAAAAACAGCATATCCTCAAATCGGATCCCTGTCCGCTTCTGTAGCGCTGTAAAGTGCTTGATTTTACTCCCAGGATATATCTCTAGCCCCCCGTCAAACACATCAATTGCAGGTTTCTTCTTCCCCGCCGCCTTCTTATTATTGCCGTCATTGTCTGCAAACGAGGACGTGGGGGGGACGTGGATTCCCTTGAGCAGTTCGCGAGCTAAGCCGGGAGCGCTGGTGCGCGACGCAACGCCTAGCTTGATCTTGTTGGGATGGTTGAGATATGGCAAAACAGCTAGGATCTCGGGCACTTCGCTGTAAAATGCAAATTCCTCGCCTGTGTTGTCCGTTGCACCGGTATGCGTGGGATTGATCTTCAGCGACCCTGTGACATGTGTGTCGACCCAAAAGGGCCAGAGTGTGTAATCGAGATCGAAGACAATGAGGCGCGGGAACGGCATCGAGGGATCACATATTGAAGAGGGGAGATCGAGGCGAGGAAAAGGAGAAGGAGTTAATGGTGCCGAAGTTGAGAATGAGAGGGCTGACGGCGTGGAGCTGAAGGTCGGTGTGATGGGAGTGCCGGTAGGTGAGGAGGCGAGGGAGAGGCTGGAGGAGGAGGTTGGAAACGATAGTTTTCGAGGCATGGCGAAGGTGTTGCGAAGATCAAGTTACGGAGAGAAGCAAAGACAGCGTGGAGGATTGGAAAACAATGGAGGGGCTGTTGCCTGCGAGATCGCGATCGCAGAATTTGGGTGTGGCTCTATTAGATGGGGAAAGTCTGCGGCTAGTTCAGAGCTTATGCCTAGTAGGGAGTGGCTATTCAGCATCCCGTGTCCCATATTTAATGGTGATGATTTGAGATAAGCGACAGTGGCTTATACTTGGAAACCAGAAACCTCAGTGCTATAATAGATAGAGAAGATATGTTCCTTACCAGCGTCCTACGATCCATGCCTGGGTACTCAAACTGCATGTTGTTGTTAGTATCTGGATATGTACATGTAACCATTCCCAACATGCACCTATTTACACTGTGTTTTCCGGACCTAAAACTGAAACCAAATCTACAGGGAGTGCACATAACAGAAAGAAACAATAAATTTATAACCACCGACGTTCGTAATTCTATCCTATTCCTATATGATCAAGAAGTGATATACCCCAGTTCTAATCCTAATTTACAATCGCAAATGCTACTCCCGAACCCCATGTAAGATGAATATGTCTGGTGAGAAATTGATGCGACAGGCAGCGCACGTCTAGGTCAGTCTGAAAGTGAGTCCTTGTATAACGCCCCCATCTCCGTCCATCAATTCCATGGTGCATCTGACCACTTCGTACTTGCTCGTTTCGTAAACCCGTAGCGAGTCTTCTTCGCTCTGGCTCTTCACCTGGTATGCCCATCCGCAGACTCTTGAGCCTTCGCTCGCGTCTACCAAGCCCAAGTATTTTTCACCCCATGTAGTGAGTCGGCCTCGACAAACGCAGGCTTGTCTGAATTCAAGGGTATCTTCTTCGTTAAGGCCAATGACGCGGGAGAGGATGCTGGCATTAGTAAGGGTGCCATAAAAGAAGTACCACACCGGATATTCGTTTGGAGCTGGTCTAGTGACTGAGGGGGCGGGGGATGAAGATAGAGAAGTCCAATCCAAAACACTGTTGGGTCGGAACTGTGGCAAGGTAGTGTCAACTCCGAGTGTTGGATAGAGACTGGTCGCGGACAGATTCTTTTGTGCAATGGATATGCGAATTAATGTTGGCTGGCGTGCTTTTGGAAGAGCGCTTAGAAGTTCCGCCTTCTCACTACAGGTCAAGAGACAGAACATGATCTTGTTTCCATCATCATCGATGCCAGTGAGAATGTTTGGCTTCGTATGAAGGCGGCGAATTAATTCAGCGCTTTCCAAGAACCGGCCAGAGTTGCATTCCAGCTTGAGAAGATACTGGGCATCTTCATTCTTGACCATTGCACCGTTCTTTGATGCGAATTCCCTTTTGGCCATGAATATGCTATATTCATATGACTCCTTGTTGAATCCCTGGGCTACTTTTGCGTCTTTGACGGTGAGCCATGACTCCTGAGACATTGTTGGACGAGCGAGATCGGCTCTCCAGTCCCGAATAGCATCGGCTGCTTCGTTGAGCGAGAAGCCGAATAGTTTTTGCCACATTGACTGGTCGGATTCAGTGACATGAGAGAAACCGTCAACGGCGTCATTAGCTGCAATGCTGGCAGCAAGGTCTTCACATGCTTTGAGGAATTCCATCGTTGATGTAAGCTTTCTTGGGAAATTTGGTCGTATTTGATGTCCGTTTGCCGTTAAGGTAGGTAAAACAAGATGCGTCTTGCGTCTGGCAGAAGTGAGCGATATGAGAAAAGATTTCGCAACTCTAAGGAAGGTGAATCGCGCTTTATATAGATTGCGAAGATGGGAGAAACAAAATAAAGAAACCGCCCCCAAAAGTATCGGGCAAATGGGTGAAGCTTATTCTTATACATCGAAGTTTACCAGGCTATCGCATTGTATTTAATGGAGAAAATAGTGCTCTAATGTACAAAGGGTTTCTTAAGGTTGCTACCAAATTGAGGCTTCTCAGCCACGCCGCACTCCACAGTGATTGGTCTTTTTGCAATATATACAAAATGTTCACGTAGGTGGGTACTTGGATAGATCTACGATATTATTTGCTGATTCATCTTAAAATAGAGTTGCGTACCTGTCTGTTTAGAGCGATATAGTGATCGTGCTTCCTCTTTTTAGACATTTGAGGAGTAAGAAGGCTTGAGCTGGCTTAATTGCCATTGCTCCTAGATATAACTATTGATGAAAACAGTGCAACTCAAAAGGTATGGAATTAGTGCCTGCGAACTGATGATATGCAGAACTAGTTCATGAGATCCGCTTCCTTTCATCATGAGAGCGGGCAGACTAGGTCTATATACTATAGCGCCGGGTCGTATCTTCTGCTATGGCAGATTTTGGCTCACACATCTTAATAATTGGTAAAAAACACAAGCGATGAGAACGAGAGAGAGGGTTAAAGGTGCTGTAGCACCCAGTGTAACATGGATAACTTGAAGGAATAGCTACCCAGCATCCCATGTCCCGATTTTGAGGGTACATGTGCTGGTATCAGATACTAGAGGGAGATAGCGATAGTAGCGGATACGAGAAGAATATATCTATAGTAGCAGATGCCGAGCAGGAAAAGGTACCCTCCTGAAGGAATGCCGAGATGTTGCATAGCTATTCCCTATATCGATGCTACAGCTCGCTGAAGAACGGCATTGAAGTTGATTGACATTTGAAAGCAGGCTAATTAAAGCTACAAGAACCTACTCTTGATACCTAGAAGAGCTGCGGAAAGTTCAAGCATCTGAACCTGGATGCTTCAAACTACGAGCCCTAGTTAGTGGCAGTCTTCTAGCGTGGAGCGTACCTCAACCAGCAGCCGCATAACCGCCACACGCCCCAAACTAGGGCGATCCAGCTTCTCCATGACCTTCAACCATTTTATAGACTAAACAGAACTTCAAATGGCCAGGATCGTGTTTCTAGCTGCCGAGTGTCATGCTCAGTGACATTTGGCCACGGGGGTAATAGTGGAGAACTCCGGCCTCCGAGTCCGGGTCCGGCGCGGCTTCAGGATCTAGGGGAATAAAGCCGCTAGCAAAGCCACCGAATCATCTGGACTCGACGAGATGAAATCTGTGACAATAAACTTCGCGCTAGGAGTATTCCCCTGTCAGCGACTCTCTTCCTGGCCCCGGCGTGACTCTATATACGTATGCCCTTTCACACTCTGAACCAAAAGTTCCCTTGCATGTTGTGTTGTGCTGAATCGTTAGTCTTACATAGCCTAACTCATACGCGGCTTCAATAATAAGGCATGGAACCCTATAGCATTTTTGAAGTAGTTAGGCTCTACAAGACAGCCGTTGTGCAGTAATTAGATCATGTCAGTCTAAAGCTAGAGTAGTAAAAGAAACATCCAAAATCGGCAGACGCCTATGTTGAGCGAGTTGCACAAGGTTCCATGCGGACAATAGATGAACGAATTGATCAATCTGACTTGGGAAATCGGAAATGCGTCCTCAACGGCGGATAGGCGACTCAAAGGACCGAGATGGATTAATTAGGGGCGTCATGAGGATGCCTAACGTCGCCTTAGCGGCCCACATTGAATTCGTGAAGCATACTACAAGTATGACTCCGTACATGTAGGCACAAAACCTGTCGTCAACAACCACCAGGCCGTCGTCAGAGGTGTGCGTCATGCACATGCGCACGACGTTGCGCACCGCATCTTCTGCCTGGCTGCGTCGATAACTGTTCTTGCCATTATAGTGGTGTGAAGCGGCCTCCTTGTACGTCAGCTTTGGCCTCGTTGCCTTTGTAAAAATTAGTGCTGTTGGCTGGCGCAAGGCGATCCTCCGTTGTTGGTCAGACCGCGACGTGCTGTGGGGTGCCTGAAAATATGTAGTGTTCTTGAATACCTGTACGAGTAGTCTAAGCTGGGAAATAGATACATGTAGGTAGTGCGCACGAATACTGTAGCCTGAGCTGGGGAATAGTTCAAGCTTGTAGATGGCTTTAGTAGGACACGAGTAATACGACTGCTTAATACGGCTTGCCGACATGGACACAGGCATCAGCTTTGAATCCGTCAGCCAGACCAAGTTCATATACGAGTACGTAAAGGAACCTTTGTTGGAAAGACATCCAACAAACCGGCTAGATTTGCCACTTCCGTCCTAGTCATCATCTTCTCCGCTTTGTGCTTCTAGTCTAGCAGTAGCGATATCTCCTACTCCGTATTTTCAGTCGCAATATCAGTTTCCCTTCGATAGAGTGCTCAGTACTCCGTAATAGTAGTCATGATTTTGTTTGTAGTAATCATGCTTGTAGTAATCATGCCGGATTATATCGGGGATATGCATGCACTATATCACAAGCCGGCAATTGAGCAACCAGTCGAAATCGGATTCCCGCCTACGACAGGAGATGATCTAGCATGTTGGATTCACTTGATGGAGACGCAATCACGTGTTACTGTACCCGATCATGATCCTTCATCCAGAATATAAAACTCCACTGAGATCCGGCACCAAGTTGTAAGCATAGTTTGCAAGGCGACGGGACGGAGGCACTCGCGCCCTCAAAGGGCAATGGACTTCTCAGGCTGCCAAGATGACGCCTCATTCGGGCCTGCGGTTCACGGCTGCCCCCACAGAGATTTCGATTTTACCTTGAAATTCGAATCAATATTTTTTTCAATACTTCCTGCGGCAGCTTTCATTATACTTGCAGCCATTCGTCTTGTCTGGCTGAGTCAGGAGTCGGTCATTGCAAAAGGTCGTGCATTTCAGTTTACGAAACTTGTATGTTCTTTTACTTCCCATTGAACTGAAGCCAAATTAAAATTTGCGATTAAAATGCTAAATAATCTATGTGACAGGCTTTCATTGCGCTTTGCGTTGCATTGCGTTTCTCTTCATTTGTTCTGAGCATTGTCTGGCGTGGCAAGCAAGCTGCTCTCTTCATATCATCTGCTACATTGGAGGTGATTGCCATCTCATTGGTGCTTCCTCTGTCCTTTTGGGAACACGCTAGATCTTTGCGACCGTCCTTCTTGTTAAGCGGCTACTTGTCTCTTTCTCTGCTCCTGGATATTGCACGAGCTCGGTCATTCTGGTTAGTGGCTGTGAATCGCTCCGAGGATGCGTTTGCAGCCGTCTTCACAGCCTCCGTCGCCGCCAAGGTTGTTGTATTTATAGCAGAGTCATATGCCAAGACGAGATGGATCGAAGGGGGCTCAAGCAGTCGTAGCCCAGAAGAGACAACGGGATTCTTTGGACTGGCCATCTTCAGCTGGCTCTGGAAACTCTTTGCCCGTGGCCGCAGCAAGGTGTTGAACTTGGATGACCTACTCCCTCTCGACCAGCACATGGCTAGTGAAGTCTTGCGGAAAAAACTCTTGGCCTCAATAGAGGCATCTCCAACTCGAGGGCAGAAAAACGGGCTTGCGAAAGCTCTCGCCAAGTCTCTATCAGGGGCTCTGTTGCTTCCCGTCGTGCCAAGAATCGCCCTTTCGGCTTTCAAATTCGGCCAACCGTTTCTCATCAATTCGCTGCTCTCGTATCTTCAGATACCGGCATCTGAGAGGCCAGTCAACTCTAGCTATGGATTGATTGGGGCCGTTTTTCTAGTCTACTTGGGCATTGCCGTTTCAACTTCGTTTTACTATTACCTGCGTGAACGGGCTATCTGGATGGCGCGTGGTGCGCTGGCGAGTGTCGTCTACGAGCATACAACGCGATCCAAACTGTCAGTGACCAGTGATTCCGCTGTACTTACACTTATGAGTACGGATATCGAGCGTACTAGAATTGGCCTGATGGTTATTCATGAATTCTGGGCAAGTATCCTGGAGAGTGGCATCGCGCTGTGGCTGCTGTACAGAGAGCTGGGGGCAGCCTTTGTCGCACCTGTTGGTGTTGCCGTTGTCTGCATTCTTTGCATCACAGTCGTGAGCCGTTTCAGTGGCCCGAGACAGAATGTTTGGATGCAGAAGATACAAGAAAGGGTTGGTGCCCTGTCTCATATAGTCGCAAACATGAAGACCTTTAAGATCGCCGGCTTAACGGATGCAGCCGAGGCACTGCTCCAACGTCTGCGTGAGGTGGAGGTTGGCGCTGGCAGCAGTTGGCGAATGACCATTATCATGGCCGCTGTAGTTGGCTTCGCTCCCTCCATGCTCAGCCCTCTCATTACATTTGCCGTGACAGCGCGGACTCTTGATGCCACCCGCATCTTCACCGCGCTGTCATTTCTAGTCCTGCTCACGGAGCCTCTATCGCAGTTATTCCAATACGTGCCTCCGCTTCTAGCTGCTTTTGCTTGCCTTGCACGTATCCAGGTTTTCCTAGAGAAAGAGTGCCGCGTCGACTTTCGTGAAGACGCTGGTACAATCCAACCATCAAAGGAGCTTGAAACAGATTCGACTGAAAAGAATGACACCATCATACGAATCACCAAAGGAGATTTCGGTTGGGAAGACAAGAAGCCTATTCTGTCAAACATTGCTCTCGATATTCCCGCTCGCTCTCTCACCATCGTGATTGGACCTACTGCGTGCGGCAAGTCAACTCTCCTCAAGGTCCTTCTGGGTGAGACGCCTCTTCATAGTGGTCGCGTGCTTATGGGATCTGCAACCCGTGGCATCGGCTTTTGTGACCAAACTCCTTTTTTAACCAACGCAAGTGTGAGGGATAACATCATTGGATATACACCGTTTGACCAGGCCAGATACGATGAAGTTCTCGAAGCGACGATGCTTCTTCCAGACATTGCAACTTTCCCGCAAGGCGATCTCACAAAAGTAGGAAGTGGTGGTGTGACACTAAGTGGCGGGCAAAAGCAAAGAGTATCAATGGCACGCGCCCTATACTCAAATTCAAGCTTATTCCTGTTCGACGATACGCTTAGCGGCTTGGATGCGGACACGGAAGAGCAAGTTTTTCGACGGGTTTTCTCTGCTGATGGCATCATTCGCCGTCGAAACGCTACAGCAGTTCTATGTACACACTCTGTACGACACTTGCCATCTGCAGATCATGTTATTGCGCTTAGCCAGGATGGTCTGATATCTGAGCAGGGCACTTTTGAGGACCTCGACGCCCTTGGCGGTTACGTCCATAGCCTGAAAGTAAAAGCTGTCAACAAATCCGACGACAGTTTGACCTTGGATTCCTCTGATAGTACCCCCGAGGATGATGACATCGAGAAGTCGACTGGTTCCAAGGCCCGGAAGCCCCCGGCAGCAATGTGGACTGCAGCAGATGAGCGCAGCAGACAAACCGGAGACATGTCTGTGTATAAACATTATGCTATGAGTATGAAGCTATCGACGCTTATTTCATTCTTCATAGTTGGTGTAGCTTTGGCCTTCTTGTACAACTTCCCACAGATCTGGTTGAACTATTGGTCTGCCGACATATCGTCTTCTCACAGGGCTCACTCTCAGGCATATTGGGTTGGCATCTATGCCCTATTTCTAATTCTATGCTTAATATGCATAGGTATTGTTTGTGGCATTGTGTTCATCTCCATGACCACCCAGTCCGGAATTACGCTTCATCATCAAACATTGCGTTCTGTCATGGCCGCTCCCCTGCGTTTCTTCACAAATGTAGATGCCGGCATTGTGACGAACCTCTTCTCTCAAGATATTTCTCTTGTAGATATAGAGCTCCCACAGGCCCTTCTCAATGCTACAGTGGAGCTATTCATTTCCATTGGAATGTCTGTGGTTGTTGCTACGGCCTCGCCTTATATCGCCGCCAGCTATCCCTTGTTCGCTGCATTGGTGTGGATGGTTCAAAGATTTTACCTGCCGACATCTCGGCAGCTTCGTTTGTTGGATCTGGAAGCCAAAAGTCCTTTATAGTAAGTCCAAGTTGTTATTTCGGTAAATGCTTCTCATTACGATATCAGCAAAGCTAACCCGCATTACCAGCACCCATTTTACAGACACGGTTGCGGGCGTGGCAACTCTCCGTGCCTTTGACTGGACGCAAAAGAGCCTGGATTTCAATCTGGAACTCCTAGATAGCTCTCAACGTCCCGCATATCTCCTTGCTATGGTCCAGCACTGCCTTAGCTTCATTCTTTCCTCTGTTGTGACAGTGTTGGCCACACTGGTGGTAGTCCTCGCCACCCAGGTCAAGGCAATCACGGGCCCCGGTTTAACTGGAGCCTCAATGGTGACTCTAATGTCACTTGGAAACTATGTCTCGCAGCTGATTCTTATGTATACCCTTCTGGAGATATCCCTTGGAGCTGTCAGCCGATTAAAGTCCTTTCGCGACACGGTTTTGCCGGAGAGTACTCCTGAAGAGGATGCGGTATTGCCATCGCTATGGCCTTGGCGTGGAGAGGTGGATATTCAGGATGTGTCAGCTTCTTATAGGTACGTCGTGTTCCAGAATCTGTCAGAATCTCACAATGTCCGGTACAGAAATAGCCATTGCTAACGCAGCAAGGAGCAGTGACCCTGGTCAGCCAACCGAATCAGGGAACTCGGATTTGGACTCTTCAGATTTGGTCTTGAAGAATATCAATATGAGCATTTTGCCCGGCGAGAAGATTGCCATTTGTGGCCGTAGTGGAAGGTGAGCCAGCCCAGTGCGATGTCATTTACTCCTGCTACTTGAATTGCTAACTGGAATGATAGTGGCAAATCCTCTTTACTTCTCTTGTTGCTCCGCCTGTTCGATCCTCTGCCTGGGTCTGCCGATGGAATCACCATCGATGGAATACCGCTGCGTCGAGTCGACCGGTCTTCCCTGCGACAACGAGTCATCGCTGTGCCGCAAGACTCCGTCTTCTTTCCTGACGGTCACTCCTTCAAGACAAACCTCGATCCATCCAATCTATCAACTGAGAGCGACTGCAAAGAGGTGCTTGGTGCAGTGGGACTTTGGCAGGTTGTGGAAGACAATGGTGGGCTAGACGCCAGTTTGTCTACTAACATGCTCTCTCATGGCCAAAGACAGCTGTTTGGCTTAGCCCGCGCAATGCTCCGACAACGTCTTCGCAGTACTGCTGCTCGTTCCCAAACTCTTGACTCGAATGATTATCCGGACGGTCTCTTTGAGAAGGGAGGCGATGTTGGCGGTCTGTTGTTACTTGACGAGGTGGGCTCCTCTGTGGATAAGGATACCGAGCGCACAATGCAAGCTCTCATCAGCCAGGAATTTGCAGGATACACCACTATCATGATATCCCACCGACTGGATGCCGTGATGGATTTTGACCGCGTACTTGTCATGGATCGCGGGCAAATCGTCGAGTCTGGACGTCCTCGCGAGTTGGTCCAGCAAGAAAGCAGCATGTTTAAAAATCTTTGGGCCATAAGCGGAGGGCGCTCATAGACCATAGGCGTATTGATGACCCATAGGAACCAGAAAAACTTTGTCATATCTGTCACGCTGTTGTTGGGCCCCTGGTTGGCTTGGGTGGCTTGACCGGCATTTTGTAATTGTAATCCTAATCGTATATAGGGATATAGAAGTTTCATATTCATCACAAGCTATGTCTTTCCTGTGAGGCCGTCAAGCTCTTCTTGTTGACGATGCTTCCGTATTGCGTTGTAAATATCGTGACGAGTTAGCCCTTCCAAATCGGGGTTGTTTTCACTCTGGAGTTGAGCGAGAATTTGAATAGGCTTGAGCCCAGAATTATACAGAGACATGATGTTTTCCATTCTCTTTTCAATGGCCATGCCGCGATATCGCGAATGCGCCGCTGACGGGAACATCGGGTGGTTATGCTCATTGGCGCTGTCGCTCCGCGACCGTCGGATAACCCACGGACTCAACGCATGCTGCCGACCCACGACGAGCCTGTACGGGCAGCCCGTCATCTGAGAGCTTGTCTCACGGCGCCGCGCAGCAGGGATGTCGTCGCTTCTCTGGGACTTGTAGGTCCTCCCTTTGCTACAGCGGAATTCAATGCTATTGGGCCTCACCCGGTGCTTAACAAAGTTGTAGCCAAGGGGTTGGGCCAGGGCGTCAATGACGGCCCTGGCCTCGTCAACAGACTGAAATTGGCGACCAAACAGCTCATCCATGATGATGGCGGTTGGCGAATCAATCCGTGTTGTGAGTAGTTTCGGTTTGACGCGTCTCTCGTGAGACTTGACGCGTGTCAAGGCGAGATTGGACTCTGGGGAAGAATAAAGTGCTACATACACGTATCCACCCCACCATCAGCCTGTCGAGGATGAAAGCCACTAAGAGCAACAACAGGCTCCCCACAATGTGTGCTTGGAATAAGACGAGTATAGTGCGGCTTAAATGGTAGCGTCAAGGCTAGACGAATTGAGCCCAACTGTGGCAGAGAAAGCTGGCCACGGAATTATAATGAGGATAACGTCCTCTTGAGCGGAATAATATTGCGTAACGCAGATACATGTGTGTATGTAGTATGTATACAAATATGATAGATGTAACAGTTCGGGGTAGACCATGTTTGTATGAGGTATAGATCTAGCATATTTTACTAGATAGGCCTACTTTCTGGCACCTAGCCCTCGAGGGGACTATCACCACTTTTTCTTGCAATCTTGCCTAAACCTGCAACTCATGTAAATCACTACCCACCGATTTTCCGTAGTCATGGGAGTGTAAGCCTCCATGAATCCATGGGTTTAGGTACGAGGCTAGGCGTGCAATGTTAGAGCTGTACGGGGTCTAACAGCTCAGAAATATCCAAGCCCAGGCTTTTAGCTTGTTGAAGGGGGGGAGGGCTGCATGTTGATTGGAATATGTGCGCCTTTTAATTATTTGTACAGATACATGTAGTTAGGCATCAAAGTAGAAGCCCAAGATGGATGGACATTCCACGTACATTAATACATGTAAATTCCTACATGTAGATAATATCCCCCCATCATTTTCCTGTTCGCTCTTTACACACAAAACAAAACAGACATGGCTGTGCAAACCAAATCATCTACTTACGTCAACTTGGTGAATATGACAGCCACCCAAATTAGCGACCCAATTTCGGGCACAATCGTAACTGTGCAGGCTGCTATGAAGAGCTACAGTATGGTCAAGGCCAACACCGAGCTTGGAGATACCTTCCATGCGGCCGGTAGCGGGCTTCATCTGATATATGAGGCTCTGAGTTCAGTCAAATCCCGGTTACCCCCAGAAATTTCGAATGCCTCCCTCAAGCTACTTGACTCTTGCAAGGCCGGTGCGACGTCGTCCGAGGCTGTGTTCAAAGAAGTTTCGCAAGCACCATCCGATACGAGATTGCAGTCCTACACAGCCTTCATTAAAGAAGGGGGCAGACCCAATCTAGTAGAGACTTTAGTCGGGGGCCTAATGAAGGAGATTTGTCTTTTGGCCGAAGGATGCGCTGTTGAGGTAGACTTGACCGCGTTGCGCCGTGCCAGCGACGAACTGGAAAAGATGGAGCCATCTGTGCCCATCGAGCAACATAAATCAGACGATTCCTTCTCGAACAGCGGCAGCGGGAGCCAGTACAACTCGACTGGAGGCACGCAGAACAATGCGACGGGCAATGGAAAGCAATTTTTCGGAGCCACTTTTCAAGGAGCTGTATCATTCAGCTGATAAGGCATAAATAACCATCGCAGTTGGGCATTAACTATCCATGTATGTACGTAGCAAGCACACGCAACAGGAGTCGAGGCATGATGGATACAGCGAAGTGAGATGTGTTTGTAAGGGAGCGCTGGGTATATGTGATCTACAGGATTCATTACTAGGCAGTTAGAGATTTATTTTAATGCAGTACTTATTGCCTTCGAATATTTTTATAAATAAGAGGTTTTTCTTATACTAAGAAAAAAAAAAGAAATAACAAATCTTTGTAGTGAGTGACAATCGAGCCTGTACCATGTAGACTTACCACTGGCAATTGCCACATCATCATGACCAACTTTTAATCCCATATCCTAGATGACCTCAACCAGCATTAAAACTTACTGGCGCATCAAACTTCCCCCCATAGAATTGTATGCCACTGCCTACCATATTATTCTGCCTCCCTCCCGTCACATTGAACTGGCTGCCTGGGCCGTCATTCTGAAAGGCGAAAGTAGATGCTCTGCGGCTATCCTTCAGCGAAGGGACCAACACAGAATTGATATCTGCAAAGAATTTTTCTGCATTACTACTGAGCTTCTCCAGCTCTCTGCCCTTGGCCGCATCGTTGACCAGCTTAAAGTCGCCGCGAAACGTCTCTTCCGACTTTTGGATCCTAGCCATCATGCCCTTCCAGTCTTCATGCCGGAGAGTGTCCTCTCTATATCTTGCAAGTCGTGTTAAATAGACGCGCCGCACAGTTCTGATCTGGAAGTCAATGATCTGTCGATAGAGTTCTATAAGACTGCCCTCAAGTTCGACATTTAGGCCGGAATCCTGTATACTATTACTCGAAAATAATAGAGACTCCAATTTGACGTAGAAAAGTATGCGAGAGGTGACGTATAGGCAGCCGTCACGACTCACTTCTTCCGCGACGCTGGGGTTCATGAAAATGGGGAGGATGACTGAGACGCCAGCCCATGCTAGGGAGGCTTCGGGCGATACCCTAACGGCCTCGTCGATGACTGCTTTGATGTTCTGTATGAACTGGGTAGCCTTTGCCAATTGGTCACGCGGAATAAACTCGTGGCCGAATATCAGGTATCTAGCCTTCTTCTCATCCAATTTTCGGAGTCCGCTGCTTGTGATTGTCTCCAGCTGCGCTAGACGGATCTTGTGGTTAGTACCCTCGATCTTATTCTCGGGTTTAATATGGCATTTAGCGGCATCGTCATGGTTTGCGACTGTTATATCTAGGTGGATTGTGACTATGGTTAGCCGTGGAACTTGTGAATCAACATAGAAATGCTCACCATTCTTCGAGCCCGTAGTTGCTTGTAGCTCCCTAGAGAGTAACTCTTCATATTCTTCCACCTGCTGTCCTTCTTTCTCCCTGAGGCTGTCGTATGCGCGATCCCAGAGAGATACTTTGACCGCCTCCGACGGAGTGGATGTCTGGCTGCTAGCGGGAGCCGGATCAGGAGTGATGGCCGCGGATGGAAGAATGTCTGCCAAGTATGGAGCCGCCGAATTTTGGGATATCGGTTCATCTGTTGATGCAGTTTGAGCGCTGTGCTCAGGTTTGAGCGATTGATCTTTGGGCATTAAGGCATTTTTGTTTGTGCTGGCGGGATCATTCCGAGACCAAGATCTGAATATCTTCCTTAGTCTTGAGAAACCTTTAATCTTGAAAAGTTTCTTTGAAGCCATGCTTGTGATTTGCTTGAGAGAATATTTAGGCAAGGTAGTGGTAGGAAAAAGCAATTGATGCTTCATTAAAGCGCAGGAACATGCCAAAGGCCATGAAGGCATGCATGGTATTAATACCCGTCTTTTTTCCATGGGTTGGGACCGAGGCTGCCTTGCCTTGTCTTACATTATCGGGTCGCTGCAGCATAGCCCGTTCGTTCTACAAGAAAGTGGACATACAAAAAGCACTCCCTGTTGCGTAACCGGAACGAGAATGGAACTCGTATGACAGCACGAAAGCTTAGGTAGGTAGGTATTCAAAACGAAGTACCGCAACATGCGTCCGAGTCTTGACACTGACACACAAGAGTCTTTTCTTCAAACCCGAAACGCAATCAAGAGATAGTGTAGCTTTCACTAACTGCGTACTGTACCATGGCTCCTAAAAAAAATCTCAATGCGGGTGAATACAATATTGATGCATAGATATGGATATGAAATGGGTACCAGACCCCACTCCTCAGTACATGTACCTAGTTAGGGATCCGACCAATCTACAAACTTACCTACCTATGCTGGTTGACCAGAAGTGTTTCCCACAGTCTGGAACGCTACGGAAAGAAGGGACATCCTGAACACACATGGCAAAGTTAGCTACATAGATACGACTTCCTCAATTGGTGCTCATATTGTGGTTTTATATGAACCTATTCCCTTTACGGTCTCGACTTCTCTGTTCCCGGCTGACAGGGGGGGGCCAAAGCTGACTCTCGCTTCTACCCATGTGCTAAGGTATGGCTTCCTTTTCCCCACACGGTGAGACTTGACTCGTGTCCGTACATAACCGTGGAAAGCTAATCGAGCATTTCAACTTCATATCGAGATGTACTATACAGCCCCCAGATGCGTCCGGATTTGTGCTCTAGCCTGATGTATCCGCTGTAATTCCCTCAGTCCTGGGTTGCCTCTCTTCTCTCTCAAGAAGCTAAGAAATATATTTAGTGTGCTGTCGTCATTCCCGTACACGCTTGTACCTACGGCTTCTAGCAGGTTTCCAGGCAGTGTCCTCCACGGTACATGTGCCGTGATGAATACAGGTACCTACCTACCTATCTGGTACCTATGCTAAACGAATAATTCGTATTTAGATAGATACATGTACTTTGGCACAGCTATTGCTCAAGGGGTGTATCGCGGATAACACTGCTACCAAGCAAAAAGGAATTAAAAATACAAAGCGGAATCATGCACATAGCATAATACCTTCACAGTTATGGTTTCCATCCTTCCAATATCTTCTCATTCTCTTTACTATATATGCACATACCCAAACGGGCGAAGTGCGGCGGGATATGCGGCTCTGCTTAAATGATCAGCGTGAAGTGTATCAACGGTTTTTTGTACCTGGCTGTACCTGTATCACCGAAACAAGTATACACCGATGTATCCACCGATACATCTACTATTCTGGTAGAAAGTGACGAATTATACTCAGGCATCTAGCATCTAGACACATTAGTACTTTCTTGATATTAATTATACGGGCCCTTTGATAGGTACATGCACATGCATGCATCAATTTCTACTAAGGTAGGTCGTATTTACCCTTGTTGTTGGGCCACAAGAGCAGACCCTTGATCTATATCAAATGCGCCGCCGCAACAAACTTAGCAGAAATGGACATTAAAATAGAGCCTTTCATCTTGCCCAGTTGATACAATTCAAGCAACGAGCTCAACAGATTTGATGATGTCTACATATAGCATCAAACTGTGAGTTGCGGAGTATTTGTATCAGCCATGTACGCCTAGCACATAATGGACATTAAATATTTGATTAAAACCTCCAATTATTGCTGCTCGTCTTTTCTGCCTGTCAATATACTCTGGGAGTTGTGCTATGTGAAAGCTGATATCTTCAAGATCTAAACGGCTAAACGCAAACCGATGATCGAAGCAGTGATAAAATACAGCAATACACGTAAATACTGTAAAAGAGGTACTTTATGGGAAACCATATGATCAAAGCTAATCTATTTTGTTGTGGTTGCCATGCTGGCGGTTGCCTTGCTGGTTGTCGCCTTGCCGTGGTCGCCGTGCTAATGGTCGCCTTGCCCAGTTTTGGTCTCAATGGTGGGCTCGACGGGCTCTGAAGGTTGTCGTGGCTGGGCACGATTGGGCTCCAAGGAAGCCTCGCTGACACAAATGGTTAAAATAACAACTCATGAGTCTTTTTATTGCAAAGGCGGTAAGGTGTTTGGCGGTCAAGAGAGCATTCACTTGCTGCTTGCTTGCTTGCGTGGCCTAGCACCCACCCAACACCTTATATCAACCACGGCCTTGCATATACTTAGTATTATTCTTCATCTTAAAGGGAAATATCTGAATCATAAATCAGCAAAAAGAATCACTCCCTTTTGAAGAGATATTTGTCCCTCTTCCGTCATCAATTCCGACAATGGCGAGACTCGCAGAACTGGTCCGCAGGGCTCACACAATTAGCAGAGAAACAGGACAAGTAGGAGCAAATCATGATACCGCTGAACATAACCAAGCAATACACGCCAATCGAGTAGAAAAATCTGTGATTCAAGGCTGGCCAGTCAATAACTGGGGTGCGGGGTTTCAATTCAACCACCAAGGAGGTACTCAGAACGTCGTTACTAGAGGCACATTGATCATTGGGTCGACATTCCACGGGGAAGTAAATTTCATTGGTAGAAGAGAGGAATCTCGGGGTGAGAGCCTTACCTTGCAGAATATCCGATGGTGATATTTACTAAAATGCTCCGTAGCTGAAACCCTTCAAAAGCTTCGTGTTTGGCTCCTGGGTACTCACAAAGCTGACGAGCGCTACGACGATTCTGTTCGCAAAAGACTAAGCAGTACTTGCAATTGGATTCTTGAACGACCGGAATTTACGAGCTGGCGATCGGAGTCACCTTCATCTCCAAAGATGTTGTGGATACACGGACCCCCGGGCTTTGGCAAAACGATTCTTTGCGCTCGGGTGATCGAACATATCAAGATTGAACAGCAAGAGCCTGTCGCTTATTACTTCTTCTCGTCTGATCTCGAAAGCCATAAAGATCCCATTGTAGCCATGCGGTCGTGGATTTACCACATCGCATTGGCCAGCGACTCGGTAATCGATATCGTTAACAAAAAATGGAGTCACGGCGTGGCAGCTTCGCAAAGGGTCATCATCGAACTGTTCCGAGAGGCGATCAAGTTGGTATCGAATTATACACTTGTCGTCGATGGCTTGGACGAGTGTGCCCCAGGCGGCTCTTGCTTGTCCATGTCGGAATTTGTTGCTGAGGTCAACGAGGCAGTGCATGGTACAAATGCCAGGATCCTTGTGATGAGTAGACATGAATCTCGCATTCACCGAGCTTTGATGGAAGCCAAAAACGCGGGACTTTACCAGTACGAGGTGCGCGAAAGTGACGTTCGCTCAGATATAGAGGCATTATCGAAGCATATCGTGGCAAAGAAGCTGTCCGACGAAGAGACATCTATCCAAGCTGACATGGCTAAAAAGATGAGCGATCGCAGTAAAGGTCAGTTTCTGTGGCTCAGGCTGCAAGAGGACTCTCTCATCAGGGGACTGAGCCAGGTGCAGCTCCAGAACGCTGTTGACGAGACACCTGCTGATCTCTCGAGTCTTTATGCCCGTAGTTGGGCAAAAATCTATGAGCTCCCAGAAAATGAAAAGACCCGGGCAATTTCACTCTTAAGATTGGCCGCTTTTTCTCTTCGTCCTCTAACAGTTCGCGAAATATCTGAAGCTGTACTCGCGAGAGACGAGTATGAGGACTTCCCGGTCCGCGAGCTGCCCGACCAGTGGGACACCAAATATGTCAAACACAGAATATTGGATCTTTGTAATTCGCTTTTGGAGACCCGAATGCAAAATGCGGAGTCAACAGTGGGGGAATGGACAATTCATCTTATACACTTCTCCGCCAAAGAATTCTTGCTAGGCCATATATCATACCAAGATACCGTTCGAGGGAATATTCGGTTGATGCTTGCGGCGGAGCATACCATTCTAACCAAGCTGTGCATCAGGTACATGAACCATTCTCATGTTTGGCAAGGCTCCACCGGCCGGGATGAGCCGCAGTCCCTGGGTTCCTTTACAAACTATGCAATGAGCTTTTGGTATAAGCATGCGGTGGCTGGGGCAGCTCAACAGACCAAATTAATGGAAATAGAGAATTTTTTCAATGAGAACAACCCCTCATGGATCATGTGGAGAAAATGGTTCGACTCAACTCATATCGGTTGGAAGAATGACCAGAGCGAGCCGGCCATTCCCTTGTGTTATGCAATAGAGCTTGGCTTTGTTGACTTAGCCACGGCGATGATCAAGCAAGGGAAAGTACGTGTGAATTGTCACTCAAGCAATCGCACGGCTCTAGGAGTTGCATGTTCCAAGGGCTTCGAAGCTCTCGCTCGCGACCTTTTGGAGTATGGCGCCAAAGTGGGAATCAGAGATGGCCAGGGTCGGACTGCACTATATCATGCGGCTTCAAATGGATACTTGCGGTTGGTCAAGCTCTTAATAGACCACGGTGCTGATATCACGATCCGGGATCATGATGGTGTGTCCCCATTTCTTGCAGCAAGCACCAATGGCCATCTGGACGTCATGAGGCGACTGATTCAGAAGGGTGCTAATATTCATCAACTGGACAAGAATAATGTTGGTCCAGTCTTCAAAGCAAGCTCCAACGGCCACATTAAAGCGGTTAGGCTTCTCATCGGGAAAGGCGCTCATTATCAATTGTCAAGCTATCTCACAATCCCACCAGTATTTAGAGCGTTAAAGGACGGCTATGTTCATTTGGCGCGACTACTCATTGATCAAGAGAAAGACCTTAATGCTGTGACTCGGAATGAACAACATAGCATATTGCTTGTGGCATGTTTCGAGGGCAAAACCGATATTGTGAAGTTGCTCATCCACCGTGGTGCGGACCTGACACAGCGGGATAGTTACGGACAAACGCCTCTCTTTGCGGCAAGCTGTAATGGCTTTTTTGATATTGTGAAGCTGCTTCTCGACCATGGGGCCAATGACATGGTGGCTGCCCAAGACAATGGGAAGATGCCGCTTTATGCAGCAAGCTGCAATGGCTTTGTTGATATCGCCGAACTGCTTCTCAAACATGGTGCTGACCATACGATGACCGCAAAAAACGGGCAGACACCACTCTATGCAGCATGTGGCAATGGACACATCGAAGTGGCTAAGCTTCTGATCAACAGCGGCGCCAATGTACTGACAACAGAAGAGGGAAGAACACCACTATCTGCAGCATGTTCCAATGGCCACTTGAACGTGGCCAGGCTCCTAATCGACAAGGGCGCCAATATTATGCTCCCTGATAAAATGGGCAGCACACCACTTTATGCGGCAGCCTTTCGGGGGTCGTTTGAGATCGTTGAGATGCTCATTGAAATGGGCGCTGACGTTTCCACCGCTCGGTTAGATGGCTACACCGCTCTCCACGTAGCTTCGGTCAATGGTTATGCTGACATAGTTGAGCTGCTGATAAAAAAAGGAGCGAACGTGATGGCATCTAATAAGGATGGAGAGACTCCGCTTTTGAACGCAGCTGCCAATGGCCACCTAAAGGTTGTATCGTTGCTGTTGGATAACGGTGCAAGACTTACAGAGATTAATCAGAACCGTCAAACATCCCTCTATGTAGCATGTTGCAACGGCCATGTAGAGGTGGCCAAGTTGCTGCTCGAGAAAGGCGCTGACATCACGGCAACGGAGGAAAAAGAACAAACGCCACTATTCGCAGCGTGTTCAAATGGCCATCTGGAACTGGTACAACTACTAGTGGAAGAGGGCGCTGACCTTCATGCTCTAAACATTGATGGCGTGGGCATGGCATATACGGCAGCCTGCAATGGCCAACTTGAGGTTCTCCAGCTGCTTCTTTCACTGGGTGTCGACATTATTACCAAAAGCAAGGCAGGGTGGTTACCTATCCATATAGCTTCAGCGAGCGGCCATGCCAAAATTGTTGATCTTTTGATTGAGAATGGCGCCGATATCATGGTGGGCAACGGGGATGGTAACACTCCACTCATATTAGCAACCTTCAAGCACTATGTTGAGGTTGTTAATGTTCTTCTCAAGCATGGGGTAGACGTTGATGCACAAGATTCTTTAAAGCAGACGTCACTTTTCTTGGCGAGCTGTGGAAGCGACATCGAGATGTCTAGGCTTCTGGTTGAGAACTGCGCCAATGTCTCGATCCCGAATAATAAGGGACAAACTCCACTCCTTCTCGCATCTTACAGTGGGAATCTCGAGATTATTAAACTACTCCTAGAGAATGGAGCGGATATGAGGCCAGATGAAATGGGACACACACCGGCCTACGCAGCATCCTACAATGGGCACGTCAATGCGCTTCGGCTCTTAATCAAATGGGGGGCTGATGTCACTATTCAAAATAAAAGGGGACTCGCACCCATTCATATAGCGTGCCGATTTGGCCATATCAAGGTGGTAAAGCTGTTGCTCAAGAAGGGTCTGGATGTCAACTCAGCTGACAACGATGGCATCTCGCTGTTACATTCCGCATCCTTGAATGGCCACGTGGCGGTGGTCAAACATCTCATTCTAAAGAATGCTGATGTCTGCAGACAAAATAATTTTGGCTGGAGTCCTATTGTTACAGCCTCGAAACAAGGGTATACCAAGATTGTTAAAATCCTGATGGAACATGGCGTTGATGTGGAGCGCCCCGATGGTAGTGGAACAACACCGCTCTTTGCCGCCTGCGAGGCTGGTCAGGTACATACGGCTCGATATTTAGTTGAAAATGGAGTGAGTGTGAACACAACAGTCAACCACGCTACACCTCTTTTCTCCGCATGTCTTCATGGTCACAAAGAGGTGGTTAAAATTCTTCTCCAGTATGATGCAGATAAAAGCATTACGGATCAATATGGAATAACACCGGCCAAAGCCGCCGTTAGAAACGGCCATATCGAGATAGTCGGGCTCCTCAATGCCCATAAGATCCAAGGTTATGAAGATCGTGGCTTTCCAGCTATTCCTAATGCGCCTGGAGAAAGGTTATATGGAGGAAGACGCGCGGGAATAGAAAGGCTGGCACCTGTTGATGGACGTCGTATGGGCATGTATATAAGCTGCTAGGACTTGTCCTCATGGTTCAGCAATAGTTTCTGGACGGATTTGTGTTTCACTATAAATCGCCGTAGTAGTAGTTCGCTGCTGGCGGGGGATCCTCAATTTCTCATCTCTAGAACTTGGGTTCAATTATAACCTCCCGCCCCCCGGAAGATTTAGAGAGAATAAACCCTATGCTGTTCGAATGGGCAAGAGCATATATATGTATATACAGCTAATCCCTAGAATTTGGGTTTCATAAACATCATATGTTTTGACCTGGTGGAGCTGGTGGAGCAGAGTAAGATCTGATAAGATTATGGAGTAAACAAGCTGACACTTTGCTACCTGCTATTGCGTCTATTTTGTTCCTTTCCATGATTCCATCCTAGTTTTAAGCAGGATTTAGGCACTACTGCCGAGTAATCACCGGCTTGCTAAGCATCGGTAGTTACAGCCGGCAGCTGTAGCCGGCGATTCACAAAAGGGGATAAGCCATCCCATTCTCTGCTAGAAGAAACTTCAACCTTATGACGGAATAAACCTATTTGCAGGTTTTACTTCAAGGGAATATCTAACAACTGTAATCATTCAATAGCCGCCGTTGCTACTAATTGGACACCAATTTCGTGATACAGCCGTCATATAATCGCTGTCATAAGCCAAGATCCAGACTTTTTTTTGGACATTTTTTTGGACATGTAGTTTTGAGATGACGCGTATGTATGAAACCATAACCCACAATGGCATCAACAGCCCCCTGATGGAATGGTTAGTATTTATAATCAAGGCATATTACCTATGTTAATTCGAGCATTGGAAGCTAGATAAGCATAATTTATAATGTACTTCAAGCTAAGTACATAGCTGGTGGCCTGCTATGGGGATGTAGGCTTATATCATTTTTATAAAGAATGGATCGCAGCGGATATTGCGGCAGCGTATTGGCCTGTGCTTGACTACAGATATAAGTGCTGATGAATAGTTGAAGCGGTTATTGCGGGAACAATTTTGCTTGTTGCAGTAGCAGATGACAAATTTGAGGTAAAAGAGCATTTTAATAATTTCTTACACATCTATATGGCGAATTCCGAGCCTCACGTTATATACCGTCGGTGACTGATATTGAATATAAATAATATCGTCATGTTCGTACGAAGTTATCATTCATTGTATCTGAATATTCGCATGACAGTGCTTGTCTCCTACTCTATCTGCAGAATTCACCATGCCGTCCCTTAAGCAACTACAATCGGCTCTACTTAGCGCTTGCCTCCTCTATTCCAACCACGTTCTTTCATCAGGCACAGAAGTAGAGACGAGGCCCTTAGACGAGATCTACCAAAGTGCAAAAAAAGAAAGCGGCACATTAAATGTATACTTTGGAGGCAGCTGTAAGATTTTATTCCCTCTTTAATATTAAGAAAAGCCACTAATTGGACGTAGCTCAAGCGGCTGCTGCCCCAATGCTAAATGCATTTCGCCAAAAGTTTCCAGATGTTGCCATTAATATTACAGCAGATCTGTCGAAATATGCTGATTCACGCATCGATCGGAGCTATATAGAAGGCAAACCATTTGTTGACGTGGCCCTATTGCAGACGGTAGATGACTTTCCTCGATGGGATAAGCAACAGCGGCTTTTGCATTATAAGCCAGCTAACTTCAGCGATATCAACCTGGCCATTAAACATATTGATGGAGCTTATTTACCCGTCAACTACAGTACGCCTTCTTCCCGTTAGATGGAGCTGACGACTTATACTAATATTCTTTTTAGATCAATTTGGTCCCTTCTACTACGACTCTACCATTGTCCCAGAAGATCGGGTGCCAAAGACTTATGCTGATGTTCTAGACCCCTTTTGGAAAAGCAAACTTGTTCTTACTTATCCTAACGACGATGATGGCGTTTTGTATTTGTTTTCACTCATCATTGAGCGGTATGGTTTCCAGTGGCTGGATTCACTTTTGCAGCAAGACGTCATGTGGGTGCGTGGTGCTGCAGCTGCTTCTGGTGCAATTATTGACAGCCATTCATCTGGCAATGGCTCGAGAGTCTTGACTTTCTCTGCGCTTGGAGGATTTACTCCGTCAACATCCTTCCTTCAAGTTCGTCAGCCTGATGCACCAGACCAGTTCATGACCTGGGCCCAGCAGGCGGCAATCTTTGCCTCAACACCTCGCCCAGAGAGCTCCAAGCTGTTCTTGTCTTTCCTGTTGAGCACTGAATGGCAGTCATCTCTTACAACATCCGGAGCACCATCAGTTCGGACTTCATTGACTGGTACAAACAATGTGTTCATGGTTAATAATACCCAGCCCAGCGGGTATATCACCTTTATGAGCAGACGGGATGATGTCGAATGGTGGCGAATGCAAATGGAAACATATATTGGGCTGGCCAAAGGGCCTGACCCTGCATTCTCATGAGCCACCATCGTTGTTTCATGTATCTACAATACACAATATAACTATCTAGTAGATATATCACGACTGTGCCAGATTTCATAGTCAATGGTGGATCACTGGACGGAGAGTCTACTAATAGCTTCAATAACCGCTCACGATGGCAAGGCCCTCGAGGTGGATCAATATACCTAAATTTCTCATGACCGCATCTCTGCATAATATTCTGCATGCCCCACGCTCCAAGGTTTAATCATAGTCTGGGCAGTCGGCAAGTCCTCTTACCGGACTCTCAACTCCAAGGCCGATGTGTGTTTTATACCTCTATACCTAAGGGAAACGAAGACAAGGATGAATGGGATGTACGACAGAAAATGAGACATCTCGAGCACCCTGATCTTTCGTGGTTCGCTACAAATTGCGCCTGAAAACATGGCCTTGTGTCTAAACGGGTAAAAACTCCTCTAATGGCCTACAGCCATTAAGGAAGAAAATTCACCTGCTGAGGGAATTTGTACACGGGTAAAAATGACACCAATAACCAAGAATCATAATTTCTAGGAAGTTTACGTCGAGGGCAGCTGACTCTAGTTTTGGAAACAAAATAATGAACAGTTTATTTACTTCGAAAATATGTGTCGTGCAATGGTCAACCTGCGGCGGTGTAATCTGTTAGTTGGACGCAACCGAACTATATTAATCTAGCTCCAGCCTGTGTCTCATTTTATGCTTCCGGTCGGGCTGGTTCACAACCTCTAGATGTCATGTCCATCAGGCCAAAGTCACTGCCAAAGAACGAATACATCTGGGCCAATGCTGAATATACCGCATTATGGTCACGATTCTCATCCGCTCGCTCTGGATGGCCCACGCAGATGGTCGCAGTCGATGCTATAGATCCTACGGAGCAGTGAAACATTAACTAGCAAGATCTTTCTACCTACCTAACCCCTCTAAAGAAGGGCGATCCTAGTTATATAGATATTTTCAGCTTACATTTACAAAGTAGAGACAATTGTCTTGCTAATCTCGATTACGAAGTGAACGAGGACTAATTCGGCTAAATATATATAGTGTTGCATCGGCACTTTCAATCTACTCTAGTCAATATATATATACTTGGAAGCTATTCAATTGGTTCAAAGAGGGTATTTGCAAAGAGTCTATATCAATCGAGTCAATCCTTTGCTGTCTGTTCCTTAGGGTAGTTAGTAGGCATATTGGTTTTCTGTTGACACTGTGCACAATATGTAGGTCATTTCAATGCGTGTTGTAGAGGAGAACTAACCAAAAAAATACGAATGTCGCTTTAGGCACATATCTGGGTGTGGATGTTTCACTTTTAATGAATTATGACTATTCCTCTTGTGTTGCAGTATCAGCAGGCTGTGGAGCAAGGCAGTATCCAAGGCTCTCACGACATACAACTATAGGAGGCTTGGCTACATCTAAATCTGTTGGGCCTAACAACTTACAGCTTTGGAATAGCGGTTTTGCACCAGCAGGCATCCAACAGACATGTATTTTAAGCTGATATGCTCCAAATCCCTCTCTTTTCTCGGTCGGTGCATCTTCGCCTTCTTCCTCATTCTATCTGCACTCCAGTGTCATAATACAATAACCACCATGAAGTCTATTCGTTACGATAACACTCCTGGATGTTACATGAATGCTGTCCATGAGCTGCTGAAACGAAACATATCTCTTGACGAGTATTTCACTAGGTGTCTCGCACATTACGGACCAGCGGAGCAACGTGTACACCATCCACCAGATGATTGCATCATCCGTAATTCTATCTACTGTTTAATGGCGGAAGGAGAAGAGTTTGGTCTCATGACAGGAGCATTGAAAGCTTGCGAGACGGACCCTTTGGCCTACTCTTATACCAGTGAGTGTGACCTCGTTAAATACACACATAGCTTGCCCATACCGTCTATTGCTGACAAGTAAGGCGAGATGCTCATGCCCTTTTTCAAGGCATGCGCAGCTGGTCACGCCAATGTGGAGGCCCTACTATCAAACACTTCAGGGTTAACTGAAGCGCAAGCTCAGGGCATTCTAGCCTCGCCTCTGTTTCGACAGGCAATGCTGTTTATCGCAATCACGACCGACAACACACCTCTAGCACTCGACATCCTGGAGCTCGGGCCCTTTACAATTCCCTCTGAGGACTTATGGATTCTTCATGAACGGAGCCGTGGCTGGTCTTCTGACGATAAGATAAAAAAAATTCCAAATGTGGTTTGGGCTTCGGTTATTCGACATGGGTTGGCAACCCCAACTTTCGGCCTGGTCATTGAAGCTGTACTAAGCGACGACTCGGCTGGCAGTATAGCTATGCTCAGTGCCATATGGGAAGTCAACCCTGAGCTGATGAGACCAAGCGGTAGTGTTGATCTTTGTGAAAGCTCAATCGAGGGAGGTACGCCGGAAATACTGCAACACCTCTGGGATTTATATGGGGTATCTGAATCGGATCGACACCTGGACAATGAGATGATTGTTCAAGCGGTTCGAACTAGACAATCCGGCGGGATACGTATGCTTGAATATCTATTAGACCGCGGATTGGATATTAACTACAGGACTGTCACTGATTCGGATGAAGAGGTTCCGTGGCAGGGTGATCCAATATTTCACTCGGAGAGACTCTATGCATTTCATTTAGCTCCCATATCCCGACGCCTTACAGCACTGCATGCCGCGGCTTTTCGAGGAAATGCAGTGGCTGTTAAATATTTACTAGAGAGAGGGGCTAAAGTGGATTCTCAAGATGGACTGGGACAGACAGCAAAGTATATTGCCAACAGGGACGGTCACAGGGCAGTGGTCGAGGTCATCGATGCCCATGAGCGTGGCTTTGCATGAATTTAGGTCTCGTATCCGACAACATAGCATCAATTTATAGATTATCTTAAGACATCAACCCTAAACTAAGATTCATCTTGTTAAATATGGCCTGCGATTCTTCTCACGGCCAATGGCCATGGGCCAGCACTTAGGAAATCCTTATCATAGGGCCGCCACAGCGAAATACGCCGAAAGTATCAAGACTGCCGTTCCCACAAGAGCAAATTTACTTCTCTACCGGGCCGATGCCTCTATATACATGTAGATATTAAGATAGAATATATGAACGCAAAATAACTGCTATAGCCTTCTATTTCCACGAATGCGCATTCCGACACTTCCAGTTATTTGGTGAGAAAATTAGCCATGAGTATTTCTCCAGTATTACCTGCGTATTCCGCAGCTATGATTGTCGACAAATATCGATGCACACATTTCTCCCCGTGCCCTTGCCCTTCACTCCCCGAGCACGCGCAACGGCCTTTGCGAAGAGATAAATGGTCTCCAACATGGTTACAACAGCCTATCGACGACGAAGACCCCAACAAGGTCATCGCCGAGAACATAAAGAAGAAGCGCTGGCTATACATAATAAAGGATATTAAAAACGCTTTTACGCATTTCCTCTTTAATGCAAGACATTCTCACCAAAGGCCACCCCAAGTACGATCGTTTAGATGGTTGGCATCATATCATTATGCTCCCGAAGGGTACCAAGATGTGCGAGCGCCATAGCGAATGCTGGTGCGCCTATACTGCTATGACCTCGCCAAAGAGTTAAAAGATGAAAAGGACAGATGGTCGATAAAGTCGTGGCGAGACCAATCACCCAAATTTTCAAGTGAATTATTCGACCGCACAGAGTCGGATAATGCGCCTCCTGAAATAACATGTGGGCGACGATACGTCTTCTCGCTTGTGGCTCCGGAAGTAAATCGATCTTTCGTCAGAGATTGGCTTGCAGTGGTCTACATTTGGGCTACAAATCGTACGTGGGTAGAGAAAACCGATGTAAGAGATCTGGTTTCCCTCAGTAATCTTATCGGATAAGTGGTTGGATGCCATACGCTGCATCTTGAGTCAAATAATGCTTACACAATTTATTGTTGTTGCTTTTAGTATTCGTGCCTGGGAATGGGTTGATGCAGTTGACGCCCCTGCTAAAACTCCGTATTTATTTTACGAACTCAAACGAGAATCGAATCGTGGGCTAAAGGATATAGTATTCGGTTGGCTGCCATATACAAATTATGATACTGTTCCAATCCATCCGGAAGACCCTCTGCCGACCAGACTTGCTGGATTACGTCGTTTGATGAACACGAAAGGAAGAGATTTAATTTCCGCGTGTTATGAGTGATTTAACACATGCTTGAGATTGGTATCAACATACACGTCAATTGGAATTGGAATATGTTGGAATGGAGCAGTATCGATTAAATTCAGTAGTAGATCTGCTGGAGATATCACTATACAGATCATTTCTTCCTTTCCTTTCCTTTCCTTTCCTGTCTTTTTCTTGTCTTATCTTTTTCCTGTCTTTTCATTATCACATGGAGACAATCCCTGGCTTGACTGGATCGTGTGTTGCTACTATATCTGTACAGGGAGACTGTATGCTTTCTCCTCGGTCGCAACCTCATGAAGCGGAAAGTGGACTCTGTGGGTTGCGTGGGCGGCTTGAATGGGCTATATGTCATCGAAGGTGAAAACACAGCTTACATAGCCTATTACCCTACAACTGTCTCAACTCGCCATCATCAAGACCACCATAACCAATAAGTGCATATGGCATCTGAGTTAGTCAGGAAACTCCAATTCGAGATTGCCTATATCGAGAAGATATGTGAGGCAAATCTAGTCAAGTATACAAATATTCACCTCGGCTAAACCTCATTTATAAATTCAATGATCTCTTTCCAGTGATGTTTTGTGATTTAAGTTTTAAAATTGCCTTACGACTATGTTTTCATCAAAACCCTCCGTCAGCCGTAAAGGAAGGCAAGTGTCTCATGGAAGATGAATATTCGCGTGCAGCATGTGAAGACAGACAAATTCATCGGCATAGTGGGGTGGCCATTCTTCTTGGCCGACCTAACTTTACTGGGAACTTCTATCCCTCTCCTTTGCGAGTCTTTTATTCTTCGATTAGAGAATCAATCGCTAAGGAAATCCCGTCGTCCGTTCCTTGTAAGAGCCTTAGGGTAATCTTTGTCCAATTGGCTAATGGTTTGGTACCAACAGCGCCAGTTTTGGGGGGGGATGAAGTAACTTTTACCACTCAATCTGAATTACATTGCGAATAATCATTATGAGTCTCTGCAATCCCAACGTGTATGCATCTCCTTTGACAACCTATAGAGCCACGCTCAAGACATCACCATACTCAAAAGCGCCCCTTGCGAAGAACTGCAGCCGCCTCTCTTGAAGTTGGCGAGTAATGGCTCCTTTACGAGCTGCTCACTGCGCATCATGCGTATCCATCTGGCTCTGGAGGTTGAGGATGCTCGCAGTGGATTGCAGTAGTTTTGTAATGTTCTCTGCGTCCAAATTGATGGCGATATTGACACCCATGGACTACAGGCTGGTGAGAGGGTTAGGAATGGCCATGGGAGTATTATTTATAAGTTTCGTGGCGGTTGGGCTTCTATCATTGTTGTTTCTCGAATAACGACAGACGTTGGCCGTTGGTATGTTGTTGACTTCAACTCAACTGGTTGCGGCATATCACTCCATTTGACATCTGGAGGTTCGTCAGTAAGGGTGAACTAATAAAATACATGTAGGCTTAATGACTTATTTTAGAGACCTAAAATAATGAATAGCCATAGCAGCAGTTGGTAAAGACCCAGCACATGCAATTATATTCCAATTATAAATACATGAGCTACAATATAGTTATGTAGGGAAGGGCTACTCAGCACCCCCCAACGATTAAAAAGAGTTCCGCATAGATTAACAACGTATAATAAAGATCTTTTATTACTGTTACCCAAATAGATATTATACAATTCCTAGAGTATCTGCTGCTATCGCTACACTCTGCTACTAGGTATGTATGTATATATTCCTCTAAGATCTTCTATTATTACTACTCGGGCTGCTTTAAATTTAAGAATGGGATTAAAGCTGAATAGCGGACGTGGTGTGCTGAATATCACACCCGTTTTTTACAGCCCAGGTGTCACTAATGCTCTACAGCGCTTTTTATAGCACTCTTAACTTATAGTGCTCTTTATAGCGCTGTTTATAACACTTTTTACAGTTAAGCTTTTTTTACAGCACCCTTTATAAGTTGCAGGTATATATAGCGTTTTATAAGTTAAAAGAGTTTATTTTATAGTATACTTTATAGCCTATATAAATATTTCAATATAATTACTAACTGTAATAAAGTGTTAAAAATACTAAAATACTATATATAATTAATCTTAAAAAAAAAATCCTTTATATTATTAAAATATCCTAGCCGTATACCTTATTTAAAAAAGTTTAAATATATCTGCTTTATTATTTTTAATATACTCTGTAAATAGCTGGCCTTAATATATTATACTAAATAAGGTTTATTAATTATAGGGCCCTTAAGATATATTAAATAATAATATAAAGATTTATGTTTAAAGGGTTTTAAAGGGATAAACGGGGAGATATTAGAATCCAGTGTGTTGGGCGGATATAAGGCATGGCGAAGCCCTAGTCTATGGGATTCTATTTCCAGAGTCTGTTAGGGGTTGTGACGTCTGTGCTGAGAGGCACATGTAGATACTGTAAGTTTGGGTTTTATCCTAAAACCTACATGACATAGAGGGGAAGCAGCACAACTCTTGGCATAGGCCGGAAGCCTAAAAATCACTGTAGGCATGAGTAAGAAATAAGTATTAGAAATTAATAATGCTAAAGGTCCCCTCTTATTCCGCTATTCCGCGCAAGCATCTCATTAGAACGTCTCTCCCGTTAATAAGAACTTAGCCTAAACATCTGAATATAGCTAAAGATGCTTCTAAATCCGCAACTCCCCGCCCAGTACATGGTTGGAGAACGAGCTTGCTTAACAAGAACGCCGTCTGACACATGACCACCTCTCAATAAGTTACAGGCATTAACTCTCCAGACAGAAGATGTATACTCGGCGGGTTGACTAGTAAGCAGGCCTAACTAGGCCCCCGCCTCTTTATACTAAAGAGAGAGTTATATAAGCTATATCTTATAATAATATATATTTAATCTTTTTAACTTTATAATTTTATAACTTTTGTAATCTTACTTTAATAAAAGCTATCTTTTAATATTATTAAAGTAATATTTTTAATTTTATATTACCAAAATTATATAAAATAAACAGGATTTAAACTTATAATTTATTAAACTTCTCATAGCTATAATTAATTATATTATTTTATTTTATAATTATATATACATATATATATATTTAATATTTAAAAATATGTTTTTTTAAGTTAAGTAAAGTATGTAATTAAATTTATATAAAGCTTAATATCAATATAAAAGAAAATATAATAGTAGCTACTATAAATAGTTATATTATAATACGAAAATATACTGCTTTATAAGATTTACAGCTAGGCCTATGTAAGCCTAGTCGCAGTGTAGGATATATTGTAACAAAGGCGAAAATTTGCCTATATTCTAGCATCTAACATCTAACAGGTTTTGCCAATGTGTATGTGGGGAGCATAGACCCGCAACTCCTTGGGCACCTGACCAGGGCTTCGTTACTACGTAGACCATGCCATAAGGGATGTTATATATGGAAGGTCTCCCACAGCCCTTCCATTTTGATAATACAGGGCAAATTCTAATTACCAGCGTTCTTTCAATAACAGCAACCATGGCTGACGAAGCTGTCCAGGCAATGTTGGTGTATGTTAATTCTGCTCCATTGCAGTGTAGATTTCATACTATACCATAAGCTAACCTAGCGCCTGTGGAGATCGATGATGTCTGTCACGACAGCTCAACGATATAGTGAATTAGCCAAATCTCAGAACGAGCCCGAGCTTATTGAGCATCTCCCGTCTGGTGGATCCGTTGGATGGTTCGGATCGAAATCCGCTAAGAAGGTACTTGCCTACATTCCTGGTGGAGGCCTGGTAACTTATGCCTCCGGTGCCCAAATCCAAATGGCCTATGATGCCTACAAAACTGCCCTAGCTGCAGCGGGAAATGTGGCCCTTGCTATTCTATCGTATGGTAAGCATTCAGTGTGCATTCCCATTCGATGATATGAATAGTAATATTGGTAGATATATGTGCCGTTGCCGAGTACCCATCACAGCTATGCCAGACTGTCTCCTTCGTTGAATCTTTGATGAAGGATCATGACCCCGAGGATGTGAGAACCTAACGTCTCGAACCCATGATGGTGGGCTGATTCCTATAGTAGATTGATCTCTTTGGTGAAAGTGCTGGTGGTATGCTGATCATTTCTATGCTGCTCCACGTCTCGCACAATCATCCCAAGGTTCCTTCGTTAACTATGCCTGTTGGCCGCAAGTTCCACCGGGCGCTCCTGATCAGCCCTGGCGGTCCGGTGAAAACCTCGGCATCTTCAATGACGGGCAATGATGGCAAGGACGGCTTAACAACTGCCACACTTTCAGCACTCTGGGCAATGATTGAAGCCAACCACGATCCTGAGGTCGATTTAGTGAACCCATGGCTCACACCAACGCTCAAGATGTTTGAGACCTGGTATGAGAACTGGCCAATCGGCGAGATTTCGATCATCATTGGCGATGATGAAATCCTACGGGACGACATTATACAGGTTGCCAATGTCATCAAAGTAGGAATTCCTATGACACATCATGTATGGCTTTTATTCACTTATTTGATAGGGCAAGCATTCCGCAGAGGTGGATGTTCATGTGTATCCCAAGTCTGGCCATTGCGCTATTGTGGGGGAAATCATGAGGCAGGCGCCTCTATCTGAATATTCCCTTGCAGTCTATGAGTGGGCAAAGAAGATTTAGACTACGAAGGGCTAATCGCCACTAAGACTGCTTTTAGAGAGCCAAGCCGTTGCCACTCGACGCAGTAAGAAACCTTGTCGTGGTGCTGAGGCCCTACCCAATTATACAGGCTATTTTGTAAGAGGCCCCAGCACCAACACACCCAACCTTGGCTGTAAAGTGACTTCCCAGAACTCACCATTCTCATACAAATTTCCTAAAATTCCTATGCGAAAACTAGCTGTTAGACCATCCAGTAATGGCCCAGAAAGCATATGTACTGTGCATTCTCCGAGTAATCACTCCCATCCGCCCGTGCCAATAATAACTCGTGCACCATTCCATTTCGCACTCCTCTAACCCACCCGGTCGCCGTATGTGGCCCAATAACATCTTGGGCTTTCTTGAAGTTTCTACTTGAAATATCACGTCCGTCTACTCGACTCCGGTATTTCAATGTGATCGGCCGCTTTCTGGTGTTTTGTGGGTGGTGGTCCTCTCCTCGTTTCCCTCGGTCGGAACCACAAGATCCCACCCCTAAAGGGGATGGAGAACGTTAACAGTGCAGTGCGAAGAATTTTAGGATAGACCAATAGTGCGAATGTTGGGCCATCGAGTGATGGTGCAACAGTACTTTTCCTTATAGAGATTTTGGGAAATTTGTATGGAAGTTGTGCTAAGGGATCTGGTACTTTTACACCAGAGTCAGGTGGAAAGGGCCGTTGCTTAAATAGATATTACATAGTTCCTGGATATCTGCTACTGTCTCTAGTTTCTGCGACTATCGCTACTGTCTACTACTATCCATGTATTCCTCTAATATCTGCTATCACCACTACCTCAACTACTTTAAATTTAAGAATGGGATGGATACTGAACAGCGAACGTGGGGTGCTGAATACAGGTATGTACACTTAGTGGCCAAAAGTCTACGAACACTAGTTTTTTTTTACTATGCAATTACACCAAAAAATCACTACATTTTAAATCTAAATAAAAAATTCTATAAAATTAATAACACTATACACTTTTTGTAAAGGGATTCCAATAAGAAGGACCCGTATAGGCTGTTGTAAAGGGCAGTGGCTAGTATAAGCTGCTAGCACTGACGAATCTTTTTGGTTTATTAGCTCAATTAGCACCCTTTCTAATTGTTATTATACTTTTAATATAGTTTAAATAAGTTTTTATATTTTATATTTATATATATATAATATTTTTTTATCTTATATTTTATGTAGTTATATAGCTTTAAAGTTATAGTGTTTTTATATAGTATACTTATACTGGGTTACAGTGGGAAATACGGTATTATTAATACTATGTTATAGTGTAGTTTATACAACACTCGATTACTATATATTTTAAGTAAAAACCATTTAATAAATGAGGCTGTATAAAAGAAAAAAAATATATAGGATAAAATAATAACTATTTGTTAATATATATAATTCTTTTTATAATCTTAGTAATTAAATTAGTAAAGTTATGCTTAAGTTAATAAATAGAATTTTGGTGGAATAAGGTGATGCACTGTAATGCGTTCGCAGATTTCTGGCCGCTTATTGTAGGTACTTGTAGTCACTAGGTCCCTTTTTAACAGCCCAGGTGTGCTTTACAGCACTCGTTACAAACTTGCAGCGCTCTTTGCAGCGCCTTTTACAGCTAAGCGCCTTTTATAGCACCCTTTATAAGCTGTAGGTGTATATAGCGTTTTATAAGTTTAAAGATTTTATTTTATACGTAGTGTATAGTATAGCCTGTATAAATATTTAAATATAATTACTGGCTGTAATAGAGTATTATAAATATATTAAAATACTATATATATATAGATAATTGTATTATCTATAGTAATGTTACGATCCGTTATACCGTAGCGCCAACAGGGCAAAAGATTAGGCCAATAATCGCAATTGTAGCAACTATTGTAACGGAACCAGCTATTTATAAGGGAATGAACTATACGGGTGAGCAGATCGTAACAAGTAATCTTAAAAAAATTCTTCTTTTATATTAAAATATTTTAACTATATACTTTATTTAAAATAGTTTAAATATAGTTATTTTATTTTTTTAAATATAAATTTTAAATTAATAATGGGCCTAAATATACCGTATGGAATAAGGTTTCTTAATTACAGGGCCCTTAAGGTATATCGAATAGTAATGCAAAAATTCATGTTTAGAGGGGATTTCAAGGGATAGATGGGGGGTAAATGGAATCCACTGTAATAGGCGGACACAAGGAATGGCGAAGCCCCAGTCCATGAGATCACATTTCTGTTGGGGGTTGTGACGTCTGTGCTGAGAGAGACATGTAGCTGCGTGTACTGATCCGCAAGTTTCGGTTTCATCCTATTAAAACCTACATGATCCATGGATTACTACATATACAGGTACCCAGATTAATGACCGGTGCCACTAGACTAATCACCACCCTCTTTGACGGAAAAGGCGCATTGTTTTACGCGCAATCATGGCTGCATCTCGGTTCAAGTCGGAGATGTTCACAGCCGATAAATTTGTTGAGAGCGCAGGCACCGTTCTCTTCCGACTTTCGACCCGCGAGATCTGCATCCTTCACCTCATACAGCGTGACGAGTACGTCCTCCCCAAAGGGCGCCGCAATCTTGGCGAGTCTCGTCAGGCCACTGCGATCCGCGAAACTACTGAAGAGACTGGTGTTCCTTGTTACCTGTTGCCTGTCGACCTTGTTTCACGGGTCTGTCCGGCGATCGAGACGGAGGACGTGCCGGATGAGCCCCGGCTTTTCAAAGGCGCCTGCGAGCCGATAGCATTGCAGCAAAGACGAATTGGAGACGGAGAGGTAAAACTGATTTGGTGGTTTGTGGCTGCTGTCAATGAGAGAGAGCCTCTCGGTCGACATGAGGAGCACAACTTCGAGGTCGAGTTTTACAGTTACGATGAGGTCTTGCGGAAGTTGACATTTGAGGATGACCGTGAATTAGTCAATCGGGCAATTCATCTGGTTAATGCTACCCACCATTGTGATTGAAATCCGCTGAGATTAGAAAAAGAAGCATGTCCGGGAGACAACTTGTCGTGCCAGATCTTCTCTATGAGAACTTCCAATGTCATATAGACTGATGCCTCATTTTGCATGACCAGAGGAAATATACATAATGCGACAATCATCAATGGAACCTGCCTTGCGTGGCATTTGGCGTCGCTGTATATCTGCTTTTGTGGAGGATCTGCGTTTTCGTAATTGATAGCTAAAAGTCAGAGATCAACTCGATTGCCCGGGTACACTTGGTTTTTCATCTGCGACTACATCCGTCTACTCCTCCGGCTCATCATAGAAGGGCTGCATCAGAAGCTTAGCCCTTCGCTCGAACATATTTTGTTTCCACTCTCGGCTGTATTATAGAGATACAATGAGATGCAGAAAGTGTCAAGCCTGATGATTGGCACAAATATGTTTCAGGTGTATATCGTCGTAAATTCTATGTATATATGGCTTGAGATCGTGAGGTGAACTCAAAAGACTCATCGTACTATATCTATATGAATGAGCACCTCAATGCTATCTAATTTAACGAGCTTTTCCTTTAATCTGGTAAAAGGAGACTCCATCCAAACCTCGATTTGACTGGCGGTGAAGATTTCAGACAATTCCGCTCTACTGGCAGCGAGAATCTTCTTTCAAAAACTGGCGGCGTAAATACTCATGTCTTGGATATTAGCAAAGCGGGAATGGCTGGTGATGGACTAATACTGTTGCCTTCGTCTCATCTACTATATATATGCTTGGCTTGCTCTGGTGAGAGGAGGTAGCTGGGGAGATGTATAAATTTTTTTTGGTCATGGGCTTGTGGCATCTGGCTTGCTACGGATGAAGCCAAAATTGAAGTTGCCCAACTTCTTCCTCTTGGGCTGTTGCTGCTCTTGTGAGCCCCCTATCGGATCACCTCGATCGAGGCCCGTCTCCGTCAAGGGCAGGTCCATCTCCGAATAGCCCTGACCCGTGCCGAGCCTATGCTTCATCCTGCCCAAGAAGCCTCCCCCCAAAGTAAGCACGCTGTTCCGAGTTCTCGCAATGTCCCCAGTAGCGCCGCCATGCTGGTAATACATCTCGTCGTCGTCAAAGTCGTCGGCATAGCGCGGGTAGTTGTCGAGATCCGAGGACTGGCTGAATTGATGAGTGTCATACGCTCTCGACCGCTCTAACGGTTGCTCAATCTGTGTTCCGCCAGAGCGACCCGGGGGAGGATATGAAGGCTCAGCGCCGACAAAATCATCGCAGGACACCGACGGTCGGCTCTGCGGATTCTGACTGTGATATTCTTGTGCCAAACTGTCATCGTTCACGGCCAGCCGCTCTATATTTGTGATGGCCCCACGCCGTGTCATGTAGTCTCGGTCATCTTCAGTCTCATCGCCAGTCCCAGAACTGCCAGTCTCAACACCATTGGCATTTCCAAGAACATGGTTATTCTTTTCCACATCCATATCGCCCTGCACTTGACGGGCCATCATGAGGCGCTTCTTGTTCTGCTGCTCAAGCAGCATCAACTGCATATGATAGTCATTCTTTTCCACATCCATATCGCTCTGCTCTTCACGGGCCATCATGAGGCGCTTCTTGTTCTGCTGCTCAAGCAGCATCAACTGCACATGATAGTCATGCAAGGGATGGTTGCTAACTGCGGCGGCCGGGCCACCTCGTCGCATAGCGCCGGGGCCACCCATATCAATGTTGTAGAAGTCGAAGGCATTGAAGGTATTACCATCAGGGCCCTGCGGCATCATGGGCGAGCTCTGGTTTTGAGGTCCTCCTACGCCAGGGATCTGCTTGTTACCCAAATGGTTAGCGCGATGTTTCTCCCAGGAGATTCTTTATAAAAACTTCAGCAGAAATCCGCGGACGATGTATAATAGGCCTTTGAGACGCCGCAGGTAGTGTTCCGCGAAGGGGTTCCGGTCTCGCAGGTTGGGGGAGCACCAAGCCACGGACCTTGCTAACTTCTCCAGTGTTGCTAAGAGAGCTGGATGACAAAGATTTTGCTGCCAGGAGTATAGGTTTACACTCCTCTAGAGCGGCCAAACAATCCACTTCAGGGACTCCGTAGGTCTTTGACAAGTAATCGGCGAGGCATTCTGTGTCTGTCAAGTTCTGCAAAGTCACAGTGATATGGCCTGACGTGGTTCTGCCTTCTTCGATCCGTCTAAGTTGAAAATTGGTGTTGACCACCCGTATTCGCTTGTATCGAGTAATGTCGTCATCCTCATCGTCGGATTTCGGAGGCCTTGGCCTTGCAAGTGGTGGTATCTGCGTTGGTTGGATTTTATGAGAATTAAATCTCTTGGATGTGGCTGTGTTTGCCGTTGCTTGGGGGGGTTGAGAGCCCCCGCCCAAGAGTCCTATCTCTTGGATCTCCTCGATACGGCGATACGTTAAACCGCAAGAGCTATTGCCGTTTAGCACAGAATATTATGCCATGAGAGAAAGTAGTTGTAGAAATATTTACCACGTTACTTGCTCGGTAGGATCGCCTAAATTCTCGACGTGGCAGGTTGGGCATTGCGTAGATACTGTATCACGCCGGTGGAATATCATGCCCATATGGAGCGTTCGGCCAGGCTGGTACTGTCAGAGCATACATCTTCCACTACCAACTTAAAAAAAAAAAAAAAAAAAAAAAAACTCACCTTCATAAGAGATATCCATTCTCTTTTTAAATCCAGAATCTGTCCATCATTTCCGTCCTCGAGAAACCAGTCCCCTCTATCCAACTTCTTTGACCCAAGGCCGTCGAACGCCTCCTTGAGAACTTCGATGAAAGCCTGTACATCTATGAGATTTGCGTAAATTTTGAGAAGAGCGGTGTGATATTGTCACTTACCTTTTTTGTCCGTATAATTTCTGGATAGAACCGTAAGGGTCGATTGAGGGCGTCGATTATCATAATGTACTCAACAGTGATTGAACGAGGTACATGTTGTTGACTCTGCAAAATGAGACGCAGATCTGTCCGTAGATGCGTGTTGCTTGATTGCAGGATATGATTCTCTCCTTTTGATCTCGCAAGCATGATCTCGAGTTGTCGGATCTTGAGTTGAAAGCTACTGGACAGGCTGGTATCTCGCTCTGGGAGACTAGGATGAGCCCAAATCATCGTTAGACAAGGTGTTTCATTGCTTACCGGATTGGAGGAGGGCACTGGATGGCTTTTCCGTTTGTATATAGCGTTGCAGCACGGCCTTGGATGCTGACGCTGCCGTAGCAGCTGCATAATTCTGCCAATTCTTGCTTTGGTGGCAATCTGCATAATCACAAATCCCTTTGATAATGATGCAGGGGACTTCTTCCCAGATACCGGCGCCACCCATTTCGAAGGCTATGATGCCTTCATTCTCTGCAATCTGATCTCTATATTCCCCCGACGTTATTGTTATATCTCCCGACGCAATAGCGCCGACATGGATACTTGGTTCGTGAGCTTCTTCGGTGCCATCTCGCGGTAACCGTTCTTTCGTCGTAAGTTGTTGTCGAACTACCAAGTATTTTTCATCACATCCCAAGTCCTTACAAGGACAATGGATAGCATTCTTGCAAACAAGGTCGGACATCCAACGGTGATCATTGCAGACACATGCTGGTGAGCCACGGTGTTTATGACGATACGTCGACTCAAATAGCTTATCTTCTATTATTCCAGGATACTTGTACTTTCGCCTCTTTTTTGGGGTAGCGTTTGCCTGAAGCTGTTTGAGAAAGTTGACAGTTTGTTTCTGAAGTCGCCCTAGACCAAGCTCTGTTTGAAACGTAACCAGTAGATTACGAATATCTTTATTTGGCTTTACCGAATTGTCCTCCACGGTGTCTTTATGAATGTATTTCTTGGGATGCTGCGTGTCAAAGTCGCATTGTACGACTGTGCTGCTAATAACCACATCACCAAGCATGATTTCGTCCTCGTCATCCCCATCGTGAATTTGAGGCACTCCGCTACAAATCCCAACAAATAGAGCCAGGCGTAAGCCGGAGTAGCTCGTGCGTATGCTCGCAGCTGCACTCGCCGCAGTAGCCCTATCTGTGCGAGTTAGGAGCGCAAGAACAACATCATACTTGCCAAAGCGACCGGTGGTATAATAATTGGGGTCTCCAGTAGCTCTTCCGTACGGATCGCCATCTTCGTCCCAAAATTGATCAAATAAGAGAGAAATGGCGTTGAACTCGAGAGGCGAGGCACATATAATGGCGACCTCAAAATCCTGACGGGTAGAGGGCCGTTGATAATCCATCTCAACGCTGCAGTCAGGGCCCCAGCAGCTCTTGTTGGCAGGTGATTGGATTCTAAACTGATGGGTCGATTGGATTCTAAACTGATGGGTCGATTGGTTCTCGACTTATTTCAGCCATTGTCTAACTACATACCACTAAACAGCAGCTGCATCAGCACCTCAATGTACTCATAAGCGGCTATCTTTAGTACTTACATGTGGAAACCATTCATCACAGGAGCTGCGGCTACACATAATTCCGTGGTTTGAGAGGTCTCAATAGAAGTCGACACACAAGAAAACAATAGGTATATTGAGCCGAACGGACTCAAGTGAGACAAATTGGAGCCCAATCCAGGATCAGGCATCAACAGACCTGTCCCAATATTAACGCGGCTGCAGCAACGCCCAACCCCTCAATTTCCGTTAACTCTCACGTGGTTTCTCATGTAACCTGAAAACAAATGTACATGTAGGTACTTCGTATTCTATCGACTGCAGGGCGAAGAATGTCTCATCCTTCCTGCTCCCAAAAGCATCATGTTACCATCGCTTCACCGCACATGCACTTGGTTCTACGTCATTAGGCTTCCTGACTCGGGATCCAGTATCAATAATACCTCCAAATGTATTCCGTACAGGATATGGAACTCAGACTTGCCTCTATGAGCTCCACGTTAATGTACATATTAAGACAGCACAGACTGGCTAAAACAAAGGATTACCATTTGCGACAACTCGGAGGTCCTGGTCCAGAAGCCTCTAGTATTAGGATTGGGACACTCAAAAAAGTCGGCGCATCTCCCGGTCGGTCACTAGCCGCAGGTAGCACAAATCCACAAAGGACGGCCATCAAGCTAAAATAGTTGTTTCTCTTTTCCTCATGGGGCATTGCTTTTACCGATGAATATTAATAATGCTTAAAAGAGTAGACGGCTGAGTGAGACATGTTGTTACAACAGAAATCCCTTGGGAAGAAGCCATGACTTATAAAAAGTTGGATATCTCCTCTCCATTTCATCGTCTAACTCGCCTCCATCTCTACTCATAAATTCATCGCAATTAATATTAAAGATACCTCAACACGCATTTTTATATATAACCCTTCTTTCAATTACAAAATTTGCTAAAATGCAGCTCGGCAGCCTCTTCAATGCTGCTACCCTCGTCGCAGCTGCCACCGCCACTTACGGTATGAAACGTTTTTTGAGCATCTGATTCCAAATTAATGTATCTAACAAGATACACAGTATCCTTTGACACTGGCTATGATGATCCTTCCCGTTCTATGACCCAAGTGGCCTGCTCTGACGGTGTCAATGGCCTCATCACCAAATACCATTGGCAGACCCAGGGCGAAGTCTCCAACTTCCCCTACATTGGTGGCGTCCAAGGTATCCAATGGAACTCTACACAGTGCGGTACTTGCCATCGACTGGAGTACGGAGGCCGTAGCATCCATATCCTGGCTGTTGACGCCGCCTATAACGGCGGCTATAACATTGCCTTGAAAGCACTGGACACTCTTACTGATGGCCACGCTGTGGAGTGGGGACATGTGGATGCTGTGGCTACACAGGTTTCTGTAAATGAATGTGGATTGTTCACCGTTTACTGAACTGGAGAAGAGTTCGGTGTCACACATAAGAGTGTGTTATTTATAAGAAACAAGTGTGTTATTTATAGGAAACAGAGCATTTTCACTAGTTCATGGTATCAATCTTAATAGGAAAATGACGTGAGTGATTATTCTTATTTACAATATCGTGGCCCCTATACGTCAACTGCCAAGTGGTTATAAAATACACCAAACAGCTCGTAATTGTGGTTTCTTTGTCTTGCGTCAAACATTGTCAGCATCAGTACCAGAAACGATTCAACAGCAGAGGTACATCTGCCACATATCTGACTACTTATAACTGGACATTTAAACATCACTCTCTCTGAGTATATATTATTAGTTACATATATAGGGAGCGGAGCAAATATGTCTTTACGAAAGTCGGGCTCCACTACTCCCACATCACTGCCGTTAACTACCTCTACCCCTAAAACGAGATGTTCGATACTTTGTGTAAAGTAGAATACTCTGCTGAATTCTGGGTTGGGCGTTTTCATATATACATATACTGATTTTTGTCTCTCAACTAGCTTGTGCCCTTGGATTCTCTCTCCCTTGTGAAATAGTTGGGCACAAGCTATGGAACCGCGTGATTGTAGTTGTTACATAGTGGATCTATGAGATGTCCTGCCTTTAAAATATTTAAGTGATGGGACGACAAATGGGTGCTTAGCAACGGGGATATCATTGACCATATCATATAAGTATATTGACATGTTGGGCCCCCAGTATTTGCATCTATACCTTATACACTTGCAGACGCATCTGCTCAACCTCATTTTATTAGCTCTGGCTGCTGAGAAATCTTTCAAGACGATGTATGCTTGTAATCGTATCAGGATGCTCAGCCCCTAATATTTTTATCTGTAGCTTAATCGTCTGCCGGATTATCTCCTCAGCCTCCTTATATTGGCCCTGCCCAACGAGAGACTCAAAAAGGAACCTCATGCTTATAATCGTCTGAGGATGCTCAGCCCCTAGAACTTTTATCTGTAGGTCAAGCGTCTGTCGGTTTATCTCCTCAGCTTCTTTATATTGGCCTTGCTTAAAGAAAGAGCTAGACAGGTTTCTCATGCTTGTAAGCGTATGAGGATGCTCAGCCCCTAGAAATTTTAACTGTAGGTCAAGCGTCTGCTGGTTTATCTCCTCAGCTTCATTATATTGGCCTTGCCTATTGAGAGAGCTAGAGAGGTTACTCATTCTTGAAAGCGTGTAAGGATGGCTAGTCCCTTGTAATATTGTCGCTAGCTCAATCTCCTGTTTGTCCATCATCGTGGCATCCTTGTATTTACCAAGAATGTAAAGGCTATTTGCAGTCTTAGATAAAACGGCCGACCTGGATGCTTGGTCCAACGAATGGTCCTGAAATTTTAGTGCTATTATTGCGTGCGGTAAATACCTTGCCCAGGCATCCTTGTTCGAAAAGCGTGGCCGAGGAAATACCGTGTTTAGCCGTTTTATCACTTCTGTAACGCATAATTGTAGGTCTCCTTCTTTGCGTAGCCAGTTTTGCATTACTAGGCGGACAAGTCTATGCATGTCATATGCATCCTGACCCGCTCGTTCGCTGATGAATGCGTATGCTCTTAACATGCCAATAGCTTCGTACGTCTCTAATTCGCTATCACCAAGCGGTAGGAGATGTTTCGGTATGTCCTTCTCTGCAACAAAAGCCATAAATTGCAGATATTTAGCTGCAAGTGGGTTATCCCTGGAGATGGCTCTGAATGAAATCAACCATGTCGTGGCAACCGGATTTTTTGTCGTCTTATACCGGGCTCGATCGTTAAAATCTTTGCTTAGCAGCTCAACTAAGTGCTCATCACTCGATCGACAATGCTCAAGGTATTTCGACACCACCATCCCAGTCTTTATCATATATGCAGACGCTTGCTTAATAGCAAGCGGCAGATCGGTTAAAAATTCCAGCAAGCTCTCCAAGCTCTGCTCATCATTTATTTGATGCGCAGATAAACTCTTCTGCAGCATATTGGTTGCTTCAGATCGACTCATCTCTGCAAGATGTAGGATATTCTCTCTTCGTATGTCCAGTTGCTGGGTGACTTCGTCATTCCTGGTTGTAAAAAGGATAGATCCTTTGAGACTGAAGGGGAGAGAGTCGCTCAATGATGTGCCCTCAGTAGTAGTTGTTGTTTTGAATAAGGCCGCGTCGTCAGCGTTGTCGATGATTAAGAGCCAATTATCTATACGCTGACTTAATGCAACTTTAACAAGTAACTTGATATCTGCTGCATTGTTGTCGATACCATGTAGCTTCAGCTTCCGGCCGATCTCACGGTAAGCATTCTCAAAGGTGGTGGTATCAATAGCTGGGACCCAGAAGACATGGCAATCCGGGTACTTGTCACGAATGCGAAAGGCAGCTTCGAGAGCGACCTGGGTCTTTCCGATGCCACCAAGTCCACTGATAACAGTCTGCTGGCAGTCGTCCTCATCCGCAGTTGGGGGAATTATGCTGAGAAGCAAGTCTAGGGTTGATTCACGGCCGACGAAGTCCTTATTGCGGCCGAACGGGACAGTCCAACAAGGCGTATCGGGCCCATCGTGGAGGGAGTCGCATCTCGGGTTGCTCTCGGGCTGAGGTGGTGGACCAGCATAGTGATTAATAACATGGTTCAACTGCCCTATATGCACCTTTTGATCCCCTTGATGTATAATGGTATCGTCCCCGAAGGTGGTTTCATTTATAGCGGCAAAGCGAGTATGTGATGGTGATGGACCTGCCCGTGACAATGGCGGCGCTCGGTCGTCTGCTGTGTTGTCGCAGTCATCACCCATACCGATTTTTCTATGGTCAGAATAATATTATTGGAATCAAGATGGAATTCGGAGAGGATGGATATTTGGGATGAAGTCAAGAGCGTTCTCCTGGCAGCCTGATGGTGCGGGGTGTATACATATACCTTTATATATGGTTTCTGCCCAATGGAAATTACTACATGTATGTACCTACATCCCTGTATATGCATGAGCATGTATTGTAGCGCGGCCATCAATGCGCGTCTACCGGCTACGCTTCATTTCTTGATCTTTGTTTGACCTAGATTGATCTGGTTTGCGGTGTTTGCCACAAGATTGCCATTCTTGTGTTTTCCATACCTATATTTTGTAGGTGTAGACATACCTGTATTTACAGAAGCTTGCTTATCGTGGCTACGGGTTACATTAGAGTACATACTTACCTAGTCGGGAATTGGTGGTGCTCTGCAACCTTAGCAATATAACCTAGGCTTGCAAATAATTGTAATGCTGATTCGTTTTGTAAGGCTTGCAGAATTTGGCTCGTTTGTAGATGAGGAAGTGTGCTTTTAAATTGTATTACGGCTATAGCGAACTAACTTATACCTAGTACCTAACCCCTCGCCAAACCATCAGCCAATCCAGCCCGCATCCATCAGCCAGCAGCCATCAACCATCAGCCAATACACCAAGTCCGCCAAACTCCCTCTAGCATAGCGGCGTGCGGCATCGGACGTGTGGAGCGGTATCGTATGCGGTAAGATCTAGTGCAGTACTGATTTATTAGTGCAGCGATATTGCTGGATTGCATGTGCTGATTGACTGACCTTTTGATGACCTGGATGTCGGCGGCTTCGTTGATTGAAATGGAGATGAAGGCGATAGAGGAGAAGGAGATGAAGGAGATGAAGGAGATGAAGGAGATGAAGGAAATTTTAGCGAAGGAAAGGTCAGCTGTTGCCTGAGGCTACTGAAAAAGATACAGAAGAGTACATGTATACAAATAGACGAGCAATACGCGACCTCGTTTAAGCTTTAAACGATGAAGGTATATCCCGTAGTAAATACTATAGAGGGTACTTCCAGTCTGCAACCTTTGCAACATCTGCAAGTTCTAGCAATATTTGCAAGCCTAAAGGCCAAATTGCAAGCCTTCCACCCACCCAGCAAGCCTAGTAGACTTACACCAATTCCCCCTAAGGTATACATAGCAATATCAACACACAGCCTCGTTGGTGAACGAAATTGCTTAATATTTCAAATGGACGTTGCTAAACTCCACAAATCAATTTGGCTGGATAAAATGGTCGCCGAAGCATGGATCAAGGGATGGTGTTTGCACGGATGTTTGTGAATCTGTCTGTTTGCCTTGCCATTCTATTCACTTTGTGGATTTCCTCCTCGCATCCCTCCCCATCCATGAAAATGGCGATCCAGTTTTGTGGCCCTTGCGGAAATACTCTCGACATCTCGCCGGATTCAATTATTAACTGCGATTGTTGTGGCTCTATGAACAAGAGTAAGCTTATCGCCTTCGCGCCAGATCTCACGGAGTATGAATTGACCAGGTGCATCAGATGAATTATTGGCCGGCATAGTCACTATTTCATCAAATAGCAATTTCCCTTCCGAGATTCGCCAGAAAAGAGACACGACACAGCAATTACAGTGTCTGGCGCCCGCAGATACTTGGCCCAAGACTGAGGAAACATGCCGAAAGTGTGGTGCGAGGGAAGTTCGATACACGGCCCTTCAACTGAGAAGTGCTGATGAAGGAACTACTTTATTCTACTACTGCCCGGAATGCTCAGAGAGGTGCGTGTTCTATTGTACAACCTTGACTCGTTTCGTAGCCACTTACAAGAAGAGTAATAGATGGAATGAAGGCAATTAAGCAGCATTCGAACGAATACGCGCGCCGCGACCGAAAGAGTCATCGTGGAAAGCTGGCTAGATAGTGGATGGAGTATTTGATGCCGTACTATCATAACGACCAGACATGGAAATTGCTTGCCGCGAAGCGTGCCTTAGAAGCAGGGATGAATATTGATGCCAAATCTCATGGTTGTGCATAGGCCTGAAATACATAAAAGTCATTGACTTCAGTTGCTTCTATCTGCACAGAGAGTAACGCCATGGTAGGAAGTTTTAGATTGTCAAGCCAGAAAGGCACGTCACAAGACCCCGGGCCTCCAAGGGTAATCGTCTGCCGCTGTATTTTTGGAGGACACATGTACAGGTAATAAATCAATTCGTTTCCGTGCTCAAGTCAGATGCGCCAAAAGTGGTGCAATCATCGTCAGAGCGGCAAGATATACCCAGATTGTCTCCTGCTCTTCCTCATTTACCATGGCCAGCATTAATAAATAATTGCATTATGAATGACATGGGCAGCGCAAGTAATCGCTTCCGCTTTGGTGGTGTGTTGTACATAGATCAGTCGGGCTATTGGAACTCACACTCACAGGATACATCTTGTTCTTCTTGGACAATGTTCTCCTTTGATTTGGTACCCAATTCTCCTTCTCCTTTGCCCAGCGAAGAATTTTTTGATCGAAATTAGCACATCTCTTGATGGGATCATGCTCAGTCACATAATCTTTTCTCTTCAAAAGACCAGCCAACCGCCGCAATATCTGTATCCGACCAACACATGAGGTTATCGCAGAGAAAGTCAAAGCAGTGATCTATAGCACAAGTTATTGCATGGTCAATATACATGAATCTCAGCTGTCACTACCTGCGTGCGTTGAAACTTTTCCGGGATCTGGCTAAAGATCCCTTTGCTCCGGGTTATAGTATCCCCGCGAATGTAGTTCCGGGACGGTCGGTACGTGGTTTATGGAACGACACAGAGTTTAATGTAGATTTACACTTACTAGAAAATGAGGCTGACGGGAAACTTCGAGGATACCAACATACGTGGAGGGATCGTGAGGGTATTTGGCAGTTTTGTGAGGCAGCTTTGATGCTTGATTGGGGGTGCGTTTGACGAGACCAGCTTGAGAATGTCAGCCCTTGCAATGTTAGATTCTAAGACTGTCACAAAGGAAATGCTAACCGTCCAAAATAGAATCCCACGCATACTTCGTATTATTATTCCAACCACCCATAAACGATGTCACATCTCCATATCGCACACCGGTGTGAAGTTGACGCATCTCCCTATCTATGAGGATTTCTGCAATGCGTTTGACCGTAACTCTAGGTATCTTATACTGACATCCAGAAGTAATATTGCTTTTGTACAGATAGACAATCCAGAATAAAAGGGAGATAGTGAATCTGTGCGTGGTCAAGAGGCCGACAGAGAGTGCGCGATACATCCGAAGATGCTCTGAGCAGACTGGCTCAGTATCCCGCATTTGCGACGATCCAGACCACAATGAATTCTCACCTATATTTATTGAGTTCTTCTTCTTCCTATTCTTTAGATGAGTGGGCCGAAGAGCAAGATGACCTTCTCTGATCATCTTTGGCAAAGGCGGCATCAACATCCTTGTCCGTGAAGGCACGATAGTATTTCTGCGAACTATTGGAAAACATGAGAAAAGAAATAAATAATCAGCAGCCTCTAGTATTTCACGGATCAAGCAGGAAACATCAACCCTAGGAGAGTAATGTTGACTAGTTCGATGAAAAGCAAAGTGGGTGACTATTCCCTATCTCAGGTTACGATGAGCTCCAAAGACATCAAGCCTATTCACTTGGGCAATAAAATATTACGTGGAGCCTTTTCCAAAAAGAAGCCATTTTCATGCCCCCCTACGATATCAGTAGTACTTTGTTGCCATTAGTTAATGCAAGGGAAATGAACAGGGCTCAGGACACCTATAGCTTTATAGCCGTGGCATTTGTAGGGAATGTTGAAGTCCGGCCACGATGATCAGCTGCACTCGTCCATGTATGAGTAAGAATATCCGTATTCACATCTCACAGAATGTTTTGTAGTAATATTTATACGCAATAGGACAGGTGGGTTCGGTGTTTGAGTGTATTTTGGTTGAAACCAGCTGGATATTTCTCTCCATAATAGTCAAAGTATGCCTCATGACGGAAGATATTGAGGTAATGCAGTTGGTGAACTACATCAAAGCGACCAGCATAGATCTCTTGACAAAGCCCAGATTCTGGAGAAAACCGTACCAATTTTGCGGGATGCTTTCCGATGGCAATCACGTCTTCTCGAGTAATCACGAACAATCTGGTATCTGCGGTCTTCCTCCAGGCGATATCTCGTTCTAGGCTAGGTTCTTGTCGGAATATACTAGGAACTCCAGAGGCAAAAAGATTTGCCTCCATCCATTGGGTGCGAGAAAATCCTCTCTATGGGTCACAACAGATTATTATTTCTTTCTACTCATATTTCAGAATCTCCAGTAAATGTTAGCGGGCGCTTGTTTCCCCAGGTAGTCGATGGCGAGAACCTCCAAGCGCCACGATGCTTCCTTTCAAAATAATAGTGCACAAGAATCCTCACTACTCCAGGAACCTCGGGCCAGTCACCTGCCCCTTCAAACTCCCTATCAGAACTTCCCAAGACAATGGGGAAAATAATTGACTAGCAAGTCAGTCTACTTCTCATGGGTAGCTGCAAGAGGAATTACGCTTACCTTGTCACCTTTCCGCATCTCCAGATCGAACACGGTCCAGGCCTCCTTCAGAGCTTGTCCGTCGTATTGCCCTAGAGCTAAAAGCGTTTGGATCTCCTCTGTTAAATGCTGAATCAAAATTTTGCCAAAACTGTCTATTAAGGCTCTCAGCTCCTTGCCGTGGTAGTTTTCGGGCTTGGAATCGTTCAACCACGTCTCAAACTTTACCAACCCGGACTCGAAAGCATGATGTTGAGCGACATTGCGCTCCATCAATCCCTTCTCGCCCGTAATCTTTTCTATCTGAGGAAACAGCAATTCTTCTTCACCGTGGTGGTGCTCGCGGAGCCATTGGCACCAAAACTGTGCGTATTTCAACAGATCGGCGATATCGATGAGTGTAGAGACGTGAATGCATTGCTGATAGATGCTATTTAGAGCTCGAATCATACCGTTGTGTGCAAATGCCATTTCACGTGCAACATGCACAGACGCATGGGCTTTGGAGAGGTCCATACCACAGCCAGGTATAGAGATAAGAGCGAAAGGCTCATCAGCCCAGCATGCGGGAGATACGGCCATGGTGAGATGCAAGAAGGATAATATCAGTGAAAATAGTTTCTAGACACTCGAGATAAGAGGAACGGGGCCAGATTACAAGACCTACAAAGCACTGGGAAAATTTGCTCAATTGAATGGAATAACATTTTCTTATATAGCATTCACGGTAATGCAGTATGTCTAGGGCTGACTCGTAAGATTGCGGTCTGCAGAGTACAAATGCTTGGATTGGACTAGTTCCAGCCAAGACAATACATTTCCCGAAGTTGGAACTACTTGTGCTATTAGGCGGTTAAGCTTAAGTTCATGTACGTGTAGCTAACTAAACTGGTGGAGAGCCAAGGACACAGCCTCATGGTTAAGAATCATCCAATCGGGGCTATTGGTCTACACGTAACTTTCTGCCAAGTCAGATTCCCACACGCACGTGTATAAAGGCCGTAAGCACAAGAATCCTAATCCTAGCGATGCAAATTGTCAAGACTGTCAGAAGGCCGGAGAATAGGGGACAGCAGACATATGTAAGCGGAGAATACAAGTAGACGGCACGAAAAACGTGTTGCCGAGCTGACGCAGTGTGTGTGTTTAACTTTGACTTGTGGCTTCGTCCTGAGAAGAGAACTAGATGCCAACCAGCTTAGCCAATCCCCCCCCCCCCCCAAAAAAAGCCACTGCCGATTATAATTAGCAATTGATAAAGGCAAAGCGCCATCATGAGCGGGCTGTGTTCCAATGAGTGTAGGGTGAGGCTGCTGACGACCGACTGGAAGGCGAGCTACTTATGTGACACTAAAAAAGGTTCGTATTCACCATTCACCTTTCAATTCAAGAGCGGCGACATATGCTACTTACACGTGCACAAAGTAGCGGGGAGTGACCGGCTACAGGGGTAAGCCAGGGGATGAATCTAAAAGACCCAAGGTGTCAAATATCCAATGATGTTCTCAGTTTGTTCTCCACTACCTCCTTGACCTCGACCAGAGCGACCTATTACAAGACGGCCACTCATTCAAGAAAAGGGACATCCCAGCTGGTAGTAAGGGGAGGGCTATTCAGCATCCCAAGTTGGCTATCTAGCACCCCTAGCGACTAAGAAAGTTCTGAATGTCGTAATAACGTCTCATGAAGATCTTTTATCACCATTACTTAAATATCTAGATGCACGGTTCCTGGAGTATCTGCTACTATCGCTACTGTCTGCTACTATCCATATATTCCTCTAATATCTGCTATCATTACTGCCGGGGCCGCTTTGAATTTAACAATGGGAAGCTGAATAGTCACTCCCATTATTAACTAACATACGAGCTCTGACTCTCATCTTTTTCATTGATAAGCCGCCTATGGTTTGCGGGCCCGTCTGGTCACATGGACCATTGTAGCAGAAAGCTTCACTGTTGAACTGAATACCATCATAGCATAATTCCGAGATCAGGTCAAGGGTAAAACTTATACACATATGCACGATATCTATATGATCATGCCCAAGTCAAGTGTCTCCCATGTGGGCCTATTGCGAGCCATAATGGCTAAGTCGTAGCAAACCCATCCTAATTCATCTCAAACTCTTCTACAACCATCTGTTCAGAGATAACCCAAAGCTTCTGTGCCCCTTCCAAGCTTCCAGCATAAGCTAATCTAGGTTCTATAATTTAGCAGTCTTCAAGGTAGCCGCCATTGAATTTGACAATATCGAGATCGAAGCAGCAACAAGGTAGGTTGATACACCTTGACTCAATGTTTTACGGGTTACCTTACGAGCCTTTTCATCATCGACCTCATCAACTTTGCCTATAACTCTGATTTTAGATTGCTTCCCGTGCTAGCAGCGTGTTTGGAGACTTACAAAGGCTTCCCAACACTCTTTGGCCCAGGTTGCTCTGAATTCTTGAATCATGAGTGTTTAGCCGTGACTTTTAAGTATTACTTCTTTTCTAGATTCGGTGGTAATGAACTCCAGGGTGGGCACTAAACGATGAGATGCCTTGTTCATGGAGTCTCGCGGAATGTGCGAGAGATACAGAGAAGAGCATATTTGCAGTCTTGGCCTGACCGTATGCGATCCATGGGTTATACACTTTACCATCCTATTAAAGTCAGTTCTAGGACCTGATTAGCGTACCTATCCACCTTGAATTGATGGGCGTGCGTGCATACCTCAAGGCCCGAATCTTCGAAATGAATATTGCTAAATCTATGGCCTGCACTTGAAATGCTAAGCACCCTCCCTCCCTCAGCTATCTATTTATAGATGAGCATAGATGAAGCTCAATTATGTCATAAAATTATTATGTTTTCTCGCATAAAATATATCTGGAATAGGTACAATTATCGTATTAAACAATAAACCGATATCTTTCATTCTCTGGCTGACTGGCCGAGGCATCCAGGGGCTCTACTACAGCCTAGATTCTTGTTGACACATGGAGATATCCACTTGAGAAAGAAATAAGTGGCTCAGATAGCATCTTCTGTCTAGAGATTTAATGCCTGTAGCTTATTGAGAGTGGTCATGTGTTAGGCAGCGTTCTTGTTAAGCAAGCTCGTTCTCCAACCACGTACTGGGCGGGGAATTGCGGACTTGGAAGCATCTTTATCTAGGGTCGGTAGCTGTTAGCTATATTCAAATGTTTAGGCTAAGTTCTCTTTAACAGGAGAGACGTTTCAATAAGATGCTTGGGGCGGGGAATAGCGGAATAAGAGGGGACCTTTGGCGCTATTGGTTTCTAATACTAATTTCTTACTCGTGCCTATAGTGATTCTTGGGCTGCCGCCCTATGCCAAGAGTTGTGCTACTTCCCCTCTATCCAAAAGTCATCAAGACGCCCTTAGTGAAACATTTGACTATTAAGCCGCCTGATATTCCTTTAAATTTCCAAGGACGGTTTCAGACGGGCAATCTCGGTCACGTCTTGTTATAGAAGTATCAGTACCATTGGGACTGGCAGATTCACTTCTCATACTCACATCCGCTTCAAAGTAGCACGCCAACAAAAACCTCAACCAGCTGCAAAATGGGATCCGAAAGCAAGTCGCTGGAGTCGTTTTTGAAAGACTTCCCCATCGAGCCGCCTGGTTCATCCGAACCCTGGTCGCTAGCTAAGGATTTGTGTCTTACCTACCGAAGTCTAGCAATTACTTCATCAGATCAGTTCATTCCAACGCCGCTTTTGCAGCAGAACTTAACAGGATACCATAAAGGGAAATGCCTGGCCATCGACATCGGAGGAACGAACCTCCGAGTAGGCATCATCGAATTCATGGACACAGCCGAAACCACGGATCATGATGGCGTGAATGGGAATGCCCAGAGTGCTACAAATAGGAGCCAGCTTCATAAATCCTTTGAAATGTCCTGGCACATTGATGAAGATCTGAAAAAGGCACATCCGCAAAAATTCTTCAACTGGATTGGAAGCTGCATTGTCGACGTGATTAGCAATAAAAAGAGCTTCCTGGGGGGTTATGATAAGGAGTTTCTGCCTGTCGGCATAACATTTTCCTTCCCTATGATGTAAGCTAAAACCAGTCTTGTTGTAGAGATGCAAAGCTTCCAGTACTGATATTAAGCTCTGAAAATAGTCAGGAGTCATTGAACGAGGCTAAGATAATGGCCATGTCCAAAGGGTTCACTCTTGAAACAGATATGGACCTAGGGCATCTTCTCGTTCAAGGATATGAATCTCATAGAATTAAAATTCTTGATGAGCAGGAAACCAAGCTCCCAGACTTGAAAATTATAGCCATTGTCAACGATGCAGTAGCGACTTTCATCACGGCCAACTACAACACCCAAAACATGTGTGGGAGAAAAGTTCCTATGGTAAGCCACACCCTTTTGGCAGTTTTCTTGTTGCTGACAGTGTAATTTAGAGTTTCATCTGCGCAACAGGAACTAATGCTACCGTATCTATGCCTTTGAGCAGTTTTGGGAGCTTCAAACTACCTCGTCATATGGATCTGAGTGAACTTTCTTCTGATTCTACCGAGTTCATAATCAATACTGAGTGGGAGATGAAGGGAGCATCAGGGCCACTACAACCTTATATAACAAAGTGGGACCTACTGCTTGATAAAGACCTTCCTATTCCCGGCCAACAGCCATATGATTACATGAGTACATATTTCTGACCACCGTGATATAAATAGGCTAATGTGTTTCTATAGCTGCTGGGAGATATCTTGGCGAGCTTGTTCGCTTAATGGCAGTCGACTTCTTTACTACCCAATGGCATATCCCTGAGCTCGACTTACCACTACGGCTTCGGCAACGAAACTCTCTAACGACGGCATTTATTGGAGCCCTTGGTGAGACTACCACACGTAGCAGTCATCACGAAAAAGACCAGATTGTTGTTCTCTGCGAGACAGAATTACCGCCCACATCAGGCAGCAGTTGGAGGTGGGGTTATGAAAGTGCAAGTGCCTTACGCGAGATCGCAATCAGAGTTAGGCAGCGTGCAACAATGTTAACGGGCAATGCTATCGTTGCTATGTTGCTTTGTATTAGGGCTCTAAAGTGTGATAAGCTGCTCGATCCCGAGTTGCTCTCAAATCATTGCACCGCTACGTTTAAGCAAGTCCAATCTCTGAATGTCGAGGTCCCCGCAGAAGAGGAGCCATTGCTTGTCGGCTATACGGGTGGATGTAAGTTGCATTCTTTCTCATAGAGATATATGGCTGATACTGTGATGCTGTAGGTATTATGCATTTCCCAAAATACTTGGACGAAGTCCAGAGGTGGGTTGATCAATTGACACACAATATTCATTCATCACCACAACCTATCGAATTTATACCTGTTGTTGACGGAGGCATTCGTAAGTCTTCAGAAGCATACAACGTGTCTAGTACCTGAACTGAGCCCTTATCTAGTTGGTGCTGGCATACTAGCATGTACGGCATTGAGTGCATAGAACTACAAAGAGGGACGTTGGTAATCACAAAGTTTAAAGCAGTTTAAGCATCGTCAAATACTATTCTAGCTACCGACTTGTATAAGTGGTTCTCTTATGTTTTACATTATATGGCAAACCAACGAAAATTCATATAATATTTCTCACCCAAGACACCATAACACCACCCTGATGTGTACTTAATCAAAACAATTCATTTTTTAAAAAAACTATAGGAGAAATAATAACTACTTTTATCAACGCACAGGGCAAAATTAAAACCCGATTCAAATAGAAGCTCTCAAATCTCTTCCCACTTTTCATGACAGCAACTCCATGAACAATTTCCAGAAAGACCAAAGATCCGAAATAGCAGATAAACACATAAAGATAGATGACCAGTAACCTAAACTTTCCATAGGCGTTTCTTGGATGAATGGCTGCGAGTTCGTTTGTTGACTTTTTCATAGCTAGTGTAATAGAGATTTCTCATGAACCATAACTGACTTTGACTGACCCATATGAGACCCCTTCTATCTCTAAGGAGAATTTCATCAAACATTCAAGAGTCACGACTAAATCATAGCATATATCGTAGCTACACCAAATGTTAGCATTTGCCTCAGATTCTGTAACACAAGCACTACTTACTAAACTTGCCCTCTGCTGTCTTTATATTGAGTCAGCATTTGATATGCGTCTTGGATCGTTCATCCCTCAAAATTTTTGACTTACTTGTTTTCCGTGTAAACTTTTCTTTTGGGACCTTTGAGAGATCAGCAACCACGGTGCAGTTGGTGCGGAAAGTATCGATGTTATCTGAGGGGTGTATAGGTGCCGTTCTTCCACGAGTCAAAGGGTGCATCGAGTTAGCAGATCGGCCGCATATACAGGCATACATGATGAAATACATACGCCTCTTTACACTCATACAATGTGTCTATACATTGGAGATCTGAATCTGTGTAGCCCTCGGCAAAGCTCCTGAAGAATGGGAATCTGATAGTTTTGCCTCTGGCGAGATCCTCCCCAATCTTAATATACCAGGTCATCTAGAATTCCATGAGTCAGGCTGAGAATATACGGAAAACCAAAGGAAATTACAAAGTACTCACTACTTCAACTCTGGTCACGTCATCAATTCCCTTCCTTGAAGGCCTACCCTTATCGCGATCTTCTTCATAAATGCCCCATGCCTCGACGCCGTAATGACGGGTTGAAGATGAGCTTGTTACAGTGGCCTCGGTCTCCATGCCCGAAATTGCTGCACCCCTAAGTGAAAAAAGAGGGAAGAAAATGTTAGACTCAGATCATCTAAGCTCAGATTACACCTATACCCACTTGGCGATTGCAGCCCAGGCATCTGGTGGCTGCAACACTTGTATGCCTGGATATTTGGCTTCAACTTGGCTCATCAGGTACTGGCTGCTTCCAAAGCCTCCGACCAAGAATATGTACTATAAACACTCAGCTTCAATCTTCTGTGAAAAAACACATCATACCATACCTTTGGGTTTTGGCCTCCTAGTTTGAGTTTCACACTCTCGACTTGCTCATCGATCAGTTTGAGAATGTCATAGATGATGGGATTGAATATTGCCATCACATCCTCTCTGAGTGAAAGTACCTGTTAGTTTTGCATGACAGACAGACCAAAATGATTCTCCTTACCCAGTCATTGTCCATGTGTTTGACTCCAAGCCCTTATCTTCATCATCTTCCAATTTTCCTTTGGGAAAATTAATATAATATTCTTCATCATTATCACCTTGGAAGTACTTCTTAACCTCTTTATCAAACTGTCTTGCAGCAGACTGATAGGCTTTGCTTGGCTGAAGATTCTTCCACTGCCTCTCACCGACGAGCTTCCTGACGGCACATTCAAAGCGCTGGTTAAGGCCGAGGGATCCGACCATGCCACCTAGAGTATGATCAGAATTAGGTTAGACATCTTGATTATTGCAGCATGTTTTCATGTCTAACCTGTGCCTGGAACAAGCTCTTTGAGCTTCAACCTAGGATCAATCTCTTCCACTTGATAGGATATCAGATCCACTGTACCGCCACCCGCATCGCAAACGACGAATGCGTCATTCGAATGGAGAGCAACATCGAGTTTCTTGGCGGTCCATAACGCTGCAGCTTCCGGCTCTTTGATTAGCTGAACAGGACTGAGGCCTGCCGCTCTGGCTGCCTAAATAAACATTCAAGGTCAGATTCTATATCTGGTAGAGAAGCTGGGCATAGAGGGAGAGCTTACCGTCAGTGTGGAGTTTTTGGCAGCATCCGACCAGACAGCCGGCACTGCGTCATGCTATTAGCAAATGAATGCCTTATTGTTGTTCCAGAACCTACCAGACAAGACGTAAACCTTCCGGCACAGTTTAACATAGTCCTGGGAGACTTTTTTCCCTATTTCCTTCATGGCATGATTGTACACCGCGCCGATGAAGTCTGCAGCCACCTGAACGGGTGACTTTGGTAGTTTCCCGAGCTCTTCTTCGACATTGATTTCCGGGAGATATTTGGGACGTGGCTGCGAGGGGTCAAGCAAAAGTTTGACTCCGACAATGCCGCCATCTTGTCGATTTACTTGAGCGCCCCAAGTGAAACTCACAGGGCTGTCGTATCGTATAACAGTAGGGATTTTAGGCACACCTGCGCCATCCGAACCAGGCCAGTATTCTATTGACGTAGGCGAGCTATCTCGCTCATTAGTGAAACAGTAGGTGATACCAGAGAAGGTGGTTCCAAAGTCCAAGGCAATGATGAGTCTATCATCGCCAGTAGAGGATGCTTGCACTACCATCTTTGCAAAGGAAATCGGTGTAATTGACAATGATGTATCCCACAATGAAGAGAATGTCCATGCACAAGCCGATGTCAGGCTCTTTAATCTTTGCTGAATAAATCGGTTGATGTCTCTGACTGACAGATGCCGGATACGGACAAGTCGTCATATGCCATTGAGGCTCAACTACGAGTCGAGCCCTTGTCGCTGGGCTCCCTCTCTATCAACTCTGGGCACCTGACAGGCTGCATGAAGAACAACACAATAAGCTCTCAAGCTTTGGGCTTCCTTCGGGCTCAAAACGATTGCATATGGGATGTATGGGTGGGTTGCATTTGCATGCGGCTGAATATATCTCCACCCCCCCGTCCTCAATAGCCAAACTGTTGGGCATACCTGCATGACCAATAACATGTCATTTTCTAACTGTGGGGTGTTCTCTTGCTCCAGAAGCAGATTCTCGAGGCCCTCTGGTGTAAACTGATATTCTGTAACGTTTAGAAAGTTTTACTATATCCCAAGTGAGTAAGATAGCAACTCTCTGCCAGGTTCACTATTATTCCTCTACTGCTAGAGGCCCTGGGCTTTTTGACACTGCATGTATCTAAGTCCATTCCAATGAATCCCCATACTCAAGAAACTCCCTCCTCTGGAGCTTCAGGCTCGTCTAGAAACCATGGAGCAACTTCAAGCGGTAAAATTGATCAGAGGAGTGAACGCAAATCCGACCATTCTGATGAAGCCAGATCTTTTAGTCGGCTTACCACAAAAATTCAAAAGAGTTCCCGCTCGAAATCGACTCTAGATCATATGGGTACAGTTGAAAGACCCGAGCAAAAGCTCTCAGTAAGTTATTTGAAAGAAAGGAAAAGAAATGATCTGTATTATACCTAGCTAACTCTCGATAAAACTGTTCAGGCCAAAGATTATGCGCTTTGCGATACTCGAAACGAAAACGCCGAGTTGAAATTTCAAATAAAGAGGCTGGAAGAAGAGTTACAGATACGCCATGGCGAGATCAAATCTTTGCGTCAGGCGCTGGCAAGCCAAGATGAGAACTCTACACGACAACAAGAAGAGCTCATTGCGAGCAGAGAGAGTTATGAAACTGAGATTCAAACGTTGAGAGCCAAAGAACAAAGCTTACGAGACTTTGTTCTCGACAGTAACGGTGACCAAGTCGTAAGTGGCGACGACATAATCAGTCGATTTGCAAGCCTCCGTCAGAAAATCCAGAAGCTTGCTACAAGCAAAACGTACCGCTTAGGGCGGGAGAATCTGGCTCTGTGGGTGAAAGATGGTTCAATCGATGCTACCCTCTCAAAGTTATGGGACAAGTCCCCACGTCCTAGCCGCCTGTTGATTCTCCGGTCACTCTTATTCCAGCTATTGAACAACTATATACTTGGTTGTGAGACGTTCGACATCAACGATGCAAGTCTACAGGAGATTAGTGATCTGTCTAATGCACTGGGTCGGTTCGAACGCACAATTGTTAACCAAGGTGGTGAGTGTAAGCTTGTGTCTTAGTTGGTATGCCTGCTAACATGTAGCTCAAGTTCCCGGTGATGTGGTGGTTAACTGGAGGCTTTCTACGTTCAAGTGTATCGAGAAGGCTCAGCTAAGCGGTAAAGACTTCGGCAGAGATCTCCAAACGCAGATGTATGAAGGTTTCGCGCATCTCATGGCAGAAGACGCGGCAGAAACGGACAAGACGAAGCTGAAAGACGGCTATCTAGAGCTGGTGAAGGAAGCTTGGAATCTTCAGCTGCTCATGCGCAAAAGCCGAGATCATTACCAATGCTGGTCCGTCAATAGACCCTCTCTCAAGAGCCTAGAGCCCTGGAACGAGGTGTTTGAGGAGATAAGCGACGTTGGCACAGGTGAGGATATCGCCTTTACTCTCTTTGGAGCTCTCGTCAAACACTCCCGGATTCTTGGAGAGGAACCAAAGGTCATGGAGAAAGCTCAAATTATCGCGGTAACCAAGCAGGTCTAGGAGATTGTAGGGGAGCATACCTAGCAAAATTGTCACTCTTGTACGTAAAACAGTACTCTTACATCCACTCTTTAGGCAATATTTCTATTAAGCAAGTTTTTACACCTAATATTTGCTACATTGATGTCAGATCAAGTCATGAAGTAAGATAGAGGCTGATACTTAAGCTACTATCCGACAGTATCACGGGCTATACTCACATTGATATTTGATTCTTCTCGATTGCAACTGCCGCATCAGAGGACCAGCGACGTCTAAAGAAGCTTCATTACTGTACTAGAAACAACTACCTATCAAATTGAAAGTCTGCTGATTGCTTCAGTTCCGCCAAAAAGTTGGCAGGCTTGAAAAATTCCCACTGCTGTCCTGCTATCGAATCGGTCAGAGATTCTTCATCCGGGGCCACCGTTGGCTTCCGAGCCTTGGATTCAGGAAGGTGAATTCCTTGGGCCCAGTTGAAAAAGTTGTCTGGGTCCCAATATTTCTTAACACGCTGTAACTTCTCCGTATTATCTCCGTAGTAAGCCTGTTCGTGTGCTGATTTGCACATTGCGCTGTCAGGGAAGTTAATAAACGCTGCCTTGCCGTCGATAGAGTGTGGTCTGAGTTGCTGCTTGACCTCCTGTAGGAAGCCCCTCATATCTCTCTCCATCCATTTATCCACCCATTCTATCATAATGTATGTGTGATACACCGCGTCACGCCAGTAGAAGGCAGTATTGGGGGCGTTCCGATCGCCTGCTCTGCCCCCAGAATGAATCCAAGTGATTTGGAATGAAACCTTCTCTCCTGCGAATCGCTCCTTGAACTTGGCAGTCCAGTTTTGCAGGATAGACGTGACATTTTTTATAGTATTCATGTCATTCTTGAGAACGAAAGACGTGTAAATGTCATACAGATTAGTCGATGGAAAGGATCTGATGTCCTCGGCCCACTGAGCATCAAGAGACTCGTGAAGAAAACGAGTCGATTTTTCAGGTAATGCGCGTCGTTTAATCTGAGTTGCCAATTCCCCAGGAATATACTGATCAATCAATTGGTCGAATCCGTCCTTGTCGCCATCGTAGTAGAATATCAGTCTAACGCCAACCTCGTTGGGCGCCTCTCGAAGGTCACACAGCCAAGTTGTGTCCATAGTCATTCTATCCGGCCAGTTCGTAGTGTAGATGCCATTCATGATGTCCACTACATCGTTGTCGAATTTCTTCGACTTTGGATACCAAGTGTACCTCCCAGCTACTACAGTCCCATTTTTGTTACTCAGCTCCTGTAGCGCCAGCTTCATCTTGACGAGAACACCAAAGTTGGCACCTCCTGCACCGCGAAGGGCCCAGAAGAGCTCCCCCTTTGGGGATGACGGATCATCTGTGTCTTTGACAGTGACCCTCTTCCCATTTGCGGTTACAATGGTGGCTTCCTTAAGAGTGTCGGAGCCCATTCCAAAGCTTCTGGTAAACGGACCAAGGCCACCGCCCAGCATAAACCCACTGGCCCCTACACTAGGGCATCGGCCGCCGTTGATGATATATCCATCGTGTTTGCCATTTATTAAGAGCATGTAGACCTGGCCCCACACCATACCGCCTTCCAGTGTAACAATCTTTGACTCAATATCGATCTTTCCTTTGTTTAATTCCTTTAAATCCAGCAAAATTCCCTGAGAGGCGGTAGAAAACCCTGCATAAGAGTGGCCACCATTCTTGACAGTGATTGCAATGTTTTGTGAAACTGCTTCGTTCACCACTTTCTGGACGTCCAAGATACTTTTAGGATGGATAACACAATTGGGCCTTGAAAACCGGTATAGGCGATTCGTAGTGATGACGGAACGCTCATAGTCTGGTTCTCCAGGTTTGAGAACGTTGAGGTTTTCCCGTTTCAAAGCATCAATTGCCCGATTCATGACTCTCGCTGCCTGATCCATGATGCCTGCAGAACACAGGGCCACGTATGCTTTCGTTCGGTTCGTCGAGGTTGCCAATTGGTTGATGTCCTTGGCAGGTTGAGGTTCGCAGCACGAACACGTCTCCTGCAAGCAGACGTGCTGACACCAGACAGCCACGTTGGTCCATTGCCAGAAGTAATACAAAGATGAAGGGCGTGTACGCATGGATATTCTTGCCCAACGTCCATCAATGTGGAAAATCGCGCACCCGGTGACCATTTCTTTCTGCCCAAGTATTTTACTAGTATCAGATATCAAGGCGGTTTTCTCGGAGGAATCTTCAATTGGCTGGAGTAGTGGTGTTTCTGTCCACCCAGATACAAAGCCTCGCCCTGAATAGCTGCGACCCCGCTCGCGAGGCATATCGGTCTGCTTTCGGTATGTCAGTGGGTAGCCATTTATTCAATAAACGAATGAGAAAGACATGCTTGAGCGTTAGTTTCACCCCGCAAAAGCCTGGTGACGAGATAGTTGAGAAGGGAAAAGAACAACAAAGACGTGTTTAGGTAGCAATGCAGCGTCAGAATGCCACGCAGCGGATGACAAAGCCATTCCTAATATTTTATAAGAAAATAAATCAATGATAATACAAGAAGAAGAGGATGAGGAATAAAGGTGGTTGTACGACCAATGGTTTGATTGGTTAACCCCCACAATAGTCAAAATCACGGAATACCGAGGAGAGATCTTGAATGGTTGATGTTAGTTGAGCCTCATGCGTTATGTACTATCCGACGTCAACCACGTTTCCCTTCGCCCGCCTTGGTTGCATGATTGCGGCCTGAAGCAATTTGATAAGATTCTACTCATCATTTCAGCCTCACTAACTTCATGCATTGTATTTTAATGAGTGTTTATTTCGGATACTCTGAGGTGATTGGACGTAGTATATGCAGCCTATGTAGTTGGAGGTTTTATCCCCACCCTTTCAACCTAGGGCACCGAATATACTGCGTTTAATAGAAACACTGGAATATGGATATGAACCCAACAGCTCCACAAGGTGCCACACTCTTTCGATATCTACCTGGCAACGATGGGCTCTTAGGCTTCAGGGCATTCATTGGGGGAGCTCGGCCAAACCCCATGTTCCTCTCTTCAGAAATAGTCACGAGCCCGAGAGCGGCTGTCACAGACCCCAGCCGTCACGGTCACGGTATTCCAATTTGAACATATACACGATGTAAATAGATAAAAGAAAAATATAAAATAATAAATAAATTCGTAGCTTATTCCAGGGTATTGTCTCAATTATCATCCTTTCAAACCCGCTCAACCGCCAACCTATGAAAGACTGGCTCATAGCAGGTGTGTCATCATGGGAATTCACGAAGATGCTCGGAAAGGAACCCTTGTTGGGTCAACCCTCACAGGCTATATCGAAGGAAATCCCAATATTGTCAACGAATGGGACCCTGTGGAAGGTATGACACCACTTGCAGCTGCTGTAATCGAAGGACATGCCGAAGTAGTCAAGCAACTCCTCAGGAGACGTGCCAAGCCAGATGCTCCCTGCAAGAATGGCGAAACGCCACTCCTCTTAGCCGCCTGGAAGACGTCCTCAAATCGCTCCAAGATAATTCAGCTGCTCCTCAATATCAAAAAGATGCCCCAGGGCTATGTGGATGCCACTTGCAAGATTGCCAATGGGAATACGCCGTTGATGTTTATACTCAGCAACACAAACCCCATCGATCTTGAATCCGTTAGGCTACTGCGAAAGGCCGGGGCTTCTCTGACGCTGGAGAACAATGATGGAGTAAGTGCAGAGGAAATGGCTGAGGAAAGCGGTGATACGCAAGTCAAATACGCGCTTCGTCCAGAAGAGGAGCAGACATTCTTTCAAAAGTCCTCCGCATTCATCACTTCATTGCTACTTTACGTCGTTGCGTGGGTGAATAACACTCTGAATGGGGTCATCCACAAGAAACATGGCCTGAATCCTACTCTAGATTCGGATCTAAATGAGGCACGTATCGAAACCAAATCATTTTTATAATAACTTCTCACTGACTAATCGGGGTTAGGTGGTGAACGGCTCCAAAGAGACCAATGCGGCTGACTTTGCGGCCAACGTGGACAACTTTGTCCAAGAAAACCCTATCCTAGAGCGCTTCTTCAAAGGTAAGAAGTTTATACAAGAACTGGCAAAGAAGGCTTCCGACTTGGAGAATGATCCATCAACACCCCTTGGTTCCAAGGAACTTTTACCGAAAACGATCAAAGTGAACTTACATCAACAAGCTATCCTCTGTGGCAAGTATATCTAGATGTCTATGCTCTTGATCGAGCATTTTGGAGCCTTTGTTAATGTCTAACCCAATTGTTGTAGATGACAGCGGTTCAATGAGATTCGAGGGTCGTTTTGATTCCTTGAAAAAGCTTGTTTTCCGAATTACTTTAATCACTACTCGTATCCTGCCAGCCGATGAAGGCGTTGCGATATGCTTCATCAATCAAGATGTCAACGATGCCACAAACCTGACTCTTGATCAAATTGTCAAGATGCTGGAGCCTATGAAAGAAAAGAGAGGCGGCGACACTGAGACTGGCACAACCCTAAGGAAGAAGATCCTCGAGCCAATGGTTTATAAAAAGCTTTCGGAAAAGAATTTTGAAAGGCCATTGCTCATCTCTATCCTCACTGACGGTCAGCCCTCGGGAGAAAAGAAGACTGAGTTTGTGGATGCCGTTCTGGAGTGCGGTCAAAGATTGGAGGAAGCCGGGTATCCTCGCCAGAGTATGTATATCCATTCCCAACCCTCCGTCCTGACTTTCGCGCTGCCATATACTAATCTTCTGAGCCCGTAGGCGTAAAGTTCCTGGTTGCTCAGATCGGGACGGCAAAATCTGCCACGAAGTTCTTGGAAAGCCTAAGGAGCAATGAGCAGCTAAAGGATGTGATGTTTTGTACCACAGGTAGGCCAGCTATCTGTCAATTGGCAGTTTTTCGTGCCGCGTTTTCACGTGGACTGACACATTGCAGACCAGTTGGACGCAAAATTATCCGACCTCCACAAAAATGAGAGAGACTTAGACAGATGGGTGAGTACTAGGTCTACATAGTGATCGTATCAGCTGCTACAGCTTTATTAACTTGCTTTTTCTAGCTACTCGAAACTCTCTTTTCAACAATTAAAGATGCTGAGTAGGAGGTGCCGGTGTTATCTTGATTGCGCTTCAGTTGTTAGCTGTTACCAGGAAAATGGGATATTAAGGGCTTCAATGGGGTAGACTTGCTTGCGCGAATGGTTACAGCAAACAAACCAAAGCAGCCTTGAATATCTGAGGTTCATATCGGCAGATGAAGCCCTCCCACCCTCAGTCAAGGGGCACAGGAGAGCTTCGTGTAATGAGCAGGACAAGGATAAAACGATGGAAATGTTGAGGATATCTGGAGAAGCCTCTATAGGATAAAAAATCACCAATCAATTCAACAAGCCGCCTAGGGCTCAATCGGTGATTCGTGATTGGCCAATGACAACCGGGTGATATCCGGGAGTCGTTGGCCTAGCAAACGCAGCCCGGTTAGCTCAATCGGTAGAGCGTGAGACTCTTATGAGCACACGTTCTGATGCAATCTCAAGGTTGCGGGTTCGACCCCCGCATCGGGCTCTTCCTATACAAAGTCATTTGATTGAGATTTAGGCGGTTCTTTTTTTTGCTTTATATTCCCGTCATCTTTTTTTATTTTTTTAATCATGCAATTAGCTCCATGTTCCTGTTTCTACTTTCACCCTTGTGAATACTTCTCTTTGTTGGTTCTGTGCGTGACGAGAGTCTGTGTATTGAGATTCACAGGGTATATATCAGCTTTACAATTGCAATAGATCTCCTACCTACTAAGCAAGGATGTGTCAAGGTAAGATTTCAACGGGAATTCTACATGATCCAACAAAATAGCCCAACCAAGACAACGACATGATGCCGCACAGCGTACCGCATACCCATACCATCCGTATTCAGTGAAATCTCCTTCCGCGGTAGTGCCTATCCCCGCCTCTGTAGCCTCCTCCATACGGTCCTCCTCGCCTGTGATCACCTCTATCTCGGGGTCCATGGCTGTGTCCCCCGCGATATCCCCCACGCCCGCCACCCCCTTCTCCGTGCTCGTTTCTCGGAGCTGGTATTGGCTCTTCCACTTCAACCTCGTATTCTTCGTACTCTTCGTTGTAGTATTGAGCCACCGTATCTTGCTCTTCTCTGGCCGCCTCGGGGTCGAAAACAAATCGCATGGTGCCGTCCTGGCCGCGAGCTGTTCGTCGCATAGACAAGTCGCCGGGCAACGATGATGATGTTGCTGTGGGTGAAGTCACCGAGCCAGGGGTAAGCGGGCTGGGCTCATCATTCTCGCAACGGCTGCAGTAGTACATGTGTCGAGAGATGAATTCTTTTTCGAGCTCCGTGTTAAGGGCGATTTTGATGTCCATGAATCGGTTTAGGTCAAACTGCGTGCCGACTTTGGTCGACTTGTGATATTGGACGTAAAGGTCAAGTATGTCCAGCATAGTCTCCAGCACTGCCGGACGATGATACTGCCGCCGGTGTGCGGCAAAGTCCTTAACTTTGTCCAAGTGGTGGCCCGTCATGCGAGCTGTGAGTTCCACAAGAGCCATGACCATGGAGAAGGTGGTCCGTTTGATGGGGACAAACGTCTTGTACATGTCGATGCTCATAGCGTAGGCGATGTTGAAGAATTCTTTTCCCTGTTCGGGGCCGAGGATGCTGCGCACGACCTTGACCAGCAGCTTCTGGGGGTAGCGAGTGCGGAAGTCGAAGCCGATCGTTTCGAGAATCAGTCGCTCAAGTCCAATAATGATTTTGCCGGGAGATTCAAAGATCTAGCATTGCAATGTTGTTTTAGTCCAGGGCCAACAGCCGGCGCACCGCAAAGGCCACAAGTACACGCACCTTGTCGTCTGAAGCCGCGGGCTTCTCAGGATTCTTGACATTATAGGCTGCCGCGAGTATGTCCTTGGACTTCTTAATCGTATCCTCAACTTTGCACGCGACAAACAACGATGCCAGGGCCGCGTCTTGGTAGTTGTATTCGGCATCGCGGAAGTTGAGCCGAAACTTGTGGAAATACGTGCACGCTGTGTCAAACGTCCGCACCGGCCTGGCTTGTTCCAGCAGAGGTTAGTTCTGTCCACGACCAGCGACAGCCAGGCAATACGCACAGGTTCAGATGCTGTCTGACGGTGTCTATGAGCTGAACGCCCTGCAAGCGGTAGTTATCCTCTCGCGCGGGGTCGCAGCCATTCTCCTTGAGCATGCGCCGTATCTTGAGCTCCGAGGCGTACTGGTTCGAGCTGGAGATGTAGCCCGGATGAGGTCCAATTCGGGGAGCTGCGTCGCCATTGGAAGCCGCTGGCAGCGCCTCATGGTCTGTGGGAGACATATTGGTTGATTGATATGTTTGCAGATATGGAGAGAGAGAGAGAGAGAGAGAGAGACGGCCAGGGTCTGGCGGGAATCGAATCGAGTCAAGTCGACAGGTGGAGGTACAGCTTCGCAAAGCGTCGAAATGTTGCTTTGCTACGCCCGTTTTTCCTGCCCAAGAGCCTAACAAGGCACTATTGGTAGCGCTCCGTGATTGCCGTCTGCAGCATTGCTAACGCGCCACGATTGCAGGATCGAATTGTCGCATAAGAGAGTTGCTGAGGTTGAGATGGAGGAGTCAAGATGGAATTATGCCTTCACGTGCCGGTAGGCGTAGTCTGTAGAGATCCACTCAACTTTTTACAGCGCGCAGCCATGCTGGTGGGCGCGTGATGACGCAGTGCGAGACCAGCTTCAGCTTTTTAGGTTATAAAAATTAGGACAATTCATCGTATCAACAAGAGATGCAAAAGAAGCAATTTTTTGAACATCTACCGGTTCTTGTAGCGCCTGTTACCGTCGCCCGTGCTCTCTTCTGGTATCTGAGGTTGTCGCTACCTCTGATATCAACAGCAATTAAAGGGATCTGCTAAGCCGCACCCCGAGTTTGCAATACAGGAGCCCGCATCACAAACTTAATATACTAAGGCTAGGTACTTGAAAAGAGTAGTGATACTAGAAGATAGTAGAAGAACCAGGGGGGTGGCATTCGCTGAGATGCTGAACAGGCAACTTGGAGTCCCAGCTGGTCACTCTCAAACCAGAGGATCCAATGTCAATAGATGATCTCATACACTGTGAAAGTCGGGGTGCTGGCTACCAGTCACTCTAAGAAGGAGGGAAAATGGCTGGGAATCTATGGATGCTTGTGTGCCTTGGCTTTCAAGCTCCAATCGCCCATAGCCAGTGGATTTTCTGTAAGCGGTTGTTGACCAGCCACACTACAGAGGCGCTTTATGGTGTTACACCAGACATAAAGCCAGCTCTCCTAAAATGCCAAAGGCCTTGTATGCATTAGATGTCATTTTTCACTTAAAGCAGAGCCTTTGTCTTTCCAACAATGATTAAGCGCTAAACGAGCGTGCCTCGCCTTTGTCATTCAGCCCCTTGCGCATAGCTGAAACCTACAGCGTAGCAAGTCGCTGGTTTCAAGTCTCATGTGCTGGCCCAACGGTTCAGCTTACAGGCCGATTGCATGGAACGCGGCTTTCATCTAGAGTAAAGTAACCAGAAACTCGCAAATGTTTCAAGGCCAAGTTTCTCGATCGCCCCCTTGAACCGCTGCTGTCGGAACAGCTTAAAGGAGCGCCCCATCCGCCCTGGTGTTTGCAGACTTTGTTCCATCTTGTTCAGCATCCGTTCTTTTGCACTACTCTGTTTCATTCACTTCTAGTGAGCTAGCTCTCACGATACATCGACTCGATTTTTTTCATCGTCGTTGACTTTACAACTCATTTTGCGCTGGATCGCACCGATACCCTTCCTTTATCAGCAAACCGTCAAGCTCAGTCTCAGTCACTCTCATAACCAGCACAACCTCAAGCAACCATGCAGCCCTCTACTCTCTTTTTCGCCGTCCTTGCGTCTGCCTCTGTGACCATGGGTCTTCCATTCAATCTTTTCCGACCAAGCTTTTCAGGTGGCTCTGCCCCTGTCGGCGATGCTCCAGCGGCACCTCAACTCACCCCACCCAACTAAGGTGGACTGCACTCAGTTTTTTCTGCACTCTCTTACGAAAGAGCAGCCGTGGAATTCTTGGCTCTACTCAGCCATAAATACAACTGAACAATACCATGTTGTCAGTGCTCCTATGCGTCATATATACTTTGTTAACTTGGGAGGATTGTTGGAGAATAGTGGTTGGACAAAATGATAATTCTACTTGAACTTGGCAATTGGTCATGTTTATCGAGGGCTGCCTTGGAAAGAGAAATACTTCAAAAATAAATGATATGAATACACGAACTACCCGACCACTTCTATTCGTAATTCCTCCTCGTCTGCCAATGCTGTAAATCCACATATATTGATTGGTTCATGTCCTGCATTTCAATTTGCTTGCTGTAGGGTAAGCTCATCCTGAGTTTCCAATACATTCAAATTGATGCCGCTGATTGGCGTGCGTGAGCCCAACCTTTAGTGGACCAAGGCCGGCTTTCAGCGCTGATCCGCCACCGCCCACAGCCTGTTGCCCCGGATTATTTTTCTGCCCGCTGATAACGATAACGCCCAGTCGCGGACAGCTTAATCCCTGCCTGCCGCATCATCACCAGCTTCTTCCAACCTCGTCTGTTCCAGCCTCTCCTTCAGCCTTCCAGCCTCCCGCATTCGTATTCACCCTTCGTCATCGAAATACGCGCCCAGCTGGTTTGATACATCCTTCCTGATATTCAACACATCTCGATTTATCTCCCCTCTTTCTCTCACCATGCGTGCTACTGCTTCCCTCGTGGCGACGGCTCTACTGGCCAGCCGCACGTTTGGCTGGAAGCTCTCCCACCATACAACAGACGACGCAGATGACGACACTCCGCTGCCCCTGGTCATCTGGCACGGCCTAGGCGACGCATACAACTCTGAGGGCATCACGGAAGTTGGAGAGTTGGCCGACGAGATAAACCCAGGCACCTTTACATATGCCATCGGACTCGGCACCGACGCAAATTCCGATCGCTCCGCTACGTTTTTCGGAAACGTCACCCAGCAGCTGCAGACCGTGTGCGATGCTCTCGCCGCGCACCCAATTCTGTCCACCGCCCCGGCCATCGACGCCATCGGATTCTCCCAAGGAGGGCAGTTCCTCCGCGGATATGTCGAGCGATGCAACAACCCCCCTGTTCGCAGCTTGATCACCTTTGGCAGCCAGCACAACGGCATCTCCGAGTTCAAGACCTGTGGCGGCTCTGACTATTTGTGCAAAGGAGCCATGGCTCTGTTAAAGTTTAACACTTGGAGCAAGTTCGTCCAGAACCGCCTGGTACCCGCGCAGTACTACCGCGACCTGAGCAACTACGATACATATCTTGAAAACTCAAATTTCTTGGCCGACATCAACAACGAGCGACCGGTAAAGAACGAGCAATACAAGAAGAACCTTGCTAGCCTCTCCAACTTTGTCATGTACATGTTCGAGGACGATACCACCGTCGTTCCCAAGCAGACTTCCTGGTTCACCGAGGTCAACGGCACCGAAGTCATCCCCCTTCGAAAGCAGACTCAATACAAGGAAGACTGGCTTGGCCTTCGCCAGCTAGACGGCAAGGGTGGCCTTCGATTCCGATCCATCACGGGTGATCATATGCAAATCACCCTGGATGTCTTGAAGGAGGCCATGTCGGATTTCTTGGGCCCTTTGAACAAGACCTTCCGCCCTGAGACAAATGTCGAAGATGTGTCCCAGGGGGAGCTCTAGTTGGTCCTCCTCCTGGTCATGTTTGTTGTCTTTTGCGAATGTGTTATACACCACTTGACGTTTTTCGTTTCCGTCTTCCTCTTCCTCTTCTTCGGTAGTATGTGGTTATTCCTCTCCGTGTTGGTCCTCCTCTACCTTTTATGTCTTGTCGTGCGATTTGTTTATCTCTACTTTCTCAAGATCTGGCCGTATTTGTGAGCGACGGGACATGCCATGGCACTTTGATACGGGCATGGAAACTATTTGGGCGTAATTTGAATTAAATGTATGGGAAATGTTTTTATGTGAGCACTTGAACAGATGCACTAGATGCGAGTTTACTAGGTAGCGGGAATATGGCGCCTTGTCCAATACGAACATTGCCATTCTCTATTCATATTTTTGGTGTCCATCGAATGAATATATACGCCGCAACGCCGGTGCCAGATATCTAATCATCCTATTATGCGCAATACACACAGATAATGATGTAAAAGGAACTTTGTATGTCGAAAGTTTTTGACTCCCCCCTCCTTCTCTCTTTTTCTTCTTTGAACTTTTCTTTTCTTCTTTTACTCCTCTGCCGCCTTCTTGGCCGCGGCCTTTGCACTTCTCAGCCTCAGCTTGCGGTCTGAGATCTGCTTGTCCAGCTTGTCGTCGTTGCTGTCCGCCTTGGGCTTGCTCTCCTTGGCGGCCTTCTTGGCCTTCTTGGGCGCGGGAGCATCGGCCTGCTCGGTGCTGTCGTCGACAGTCTTGCGCTTCTTGCCAATGTTGGCCTTTTCAGCGGCCTTGAGAGCCTTGGCCTCGCCCTCGGCATCGGCAATGACGTCCTTGTCGTCCAGCCAGAGCTCGTCAGTGAGCCAGATGGGCAGAGCAGCGGTCTCGGGGCCCTTGATGTAGATGCTCTTGACGTTGCGCCACTGCTGGGGCACCCACTTGTCGACCAAGGCAGCGGCGACGGTCTCGACGTTGGCGGCCAGCTGCTCGGGGGTCCAGTCGGAGAAGCCGACGCGGACGGCGGTGTTTGTGGTGGGGGAGAGGCTGACGAGGGCCGAGGCGAGGGCCTTTTCAATCTCCTTTGCAATGTCGGCGGCGGAGGCGGCGTAGACCTCGCCCTCCTTCTTCTGGGGCTTGGTCTTCTTGCCGTCGACCTTGCGGGCCTTGGGCTTGAGGACGACGGGGATGGGGCGCTTGAGCGTGGTCTTGTAAAAGGTCTTGCCGAGGACCTTGGGCAGGCGGTTGATGATGCGGTCGTCGCCGAGGAAGACGTCGTGCTCAGAAAAGAGCTTGCGCTGGGCCTCGTACTGGCTGTACTTTGCCTTGAGCTTGGTGATGTCGATGACGCGGGTCACCTTCTTGCGCAGCTCGGCGGGGAAGTCGTCCGAGGCGACAATGTTCTTGTAGGCGCGCTGGGGGTCGGCGGTGATGAGGCAGACGGTGGTCTCGGCCGAGGCGTTGAGGCTGTGCGGCAGCGGGATCTTGCCGGGCTGCAGGCGAGCCTTGTCGGAGATGTGTCGCTTGGTGGTGAGCGTGAGCCAGATTGTCTTTTCCGACTCGACGTCGTCTTCGAGGAGGTTGCGCTTGTCCGAGGCCTCGGCCTGTTCCTTGGCGGCCTTTTTGATGTGTGCTAGGAGGGCTTTTGAAGCTTTGAGGGTCTGTTGAGATTCATTGGACGGTTAGTTTCCAGATTTTGAAGATTTTGATATCCGTTTGTCGAGGTCACGAACCTGAGCGGAATCAAGTGAAACCACGGCTTTCGAGCCAGCAGCGGCGACTTCTTTTGAGGGAGCCATCTTGATTGGTCTTTCTGAATCTATCAACAACAAAAAGACTGGAATTGACGATGTGGTGGTGGAAGGGTAGCTGCAACAAAAGGCAAAAAAAAAAAGCTACGAATTCTCACCACTCGATGCTTTGACGCTCGAAACAAAAAAAAAAAAATCAGAAAAATTCCTGTAAGCGAGATTTTTCCGGCGAGGCTAGTGCGGCGTTCGGAATATGCAAGTCCCGGTTGCCGGTCTTGGCCCGGAAGACGGACGGCGGCCGGAGCGGAAGATCCAAAGGGCTCCACTTTGGGGAAAACAGAGATGCTCAGAAGGCCGTTGATTTGCTGCCCTTGTGTCTAGAGTTGGATTGGCAGCGCAAAAGGGCAGCGGCTTGGAGCTTCTGCAATTGGCCAGAACTGATGCCCAGTTTGTTTGCTCGGTAGATGGTACTTGGATTTTTCATAGATGTTACATATGTTACATTAGGATGCAATGTACCCTGTACCACAACGGGGAAAGCTGGCAAGCTGGCTACGCATCGCACCGCATCGCGTCTGCAAGTCTGCATCCTCGCGACAAGCAGCTAACCTGTAACTGCAATTGCATGTGCCGGTCCATTGTATTCACCCATGCGAGGCCATCATGTGCTGGCGGCGATGCATTTCTGCCTGATTTCTCGGGATCTCAGGCCAATTCAGACCGGGGGATTCAAAAAAACAGATGCGGCCACGGCAACGAGTAAGACTGCGCCATGATATCAAATATGACATGCCGGTAGCCAAATGTGTCCGGCACGGCTTGCGGCGGGGGGGCCAGTGAGCGTGCGTGAGCGTGAATTGCGCAGCGTCCATGTCGGTCCATGTAGGGAGCATGTACGAGTGCGCATAGGCAGCTTGACGTGGACAATTGCTGCAAGGAAGCCGGACGAGATGGTCGCATGGAGACGGCCAGTTGAGGCTGCAGCGCGATGAGCTTTTGGAGCTTATGGGAAGCTATCACATGGAGTAGTTACAGCTAGCCACTACAAAGGCCCATGTGTTTATTACAGGTGATTAGTACAGTACTCATTTTACGGCCGAGGAGATTAGAATGCAGGCTAATATTTGCAAGTCGTACTCGGACAGCCTGCAGATGGATGGAGCTGCTACTTCTGACTTTTGCCTGCAACAGGAATCAAGCCTGACAGGGATCCGGCCTGCATGCTCTCACGGGGTTCCCTATTTTCTTCCTTCTCCGGCGGCTAACCAGAAAAAAAAAGAAGAGACAAAGACAGAGAATGAGACAGAGACAGAGACAGAGACAGCTCAGTTTGATGAAAATTTTAACAGCTTGCATGCGAGGAACGCGGTCCAGAGTGCAGGTGGAGACGTGACTAGGAGCGGAGGAGGCTGGAAAGGCGTGGCAGGTTTTTTTTTGCACATTTGGAGCAGTTAGGACTGGGCAGCTCTCGATTGGCTGCTGGTACGGACGGGTTTTGTGCTAATGTAATTTAATGTCAATTCAATTTTGGGTGAGCAAATGTGTGTGAGGTAATATGATGAGGACATACATGGATATGGGCAGTTAAGTATTATAGCGTGTCTGGGCGAGAGATACTGTACGTGTAGCCACCTAGCCAACTGCCCAATGGAGAGCGGCTGATTTAATGTTACCTGCTAATGCACGCATGCATGTGTGTTGTATTAGTATGGATAGGTATGTAAGAAGGACAAGAAAGAAACAAATGAGAGAGCGGGAGAGATAATTGAACCAAGTACCGTAGCATTGAATGGATGGATCACTCAATATCAAAAGGCCCCGAGATGCAGCAGCAGCAGCAGCAGCAGACTGCACGCATATGTATATGTAAGTGATTCAATTTAATCCAATACGTGTACAGCTGCTAATGCCAGACACGACACAAATCCATGCAACCCGATGCATGTACGAGGACAAACATGGAGCCCCGTAGCGAGAGACTTGCAGCAGCCGATTCCACAAAATCCGCCCCAAAGCTCGCCAAAACTCCCATGCAAAACCGACAGACCCATGAAAAGCAGCCTGGGCTATCCATAAATCACACTGGACCATCCATGTCTGCTGCATTGAATCCATCTTAGTGATGTACGAGTAGGTACTCGCCGCCGCGGTACAGCCCATGTCCATGCCGCCCCAAACGTCGCCATGGCAGCACCCGCAGCTCCCTGTAGCCCGCCCAGCTCCAGCGCCCCGGAGCCCCCCAGCCCGCGCCCGTTGCCACGGCGTCCGCTGCGCCCACAGCGCCAACAGCGCCCACAGCACCCACAGCAGTCCCCCCCCTCCAGCACTCTGCGCGCTGGAAGCTGCCCTGTAAGCCCCTGTAAGCCGCCCTGTTGTGCAGCGCTCGCCAGCGCTCGCCAGGTACCTCGCAGGCACCTGCGCTGCAACTCCCAACGCCAGCGCCAACGCCAACGCGATGCGTCCCCAGTCGCGCGCGTTCGTGTTTCTGGGCTTTTTTCAAAAGACTCCGCTCGTTTAAATACCGCCTCACCCAGCCCTGGTCTCTCTCACCCCTTCCCAACATTGGAACCCACGTCTGTGCAAAGTACCAGTCACTCTTTTTTTCCGACTCTTCCAATCCTTTCCTTTTCGACAACCCCCCCCCTTTCGGTCGGCTAAGGATATAAAAACAAAACCAAAAATAACAAATAGCAATCGCCATTGTGTACTACTGCAGTAGTTGTCTCCAACCTAGGCTTGTAAGTGGGGAGGGCACGAGAGGTGCAGCGTGTAGAGAAGCAGCAAGAGAAAAACACCGACTGTCGACGCGATCTGGCCGAGGACCCAGCTGGAGGAGGAGGACAGGACGCAAACACCCGAGAATTGTTGCTTTTGGTGCTGGGGAATGCTCGCGTGAAGCCTCATTCACCTGGATCATGGACTCGACGCGAAAGCCGGCAGCCGAACCTGCGCTCCCCGCTCCAGCATCAGCATCAACAACAACAACAACAACAACAACAACAACAACGGCTTCAACCTCCACCTCCGCCTCAGCCTCGACAACGTCCGTCTCCTCGCTGGGCTCGCCTCTCAAACGCCCGGCCCCGTCTCTGCTGCCGCCATTCGAGCCGTCGTCTTCGCCCGGACTGCCTCGCCCATCAAAACGCCAAAATGTCAGCGGCACGGGCGCCCATCTGCGATATCCGACGCCGGTGCCAACTTCTAGCACCGGCATCCTGTCCAGCTCGCCTCTGCGGGAAAAGCTGAGTGTTGGGCTTGTGGAACGCACGCCTCTCTCGGCCGTGCCCTCAATTGAGCTCAATGAGAACGGCGAGATGGTGCTCATGGGTCGGTCGTCCAATTCGTCGCACTTCCAGCTCTCGGCCAACCGCCTGATATCCCGTGTGCACGTCAAGGCACGCTATATACAAGGCTCCACTCCTCTCGAGGCCAACAAGATTGAGATTACCTGCAATGGCTGGAATGGGCTGAAGCTGCACTGCCAGGGCCGCTCGTGGGAGCTGCTCAAGGGCGACAGCTTCACCAGCGAGACCGAGGGCACCGAAATCATGGTCGACGTCCACGATGCCCGTGTTTTGATCCAATGGCCCAAGCGTAGCTCCTCGGGTGCCGACTCCAACGGCCTCTTGTCCGATGCCAGCTGGGAAGACTCGCCGCCGCGTTCTCAGACGAGGAACGCCAACTTGCTGCAGGTGTCCCCTCTGCGGAGAGCCACGCGTATTCAGTCTCCCGATAGTCCCACCCCAGCCCCTCGCCGACGCTCTGTGGTAGCAGCAGACGATGATAACGGCATCGAAATCTATGAGGACGACGACGAGGACTATCAACCGGATTCGGATGAGCGAGACGAGGAACCGGATGTCGGCGTTAGTATGCGGACAGAGGCCACGGCAAGCTTCACCAGCGGGGTGGATTCTGACGAGGAAGACGAAAGCAACCCGGATGAGGAGAACGATCCCATCATCCACTCCTTTGGTCCATACGGCGCCAACATCTCGGGCCGCCTCGCGTCCATCACGACGAAATCACCCCGCGTGCAGAGCGCCAAGCGACCCCTGAACAAGGGCTCTGCGGAGACGCTTGTGGCAAGCAAGTCGAGCCACGACTCTGACGATGTCGAGGCCAGCCCGCAAAAGTCAAAGGTCAAGAGGACGTCTCGTGATCAGCGAAGCCCCTCTGAGGAGAGACTGCCCCAGCCCAAGGAGGAAGACGAGGAAGAGGAGGATGACGAAGAGGAGGAGCCGACCAGGATTCCCAGCGAGGCAGACGCGGCCATCTCCAACCACGTCGTCAACCAGCTCGCCTACTCCCGGCTGTCTTCAACGCCGCTTTCCACCATTATGCACAACCTGCCCGCCGAGCAGATCAAGGACATTTCCCGGGATGCTCTGAGGCTGCTCATTGAGACCACCCCCTGCATTGGCATCATCAAGCGCCAGGGCAAGGACGCGGCTGGCAAGGCTCTGGAGAGCGAGTACTATTACATCCCTGAGGACGACACCGATATGCAGCGAAGGGCGGCCGTGGTGGATGGACTTCGGAAGCCCAGCTTGCGGGCGTGTCGAAAGCAGCACAAGGTTGGTATTCATGATTTTTTAAGCTTTATTTTAGCTCATTTTTTAGACGCGATGATTAACGTGCTTTTGTACAGCAATACTACTGGAAGCGCCCCAAGACGCCTTGAAGCCGGCAGCAAGCCATTTTACGATGTGGAACGGAAATCGGACAGCGGGTTGAAAAACAAAAAGGAATTATAAAAGAAAAAAAAAAGAGAAAGAGAGAATGAAAGAAAGAAACACGGCGGAACAATTGATTGACTGATTGAGTGTTATGGGCTCGCATATAAAAAGATCAATACCCCCTTTTCTCGAGGCACCCCCCCCCGGTGTATCACCCAGCTGGGCCCTCCTGTTTATTGTTGTGGACGAGACATGTAAGATGGATTTATCTTTTGAGTCTGGATTTTTTTGGTCCCTTGACAGTATTGGTCACGACGGATGAGTGGAAAATGAAGTGTCTTTTTTTTTGCCCCGGTTTATTTTTTGCTTTGGTTCTTCTACTTGTTTTTATCCCCCTTTTAGGGTCGCTCCTTGACCCGCAGAGGAGTCAATTCGGTGGGAAATTCGGGATCTGGGTGAAGAGGAACGGGCCTATGAGGAGTTTGAGTTTGGTTCATTCTGCTCATACGCCAATGCATCGTCATCCACGTCTGGAGGAGTTATCTGGTACCCCTTGGAATTTTTGATTTTGCCCCAATATTGATTTGCGCAGAGAGAGAGAGTGACGGAACAAAGGACAGACACGGACAGAGACAGAGACTGGAGACTGGAGGAGGAATTGCCGCAGAGGCGATTGATTGATTGACTGATTGACACACACACCTGCACCTGAAAATTGCTGCCTGTACATATAACTACCTACCTATAGCCGAGTCATCACATCATGCATGAGGGCGGAAGACGGAAGACGGAAGAAGCCCCAAACAAATCAAGATGACACATCCACAACACCCGAGTCTCGTGTGTCTCCACGCAACAAAGTAATCTACTAAGCCAATTTATTCCGTGATAAACACCCGAATGTATCGATACTTGGCCCATGACGGCTTTTTACATCACAGAATGCGGTATCGCGCAACTCCCTGCTGTGTTTCGGAATGTAACACCACGCATCACGGCATCATACGATAAGAGCGCCCAGGCGTTGTGATAGGCGGACCCCGCCTTTTGGGTGGCGATGAGGAGAAGCAGCTGACGGCATTGGATCTTGGGAAAGGTCGATGAGGGGTTGCATATAAAGTTGGATAAATTCCGCGATTGGTATGCGGGATGCCTGTTTTTATTCTTGATTCAACATTCCTGGTTTTATCCTACAAAGTGGTATGTCATCATCCTCGTCTTGAGATATCGGGTTGTGGATATAATACTGATCATTGTTTCTACTTGCTATAGCAAAGCACAACAAACAAACACCACAACAACTTTACTCTACCAACATCAATCAATCAAATCAACCACTTATACCTACTACACAACTGAACCTCCACAAAACAAACAAGCAAACAACGCCACCAAAAATGGACTCTTCACCACCAACAACCCCAACCAAAAGTCAGCATCTCCATCCCCCCCCAGCCTCCTCTCATCCACAAAACAAACATCACATACTAACATTCTCTTCTCTTACCAAATAAACAGCCCAACAATCACAAACCCAACACTACCAATCTCCTTACCCCCAAGACTCCTCCCCCGCCTGCCGCTCCGCTATCCAGCACACCTCCTCATGGAAACCTAGCTCGCTCGATCGCCGCCTCAGCTGGAGCTCCCAGGACCAGAAGCACGCGCTGCAGATGAGCGGCATTGAGGGCGTGCGGTCGGGACACCAGGGCTTTACGGAGCGATCGTGATTTTCTTCTACGGGGAGTGTAGATTGCATGAGGGAGATGATTGGGAAAAAAAAAGAGAGATTCATGAGCTGCATGTGTGGTTTTTCTTCTTCTTCTTTTCTTTCTTTCAATGATTTGATATGAAAAGGAAAAAGCGTATTTGGGAAATTTGTTTGGGAAATTGGGTCAACCATTGGGAACTGCATGGCACGGAGCGAAATAACAAAAGCATGCGAAATAATGCCGAGATTGAGCTGATGGTATTCGGGACCTGAGATGTGACTCCAAGTCGAGCATCATGGCAGATTGGCAGATACCTATAATAGCTCCGTACTGAATGGTTATTTACTTGGTTCTTTAATCTTTAATATCAAGCACTCTAGTTCTACAGTGAGATGAAAGATTGACATGTACATCTGATGCTATGTTTAGGTACTCGAATAAGGTAGCGATAGTAGCAAAAGCTAAGAAAAAAATGTAAAAATATATGGCCATAATATCCCCTGGAGGTGACTACTAACATACTCTAACCTACCTAGGTACTTAATGGGCATCTAGCTACTTCACAGCATCGAACTTTCATGTCTTCACACAAGCTTTCAACAAGGCATCCGTTGCATTGATCAACTGGGAGATTTCATTTCAAGCCGACTCGAGCCACAAACTGCTACCTAACGTACACAGCTCATAAGAAAAGGAAAAGTAAGGGAAAAAAAAGAGACCTTCTCAATGCAATCATGATTCGCGACATGTCGCTCCCAGCCGCATTCGCGATCGATGGGGGTATTTCAAACTTGATCCCATGGTAAAGGAGACAAAAGGAAATGGAAGGAAATGGGAAAAGAAAAAAAGAGAAGAGAGAAAAGGAAAAAAACAAGAGCAGAGGAAAAGATAGCAAAACTCCTACTCCCGGGCCCATGCACATATCGTCGTGGGAGCGTCATATCCCTTATGTAGCTAATGCCAAAGGGGAAAAAAGAAAAGAAAAAAAAAAAAAAAAAAAAAACTATCAATCAACAACACTCATTTGCCAGCAGCAGAAAAGTGCTCAGCCAGAGCTCCAACCGCATACGCCGCTCCGCCCACCCAGACAGTCCCCATCACCAGCTTCTTGCTGAAGCTCCTCTTCTTCTTTTGTGGAGCTACCGATCCGTTGCGCTCGGCTTCGTCTCTCTGCGTCTGCTTGCGAAGAGGCGGTGCTGGCTTCCTATGGCCATCCTCAAGGCTGTCGTAGTTGACGAAGCCAGTGGGGCTGGCAAAGTTGCCTGTCACGGACTGCCCCATCATGTCAACGGGGTTGATGCGAGCCGGGTTGCCGGAAAGCTCCAAAGGGAGATCGCTGGCGTTGGGCAAGGCGGGTCGGTTCTTGCGGAAAATGAGCACGTCGCCTCCGCCTGATACAATGTCGTAGCCGTGTTCCTGCAGGGGTTTAAAGTAAGGGAGAAATTTGGACGCGTGCGACAGCCGAAGCAGCACGTCCGTCAGCTTAGGGGGAGGAGAAACGTCATGGTCGTCGGATGTGGTCTCGGCAACGCTAACAGACTTGGTGGATGTGTCGTAGGCGAGGATCTTGTACTTGACCGGCTCATCTGTTACCGTCGCCGTGGCAGGCTCATCATAGTGCTTAGCTACAGCCTCTACTGTCTCACCACCACATTCCTCAGAGTAACTTGTTTCTAGTCCCTTTGGATCGTTAGAGTACGGGTCCTTCTCGGCGCGTAATTGGGCCAGATCGCCGGTGATGCGTTCGATCGGTTCGGATTCGGACTTCGACAACTCACTGGGAAAACTTTCATCCATAGAACTCATTTCCATCTCTGGCTCTTCCTCTTTCTCAGCAGCCATCTCTTGAGCCATGTTGGCCCGGCTCAGCACCTGGCTTCGAATATCATCTGCCGTCAGTGATTCAAGGGAGCTCTCCGCTTCCTCAATGCTGCTCCCGCCATGCCTGGCAGCTGCTATGTCGGCCTGAAGCCTTTCCCTTGCGTCATAAGACTCAAGACTGGCAGCGACAACGTCCGGAGCCTCGGCTTCGCTCTCCACATCTCGAGGGGCTGACCTGTAGCCATGAAGATCCTTGTACGCCTTGGATGCCTCCTCGGGGTGAATAGGATAAGGCTTATCAGGAGAGTCAAAGCTCTGCGGCTCATACTTGCCCAAGTCAGTGTAGTTCTTGGTCAATTCCTCGGGGTGGATGTGGCGTGTCTTTTCCGGCTCTACGTAGCCATTGATGGCATAGGCGGGAAGGTCCTTGTAGTGCTTGGAGGCTTCTTCCGGGTGGATTCTCTCCACCGCTGGCCCACCATTAGGGAATGCCGAATACTGGGGCAGGTCTTGATATACTTTGGATGCTTCCTCTGGATGCACCCGAGGAGTCTTCGGGCCGGCATTGGGATATTGCGCATACAGGTGGAGGTCTTCGTAGTCCTTGGAGAGCTCCTCGGGGGTCAATGGGCGAAGACCATCGGGCTCATGCCAGCGAACAGGCCCATACTTGTCCAGGTCATCATACTGAGGCGTAGTGTTGCCGCGTACTTCAACCTTGGCAGGAATTGGTTCTGCCTTGGGCGTGGGGTCGTTCTGTAGAACCTCGTAGTCTTTAAGGACGGATTCCCTGCAAGTAAAAGGGCCGCCGTAAGCATGTAGGTCCGTATAATCTTTCGACTTTTCCTCAGGGGTCAGGCGTCGAAGGCCGTCTGGCTCGTCGAAAGTGGCGGGACCGTATTTGTGCAAGTCCTCGTAATCCTTGGATTTTTCCTCCTGCGACCTCTCTTGCAGGCCATCCGGCTCGTGCCACCTGACGGGACCGTACTTGTCAAGATCGTCGTAGATTTTGGACTTTTCTTCAGGAGTGAGTTGTGGAAGACCGTCGGGCTCATTCCACGTCACGGGCTTGTACTTGTCCAAATCCTCGTAGTTCTTGGACTCTTCTTCGGGCGTCAGCTTTCGGGGTGCATTTGGATTGTCAATCTTCATCTTCGAGTACTCTGGCAAGTCCTCATATATCTTGGAACGCTCCTCGGGAGTCAGGTGAGGCAGTCCATCGGGCTCATTCCACTTGGCGGGCTTGTACTTGCCCAGGTCTGTGTATTGCTTGGACTCCTCTTCGGGGGTCAACTTTCGGGGTGCGTTGGGGTCGTCAAAGTGTGTCGCCGAGTATTTGCCATGCTCTGCGCGTGACACCCTACGATTGGTGATGGGATCAATGAAGTTGGGGCTGTCGCCCGCAGTGGCTCGTAGAACGCTTTCAGCAGTGACTTTGTTGGATCGGTGGTTCGCGTGCAGGTAGTTTCGGATGTTCTGCAGGGGCGTCCACACACCATCGTCATGGTGAAATAGACGGTTGATGGCGTCTCGCTCGACGTCCTCGATGTTGCGGCCAGGGCGAGCCCCGGACAAGTCATCTGACCATGACTTGACGTCCTTTGGATCGGTGTATTTCCCAGATGAGGCAGCGGCTTTGAAGCTTCCCGACTTGGGATTCTCCCATCGTCGGTTGAGGGAGACTAGATATTTCAAGGCAGAGATGCGGTGGCGACGATGTCCCAGGTGGAAACCGCAAAACTGTCGGCTCTGCTGGCTGGCTTTGGACTGTGCAGAGGCCAGGGCGCTAGAGTTGAGAGCAGTGCGTGCCAGGAGAAGCCTTGCACGAGGCGAGGCAAGTTGCGAGGTCGGAAGCATTATGGTGGGAAATGTCGAGCCAATGGCTGGGCGAGATGCACTACCGAGTCTAGCAACAAATCAACGGTCAACACCCGTTTTCAATCGACAACGCCACAATGATGGTATATGAGGAAGCCGAGATCATACCAGACAAACGTCAAGCTGAATCACCCCAGCAGCAGCAATTGCATGTGACATGGAACTCGGGCAGAACCGGGTTGTGCGGGGAAGGACAGATCGATCTGATGGCGTTTTCACGATGATTCGGATTGACGACACGGACGCCGACGAGGGGGATGCAGGTTGTAATGGCGGCGAGAAGAGGAATTCCGCAGAAGATGGGAGTAGAAGAGTGAAGAAGCGGGAAATGGGGGAAATTGGGGGAAGCTGGTGAGGAGCAGGAAAATAAAGTAGAAAAGAGAAAGAGATGAGACTGAGGACAAGTAAGTAAGGAGGAACGACAGCATCAGCGGCTTATCTTCTGAAGGTGAGCCAACTTGGTTCACCGCGCTGGGGAAGACGCTTGCGGGGTAGCCCACTTGCCCACCTGGTGCCCACTACGGAGTCCACTAAGGAGCCCGCTAGGGAGCCCGCTAAGGCCGCTGTGAGGTGCCACTGAAGCTTGCCAATGTTGCGCTGGCACGGCGGTTGGTGGGCCTCTGTAGGGAGGGTTTGGGGGGGTTTCAATGGATGGATGGATTTGGAGGTTGAGGGAATTGAGAGAGATACAGGCACTTACGAAGTAGATACATCAAATTGATATCGAGACTTGTTGCACGATGCTCCACCAAAGAGGCTGGAGGTGGTGGCCAGATGCCGGAACTGCCCCTTTTGGTGATGGAGCTGATATTGTATTCGATAGTGCTGGGAAGCTGGGTTATGATTATTGACCGCAATGGAATGAGCAATCTGCATTAACAGCAGATATACTGGCCAAGTACATAGGTATACTTGTACTGTACAGAAATCACGAGATACCAAGGCATGCAACTCCAAACGCCGACTTTCAAGACAAAATCAAGTACATGTACTCCGTACTCGTACGGCCAAATGCTGGCGCCTGATGCTCTATGCAGGGGCCCCAGACTTCGCTTCGCCGAGCTGTCTAAGAGGTTCAGATACCGCCTGGGGTAGAGCCATGACGACGTCACTGTGGGGCTGCATCCGAATTGACCGAGCCAAGCCGCCGCTCTGAGCCAATCAGGAGGCGTCTGGCGATTGCTGCATCTGGGGTCTCATGCAAGTTCCGTGTAGCAGGTACCTGGTACTTGAACTGACAGAGATGTCGATCACACGAATGGCCTCTCGCGACCTGGGACTGTTCAACTTCAAGGAGGAAGATGAGCGATTCGTCATCGCCATCTTTTATTTCATTATTTCACAACATTTCAGCTCAGCTCTGTTCTTCACGGAAAAGCTATGGCCATGGATCAGCGCCGCAGAGAGGGCGGAGGTACGATGTATGAATACAGTGTGAGTACTTTGTGTTGATCCCTTCCCGGCCTCAAGATTGTTGTTGGTGTGGGAGTGTAACAGGCAAACGCGGCTTGAGCGGGCCAGTGGCGAGTTGGCGGATGCACGGAGCAACACACTCGTATAGTGCCTATCACAGACGGTCAGAGTTTGGGAGAAATTCCCTCATTGCTACAGGTATTGAGGTACAGGCAAGGTAGTGAATCACGCCGCCGCCTTTGAATCAAAGACTGCCTGATTAGTGCCAATGCTCGGGTCAATGCAATATAGAACGTCGGAAGCTGAGTGGCGCTCTCATCAAGCGTTATGCAAGGGGCCGCGGGTCAAGCATGCAGCTTGGTCATCGGGCTTTTTTCTCCTCATTCGAATTTCAGATTGCGCTTTTCCAGTTGGCGAGAGAAAGCTGACGGGGATTCCATCTGCCGGCGTGTCGTGATATAACTGGAAAAGATGTCGGCGTGTCTGCGAGTCATTTGTGTAAGACGGAATGGCGGCGCTTCACCTGGATTATGCTGACGGTTTTCACGAGACTGCAGCATAGACCGCCTCAGAATAGATACGTGTACTTTGTATATGCATGTCGGATAAGATTATCGGATCTCCAGCTCTTGAAAATAGAGCACGAGCACCACCAATGTTGATTAACTCCTCGTCGCATTCATGTGCCGCAAGCCGGGTTGCCTAAATGGGTAAACAAGATCGTGCAAGTGCCTTACCAAGCTCCTCTGTCCTGGCGGCGTGTTAGTCATCTCGGAGCATGCACTCCACAGCTTTGGCTGGCGTTAGGTAATCAATGGCAAGTTACCTAGGTAAACCGTCACGATGTCCAAATCCAACGACAGCTGGTTGGCCGATGCTCAAGCTTTGGAAACACTACTGATACACGGGTCTGAACTCTATACGTATAAATACAGCTTCTGCACGACCCGAGTTGGCAACAAATCGAGAGAGGCAATAAGATTCCGGTCGAACCTAGAGTGGAATGCATTCCTCGTGCTTGATTTCAAATGCTAACACCCTCCAGGTGCGGGCATGGCTTACATAACAAGGCAGAAAACCCCGCTGTAACCGGCGTGACTCTTCAGCTAACCGCGCGCTGAAAGCCCCAGCTGCAGGCGCTCTGGCAGGCGAAGCTGACATCACAGGCGCCTTTTTACAGCGGCCACAGCCCCAGGGTCATTACTAAGTAATTTTTCGGTCCCTCTTCCGACTTCTTCAGATCTTCATCACCACCTCGCAGAGCTTTGCGCAACGCAGCTCGTCCGCCTCCCCTCCTCTCCTCTCGCCCTCAGCTCACCAGACCGACCATGAAGCGCTTCGCCGCCGCCAGCCGTGCTCCGGGAGCAAAGTTCGGCGGCTTCGGCGCTCCGGGCGGGACGGGCACCCTGTCGTACCTCGCCGAACCCCCGTCCTTTAGCGCCGTCTCGGACCCGAATGTCGTTGTGTCTCTCAAGAACCTGCTGAAGAAGGACAGCACCACCAAGACAAAGGCCCTGGAGGATCTGCTGGCGCATGTCCAGGCGCAGCCCTTTGAGAAGGATGGCGGCGTCGAGGACGCCATCCTGGATGTCTGGACCGGCATGTATCCGCGCACTAGCATCGACAATGCCCGCCGCGTTCGCGAGCTGGCGCACAACCTGCAGTTCGAGCTGATCAAGTCGGCGCGGAGGCGAGCCGAGCGACATATTCCCAAGATTGTGGGCGCGTGGCTGGCCGGGCTCTACGACCGGGACCGGGCAGTTGCGCGCGCCGCAAGTGACGGCCTCTCGTCCTTTATCAACACACCGGACAAGGTTGCGGCGTTCTGGAGGAAGTGCCAGACGCAGATCCTCGACTACGCCATCGATGCGATCCGAGAAACGCAAGATACCCTCAGCGACGAGAGATCTACAACCAAAGACGATGCCGAGGCCAAGTATATCAGAGTCGTGGCTAGCAGCTTGTCGCTCGTGCTCAGTCTTCTCCAGAGGCTCAATGACGAGGAAGTCGAAAAGCAGAGCGACAAGCTCGATGAGTTCTTCTCCGAGGAAACTGTGTGGCGCACCATCACCTTCAATGATAGCGCCGTGAGAAAGACAGTATGCCACCTACTCATCACTTGCCTCACCCGCAAGCTCCCCTATGCCGAATCTACCCAGGCCAAGCAAGCCATGGTCACAGGCGGCCTCAAGACCAGTCAGACTGGTTCCGCGCTCGACTATGTCCGGGCCTTGACGAGGCTGTCGCAAGCCGTTCCCGACCTCTGGACGCCCTCCCCCAAGGAAAAGAAGCCCGCGCTCTCACGATTACGACAGTTTATCGAAAAGGGATCGCAAGGCTGTCCCGCAAAGTATTGGGAGCATCTTGACGAACTCATATCCGTCCTCCCAGAAGACCAAATGAGGAAACTGGAGACTGCCTCTGAATTTCTGGAGGCCGTCAAAGCCGGCGTCACAAACCGCGAGGAGCCTCGAACCAATACCTCCATGGCCTGGAAGTGCTACATTGACACTCTTAAGCGCCTTATCAATAACCTTTCCGACGACGAGAAGCTCGTCTTCGCCCGCGAACAGATTTTCCCCCTCTTTGAACACTCGCTCCTCACTGTGTCGGACAAGCCGGTGGCCATTCCCCTAGGGCCCAACGCCATGTCCATTCTGGTCGAAGCTCATCTTACGATACTTCGGAGTCCTTCAGCCGTCATCTCGGCATCAGAAGAGGGGTGGGGCCGCTTGGCTGGTTTGTTTTGTACCAGAATCTCTGCTTCTCTGCCAGAGGTGTCTCGAGAGTATCAGTCATCTCAGGAGAAGATTGCCGAGGAAGGCCGTCGGTGGTTTGGCCTCGTTGGAGAAATCCACAGGAAGCTGGCAGCCGTCGGTGAATCTCTACCAGATCAAACCGCGGCTCCATCCAAGGCTGTCATCGACCAGTGCATCGCCATTCTACAAAACCGCAATATGAAACCATTCGGAGCTGCGGGCATCCTCGAGTACGCACTTAGCACCTCTCATCATCTTTTCGATGGCGAGACTGGAGACAAGGTGTCGGAATTCTTGTCTGCAGCTGCGCGAGACTCGGCAGAAAAAGTCATTCAATCTGCTTCAAGCAGGCCGCTGTTATCCTGCCTTAACCTCTTGGGAGCAATCCCATCCAGAGAGCAAGTTTACCGCACAATATGGGAATCCTGGGTTGATGCAGTCTTGGAATTTCCGGATCGTGCCATTCGCAATTCAGCTCTCACATCCCTTATTTCCGAAGAAAAGGCCTCCGAGATCGCCCAAGGAAATGCCAAGCTGCAAGCCTACATCATAACAGAAGCAGTCGAGTCTGTGAAGAACCAGGCATCTGGGTGGGAGCTGCTAGAAGCTAGCATGAATGAGAGAGGCCTTTCTGATGAGAGCTGCAAAGAGCTATCTGAAAAGCTATTAGAGATTTTGGATAAAGAGCCTCCATCTGTGGAACCAGCGCTAAGAGCATTAGAACTCCTTACTAAAGGCAGGCCACAGCTCTTCACCGAAAATGATTCACTGCATACAGCCCTGGTTGCCCACTTATTGAGTCTGTCTGAAATCAGCAGCAATGTCGTTTCGTCAAAGGCCATCGCGATCCGCGGCATTTTGCAGGGAGAGGGAGCTGGTACTCAGCCGGTAATTGAAATCATACAAGACAACCTCGAACGAGCAGGCCCTCAGTCGTTGGATATTGAAACCCTCTCCAAGCAAGCTCAGCAAGCACACGCTGCTGGCATCGCTGTTGAAGAAATCTTTCCAAGCACAAATGTTTGGATGCAGAAGCTAGCACCATTCTTAGAACAACCCATCAACCCTTCTCTGTCAATCACCAACAGTCTTGGCGGTGCTGTCACGCTGGCCAACTTGACGGCTCAGCCGACCGAAGTTCGCGTGCCCAGAGACAAAAAAGGTCGCTCAGTACCTTTAAGGATGTCTCTGTACTCTGCGCTTCTCTTGAAGGAGGGGATTGACATTGCCAAGCTCCCGCGTCAGTTTCAGATAGAGTTGCTGTGCATCCAGTGCCTCACCATACAGCTTGCTACGGATCAGATCACCTCGAGGGACGACAACTCGCTGTGGCTCTCTTTGGATGCTGCTGACTCCCTGTCAGAAGCAGAGTCTCTGGTAACCACGCTGAGGAACTATGTCATCAACAAGAGCTCCTTGGCGTCTCAGTGGTGGGACAGTTCGGCAGACACTGAGCAGGCTCACATTTTCCGCGGACTTGTCGAGCTCCTCAAAGAGGAGTCGAGAGAGCTGACTCCTAGAGGGGTTTACAGTGCCCGAGCTCTCAGCGAGATCATCCAGGTCTTGTCTGAAGCACATGGTCTGCTGCCCAGTCTAGAGGAAACCCTACTCAAGCCAGTGCTGGCAAAGGCTACCCCCGAGACTGCTCTCCTTGCCGCTGCCTCTATATCAGGGCTCGGCGAGACAATAAAATCGTCCAAACTGGTGAGCAACTTCTGCAATCGGCTTGTCAGTGATGTCGCTGGGGCTTCTGCAGGTGACAGCAAAACCATGATGATTCTGGTCTTGCTTGCTCTATCTGCACAGATATACGATCGTGGAGAGCTCCCCGTGGCCAATAACCGTATTGTCTTTGCAGTAAGACAGATCACGTCGTGGCTTGAAGATGACGAGCCGTTGAGCGCTCCTCTGTCTGCTGAGATTTGTCGCGTGCTGAATCTGCTACTACCTTGCATGAGTGAAGTGTTTGGCTCCTACTGGGAAAAGGCAATTGAGTTTAGCCTTGACCTGTGGGAAAAGGCAGCCAGCTACCCTCTTCCAGACGCTCTACCCTTTATCCATTCCTCGCTCAAGCTTATGAAGACGCTCGAGAATCTTGAGGATGCAAACGATGACCTGCAGGACGCCCTTAGAGAATCAGCGGGCAAGAAATCCAAGTCGCTGATTGAGCTGCTGAAGCTCCCTCGAGGAGCCAGCAGCCAGCCTCTGGAGATTGTGGACGCCATGCTGTGCCGGGAAGTAGAAAAGGTGACTATCAAAAGCGAGAGGGACATTCCAGAAATTTATGAACTCGTTGCTTCGGAGTCTCAGGATATTCAAACCGCTGCCTTCGATTTGCTACACAGGGCGCTACCTGCCATTCAAGCACAGAAGTCCATTGACATTCTTTTGGATAAAACTGGTAAGTTTTGTTCTGCTTTTGCTCTCCTATCCATCATTTTGAATTAGACGCAACGGCTAACCAAGTGCAATAGATGCTCGTCTGCCCGATGAGCTACTGTCGTTGCTTCTTGACGCACCAACTCTTGAGCGCTACTCGGACGAAATGCTCGCGCAGTTTCCGTCCCCGATTCGAAGCTACTTGCTATCATGGAAGCTTGTTTTTGATGGCTACTCAGCATCCTCATTCAAGATGAGAAGCGATTTTACAGAAAACCTCAAGACGGGAGACTACTTATCTCCCTTTTTGGACTTTATGTTTGATGTTCTTGGCCACTCGGCTGCACACCCGTTGAGCCTCGAAAAAGAGCTGCTCACAACGGAACACATTCAAAACTACGACGTAAAAATTGCCCAATCAGAGCCTGAAGAAAGGAGCATGCAATGGCTGCTGGTACACCTGTTCTACCTCACGCTCAAATACATTCCGGGTCTCTTCAAGGCGTGGTATCTCGCCTGTCGCTCCAAACAAACACGCATCGCCGTGGAAGCATGGACGACAAAATACTTTTCACCACTCATCATCTCCGAGACTCTCGATGATGTGCAAGCATGGGTGGACCAGCAGGACGCTCCCGGGGTAGATGAGCAGGAAGTGCTTGTCAAGATCTCCAAGAATGCAAGGGAGGTGATTGTAGGCTACGAGGTCGACGACACCCAGGCCTCGATTGTGATCAAAGTGTCGCCAAACTACCCGATTGAAGCCGTGACGGTCTCTGGCCAGGAATCCGTAGCCGTCAAGGAGCGCACATGGAACAGCTGGATCATGACGACCCAAGGTGTTATCACATTCTCCGGCGGCAGCGTCATAGACGGCGTACAGATCCTAAAGCGCAACATCGTTGGCGCGCTCAAGGGCCAGACGGAGTGTGCCATCTGCTACAGCGTTATTGCAGCAGACAAGCGCATGCCGGACAAGAGGTGCACGACATGCAAGAACTTGTTCCACCGAACTTGCTTGTACAAGTGGTTCCAGAGCAGCAGCCAAAATACGTGCCCGTTGTGCCGAAATCCGATTGACTATCTGGGTGCCGATACTCAGAAGAGGAGACGCGGCTAGAAGGAGGAGAAGGAGTCTTTGAGTTGAATAAGATTATTATGAAGAGTTATCTAATGTGTACATGTATGATGAAGTTATATTATGTGAAGATGGCGTGTGAATATCGGGGGTTATTCTGGATTCGTGTTACTCATCATTTGTAAAGCATTTGTATGTTAGAACCTGTTGGAGATGCGCGTTAGCTATATGCAATGCACACATCACATGAAATTTCGGCTTCGGACTCGACTCACCTCGTCAGCTGTAGCCCTGCTCCCATCGTAGCGAACTAATCTCGCTACTGCATCTCTGAACCCTGCATCGACGCCAGGTAATATCACGTCCCATTCCCTCGGCGGAAACACCGTCCACAGCTCAAATGGCGTGACTCGAAATGCCTTTGCTTCGGGCCATGTCTTGGGCGTGGGCGTGCCAAGCGTCTTGAAGATGCTGAGGATGAGGCCGAGCTGGTTTCCGTCTTCGTGGACGGGCCGGGACTCGAACGGCGGCGACGGCGGAGAGCTGATTGCCTCGGCCAGCATGACGCCCAGCGCCCACATGTCGACGGCCGGGCCGTAGGACTTGTCGCCAAAGAGGACCTCGGGAGCGCGATACGGGCCGGTGCCGATGTCGAGGATCTTGGATGCCGGCGGCTCGGAGGAGGCAGAGAAGGTGGGATGCCAGGCCGTGCCAAAGTCGGACAGATAGGCCGGGCCGGAGGGCGAGGCGAGGAGAATGGCCGTCGGCTTGATGTCGCGGTGGACGATGCCCTGGCTGTGGATGGCGGCAAGCGCTTTGAGGGCATCACCGAAGACGGAGCGGATCAGAGCATTGTCCAGTGCGGACGAGCTCTTATCAAGGACATCGGCGATGGTCAGCGGCATGTACGGAAAGGCGAGGACGAGGCGCTGCTCCTGGTCGCGGAACGACTCGATCAGGGGGATGCATGGCGGATGCAGCGTCTGCAGGATCTTGATCTCGCGGAGGGGATTGTGCGGCTCGACGCTGTGGACGATGACCTTGAGGGCGGTGGTGCCGGAGCGGAAGACCTCGGAGGTGACGCCGTCTGAGATGGGCGAGCAGTTTGCGTATGAGCCGATGAGGATGCCGGAATCCGGGGCAGCGGACGGTGGTGGTGAGGAGGATGAGGGTGCGGATAGGGGTGATGATGATGGGTTTTGGTGTTTGCTTGGTTGGCAGGCGGCGGTGTATTCGTCCTGGGGGAGTTTGTTAGTATTAGTAGTGGATTGGAGTTGAAGGGATATAGATGTACCAGCGAGGATGAGTTGTCGTATGCTGCTTGTTCGATGGCGACGGCTTCACTCATGTCCTGCGAGGGGAGCGCCTCGAGGCTTTGATGCGGTCAGTCAGCACGATGCATTGATTTGATTTGATGATCGGAAAAGACTTTGGTACATTTTGGATATTGTTTCATATCGGTCCACTGATGAGACCGACGCCTTCCATGGTGAGGCCATTATACGGTATGTATTGATGGAAATGCTCTTCAATTCAATGAGCTCAGAGGTTCACATGCAATATCTGCAAACTACTACCTAATTACTAAAGTATAAATAGCAGCAATTGACCTATGATATCGCAAGATGCACTGACTGATGAATTGATTAATTAATTAATTAAATTATGCACATCATATACATACATACATATTACATATCCTTATCCCTCTCTCCCCCACGATGTAATACTACATATGTGCATCAATCAAAATCTCTCTCTCTCTACCTCCCCCTCTCGATCATGCCAGCATTTCCCCCCCCGTTGCCCATGCGACACGTCATTTGACCGATTGGGCTCCATTTGATTGAAACCGACCAGGATCCCATTCCACTATTGACTCTTGTTTCGAAGCCGCAATGCATTGGCCCGAGGCTTCTCCGACGCAAGGTTGCAGCACCACATACGTAAACAGTTCGCGCTCCACTGCAGTTGGCGCTGACGAGGCTGGGGCCACAGCGGCCTCGGCCCCCATAATTGGACAGCCAGGCCCCCGTAATTGGGTTCCCGGCTAATGTCACAGCGAGGCTGGCCCACTGCAAGCACCTGCAAGGGAACCCGAGAAAAAAATTACAGCGGCTCGAGCTCAGCACCCGAACCGGTTCTGGCACCACCTGAGAGTCTGGCTCTGGCTCTTCTTCCGTCACCATCTCCACAGCGACTCGAGTCTTCTCCCTCCAGCCAAAACCAAAACCACTTTCTCTACAGCAAAGCGGCATCGCCATGCGCGCATCCGACTAGGAACGGAGCCCCGTATCCAGTCCGTCTTCCGCCTGATTCCGCCTTTTCTGCTTCCGCCTGCTTCTTCTTGTGCCTCTGCCTCTCCCGCTCGCACGACCCGGTCCGTAGACGCCACACGCCATGGACGAGACGGCGAGGGTAGAGTATCCGGCCATGCTGGTAAGCCGAGGCCTGCTCCCTGGATTTTGGCCATCCGCGATGCCTCGAGGCCTCTGCGGATGCTTTGCGAGGCGCAATGGACTGACGAACCGCCCTGGTGGCGCCATTGGTCACAGGCTCATCTGCAGCCCGGCCAGGCCGTGCAGACGCTCAACGACCGCATGAAGCGCATCAACAAGATCAATCTCGAGATTGCCGACTGGCTACAGGTACGCACTGCCCGCGCGGAAGCACCGGCCATGGAGCTGTAGCTCTGGGTGCCTTCGAGGAGCAAGCCGAGCCGAGCTGACCTGCTGTAGGAGCGCCGTCGCGTCGAGGAGCAATATGTCTTGGGAATGCGCAAGCTAGCCCAGTTCAAGTCTCCCAATGCGCAGTCGGAGCTGGGGTGAGTCGCCGATCCTCTGCGTCAATGCCCTCTGCTCGAGCTCGAGCTTCGATTTGCCTGTTGCTAACGACCGCTGCCGCAGTGTTTTCCAGATGCCGTGGTCCCGAATCATCGAGTCCGTTGAACGCATCGCCCAGTCGCACCAGCTCTTCGCCGATCGCCTCGGCAATGATGTCGAGCAGCCCCTCAGAGGCTTCCCCCAGCGCCAGGACGTCCAGAACATGACCAACATCTCCAACAACCTGACCGTCATGGCCAGGGAGCTCGACGACGCGCGAGACCGATCCGACAAGCTCACCAAGAAGGGCGGCAAGGCCAGCACGCAAAAGGTCGACGCCGCGTCGTCCAAGCTAGAGTCGGCCACACAGCAGTGGGAGTCGCAGTCGCCCTTCATCTTCGAAACCCTCCAAGTCCTCGACGAGTCGCGCGTCAACCTGCTGCGCGACTTGCTGACGCAATTCCAAACCCACGAGTCCGACCGGGCCCAGCGAGACTCCGACATATCCGTCGAGACTCTGGCAAATATGCTTGAAATTAGCACCGAGAGAGAAGTGCAAAGCTTTGTACAGAAGGTGACGGCCGGCAAGGCCCAGCTGCCGTCCAGGACAACTACCAGACGCTCAACAACCCACATGTCGCAGAATTCTGCTACTAGCCAGCCGAGCGTTCCAACGACGCCGAATACCTCTCAGCCACCACCCGACGACGATGCTAGCGAGCACAATTCGGTTCTCAACAGTGAGGCCAAGCCGGGTAAGTTTGTGGACCATGAAGGGCATCAATGCTTCGTTTGCTAACCAATGACCTGCAATTTGCCAGAATCCAAGCTGCGAAGATTGGGTACCATGTTTGGTGGCAGGCGACGCCAGAGCGTCCACGCTGGATTTGGCTCCCTCTCCCCCCAGAAGGCACCTGGAACCACATTTGGACGACTCGGTAGCAGTCATGGCCGCGGTGTCTCCCCAATGACATCCTCAAGCAACCTCAACGAATCCAACCGGTTGTCCATCTTGCCCGAGATGCCAGACCAGGCTCGCCGGCCGCAGTCATCATCAGACGCCATGCACAGGGACAGGGATAGGGAAGAGGGCGAGCCGTCGACGAACGGGAACACGAATGGATTTGGAACTGGAGAAACTCTTTTGGATACCCAGCCGCCCGAGATGCCATCTTCAAGCACCACCAATGGCAATCTTGACGTAGAGCAGCAACAGCCGCAGCAGCAACAGCAACAAGAGCAACAACAACAACAGCAGCAGCAGCAGCAGCAGCAGCAGCAGCAGCAGCCCGAAGCTGCCGCTCTTAATCCGCCGCCATCCCAGCAGAGCCAACAAGAGCCAGTGTCTCCGACCTCCAAGGACGATGAAGGCTTCACGATACGAGCACCCATGAACGACCCCATCTCGGAAGCCCAGAGGGAGGCCGCAAACGACGAGAACGACCAGCTGTTCAAGCTGAATATCCAGAACAAGCCGATCGAAGAGGAAGACCCTGAGGCAGCACAAGCCGCTCTCTCCAGCGTGGCCAACACGCTCAAGCTGGGCTCGGCAGCCAATCGGCGCTCCATGACGGTGCGAGGCCGCCGCGACGTGCGCAACACTATCTATGCGCCCGTGCTTCACATCCCCGAAAGCTACTCGGACAGCGCCATTCCCGCCATGCCGGCCATCCCAGCATCTCCCCCTCGACCCCCGTCTTCTAGACCGGCCGCCATTGCTGCGCTTGCTTCCGAGGCCAGCGCCGCCTCCGACACTCAGTCTGTGCGATCCGGGAACTCACTCGGCAGCGCACACACAAAGCACCCGGAGCTGACCGGACCGGGACTGAACGCATCCATCATCGAGACCGTCTCGGTTCTCTTTGAGGGCGGCGTGTTGAAGAGCACGGCGGTTGCTGGCGAGATTGCCTTTGCTAACAATCCCGGTGCAGATGTCGATTCCACCAAGAGTAAGTTGCCTCTCCCCCTTTTTTATCTTGGTTTCCTTTTCCTTCTTCTCCCCTCATTGAGCGGTAGATCAGTAATGTTAACCTCGAACAGCACATGAAACCATTCGCATCAACAACTTTGCCAACCTGGAACGCATCGGCCCCAACCGAATCTTTGTTCACAACGCATCCCCCGACCAACCTGACCAGTTCGCTCTCGACCTTTCTCACATCTCCAAGACATCAACTGCCTTCTCATACCGCGTCTTCTCAGACGAATCCGAGGCCCCATCTCTCGGCCGCCACGCTCCTCTCCTGATCAACCCGGCATGGAAACCCCAAGGCGACAAGCTTGGCCTCCTTTTGCAGTATCAGCTCAACCCCGAGTGCAAGTGGACAGCCCCCGTGACATTGCACAACGTCGTCTTTGTGGTGTCGTACGAGGGCAGGGCGACTGGCGCCCAGACGAAGCCCAGCGGCACCCACCTGAAGGATAAGCACCTTGTGTACTGGCGACTGGGAGACGTGACCCTTACCGAGGCCACGCAAAAGATTGTGTGCCGCATTGTCGGCGCAGACGGCGTGGAGCCACAGCCAGGCCACGTCGAGGCCCGATGGGAGTATGCCGTGTCTGGCGAAGACGTCGTGGGCAGCGGCATCTCCATCTCCAGACTAGAGGCGGTGCCGAGCAAGGATGCCGTGGAGAGCGATCCATTTGCAGACGAGAACCCTGCCAGCTCGAACCCGTCACTCGTGGAGCCGATGTGGGTCGATGTGCCTGTGACGAGGAAGCTTGTGAGCGGCAAATACGAGGGGAAGTAGCTGTGATGCTGGGCAGCGCGCTGTGTCTGGAGAGGGGATGAGAATTAATTATATATATGCAAAGTCTATTGCTAATGATGTTTGAACTCAGCGGGGGATGTCACCAGCCCGCCGTTTGGAGAGATGAAAAACACAACCTTGAGCGACCTTTATTTTTATTGAATCCCTTTTCTTTTTTCTTTTCAGCTTTTGTTGGGGGGCAAGAAAAAAGAAAAGCATCGCACGGCCGTACACCGACCTCTTCTTTTCTTTGGCAGTTTATCTATTCACTCGTGATATCAAGGGGCTTTTTTTTTTGTGTGCCTTTTTTTCTTTGTCCGATTGATGGGGGAGCATTTACTGGTGCTGATGTGTATACACGCTCGTTTGTTTTAACTAATATTTACTTTTGTCTGACGCTCTTACTCTCGTTTTTGTCTTTCTTTGCGTTTTAGTTTCCTGTGTTGTTGTCAATGTGTTGGAGAGAGAGAGGATGGAGGAGGAGGGATATGTCTGGGAGAGTGTATCTAGTAATAGTTGTTGCAGAAAGAGGGATGAAATATGTTTTTTTGCTGATGCTTTTATCTTGCTTGTTCGCTTCTGTTTATTTACTGCAGAGGGTGAACTGTGTGAGTGTGAAATGGCCCTTTTTGGGAATTAAATGTGATTTTTGCATGGTTACATTAGCGGCTGAGGTTACAGTTGAAGTGGATACTGCAGTAGCAGATTGTGATTTCATCAGCTTATGATGTCGATCCTTTACTTGGGCTCGGATATATAGATGCTGCTTCGGGAGAGTATAGAGACGATGAGGCTTGATTTAGAAGGTGGTGAATGCGAGTGAGTAGTGGATAGAAAGATGTTCCGTCAATCAAGTTTACGGGCGATGGGGGACGGAAAGCTTAAAGGAGAATTGATTGCCATTGAAATAACCTTGGTTGATACCCCTGCTTTGGACTGGGATCCTTGCTGCTGTCAGGAGAGGGGAGTTGGGGCAACTGATGTTGGTCTATATACATGATGGGTTTTCGATAGGAACTATTGTGTAAAGACACGGGGTACAATAGAGAGACTATTTTGACAGATGAGAAGTGCAATATAGTTGATACAAGTGTCGTGGTTGTTTGTCTCCATAGACATTAGATGTTGGGTAATCTGGCGAAATGCTAGGGAGTTGCAGCCTATTTTCCTGAAACACATCAACTTGGAAACTATATCCTTCATCTGCATTGAGCGGAACAAAAGCATAGGCCAATGGAAAATAGTGCTCACTCGCACAGTTTCACTGTCTCTTGGCCTTATAGTCGGGTTCGGGCATCTTAAATTGTCCGTCTGGATGGAGTGATTGCCTTTGGACGCTACAAGAACGCTTACTTACATCTACTATATAATAGATTACATGTTACCCGTTAACTATACTTATATCTCCTCTATTAGCCACAGGTACTCTTTGATTCTATCCAAGACCAACTCAACCATGGCTTACACTGTCTATCCACGCCTCCTTTGCTGTCCCACTTATTCTGTCTTCCCGCCATAAAACCGCCGAGAGTTGCGGCGTCGCCAAGAAGATCATTTCCCACTTGGAGCACAGCCCGATTCTTAGATGCAGATGATCATTTCCACATGAAGCAGCCGCAAACTATTCATCTGCTGCCAAGGGCGTGACGTGACGTGAGAATAAGGATGAAACGAGAGGAAACGAAACAATATGCCGGGGGCGGAGACGGAATATTGAGAATATAGGGGAGATGCTGCTGGATGGGGGGGAATATAAATAAGATGGATGCTGGTCTTGGCCGGCATTGGGCTTTGCATCCATCTGCAACTCTTGAGTTGAGAGTAACATCTTTCTTTAATCGACATCATGCATCTTCAGAGTTTGCTCAAGCTTTATGCTGCAGCAGCACTCGCTGTTTCATCGTCTGCTCTGTCGGTGCCTCGATCCAACTCGCTCGAGGCTCGACAGAATGGCGGACCGCTCGTCTTTTGCCACTTTATGGTAAGTGACAACACATAACGAATATGATAAATACAAACAAAACAAAGATTCAACTAACAAAACATCACCAGATTGGCATCGTCGGCAACAGAGGCAGCGCCGCCGACTTCGATGCCGACATGAAGAACGCCAAAGCCGCCGGCATCGACGCCTTTGCGCTCAACATCGGCGTCGACTCGTACACCGACCAGCAGCTCGAATACGCCTACGAGTCCGCGGCAAACAACGGCATGAAGGTCTTCATCTCCTTCGATTTCAACTGGTACCACACCGACCAGGGCACCCAGGTCGGCCAGATGATCCAAAAGTACGGCTCCAAGCCCGCCCAGCTCCTGGTCGACGGCAAGATCTTCGCCTCGTCGTTTGCCGGCGACGGCGTCGATTCCAATGCCGTACGAGCTGCTGCCGGAGGAAACATCTTCTGGGCGCCAAACTTCCATCCCCAGCAGGGCACGAACCTGGGCGCCGTCGACAGTGCCTTCAACTGGATGGCCTGGCCCAGCGACGGCAACAACAAGGCGCCCAAGCCAGGGGCCAACGTCACGGTCCAGGACGGCGACGGCATCTACACCAACGCCCTCGCCGGGAAGCCGTATCTCGCGCCCGTCTCGCCGTGGTTCTCGACGCACTTTGGCGCCGAGGTGCCCTACTCCAAGAACTGGGTGTTTCCCGGCGACTTCTTGTGGTTCGACCGCTGGACCGAGATCCTGCAGCTCAAGCCGCGCTTCGTCGAAATCATCACCTGGAACGACTACGGCGAGAGCCACTACGTCGGCCGCCTCGACAGCCCGCACGGCGACGACGGCAACTCCAAGTGGACGTACGGCATGCCGCACAACGGCTGGCTGGACATGGCGGAGCCCTTTATCGCTGCGTACAAGCAGGGCTCCAACGATCCAGGGGCGCACATTACCGAGGACAAGATTGTGTACTGGTTCCGGCCTACGCTGTCGAGCATCAACTGCGATGCCACGGATACGACCATGGGAGATGCCGACAACTCCACGGGCAACTACTTCAAGGGCCGTCCCGACGGCTACCAGACACTGCAAGACAAAGTCTTCATCGTCACGCTCCTCAAGGAAGCCGGCACGCTCGAGGTCACCGTCGGCGGCAAGACGCAGACGTTCCAGGCCGCAGCCGGCGCCAACAAGTTCTCCGTCGACATGGCTCCTGGCCCGATCTCGTTCAAGGTGAACAACCTGTCTGGCGATGCGGGAATGCAGATCCTGGATCACTGCCCGTGTGGTATTTACAACTTCAATGCGTATGTGGGCACGATTCCGGCGGGTGTGCCGGATGAGCTGCAACCGGCGGGTTATTCGAATATTATGAATGGACTCAAGGTGGCGACGTGTGGCCCAAGTGGGAATTAACTAGGCTAAGGGGTGATTGCTTGTTGAGTTGATTTGTGTATATGTTTGATGTATCATGTATATACTATTACGCTGTCCATACATATCTATATAAAGGGGCTGAATATAAGGGTCTATGCTGTACACAAGGAGCATCGTTGACAAGTTGATAATACTGAAACATAAGAGGCCATGTAGTAATTCTTTTCTTCATTCAAATACAGCAATATCATGGCTATCATACTTCCCAAAAGGCTGTACAAATGCTGCTAAATAAGACGTCTCCTTATTATGATGATTGGCTCGCACAATCCCAAGCATGCCTCATGGCTTCAAAAAGGAGCAACAAGCAAAAAAGACTCGTAATACCGGGCAGCACTTGCGTAAAATCGATATCCGTCATCTTTATAGTCTTCTCCCTTTGTCTTCCCTTTCTTCTTCCCCTTCCTCAGTCCTTCTTCCGTATCAACCCTCACTCCCCTGAAGCAGCCCTCGCATGCTCCTCATAAAACTCCAGCGTCAACGCCGCCAGAAACCCCGGGATACACCCCTTCTCCCTCACCCAGAACCCAATGTGATCTCCAATCTTGCGCGCAAACGCACTCTTAGGCCCGCCGCCCACCTTCATCGTACCCCTCTCGCCGTCAAACACAATCGAATTCTCATGCTCGTCCGACTGCGATGGGTAAAATGTGCTCTCCACCCGCATCTTGCCGTTGGGGATAAATGTCACCGTCCATCCCAGCGTCGAGAAGATGGCCTCCTTGAACTCCTGCGATTTGGAGCCCCAGACCTCCTTGAGACGCCGCGCCGACTTTTGCGCGCTCGCCGTCTCCGCCTTGGCTGCGGCGATTTCGCGCTCCATGGCACTCAGCACCGACGTCGGGACCAAGGGAATCGCAGGGTCCGTCTGCTTCGAACGCAGTGTCGCCAGCAGCTCCTTGTTCTCCTTTTGCAGCGCCTCCAGCGTCGCCCGCTTGATCGCCTCGTAGTCCGACGTCGGGTTGGATCTCAACGACAGCACGCGCGTCTTGGTCTGCTCCTTGGCCGCAGCCAGCTGCTCACGACTGGTGGAGAGGTCCTTTTCGAGCATGGCAACCTGCGTCTGCATGCTCGTCAGCTCCTCCTGAAGCTTGCGGTTCTTACGCGTAAGCTGGCCCATTTGCTCCTGGGCGGCGTCGTCTTCGGCACGGCTTCGTTTGCTTCCTGCCGGTAGCAGCTGCGACGAGACGTCCATGGATGAGAGCTCGCCATGCAGCCGCTGCACCTCCATCTTGTAATTGTCCACCATGTCCTCCAGCTCCTGGATCCGTGCCACTCGCGTCTCGTCAAAGCCCTCGGGCTGCATCGCGTGTTCTTCAGTGTCAAACGCCTTGAGCTGCGCGCGCAAGTATTCGACTTCCTTCAGGGCCAGGGCACGTTGGCGATCCAGACGCATGCGCACTTTGTCGGTATTAGCGGCCTCCGCAGACGTCGTGGCATTCTCGGCCTGGCTTCTTAGCTGAGCCTTTTCCTCCTCCAAGGCTTGGATCTGCCCCTGCAGCGCTGCAACTTCGGCACGGACAGCTCCAAGCTGCTCGACGTAAGAGGCACTGGTCAGCCGCTCCTGAACGAGCGCCCGCGCAATTTCTTCAGGGGAGTCAAACTCGGCCTGTCCTGTATCCGACACGTTCTCGAGATAGGCCGACCATGATAGACGCTCGTCTTCTAGTCTCTGCCGCTGTATCCTGGCTTCTGCCAGCTCCGCCTCTAGCCTCTCCGCAGCCTCGACTTTGCGCAACAGCGTCCTCTTTTCCTCCTCGACAATTTCGACGGCCTTGTTGACTGCTCGGAGTCGCTTTAGCTCGGCAAGCTGGTCGCGGTTTGTAGCTTCGAGAGCACGAATGTGCGAAACCTGTTCCGATAGCTCCCTCTTGATAATCTCCATCGTCTCTGCGTCGCCACTTTGTGCCTTGAGCCGCAAAACGTCTGCTTCTAACCTGCCAATCAAGGTGTCCTTTTCCAGAATCTGCTCTTGGTACTGCTGCAGCGTTGACTCTCGCGCCTCGGCCTCCCGCCCCAGGTCCTGTATTGAACTATTTGCCGCAGCGATTTGCATCTGCAGGTCGTTGGCCTTTTTGTCTGCTCTTCTCGCGGCTTCATCTTTGGCGCTGGATAGGTCCTCTATCTGCTCCTGCGCAAGACGGGCCTCGTCCTCGGCGGCTCGAACTTTGGACTCGAGCAGTCGCTTTTCGTTTGCTGCGGCCTCCTTTAGCTCCTCCATTTCCCGCCTGATCGACTCCGTTTTGGTGTCTGCCTTGGCCCTCTCTGCCTCGGCCGATTGGCGCTGTTGGGCCTCTTCTTGTTCACGGCGACGGGCTTGCTCCATCTTGTTGTTTTGCTGAGACAGTGCAATGTCCTTTTCTTGCTCGGCAGTCTGCAGACGGTATTGCAATGTTCCAACCTCGGCCTTGAGGGCCTCGATTTCCTTTCGAAGCTTGTCATGTTCGTCCGCGTTGGGCGGCACTAGGTTTTCTTTCGATCTTGAGCCCTCGAGCGAGCCTCGAACTGACGCAGCTGCATTGCTCTGCCTTGAAGAGGGCCTGGAAGTGTTTACTTCTGCGGTATGGATGTTGGGGATGGGTTGAGTTGCTCGGAAAGACGCTATCTAAGCACAATTAAAAGAAATCATCAGCATATCCAGCATCAAAGACATTCGTCGCTATTGTCGACTAACCCTTGAATCACGGAGTGACAGATTTGGCCGTGGCAAGCTGGAGCTGCTAGCGGTTCGCAATCTGCTGGTTGATCGAGAGTTTGGCCGACCGGCAGGGCCTCCCGCTTCCTGCATAGCGCGGCCGCGCATCTCGACTGGCTCTGGCCTTGGAAATATTGATAATGGCTGTTGTTGATCTTTTTTTCGTCTTTGAGAAACGCGCAGAAGCGCGTCTGAGAAGATGCTGTATGGGTGGTCACGTGACGCAGCAAGCTCTCGGGTAGGCGCTTACAACAGCGGGAAGAGAGGCTTTGGCAGAAATGGCAGAGGTAAATTAGGTACACTGCTGCAATTGAGAAGAAAATGGTTCAGCAATTCCCTCACTGAGAAAGACAGCTTTATTGGTGCCGATTGGTATTTGAGCTGTTGTTGGATATAAACAAAACTGAGCCTGGAGTATAACCTAGGTATTAACAATTACAGCTTGGATATACCAAGTGTGCTATAGCAACAAATAGACAAGACATGTCCTGTTAAAGAGAAGAAGACGATGACGCAATTCTAACCATACATGCAGAAAATATCTATTCTCTCCAACTAATTTTCATACAACATCCAATGGATTAAAACACACGCAGCACCAGTGAATATTTTTCTTTACTCGTTCAATGTGCCTGATACTTCTCCCACGGCAGTCAATAAGATAAGATCTGGGCCAGCCAATCGGCATTCGGCCCATCGCCATGGTCGGTTCTCCGGCCCAGCAGCTTGAATCATCCAATTCACAAAATTGCCCTCCATTTGTTGGGTAAAGGTGGCAATTATGAGGCATTTAAAAGATAAAATATATAACAATGAGTGTAATTGACCATGGATGCAAATTTCAAGACAATTGACGAACAGGTACATGTCTTCCCAGCTTATTTAGCTTGCTACAGCTTGTACTCGATTCCCCTTGCCAATGACGCAGCTCAAAGCCTGCCCGTGACCCACTCGCCGCCCAGATCGAACAGGATAGTGGGAAGCTCTGCCAGCTCCCCTTCCATCCCACCATCCTCTGCCAAAAACACCACAAAACCTCTGGATATGCGACTATCGAATAGCTTCAACCAATTCCGCATCGATACCGCCTTGAATATTTAGTACATGGAGCGCACCGCCTGAGCGTCTTCCCGTGGCCTTTGCCGCTACTCCCGTATCCGCGAATAGCCATCCCTTGCTCAACTCGAATCAGCTCAGCTCCAAGGATTGAATTGGCTCGCCCATCTCCATTCGCAATGGTCGCCCTTGGAAGAAGTATCGGGGTAAATGAAATATCTACCGGCGTTGCTTATAGCGAGCAAACCATGACTGACGTGAAATCCATTGGCAGGCTAGAAGCTCTCTCTCAGCGGCTGCGGCGCCTCGGCTAACGTCGCTATTCCTCTCCTCCAATTCCGAAGCTCGATCCGGCTACAATCGATTGTCATCTCCCTCGTCCTCTTCCTTATCATTACTGCCATCAACTTTATCTCTCTCCTCTCAGCAGCGATGGTCTTCCAACTCGACAACTCCCCCGCAGAGCGGGCAAGCGGATAGCCAGAGCCGTGAACAAGCAACATCAGCATCCCAGACTCCCTCGTCCGGAGCGACCCCAACATCATCATCGACATCGGCATCATCATCATCAAGCCGTCGCAAAGAATCCGCTGGAGGCAAGTTCAACCTATATGGCGATGAGTGGGAGGATACGGTAGACTTTGCCATCCAACGGTTCGACGAGCTCCCCCATCGCCTTTTTGGTGTTAATCAACACATGATCATCAACTATGAGCTCAAAGAGGCCTTGCGTATGATGCTCCGTCAGTTCAATGCGCCAATTGTCTACTGTTTCGCCTACGGCTCGGGCGTCTTTCCCCAAGAAAAGGCTGGTCGCAGCGTCAGCGAAGCCGAGTTTCGAGCTGTCCACCCCAAGCCTCCCGAGGCCCTTGTCAAGGCCCAAAAGGGCTCGCCCAAGATGATTGACTTTATTTTCGGAGTCACGCATACAGAGCACTGGCACTCCATCAACATGAAGCAGCACCGAGATCACTACTCAGGGGTCGCATCGCTTGGTTCTGGTTTTGTCTCACGAGTCCAGGGCTGGGGCGCTGGCGTTTATTTCAACCCCTACATCGAAATGAATGGCATGCTGATCAAGTATGGCGTTACAAGCATCGACAACCTGGTGAGAGACCTATCTACCTGGGATAACCTGTACTTGGCGGGACGCCTCCAGAAGCCCGTCAAGATTCTGCGAGACCACCCGCGAGTCCGTCTGGCAAATCAGATTAACCTCATCGCCGCTGTCCGAACTGCTCTCCTCCTTTTGCCGCCCAATTTTACCGAAGCCGATCTGTACAGCACCATTGCCGGCCTCAGCTATCTCGGCGACCCCAGAATGGCCCTCCCTACCGAAAATAAGAGCAAGGTGGCCAACATAGTCTCTAACAACATGGTTCATTTCCGCCGACTCTACGCTCCGCTAATTAGGACGCTTCCCAACGTGACGTTTGTCGACCCGGTCCGGCTGGACGACGAGAACTGGATTTTGAACCCCGAAGCCAACACTAGGCTGCAGCAGGACATGGATTTGGTTAAGCGAGGAAACATGGTTAGGCGCCTGCCAGGAAGCTTCAGGTCTCGACTTTACTTTCAGTACCGCAAGAAGTTTGGCATCCCCCAAGACGAGTTCAAGGCCATGATGGAGGCAACGTCGGACTATGATGGAGCTGTTAAACGGCGCCAAGCGGGAGAGTTTGAGAAACGAGTTGCCGCAGACGACCCCGAACAGCTGCAGCGCATCACTCGCCAGGTCATTAAGCAGACAGTCAACTGGCCAAGCACTTCGCAGAGCGTCAAGGGACTGCTGATGGGCGGCTTCAAGAAATCATGGCGCTACTTGGGCGAGAAGATATCCAAGTGGAAAAAGGGCAAATCCGAAAAGGCCTCTGGAACCAAAAAAGAGCAATCAAACGGGAGCCAAGAAGCCGAAAAATCGCAAAAGAAGGAAGAGTGAGGTTAAGATGAGGACTTGTTCTCTCTACCTTGATGTTGTTTTGATCGAGCTTATATCGACATCCAGCGGTGCACGAGGGTCCTTTTTTACCTAGGTTTGATGCCGTTTTACTGATTTACTTATTATGATGTATGTATCTACACATTGAGCACATAGAACTAGAGTTGGGGGGAGCGATTGGGGAGCGAGCAGCGAGCAGCGCACTACTTTGTACGGATTACGAGCGAGATGGCTGGGAACACAGAACATCACATATTGGGGGGCAAGGGGTTTAAAAAAAAAAAGGTTGATGTATTAGTATATGAAATATAATTTATTAAAGCAGTCATCATCATGATATTTCTTATTAAATTTGTATATCAATGTTACCTTTGCCGCTAGAAAGCTCCTTGGTCTCTGACAGTTATATATTATATTTAAATAGTAAAGCCAATATGTATTATCATTTTCCTTCAAATTATGAGGATTCAATTCTTTATCTAATATCAACTAATGAATAATACGTACATATGCTGGAGTAATAGGTACGCACAACATTACACAGCCAGGGTGTCATCACTTTGTGTTTGTGTGCTATTCGGATTTGTACGTCGATCATCGCTCAGCCTCTATTTTCTGATACCCTCTTGGTCGGGTAGAGACGGGATACTATGAGAAATGGCCTGGCTTGGTGAGACCTTTTTGAGCAATAACCCGATGCCCTACTACTTACCTAGGGATATGCTGCCGACATAGTCTACATGTAGGTAATACTGAATACTGTATTACCCACCCAAGTAGTATTCGTGAGGCAATATACATTCTACTCTGTATTCAAGGCCAAATCGTAACTTTCCCCTTGGGACTAGCCTCATCAACCTGGACGCTTATTCTGACAGGGTTTGCATGTAGTTGGGCAGCAATGTGGGGAGTATACACACAAGAAGCTCGGATTAGCACCCGCATTATCAAAGAAAGGGCCAGGCAATCTTGATTCTCACGAGGTTACATCGTCTTCCAGTTTGCCCGAGTCACCTCCTGCCGCGTGTGGATTGCCCTACGTGATAAAATCGCTTACTAGATAGAGCCGCAAAACCCACGATAAATTAGTCAATTGCCCTCCCGCGTGCATAATGTCATCTATCTTCCTTTATTTCTTCTCCAGCGCCTCCATAGTTTAGCTGGCATAGTAATATCGACCGTTAGCAAGAGTGGAGTGTCTAACTCTGCAAGAAGTAGACACCCATACTTGGTGACATAGAGTTAATCCCTGCCTTTCCCTAATAAGGAACCATCCATTTATCCTTTGAATTGTACTCACCTTACTTTTTCGTTATCATGGATACCAAAACATTTGATGGTACAGAGCTTACAGTCTACAAAGGATCTAAAGATACACCATTCATAGTTAGTGAATTGATCGGGTCTAGTCTGTGGGCAGTGCAATGTGCTCGGAGGCGTTCTTCAGGCAGAAGCGATGATACCAACGACCTCTACGCCCAGAAAACTATTGGAGTTTATGAGAATGAAGAGGCGTTATTGGATACAAAGGAGAACTATATAGAAACCGCAAAGGCCGAATTCTTGAAAGAAGTAAAGATTCTCTATCATGCTCAGCACCAGCACGTTGCGAAGCTCATCGACGCATTTGCCATCGAGGACCCGCCACAGTTTGCACTTGTAATGGATCGTGCAGATGAAAATCTTTCGAAATGCCTTGTTAAAAAGAGGAAAGATCTGAAACGAGAATGGTTCGGCTGCTTGCTATCCGCCGTGGATTACATTCACGGTATGGGCATCCGTCATCGGGATATCAAACCTGCGAATATATTAGTAAAGAATGGGAAAGTGTACTTGGCAGATTTTGGAATTTCGACCATGAGTATTGGCATAACGCTCTCAACAACAGTGCCCGCCCAGGCTCGTGCAAGGTCTGACGAGTACTGTGCTCCCGAGGTACTAGAAGGAAGCACGCGTGGCCGGTCCGCTGATATCTTTTCCCTAGGCGCTGTGTTTCTGAAGATGTTTGTTTCCTACTATTTGAATTGGATGAAGGAGCTCTCGACAGCATTGAAAGATACACAGAGCGGCATCGCGTCTTTCGCTAAGAAGATTGACATGGTGCACAAATTTATGGACAGCTTGCCGACTTCAATTACTGCGCTCGATGAAAAAGATGCCTGGCAGCCTAAGATAGTCGCTATTTGCCAGAAGATGCTGCGAGCAGACCGCGACGAACGTCCTAAAAGTTGGCAGCTGCTGAAAGACTTGCCTCCCTGTTGCAATTGCACAGAGACCAATCATATGGAGCTACGGGGACGCCTTCTTAAAGCCTGTAAGGACGGCTCAGTGGAAGAAGTGAAGAATCTCATCAAAAGTGGCACAGATCCAAATACCGTGGGAGCAATACAACAAGCCTCTGCAAACGGGTATCTAGACATCGTGGAGGAGTTGCTAAAAGCTGGTGCGAGCATCAACCTTGTTGACTTCAGCAATCAGACGGCACTCCACTGCGCCGCTGGGTACGGACATACTGCCATCATCACCCATCTATGTAATTCTGAAATAGATATTTTGTATAAAGATGTCGAGGGACGAACTGCCTTGCACTACGCAGATGGGGCTGGACACGTGAGCATCGTTGAGATACTGGTGGATAGGGGCAACAAGAGAAACATCCTCAGGTCCCAGGACCAGGCTGGGCAGACGGCGCTTCACTTTGCGTCCAAGAGAGCGTATGAAAACGTTGTAAAGATACTTCTTCCAAGTAAGAAACTCGAAGATATGAAAAGTCACCATGCGAAAGACAAAGACGGCCGAACGCCGCTTCATTTCGCTGCCGGATACGCTTCGCCGGGGGTCACTACAATGCTGTTAGACTCGGGCGCTGACTGCAATGCAAAAGACAAAGATGGATCGACACCACTTCATTTTTCGACCAGGGGAAAGCAAATTCGCGCAAGGTATGAAGAAGTGGTCGAAGTATTACTAAATGCTGGAGCGGATCCCATGATGAAGACCACAGATTGCTGCATGCCTGTTGCATATCTGCAGGCTGGAGATCCACGGTACAAACTTCTGGATGAGGCGATGGAAAAAGCTCAGATGCGGAGAAGTTCCACGGCTGCAAGACAGTATGTTGAGTTTTATCAGCCTTGTCGCTCAACCTCTAACATACAAATAGACAACTTGCAGCTCCAGAAGTAACATACAGGAATAGACAATCCGCAGATGGGATAGAAAAAACCATGGCTGAGAGCAAGGGTAATTTCCCAGCGGACTTTCACTCTGTCCCAGTACTATAAAGTTGATTTGAGGCCCATTTCATGGGATGAAAGAGCTGGACGAATTGAGCCATGGTGCCATGGGTGATGTGAGGGAATCTCTACTCTTGGTGGATGTGGAATCGCGATATGCCTTCAAACACTTCGCACGGGATCGAGTCACAAAAGAGCACAATGACTTGCCGGAGTCTTTCACTTCCTTGGTCTTCTTGGATGATGAGTCGCTAACCGGTACATTCTATTGATGGATGAAACGAGAACTTGTAACAATAGGGGAACGGATAGAATAGATGGGGGATATGATGCTGGTGGTTTTGAAGGCTTGGTATGCGGCGTTGATGATGAAGTGAGTGCTATTGAAATGAAAAGCGGCTATGCGGGTTTGCTGTAGAGTAAAATTAACCTGATCCTCCAATTACCGCTGCAACTGTTTCACTTAACAGGTGCCAGATGATGTCTAAGTCGATGACGAAACAGCAAACAAGCTTGTGAGAAAATATTTAATCTGTCATTCTATATCTATAAAAGTCTATCCAATCTATACTCTAGAGTCAACGTTGAAAGCCCCATCTAAGCTCAAGCTTCACTCCAGCTTCCGGAATCCCAGCGTCTCCCAGTCCTTCAACACCTTATCCTGAACCTCTTTCGGATAGGCATTCTTAAAGTCAGCATTCTCCCAATTCTTGCCAGTCGTATACTCCACCGGCAGCAATGCATCGCTCACAACCTTGCCGCCCTTGTTAGCATCCCCATTACCATGTCCCATATACGGAATAAGCAAAAAGCCAACAACATCCTCGAAAAAGACCTCGTCAGTTCCAGGGCGGCAACGAGTCGTAAATGCCCACATGACGTCCTTGTCGTCGTAAACATCGATGTCGTCGCCCACGAGGATGAGGCGGTGGATGGTGAAGCCGGGCTTGGACCGGAAGATGAGGTTGCCGACTTGTTCGGAGAAGGCCTTGGATGTGGTATTCATGGCGCGGAGGCGGGCCGTGTCGACTTTGAGAGCGACCCAGGTGGCTTGGCCGACAAAGGGGGCGAAGGCGTCGGTGATGGGGAGGCCGGTGTCCTGGCAGAGCTGCCGGATTTCGGCTGCGGCGAGGACTCCAATCATGGTTTGCTGGTTGAACAAGATGGTTAGCTTATAGTTACTGTGTGAAAGAGTGAGGCAAAGTGGGGGTAGGGAGATACTTACAGTCTCGTCTGTCAGGCGACCGCACGAAGACATGGGCAGGATTGCGTTGTTGCGGTACGTAATCTTGTTGACGGTGTATTTGGGGCCCGGATGGCTCTCACCAGGAAACGTGTAGCCGTGCATCTCGCCAAAGGGGCCTTCAGGCTGCATCTCAGTGACGGAGAGGGTGCCCTCGAGGACGATTTCTGAGTTGGCCGGAACCATGAGGTCGTTGGTATCACACTTGACCAGCTTGATGGGCTCTCCCGCAATGGCTCCCACGTAACCGGCCTCACTAACTCCGTCAGGGATGGGCATTGAGGAAGCCATGATGGCGGTGGGAGGGACGCCGAATGCAAGGGCCCAGGGGATCTCAGTTTTGCCCTCCTTCTTCCACAAATCGTGGATCTGCTTGATGTGCTGGGGACTGATGACGAGCCCGGCCAGAGTCCGCTTGCCAGACACCATGGCTCGAGCAATAGACCAGTTGGTCCAGCTGCCATCAGGAGAACGCAGAATGTGCATGCCAAATGTCTGGATGTATCGTCCACCGTCAGACTGATGGACCAATGGCACCGGAAGGGCCGTCAGATCAATGTCGTCTCCCTCAATGGAGTTTTCCTTGATGGGGCCAGTGGGCACGACAACCGGTTCAATCGGGGTGAGGCTGCTTGCAGACAGCATCTTGTCTATGATTTCACGCATGCTGGCAGTTGGAGGCAGCGCCATGTGGCGAGCCAGACGGCCGTACTTCTCGCCGGGCGTCTTGCGGAGAGAGGCAGGGGCTCCGAGGATGCGCCAGAGACCATCTTTGGCACCGATGACGTTGTTGAAGAGCGGTGCCTTGTCGTCGGTTTCACAGACGAGGCGGGTGATTGCTGCAGCCTCGAGGTTTGCGTCAATAGGGGCGTCAATGTCGACGAGATCGTTGTCCTGACGGAGGGCATTGACAAAGGAGCGGAAGCTCAAGTGAGGAGGCTCGGGATCCGAGGCTTCAGGCAGAGCGATTTGAGACATGGCGAATTTAAAAATGAAGATTTTTATATGATCAATTGATCGGATGATTGACTGATTCAATGAAGATGCTGTTGAATGTATGTTGTTTTGTTTGCTGGTGGCATGTCAACTGCTCCTCTGGCGGCGCTGCCATGGCAATATATACTCAATCATCTTGATGAGCTTTGTGGAATTTCCGGAGCTCTTCGGATTACAGCTCATCTCGTGAGGAGATTAATGACGTCTAGTTGTGAAATTCTCTGTTTCAGTTCTGTGATGGCTTCACGCAAGTACAGCATATCAAGATGCCGTGGTGGTTTGCCGAGACGGCACTGGGACTAGAAACTCCGAGGCGCCGAACCAGCCGCCACGCTCTTTTACATAAGGTAAGGTAAGCGGCACGCTATACCATACCTCTACAGGCTCGGACCCTCGGAACATTTTCATCATAGGCATCTCCCAGCTTCATCGCAATGGATCTCCAGCCATCTCCCCAGCAAAGAGAAATCGACCGAGTGCTGTATCTGCGCCGCATCTCGCAGGCTCGGTCCTGCTATCCGTGTCGCCAGCGCAAGGTCAAGTGCGACCACGGCCAGCCCTGCCAGACCTGTCAGAAGAGAGGCCATCCCGAGATCTGCTCCTACAATGTGGGCACGTCCGAGAAGAAGCGCGGGCGGCGTGCCAAAGCAGCAGCTGCAAGTGTAACGCCTGTGAGGGCTTCTCGAAGGAGAGACTCTGAGCCTGAGCCCGAGTCAGACCCAGAGCCTGGGCTTGAGCCACCGCGAAGGAATGCTGAAGCTGGTGATGATGGCAATGAGCCTGAGCCATCTCTCGCTCATACACCATCCTCTCTCGGTACACCACGGATATCAAACTCGATACTTTTCACAGGGCCTCAAAACACAGCAGCGACGGCTAATTATCACCCCCCACGAAAGGAGCTCTATCAAGGAGGCAGCTCCGTACTCACTATGCTGCACGGCTCTGCCGACTCTCCCGCCGTTGAGATGAGGCGCAAGGCCGGACCACTCCTTGGCTTACACAACACCTTGGAGTTTTATCCGTTCATGAAGATCAAGACTCTACAGGAGAGGTGGGCAGAGTTGCTGAAGATTATTCCTCAGAAACAGGAAGTGCTGAGGTACGGCCAACTTGTTTCCATTGTTTTTGGGTGTATTTGTAATACATACCAATTGTACTTATGTTGTCACGAATGCCGTCTATTTTTGCTGACTATTGCACTCTCACTGTTAGATATTTTCCCTCTCATGGGGCCACGATATATCCGTTAAGCCCTGTTCTGCTGGATCCTGATGGTCTAGAGTCTACCTTTTGCGACTATCTTGCAGCCCTGGAAGCTGGTGAGCTTCGTAGCCCCAACGTGATATCGACGAAATGGGTCTGCAAAGCCTATATATCGCAAATTGCTCTAATACTGGCCGCACTTGCCACCAGTGCGCATTACTCAGTGATGCAATCTCCAAAGAAGCGCTCTGAACATTGCCTTGACTTTGGTAAGAAAAGAAAGCTCGTGTTCATCGCTTTCAACAGGTATATGAAGTAGAGCTAACCTGATGTACTCTTGTTAGTACAACGCGCATTTGACGCTCTGCGTCTGGCTAATTACGTCTTGCATCCATCACTCGACGGGGTTCAAACACTACTCATCATCGGAACTGTTCTCCAAGATGTTGGGCAGTCGGATGGTGCGTGGGTCATGATGGGCACCACTGTTCGGGCAGCGCAGGCTTTGGGCTTGCACACGCAAAGTGCGTCTCAACAGTCGGAAGAAGGGGCAAAGAAAAAACAGGCTCTTTGGTATGTCTACTTGTTTGGTATTTTATGTTACGAACCGAGCCCTCACTTAATAGCACAATATCGAATATGAGCTGATCCTTTGATCATTTCCACAGGGACGCCATCTGCAGACAGGACTGCTTGCTCAGCCTGTGCCATGGCCGGCCGCACATTGCGTCCAAGCAATCCCTCGCGACGCAAAACTCTCTTAGATCTAATGAACCACTAGATTTCTCAGAAATGATGTGTGGTATTGTTTCAGTATCCACTAGTCTCCTGGAACTAGAAAAGCCAAACTGTGAGGCATCAATGAAGCTGCTGACCGAGTTGGATGGATACAGATCACGAGCTGTGCCTTATTTGCAGCACCGAGAGAAATGCACAAACATCCAGCAGCGCTACGAGAGCCTTAGCATAGAGATTCAGCTGTTTTTCGCAGTCTCGGTATTGTGCCGGCCAGCTCTCACAAAATTTGCTACTACCGAGAATGGGCAGACTAATGTTATCCGAGCTCTCAAGTCTCGAGCCAAAGAGAGCTTGATGAACACAGCAAAAGCATTCATAGAGTTTCAGGCGCTGAGCATCATCCCTATTCGGACATGGTCTCTTATACATGCAGTTCTAAGTGCCACGATTCTACTTTGTCTGTGGGAAGAAACGCGATGTGACCAGGAGAGCCGAGATGTGCTGCAGCGAGTAATGGAAATATTTTCTCGGGCAGCGCAGGCAGATGACGAGACTGGCATGATGGTTGATGCGTCAGGAAACAATAACTGGCTGTCCATGAACCACACCAGAGCATTGGTGGCTCTGCAAAACGCCATACAGAAAGCTCCCGCCTTGCACACTTGCGGGTCATTATCAACTCCTGAACGGGAGCAGGCGGAAAATGTGCCACAGCAGAATTACTCCTTACCAAGAGACCAGGATGCGGCTCCGATAGATCCGATGATGGACGCAGTGATGGGTTACAACTTTACTGCCATGTTGGGGGACAGGTTCGTTTGCTGAATTCGATGATAAATGAGAGAACCGTACTAATTTCATCATATTAGCTGGTCAATGAACGAATACATGTATCCCTGGGACACGACGGAGCTGTCGCCTCTGATGTATCTCGACTCGATTATGAAAGGTGAGCGGGCAGTATGATTGCTCGGTTTGGTGGTGAATGAAGCTGACCGAGATGATGCAGCACCCTACGAGGCTGTAAATGAATTTTAAGAAATGGTTCATTGTCTTTGTAAAACGGATCCCTGTGGAGTGTGGATTCTCGTACAATAATGCGTGGAAACTGTTTTGCGTCGCGGCCAGAAACTATCTCAACCAGTAGGGATATCCCTGGTCAAATGTGTTAATTTTGAGGATTTAATAAAAATATTTCATGGCCTCGGCACCGAAGATGTGCAAATTCAATCTTTCATAGCTCCGAAGTCTGCAAAAAATGGTGATACAATGATGCTTCTTCAACAGTTTGGGTATCGTATCCCAGCTTCGGTACTTCGGCACCTCGGAGCGTGATGGTTCAACGGCGCTGCTTTGCTCGGTGGCATGAGGTCACTCACCCACTCACCTGTGTTTGAGTTGGAGATGCCTCGGACATTTGATGAATATCGGCAAGTTCAGAATTGAAGATGGAATCATATAAAGATGGGTGATTGCAGCTCTTGGTTCGGATATTTTATCACAGCAGCAATCACAACTCGACTCATAACAACCACTCCTCTTCATTGAGACAGAGCCTCCATCTTGACCACATCTACACTACTCAGCTTCCGAGCCTTCAAGTTTCCAATACACAGACACACTCATATCACCATGTCTCCATCTCTCACGGTACCTGACGATGTCAATACCACCGTCTCCCATAACATGTCCCATCTTCAACCTCGCCGCAAGCGCATCATCATCGCCATGACGGGCGCCACAGGCACAATCTTGGGCATCAAGCTTCTCATCGCCCTCCGCCGACTGAATGTCGAGACGCATCTTGTCATGAGCAAATGGGCCGAGGCAACACTCAAATACGAAACCGACTATCACGCCTCCAACGTGCGCGCCCTGGCAGACCGCGTCTACAACAACAACGACATGGCGGCGCCCATCGCCAGCGGCTCGTTCCGTGTCGACGGCATGATTGTCGTTCCGTGCAGCATGAAGACGCTGGCGGCCATCTCGACGGGCCTGTGCGACGACCTGATTTCGCGGGCGGCGGACGTGATTCTCAAGGAGCGCAGGCGGCTGGTGCTGGTGGCGAGGGAGACACCGCTGAGCGAGATTCACCTGCGCAACATGCTGGATGTGACGAGGACCGGAGCGGTGATTTTCCCTCCTGTGCCGGCGTTTTACATCAAGCCTTCGTCGGTGGAGGATTTGGTGGACCAGAGCGTGGGGAGGATGCTGGACTTGTTTGATCTGGATACGGCGGATTTTGAGAGGTGGAATGGATGGAACAAGGACAAGGAGTGATGTATGTTTTGGTGTTTTTGGACTGCATGTTTTTTATAATATCTAGGATTGCTGCAATTAGAGGGATGGATGGGAAGGGATAGACATAGAAAGCGATGATTTAATAGAGATACAGATTTGAGACTACCCAATCGCTAGCATATGGGTTGCGAAGTTAGAGGCATTGATTCTTGGTGTTGAATATTTATTTGTCGTGACGCAGAGTATGTAAATTGTTCTCGATTCTTCCAAGTTTTGATTTATAAGGGCAGGGGATGACAGGTTTCACAGATATTATGGGCCCCTTCATTACTTACCTCACAGGAATGTTATGGCCCAACCAAAGACAATGCGTTTGTCTTGGCAGATACAGTATGGAAAACCGTTAAAACCTTTACCCTCTCACATTTAACTAGACAAGTGTCACAATTCACCTCTGCCATCAATCCAAACAGCCACTACCAGCCATGCATCTACCTCTCAGGCTTTTAGTCGACATCTTCATATTGGCTGTTGGTGCCGCCCTCAGCTATACGCTTGGAGTAAAGAATGGCCAGGTCGTCCACCAAGCAATTTCTATAGGCGCTGTCGTGTGCCTCAGGCTATGGGAGCGACGAAAAAAGCGACGGAAAGGAAAGGGAGACGAGCGACACGAAGACCGCCGGCGGCGACGGCGGCTGCAGCGGGAGAAACAACCAGCTGAGCAGCGCGTTGGGGAGGAGAAACCGCGTTTTGAAGAGGAGAAACAACACGTGGAAGATGAGACGGGGCGTGTTGAAGAGAAGCATCAGCATCATGAGGGCCTGGAAGAGCGCAAGCATGATTTGCGAGAAATTTAGACGCGTCCCCTCCCAGTCACGCCTCAGATTTCGGTGACAGATGTTTGGCTCAGATCTCTCCGCTAGCCCGAGGCAACCTGCTCACCGCCAACGCCTGATAGATGATTGATGAGGCATTGCATATTTGCTTCCTCAAGGGCATGATCAGCCGCATGCGATTCGTTCGAGCCTTGGCTGGGAGGGCGGGCAGTGGATGGCAGGCTCCCACGTCTCATAACTATCTGCATGTACCCGAATCAATCTTTTGCTGTATATCATCATCGAGCGCAAGGCAGCCAATGGGTGGATGTCTTGGCAAACTCAGCACGGCCGCAGCCCAAGTCTTCTACACACTTATATTCTCGCAACGTATCAAAGCAGATCAGCTCCATCTCAAACCCAGCCCTCGCCCCAGGTCTCTTGCCCACAAACTGCAGTGGTTCCAACCGTAACACAAGCCGTGATACCAGTTCCAGTTGTGAACTCTAGAGATTCCCTAGGACTGCATTCGGCATGCCAAACTTCGATTACACCAGCCAACGCAGGACGGATGACAGACAATATGTTAGGTCTTGTAGGTCTTGGCCTAGGCGTCACGATATCAGTGGTGGACATGCTTAATGGGCGGCAATTAAAGGAAGAGCGTGAACTGCGACAACGGGCTGAGCAGCGTGCCGAAGAGGAAAAAAGGCGTGCTGAAGAGGAGAAACGACGCGCCGAGGAGGAAAGACAACGTGCTGAACAGGAGCGCCGAGATCGTGAGGCCATGGAGCAGCACTTGCGTGACCTGTAAGATGCATCCCCTGACAGTCAGTTGTGCTTCAGCAGCTAAAATGTTGTGCCTGCCAGTGGCATAGATCCAGCCGAACCCAACATCTCAGCCAACGACATTGAAGAGGCCAGACGCGACATCAACTACGACCCAGATGCCACCAACATAGCTGTCGCGGGCAACGTCAACTCCGGCAAGTCATCACTTCTAAATGCCATTCGAAACCTAGGCAAAGACGACCCTGGCTGGGCTCCAACCGGTGCTTCAGAGGTGACAGCGCAGCAGCATCGTTACCCTGATCCAGTCCACAACTGCATCTGGTATGATACTCCAGGGTCTGGGACCCAGAGCGTCACGGCATTTCGCTACTATTACAGCCAGAGGCTGTTTGCATATGACAAGGTCATTCTGGTACATGAAACGACGCTGACCGAGGTGAGTCGAATCGTGGCGATGCCAGTGACTGACAAAAGAGTTAATGGCTGACATTCTGTCCACCAGCCCGACATCCGTCTACTACAGGTCTGCAATCATTTCAAGCAGCCGTGCATCGTGGTGAGGACAAAGTCCGACATGCACATCTACAATTACCAAAAGGAGCTGGAATGGACTCAGCAGGAAGCCAGAGAGGCGTTTCTCCGCGAAGTCCGCGAAGATGTTGCTCGCTTTACAGCACAAGCTGAGGCGGCACAGGCCAGCTTTGCGCCTCAGTTTGACGACTTTGTCGTCTCAACGACAGGCATTCGGGCCCTTGTTCGAGGACGAAGATCGCCTGATGAGGTGGACGAGATTCGTTTCTTTGAGGCATTGGGTCTGCGAGGTGGACTTGAACAAGGAATAGCGAAGTAACAATAACATGAAGATGGCATCATTGTCTCGGACCCAGTGAGTGACAATTACAGCTTGGATATGCACATAAAAAATAAGTGACACGTCAGATCAATAACATATCCAAAAATTACAAAAAAAGAAGACGACAAGAACAGGATTCGAACCTGTGCGGCCGAAGCCATATGATTTCGAGTCATACCCATTAACCACTCTGGCACCTTGCCTTGCTTGTTGAAAGTATATGACTTAGTTTAGTTTATAATAGTCACACTCCACATTTGCGTACCCGCGCAGGGTGGGGTAGCCGCATGCCGCACTAGCCTCAGCTTGTACATATATCTCAATTTTTCCCTCTTCACTTCTTTCTGTCTCATTCACGTCTTTTTCAATTAGAACTACCTATGAGAAAAATGGCCTTTGATCACCACTTGTTCCACCGTCATCCAATATACTCTGTGTAATTACACCTCATCATTCACCTTCAAGTATAGGATATCACTTTCTAGCTACCTATCAAACAACGGGACAATAATCTTGGCCAAAACGTTCCACTCTTAAATTTAATTTGACACCACATGATTATATTCATTGGGCTATTCGGTGAGAGCACTGGGAAGTTCGACGGTAGCGGTCTGGAAATGACTCAAATTATTCAGCCTTAATGTTCATTACCTTGCTTCCTATCCGGGATATTTACGTAGGGATATAACATGAGGAACTTCCTTATCTGGATTCAAATCGACTTCCAATGGTGTGACCAACATATATTAGTACAAGGTATGGAGTGGCGTGGGGTGCTTTCATATCTTGCGCGGTGATTATATATGGTACATGCTTGAAACTTGGCTTATCTATTAAGCATGAACTAATTATTGGAAGGTAGGTTTATTTGTTGGCCCACTGTGGGTAATTAATTTATTCATGATAGATGTAAATTAATTTATTCAGTTAAGGTAAATTCAACCAGTTATTTATATTGTCTTTGTTCTTGTCACAATAGTTTCTCGTATGCTAGTACATTAGTGGACTTGCACGTCTCTCAATCAAACATATTGTTGACCTATTACGAATTTAAGCAAAAACTATAGTAGTATATATTAATGCAACGATAGTTGTCAAAGTTGAAACAACAATAGTTTGAGAAGTAACTACGACTTAGCTCACTAGGTGACACATTTATAGCGACAAACAAACGGGTAATATAATAAAGATATCTCATAAATTCATTAACCCATTGTGTTATAACCCTTCTCTCTTTCTCACAAATTTGAAAAGTTATCGAATTTTGAATCTTCCTCGAACCTGAAGAATAAGAGCTGTCCTGAAGCGCATCCGATGATAATCTTTTGTTTATGTATTAGCAGGGTCTGGGCAGAGGTAGGGTAAAACTGCTGTGGTAGAAAAACCAGCTTTTTGTCACCCCAAGTAATCCATTTCTCATCTTTCTTGTCTATGTGACGGTTTTGGACGCTAAGTAGGCTCCAAAGTGGGTATATTATTTGTGCAGATGAAGAAGCCTTCCGTAGATCTTGAATTAACATAGGGCCCATTTCTGTTATCAAGTATTTTGGGAATTCATCAAGAATTCTCAACGAGTAAAGCGCACTATTTGTTTTAGCAGATGAATCAAACTGGAATGACATGTTCTCGTTCTCGTTGTCAACCTTCCAGATCGATATGCTGTTTTTATTCTCTTCATCAACCTTCCATATCGATATGCTGTCGGAACAGGAAGCGAAGAACAATTTTGAATCGGCTGAGAATGCCATTGTGCGCACACGACCATGGCCTCTGTCTCTGATTACAGTCGTTGACTGTGAAGAACTTGGTCGATCCATGAGGACCTTCCAAAGTAGTATCTCGCCATCATCTGCTCCGGACACCACGTATTTTCCATCGTTTGAGAAGAGTACGGACATAACATAGTCTTCATGAGCTCGAAGTATTCGTACCCCTTGCATTTCTTCCTCCTCTGTCGCTTCGTCGTCACCTTTCAGTTGCCCATCTTTTCCAACACCAGGTTGTGTGATGTCCCACACTCGAACAGTCATATCATCAGATCCCGAAGCGACAAGTTTTCCGTCGCGAGATAATACAGCGCAGCGCACCCAATTATCATGGCCGAAGAGAAGCCGTGGCGTTGGACTACCTGTAAGGTCCCAGATTCCAATAGTTTCATCGTCGGATGCGGAAACCAGTCGTGTGGAATCTTGAGAGAATACAAGTGATTCAATACTTTGTTTATGAACAGACAGCCTTTGCTTAAATTCTCCCGATTTCCCGTTCCACAGACAGATTTCACCATCATCAGAGGCTGACGCAAGCCACTTCTCATTCTCAGACAATGCAATGCGAGAGATTTGCCGTTTGTGTGGTTGGGATTCATCCACCATATCAGCCCTTAGCTTCGCTTCGGTCACATAGGTATCATAGTCCCAAATGCGGACGGTTTTATCGCTAGAGCAGGTAGCAATGCATTTTGAGAGGGTAGAGAATGACAACCCATAAACACCTCGCGTATGTCCTCTCAATATCAAAGCTGGCTGTTTCTGTTTAGCGTCATGTGGAATTCTCCATATTCTGCATGTTGCGTCGTCTGATCCAGATGCAAGAAAGGAACCACAAGGGGAAAATGCAACAGCTCTAACAGAATCAGTGTGTCCAGTGAGAACAGTTGGCTCAGCGTCCGACTTCCAATCCCAGATGTATACTAAGTTCGACTCGTCTGTTCCTGTGGCAACATATTTTGAATCGGGGGAAAAATCAAACCCACGGGTCCAATCGTCGCTCATCCGCATTGGAATTCGCAGCTTCTTTTCTTCGATAACTTTCCAGTTTTTCTCCATTGGTAAATTTGATATGGTTTCTTCCTTGTCAATCACGCTTTTTTTTGTATACTCTAGTCTCCAGATATGAAAATGAGCTTCTGAAACCCATCCTAGGAAAGCCCCATCTCTGGAAAATCTTACACACGCAGCTTCGTATGGAGAAACATTTCTCTCTCTCAAAATGACATGGAATGACGGAACCCTCCATATGACGATGGAAGCATCCACTGCCGCCACGAGCATACTTCCATCTTCGGAAAAATGGATACCGGCTACTATACCAGTCTTGTTTGATTCCCGACAGACAAAGCTTTGTAGCTCGCCTGTAGCAACTTTCCAAATCTTGATGTTTCTTCGGTCTGTCGCAGCCAAATAACCCTTTTTTGAGAAAGCAATATCATATATGTATTCATAACTTGAAAAAGCTTGAATTACGTGCTGCATTTCCCCTGTCGCTGTGTCCCAGATGCGTATTGAGCCATCATCCGATCCCGAAGCCAGAAGCTTGCCGTCATGAGAGTAGGCGCAAGTGCGAACATAATCTGAATGTCCCTTGAGAATATGAATGATAGGGCTCCAGAAGTTTGTAACGGTTGGTGAGGCTGCTAAATCTGGCCACACTTGCTTCAAAAATAGTTCTCGTATTATGCTATCGGGTGGGCAAAAAAGTAGAGTATTCTTAATACCAGCGTCGACTGGACTTGAACTCATTTTATGGAAATGGAGTAGTTGCTGCGTCTCGTAAATATGACTCAGATTTTCTTGAATGTCTTTTATGCTATTGTGTCCTGACTCTAGTTTTTTCTATATGAAGTCAGCGCCAAGGTCATAATTCAACCATCTACCATTAGGAAAAAGGTCAACTTACGGAGAAATGGTTCTGTAACTCTGATATCAGAGTCAAAGCCTGAGATAACCGAGAAGATGATATCAAGAGATCTAGCCATTGCAAGATATTCTCGGTAAAGAATGTAGCTGCTGTCTTTGATTCATGTTCAGTATTGTTCATCTGGCAGAGGTGACGAGGCCAGTGAATTGCTGCATAATTTGTGGATGACACTGGACGTCGTCCTTCAACGCAAGGCAAATCCTTTGAGGATTGACTCCAAAATTTCTTCAGAGACTCTAAACAAGCCTGCATCGTCCAAAAATGTAGCACAGAAGGGCTCTCATTTATTGCTTGGCGAATGAAATTTCTGGTAGAATTACCAGTGAAACATACAATTGTGCCGCGCATTTCCAAGAAGGCGGAACACTTCTTAACCAGAAGCTCAAGGTCGATCTGTGGCTCTAGATCTAAAGCTGCTTCCAGCTCAAGTAGATCAAGAGGCCTGTACACCACAGCCATAGCAAATAGTATCCTCAAACAGAGTTTAGAGTCTTGAAAAGGTAATTCGGCAATGTCAGCTAGCATATTGGAATACAGTTTGTGGATTGTGCCATTATGTTTTAACAAGTTTTGTGACAACTGATTCAGAGGTTTGGAGGCAGGCCAGGGATAATTTATTCGCATCTGTTCGCAAATTGGATCGAAAGGGTTCTTGTTTTCCGACTTGTTTTGTGATATCCGTTGAAGAATGTCTAGAGCATTCCAGGCATCTTCTTGTCGTATCGCTTCACAAGCTATATCGACCCATAGAGAATTCCCAGGGCAGAGTTTGCATAGTAGATCAGTGACGTCTTGGCGAAATTTTCCCTGATATAGTCTGTTGTATTGTGCTAACTTCTCCACCTTAAAAGGAATATAGCAGTCAAGGAGGATGGATTGAATATATCTTTGTTGATTATTCATGTCGATATGCGGTATATTGTCTTGTTGAATGGAATGCTCGTCGTTTGCATTCATATGCGCTAAGTTGTCTTCTTGATTGGAACATGTAGTAGATATGAAGATGTTCTCATGGGAATTAGAGGTTGCAACGACCCACTTGATTTTGCTTGAAATGCTTATTGTTGTGTTGATGAGCTCCTTGGTAAAATATACACCATTCTCAATCTCATCAATCCCATTAATGAGGAAAATAGTGTCCTTGAATTGCTCATCTCTGATGATGTCATACAAGGCAAGTGATAAGACATACGCATCGTTTCCATCTGAGAAATCCATTCGACCTGTCGATTCGTACTTATCAACTAAGTGGCCTTTTAGTCCTGGCTGATGCATCAGTACATGATGGATAAGAGTCTTAATAACAGACGCAGTACTGTCGACTTCATGTTTGCCGTTACCGCAGAATGAAAACGAGACGAAGCTGGTATGCGAGGATTGTCTTCTTTGCGCGGAGAGCCCCTGAATGATCGCCCACATAGCCATTGTCCTACCAGAGTCAGGGGCACCAGTGATCCAAAGTCCATGCGAGTTCCCGGTGGTGAGCTCAGTATATTGCGATGTACGGCATAGCCATTCATAGAGATGATTGAGAGTCTCTTCGCTCAATTCTAATATCTTTTCCCTGGGGTCTACTGCGCTTAATCTTCCCAATACGTCTTTAACGTCATTGGCGTCAGCATATCGCTTATCATCGCGTGTCGCACTGGCTGTTTCATTATCATAGAGTTTGGCAAGGCTGTTGAGCTGCTCTTCGACTTGCTGCCCGCTAAAGCATGCCAGAGCCTTTTCTGCGCTAATCACGCCAGCCGCGCTTATAATACCATCTCTGGTCAATAGATACTGATCCGCTTCGGTTCTGTATTTCTCTTGAATTTTCTCTGTTTGAGAACAAACGACGTGAGCTTGATATAAGAGAATTTCTTTATAAAGGTCCGTGATTCGGTCCTGCAAAGTTAGTTGTTCTTTGATAGTAGACCTTTTGGTGAAGTTGTCATCGTTGTCATCGTTGTCATCGTTAAGAAGACTAGCAAGAAGTATATACCATCTTATTCTGGATATAATGTAGCCAATTCTGGATAACGCTATTTTTGGTTTGTATGCAGGATACGAGATACTCTGTTTTTAACATTACGTTATTAACATCATGCGCTTCATGAAATGACAGAAATGATAGCTTCTTACTGACCTCTATGGAAAGACATATACCTGCCCATGGTAGAGATGGGTCGCCAACACGGTAGCCGGATGATTTCATGATGTCCCGTATATATGGCGACAAATTGTATGACCGTCTGTCGACCTCAGTATCTTCACCATTCTCAATATCGCTGTCCGTCTCGGTCTCGGCATCGGTAGCAGTTTCAACGTCTTGATCAATGCTGAGGTAGAGGCTAATGATTCCCTCCATCTGCTTCTGTCTCTCTTCATAATTCATAGTAGACAAGCTAATACTTTGAGACTTAGTTGAATATCGTGGTTTCCCACCGCCGGCCTGTAACCAAAGGTCTATTCTTCTTTCATAGTCTTTCCATAAGCCAGGATTTTCAGATTTAAGAGATTCGTAAGCCACATCCCACAAATCCAAAGCAACTTTTGGTAAACTTTTGGGAGGTTTCGGCTCAGGTCTCATGAAAGGTGTCGGGGAAGGTGCGTCCGATGCGTTATCTGCCTTGGGAACAGCATCATCTGCCTTGGCGACAGCAGCATCATCTGCCTTGGTGACAATTCTTTCTTTGTTCGAATCATCCAACGAATTGGTAGAACTCTCTCCCTCATCTTCAATGGCATTTTGGATTTCACTTGTTATAGATTTATTTGGTTGTGGAACGAATATATCAGGGTTTGGGATTGAAGTCGTTTCATCCACAGGATTTGCAAAGGTTGACGGCTCTTGATCATACCCAGCGATTCTGGTGGCAGGTTTTTTCAACCTTCTTTGCGGAAAAAGGCGGCGTAAATTTTCATAAAGCTTTCTGTTGTCATTCGACATTTTGTTTTGTGGGTTGAAGGCGAGTGTACCGGACTGGGTAGGGCAATATTCAGAACAAAAATGGTACGGCAGAAGCAGAACAGTAGGACACCACAACTCAGTTCTTTGTAGCAAAAGCAACCATGCGCCTGTTTCTGGGCAAATTGTTTGCATATGCTTGGGTACGGACAAGGGTTTTGGTTGGGCACCACGACTATGCCTTACAACGTCGTAATGCTTCTGCCTTTTGCACGCCAAGAACCAATTAAACATCTGCATAGGAAGGGCAAATTGTCAGCCTGCACAAGCCACAATACGTTACTTAGGCATTGATGCCTAAATTCATTATTGCATGTGGGTGCAGGGTGGCGACACAGCCGCGGAGATTGACAATTACCTTAGTACCTAGGTAAGGTATATGTACCTTTAAGAATACATCATGAGAATACTGCGTACCTACCTAGTACATTAGGCACCCTTAGAAGAGGTCCATCACTAGATAGGTCAGGCAGGTACCTCCAGAATACAAAATATCGCATGACTGCACGTATATGAGGGATGCCAATCAGTGGAATATATACGTCTAAGTAGGTATATAAAAGCTAGATTCGCGGCATACTTCATTCTGTTATTTATTTTCATCTTGCGAGCCAAAAAAAAAAAAAAAAAACGTCTAATTCACTTCCACATAACCATGGCCGACTATTATAATTTAGATAAAGAAGATCCATCAACCGCCCTTGAATTCGATCTCTATCAAAACCTAACCCATGAAGCGACTCTTGCATCTGGATCTGTCAAGTCATATGGGGTGAAGGAAGGCGGTAGCGCAATTTTTGACAAGAAGAAATCCCGGTACTCCGTCAGTGCGCAGCGACTCCTTTGGATAGATGGATGGGAAAAGACAACGTTCGAGAGCGGTGAAGCAGTACATCACCAAGAGATGACACTGGTTGTCTTAAAGATTGTTTTTGCTTCCTATGACACTGAAAAAAAATTTAGATCCGCTAAAATTTCTTTGATGTTAGAAGACATCAACGGGGAAGAAACCAAAGGCGCTAATGAGCCAAGAGTTGAGGCGTGGGCTCCTTTTAACACACCTGAAAAATGGAATATGTCAATGTCTCATCACACGGAATCTAATAAGAAAGAGGGGAGCCTTCAGTTCGAGTTTTCTGGTGCTGGGCTATCTACTGGCCTAAGCAACGAGAGAGAAACATCCTGGGACCAAAGCGCTTTCGATACGGCAATGTCATACTCAGAATTCAGCACAGTTACTGGCAACCCCAACACCGTATCCTGGGTCCTTGAACAGAATAGATTGGAAAAGTCAGGCATTTTGCCCAACTTCTTGGTTGCAGTGCTTATATCGCGACGGTCACCAGAGCCTTATTTAGTAAGGTTCCATATCAACACTCGAGTGGGTACTGTGGAGGACTTGAGGGACAAGACTAAGAGCTTTTTTGGGCTAAACCCAGAAAGAACAAGGCCATTTCGGGTTACGCCGGGGGAACGGGAGGTGTGCAGCTCCGAAGGCGCAGACATGCGAAAGTACGTTGACGCTGATAACCTGGGAAAACTACGAGATGAAGAGGATTGCACAAAGTTAGACTTCAAGTGGGGAACCAAACATCAGCTGGAAATTAAGCCACAGGCTATTGGTAAGCGGATGGAGGGGGGATTGGGCAGTGATGCGACTGCAGAAGAGGGAAGCGATAGCTGGACGGATAAGGTGCCATCGGCTTCGTTTACAGCTCAGGCTCCCAAGGCAGGGGTTGCCATCGTACCACCACCACAACCTACGGTACTAGGAACCCAGTTAAGCCTCCCTCCTCTGATGATTGGTTGGAGCGATATGGCCTTAACAAGCCCTGTCGACTTGGGGAGAGTGACGGCGCTTGAAGTTCGCATAGCTCAGCTTGAGGCTCGCCTTGCAACGCAGGACGCTATAATATTTCAACTGCAGCAGGCACTAGCTATTAGAGATAGATGAGGTTCACCTGACAGTAGAATTCAAAATATTTCATTGCTTAGGTAGTTACCCAAGTTGGCGTCCTGTACCAAAAGGCAACAGAGCATGTGTACCTAGGTACCTGCTTACATGTAGCAACCCAGGATCACTTACATGTACCTTTAGGTATGTAGTACGAACTATGCACATCTATTCAGTGTACGGAGTATATGGTACTTCATGATGCAGGGAATAATTACTTGGCTAGAATTACCCCGCACTGTAACCCAAGAGTCTTTGAATTGAAGCCTAATCTCCTCTTCTGCCTCCAAGCGATATACAAACCTGATATTGCGTCATATTGGGCATACTGCTTCATACACACTTCGTATATGTCTTGGGAAGTTAATATTTTAGCTGGTATCTTTTATCCACCCGATACTAAGATGTACGTACCTAGGTAGGTAACGTGCCGATATTTAGCATTGCGGGAGGAACGATACTCTCTATTGCAAAAGTAAACCCTCCATTATCGATCGATAAATGCGCTGAGAGTAGAGCGGGGTCCATGGAACAAAAGTTCCCCCCAATATATCTGTATAGGTGCCCAAAGAGTTAATTGGATATGTGAATATTATATTTTGTTCACATTTGTAACCTCGCAGGTGTGCGTGAATTGCAATCTATTGGCTTGCGTAGTCCAGTCGCCACAGGTGACGAAAAGCTGCCCCCATCATGCCAAGGCTTGCATATTGAGGCTGACACCTATATACTATGGAAGCTGCAAGATGCGCTCATTAGATGCATGCGTATCTCTAGGTAGTTAAAAGGGCAATCCTTCTTTGCTGCCGCTGCGTCTTTGTGAATAAACAACCGTTCCAGCAACAGACGCATTAATAGTTTAAGTTGTTGGCCTCCGACTTGGCCAATTCGAATAATCAATTCTCAAGATGCCAAATGATAAATATTTTTACATTCGCTCGGTGGTACAGGTCTGGCAGAAGTGTCTAGAAGACAAAGAAAAGCTGAAAACCCGGCTGCGTGAACAAACTAATGAGCTTTATAGATCCATCAGAGATGTCTTGCAAAATGAAACAAGCGAAAATGCGAAAATGATAATACAAGAGCTCAAAAGATTTTTACAAGACAAAGATAAAGAACACAAGATAGATGACTGCATACGCTGGCTGGTTCTTCTTGATGTGGTGCAGAATTACCCATTGGAGCCCGAGAATGTGGAACCAGCAATAGATAAGGACATGGCCGAGGAAGAGAAAAGCGCCACAGGAAATGGTTCCGAAATGGGAGATGATCATATTATCATCATTCAGATTATACTTGAGACTGCACAATACCTCCCGTTCGACAATCCTTACAAGCCCCTTAAGCTCCCACCCGACTGGAAGAGCTATGGTCTCAAACAATGTCTGTACAAAGAGATGCACTTCTTCAAAAAGCCAAATATAAAAACCACCCCTTTTTTCGAGGCTGCTAGAAAGGGTATTGGCAAGGCGGTTGAAGAAATGATCGACTACGCAAACCGTCTTGTACAAAGCAGTTCCGGCAATTTAAACAGCAAAGTGTTGCTTGACATCCTGACAATGAAATACCCAGGATCCACAGCCGGAGAAAGGAAGAGCGCTCTATCGCTTGCTTCTTTAGCTGATACAAAGTTAGGAGCCTTGGAAGCGCTTCTAAAATACGATTATAATATAGCACTTTCGCAGGATGATACTTTCAATAACGCTCTAGAAGAAGGACTACCGCGCGTTGTGAACGCATTCTTAAAATATCCTGAATTAAGGGAGAAGTTCGTGAATACTACGAACATTCTTAAAGCAATTAAACCGCTAGAAATAGAAAATCGCCCCGAAGACGAAGAAAGGAATCTTCAGAACCACGAGGATGTCATCAATGCCCTGATAGAACATGCTCGAGATACTCAAAAAGATATAATCACGGAGGAGGTCGTTGGGAAAATCATTCAACTTAATTTGACAAAAGTTTGGGAGAAGAATCGATCGAAAATCGAAGATATGCCTGGACTTCTCCATCTTGCAGTTATGCATCAGAATAAAGAATTTGTGAAGATGTTCTTGGACAAGTTTGACAACTCGGTTACTTCGAAAAATCACCACTACTATCCTCTCTGGTACAACAACAATATCACAGATGGGAATAACAAATCTCGACGTGAGTTTGACAACGACATTGACAAGGAAAGAAACAAAAAGATTCGCGACATGATTGTTACTGCGACCATCAAGAGTCAAAATATTGATAAGATGCAGGAATTGCTGGATATTTTCCAGAATTCTGACGGTAAGTAAATAAATATGATCATAACTTTACTGCTACGTTCACTGTTTATTAATGTTTATTCTCGGATGCAGAAACGGGTAAGCGGAGTATATCTAATCTTTGAACCTACTGCTTTTGGCGATGCACGCTGACAATCTAGTTAATGAATTATGCTTCGATCTTTCACGGTTCAACTCAAAAGTCTACAGCATGTCCAATTTTGTTAACTCGCTGGTCAATCATGAAGACAATGGCAATCTCCTTTCTTATGAACAGACTATAAAATATGCTGAATTTCCTGTTCTCGGCCTACATCCTGACGAAAAGGAGATATTTGGTGAAGATATCCATGTCGAACATGATGAGGTTTTCCGCGCGTTGGACTGGCTGAAGAGCAAAGGAGTTACAGATATTATTGAACTCACAGTTCCAGACCGACTTGTGAATCCGCACGATGAGCAAAAGATAGGCGAATATGTTGGGAAATTCAAGATTGAAGTTCTTGACTGGAAGTTCCTTGACATGTCTATTGCAACCTTCAGAACTCCTTCTGATTCTGAAGGCAAGGATGCAGATTCTACGGGTGGTAACTCGCTTCACAGAATTAGGGAGCTCCACTTATACTCAAGCGGCAAAAGAGCTGTAATCAGCCACTGGCTAGGGCCAGATGGTGTGCCGTCGCTTCCAAATGTGCGTTGCATCGAAATTCAAGCTTTTTTTTTTTCCCCCCCATCAATTCAAATACTAACTATATAACTGCTAGCTTACCACGTTAGAGATTCACGTTGTCAAGGTTAGTGGATATTGCATGACAAATTTTACGCTGACAACTAAAAAGAAATCTGAAGGAATTAATGACGAAAGATAATTGTGAAAAAGCCGTGAACTTTATCACCGATGAGTTTAAGAAACTGAGCATTAGAATAAATGAGTCGAGAGAGAAGGACCAAGAACTCACGGTGATTGTCTATGCTCAAGAATGGAATAAATCTCAAGAGAGAATGGCCGACTTGGAAGAAATGTAAGTGAAGAAGCATTCGATGCAATATAAGAAACCAATCATCCACTAACGAACGTCTTGATCGCTATCAGAGCTGATCGAGCCGTTCCTCAACTATCTCGATTTATCAAAAGCTATTTTAAGCACGTATATGATATTACGAAGACGAAGCAAAATCACAGATCCTTTCGCCCAATTAAAGTCGCCGTTATTGACAATGGAATTTTAAGTATTTCCCCTTCGACTGAAAATCCATTGTTTTTAGAGCGCCTCAACAACTCATCAAATAATAATGCCCCAATAAAGTCAGATGCTAAATATACATCTCAGAGTCAAGGTTCTATGAAGAAGGAAAGCGTGTATAAGACTTTGTGGTCGCGAATCAAGAAAGGCCAATCTTTCGTAGGCGAGGGATCTCGTGTCAGTTCATGGCTGTTTGCGTCTGATCCCCATGGGACTCAGATGGCAAACCTTATATGTGCTATTGATCCTTGGTGTGATCTTTATGTAGCAAAAGTTACCGAAGGCAGATCTGGTATTATCCCAGTAAGAGTTCAAAAGGCAAGCCGAACATTCCCTTATTTTACTTTAAAAGATTTGCAATAGCCTTGTCGAAAGAGTAACTAATTTCTAAGCATTTGTTGGCTATATAGGCGATTCAGTGGGCAATGGACCAAGGAGTTGATATAATTTCGATGAGTTTCGCTATCTTGGAGCACACGAACAGCTTAGAAGATATTTGCAAGGAGGCTGCACGAAGGGGCATTATCATGCTTTGCAGCACCCATGACGAAGGCTTCAATGTAACCAAGGCTTACCCGGCAGATTTCAGCGATACCATAACAATCACAGCTTGTGATGAGTTTGGTGCTGTGGCACAAACTATGTCACAAGAGTATCGATATTCGATTCAAGGACACGAAGTGGCTGCGGGTGTGGTTCCTTTCCTTGAGTCAAGCGATCGTATATCAGGGAGCTCTGTTGCCACAGCCATAGCTGCTGGATTGAGCTCACTGGTTTTGTCTTGCGACCGCCTTGCCCGGAATGACGACGACTTTAAGCAAGTGACCCGGAAAACGATCATTACCAAACAGTTCGGAATGATGGCTAGTGATAACACGAAGTATTTGATCTTGGGAAAATTCGCTGGCATTGACGCGAAAATTAGAGATGGAACAGAAATCAATGCTCGAAGCATTATTAAAGAATTTTTCAAAAGTGTAACATATGGAGATCCCTAGCTATAATATGTGGTAGCTTGAGGTAATAAAACCTCCACTTTTCTCTTAAACAAGAGTATTCTCTTTTAGTAGACAGTTATTAAGGGCAGTTAAGTTTCTGAAATTCACTGCTGCCGACATCCTTTACAATATTTTTTTCCCCTTTGGCAACTAACATCTGTAATACCAAATATCCTATTGGTTATGGCAAATCAAATTTTGTTATTATTTAAAATGAACTTTGGGTATATAGAATAGAGCGCATGAAGCTTCAACCACAAACGCAGTCACAACGGCTCTTCAAACCCCCCCTTGACATTCGTACTAGTGTAGCACATTTCCAGGCATCTGATATCATGATATTAGGTATAAAGGCAATTGGCCCTGGCATTTCCGAGAGCTGGGACACCCCAATCGCGCCATCACCAGCGAACAGCACAAACATGCAGCTGCAATTTTGCAATGATCAAAATGGAGAAGCAGGTCTACCATTTCCATCGTACCTACGGGTTGACACGGTTTACCGAATTCCGCTGAGAGCACTGGAGGAACAAGTCATTTATGGCAGGCATCTGGAACTGAAGCAAGACTCTTATAATCAGCTACTTTGGTGGATGTATGAGCTAGGCTATCCTTATAGACAACCGTAGCTCTCCTCCATATTGTATCAAAGAGCCATCACTATTACGCAGTGGAGGGGGATTACTGTACATATCATGTCTAATGAATATTAAAGACTACCCTGTCAGTCAATATCCGCCTCAGTGGCTTGCTCCCAGCTCCTCGTATCCAACCTCCATTCTGACTCAGAAGAATTCGCAGGCCAGGATTCCAAAGCGTTTGCCTTCTGTCCCTATAAAAACTCGCTCGGAACCAACAGTCTCGTTGATATTAGTGTCGTCACGAACATCCAGGCCTTCGACATAAGGGGCTTTGGCACCAGCTTTGACACAAGCTTTAGCCCTGGTTTTGATATAGTGCTGAATTGTACGGATAAACCACTCGCCGCTCCACCAGAGTCCGGTTTTGTCCTCCAAGAAATTCTCAGCCCATGTCCACATATGATGGCCGGTCCCAAAGGGTTCGCACATGGGAGGAGCCGTCATGCCGAGAATCTTCTGGGGGAGGAGCTCCCACTGGTCATGATCCAGCGGAAAGGCATTGCCCATGACTTCAACGTACCGGCGATCTTTGGCGTAAAAGACGCGGCGTCTGAGCTCCATAGTCATCTGTTTCTGGGTCGGTGCAATGGTCTTTCGCTTGAACCTTTCGTCAACGAACCAAATGGTGGTGTTGCTCGATACCATGAGTGCCAGATCTGCAAAGTAATTGACGATGAAGCTCTTTGCATTGTGTTCGTGCTTTGTTGGATATAAGCAGTACCCCTAGGCCGGATTCAATTCCAACGCAATGTTTGGCAGAGAGCAGAGCGTCCATGGGTCTCCCCCCAAGCGCATCTTCCAGGACCAGATGACATGCTCAATCTTTATCGTCTGCAAATAGATCAAGTCCTTGTTTGGGAAGAAGCTGAAGTAGCGGTCTATTCCTCTGTCCCGAAAATAGACAACCAGCGGAAGCTCCATCAAAGCCTGCCGCTCCAAGCGATGGAAGAAGATCTGAGGATATGCTGTTCGCAGCCGCTTCCAATGTTTCACTCCGTACGCCTCTAGCATGTGATTGCGAGACTCTTTGCAGGCGTTCCACAAGCCGCTGTCGACGAGGTAGGTGGATGGGTTATGGGCATCAAACGAAGGCGCAGTGATGTTGAAGTTTCTGAAATACCAGCCATAGCCGCCATCCTTTGGAGCCACCTTGGGAGGCCCCAACGGCAGCCATCGCGGGACAAAAGGGCTCGCACGACGAGCCAATGGAGCCTCAAGGGCGAAGATGTGCACCCCAGGGAGCCTCGAAGGCGCAGTACATGTATGTTTCCAGATCTCCAACATTATCGCCCTTCCAAGGGACCTGCGTGGCGGCGAGGGAACCGTGCCGTTTGTAGTTACTTCGCCACTGATGCTTGTATCCGTGTCTACATATGATGTTGTGTCCGTGCTTTCTTCATCTTCGATATCTGTGATTCTATCTGTGTTTCTGTGTGCTGCTGGTATCGCCCTAAAAGCAAGCGTAGTCATCTTGAGAGAAGCTGTACTGCTTTCGAAAAGGAATAATGCAGCACTGGTGGGAATGCTCAATAGTACGGACAGACGGAAATGATGTGATGCAAGGTAATGTTGAGGCGGAAGATGGAGAATCTTGATCCAACTAATGTTTAGATGGAGATGTAGATGTAGATGCAGAGATACCCTAGATGGATGCTTTGGCCGTAGGACAGCCGCATAAACAAGACAGACAAAGTTTGCCGAGGCAACGTGAGTTTATTTCTTCGTCACCGCTCCTTCTAAAATAATAATAAACCTCCTTTGCAATCGAAGATACTCAGGTTCCTTGCCATATCGTTCATGGACTATCAGTCTAATGACCGAAGCTTCAAATGCTTGTCACTGTCTCCCCATTGCACCTGAATGAGTGCTCAACGCCAACAAACCACACACACAGTAATAATGCCCAGGACAGTAAGCATGCAAGGGATCGAATTACTAAAAGACCGTGCCTTGCATAAGGCACACAGAGGCTGAGCTGATCCACTCGAGGGAATCAAGAAAGATGCACGCGTCTAGCCAATAAGCAGCAACAAACACCGCCATCTCGCCACCAATCTTTGGCCCGCGTAAGGAAGTATTCATACCCGGAATCAAATAGGCAAGGGACCGTGTCGCGTCACGTCTTTTATGCAGGAGTGCGGTCGAATTAGAGGCGCGGGACAGGGGTTTGCGTGTGCGGCTGAGGCCTGGACTGTGTTCTATCCGAGCTGATGACGGGTGAATGGATGGATGTAGCAACGATGAACCAAAAAGAAAGAGGAACATGAACAAAACAAAGTCCCAAACCTGCGAAAGTTTGCACTATGGGAATCTCTACTTCTTCGTACCATCCATCCGGTTCACAAATTACATCGTATATCATACATTCTCTCTCGCTCTGGGTTGGCCCGTGTTCATCGACCAATCTCAATCTTATGCACACATCCGGCCTATCATGTTCACCTCTTCTCTCCCATTCACTCACTACGCCGTATCATAGGAGATGGATCGCATCTTTCATCTTCATCATCATAGGGTAATCAAATACTGCAACACCAGCTGAATGCCTCCCTCCGTATACATACAAGAGTCACTTAAACCAGCGACGTCATAGTCCTTACCCGCTCAGCATCCGACAAACAACCAGCCTCCATAAGCACAACCCAAGACATACTCGTATTCACACGACTTTCACTCGCTCACTCAAATAACATTCAGCCGCCATCAAATCAAACCCTGCATCAATAGAACCCAATAAAGTCTCCGCAAAAGTGCGACATGCATGTTTGTGGCACATGTCAATTTCAAGGAACCACTCCCAGCTTTGCTCTGCCTCCAGTGCCCTCTGCTCAACTCCCTCAAAGCAACAGAAGGGAGAAAAGAGAACTGCGTCTCAACTTGACCCCAATAGAACACAAGACAGCACACAAATAAAACTTAACTCATCATCATGTCTAGAGAGAAGGGGGGAAATATTGCCAACACAAGTGAACCAGCCAATCTTAACCCCCACTGCAAGGGAAGCGCCAAAATGTCTCGGTCTGCCATCTATTCATTGTCTGCCCGAAAACCTGGTGTGTCCATGAGATGACTCCAAGACACGGACCTCTCGTTTCCAACATTTCCTCCCCCCCCCCCCCCCCCTTCCTCTCACGATACCTGGAAGCAACAAGTCTTGACCGATTGCAGGGAGTGGCTTGGACGGGACTATTGCTTCTTGGTTCCGCCCTTTTCATGCAGGGAGAGGAAAAGAGACTCCATCTCCACGCATCTCGCGATACACAGAGATGCAACAGCAATATCAGGTCCCCTTTTCCAAAAGAAGATAAATAGCATCCTCTTTCTCCTCTGATACCCGTTCACTTCTCTCTTCCTCCCATCAACACAAATCCAGCTTCCTTTTCCAACTCGCTCCTTCATTCACTCGCTAAGCCTAGCTTTTTCATTATTCTCTTCGAATTCACTCCTTTTTTAAATATACTTCTCTCGTTGTATACAACCCATCAGTCAAGATGCAGTTCCTCGCCGTTGCCGCTCTCCTCTTCACCGCAGCTTTTGCTGCTCCCTCTTCTGAGGCCCACGGACTCCGTCGTCGTGACCAGGCGTGGTGCCCCGACGGTTTATACGCGAGCCCCCAGTGCTGTGATGTCGACGTTCTTGGCGTCGCTGCTCTCGATTGCCGTACTCGTGAGTATTCTCAATATTAAACCCATAATATCCCTGAGATATTAACAAGCGAAATAGCTCCCGTGGCGCCGAGCAAATGCAAGTCGTTTGGCAGCGTCTGTGCCGCCATCGGCCTTCAGCCCAAGTGCTGCGTCCTTCCTGTTGTAAGTTTTTTAAACCATCCTTATCAGTCACGGACAATATACTGAATCCTATTCCAGGCTGGAGTTGCTGTTCTCTGCACTGATCCCCTCCCCCCTGCTTTCTAAGCACACATTCGCCAAACCCTTGGCCGAGAGTCGGGTCGATACTGTGACAGGCTTTGTACATTGAGCTACCTGTTAATGACGTGTTAATAATCATGTGTCGGCTTTGGATCAACGAGGTATGAGGATGGAGGCGCGGGCGGGAGGGATGAATATGTAGCTTCACTTCGATATAAACCCTTTTGAGATTACATTAATGGATATAATGTTTTGTGCTCTGCACATTCTTACAGTCTTTATGTCCACCCATAACCATTTTCCTCATTGTGATTAAGTTGTGAATATGTCCTTGTCCCCCAAGCTGTGATAATCCAGCCACACTCGCTTGCCAACCTAGATGTTGTATTGGTTAGCCCCAAGTCTCCCTTGCATCGCACGGCATAGATCCCTGCCTTCTTCCCGTCAACTCACTTTGAACCTTGCCCCTTTTTATTGTCCTTGCTTTTTGCTTTTTATGAACCTGAAACTGTGTTGGACAGCAGCACCAATCGGATTCTAGCCTAGGCCGGAGGGTAATGTTGGGTGCATGAATCCCCCAAAGGCTAGTATCGGGAATATTTTGGCCTGTGCTTTTTCCTTCTTTTCGGGAGTGACTAACCAACACCCCGATCGCCATTCCAAATGCTTATTTTTGTTACTAGTAGAGAGTGGAAACAGAAGATCGATAACGCCAATAACTCCTCTGTGTAGGTACCTCCCTAGCGAGGTAGCGATGTGCCTACTTCCAGGTGATATCGGGTTCTACTTTTTCCATCTACGGGGTACTCGTATTACCGATTTACATTTCCTGCTATTGTAGTTGTTTTTTTCTAGCATCTGATCTCCATGTTAATACCTTATTTTGGTGTTGGATGGAAATTAGATATTAGTGTCCTTCTTTTCTTTTTGCGAACAGATCACTCTGTTGTCAGGGCTTCTAACAGCCGTGTCATCAACACCCCTTGTGTATATTCATATACAAAACACGTACTCTCTAATTATCTAAGAATACTAAAGAAAGAAAATACCGCTAGGCGCACGCAATTACAGCTCATACGACAATTGCTCGTCGTCAGTCTCTTCAATTACAAACCATTCCTTAATCTGGGCGGTACCAGCGACAACCTTTTCCCACACCTCAGGCACACAGCTCTGGGGAGCCAAGATGTAGCACTTGGGCGCAGGCTTCTCGGGCGGCTCATGCCTGACGTGCCAAGTATCACTGGGCCCATCTGTCGACAGGTCATCCTTGACTGGCTGCAGTCCGGTCGCGATATCGCGGTTAAAGGTAGCGCGCATGAAAATGTCGTAAGCAGCTTCCGGCTGATACGACGGCACCATGTGGCCGGCTTGGAACACTCGGGAGAAGCTGTAGTTTCCATATTGGCGGGTCAGGCCAGACACTCCCTTTTCAGACAAGAGTGGTGCGTAGCCCGCGTTCGCAAAATCCTTGGAGTGCGAATAAGGCACCGCCAGAGCGGCCTTTTCACCACCAATCCAATTGCATGCGTAGTCACGGTCACCGTACATCATGTGGACTTTGACGCCGTGGTCAAGCAGATATCCGACAGCGTCGATGAATCCTCCATGCTGGTCGTCGTGAGAGCTGGCAAAGTTGCTGCTCACAGCAGATGAAGTGGCCGTAAAATTAACCGGGGATCCGATGGCACTCAGAACGGCCTCCTCGGTCAAGTATCCGTAAACATGGCTCGGCGGAAAAGGATCCCGGAGAGGATGGCTAATATCGAACCAACCACTGTCGAGACCAAAATACGTGTTCATGGCCGCACCTTCGCACCAACTGTCCATCTCGCAGAGATCGACAAAGTTCACTCGCTGAGCATTGACGGTGGCAACGTCAAAGAGACTGAGGCTCTGCTGGCATCTCTTGATTTGGTCTCTGCAGCCCTTGGGCTTTGTAAAGTTGTGTTTTAGCTCATCATAGATGGACTGGTTAAATACTTGAATGCCATAAGTCTGGGGGGTGATTTTAGCCATTAGCAATGCAATCTCAAGATAAAATAACACTGAATTGCTTTTTTTTTATCGTTCCTCTGACGCGTTATAACTCACATTGTTATACGGAAAGTCAATATACGCCTCCTCTTGAATCAGAGAGTCGAGCCAACCGTTGACAATGCCGAGTGTATCTAGATGAAGGAAGTGGGCGTGCTCATCTTCGATTGTACCGTCAGCAATCTTCTCATTTTGCTGTTGAAAGAAACGCATGAACCCTGGGCCGTAGTGGCCCCCGTAACTCTCAGCCCAGATGCTGATGCGATCGTCGCTAGGCTTGTAGTGAGGAAACTCGGAGAACCAGGCTTGAGCAAAGTGCCACAAGGCGTGGGCAGCCTGGGCAGTGCTGTTGGTTGTGTGAGTGCGCTTCTGGCTACTAAAGGTGCCAACCATGGAGGTAAAGTTGAGGTCGGGGACCTGGGTGGAGAAGTCGGCGGGCTTGAGGTTGAAGCCCCCGTCTGAGAGGTTGGCCGTGCAGTTGGTGGGGATGTCGTAGGAAAAGCCAACCTGGTTGGGCTCGTCAATGTACAGCATATTGACCTCGTTGTTCCAACTCCACGGGTTGAGCACAGTCGACTTGGAATCTTCATTCACAAAGCAAGGGCCGTTTTCCATGAGCAGTCCGAGCATGGACGAAGATCCGGGCCCTCCATTGAGCCAGATGGCGAGGGGAGCAGTAGAGGGGTTCTTGCGGGCTTCAAAGAACCAAAAGAACCTAGACGTGGCGTGAGAAACGGGCTGCTGGACTCTCTTGTAAGTCTGCACTTACGTGTTGACGGGATAGTTCTGAGGCTCGCCGTCTGCATCCTCAAGGAGCCGTGGAGGAAGATGGACATGGCCAGCATACGATTTGACACCTGGAGTGGTCTCGCAAATGCCGGGCTGGTTCATTCACTTTGGTCAGTAACAAGCAGCTGGTCAAAAGCGGAAGCATCTAAACGGCCACAGACCTCCTTGAAGGAAATGGTGACATTCTCGTGGAACTTGGACCTGAGCACGGTGACACCCTCCGGCTTTGGCGGGAACTGCGCAACCGCCAGGCTGGCGAGGCCGCCTAGCAGCACTCCAGCCGACAACATGCTGCTACAGTATCAATTAGTTGAAGTGGTTGTTCACTTCAGGCTGGCTATCAGCACTCAACCAAAGCAAGGTTTGATTTGGTCAAGTCGCGGGGCTGGTTTGAAGCGCGGTTCGTTTGCTTCACCTAGGCTAAATTGCGTGTGTCAGATCTAGGCCGAAAAAAGAGGCCCCCATTTATTAGCCGCTGCTTGGGCCGCAGTTTCCATCTTGTGGCGGTGATGGTTGTCCGGGGTGATCATCAAATCATCAGATACAGCAAATGCAGTAGAGGCTATTCCCAGTGTCTCTCTATCTCTCTACATAGGCCAAGTGATATGAGCACCACGGCGCTGTTCTATGAGTGCGTATCGGGACTGAACTGAAGCGGAATGTCATTGTTGCGCAAGTCGTCCACACTGTCTGTCGCGTCGTCCATTGCGTGTAAGCGAGGCAGGGAAGCAGACACATGCTCCATCAGCTGATGCCACCGCTGTCTTGAACAATCACGCGGGATTCGCTCTCGAGGCGCCACAGCGTTTCTCAGAATTAGCCCGACGATACATCACAACACAAGAACCGATGGTTTGGTCAATGAAACATATCACAAACCTGGGGTAACACATGATTCAGCTCCCAGGAACCGGCCGGTAGATGGTGGATGGGCATCTCGCCGCCAAGCTAATCGTGGAGAAGGCGGCTCGAGCAACGAATTATAAACTGGACAGGTCTCAGTGCGAGAGATTCATCCTGTTTTGCGACTGTAATGAGGCTGGGCTGTCCAATCAAAGCCACATTCATCACACCACCTCTGGATACCGCGTTAAATGATATGTGATGGAATACACGCACGCAGACTATTGCAGTCTCATGCTCTCTTTGCGATCTGCCACCGTAAGCTATTTCAGCCCAAGTAGCACAACATTTTACTGCCTCCAGCAGAAACGACACACCATACTCTGAATGACAAATATTGTTACGGAGGGACTGAATCTGCCGCAGCGACACGAAAGCAAGGTTTAATTGCTATGGGCCTCCATGCGCTCTTGATTTGCGGGGCACCTGTCACTTGATATTGCATTTACATGTAGATTGAACATACAGAGAGTACTGGCGCTGTTCGTGTATGCTCGAAGAATTGTCAATGGCTCCGGGGTCTTTGCGTGATTGGATCATTGCCTTTAGTAGTAATGTCGCTCTTTGTTAGCTTGAGAAAAACGGCTGAGACCTGAGTCTTGGTCTTCAACAAATATCACATTTGTCAATGCCTGGTGTGGCTCTTGGAGGGTTGCCGCGAACTTGCGGCGGCTTCTGTACATAGTAAATGCAATTCCACCAAATGAGGTGTTGGCCCTCTTTTGCAGCTAGTGAATGAAAAATGGTGATCCTCTCCACATGTCTTGGTTCTCAGCGCGCACTGCAACGTTGAAATGGGCGTCCGCTTATTGCTCTAGACAAGCTGTAAATTGAGGCAAGAGAATAGCACCATGCACGCATATTGATTCTTTGCTGTGTTGAAGGGGAAACCCTGGCTAGCTTCACTCTCGGGGGGGAAAAGCGTTCATCGACTTGGCATCTCATTTCGTGAACACCCACCAACACCATCCCCGCTTGGAAGGTTTGAGTGGTAGCATTTCCTCTGGCTGGTTACACCCATTTCTCAGCCGCTACAGCCCTCAAAGCATTGCGGAATGCCGAGTAGTAGGGTTGATGCAGACCTCGTCCTGGTGTGATATGGCTCGACGAAATTTGTCATGCTCCTGGAAGCTCTTGGGGAACAACTGTTGCTCTGTGGTACATCTACTGTAGTAGACATACTAGATGTTGGCAAATCTCTTACTTGTGCCAAGAAAATAGAAGATTCTTCCTACCTGGTACGTAATTACCAGTCCCTTGCTGGCGTACCTTTGTGGCAAATTTCGAATTCATGGATCTCTTTGTAGGGCTGCTCCAGGCACAATTTTATTAGTCAAATGACGCATCTAGCCTGGAAAAGCTCAGCTTGCAAGATCGGCCCACAGTTGGTTTCTACTGCTCAGTTCGATCTCAACGCCAATCCGGACGTAATGGCGATCGAGACGTGGATCTTGGTGCAGGCAGCCCAATAAAACGCTCGTACTGGCCGACAAATGTTGGCGCCGATTTAGCGAAATGTGATAGCTCCTTTCTTCACAGGGGCGATGGAATTAGATTCATTCGCTAGTCCAAAGAGCTCCATGTGATCGTCGTGCATGTACTCGTACGGAGTATTTAGGTAGGCATTCTCTAGCAAGGCTGACCAAAGAGATGATGCCATGGCCGCTTGCTTTGGCTTTGCGAGCGGTGAATTGGTAGACAACCTCGCGAGTGGGATCCATTTCAACTGCAACAAAGCCTCATGTTTCGGAGCGGGCTGCCACGCTTTGGCCGGGGGCAGAGCGGAGAGCAGCAGTGCTTCGTAGCTTGGCAATGCTTGCTTACCATTGGACTTGCATGAGCAATTAAGATAATCCTATGTGGAGCTCTCTACAGTTGGAAATCCCAGCAATTAATCAGTGTTAGTGCGTACTGCTGGCTGCTGATTGAGTTGACTCGCCGTAAGACTCCATGATCCAGTAACCAGTCTGTGCGTCAATCTCCAGCCTACCGTGTCCAGCCGCCGTAGAGTGAAGCTGTCGGGGTCTCCTCTGATGCCCTACTAGTGGACCTATCCTATAGGTGCACGGTCGAAGTAGTGACGGCAAGTAGTGACGGCTCAGGACTGATGAAGGCGTCGACTAAAGAAGCGGCTGTCCAGATCGGCCGCGCCGCTTCTGCTCACCGTCCATAGCCAGCAAACGGAGTAGCACCATCTGAAATGACTGATGACTTCTCGTTTGTCATGTCAGACAAAGATGCGGAGCTGGCGTCCTTGTGATCACGGCACACAGCACTCTGTCCATTGTTTGATCTGACCAGTGATTTAGAGTTGATGCTGTTTCACCCACGGCATCGGGTGTATGGCTTGGACGGTTCGGCCGACAGACGATTCGATGGCTCAAGCTGTTATCTGGACCAAGCACCCGTTGGATGACTGCCACACTCCCCCTACAGGTGTGTCGTCTTGCCGCATGTTTCCATATCCACCTGATGCGGACATGCTGATAAGCAATTTGAGGCGTGAGAGCGCGGGTCGGCAAAGGGTCGGTACCTCAGTGGTTGCATTGGGAAAACCCTTCAATTCGGCTTGTCAAACCTTGTTCTTTGTCTAGAGACGCCACAGAAGGGGCCTCTAAAAGGAACCTTGGAAGGCATTGAAACAAAGCAATGACGATGATTAGCTGTGGTGGAAGAGCGGATGTACGAGTATGGGACGGGAACACTTTCGTGCGTTGGAGCTCCAGTGTTTTCCATCCATTTCTTTTTAGCCGGACTCAGGTGCAGTGAGATCGCCGGGCTCCACTAACGCCCAGCACCGTCCGAATGCTAAAATGCCCCGGATTCTTGCTCGTCGGCGGCGCTTTTAGGGCTTTTGGGCGCTGGAGTTGACAGCTGAGGCACGGCACAGGGCGTGACACAACGAGGTGTCAGAAATTTGATTGATTGCAACTCCGTACCTATGTAATCTGCCTGTATAGTACGGGTACGAGTAAGTGCCTGCCAAGAGCCTGCATCTGGCAGCTCAATGAAGATGCATATTTCTATTACTGCACGATTAAATTGTCAAGCTTTCTCATGTGACTGGCTCGCTGACGATCTGGACAAGGTTGTCGCAGATACGAATGAAAGGGATGCTGCGTGCATAGTGCCGGGGCATGTATGTACCTGCAGGTACCCAAACATGGAGTAGTGCCCTCAGCCAGTGAAGTACTAGGTAGGTACATGATTGCCCTCCAGGCCTGTACCTTATTATTCCGCAATGACATAGACCTGGAGCTCTTCCAAGGCACTGACAAGAAGCATCGCCAGCTTAATCTCGTACTCAAGATTGTGGGACAGGGATGATTGCAATCTCAAATCTCATGGAACCCTCAACAAGGCCCTGGCTGTTTCTTTTTCCAGCGCTGCTGCTGTTATTAGTCTAGCTGGTACCTGATCGACCCAGCTGAGGATATACGGGGGCTGCAAGGCACCGCAACCCACCAAATCCTGGCAGTGCCTCTTTGTACCCCCGTGCTTGCGCTCAATCTCCTCCACACCCCTGGTCCTCGACCCAAGATTTCTCCTCCTCAACCAACCCGGTCATTGTTTTGGCGGCTCCATCTCACCAAACGCCTCTTACCATATCGGAACCACCCCTGCTGTTATCGTCCATCCATCGCCGTCCATGGAAGCTCTCAGCTCTTCCCTTCTCTCTCGGCCCGGCTCTGTTTGTCCCATCCTGTCCCATCCCTACCGATCTCGGTTCTCACTGCAGTTTTCGTCCGCCATGCCTTGGACTCGCGGCCTTTGTTTGAAGCTGCTCACCCAGGCGGGCCCTCAATCTGCAACAACGGAGAACGGAGAATGGAGTTGCACCTAGGCGGTAGTGCGGGCTGCTGGCGCTCCATGGTCGTCATTGTGGCGGCGGCGGCGCCCTCGCTGTTCTTCTCAACTGCCAGGGGTATTCTGGTCAAGGCTCGGCTTGGAGCGACTTTGGGCTCTGCAGCGGCTTCGCGCGTGCGTAGTGAGTGGTATGTGCCGTCTCCCGCATCTTCATGTTTCACTGCCTCCGGCCATGACGCAGCAGTGCAGACGCTTGCTGATAGGACTCGCATGAGTACATACAAGTAGTACGGGTACAGAAGCACGCCAGCATTCAGCTCTCGCCAGCGTTCCCCCCCAGCAAGGAATGCCTGTCCATCTCACGCGGGCCAAGATCAGTCACCGGCCTTCTTCATGGCATCGCCGGCCAGATACCAGGCGGGTACGAGTGCTCGAAGGGGCCAAGGCGCCCATCCAGTCCAATCCACCCACAACCGTGTGGCTTCCTCCAAGCTGCAGCCAGCAACTGGGATCTGCTCCGTGCAACTCTGTACAGACAAGCTGCACACACCCCTGCCGCACACGCCAGTGGGGTGCCTGAGTGCCCGGGCTTGCCAGGTAAATCTTTTATACCTGTGCTTGGCCCAGGTGCTGGTCTGTTAGTCTCCCCCAGATATCTTTAGACGGACTTGACTCTGTTCTCCTTCTCCCAGTTCCATCTTTTCCTTCTCTTCTTTTATATCCTCCGCATTATCTTGTTCTATTATTTGTCTTGTACACCTATTAATATTCACATTGCTCTTGATTCCGTTCTTTAGTCACCAACTCCTGCTTTACATACGACCCAATTCTTTACCTCTTACGACGACGTGAAATAGAGAGGGCGGCCGCACCGGCTCGAGTTGCTTTCAGCTGCAACGGTGAAACAGGAGAATAGAAAAGCCTCATCTTGATTCGCTGTTCTTTTCTTTTTGTCATATGGCCTAGCCAGCCAATTCTAGGGTTGCCATCATGGGTCTACTCGATTTCTTGAGCAAACGGCCATCTGGCGACACAACGTCTCCGCAGAAGAGCCAGGCTCCTTCTCCACATGCTCGAGGTTTGTCTTTATCCACCAGTGTTCATCAGTGACTCAGTCGCTTCTAACAGCTGTTATAGGCATCATCGCCAGTCGTGAAAACGGAACGAGAACACCGGACCCATCTCAGCGACTGCTCAAGCCTCGGCTTGTGGGTGTGACCGAGGGACGACCCAGAACCAATCCAAAAGATTCCGAGAGCCCACCACCTCAGGCCCAGCTCAAGGCCACTGGACGCAGTCCCAAAGAATCAATAGCTGGCTTATCGTTGAGCAGCGTTCCAAAATATGGCGACCGCGAACGGCCTCAAAGTCGAGGCACGATGGAACGGCTTACACCCTTGACACCGAGCTTCTCACTCCCACGCCGACGCTCTTCGGCGTTTGTCGATATTCTGGATGCTCAAGGGGAGTTCAAACCTTATGATTTTAGGTCAAGACTTCAGGCATCTGGCTCCCGTGAATATGGCGAGGATGTTGCCGATAGAAACATTCAACCTGCCCTAACCGGCTCGCCGCGTCCACATCGCCCACGAGGCAGTGTTTCTACAACTAGCTCTTCCAGAAATACATACGCGGTACCGCCAATCCCTGATCGTTTCAGAGACCAGCCTTCTCCTAGAATCGATCGTAGCGCCCGTCCACCCTCCCGACAGGCTCTTGGTGGTCGCCCAATGTCAAGGGGGAAACTCAGCCCTGCAAGGGAAGATTTCGATATAGCTACGAATTTCGACATCCATGATTTCCATGATCGTCGGCTTCATTCAAAAAGTTCTTACGGACAGATTTCCATTAGTGGTAGCCGTGCCTCCACTCCACAACAAGCTCCAAGGACGGCAGATGGTCGTTACATGCGAGATGAGGGCGACGCATTCTCTCCAGAACTTCGCTCTGCCTCACCACCGGGCGTTCCTCGCTACAAGCCTAGGCAGTATAGTTTACCTAGTGGTAAGGTTCTTTCTGAAACCTTGCCAGGGTCTGTTCGCTCGGCTCGGGAACATCTCAACACTCTTTTACAGCCTCATTCCGACCGATCCAAGCAGTTGCACCAACAGCGCGCAAAGACACCAACCTCTCCCAACCAGCTGCACAGCTTTCGCCATAGGGTCGACAATGACTGGAACCGGTTCAACAGATACGCGGGCGATCATCTCCAACCTGGCCAACCGGCCGCATCTGCTTGGGAGGACGCAGTTGACTCGCCCTCGGAATATGCACCGTCATTTACCTTTGGCAGCTCAGGTAATCTTCAGTTGGAGAGTATGGAGAGGCCACCCCCTTCTATACGCACTTTTGGCAAGCGCGGATCAATTTCATCTTTTGCTCAATCTGATTACTCCAGTCCTCAGCTTACTGGCGGCCGCAGTATCCGTACAGCAGATACCTCCATTGACATACCTCACAATTCGTTTTTCAATGACATGGCATTCATTGGAGGCTCTTCTCGCAATCTTCCGTCTCAAGCTGGTGACAGCTCTGTCGCTCCCGATTTCACTGGGAAAGAGGACGACTCTGGTGGTGAATCTATATTCATATCCCCTGCCACACCGTTAGAGGAGCAACCCAGTTTCATCCCGCTGTCTCCAACCCATCGCCACGGAGGCCTCAGCGTTAGCAGCTATGACGCTACCAGCGTATCCGACTCGGACGCCGATTCCTTTCTCGACAAACAACGACGAGCAGGCAGGGACGGTGAAGCTCTTTTATTCAGAGACCAGGGATTTGGCGATGATGGCAAGAGTCTTCCAGGGCTTTTCAACGAGTCAGAGAGCCTCGCTACGCCCAAATGGCCAGATATGCCCATGACTCCTACAGATGTGTCTGAAATGGGCGATGACGAAGCATCCGTCGTAGGAGTGCCTGCGGCCCTTGGAAAATCCCGGCAAAACACGTCAAGGCCGTTTACCCAGCGTGAGCGGCTGCTGGCTCTTGGCTACGACTACGACTCCGACTCAGACACCGAATCTTCTTTGCAATCCGATGAGCTCCCCGAAGAGCGAGCGCTAAAGCTACTCTCGACTCTGATAAAGAACAATGCAGCCAAGAGCCCTGAAGCCAGGGCAGAGCAGCAGCTTGATATAAAGACAATCGCGAAGCTCCGCAAGGAGGTTAAAAGGAGAAAGCTGCTCGACCCTGCGTCTTCTCGACGAGGAAGCAAACTATCCAGCCAGGAGAACAGCGAGGTCGAAGCCACTACGACGAAATAATGATGATTTACAATAATACTACTACTACAAAATCTGGGATTGGGAGCATTTTATGGGAGGGTTGGGGGGGTGATAGGGTTGGAAAAATCTTCGACAGTGCGCCATTGACATGGGGAATATTTCTTTTGTCTCTTTTTTTTTTTTTTGACTGCATTTTTTTTATTGAAAACATTTTTGAGCAAGGCGTTGTTGATCTGCGATGGATGGGATTATTTTGGAAGGCATATTTTACGCTTGCTGACAGACAGCAGCTGCGTTGCATATGATGAGAGCGAGGATTCTAGCCAGTAATTTTATCTATTCACCTTTATTCTGCCATATTGTCTGCTCCTTTCTGTTCCGCCAAACAACTACTGCGTAATAGCGATTACAATGACACACAATCCGTATCAGTTGGGACTACAGCGGATTCCCTGGAATATGATATCACAGCGTCATCAGCATCTCAACTTTCGTATTGCCCACGTGGTGCCAGGTCTAGAATTGGAACAGGGGTTTTTAAAAGAACAAGACAAGGACTAAAGATTTCGTAGCTTGGTAGCTGACTCGAATATACTATGAGCAAAAAGTATTGCGTTATCTAGAGACCCGCCACAATTCTTCAACGCGAGCATGGGAAGCCCCTGAAACAACCGTAGCTTCGAAACCGGCGAGGGAAAAAAAACGAAACGAAACGAATCCATCCCAGCATAGTAGCCCCGTCCACTACATACGAGTATGGCAACAGCAGAGAAAGACGTCGCCCTAAAAACACGGGAAAACCCAGACTCAGCCCCTCGCACACACCCCCTTCGCTGTCTAGTACCTGGGCTAGCTCGTCGACCCCGTTCAATAGATCTCGTCAGGTCTGTCCCTGCCCCCGTAAACATGCGCCCAGCAATCTCCTCCGAACCAATCACGCCCACGATTTCTTCTCTCTGGACGATCGAAGTGGGTTTTCCATCGACGCGAAGAGTGTTCCAATGCACCTTCCATTACAAGGTACTGCGATAGACCGAGGCTCAGCTATGCAGGCGAAAACGTTAAATCTCTCTGTGCAAGGTGACAGCTGAGCAGTGGCCTCGTCATACCCATCGTTTTGTATCCCCCTGAATGTGGTTCGCCACTCACGCCCCGACTGACTTGAATGTGCGGGTCATGATTCTAGAGGATTGACGCGGCCGTTGTCTAGCTCGAGGCGGTTGCTGGGCCGCCGCTACAATCACACTCCATCTCTCCTCTAAAATGGGCCGCGTCTTGGATAAGTGCGAGTTTCTCCAACGCTAGTTTTGCAACCGCCACCTTGGCCGCCATGCCGCTCTTCGACGATGTAGCGTGGGCAATCACCTTGCCGTGTACCATGAGCGCACAGAGAAGCTCGTTGTCAGACATCACTGCATAACCAGCCTCCATGGGTACTGGCACATTGGCCACATGAAGCCTCCACTGGGTGCAGCAGAAGTCGGTCTGGAGCCTGTGTGCTAGGGCCGTGACAGGGTGATTCGAGGCAAACGACGAGTATAACGCCATGTCCTCAAAGAAGGGTTGGATGAACTTGGTGAAAAAGTTGAGTACGACGGAGAAGGAATATCCCGAGTCAACAAACATGGCCCCTACCAAGGCTTCAACGACGTCAGCTAGAGCTTTTGGGGGCTGTGGCACCTCGATCCAGAAATCCTGGGGGGTAGGTTGAGCTCCAGCTTGGAAGCATCCGCCGGAAGTATATCCCAGATCGCCGCCCTGGGATTTCTGCCGAGCAATCTCCTCAGCTTGCTCAAGCTGCGTTGCGTACCTCCCGATGTCGCCAAGGAGAGCAGATGTGGCCAATAGGATATGCTTGTGAAGACCAAGCTTGACACAGAGACAGCCGAGGAACTGGTTCGACACCATGGCCGTCTTGTGTTCCGTGAGCCACTTTGGATCTGCTTCGGGGAACCGCTTAAACAGAAAGTCTACAACTGCCATGTCCAGCAGCCCGTCTCCCAAGAACTCGAGCTGTTGGTAGTCTGGAATGTTGGTCTCGAACACGTACGATGGGTGTCGGAAGGCACTGCGTGCAAGAGGTGCACACTGGAAGCGGTAGCCCGTGATTTCGGCCACTTTGTCCACGGTGAGGCGCTGTGCGGCGGATACATGATTGCCGTGCCACTTCGGGACTTGGAACGTTGCAAAATAATCCTTGTACTCAAGCATTGTGTGGTGTTCAGAGCAGACCATGGCTGTAACGGCCTTGACCGCCATGTCCATATTCTCGGTGGTGCTTGTCATGTAAGCTGCTCCAATGAGGGCCTCGCAAACATCTGCAATAGACTTGTGCGACAGACAATGCTTGGTCTCCGTTCTGGCCGCCTTGCCTCTCTTCAGCGTCATGTTACTCGGATACCACGTCCGACGGTCAAATGCTTTAGTGCGGATGTAGGCAGGCATGCCCTTCTCCACAGCATGCTCAAATAGATTCTTGTTGCACAGCATCATCATTCGCCCGACGTGATAATGAAACTCATCTGCATCGGGGGCAATAGTGTAGACAGAAATGGTCGTGGCCATCTTCAAGAATGTATCGCCAAGAAACTCTAGGCGCTCGTAATTTTTGCCCATTCCAGGCTGGAAATCGATTTGATGTTCGCCGTGTTCTTCCGTGTTGAAGCTATCCTTTGTCACTGCCTCGAGGGCAAGATCAGAGCAGATGGCCAGGTCGAACAGAGAACATGTTTCAAGAGCTATCAAGACTGAGTCGACTCGATATATTACTACCGGTAAAACCAAGGCTATGGAGACGACATCTACTGGGATCTAGAAACGGGTTAAAATGCTGATGGAACGCAGTCTCGTCTCAAGAAAGGAGAAACTTACCGGTGACACGCGTAGAGGCTCAAGGATGACATAGCAAGTACCATCGCACTCGTCGTCTACAAAGAACTCGTCCAAGAAATTTCGGCGTATTGGAAGAAGCTCTGCATTGACGACTGGCTGGTCATTCCTCCAGTTTCTTCTCTGCCTCGACTTGATAGAAAGGCTGTTGCTGTATTCTTTGATGTTTTGCTCAACCTTTCTGTACCCCAGACTTTTTGGTTGCGGAACGCCTTTTGGCGTTGGATCAGACGGCTTTAGCTCTGCATTGATGCCATGCAAGATGAACTTTCGGGATCCGTCCCACGGATCCGTGGCGAGTTTGTCTTTAAAGAACTCACTTGGAGCATTTTCCCAACGGAGTTGCTCATTATCGTGGGCATACTGCACTGCCTCCCAGTCAATCTCGGCGTCATCGCCGCGGCTTGGCGAGAGCTTGCTGGGAGCAACGAAATATGGAATTTCATGCGACTTGGCATCATATTCCTTGCTAAAAACGTCAGCAAAGAGTCTCAGAGTGAAACTCGCCAGCGCCTCTATTTCGTGAGGCAACACTTCAAACGAAGTTTGGGAATTAGAAAGGCGCATAATCGACGTCTGACCGCCACCAAAAAATAACGGGGTGCTTGGTATATCAGGCAGTGGCTTCCTAGTCAAGAGGATCAGAGGTCGAGATGCCCTGCCGAGAGCTTCCGGCTGGTCAAGGGCAATGATCGTCTGATACAAACTAGTCGGCGGCTCTGGAGCAAGGCATGAAGACCAGAAATCAGGTTTAATTCGCATATCGTACTCGGACTTCTTGTCTGATGAAAGCGCCAGCCTCGCGTTTCGCATGTCGGGCAATTTCTTGGTAAATGCCGGCTGTAAATTTCCATTTATGTACTTTTTGCCGATCAGGTGTACACAGGCTTCAAAGGCAGCTGAACATCTTGCCAACTGCTTGCTCTTTTGCACTTCTCCTGGAAACATCTTGATCGGAGACGCGTCTGGTAGGATAACTCGGGCAACGAACTTCTTGCCGATGGAAGTGACAATGTATTCCAAGGGCAGCAGTCCGTCTATAGCATTGTTTGGAAACGACGAGGCATACTTGGCCAGCACTTCCAAGCTCGTGATGAACGTAAGCTGAGCGCCTGTTCCAGCGACAGTATACCTCTTCTGAGTCACTTGTTCTTGAGCAGCCAACACATCAGGGCCAATGACAAAATCCGGAACTTTGCGATCCTCCGGTAATGCAGAGCAAAACTGTCGCAGTGCATGAGCATCCCTGGTTGCCCGTCGTAGTTTACGCATATGCTCCAGATTTCCCTCTTCCATCATGCTGACATAAAGAGACGACTTTTGTCGCGCTCGGCCTTTGGACTGGATATATTGAATCGCAGATGTGTACAGATCAAATCGGATAATAACATCGCACTCTGGTATATCAATTCCTTCCTCTGCAACCGATGTTGCAAACAGACAATTCGTTTCACCGTACCGAAATTTTTGTAGGGACATTATCTGGTCCCTGTAAGACATGTAGGCAGCGCTGGCGGTGGAAGTATGAGAACCAATCTAACCAAATAATAAGTCAATACCTGTGACAAAGGATCTGTATGGTTAGTCTTACCATGTAAGCCGCCTTCATTCCAGGAATCTCCATCCCCGGCTGCTGAAACAGATCTGCTAGAAGAAAGGCAGTTGATCGTGCTTCCACGAATACAATGCATCTCTTTGCTTGCCGCTTACAGAAAGCATCTTCAAGGACTTCATAAAGCGTCTTTACTTTGGACGAAAGTTCTGGCGAGCCGGCCTGAATGGGCCCAAAGACATGGTCCCGGATAATCCCTTTCACTTTAGCGATGGCCGCCATCGCCTCATCGCCAGCGGAGACATCGAGCTCCAAGTTATCCCGTCCAGTCCTTGCTTCGATTCTAAGCATCTCGTTGTCTGTGGTTAGGAGTTGCCAGTAGCGGTCAGCGCACCATGTCCCCAAGATTGAGGATGCGCTGGCTGCAAATTCCAGATGTCTTCTGAATTGAGGATTGCTGCGGACACAGCGCGATATCAAATCACAAAGCCTCGTCTTTGAGAATTCGGGATCTTCTAATTTGTCATAGAACTCCTTGACCTCGACCTGCTGGCGATTTGCCTGACTTTGCATCAAAGCTTCGTCGGAGATGGTGGCGATTTTGGAGCACAGCATGCTCTCCAATTCAGCGGCGGCATACCGGACATCCTTTGTCAAGGCATCAACGGGCGATGCTGTCATACCAAGAATACGAGGCCGTTCATCTCGTGAGCGGAGATAATGGTCTTTGATGATACGGGCATAAGGATGACTTTTCTTTGCATGGTGTGCCTCGTCGAAGACCATCAGGTTGATCTGGCCCATGGAGATGAACCCACAAGCCAGGAGGTCGAGTAAGATCTGTGCTGTGCACACAAAGGCCATGTTTTCCGCAAATTGGCGATCCCAGTATTCTTGAGATCTAACTACGCCTGTCATTTCGCCGAAAAACTTGCCAATAGGGAACTCGAGGTTGGTGGTCAGAACGGCATGTTGCTGAAAACACAATGCAACCTTTTCCACGAGGAAAAAGGCAATCTTATGCTCGCTGCCTTCGGCGCGATTTTCCAGCTCTGTTTGGAGAACATGTCGCATGAGAAGGGCTGCAATTAATGTTTTTCCGGAACCTATATATCAATCAGTTATAAAGGGAAACCTAGTAGAGGACTTGGAGGCCCATACCTGTATCAAGAACGACAATTGTATTCTCTTCTCTTGCTCTCTCGTACAGTTCAACTTGGTACTCGCGAGGGCTCGTGATGATCTTTTGGTGGAAGCTATCTCTGACGAGACTTATAGTTGATAACTTGTCGAGCTGACGATCCAGATCTGCCTTGGAAGCTGTAGTGATTTCTCGCTGGTTCTTGGTCAGCCAGTCTTGAAATGCCAAATCTTGCTGTCTTTTCTTGGCTATCGGTGCTTTTTGTGCGTCAGAAGTTTCGTTGGATTGATCGACATCTTCGACTCCATCGACCTCATCGACGTCCTCTGGAGCGTTCGTAATCTGCTGCTCTTTGAAAGGCTCTGATGCTGAGTCTTTGGGTCGTATCAGTAGAACAAAATCTGGTGGCTTGGCTGTAAAATCCTCCGCATCCTCAGCAGGAGTAACGAGGGGTTTATCCGCTGGCGTCAACATCCTCTGTGACGACGCTGGCTCCAGCAGCAGGCCACCGCTATCCGACATCTGGAGCTGATGCAGTTGTTCCTGGATAAAAGGATGATAATCACATCAGATTCCAGGTTTAGAAAGGGGAGGCAGATTGGAGAAAGCTGCTGCACAAATTGCTCGTCTGGGCCGTAATCTCTGCGAAGAAGAGCAGATGGAATAGAAAGCGAGTTGCAGCAGCAGCAAAGGAGAAATTTGCGAGAGAAGGCACAAAAAGAGAAAATCCGCGAGCGGTGAATGCGTTTACAGTTGGCGAGGCTGCGAGCACCAAGTGGCAGGAGAAGCAAGGCAGAGAGGCACGTGCAGTTTCTACAGCCTTGCCTGGACAGCGGGTAGATGCAGCTGATATGCGCTTTTCCTTAGGGAGGTAACACGCTGTTTGTCACTCTTGAGTATGTCGTTTGCCGCTCTGTGAAGCCTTTGCTTTCCTTGGTGCTTCTTGATTTCTGCTTGCTAGTTGCAGCGAGAAAGAAACAGCGTCACATCATCACGGGTCACAGAGCACAACAGTTTCCACGCCATGCCTTGAATACTTAGGTGTCACAATACAAGTTTTTATTTCAACCATGATTCCTTAGAATATCCGTACAAAAATAACTCAAACATGAAATCCGGGTGCGTATGTCCCCTCGCATCATCGTACAAGGAGACAAGGACTTGTTGCTGGACAAAGATGCCTGGCATGTACCAACGCAAGCCCATCACCAAACCAAATAAAACCAAGCCAGCCGTTGTAAATGTGACAGCACATCTCGAACCAATCATGTCGAGCTAGACCGTCTCGCATTTTCGTTCGTTGGACCAATCACTCAACAAGACAAAAGAGAGTCTCTCTGAGTATACACCCCATATGGTCCATTTCTGACAGACGAGTCGATAACGTATACATCCAGTACAGTGATGAAAACAAAAGAAAAACAAGAAAAACAGGAAAATAGGAAAAGATTTCTCATTCGTCAATCTTCGTTGTCGTGTTAAAAGAAAACGAGCAAGAAGAACGACTATTCAAGAGCTAGTTGCGATTGCTGCTCTTCGGATTCATCGTCAGTCTCGAGATCAGACCAAAGTTCTTGAAAGGCAATGGAGGCTTCGATGGCATGGATTGCAAAGATTGCTGTGTCAGTAACACCTGCAAACTCGGCTATCCTAGCAATCGGTCCATTCTCTGATCGGTGTAGGCGTTCGATTCGAGTATATTCGGCCTCCCTCGAGACAATAGCTGCCTGAGCGACGTCTTGATCTATCTGATGTTGCCGTGGGACCGGTAATTCTGTATTCGTCCGGTCCGCGGTTAGAGCATAGCAAGCCTGGACAGCTTCGACAGCAAATTCAGCATCCTCGGCAGCCCAAGCGCATTCGGCTGCAGATACAGGTGGTGGGCGCGCGTTGATATGTTCCCCTCTCATCATTCCAAAATGGTTTTCCGATCTCCGAATCCTACAGTTTCGTCTTCTACACGGTCTCTGTTGGATATCACAGGCAGTCGAGATCTCTGACTCAGATTGACCTGGTTCTGGCACAATACATTGACACTGATCTTCTCCTTCTAGTCTTGGAGCTTCAATCACGACCGGTAGTGATGGTTCCTATCATAAGTTAACCTAGTTTGAACAAGACGGCCACTGGTGTAGGTGCAAGATGCTTACATATACCTCTGCGGCAGCATATGAACGAGCCAAGCTGCTTCGCGTTTGGACACGAGGCAGAGTTACTGCTGTTCTTGCTGCTGCTGCTGTTCCTGCTGCTGCTGCTTCTTTGGCGTCGGCTTCTTGCGTTGGCTTGGACCCGCCTTGGGAGTCTTGGGGGCTTTTGGAGCCTTGGGAACCTTGGGAGCCTTTGGAGCCTTTGGTTTCGCCGGCTTTTCTTTTTGGCTTGGACGGCCGCGCTTTGTTCCCTTGGAGCTTCTCGGAAATAGTTTCAGTACACCGTTCCATCTCCAGAGCATATTGCAAAGATTCGCGAGCACGGGCACTAGGCCGACGCTTTCGCTTGCTTCTTTCCAACACTACTACATTGGTATCCGGCTCAAGGCCCTCTGCGGGTTTCAGATCTTCTGGAAGACTTTGTTCGGGTTCTTCTTCCACTGCTCTCGGCGCCTCAGGCTGACTACAGCATCCTAATTCAGCAAACTGTCTGATGAAGCCAGGGTTCTGGGGGACTTGTCCAGTCACTGAAGGGATGTCTGCCGCGATGCCAACCACGAGTTGCCCTTTGCTATTGCTTGTCATGAAACGTTCTCGAGCAGTTCCGATCCGAGACCTTGGCACGTTATTGTGAAGCGGCGCGGTACTTGATTGGATGGGAGAAGATTGTTCATACCTTTGAGCTTGCTCAGGGGACTGCTGGCCCGGGGAAGTCTCCGGCGTCTGAGCACATGGGTCAGCGGCCCTAGCATCTTGTCTCTGGAGAATACCATGTCGTATAGCAGTAAGACGGGAAGACTTTTGTGTTCTCAGCTCTTCAGGAATAGGGCTTGATTCCATATCGGCTGCATCCTCAGCGAGGTGAAGAGGGATGTATTCCCAGCTCTACAAATGCATCGCAGCGTCAGTCAACCAACTGTTAGTCCACTCAAGCGTCCCACGAAAACTCACATATCCATGAGGATACCCATTGTCGATTTCCCACTGGGTCTTGGCCAGTCCTCCCGGAGCAGTCTGAGGCTGCAGCTCTGGAACCAAGCGCTTCAAAGCCCCGCGAGCCTCGTCTGCCTTCTGTTGCCTCTGGTATTGTGGGATCGGCATGGGCATGGGCCCACCACTGCGCAGGTCTGTCGAGATAGTGTTCAAAACAGCCTGAGCTTCGGGGGATATCTCACCATCATCACGTACAGGCTCACCTTCCTAAGGAACAGCCTGCTGGAGCATTCCAAGAAACGCATCGTTCTTCATCGCATTGCCTCTGCGAGCATTGGACGCGTTGCGGCGGTTGTTTCTTCCATTCTGTCTGATGACTTCCTTAACATCATCGGCACGGACCAACCGGGCGACGGCAACTCTTCGAAGAAGTCGGTAATCCATGCAGTCTCTCAGGATGGGGACGTCAATCTGAATGCGAGCAAAGTCCTTGGGCTCTTTCACGTCAACCCATTTTTGGAGATCGACGTTATGGTTGACAATTCCTCGTTCGTGAAGGAAGTGGAGGCCCATGTGAACATCTTCCTGAGTGATGCGGTCATGGGGCATCAGTGGGCGATGCTCATGAATCCAATTAGCGAGCAGCATGTCTTGCTGCTCGGCATGTCCGCCGAAGGCTTTGACCCGATCAGCGACGCTGTGTTCGAAAGCATTCCACTGATCACAGAAGTTGATGTAGCTGGTGACGAATTCATGAACCTGGTGTTTAGAAAGATCAAGTTGCGAGATGATGACGACGGAAAACGGACGCTGCTCGCTGAGGCGCAGAATGATGAGCCATCGCACGCCCAAGCTGAGGTCTTCCCATCTGAGGCTCCGTTTGTTGGCGGTAGAAGCCGAAGCAGTTTGATGGTTTCGCGCGCCAGAAGGATAAATCTTGGGTATGCCAGGAAGCAGCCCTCTCTCTGCCATGGCATCACGAGCCTTCCACCAATAGAAGGACTCAGGAGTCAGAAGTTCCTCTGCAATATCTCGCTCAGCCCAACCCTGATACAAAAACGGAGATTCTGAAGCTGATGCCGCATCCGCAACTGTTGCTGCTGCAGGTGGTTGCGCAGGTGGTTGCGCAGGCTGGGGCAAATGCGCAACGCGGGCTCTACGGCTTCGAGGTCGAGTTCCTGCATCAGGGCCCAAGGTTCCTACAATGCCGTTAGTTGGATCCATGAGATAGAAGGAGTGGTAGGCATTGCTGATGGATTTACCGTCAGGCCACAAGGGAAGATCCGCTTCGTTCGTGGGGGCTCGCTCAAGTCTTGGATTGCCAAACGGCAGGTCATAGTAACGCGGTTCTATGGCTAGGTCTGGGAAGAACTCAGATGCCTCAGGCAAATCATCGCTTCGCGAATTGAACACGACATCGGGAGTGCCATCGTACGACATGATGAATGTTCTTTGATGAAGATTCCTGGCGGGATTGTTCTCGAGTTGCTGGAGAGTTGACGGTAAACTGATCTAATCTTCTGAATTGACCATTTTAGTATTTGTGTTGGGGGGGCAGATGCATAACACATACCGTAAGTCTCGGATATATCGAACCAGGTACGGGAAGATAGGGAAGAATGAACGCAAAGTGAATGGTGATTAGATTCAGGCAACGCCTCTCCCCTCAGTACGGCTCCTGGCGATCGACAATACAGAGTAAGGATACCAAGTGACACAATACTGCGTAGAGAGACGGGGTGTGATGGACGGGTATTCTGAGGTCGAGGTCTGCAGAAACTCTGGTAACCATGAGGCTCGGGGAGAGAAGTACGCGTGTCCAGAATCCCCAACGCGTGTGGGATAAACAGAAAAACAAACAGATTACCTTACATAGGGGGAGCAAAGATCGGATGAAACGAGGAAAATCGCAGCCTGGCCAGATGGCAGACAGCTCTTGGCTGGAATGTTGTCAGGTGGCCAGCTGTGAAGGAAAAGAAGAAAAAACGAAGACACTTTTTATCGTGATGGAAGATGCCGAAGGTCACAATAAAGTAAGATAATTGAATTATTTAAAGTCTCTTTGTGGAAATATGCTTTGGGCTTGGGAATAAGTTATAGAGGTTATAATTCGGATGGCGTATGGGTAGACGATGAAGTTGAGATGGAAGCAAAGTTACAGCAGAATTAACATGTCTATATCAAGCCATTGCATACACCAAACAGCGTCGAGAGCAAGCATCTTGATCCATAATTTGCCATCAAACCTACTCAAGCCTTCTTGACACAAGTGCTTTGATTGAACCTCCAAGTACGATTATATTCTTTTGGGATTTGAGTTTAGTCTTTTGATCCAAGGGCTGGGAAAGGCGTTTCTTTAACCGACTAGGTATCAAAGCGTATGGCTCGAACATGGATCCTATGAGAAAATAGACCTTTTGTACCTAGAAGAAAATATAAGAAACCAAAGAATAACGTATTAGAAAAGCTCAAAGTTTCGAAAAGGACCAAACTCCCAAACGCCTTCTCTTGCATCTTCCCCTTGTAAAGCCAAGCTCTCCTTCCAAATGCACACATTCGTGCCATAATCCTGGTGCAACCGGTATGCTATGCTCAATCATCCATCAAGTCATCATGTCCGAGATCCATGTCAATTCTACCGTATAGCCGTTGTTTATTAGCCTCGAAATGTGAAAAATTCCATGATTCTGCCGTGAAACCTTTACTCGCATGACGTCGGATAGCCAACTGCGCAGCAAATCGGCATCTATAGAACGCAATCCCCTTTTCCTGTAACGCCGTGGCAGTATGCTAACAAGCTCGTGATTGTGCCGAATAGATGGTATGTCCTCATACAGGGCTCGCTCTCGTATTTGCGCGAATCGTACTCCCATCAATACTCGACATCTATAAAGGGTGCGAAATCCCTTCGGCCCAAGAAGCGGTCGTAGTCGCCAACAGTGTCGCAGTTGGTTCCCCCCACATCTTCCTCAACCCCTTCCATCATGTCATCGAGGTCGCGCTTGGTGTTCGCCTTGCCTTGGACGAAGACGGCTTGCATATGGTCGTTTGCATTGTGAGATTGACCTGCCACGGTGACACCAGCATTGTTGAGGTCCTGCCAAGTCAAAAATGCTTGTTTGGCTTCTTCGTCGAAGTTAGCGCAAAACCGTTGAACACTAACAAACTGAACTGCCGCCATCATATCCTGCCCGAACATGGCCATGACATAGGCAACGACGAGAGAAGGCGAGAGCATGTTGCCCGTATCACAGGTCACCAGAAGCTTGCCCCGACAGGTACCAGCTGTCATATGGTGCACAGAGAGAAGATGGGTGTTGATGACGCTAACAACTTGGTGGAATGCCCTGACTAACTGACTTGGTTCGACATCGATATAACAAAGGGGAATGTCAAGCGCCGTGGTTGCTTTGTTGACGCTGGGGAGATTAAGGGGAGCTCGAGCGTCACGAACAACGACAAGCATAGAGAAGGCCTCTCGCCGCAGGAACTCATGATCTCGAACGATGCTTGTGGGACCTAAAGAGAGGAAATCGAGAATGTGTTGGGCATCTCTGCGCTGCTCATATCTCCAGCGGGTGGAGCGATCAACCGAGATTTGCGTCCTGTTGCCGGTAACGATGGTGAATTGCTCCCTGGAGATTTTCCTGGGATCAACAAGGTCGTATGAGGGCTCAAGCTTGATGGTCTTTTGGCCTTGGACGGGAACGGTGATTTTGGGCGGACTTGGAGGGCGATAGCTGTATGCCGCAGAGCGGATGACGGCGCTCTGCACCGGGTCCTGGCAGCTCATGGCGAGGAAGTTGAACAGCAGCGTTTGCTCAAAAGGGCACGTGAGATGACTTGTTGTCGGTATCAAGAGATGGGTTGCAAATATGGCGAGAAGGATGAAGCTGAGAGCTTCTTGGGGGTGGTCGAGTCGGCGGATGGATTCGACGCAAGGGAGGGAGAGGGGGTGGGAGCTGAGAAGGGCTTAGAAGGGCTGAGACGAGCCGAGACGGGCTGAGGAGAGCTGAGAAGAGCCGAGAAGAGCTGAGAAGAAAAAGAAATAACGAAGAAGAGGTTGGGTGGAGAAGAAGAGACGTGTATAACGGGAAGAGACTGAGATACTGAGATAATCCGAAAAGGAAGAGCTGGAGATGCTGGAGTGTTCAGTTATTGAATGAGGCAGAAGTGACGTGAAGGACGAGGACAGAAGAGAACGAGGGAGGTTCGGCGTGGAGGCGTTGAATCAGGTGGCTCAGCGGTCCATGTACGGGCATGTTTGGCACCTGCAGATGGTGGTATCACCGCCGCCAGCAGGTACAGCACGGCGCTAAAGGTGCTGAGGATGCCGCACGTACAGCGCCTACGATTGGCAAGATGCGCTGAGGCTCTGCTGTAAATTCTAAATTCACGGCCACGGGGAACATGTTCCGGAGCGGCGATGATTGTTCGGGGCTCCATCCACGTAAACCGGCCAATCAGGTGCAGCCGAGACGAACAAGGCGAGAATGCATTCACAATGGCGAGGTATAGTAATTCAACAAAGCCGACAAGCAAAGCGCATTGATCATGCGAGTGGGTAATTCTTTTGTCTTTTGCTTTTTCTTTTCCCCTCCATCTTTTTACGTTTTGGCTTTCTGGGATCCATCCAATTGCGTTTTTTGCTTCGTCATTTACCATTGATAGTCGTGTCTAGTTACTAAACATCGCGTATCGCAATCACAGGTGTCATGTCAGCACTCAATCGCAAGCTGAACCGATTGCCCAATGATAATCGTGCTTGTGTCACAGCGGAGGAAAAGCACCATTATATGAACAGATGATCTTTCAAGTATAAGAGAAGACCTATTTATTGCGTGCTAATATAATCAATGTCGAGTCTCTGATATACATCTAATCTGGTATTGGTTTGATGCTACACACCTACATTTATCCAGGGTAGCTGATGTTATCCCACCCAAGTGAACCAACAGCTCCCAACATGGCACATCACGGCGACAATGAGCACGGAAAAAGACCATCATCAATTACAATATTATCCCACCTCCACAGCGAGGATATCATGTGAGAATTCCCTCCTCACAAACGCCGCGCAATGCCGTGCTTCTCGGTTCACATATTTTCTCTCTTTATACTAATCATACAGCCTTTTTGTTGATCCCATCTATACCCTTAATCGTACAGTTTGCGAAAGCTCGCCCATACCGCTGCTCATATCTTTCCAGGTCAAGTAAGTGGATGCCATCTCTTTTACAAAATCGAAAATTCACCCCATCACCACCCCGGTTCTATCGGGCCGCATAACCGAAAGCAAACGAAGGAAAAGGGTTTGGTCGATATCACCCAGAAACACCCAGAGAACATAGCACAGCTGTCAAACCAAGACACACAGGCTCATCACGCAACGCGCACCGCATGTTTTCTCCCCCCTACCACTTCATCAATGACATAGTCATCATCTGAAAACTGCTCCACTTCGTCTGCATCCCCCTCGCCAATCACCGTCCTGCTGGCGTCGCGGGATTTCGCTAGTAGACGCTTGGTCTTGCGTCTGCGCTCCAGATGCTCGTCGCTAAAGTTGAGACGCTCCAGTGTCTCCATGAGCTTCTCCTCCACCAGCGATCGCACGTGAAAAGCCAGGGCCTGGCTGCGGAATACGCCTGAGTAGCGGTACGAGAGCCACACATACTGGTTGACGGCGACATGTAGTGACTCTAGCTTGGCGAGATACTTTTCCTTTACTTGAAAGTCCTCCATTTTTAGATCTAGGTACTCCAACGGTATCTCCTCAATATCAAGGAGATCCCCCTTTGAGTTTGTGGCGACGACTTGCGCGAGAGCTCGGAGCACGTCTATAGCCCTGTCTGCGCGAAGCGCAACAGGCAGGTAGCAAAACGTCAACCTATCGTGGATCGTAAGCGGGATATCCTGAATAATGTCTGCAATTTCCAGGATATCTGATCCCAGCCCGATCCTGTATAGAGAGCTGACTGTTGCCGTCTCTTGGATTCTCTTGAGGATAAAAGATAGTGGTGTGTCCGGTGGGAAATAAGAAGCAAATCGCTCCACGATGCCCGCGGGAGGTTGGATACAGGCCGCCTCAATATCGTCCACACTCTTCTGAAAGGCTCGCTGTACGCTTTTCAAATCGGCCCGGTCCATGGTGGTGACAAGGCCAACCTTTTCTGTTTCGTCCGCTGAACCATCAGGATTCTGTGCAGATCTGTATCGCCCCGCTCGCCCACCAATTTGCTTGATTTCGGGGAATGTCAGCAGTCGGTTTTGACTGCCGTCATACTTTGTAACAGACTCCAGAATCACACGTCGAATCTCAAGATTCAAGCCCATGCCAATCGCATCACTGGCAACGACAAAGTCGTAGTCGTTATCTGGATCGTTGAACAGGGCTGCTTGCTGGGCACGGACTTCTGGTGGTAGGGATCCGTAGATGATTGCGCAACGCCTTCCGGTGTTCTGCTCGATACGTTGTTTCAGAGCGTGTAGATTGAGACGGCTGAAAGCAACAATGGCATCTCCTTTCTGCAGGCTATTGTAGTCTCCATTGAGCGCTTTGTCCATGGTTTTAAGAGGACTCAGGCGTTCGTATCGGTGAACGACACACTTGTCTCCTATGCTAGCGCACATGGCCTGTATGACCTTGACGGCTCGCTCCTCGCCACATACGTGGACCTCTTTGGCCTGTACTCCAAGGACGGCAGATGTCCACGCGTTTCCACGGTCGGCATCAGCAATCATCTGGATCTCGTCAATGACGGCGACATCGAACCGGGTGTTGAGGGGAATCATCTCCACTGTGCAGCTTGAAAAGTACTGATCCGCGTCTTCGGGAATCCGCACTTCCTCACCCGTGATGAGAGCGCACGGGATATTCTTTGCCTTGAAGCGCTGGTACACCTCGGTGGCGAGCAGTCGAAGAGGTCCAGCGTAGACTCCGCACTTGGAATTCTCAAGGGCCTTGAGTGCGCGGTAGGTTTTGCCGGAGTTCGTAGGCCCAACGTGAACATGAATCGTGCGCTGCATCGCTCGAGTCGCAGGAAACCACTCGTGCGGGAATCGAAAGTCTAGCAAGCGTCTATGGCTGTCCTGGACGTCCTTGGAAAACCGCTGGCCAACAATGAAAGACTGGAACGAGTACTGGACCTCTTTGCTCAGGCCCTTGATGTCCTTGTTGATAAAGGCATCACGCAGGTTCCAAAACACAGGATTCTTGTCACGGCGGGTGATGCCCTTTTCCGCCAACGAAAAGGCATGGTCGATGGCGTCCATGAAGAGCGCCGCATGCCGACTCAGCTCATCCTCGCCAACGGTGACGCCAAGCTGTGCTGCCCCCAAGCGATTGAGCACGACCTGGAAGCGATGGAGGACGGTAGAGCGGAAGACTTTATGGCGGCCGCTATACTTGCCAAAATCGAGCCGCAGTCTGGTGTTGGGATCATGACCATGGCTGACCTGTGCGTATATGTGTAAATGTGAGCCGTGTTCCCTCTTGAAAGCTCATAACATCCAGAAGCGAAACTCACCGAATCAACCCGGGAATGAAGCACGGGCTTTACAGGTCGTTTTGAACCGGTACTCAGCGCTTCCTTGAGTGTTATCAGCCTTGGCTTGAAAGCCGTTGGCTTACTGGCCTTGTGAGGCGGAAGCCTTGATAAGTGAGATGTGGTTGAGAGATGGCGCAGACATGCCGCTCTAAGCTGGCCTCTAAAAGAGCCGTTCTGGGCCAGAGCTCTCATGACAGCAGCGGAAGTGTCGCAGGTATCATGATATTGTCGCTGCAATGAAGAATAAAAAGCAGAATCGACAGATTTTGCTGCAAAACCACACTCGCCTACCCTACATGACGGCCATGCTTGAGATTTGGAACAAACTTTTCGATCCAATGGCAGGCCTCGGAGATTTCCCGGAGGCGGATTAGCGTTTGGCCGCGGACCTGCAGCCAAGGCGGCAAACTGTGGACGCAGTTTCGTCATAGTTTCAGCGAGCTGCCTGCATCTTACAATCACCCAGTTCTGCTTTGTTTCTTCGATTGCGCCCCTGCTCGCCCCAACTTTGTTCAACAAACACCAGACTCGAGATTCGAACATCATTATACAAGGCGACCCATCATCCACTGCCAAAATGGCGTCTTCTTCAGCTGCCACTCCGCTCCTTTAGTACGTATAAGCTCTTGAAGCTATAGGGGGTTTCATACTGGCGGGCAGCCTACAGGCTTGGTATTTGCTAACAAAGGATCACCCTTCTTCGCAGCTCCTGCATCGCCCACAAGACCACAATCCTATCCGAATGCACCATCTCTGCCTCGTCACAGACCTCGTCGCTCGCTTCCCTCATCCTCCCAAAGATTGAGCACACAACCCCTCAGAAGTTGACATACACGCACGGCCAGAACCAGATCCACTATGTCGCCGAGGCGCCATCTGAGTATCCCGAGCACCCGGCGGCCGGCGGCCTGACGTTTCTCGTCATTGCAGACTCATCGCTGGGCCGTCGCGTTCCATTCGGCTACCTGCTAGAGATTCGCAAGCGATTTTTCGAGAAATTCCCCGAGCACAGCGACTTTGCCGACATGCCCAACTACGGCGCCGGGTCGTTCAACTCGGAGATGAAGAGCCTGATGGTGGAATTTGGCACGACGAGCGGCGGCATGAACGACGCGATTGGTAATGCGAAGCGCGAGATTGACGATGTTAGAGGCATCATGACGAAGAATATCGAGAGCTTGCTTGAGCGAGGCGAGCGGATCGACCTGCTTGTCGACAAGACGGACAGACTGGGGAGCAGCGCTCGCGACTTCCGGGTCCGGAGCCGCGGGCTGAAGCGCCAGATGTGGTGGAAGAATGTCAAGCTCATGGCACTCCTGATCCTGGTTGTGGCTCTCATCATCATGATTATTGTCATTTCAATCAAGGGCTAGACATGGAGATGATGCTGCCATGATGTTATTTTCTATTGCGTTTGCTTTCTCTTCTGTCTTTTCTTCCTTGATGGGAGCAGCGAAGCCTAGATGCTGCAACATGTATTCATAGTAGGGATCTGATGTTTTTTTGGGAGTCAAAGGGAGAATGCACACCTCACGAGGAATAATTGGTTTTACTTGCGAACAACGGGACCTTGGGCTGAAAGTACTTTGAGTTATAATTATAACGCGACGCTATTTCTTTTCAACGTGCAAGCAGATATTACTTTGTAGTAGTAGTATAGCCTTTTCAAGCCAGCAAATGCACATTTCAATGTTGTTACTCTGAATGGTATCTCAACTGCCTGCTGCACCGACCCAACTGAAGTTCTACAAAAGAGGAACGATGCTAATGCCTAGACAACCCCGTAGAACAGGTCAGAATCACCATCTCGCAACTCACACCCCTGGCATCTCATCACCGCAACTTACCTAGTACCGAATGCCTTCATAACTTGGGCGCATTTGCGCCATTCCGCATCTCCTGATAGACATAGCCCTGCGCCACGGGGCTGAATCCCGCAGCTGGCGCTGGAATCGCTGAGCCCACAGAGGGCTTCCGCAGTCTCTCTGTGAAGAAGACGGGATGCGTTGTCGATGCGTTGTGGATTGGCGCGGCGTGTTTGTTCCATATGGCTTGCAGCTGGGCCGTTGTTGGGATGGGCTGGAGGGGGAGCGTCATGGTGAGACGGGCTTTGTGTGTAATTGATGAATCAAGATTATAGGCGTTCCGGTGCTCTGAAACGGCTCAATGCGACCAATTGAGCACTGGGTCATGGGAAATAATGAGGATGAGAATGAGAATGAAGATGCCGCCATTAGCATTAGCTGCATGAAGTCGCTATGATGGAATTGCTGGGCGCAGATCTTACTAAGCCGAGGTTCATTCGGAATGGGCAGCTCTCCAGACATGGCTTGACATGAGATCAGTGTAAGAAAGCTCTATTGATGGAATTGCTGAAGCTACTCGGGCTACATCCGGTGTCTATAAACAGAAAAAAAAAGAGAGAAAACAAGAAAAGATTTATTTGCCTTTTTTACCGCCCTTGCCGCCCTGCTTCTGTTGCTTTTCCTTTTCCTTTTCCTTTTGCTTCTCCTTTCCCTTTTTAATGGCAGCCACCAAGCTCTCCACCTCCTCTGCCTTTTCCTTTTCCTTCTTCTCCTCGGCCAGCTTGTCCTCGTTGGCCTTCTTTTGCCCTCTCTTCTTTGCGGCGTTCTTCTCCGTCTTTTCAATGAGGGCGTCGCTCTCCTCCCAGAGCTTCTTTGCCACCTCGTCGTCCTTGATTTCTGTCCGGGCAAAGTCTACCTCCATGCACTCCTTGATAAGCTTTCCACCGCTGCCACGTCCGAGACTTCCCTCCATGGCGGCGTAAAGAATCGACTGGGCGCCTTTGTGGGGCGACTTGAGCAAGAACCAGGGGATGGCGTAGAAGCACATGTAGAGCGCGAGACCAAAAAGCGATCCTCGTGTCAGCCATCTCCGTGTGCCCGGTGTTCGAGTAAGACCCGGATCTACAAAGATGACCCGGGTGTTCATGGGCAGCTGATCAGGGCGTTTGTACGAGTCTAGGTGCTTCTGGAAGTATTGACCGAAAACATTGAGGGCGAGCTTGCTTCGTGCGTATGCAGATCCGGGAGACCAGCCCTTTTCCAAATTTCCGAGACCGTCCTTCAAGGACGGAGATCCAATATATGATGAGCATGTCGCTATGACGACACGAACGTCTCTATCAAAGGGCTGCGCCTTGAGAGCTGGACTGAGGATGCTCAGCAGGTGGAAGTTGGCAAGATAGTTGATCATCCACATCTCCTCAACACCATCTTCTGTAACGGATCGTTTTCCTCCTGGCGGCGTCATGGTCGATGCGCACAGCACAATCATGTCCAGTCGTCGAGGAGGGGCATTGTCGACCCATTTCGTGGCGAACTTTCTGATGCTATACAGGCTGGCGAGATCTACCTGCTCCGCGTATATCAGGTGGTTGCCCGTCTTGTCCCGTATGTCCTGTATAAACTCGACGAGAAAGGGGTCCGAGGCGGGGACCTGGGTCAGCAAGACGAGCTGAGCGCCGCGAGCTGCCAGCTCGTATGTCACTTCTGCCCCTATCCCGCTCGTTCCGCCCGTGACCATGACGACTCGGCCATGGAGGTTGCGCTCGGCGGGATTCGACCTGCCTGATGCGTAGAGCTTCAGCAAGACGAGGAATACGGTGGCGGCGACGGCGTACAAGATGGTCCAGACATTGTCGTGGACGACCTGCGGAAAGCCGTTTTCCAGGAGATAGAAGATGGTTGGCACGGGCATTGTGAATGCAACGGCCCAGTCGTAGGCTGCGGAGATGGAATTGGTTCAGGGGAGGCTTGGATCGGTCAATTCATCGTTTCGGGTCGTTGGCAATAGCATCTGACGCCAGATTGCTGACGGGTTGAGCGGTCAAGCAAGAATTGTTTCGTCGTGGCCAAAGTCTGGGAGGCGATTCAGGAGCTCCCACGTGACACAGCTCCAGTTTAAGGCTTGCTTCCATTATTCCAGCAGAGCACAACTCGCGCTGATTCGCGATATACACATTCCATCAGAGCTGAAAAACAATTCCTCGTTATCCATACATCTCGACATCGAGCACGTTTCTACAAGGTATGTATACAAGGCTGTGGTTTTGGTGGTCGACGTGCTACTAATTATTACTAGGCTGGTATAAAATACGAACTAACATAGGGACGGAACCATCTCCGTTTGGGGTATGACCATGAACACAGAACGCAAACAAATTCCCATAGCTCATCCAAAACAAAAGCCATGGCTTAATTGTGCTTTTCCTTCTCCTTCTTCTCCTTCTTTGACTTCTTCTTTTTCTTCTTGTTAATCTCCAGCTTCACAGGGTCGCCTTTTCGTACCCAAATCTCACCAATCGGGTCTCCCTCTTCTTGCACGCAGACCCATTCTCCTATGCCATACTCTTCAGGTGCACGACGCATTCCTCGGCCTCCTCCGCCCACAATCAGGTTTCCTGGACGATAGCTTTCGTCCATCTTCATGCGGCGGATGACGCTGCCGTGGACGCGGACGTTATTCGGAACGTCTCGCACCTCTCCGCGTGGCAGAGGCCAGTTGATAGGTTTCCAAGTCCCGTCTGTTTGAAGGTCCATTCGGCGGAATGGCATCCACTCCATCATGTTCCAAGCAGTGACAGCCGTTGCGGAAAGACCGCCACCATAGACTAGTGAGTCATGGATTTTCGCGAGGTGCGCATTGTGCATCATCTCGAGGAATATCTTCTTGAGATCTTGCTCCTCGTCGTCAGCCATAGTGTCTGGACTGGGGGGCGCCACAGGCTCTGCTCCCTCTTCACCATCACGATTGACAAGAATGTCGGGTCCTCTCTCTTGCCCCTTTCGACTGTTTTTGCGGCCGGCGCTGCCATATTCGTTGTACAAGTCAAAGCAATCCAGCTCCTGGACCTTTTCCAGATCGAATTTCAAGCCAGCACGAATGGCCTCGCGGACCATCCATATCAAGGGCACATGGCTTGCATTCTTGCCGCTGGATTCTGTTTGCCATCCACCGCCCACGTCGCCGTGGCCACCAGCAAACCATACTTCGTCAATATCTTGGTCGCCGCTATCCTCATAATCGAGGACAGAAAGCTGTTCCGAGGCATTGCAGCCAGTCACCGACATACGGCGATCTTGGCGGGCAGCAGATTTCGACCTGGCTCTGTATGGCATGTATTTGCTGGGTTGTGGGTTTGCCGATGACGGCGGTCCGTCCGCAGTTGTCGTCTGTTGGCTTGGTCGTCTGCCTCGGCCGTTGTTATGCATGACTTCTGCGCCGTCTACTTCTCCCCCGTCTTCGCTGTCCTGCCCACGACCAAGCATGTGATCCAAATCTTTCTTCCAGTGGCTGTGCGTATTGTGCCGGCGCTTGTTGGCTTGCTGATACATCAAGTCTTGTCGAAACTTGGCCCGCCGCTCATCGATGCTGACAGCATGCCGGATGACTCTGGCGCTGCTACGTGCCGTGTACGGGAATTTGCTTCGCTGCATCCATGCCGTCTCAAATCGAGGCACAGAGTTGACTGTATCGAACAGACCCAGAAATCGAATCCTGCCAACGGGCCGTGAAAAAGTCTCGCGGAAGCCTTTCATGAAGTGGTACATTTCATGCTTCTTCTGCTCTTCTTCTTCAGCAAGTTTCTCGTCTTTGTCGCCACCCCGGCGACTCTGCCAGTTGGCGAATGCCTTCCAGGCGAACGAAACCATTTCTTCATTACCGTGGGACAAGAGACCGATGTAGTCAAGCATCTCGGCCAAAAAGCGGGCAATGTACGAGCCGCGACTGAAACCGAACATGTAAATCTCATCACCCTGATTGTAGAAGCGCATGAGGAAACGATAGCCCCCAACAACATGTTGGTCGAAAGACGAACCAATGGCCGAGTCTTTGGCTTTTTGATACCATGATTTAATACGCGCTTTCACACTAGTGTGCGAAAGTGAGTCGGACACGATATACGTGCCAATACCGGCTGTTAGCTACAGTCAGTCGTGCTCATGAATTATTCGTCAATGGCCACTCTGGCGCGAGTGCGTACGCGTCGCCAAACACTTACGCTGGTAGTAGTGATACTGGTCATCTGCGGTGCGATCCAGCATCCGGAATATCTTAAGAATATTGCTGTCGCTCTCATCGCCGTGGAATTTGTTGCCCGTGCCGTCGAAACAAAGAATCAGTTTCCTCGGAGCTCTATTCTGCGGCGTGGGACTTGTTGGGCGCTCCATGATGGCTGCCGTGATGTAGTCTAAGCTCGAACGGCCCTTTGGGTGCTCGGCCGAACTTGGATCCAGCATGCTCCCAGAAGCCATGGCCAGTTATATGTGGGCTCTTTAAAATCAATCTGACCAAAATGGCAATGTGGAGGATGAGGCGGAGCCAGGGGATTTCCCACTGCCTGATCAGAAAATTAACGAGAAATCTAAGCACTGGAAATAAAGCATAAGCACGGAGGGGAGCGCCCGCGGCTTATTATTAGTACTTTTACGATCATGAGCGTGGCTCATCATGGACGACTCATACGCATGACACTGCAGCTTTTGTGTCTTGGACTCTCGCATTAGCCTGGCAACCTGGGACTCTTTCTGGATACAACTACAGAGTACTACTCTGTCAATCTCGGCCGTGTGGAGCTTCTGCGAGGGAGAGGCTGAAAATCAGCCGGCTGAAGAGCGCTGATCGCTTCCCTGTTCAGAGAGAAGAGCTGCACGTCTCCCAAATGCCGGGGGCTAGCGACCAATGAGGAAGATGGTAGAAGACCCCTTTATCCAGGGGATTGGCGGAACACCTTGATATTCACGACATTGCGCATGAGAGCGGGGAAAGGTCGCAGTCGAGCGCATGCATGTCTCAGTGCTTCAGAAGACGAGCCAGTGAACGACGATGAGCTTCGGCGATGATAACGCGGGTAGCTCATCCGCCGATATTATTCGGCCAGTCACATGCTGAGGATTTGGAAGAAAGATGGACATGTCTTGCTGCGGCTGAGGTCGGATTGCAGCATGGTCGTCATGTACATCGTCCAGCCGCACGGCGCCATCGAGCGCTTGCCTTTTGAACTCGTTGTCTCATCCATTGGTGCTATTTGCTGCCTGCCCTGCGCGGGGACGGCACAATGTCTCTCTTTATCCTTGCTTCTGGCCGCCTCCATGGTCGCTTCTGGGACATTTATGACATAAGCTCTTGTGCAACACATGCTCGGGAAGTTTTGCTGCTGTCGTGTAACACACTTTCTTCTTCCGAGAGGAGGCCGTTGGCAAATATGATGGAGTTGAGTCGTACAAGTGCAACAGTCGGAAGCTATCTGAAGAAACACAACTCAAAAGACCAGACCACTAACAAAGTGACATCGAGCTTTAAGATGCTTTTTCTTCTGAAGTAGCCCAAGTTGCTCCGGGGCTCCGCAACGGGCCGTGCCTAGAACTCTTTGGGCGTAAGAGTAATTTCAATGGAGTCCAAGTTTGCTCTCTATTGGTTAGCTGCAGATTTGACAATCCACCCATGTTGGATCCGTCGTTTGCCGCCATTCAGGTTCTGGGCCTTGATGCGGTGTGTTGATCGCGATTCCCTTGCCTTGGTCAGGCTGTGGCCGATCGGCCTAGCTGAATCCTTCTAGTTGAGCTATACCAGTACGGCAGCGTCTCGGGGGGACTCGATTATGAGGAATACCGAACAAGGGAATCTAGAAAGAGGTGTGTGTATGGCGGGTGTGAGTGTGCGGCAAAAGACACTCCCAACCTGCCGGATCTCTATCTAGATGGAAACATCGAGGCGGAGAATGTGGACTTTGCTTTGTCCACACAGCGCCGCAGCTCCGCATTACGACTGTACTCCATCTCTCTCCAGTGCAGAGTTGTAATCCATGCACAGTAGCGTGCGTGGGGAGAATGTTTACAGGGCAGAACAGAGCAGATTTTGCTTATACTGACTGCTACGGTGGTACTATACGAGTCATATGTACATTCAAAGCACGCAGCACATGCTGCCAGCTTTCATGGATTGCATCACCAAGACGCAAAATCCAAGACATTCCGCCAAACACTTTCCTCTCTCGTCTTGGTGTAGTTGAGGGGCGATGTCGGTTTGCACCTCTCTTCTATCTCACAGCTTACTATCCTTCCAGATGGGCTTTCTCTTCTCGACAAAGGCCCGCACACCCTCCGTCATGTTGTCTCCGCCATCCATCTTGGTGTAGATCTCCGTCAAGATGCGGTCGGTACTTTCCTTGGGGTTCTCCGGTTCCCAGCCACCGAGCAGGCCTTGACGGGCCACGATGATGGAGTCTGGCGAGTTGTTGGCCAGCTCAATGGCCCATTGAAGGGCCTCGCCAACGACGTCGCTTCCGCGCGCAATGACATGATTGACCAGCCCCCAGCGAAGCATCTCGTCGGCTTTGTAGATCCTGCCCAGCAGAGCCATCTCGGAAGCGCGCTGCATGCCGACGGAGCGGATCAGACGCGGTAGTGCCCCCTGAATGGGCACGACGCCTCGGGCAACTTCGGGCAAGGCGAAGCGTGCATCGACGGACGCGATGACCATGTCGACGTTGAGAATCATCTCCATGCCGCCGCCCAGGCACAGGCCATTGACGGCGGCAATGATGGGCTTCTTGCCCTGGCGGTTGCTGAGCCCGCCAAAGCCGGCCTCGGGAGCCTTCTTGGACGGCTCGTCGGGGTTGGCGTTACGCTCGTTCCACTCCTTGAGGTCGGCGCCGGCGCAAAAGGCCCGTCCCATGCCGGTGATGACGGCACATCGCAGCGCCGGCTCGGCGTCGTACCACTTCCACAGGCGGTCGAGCTGGTAGTGCATGTCGTGGCGGATGCAGTTGAGCTGCTTGGGGCGGTTGATGGTGACAAGCAGAATGTGTGGCCGAGGCGCCGTGATGATGACGTCCTCGACCGCGGGGGGCGAACTCATGCCGATGGCCATTGTTGCTTTACACAAGGGGCGATCGAGGCTGATAGGGCAAAGGTGGGTTGCGACAGCATATGAGTGCCAGAATCTGATACGGGGGAGGTGGCCGGCACCAAGAGAGCTTCTATCACTTGTGTCTCTGGCCTGTCGTTGTCCGTCTCTCACTTTCTCTCTGCCCCTTTCTTTTTCGCCGTCTTTCTTTCTTCTATCTCATTCAGCGGATGAAAAGCAATGAGATGGTTCTCAAAAGGCCGCAAAGCTGATCATGGCCGCTGTGACACGGCTCAGAATCAGGTCGGGGGTTTCGCCAGCGCCTTTGGATCGGGGGGGTTTTGGTGAGTGTTGGGCTCAAGGGATTTGGCGGTAATCGGCCGCGAGTAGTAAGAGAGCAAGGTAAGCAAAAGGCTCCTGTTACGCGCCTTGGAGGTCCGTGTGGGGCGGTCCCAGCCTCGGCTCTCGGTTGGTGAGCCGTGGCTCTCCTCATTTTCTGGGGAGCTGGGCTGAGCTGGGGTTAGCTTTTGCGAAGGTGAAGTGCCGAGTACTCGTTCTATACTCCGTATTGCTAACGAATTAGGATCAAAAGACTAGATCATTGTTGATTCACAGTATGGATTAGCATGCTTCATCTCGAATCAAACAATGACAGTCTAGTATCACGAGCCTCTAGAATGTTAAACCACACACAGTCTCATCATCCTCACGTAAAGGAAAGCCTTCATGTCAAATCCCTGAAGGTTGGCCATTATTTATTTACATACAGAGAGAATCCTACACGATTTTCAAAGTCCGGGTTTTCCCAACCCCCTAGTTGTACATACAAGACGAATTTTTTCCCTTTTTCCTATATTTGTCCTCGTCGAATCTCACTTGATGCCTTCTCCCATATTTGCATCTCTACTTGGAAAAAGAAATATTGGTAGCTCGTAAAGGCGCTCTGCATCTCTCAATACAAGAAAATACAGACGCCAAAAGAAGCAAGATATTAATGCGGAGCAGCTCATAAAACCACTCCCGTACGATTGTAGTGACATCTTCTTTATGCTGGCAGGCCTCTCTTCTCGCATTCGGTGAAGAAGATGAGCATACGCCAAAGCTTCTTGACCAGATCCTCTGCTTCGTCGTCCAGGGCCTATAAAAAAGAACAAACTTGTTAGCTTCCAGCATTCTGCAATTTTCTCCACGTTTGACTGGAAAAAAAGGGAACAATATTCTTCAAGAAAAAGACACAAACTTACCCCCTCGAGCTCCTCCACCAAGGCACCAGCCGTGCCATGTTTCCGCAGATGCTCCTCCACAGCCTCGACCAGCATCTCCTCCTGCACGCCGAGATACTCGACAATCTTCTTCTCCACAAACGGCCGCAGTTTGTCGCGCACAACCGCATCGTCCATAAAGTCCCACTTGACCTCCCACGCCCAGAGGCCCTCCTTCTCCGACGGAATCTCCTGTGCCAGCGCACGCACTGCCTGCGAGATTTCCTCCTCCGACATGCCCGCCGCGCCGGATGAAGCGTCCAACTGGATGGGGATGAGCTGTCGCTTTGTAGACTCGACCTCCTCGTCGTCCAAGAGACCCTCCACTTCGGCAATCGTGCGTCGTTGAGGTGCTGCCCGTGAGGCTTGAGCTCGCTGTGCCGCCGCGCCGAGCGACAGCTTGAATGGCTGTGGTGCCGCAGCGGCAGCGGCAGCTTCGCGCTGCTCCATCTCCCGGGCCTGCTGGTCCAGGAATGAATCCGCCAGGCCACGCGCCTGTTCCAGCCTGGCCTGCTCGCGGTTTCGCTCCACCTTTTCGGCCTGTCGGTCGGCTTCATCTCGTGCCTCTTCTTCCGCCCGATCAGACGTTCGTTTCCTTGCCCAGCCGCCGTGATCTCGATAGTAGATGTGAGTTTTGCGGGTAGCCTCTCGCTCGTCTTCCCACGTCTTTTCTCTCTCCAGCTGCTCTTCTTTCCTTCGTTCAAGAGACTCAATATCGTGCTTTTCACGCTCCCGTTCTCGCTCCAGCGCCGCCTGCCGTGATCGCTCTCTGTTGACCCATTTCCTCTCTGCTTCCGCATACATCTTGTCTTCTTCGGCCTTGCGCTCAGCCTCACGTCTCCTCCAGAGCTCGTCATCGCTTGCGTCGGTGTCCTCATCTTCGCGTCTCGTAGACCCATCTGCGTTGTTCACTCCTCCGTTGACAAAGGCCACACCTCGGTTCGGTCCGTTTTGCCCCTTGGGCCCAGCCGGGGCGTTTGGTACTGAGACTCCGCGAGGCCCTAGCGGCACGTTGTTCGAGTTCCTCGGCGGAGAGGCGAGTCTTGATCGGGCTGCGCCATTGCGGCGTCGCTCAACTTCTTCGAGCTCCTCCTCTCGCTGAAGACGCTCCATATCCCGCTGGTTGCTACGCTCACGGAACGCGGCAATCTCTCCTGCAACAACCTCCCGCATCTCGGGCGGAATATCTGCCAGCTCGTCTTCTTGCGCCAGGGGGATGTTGACCACCTCGACGTTCTCCTCAGTATCCGTATTCCCCATAGCAACATCGCCATTAGCGTCGGCAGTCTCGACAACAGGGGGGTAGAAGAGCTCTCGAACAACTAGTTTCAGGGCCGCGCGAGCTTGCTCTATTCTCTGCTCCAAAGATGCATCATCTCCCTTGTTTTCCTTGTATGTCTCCAGGTAGCTCAAAGAGGTGGGGTCGACAACCACTTGTAGCTTGGTCTTTTCGACATCGTCATAGTTGTCGTCGGCCGGTGGATCGCTCGAGCTGGACTGTTTCTTGGTGGGGATTTGCACCTCTTCTTCGGTCAGGAGCTTGACAGCAGCTGCCACGGAATCAATGTCCTCGAACAGAGCGAAGCCAAACTTGGTTCCCTTTCGATCCTCTGACACGCTGTCGGACGGATCCCAGCGCTTCAGCTTGCCGACAGCCCCAAGAAGCTTCTTTGTGCCCTCGTCACCACCCAGTCCCTCTGGAATCTGGTGTAGGAAGATGGTCCGCAGCTTCTCCTCGCTCGTGGGTGGAAGAAGCGTCTGCATCGTCTCCCTGGCCGCCATTCGCCCTTGCTCTGATCCTCTCTCCATACCAAGCCCTGCTCTTCCTCCCGATTGTGCAGGTCGGTCGTCGGATCTGCCGCCACCGGCTGAGGCTCCTGTGCCGAGTCGAATCACGGGGGCATTGAAGTTGATGTTCGGCATGTTGGTCGGGGCTTGGAAAGCAGGCAGACCACTTGGACGATTAGCTTGAGGCACGTTGGCTTGCTGGATGCCCGGCGGGGGGGCCATTCCCGGAGCAGGGGACATGCCTGGAGGAGGTCCTACAGAGAGAGAGAGACAAACGGTCAGCATCTTGTCTGTGGCAGGACGAGGATAGAGAGAAACAGAAAGGACATGCATACCTAGCCCAGGAGGAGCAGCCATGCCCGGCGCCGCGCCCGGATAGCCGTAGCCAGGAGGCGCGCCATAGGGATTGTGCGGTGCTGAAGCTCCGTTAGCGGATCTGTATTGCCCCCGGGGTTGGCCTCGGCCGTGAGTACCTCCGTAATGGTTATAAGCCATGCTGACAAGGCTCTGCAGTTGAGAGCAGCGTCACGCCGGCGAGTCGTAGAGACGGATTGGGGGTGCTGCGTGAGGCCAATGCCGGCACCTAGAAGGGAAATAAGGTCAAGCACGAAGAAAAAAAAAAGAAAAAAAGAAGAAGATGCAGCAGTCAGCAGCGCCTCGCAGACGCAAATCTCCAGATGCAGCAGCCTCAAATTGCAGGGTTCTCGGCTTGCATTGAGACGTGACGGCAGACGCGATTGTTTCCGCAGAGCAGCGACATGCAGGCAGCCTCGTGGCAGGATTTCGGGTTCTGGGCGTGGAAATGTCGAGCTTCGCAGGTTTTTTTTGTCGTGGTTTGAGATGCAGAGGTGCGAATCGCGGCTTCATGGGCTGGGATTCCTGGTCTGCGAAGATGTACCCACTTGGGAGGTAGGCCCGCATCAAAGTTGATCCGCCCGTCGCTTTTTGCAGCCGAAACGACTTTCAAAGATCAAGATTGGGAAGAATTGCATGATTCTGGGAGCATTGAGGATTGCAGAAAGGATGTAAGTGCTGCATGATTTGTTTATCTTCTTGAAGTCAATCAATTCTCGCCGTGTTTCCATTTACTAAACTCATTGTCATTGTCACAGGGCCGCCCCCTCGAGATACGGCAGCATGATGCTGTCCAGAATCGCCACCCCAGCGCATGCCCGCGCCTTTTCCACATCTCTAGCCGTTCGCTTCAATGCCTCCAGATCAGTCTTTGACGATCGAAGAAACCCTCTGGTCGGCAACTTCGTCCCTCCCGCACCAGCCCCGAAGCCTGTCGCACCACCAAAGGCTCGATCCGAACCAGCCACAGCCGAATTCGTTCCTCCTCCTCCCCCTCCTCCTCCCGCCGCCGCCGCTGAATCAGAATCGCCATCAGCCTCAGCTGAGCAGCCGGCCTCTGAGAAATCAGCCTCTTCATTCCCCTACACGGCAGCCGACTCCTCCGCCCCCTTCAACTTCGACATTGCCGAAATCGTCGCCGCCAGATCCGCCGCCTACGGCCAGTCCCTCAACGTCGGCGACCCTCTCCTCCGCCCCAAGATCCGCACCGAGGCCGTGACCGGCCGCACCGTCTTCATCAAGGACCGCCTGTCGCCCACGTCAGCGCCCACGCCCGCCGTGGCCATCCGCGTGCTGGAGAGGATGTGCCGCGACCAGAAGGTGCGCAACAAGTACCACTCGCAAAAGTTCCACGAGAGAAAGGGATTGAAGAAGAAGAGGTTGAGGAGCCAGCGGTGGAGGGCGAGGTTCAAGACGGGATTCAAGGCCGCCGTTAGCAAGGTCATGGAGTTGAAGAAGCAGGGCTGGTAAAATGGAGCCGTGTTGGGGGGTGTGGGCTGTCTTGATATGTTATGTATGATGAGGGATTGGCATGCGGAAAGGGGGTGAAAAGGCTTAAAAAGTATATTTGGAAACATGAGAAATCATTCATGGGATAGATATACATGTACAATACGATAGATGGGAGTGGCGCGCCCTGACATGCAATGAACCAGGTGCTGTTATGAAAACAAGGAAATATGAAAATCTATATATGCGGCTAATTCTATGTTGTACTGTAATCATTGCCCTCCTTTCCCCCAAGATCTATTCGTCAGTCATATATACGCCCGAACGCTGAAATAAAAAGGAAAGAAAAGAAAAGAAAAAAAAGTTGGCGTCAAAGAGCCAACATCACTTCATCCTCACTCCGTTGTACTCTGGAATATCGTCCCATTCCTCCCTCGTTGGGCTTGGCTGCAAGCTCTGTCCAACCTTGGGCCTTGATCGGAAGACGGCCTCCACATCTTCCTCCTCGGCCAGCTGCTCCAACAGGAGCGTTGTTTCGTTGAGTTCTTCCTCGTCGACCCTTGGGAAGTAGCCTTCCTTTCGTGGAGGCATCTTGGCCCTCCTCAGAGACCTGCGCCGCTCTATCTGTGCCTTCTGCTGAGCCTTTTCAAATCCGGCCATGCTTCGACGAGTCCGACTGGCGAGATCCTCGGAATAATCTGGCTCCGCAGGCTTGGTGGTATCAGGTGTTATAGGAGTGGGCGGGTCAAGCTCCTCGTCTTCAAAACACAGAGACTTCTTACGGCTCATTGAGAGTCGAGTGCGTTCGGCCAATGAGAGTGTGTGTCGAGGCTTGGTGCGCTTCACGGGCGACGGACTCGAGTTTTTCGTGGGCGACGTAGAGCCATTCGTAAACTCCTTTGTAGGTGAGCGCTGTGGAGGGCTATGGGTCGTTTTATGTCTTGCGACAGGCTTTGGTGCTTCGGGTGACCGGCGGCGAGTCGGAGTGTCGTATCCCGAAGGCTTTCTCAGAGGGAGGATAGATGGAGGAGTTGCAAGCGGCGAGTCGTCAATCTGAGTCAAGTCGTATGTGCTTCGCCCAGGGAAGTTCCTCTGATTCGACCACACGGTGTCCACACCGCCAGAGAGCTGGGAGAGGCTCGGTCGAGATATAACTGGTCTCACAGAACGAATGGGGGCAGTAAACTTGTCCTGCAAGGACGAGTATGATGTGACAGAGCTGTCTGTGCGAAACGCGTTTTCAGCGTCCTCCAAATCGCTAATCTCATCATCATCGCCGCCCTCAAACGACGAGGTGGAAAGGAGACGGCGATCGCGACGATCCTGCTTCACAGGGGTTCGCTTCCTGATGAGAGGGGTGATGTCAACCTCCTTGGTTGCGAGTTTCCCCAGATCGTATTTCAGATCCGAGACTATCGCAGCATAGTCGTCCGTCATCTGAGGCGCATGCTGAAACAGCGCAGCTCTGGCTGACTTGATCCTCCTCCCAGTTTGCAGGTCCAGGTGAGCAGTGAAGCCGAGATCGATGCCCTTGGCTTTGGCAGTGGAGGTTCTGGGCTTGACTGGCAAGGGCCTCGCTTCACCAAATGTGTTCCGGCGGAAGGCATCCCACTTGCGGAGCCTGTCTCTTTGCATCTTAACCCGGCTGTCCAGTTGCTCCAAGAGGCCAAGGTCATTCGTGTCCAGTTCGCCAAGCCGGCCCTTCTGGGCTCTCCTCCAGACCCTATCGAACTTGGTAGCCAGGAGGCCGCCATGCTTTGGATCTCCGCACAAAAGAGTCTCCATCCAAGCCTCGCTGCCGGACCAATTGTGGTGTACAGTCCGCCGCATCTCAGCTCTGGCATTGTCAGAGACGGCTTGGCCACCACCATCCATCTCCTTTATCTCAAGGGCTTCTCGTCTACTGATGATATCATCTTCTTTATCATCGAGGACCGCGGCAAAGTCTCTGAAGCGAGCTCTAGCGGCCTCTTTGCGTTGCAGGAGCTGTCGGATGGAAGCCTTGTGGGCCATGGACAGCGCAATTAGATGAGATTTTTCGCTCTTGTAGCCCTTGTTCTCAAAGGCAAGCTCAATGGCAGGTGTGATGTAGCCACGGTTTGCGGCAAGGCTGTCAGAAACCACTTTTTTCAGGACAGCGGTGGAAAAGAAAGCAAGGACTTCCTCCAGCCTCTCGCCTTTGCACTCATCCAGCATCGTCTTGCGGATGATGGTGTCCCGGCCGAGGTCGCCATTTTTCTTGGCTTGCTCGAGGCTTCTGACAAGGGCGGCGCGGAGGTTAACAGACTGCAGCTGATCAACAGGTGGGTAGAAAGGCTTCAGCTTCTGTTTGGGAGGGATGGAGTATTAGCCATGTCAAGTTCACCATGTCACATCATCGGAGAGCTCGTCTCGTTTAGCATTCAAGGAGGAGGAAGAAAAAGTACGCACATTAGCCGCCTCGTCTGGATCCCAGATGACAAACAGCTGATACAAGGCCCATTCTACGCACTGTACTCGCCTCTTCTGATCCTGCAGGGTGGTGCCGGATGCCGCGAATGTCTCAGCTGAGATTTCGGGCCAGTCAGGGAGCTGGTCGAGATCCAGAAGCTTGATGTTGGTCAGGAACAGCGACAGAGAAGCCGGACCTACAGCAGCGAGGCCAGCACCCGCATTGGGCTCTGCAGGGGCAGCGACAGATGCGCTGGGCGGGATCTCAGTCGCTTCAGTCTTGGGCCTCGCAAGGCTTCGCACAGGTCTTGCAAAGGCGGCGGCCGCAACAGCTACGGCGGCGGCTGCTCGAAGGGGTCTGGCTGTAGACGAGGGCACGCGAGAGGTGCGCGTCCGAGTATGGAGCTGGGTCTGCTGGACGACCGTCGCCATATCGGCACCCTCTTGCTGCCGCAAGTATGACGATGATGATGCAGATGGATGATGCAAGCGAGAAATGTTTTGCGTTGTCTCTGCCCGTGCCCGTGCTGGTGCTGGTGCTGGCGCCTGCGCTCCTTTCCGCTTGCCTTGATCTGGGGAAGACACCACAGGGGAGAGAGCTTGAGCTTGAGCCGGTCCTCGTGCTATGTTATGAGAGAGTGAGAGAGACTGCTCAAGAGGCCGGGAATCCAGCATAGATGTTGGATCAGAGACTTAGAGACTGGGGCAGCTTGGGAAATGCGCAATTGGCAGTCACAGCAGCAGCAGCATCGTCGGGCTCGCAGTTGGGAATGCGCAGGTATCGCAAAGTACCAACGGAAATGGACGTGAGTGGCTGCGGAAGAAGGTTGGAGGTTGGAGTTTGTGGAGAGCTTGGGTGTTGGAGCTGCGACAGAGGGGAGACGATGGGCCATTCAGGTACAGCAAGGGGGCAGTGGGCGTGCCAGCAGACCACAGCGGGCTGGCAGTGGGCGCTAGTGGGCTGTCAGTGGGTTGGCAGTGGGTTGGCAGTGGATGCGGCCCGCCAACCAGCGCATCACAGGTGTCGGTGAGCACTGCACAGTCCACTAGCTCCGGGGGGGCCAGCGCCCTGCGAGTATAAACGGCAGTGAGCTGTCCCGCATTACTACATACTCCAGCATGGCTGGCCAGTGTGTTTATGAACACTTCACCTTACATATCGCCGGCGTGCAGATGGCCAATGGCGGGTGACTTGCTACATGGAGCAGCTCGTGTGGATGAATTGGCAGCGGGCATTGGCTTATGAAGGACACGAGCGAGGGTGATGTGTTTGTGGCAATGAGGAGCGCATCCATTGGCATTAACTGGATGAAGGAGGCATGATTGCATGAGTGCCATGATATGATGATATTCAAGGGCGATGGATGAGTGACACGACACAATCCAATACAGTAAGTACAATTGCTGGCGGCTGCATACAAGTACCTCAATGTACTGGAATGGGGATGGAGATGGGATGGAGATGAATGTTGATACCTGTATAGGCATCAAGCGTCTCTGGTTGAGCTGATTTCATTGGACAATGGATGGGAACATACTCCGTACTACTCGTACATATCAATACCTGGGTAAGGTATGTAATTCAATGGCTGGGTCATCACATAAGCACACAAAGGCAGCTGGTGAGATCGTTTCGGGCTGTTGTTGGCGCCTTAGTCATCATTCGATGCTCACATGTAGATTCGATGCCTCAGCGCGTCCGCCTTGCTGCCCCTGGCCGTCCATCTCTTCCTCCTCTCACCCGTACTGTCACCCGTGCTGCTACCGCTCACCAGATCCGGATCGTCAAACACAACTCCCTCGCCAGGCCCATCCAGAATGATGCCGCCAATATCGCCAATTCCTCCGTCCTCTCCCCAGTTATGCGTCTCGCACATTCCCAGCCCCGCCGCCGCCCTCGCCAGCTCCCCCCCGTCGCCGTACCTGGGCCCTGTCTTGAAGGTCGCATTTACGGGTCCAAACAGGAACCACGCACTCATCGGCTGCGCCGTCACCTTGAAGTCCTGATCCTGATGCCCCGGCGTTTCGCTTGAGGCCACCGCTAGTCTCTTGACCCCGACATTGCCCGCCAGCAGATACGCCATTGTGTTTGTCCCCTGACTTGGGTAGTCGAGCATCTTGAGCGGCGCCTTTGCGTAGCCGACGGGCACGTTGTCGAGCGTCGTCGAGAAGTACGGGATGCCGTCGAGCACAATGTCGCTGTCCGAGGGCTGGAAGTCCTGTTCAACCTCGCGTGGAATCCTCAGATCGCCCTCCTCGGTCCAGTGCAGGAACCCGGTAATCCACCCTGAGATGCTGTAGTCGGCGGGTCCCGCGCCACACGTTACCAGCCTCTGCGAGCGGACGATGTTCTTCCAGAAGTCCTTGACTTCGTCGCCATCTGGCTCATCCCATGTGAGAACGAAGCGTGTCAGGATTGGGCGTAGCCGCTCGGCATAGTCTGCCGGCTCCTCTCCCCACTCCTTCAGCCTGTCCAGCTTGCCGAGCAGCTTCTCCCAGTCGTCTCTCTCTCCCAGCAGTGTCACCTCAGGGAGGCCACAGGTGATGCCTCCGCTGAACTCAAAGTAGTGTTGCATCAAGCCCATCATCAGGACGGTGGCTGTGAGGCCATCGTTGTCGTCGCTCGTGGTGAAGTTGGGCATGATCCAATCAAGCAGCCAATCTGTCTTGACCCTCTGCTGGATCTCGCCTCCAAACGCTGCTATCACGTCATGCCATGAGAGGCGCCACACCTGAATCTCCTCTTTGCCTTCGTGATCGACGAACAGATGTCGTACATCTTCAGCATGCGCAGTCATGTAGAAATTGAGCTGCGCCAGAATCTCGAACCATACCTCATCGGGCCGGAGAACAAGGCTCTGATGCTGGCCCCATGCTTCGATTGCGCCTCTCACGAGACTGTCTGACGATTGGAAGATTGTACCATTGGCAAAGGCGCTGTCATCGTCTGAGCCGAAATCGGCAAAGGATGACATGAGAAGCTCCGGCGAGTATGGCGTGCGTGGGGGGAACTCTTCCGGACAACTCTGCCGAAGGAGCTCCGACGCAGACTTCACCGTGCCGGCGGTTGATAGCGGGAGTGGGTCAACGTCGGAGTCGACAGGGACTGTGATGGCAGCTACGGAGAAAGGCCCGCGACCGCAAAGGCCGGAGAGAAGTAGTATTGGGAGCAGCATGGTGTTTGCTGGTACCTCTACTTGTCCGTGCAAGGGGTCCAAAGAGCTCTAGAGCAAGCGCCAAATACTGGACAGTATGCAGGCTCGGCCAGACGAGGACCAGAGAAAAAGTGAGGCTGCTGCTGCTGCTGCATGCATACGTGTATATGCAGGGCAATCCTTAAGAAGCTGTCGCTGCCAACTTGCTCTTATGCAGCACATCACCGGGAACAAAAGGGGGCTTATTCGAACAGCCCGGGAGCCTCTCAGCTGGCACTTCCGCGATCAACATTCCTCGGCCCTTCAGTGTCGAATCACCAGGCTGCGATATGGGGGAGAGCAGATCTGCATGATGCGGTGCCCGAAACAACTCGCCTCCGACTCGGTCCACGTACCTGTAGATCCGTCGTCGCGCTGTCAAGATTTCAGAGACAGTCTCATCACTTGTGGCATTACACCCGGTCACGCAGAGCACACCACATGATGTTCTGTGTCCATCCTTTGCCCCGTACGGCCATTCAGACTCGGGCGTAGACATTCACAGACATTCCCCTGCATTCGAGGTTGAATTCCACCAAGCCCCAATTGGCCAATCTGGACGGCAGATTCTGTGGCCTGATGATGACCAAGCTCGAGCTGTCCCTTGCATAATCCTCCTGCCAACACTTTACGTCGCCTGCATCCCGTAGGATCCTCTCAAATCAAGCCACAGCATGCCACGTAGAGGCTAGGTGCTTCGTAGCAGCAAAGTAGCCGTAACATATTACACAATCTGTATCGACTAAAATAAAAAAATACAATCCGTTCCGCACACCGCCTCGAGAAAAAAAAAAGGCGAGTCAATTAATTTGCAAGACACCGATAAGACATGCCTCTAGCACGTCCAATTGGGTCCAGAACCCGTTGGCAAGAGTCAGCGGCATGACGCTATCGTCAATTCCGGAGGATTTTGCTTGCTGGGCGTTTTTTCGAAAAGGGGAGGGCGCGACGGCCGAGTTGAATCGGCATGTTTCCTGTCTCACCTCACCTCATCTTATTCTCGGAGCAGTCCGGGGAGGCTCTAAAAGCCGGCTCAGCCTTGTCTCACCACTGTTCGCTGTCAAGCGGAAGAAAAATAAAATTCCAAGACAAAAGTAAGGCTTTAGGAAGTGATCCACTAAGATGTAAACGAAGGTATAGGGACCAATCAGCCAGGCACACATCGTGCCCTTCCTATTCCGGCAATCCCAGGGATACAAGATACCAGGGGGGGCGGCATTAAAAACTAAGGTGGTGTGCTAGGATGGCATGCTTTAGCGTGTTGTGTGACAGGAGGGTTTTAGTTGCCGAAGGGGGAAGGGTTTTTGGGAAAGGTTGACGGAGATTGGAGAAGAAAAATTCCCCGTTGGAGGAACCGTTTTAGACGGGTGGCTGCATTGCAGTTTGGCTTTCTTGGCTGTGAAGGGTAATGTTGAGATCATGGTGACCTCACTTTGCGTGTTTGGCATTTTCTACGAATGTATGAACATGTGAAAGTGGTTGGAAAGATTGGAGAGAAGAGAGAGTTTTGATCAAGTCTGTTTTTCATTGATGTGGTATCTTGATTCGTAATGCTATCAATCAATCTATAGACTGAAGTTTCCCGTGCCGAGCAGAAGAAATGCTGGCTAATGCCCAAATCCCTAGCAGACAAAAGAAAGAAAAAAGGAAGAAAAAGGAAAAGAAAACAGGTTAGATGATCATCTAATATACCGGATCCCAGCGCCTTGCCGTTCGTTCATTGCATTGGTAAAATAAGCTCAAGAAGTGAAAGAAAACCAAAAAAGGCACGCGCAAATATCAGATCATGAGGTAAACCCTAAAAACACCACTCATCGCCGTGAGTGAATGCTGTATCGAGAAAGAAATGAAGGGAAGGCTCTATGCAATCCACATTACTCCTCCTGGCTGTCGTCCTGGACACGCTTGACAATCTCGACCAGGTGAGGGTAGATCTTCTCCGTGGCCTGGATGCCGCAGACCTTGGCAACGACGTCCTCGGGGGTGTTCTCAGACATGATTGAGGACAGCTCCTTGGACTCGTCGTCGCCGTCGACGTCCTGGAAACGGAACGTCATCTCGATGGCGTCAAGGAGATACTTGATGGGCATGTCGTTCTCGGCAGCCTCGGCAGCAGGGCCAACGAAGCGCTCCTTGCGCGACAGCTTCCTTAGAGGAGCACGGCCAACACGCTCGACGGCGTCTTCCAAGTGGGGGTTGCCAATGCGCTTGATGATCTTGTTCATGTAGGCGAGCTGGGCCTCCTCGTCGATGTTGTGCTTGGCCACGAGTAGGTTCTTGGTCTCGGTCAGAGCACCGCGGACCTCGGCCATGATCTGCTTATCCTGCAGAGCATCGTAGACGGTGCGCTTTCTGCGGTTGTAGCCGTGGTAGGCGGCAGTGGCGTGGCCGGTGTTGACCGTGTACAGCTTGCGCTCGATGAAGGGGGCCAGGTTGTCGACCCAGTTGATGCCCTCGATGGAGGGGATGCCAATGTCCTCAAAGGGAGTCTTGTCGACAACCCACTCGAAGAACTTCTCCAGCGTCACGTCAAGGCCGGCGTTGGGGGCCTGGGCAGGGACAATGCGGTCAATGGCCGAGTTGGCATAGCGAGCACGGAGGTGGTGCGTGTCGAGACGGGCAGGGTCGGTGTTCTTCGCATCCTTGATGAAGCCAGCCAGGTTGTCGGTGGCTCCAATGGCGTTCTCGCAGGCAATGACATGCAGGGGAGTCTGGTCGTCTGCGCGGCGATCGATGCCCTTGGCGATGACGGGAGCGATGAACTTGAGGATGTTGGGGCCGACGGAGCAGGTGACGACCTCGGCGGTGCGGATCTCCTCAATGAGGTCCTCCTCGTGGGTGCGGGAGTTGATGGCACGGTAGTTTGTGATTGTGCTTTCTGAGGTGCCCTCGGAGCCGACCTCGATGACCTTGTATGAGGGAGTGGCGTTGATGGTGTCAATCAGGTCGCCGTTGACATCGGCGAAGACGACCTCGTAGCCGGAGTTGTGGAGGAAGCAAGCAACAAAGCCTCTGCCTGTGAAAAGGTGTAAGTATTGGGAGAGTGATATATATAGAGGTAGTGGTTGTGGGGATGGACATACCAATGTTGCCGGCACCAAAGTGAACTGCCTTTTTGCCCATGACAGCCATGATTGCGGTTGTTTGTAAGAGTATGGAGTAAAATAAAATAGTATGTAGAATGAAGATGAAAGAGTAGCGTAGAAGAGAATAAGATAGTAGTTGTAGTGAGAGGAGATGTGTGTGTGTATGTGGAAACGGTAGACCGTTTTGGATGGATGCTGATGATGAGGAGAGAGACCAAGATCCAACAAGGAAGAGCGGGAATTGCACCAGCTTTATAATTGCCAGAATCGAGTCGGCCAAACTCTCGAGTCCACGAGAAGGAGACGGGCAAGCACAAAAGCGACTCCAGCTAAGGTACTAGGGGGTGTGGGCGAGCCGATGACGATGGCGCCTCAATCGGGGCGGAAGTGAAGCTGATCGACCATCGCCGGGAGCAAGGGGGGGGCGGTTGTAACAGTAACAAGAACGTGTAGTACATATCAGTATCGAAGAAGCTGCTCCACCGCTTTGAAATGCATGTATGTACGAGTACGTATATCAAAGTTGCGTGAGAAATCCGCAATAGTGCAGGGACAGATGGATTGCCCAGGAACCTTGCAATCAAATTCCACTGCATTGTCATTCATGTCTGCGCCAAAATTGCCTCCCAAACAGAACCTCGAGGCTTCCGTTAGCTTCCAGGCCCGGGTTACTGTAGTACAAGGCAGTACGTACCGTCCAAACCGGTCCAGCGCTCGTGTACTGGTACTTTGGGCTGAGGGCATGTTCCTGCGGCTGGCCAATCAGGGGCCGTCCTGGATGAGGCCTGGCGCAGTGCAAGAGCCCGTGGCGCAGATTAAGCGGGGCCATGACTCTCGTTTACGTGTACTGTACTGTTCTGTATTCCGGCTCTGCTATCTTGTAGCGGTACTTTGCTAGTAGTATGCTCCCGTCAAACCCTTGTAAGACGGCGCTATCGCAGCTGAGGCCAGCGAGGAACGCACCCTGAAACTCTGAAACAGGCGCTGCATAGACGTACCGGTACTTGCAATGACACCACGAGCTGCTTCACATGTTGCCATCGTCGTCGTGCAATCAGATCAGCCCTTGCCTCATCTCATTCTTTGCCAACATCATCCATTCTTCTCTTCTTCTGGCCAAAAGACGAGCCTCGCCTCGGTGTCTGAGTAATCCGTGGCATGTTGCTCATCTCCTTTTTTTCGATGCCATGCCATGCGACGCAATGCAATGCAACGCCGCATCATGGCGAGGGAACTGTCGATTTTGCTGTGCCACCTCAGCATCAGCAACAGCATCATCATGACTGACCCCCAATTCCGTTTTGCAACCAGCCAGGCAGGGCGATGCCGTCAGACTCTCCATCCAAGAACCACCGTTTGTTTTCCCTGCTTTGCTTTAGCAAGCACCGTCTCATCTTGCCTTTGCTTTTCCCATTCGACAGCTTCGGGGGCGCCCCATCGCTCTAAAACAGACCCAGTGGCACGCCAAACAAGAACCAAGAATTCCTGCAGGCTTGCGCCTTTTCTGGCCCACCGCCAGACTCCAGCCTAACGTCATCCGGCCCTGCGACTTCTCACGATAACGGGCTGCTGGAACTGGCTGGAGGGCTCTCAGAGGCTGGCAAAGCTGGTAGGGGCCTTCGTCTGGAGCCTAGAGGGAGCCTAGAGGGAACCCAGGGGGCCACTGAGGCGCCTGGGGGTCGCTGGACCGCCCCGCTGTGGGAAGTGGGTTAGTGCTGAAGTTGAAGCCACCCAGTGACATCAGAGACGCTTCGCCGGTTTTACTTCACGATGCAACGCGATACAAGCACAAGCACAGGCACGATGCGATGCGATGCGATTCGATCCAATGCAATGCCATGCAGCCGCGGCGCGAGTCGAACTGAACCCTGCGTCACGGAAAAGGGGTCGCTGAAGTGAATGAACTGAACCGATGTCAGCACCGCGTATCGACACGGCATGATCTCATCCAGCCTGGCCTGCGAGCCTCGTGTTGACGGACACGACGAGCCTTGGGCGTCTCTGCCAGCCGCTTCGCGATGCCAACCTTAATCTCGTCCATCCCGCGTGCAATCTAGAGACGCAGAGACACGCTTGACACGGAAGCTAAAGCTCGTCGACAATGGAATAGGTCGCAATCCATCTGCAGCCGTGGCTTGTCAGGATGCCACACCTCAGGCATGTTGTTTGCACATGCTTCCGACCCCTCGTCCGCCATCCTTGCACTCGACCTATCCTTCTCCGTCCATTTCGACTGATGACAATCCCACCATCCCTACCACCCCCTTCCCCCTCTTTGCCTGTCATGGCAAACTCAGATGCTAGCAAAAACTGTAGATACAGCACATCGGACTTGTGTCTTGTATCTACGATCGTCGCCCGCAGGGGTGCAAGCATAATGACGTATGCTGGGGATGGCCTCCACTTTGGCTCGTGAAGCTGCTCAACCAACTACCACAGCTGCAACGCAAAACCGTGTTTCACGAGCTGTGCGAATGCAGTTTCTGTCATCTAGCATAAACAGGCTCCCAGGTTGAAATTGAGTTTCCTTTACTCGAAGCCATCAACGTCAATGGCTGCTCTGTCATCGCCAGTCCTCTCGAATCAGGCCGGCCCCCAACATCGCTGGCAGCTTTCACTTACTTCTCCCTTGCGTCGACGTGCCGTATCGTGTGGTGCATCTTTGGACCGAAGAGAACGAAAAAGGAGGTTTGCGTCGGCACTACACCAAACATCCATCCGAAGTCCTCATCTCGTACGACTATGCTCATATGCATATTCACGCACACGCTCCCCGTGGGACCCCTCAGCAACTTGATTGTCTCCGCTCCAACTCGTCTCGCGCCAATACACGGCGGCGGGGAAGCGTCTCGATGTCGATCTCTGCTTCTTTTTCTAGCTGCTTGAGCACATGTCGACTCTCGTTGGCTGCACTACATGCACATGTCAGCCCTTGCTCCTCATGTAAGTTGACGTCGGGTTGCACCTCAACTTCAGGTTTTCATCTCGTCAAGGCATGTCTCACCCCAAATGACGAGCATTATTCGGGATGAGAAAACAGGCCATGATACATGCGGGTGCCCATTCGCATCAAGACACATTGCAAACATGACAGGACTGTGCATGATGATGTTGGCATCAACCCAGCTGTATGCCATTCAACACACAGCTCGCCCATCCAGCCTCGGCCGTGATGCCTGCCAAGCGCAATCAAGTTGCCGGATACGCGATACGTGAAACATGGTAGCCTCGGATTCGTGCACTTGCATGAAATCAACTGCAATGTACACATAACCAACGCTTGTTGAAGCTATCCCAGCATGGACTTGCCGCCCTTTCAACCACTCACTGCCAAGCCACACACGGCTCTCGGACCCAGGCGCCAAGTCTCAGCCAGAGACGGGCCGACACTTGGACGAGTTTTTGCGCGCTTTTTCCGTCGGCACCAGCAAGAGCAGCCAAGCCAGGGGTGGCTCGGTTCAGTTCACGATGCGTCGTTTCGGCTTCGTTTTCGCCCAGCCCCTGGTAGCTGATATCGTCCATCGTAAGACCGGGCAGATGGTGAGATTCCTCTGCTGGTATTTTCCGACAACGTATTGCTTCGTATGCCGTTAGAACAGCAGCCACGTTGCAGAGCCCCTGGCAGCAAAAGACGAAAAAACGTGGTGCAAAGAGCTCACCGCAATACGCCACGACCTCCCTCTCTGCGCAGCCAAGTCGACTCGTTCTCATGCAGATGCAGATCAGCTCCCTCCGGGCTTGTTCGCCTGTCCCCGGAACGGCGGACCCAATGGCATCGACGCTGCATTCTCGCGGGTCCACCGCGTTAGCAGGTACTTGCATCCTCCCCAACGTTACCTTGCGATTGCTTGGGACTTTTTATCACTCCACGGCTATTCTCCCGAGCTCCCAAAAGCAGCGCCTCCGCCGGCTCCGTAGGGGCGGATCCACCGCACCGCCGTAACAAACCGGCCAACCACCGTCCGCCTCCGTGAGCGATTATGGAGCCACCGTTTCGTCTTGGCGGCATAATACTCGTACTGTAACATGAACATGGGGGGGCCAAAAAGGGCGCAAATGCGGCAGAGACTGGGGGTGGTTTGCTAGGCTGGGGCTTGGCCTTTCCTTACTATGTACTCCGTACTGTACGAGATACGGGTAGCCGTTTCGTTTGCTTGGACCGTCCACGACGGTGGCGGCTTGGGACTCAGCCCAACAAGACAGGGCGAGACACCGGCATGACTCGGATTCCCCGACCTGAACAGCAAACGACAAACAAGTCAAGCAATGGGCATATGTCAGGTTACCTTGACGTCCTTGTCCCATTTCTCCCAACTCCTTTACGACGTTGTCAGCCGTCTCTAATCTCGGGGAGCTCAACACAAGCCCCCTATTGTTGAGCCATATTCCGTACGCAAGGGCGCTAATATGATGTGTCAGTACGAAGTATATTGCCCGAGATAACGGCGAAACCGTCATCCGCCATCGAATCCCACGATATCAGCGCGCCGGGTTATTATCGACCAACGCTTGCTACAGACGCCCGCCCATTTGCCACCCTTTTTTTTCCTCCCTCTGCGGGTCTTGCTGTGACCTATCGTTGCTGCTGCGCTGATTTGGACGGCTGCATACAGGCATGCATGTGCTTTGGCTGCCTCTTCCTCTTCCTCTTTTGGGTCGTTTTGGATTAGGGTCTCTTTGTGAATGCTCCCAGACAGGACCATTACTTGCTCATTGACTGCGCCGCTCTGCGAGATAACCGCGACTAGGTGCTGCTCCTTGTCACAATTCCTTCAAATCAGGTCAACACTGCCGGTTACTACCAGAAACGGCGTTATCCCCAACAGTGAGCACGTTATTTCACTCACGCACGCCACTTTATCCAGTATCGTACCTGTACTTTGCAGAAATGTCACAGGCGTTTCACTACCATTAGCCTCCCTCAGCCCGGCTACTGTATCAAAGCCTCGTCCCGCGCTTTATCCCTCCTCGGTGCTCCATGCCGAGCCCTGCCCCGGCTGCTCGAATAGGAAGTATGGGAACATTTACGGCCAACCAAACTTGCTCAATGGGATAAAACCTCCCTTGGCAAACTGCTACCACTCTTTTGTTGCTTTGTTCAAGAGGCCAGATTGAGGAAATGCTCTCATTTCGAGTTCTCCATCTGTCTATCTATCTAACCCATGTGCTTAATCCCGGCCTGTCAATCACGCAAATCACAAGCAATAACCACTCAACCACCGCAAATACAACCCTCCCCTGTGTCGACAGACTTGCATCCTCCTCCATCTTTATCCCCATATGACCTTCCCCATGTGTGCATGTGCATCCTGCGCCCCGGAAAATAATCTGGGTGAGTGACATGTGTTGGGTCTTTTTAGTAGACTGTGGGGACGACGTGGGAAAAAACGTGGGAGGGCTAAATGGCAGAACCACATGCTAGTAGTACCTAGTATTTCCATTCCGTTCGCCCAGATATTGAGAGGTATTATTCTTCTTTAGATGAGCTAGAGTATACGAGTACATAATACATGGGGAGGCAGCCAAAGTATCTCGAGGCACACACATCACGTTCATAAACCTCGGGCGTGAGGAATACATCACATTCACGCCGCTTCACACACTTCTCCATGCTGATGAATATGACAAGTGGTATAGAGCACACACACGCATCATCATCACATTTCAATAAGTGACTCATGCTACATCACGTAGTAATTCCCATCGTGCGAAGAGGGGGTAAAAAGACTCGTTGTTGCTTGAGCCCGATTTATTTTCTTTTCATTAATTCAGATGCTTCCCGCTTCCCCATCGTTTTCGTCATCCCAGGCCCTCCTTTTTACTCATTTCTTTATTTTTCCTTTCCTATTTCTTTTCTTGCTCCGTATTTAACTGTTTAGATCTTGGCGTACGACTTGAAGGCGCCAATGAGGCCGCCAGTGGAAGCGTCGTGGCCCTCGCCGTTACCAGGCTCATCGAGCTCCTTGAGGATCTTCTTAGCCAGGACCTTGCCCAGCTCCACACCCCACTGGTCGAAGCTGTTGATGTCCCAGACGGCACCCTCGACGAAAGTCAGGTGCTCGTAGTAGACGATAAGGGCACCCAGCTCAGCAGGGCCGATGACATCGCCGACGAGGATGGACGTAGTCGGGCGGTTGCCCAAGAAGCGCTTGTGAGGGACGAGCTCCTCGGGGGTGCCCTCGGCCCTCAGCTGGTCGTCCGTCTTGCCAACCATCAGAGCCTCAGCCTGGGCAAAGTAGTTGGAGGCAAGCATCTTCTGGTGCAGGTTGTCGTGGATGGGGTTGTGAGACTTGGCAGCCAGGATGAAGTCGGAGGGGATGAGCTTGGTGCCCTGGTGGACAAGCTGGAAGAAGGAGTGCTGGGCGTTGGTGCAGGGCTCACCAAACAGAATGGAGCCTGGTGAATTTATACGTTAGACTTTGGGATTTCTGACTTTTTTCTTCAGGGATAAGACACTTACCAGTGGTGTACTTGGCTGTGGATCCGTCAGAGGTAATGGCCTTGCCGTTGGACTCCATGGACAGCTGCTGAAGGTAGGCGGCGAATCGGTGGAGGTATTGGTCGAAACTAGGAGATTTCAGTCAGTATCAATACCACGGGCCCGTATCAAACTGTTCAGTGAAATGTCAACTTACGGAGCAACCAGGCGAGTCTGGGCCTGGAAAAAGTCAGAGTACCAGACACCGAGCAGACCACCGAGGACGGGAATGTTCTCCCTCAGGGGAGTCTCGCGGAAGTGCTTGTCCATGGCGTGGGCACCAGCAAGGAACTTGTGGAAGTTGTCGTAGCCAACGTAGAGAGCAACGCTGAGGCCGATGGCGCTCCAGACGGAGTAACGGCCGCCAACCCAGCTCTCAAAGCCAAACATGTTGGCGCTGTCGATGCCGAACTTGGTCACCTCGGCCTCGTTGGTGGACAGGGCAACAAAGTGCTTGGCAACATCTCCCTTGCCGCCAGTCTTCTCGATGAACCATGACTTGGCCGTGTTGGCGTTTGTGATGGTCTCTGCGGTGGTGAAGGTCTTGGAGGCAATGAGGAAGAGGGTCGTCTCAGGGTCGGAAGCCTTGAGAGCCTCGGCCATGTGAGTTCCGTCAATGTTGGAGACGAAGTGCAGGGTCATGTCAGGGGCGCTGTAGTGCTTGAGGGCTTCAGTCACCATGACGGGGCCGCTATACGACAAGTGATTGGTTAGCAGGCATGTCTTGGCGATGAACTCTCAAAGCTTCATTTCAGTACAAAGCACTCACAGATCAGAGCCACCAATGCCAACGTTGACAATGTTGGTCAGCTTCTTGCCGGTGAAGCCAACCCACTCGCCGCTGCGGACCTTTTCGGAGAACTCCTTCATGTGTGCCAGGACGCTGTTGACACCGGTAGGGCCGTTCATGACATCCTGGCCCTCGACCTGCATGTCCCAGCCGCCGACGTTTCGCAGGGCAGTGTGGTAGACGGCACGCTTCTCAGTGAAGTTGATCTTGTCACCACGGAACATGGCATCTCGCTTCCTCTCAACGCCAGCCTGCTCAGCGAGCTTGACGAGCAGGTCCAGAGTCTCATTGGTCAGGAAGTTCTTGCTGAAGTCGAAGAGGATGTCGGCTGAGCCGTCGGCCTTGAAGGTACGGGAGAATCGGTTGAAGCGGTCCGCGTCAGAAGCAAAGGCCTCCTTGAGGACGAAGTTCTTGGCGATATCGTCACGGTGAGCCTGGAGCTCCGACCAGGCGGGAAGAGTGTTTGCCGGGGCCATTTTTGGCAGAGATCTGATGGGATTCAAGCAGGTTAATCGGTCTGTCTTGAGTTGCGGAAGCTAATTGAGTCGAAATGGAGCAATGATCTGCAACGTCCACTGGGACTTTTTATGCTTTGGGCTGTGACAAGACGCGAGGTCTGAAGGGTGATGAGGAGAGAGGCTTGGGGAGAAGAATGTTCATGACAGCTGGTAGAGAGGGGAGAGCAGCATATAAAGGGACATAGGCTATGGAGCGTATAGTCTCTTCCCTATTCCTAGGTAGGTAGGCTATAGGGCCCGGGGCGAGTCTCGTGGGATCGCAGCATATATTCCGGGCAACGCGGAAGCCGGTTCAGGCAGATGATGGATTTGATGGGGATGGTGGGGGTGGCGTGGGAGCGAAGCAGAGACGACAGATTGAAGCCGGACCGGGGGGGGAATGACGGACGTACCAGGGGAAGCTGATTAGAAGCTGATTAGAGGATGCTTAGAGAGCGATTAGCGATGGGAAGAAGCAATTCCAGGCGCAGGTGCAGCAGGCGCAAACGATTCGCTGATGGTTGAAATGCCTCACGTATGATGGGAGAGTGGCAGAGTTGGAAGAGTCGAGAGGAAAATAGCAGTTGAGTGGACAAACACGCCTTGGGAGAGTGGCGTTTCCCGCTGGAGGGGAAGCTCAGCGCATGGAGCTTAATTGAGCTGGAGCTTTGCCCAGTTGCCCCTCACTAATGACCTCACCCGAGAACTTTGAGAACTTTGAGAACTTGGCGAGCCAGTTGCCGCGCTGCTTGGCGGCACAAGCGGGTGCTTTTCGTTTACTAAAGCTGGCCGCCCCGCTTAGCTCAGCAGATGCAAAGCAAATGCCGTTCCATTGGATTGGATTAGATTGTCTGGAGAATTTTCCAATTGATTGCATGGACTCGTAATTAAACACTTGCATGTGCTGCATTGCAACCCGCTGATTGATTCGGGGGAGCTTTGCCATGTACCTACTAATTTCTCCGGTGCTCAACTCGACTCCGCTTGCTGAGGATTACCAGGTACTGTTAGCAAACAGGTATTACTGAATAAATAAATAACGTATTCATCTGAGCAAAAGGCATGTTAAATAGAATATCAACAATGGCAACTTGTCCGTCCTATACATGCTTGACTCAACAAGCCAACACTCATACACACGCTGCACTCTGTAATAAAAGCAACATACTTGTATCAACCCTTTTCCAATGATGCCTGCATCCACCACATCCGTCTTGCACCTACTTGTCTCTTATCAGTCCTCAACTCCCAAATCGGCACCAACCAAGGCACCTCGAGACCCTCCTCCAACACTCTGCAAGACGATGAAAAGTAAAGATAAAATAGAAACAACTCCCATCATGATTTCCAGCTAAACTCCATAACGTATGGTTCATCATGCATTGTTCAAGCCAAAATATGGACCCGTGTTCCGTGTCCGTCTGTCTGTGCGCTTCCATCGTGCGAGTCCAAAGACGCTCGTGTCTCTCCATCGCTCTCTGGGGTCCCGTCTGCGTACGGCAACACCAACGCCGTCGTCGTCCAGCTACCCCTGGTTTTCGCTCCAAAGCATGCTTCTAAGTCTAGTCTCAACTCAAATTGGTATCCGTCGAAAAAAAAAGTAACATCTTCAAATCCTCAATTGTTGAGGCTGCCTACAAAAGACGGGTCTCTGACGCTGCCGCCGGCATCTCCAAGGCCGGCAATCGGCCGGTTGTAGCTGAATCCTTGGAACTGATCCTGCATCGTCTGTGAGAGCAGCGGGCCGTCCACATACGAATCCTGGGGAGCCTCGCTGGTAAACTCTTGGTCAAAATTGGCCGTGTCCATGGCATCCGTCTAGAAAGAACAAGTTAGCAAGTTATTCGCACAAATTTGGAACGCCCCTTTTCCCCCATCGTCTTCTTCTTCTTCTTCCTTTTCCACCTCATAAATTAGTACTTACCACACTGGGCTTGAACGTAGGCTCATACTTGCGTTGCAAGAGTTTGTGCCAGTCAATGCCATGGAAAAAGGGATGAGCTTTGATCTCGGATGAGCCATTAGCGCCGAGTCGCTTCTTCGGATCTCTGTTGAGCAGGCTGGTCAAAAGGTCCCTGGCAGCTGGAGGAACCACATCGCCAGGAGGGAAATTCAAAGGATCAGACAGAATCTTTCTGTACATCTCATTTGTATTTTCGTCGTAGAACGGAGGAAGACCCGTCAACATCTCGTACAGTAAAACACCCAGCGTCCACCAGTCGACCGTCTTGTTGTATCCTTGGCCCAACAAGAGCTCAGGAGCAAGATACTCGGGTGTGCCGCAAAACGTGTTTGTCCGGTCTTCGTCCTTCATATCTAGCTTGCAGAGGCCAAAATCGCACAGCGCGATGTGGCCTTGGTAGTCGAGCAAGATGTTCTCCGGCTTCAGATCTCGGTAGATGACGCTAAACCCATGCAAGCATTCCAAAGCACAGAGAAGCTCAGCAGTGTAAAACCGTGACCTGTTAACGTCGAAGCGGTGTTCTTTCTGCAGGTGGTGGAAGAGCTCTCCTCCATTGACAAAGGCAAGGACGAAATACAGCTTCTCGGGTGACTGGAAGCTGAACTTGAGGGGGACGATGAAGGGATTGTTAATCTGCGCCAGCACAGACCGCTCGGCCAACGTATGGGCAACTTCCGACCGGGAAATGATGTGCGCTTTTCGAATCGTCTTCAACGCATAGATTCGGTTCGTGTCCTTCTTGCGCACCTGCATCACCTTGCCAAAGCTGCCCTTGCCCACAACCTTGAGCAGTTCAAAGTCTTCAATCTTAAGCTTTCCAGCCCGTGTCTCGACAAACTCAACGCCAACCTTGATCTTGCCAGTGCCGTACTGGACGTCAACCCACTCGACGCCGGCATGGCCTTCTCCCTTTTGGCGTTGAGCTTCGGCCGCCTTTTCGCGATCTTTCTTGCTGGCCTTGGTATCATCGGCCGCAGGCTGCCTCTCTTCAAATCGGGGATTTATCCGGGCTACACCCAGGAAGATGTCCTGGCTTCGTCCAGACCCGGGAGGGGCAGCAGGGTTCCGCATGTACAGGTGGATAACCAGCTCCGTCACTCTAGAAACGTCAAACTTGTATTGGGTATTTCCACCTGCCCACAGAGGGTTCTCGGGGTTTCCTTCGACCGAATTGACAAACACCTGCACTTTATCGAAATCGATAAGGGCATAGGGCATATATTTGCCAGAGATGCGCCCATGGTTGGTGGGAATCGAGCCGAATCCACCACCTGAAGAGTGCGGCCTCGCTCCGTTTGTGTATGATCCAGCAACACGCTGAGAGTCTGGACGCACAGAAGAGGCCAAGGCACTGCCCGAAGAGCGGGAGCTCTGGTGGCTGGATGCAAAGGCGCTTCGGTGCTGCTCGGGAAGGGAGAAGCCCTTGCCTTCGTGGATGGTCACGACCAAAATACCGGGCTTCTTGATGACGGGCGCTTGCGACAAGGCTTCTGAGGCGGCTACAGAGAGGTCAAGAGCAGTCAGAATCACCATCTAGATCCCATCAATGGCCGGTAGCTTACCAATAGCGCTCTCGCTAGTCGGCGTGGTGGCGCCTGGGCTCGTCCCCTTTTCATCTTTGTCGGTGATGGTGGAAGTCGACAGCGACCGGGAAAACGCGCTCAGCGGGCCGAGATGCGTATCTTTGAGTTCTGCGCAAGGACAGTTAACATCATCGCCAGTGGCAGCGGAAGACGGGCGTTGCTCAAACACGCCGCCGGCTGGACAAGACATTGGGGACAATGGAAAAGGAGAGACATACTCTTGGTCAGCTTCCACGACATATTGACGGTTCCCTGCACGGCCGCTCAACGGATAAAGATACAAGGGATGGAATAATGGAGTAGGTAATGAAAGATGGAAGTCTGAAGGTGAAGGTGAAGGAACGGATCTGACTGATGATATTCGGTCGAGGAGCTAATCCGGCCGACAGATAAGCGGCTGACGAGGGATCGAAAGGGAAGCAGCCGCTTTGGATGCAGCAGACAGAGGCGATGTGACGGGCGTGTTTTGGCTTCAGGCGCAGGGCCAATCAAGTAACCCCGCAGACGTCGAACTCGAGGTGAGGATGAATCCACTTGGTCGGGCTCGGGATGGAACTGGCTGGGGGGGGTGGGAGGCCCCTATTTTTTTGGTGAAGGCTAATGAGCCGTCTGGTCTTTCTGCTGTGTATATTTCCTGGGAGACACAGGGTTGAGAAGGAAGTGCTACTGTACAGCTGAGGATGGATGAATAAAACAAAACAATGGAATTGAAATACTGAGGGCAAGTAGAGGTTACAAAAGAGGGGTGGGTGGATGAGAAGAGAAAAAAAATGACCATGGATATATATTAAATCCATCCTTTGCAACGACGTCGACCATCAGGAGGCGAAGTAATAAGTAGCGAAGGAATCTGGGGTGGCCAAGGGCAGCGGCGAGGTGGGCCGCAAAACTATTGATGGAATACACCCACTCAGATTGTACATACAAGTGCACTCATACAAGGGTGGAAATAAGAACAGCACTGTGAAGTAAGGGTATCATTACGTCTGCATGTATTTTATCTGGATTTGTGTGGTGATTGTTTGCCCGGGCTCTACAGCACTGTCTGGTATCTTCTTGATGCTGTGGACTGGAGTATCTACTATGGAGGTTCAGGGACCGGGTTGCGGGAAGCGCCCCGTGCGCAGCAGCGCTAAGGTGCTAGTAGAGTCTACAGCGGGCGCTAGAGCACCTGATGCTGGCACTGTGCTCCTTGGGCGGCGCTCGGTACAGTGTATGGCCTAGTGCTGTGCAACAGCAGGTTTCAGAGCGTGGTTCTTGCGTGGATGACGCTGATGGACGGGGGGATTGAGTTCAAGGTTCTGCAGCGTACAGTGCGCGTCAATCGTAGCGACTCGGTTGCAGCAACGACCTTTCGGCGGGTTTCTTGCGTCTGTGGTTCCTTTTTGTTTCATCCCATCTCATGAAGCGGACCTTGTCGATGGTTGCATTTAGGCTGGAGCAACACGATTCAGTTGTCTGCATTGGACTCGGACAAATATCGATCGTGGCGATTTGAGGACTTCAATTTACTGTACAGCAGGATTCCAGTAGGATGAATGAATTCGATGTGCTGTCCAGTAAATTACAGCACAGCACAGCACAGCACAGCACCATTCCTACACCATCAATGGCAGCTGAGATGGTACGTCATGGCGGTCGTGGAGGGTTGAGCAGGCGTTCCTGGTTCCACACCGGATGCACCACAGCGATGGCAACCAAAGATGCGCAGCCACAGACACGCGTAATGGGTGGGTGGGCAGAAGAGGCTTGTGATTGTGGTGCTTTTTCAATGATGTAGTTTGTATGCTTCGGGCCTTTTTTTCTTCTATTCGTAGTTCTTTTTTTAGCAGATGGGCAGAGCAGACAAAGGTTACGAGCAAGGCTGTGTCTAATACAAGTACAGAGTATATATTGTGGATATTACTGTTGGTGTTTACGCCAGCATAAGTTTGTCTGCATGTGACAATCATACAACTCGAGTGCTTTACATTTACAGTGTCTGGATTAGAATATGATAACAAGTAGTATCATGATTTGAGGAAAAGATGCTTGTCTTGATGCATATATCGATACGATTGCATTTCTGCCTAAGCGAAATCTCTGTGCATTGACCACCACTTAGACTATCAGAAGAACACGTTTTACTCAAACACTGCACAAACAAGAAATCTGTCGAGCCAAAAGACTACATCATACACTACTTCTTACCATAATGCATTAAATAAAACAACAATAATTATACAATACTGAATAGTTCACAAAAATTCAATCAAGCGCATCTACATCTCGTCAAAATTTCGCTGCCTCATGTTGCAACAACTCTGATATTAGTACTCCGTATTGAATGACTTCAAAAATTACCTACCCTACAACTGCTCAGTCAAGAGCTGGGCAGCTTTCCCCCTTTTCCAGCCAAAGTGGGCTGGTCAATGGACGCTGAAAAGGTACTTCCAGCGTAGTGCATTTTTGGCGCCACGTCACGCTCTTTGCTTGTACCTTTTATTGTCCCCCACACTAGCAGCATCCAGCACAGGCCCAAATCATCGCTGATGCCTGACATACCAGGCCCCAACCTCTTCCTGGCTGACCACCTGGCAATATACCTGGCTCGTACCTCGATAGCGCCAGCAAGACACATTTTCGAGAAGCTGGTCAAGCCCAATTGAAAGCTGCCGTGTCTGCTGCAAACCGACTCCCGACGACGACAACAAGCTCCAGAGACAGCAGACTCTGCCCGGCTCGTCCTCGCCCAGCAATTGTTCCACCGCCTTCGATATCCGCGCTGCCTCGGCGTCATATGTGGGAGCTTGTCGCCTTCGATTCACCCCGCGATCTCCTTCACCCACATCCTCTGTCAACCGCGACAAAGACCTTGTCCACATCTGCGAGACCGGAGCCCTAGAAGGACCAAGTCGCAAACATGAGATTGGACGTCAAGGTCAGTTGCCGCCACATTGGGGCCTCACCCCGCCTTGCGAACTGTCTTTCCCCTTGTCCGCCTCGCTGGTTGTGACCCCCGAGTCGCTGGCAGTCGTTTGTCGAAAGATGCCCACTGAGCTTACCGCTCCGCTTCTACAACCACGTTACTGACTATGGGCTCATGACAATAGCGCCAGCTTTATGCCCGCAGCGAGCGGGTTAAGGGCATCGACTTCCACCCGCAGGAGCCATGGATCCTCACCACCTTATACAGCGGTATGTCACAGCAGTTGAAATGCAGCATTGAACCAAGTCGCCGCTAATACACCCCTCTTTACAGGCCATGTCAACATTTGGTCATACGAGACACAGCAAATTGTCAAGTCCTTCGAGCTTACAGATGTCCCCGTTCGAGCTGGTCGATTTGTCGCGCGAAAGAACTGGATAGTCTGCGGATCAGATGACTTCCAGCTGCGAGTCTACAACTACAACACCTCCGAGAAGATCACCTCCTTCGAGGCGCATCCCGACTACATCAGAGCCATCTGCGTGCACCCCACGCTGCCCTTTGTTCTTACCGCCTCCGATGACATGAGCATCAAGCTCTGGGACTGGGATAAGGGTTGGAAATGTGTCCAGGTCTTCGAGGGCCACAGCCACTATGTCATGGGTCTTGCTATTAACCCCAAAGATACCAACACCTTTGCCTCGGCATGCTTGGACCGAACAGTCAAGATCTGGAGCCTGGGATCGGGCACCGCCAACTTCACCCTCGAGGCCCATGAGACCAAGGGAGTCAACCATGTCGACTACTACCCCCACTCCGATAAGCCTTACCTCCTCACCACCTCCGACGACCGAACAGTCAAGATCTGGGACTACACCACCAAGTCTCTGATTGCCACTCTCGAGGGACACACCAACAACGTCTCCTTCGCCTGCTACCACCCAGAACTGCCAGTCATCATCTCTGGTTCCGAAGACGGCACCATCAAGCTCTGGCACGCCAATACCTACAGACTAGAGCAGTCACTGAGCTACAGCTTGGAAAGAGCTTGGTGCGCCTCTTACCAGAAGGGCAAGCAGGGTGTTGCCATCGGATACGACGATGGTGCTGTTGTGATCAAGCTCGGACGCGAGGAGCCCGCCGTCTCCATGGACCCATCCGGCAAGCTGATCTGGGCCAGGCAAAACGAAGTCGTGTCTTCCATCATCAAGGGCGATGCCTCCGTCAAGGACAACGAGCCCATCTCACTACCGACCAAGGACCTCGGAACTTGCGAAGTGTATACCCAGACGCTGATTCACTCACCGAATGGTCGATTCGTTGCCGTGTGTGGCGATGGCGAATACATCATCTACACGGCACTGGCATGGCGAAACAAGGCTTTCGGTTCTGCCATGGACTTTGTCTGGGCCTCAAAGGAAAACAGCAACGATTTTGCCATCCGAGAGTCAGCCATGAGCGTCAAGGTGTTCAAGAACTTTGTGGAGAAGAGCGGAGGTTTGGATGTTGGCTTCCAGGCTGATGGCCTCACTGGAGGTGTTCTGTTGGGTGTTACTGGCCAGGGTGGTGTCTCCTTTTTCGACTGGGCTACTGGTGGCTTGGTTCGCAGAATCGAGGTAGAGCCTAAGCAGGTTTACTGGTCAGAAAGCGGCGAGCTGGTGGCCATTGCCTGCGAGGACTCATTCTACGTCCTGCGCTTCTCCCGTGAAAACTATATCGAGGCCGTACAGTCAGGACAAGTCGAGGAAGATGGCGTTGAGTCTGCCTTTGAAGTCATCACCGATGTCAACGAGACGTAAGTATCGACGGGCTCTTGTTATTTGCGCGTAAGCTCTTCCGATAACTAACACTTTTGTGTATAGCATTCGAACGGGTGAGTGGGTTGGCGACTGCTTCATCTACACCAACAGCACAAACAGACTCAACTACCTGGTCGGCGACCAGACCTACACCATTTCTCACTTTGACAAGCCCATGTACGTTCTTGGCTACATCCAGAGAGACTCTCGCATCTACCTTGCCGACAAGGATGTCAACGTCACCTCTTTTGCCCTGTCACAACCCGTTCTCGAGTACCAGACGCTAGTTTTGCGAGAGGATATGGAGACAGCTGCCGAGTTGCTGCCAACCATCCCGGCTGATCAGCTCAACAAAGTTGCACGATTCTTGGAGGGCCAGGGACACAAGGATCTTGCTTTGGAAGTTGCCACTGACCCAGAGCACAAGTTTGAGCTGGCATTGGCCCTGAACCAACTCGCCATTGCTCTTGATTTGGCCCGACAGGCTGATGCCGAGCACAAGTGGAAGACTGTCGGAGATGCGGCCCTGACCGCATGGGATGTTGGGCTGGCTGCTGAGTGCTTCACCCACGCCAAGGATCTTGGATCTCTCCTCCTCGTGTATTCATCAACAGGCGACAAGGAGGGTCTTGCCAAGCTAGTTGCCCAGGCGGAAGAGGCAAACGCCCACAACGTGGCATTCTCAGCCTCTTGGCTAATAGGTGACATCGATCGATGCGTGGACATCCTGACAAAGACTGGCCGATCAGTAGAGGCTACTCTATTTGCCCAGACGTACAAGCCTAGTCTGGCTACATCTGCGGCAAAGGCCTGGAAGGAGAGCCTGGAGAAGAACAAGAAGGGCCGGGTGGCTAAGCTGATTGGTGTCCCGGATGACGATGCAGAGCTGTTCCCCGAATGGGACGAGTGGCTAAATCTGGAAACCGAGGGTGGTGTGGCCGCCGATGCGGATATTGCGACACCCGAGGACGAAGCCAAGGAGGGAGAAGAGGAAAAGGACGAGGAAATGCAAGAGGCTCAGGAGGAGATTGAGGAGGAGATTGAGGAGGCGGAAGAGTAAAAGGCGCAAGGGGGCCAATCGACTACTATCTAGATGGCGTAGAAGAGGGACTTACGTGAATATGATTCTCCATGTTTTTGTTGCGTTTTGCACGGCGCCAAAACTTACAAAGAACCGCATGGTTGGGAGGTTGATTGTGGGGTAGTCGGGCTATTGTCTGGTTGAATAGGTATTTAAAACAGTTTCTAATACGTTGATTAATTTTGAGCTTTACATGGGAGCTGGAGTAGAAGATGTACCAAAGGGTTGGTCTGAGGAGGGACAACATGTTGGTGACATGGTATATATTGGCTTTTGCATGCGGTTAACTCTGTCCTTGCTGCAAGTATGTAACTATTGGAAGCCAAAGGATGTCTGTTATATACAATCATTCACAAATGAAGTACAGCTATGGCCATCAGTTATGAAAACTTAGATGCCATCACAGGCTCATTTTTATTAAGTTATTAAATTAGTTTATGATGATGCCCCTTGAATAGTTTAACCCATAATCATCAATGAACATGCTTCCAGAATAATATTTCAATCTTGCCATGATGATATATATATTAGAGATATCTCGTTTCATCCTTTCATAGATAGGCCTCACTTGCCCCCTATGAAGCCGTTTACAGAATGGCAGCAATGCCAGCAGCAGCAAGGGCAGCAAAAGCCATGCCAGTCTCACGAGCCGCACCGGCGTTGGTAGACTTGGCAGCACCTCCAGAAGTCTTGGAAGCAGAGTCGGAGCCAGAGTCAGAACCAGAACCAGAGCCAGAGCCAGAACTAGCAGTGGGAGCAGCAGCGGCGGTGTTGGGGCCAGAGCCAGAGCCAGAAGAGCCATCGGTAGAGCAGGCGGTGTTGACGAGGCTGGTGTAGGAGTTGGCCACGGAGCACTCCGAGGCAAGAGACGTGAGCTCGTCCTTGTGGCCGTTGTACCAGGAGAGTACCTCGGAGCTGTAGGAGGAGAATTCGGCGCTGAGGCTGGGCGGGAAGCTGAACTTGCAGGCGTCGGTCTGAGGGTTCTTGGCGAGGTCGGAGACGAGCGCGGGGGGAGGCGTGGGAATGGACTGGGCGATGCTGAGGGCCTCGGAGGCACACTTGCTGGGGTCGGCGTCGCGGACCTCGTTGACGGGGGTTGCGCGGGGGAGGTTGAGTTCACGGCGGACGTGGGGGATGGCCATGAAGTCGACGGCAGCGGAGGCCGAGGCGACAAAGGTGAGAAGGAGAACGGCGTTGGAGTGCATGTTGTTGGTTGTTGGTTGTTGGTTGTTGGCCGTTGGCTGTTGGTCGAATTGACTATGTTGGTTGACGGGAGGATCAAGATATGAACAAGCGAGCGATGTGAATGTTCGTGTAAGTGCTTGGAGTGAGTGACTAGAACTGAACTGAAACTACTGTAAATCCTCTTTGTTTCATTGAGGGTTTTGGCGATTTATACTGCTGCTCGTACGAGTACATGCTGCAATTCCATTGGACTCATTCTATATGCCGTGTTAGCCTAGCTGAAGGAATCGCAACGACCAATCCTTGCTCAGTCAAGCTGCTGAACCCACGCTCTCCCCTTAGTCCAGCCACGGCGCAGTAGGGTTGATCCTTTGTAATGTCGCTTCCCTGCAACCCGTCCGGCAGCTGAACTGGGAAAACGCCCTAGCGCTACCTAGCTCGGGCACTAGATACCTATTGAAGGAAGAGGAAAATAGGGGTCACTCGGCCGTGTCATGGCTAGGTTAGTTCTGGGGATGGGGCTTAATAGTGGCGTGGTGATTGGTTCTGAAGGTCAGGCGAGGCGTTTCGAGAGCAACTTTCATGGGATAGAAATAGTGATGAGTTGTGTGTAGTTTATTGGTGTTGTATGTGAGCATGCATAGATTTGGGTGCGAAGATGCAGAGTGCAACTTCGTGTTTATTGGTTGTTAGGGGAATGGGTTTAGGCTGTGCTAAGATAGTACCAGACGTGGAAAGGTCTGGTTGCTGTCTGTCTTGTTTGTCTGCCTCAGCTGAATGACTAAAAAACCGAGCTGTGCGGTTTATGGTGTAGCAGCGGCAGTGTGCTAATTTAACATGCATGAATAGAAGCATCAAAGCTTGACTGGTCTGTGCTTGACGAGACTCGGGGAGGAGTTGGGCCGCATCAGAGTAAGCATTGGGGCTGTTACTGACTCAAGCTTTGAGGCTCAACTGTCACTCTCTGTCTTCTTGCCCGGATCTCGCTGGTTGATTTGATTACAGTGGGCTGAATGAAAGGGATCGCCTGCGCCAAGTCTTGGCCAATGGCTAGATCGGGAAATAAAGAGGGATTAAGGCTGAGGCTGAGATTCTAGGATTTTCTAGGGCTGTTCTGTCACCTGAGCTTCAATTGTTATAAGTGGAAGAGGGATTTGGCGCCGGGTTGTTGCTTGCAATACAAACACAGATAGTATGTGATTATATGGCTTAGATTATAATTTTCCGATTTAGTAATTGGTACGTTAATGGGTAATGGGTTATGGTAGCTTTGCCTGTCTGTGTCCATGCTAGCCATTTGTTCTTGCTGGCGCCGTTCCGTTTCCTGAGGTACTACGTAAATGCAAGGCATTGGCGGAGACTGGGGACAGGAGCACACAGTGAGCCGGGGAGGAGGAATCAAGTATTTGGCCTGGCCCTTGTTTCGTAACCCTCGTATCGTACGGGCTATGGGCTATATCTAGCAGCCGTCGGGCCCGTGCTATGTACATGTACTGGAGGATGCCTATAACCCCGGCTTCACCGATGAAACTCTCCACCACTCCATAGATGGCGGTATGTTTTCCCTCCACCAGTCAGATAGACCGACCCTTTCTGCAATCATGCGTGGTGTGTCCCCCTCTTCATTCACAGCCTCGACATTTGCTCCATGTTCAACCAGTGTTTTTATACCCTCTGTGAGTTTGTGCCATGTTGCCTGGTGCAATGGGGTATAACCGTCGTCGACAGCTTCGTCAATTGCAGCACCAGCCTCGAGGAACTCCGGGATGAAATCTTCCAAATTCTCGTCCCCAGCTGCGAGATACAGTGGCGTTCTACCCTCTTTATCAGCGACGTTTACATCGGCGCCTAGCCTAATCAACAATCGAAGACACTCCTTCCGCTGCTCTTCATGAGAGATAAAGAGTATGGATGTTCTGCCCCTACCATCTCTAGCCTCCATATTTGCACCATTGTCGATGAGCAATTTTATATTCGCTGGCTTACCGAATTGGGCTGCTGTATGCAATGGAGTTTTACCATCCATATCAGTCGCATCTATTGCAGCCCCCAAGTCGATGAGGCGTTGTATCAAGGGATTGCCATCAATTCTGGAACTCGCCACATGCAATGGTGTCCCTACAATTGTTCCCACCCCTGCATGGATATCCGCGCCTCCCTTCAAAAGATGCTCAAAGATGGCTGAGTACCCCATTTGTGCGGCCGTGTGCAGCGCCGTAGTTCCACCATGTATGAAGTTGACATTGGCCCCCCTTGCTGTGAGTAACTTGACAGTGTTTTCCATCCGATCCTGCACTGCATGAAGCAAGGGTGTTCTACCGTCGTCACTCCGGGCCTCCATGTCAGCGCCTGCATCGAGAAGAATCTCGATGATATCGTCGTTTCCCTTCTTACAAGCAACCTGGAGCGGTGTAAGATCCCGATAGCCTCTAGCATTTACTTCGACCTGTGGAAGCTTAAGAAGCTGTTGCACAAAGTCTCTGTGGCCAAATTCTACTGCAAGGTAAAGAGGTGCCTTCTTCTGGCTGTCTTTGGAGTTGACATAATCCCCCACGTGAGGGATTGCCGCTGATAATCCTCTCATCGCTGCAACATGAATAGCTGCTCGTCCATGCTTATTTCGCCTTTTCTGACAGCCGCGTTTGCACAGAGTTTCGAAAATTTCAGCAGATCCATTCAATGCTGCCTCGTGCAAGGCAGTGTTCCCATACCCGTCAGCGATGTCAATGTTGGCTCCAAACTCCAGCAACATTTCGACCATCTCTAGATGACCTGCCCTTGCCGCGCAATGAATTGGTGCCGTACCCTCGCGGCCTTGAACATCAACCGAAGCGCCCTTTTCAAGAAGCAGTTGAACCACCTGAGTGCATGTTTTCCCAGGACAGCAGCAGGCGTAGTGCAGTGGCGTCCATCCGCGAATATCGCACGCATTAATGTCGACACCTTGCTCAATCCAGCGCCGCATTTTTTGAAGAAACATTTCAGTTCCCGTTTCATAGTTATTGTTTTCATACCATCTCTCTCGATGGTAAGTGAACGCCGCGCAGTAGTGAAGAAATGTCCTGTCAAAGATGTCTTTTTCTCTCGCGTCATCCTTGTCTGGCCTGCTCAGGTGTTGTCGATTCATTTCTTTGTATACGTCAAAGGAATTGGAAATTATTGACTCTTGGTTCTTGGATAAAAAGAAACGCTCAGCGCGAGGGTAGCTTTTTTGCCATCTATCGGCGTCTTGTAATTCGCATAGTGAGCCTAGACTATTCTGAATCTCTGCGTCGACGTTCTCCATTGCCTTCGTTAGCTGTTCTTCAAGGCGAGATTCGTATACCCCTGTCATTTCCCGCTTGATCATCTCTTGTAGTGTTTTTCGAAACGTTGCTAACACAGCAACAGCCCTGATATATGTATAACTTCTGACGGAGAACGCAGCCAAGTGGTCGCAAAGCCGCAAGTATACTTGGCCTGCATCTGCCCACAAATGGAGGGCTTCGAATTGCTCCGTATAGTTCCGCACCATTTCAATAATACTTTCTACTTCAGGTAGTTTCTCTTGTATACCCAAAGGTGAAATAATGCTGATATGAGCATCGTGTGTGCTGCATAGCCCTGTGCTCTGGACGGCGGCGGCTAATCTGGATATGTCATCGTTCTCCAGACTTAAACGCCTCCAAGAATCTTTATTCTCCAACTTTGCTTGGGATGTTTTGATGTACGTTTTACCTCCGACTGGCCGCCTTAGTGATTTCACTACGGCCCACATGAACGTGGAAAACATGTCTTTGGCGTACAGGATTTCCAATGAGTCCAAGGATTCTGTGCAGAGTAAACCACTTGAATCCATACTTTCTTTTTCTGATATGCTGAACCACCATTTGCCGCCCTGTGAATCTTGGTAGTAAGGGTGTGAGAGCTGCACATGAGAACCGGTAGCGATTTCGGATTGTCGCCGTGGATCAAGCCCTACGACTCTTGATTCATCAACTTCAAATTTGGTTGAGCCAGCGATGATGTTCCCAATCGTATTGGCCCGGTTCTTTCCTAAGTTGCCAGCTTGCCCGTCTTCAGCAGGAATATATCCTGCCTCGCCTTTCCAAATTTGCGGTCCATCTGGTGGTACCCACCAGTCGAGATGTCGAAGTAGCTGCATTGTATTCGGGCCGAGGATCCTGATTCCCATATTGGGCAGTTCCCCCTTTACACGTAGCCATTTGTCCTCATCCGAAGGGTTGCCAGACTTGTGGATGACTCTGGCTGATGATTGTGCCTCTTTTTGGCTTTTAACATAGAAGAGACGCAGTGACAATGCAGCCTCAATTTCTCCTGCGTTTGCTTTCCATTTGCCGTCTGGTTGTTTAATTATCCTGAATTTCAGCTCTTGTTCGTTTAATGATGCAGCCTGAATCTTGTAGCCCCAAGAAAATTCCTCAAGGTCCAAGTTGTCATCCAACAGATCCATAGTGGCTTCTATGGCCAAGGTAACTGCAATGGCTTCTTGTGAAACAGGTCCCCGCCAGTCTGCAAGTTTTGCAAGGCTTTGGCGCATTGTGGTATAATCTTGAACTTCACAATTAGATGACTCTTCCGTCTCAGACTGATGATCCGATGTAATGGGCTTGTCTTGGCTGGCAGACGTGCCTTCTCTGCTCACGGAGCAGGTATTCTCCTGAGCAGATCCATCTAAATCATTGTACCAAGGCGCATCATCAATGGTTCTCAAGGTATCCGCAAACCAGTCGAGTTCAAATCCTGGAAGAAGGCCCCTGGAGAACATGGGCTTTGCCAGCCCGCGACGAATCCATGCCCTCACAGCGGCCATTGTCAGGACGGCAATTAAAGAGGCAACAGAAACGGACCAATGCATTCCTCGAAATCCAATGAACTGAGCAATATATCCGACTAGGCTGATGATGGTCCCCAAGACGGTTCTGAATGCAAAATCTTTTAGTCCTTCAGAACCTTGTGGTTGCTCGTGATCGGAATCTTCATTATGATCAGCTCTACTCGAAGTAATAATGTTTGGCTGGTCTTCTCCTGTGTAAAGAGCAAAGGACTTGAACTCTTGATCGCCGACAGTCTTCTCTTGTTGTAGCCATACTAGTCGAACTCGCCAATGGTCCGCTGGCTGGAATGTTTCTTCTTTGGTACTGCTTTCCACAACGTGAGAACAAATGAACATGCCAATACTCAAAACCACTGAGCCGATAATGGTAAGTGGGAAAGCATAGCTTGCAACGGCATGATCATCCTTTTGGAACTTCGATGTTAGCTTCGAATATTTCGAGATGAAGCCGCAGTACAAAATGAAACCGATTTGTAGAAGGATACCAAAACACGCAGCGAAGTGCAGTTCGCCTCGACCAGTATTCTTATACCGGTTATGCGAAATATTTGGCACATCATGTTTAGTATTTCTGATAATGACAACTTCATTTGACTGAGCATTGATCTTTTGTTTTATGCCGTCTTCTGCACTCCCATGTTGTTTATTAACCCAAAAGAAAGCTCGCATTTTATCCAGAAAGGTCCTCTCGCTTCTCAGTGCTAAAACAATTAGAATCTTGTATTAGTCGTAAATCTAACTGGGTCCTACTCACATCTCTTTATGTAAAAGTACGGGTCTTTTTCCGCTTCTTCCAAACTCATCACGGTGATTTTTGGATTCTTCGGTACTCCTGTCTGGGGCAGCAAGCATATGAATTCCCAAACAGGAGCCGATCCTGCGCAACGAACTACATCTCTGCCATTCCAGAGCTCGCACACCTCTTTAGAGCTAGAGGACATGAGCTCTAGTTCAGCGGCTGCGAGATTTTCGGTTGCTCGCCCAATTAAGGCTTTGAGCCATGACGGACCACCAACTCTAATCGCAGCGACGATAGTGGTGATGATGCCTAGAGGTGCCATTGAAAGAATAATGCAGTCGGAAATTCCCATGGCCTGACTCAAAAATTGCATAGTAACACGTTCTCCAAAGAGGGCCAGCAGTCTATATGAGTATATTAAATTAGCGAAGACATACTAATGAAGACACTATTGCCTTAAGCTAGGTGGAAGAGAGCGTCGTACGGGCCGAGATCTGTGAACAGGTTGTTGGAGAAGTCGTCTCCATCATCGGCTGCAGCGCACCCAAAGAGCAAGAGAAATATCACGATAGTGTGTGAAGCCATGGCTAAGGGCTTCTCGCGATTAATTATTCTCTGCTACAAACCGACGTGGATGTGTTTAATTGCATGGGAAATTAAAGCGATGCAGACAATGCCTGTCAGCTGGATTTGAGCAGACAAAGATATGTGAAGACATCTCGGAATTGCCTGGGTGGGTGGCGATTTATCAATCCCCCGCCTACAAAAACAAGTGTTCATTGCGGATGCTGCCTTATAGTATCAACATAGCCGCGCGCCTGAGACGGGATGAGACATGCTGGTGTTACGCGAGGAAATCAACGGCTCCCGAAGAATCTGCATGGATATAGAGCCTTGGACCAATCATGTTGACATCAAATAGCTGTTGGGTTGGTGCATATTGACTATCACCAGGGGTTTCAAATGCATGTTGGGACGAATGAAGCATAGAAATCCTCTAATTGGTTGACAGAACACACCGAGTGCAGTTAATATATATAGCTTTATGCCTGCTGAATTGGCTGACATGGAAGATCAAGGCTTGGAGGCCTAGGCAGCACTCTGTTCTCCTTCTATTCTTCTTATCATCCCCTATGTCAATCTTTTCTGTTCAACACAGATGTTTGTAGATTTTTTTTTTAAATAACAATATTGTTTCTAAAATCACCTCAGCGCGATTTGATTGTAGCGGTGAGCCCGCCTCTCCACGCCTCTTCTTGTATCTCTCTCAACAACTCACACAATAGACGATCCTGCCCTCCCATTTTATCGGAAGAGCTAGGAATGTTGATTTTGACAACTGATTATTTCGAGAACGCCTACTAATGAATTCCTGATCGCTTGAGATACCATTCATTTGCCCAGGCCCCATGATACTGTTGACCCCACTGCGCCTCCACGGGAGCCTACAATTGTGGCAGAGCGAGCAGCAGGATCCGCTGAAGGAACTAGAGTGAAAATTGGCGAGCTTGTCCAAAAGAAGATGAGCTGAGTCTCTGGGATGTTGATCGGCTCTGCACCGAGCTCAGGGTGGTGAATCTCAATACCTATCAGTGTAACTGGCTGAACGGGAATTTCTAATTTTCATTTACTCTTATTTGCGAGGAATCGCACAAGGCTGGCGTAGCTCTGATTTGCTCTTGGCAAAGCTGGTTGCGCTGATGTTCAAAGCACAGAATTTCGGGAATTCCACAGGCCATAAGTAACGAGATTAGCATATGGTATTGCACAGCCTACATATTCTCCCGGATTCGAAAATAACCAGAGCTCGTATTCAACACAGCGCTCATCACCAACGTTCGCCAATGCAACCCATCCATATTCAGCTTGGAAACGGAACCTTGAACTTGCAGCGTCGTCGTTGGCAGAGTGGAAAAGCCCAGTCTTGGACTCACCTCAGAAAATGAAGTCCAGAGGAGACCCTGCTCAAAATGCGACTGAGATAAGCCACAAGTGAACTCGTCAACTCTAGAGAGGGTGGATAGCCCCTAAGTTGCGACAAAGAAGCCATCAAAAACGTCTCCTTGGCAAGTAAAATCTGGGCGAGTAGAGGTTGCAACAGGCACAAGCAATTCACTGTACTTTTTACCGCAAAGTGCGCTTCAGATGAGCCGTCTTGGTTCCTCCTCCTTCTTCTGTACTGGCGACAAGCATACATAGGGATAGAAGACAACTTGCGTCTGTAGAGTTGAAAGAGAGACATAGAAACTATATGCAAGCTATTTTCCCATGGTTGTCGTGATTCACCCCTTATGTGGGAGAGATACATGTGTGTTCTGGACTTTCTGGTACTCATAGTTATTGTGCGCTTACAACTGGAATAACACTAGTTGACTTGTCAAAGTTGCCTGCTGTAGAGTATTATATATTAAAAGTGTAGATTAATCACAAAAAGCCTCATTGTTCGTCAAGTCTCACTACTGTCTTGGTTGTGGTGTAAATGTGATTGTCAAGTCTGCTCTCTCACATGGGCTGCTGGGCTTAGAAAGCACAAATAAGGACCAATATAATGAATGACATGTATCGTTACTGGGAGTACCCTTCATCTAAACAATTATTGATGGAGAGATTGTTGGAGGATACCGGCATCATTGATCCTCATCCTGAGCACATGTATCGATTTAATTGCACAGGCGTACATGTGCATGTATGAAGTTGAGATGCCCACGAACAAACCCCCCCCGACGCCACCACATGTAGTATTGCGTTATAGCTGAACGCTGCGAGCTAAAAACGGGCGCTAAACGATGCGGCTGAAGTGAGCTGGAATGAATCCATTCGATATATCATCCAGGAACCAAGGACAACCGCACCGTCTGACGAATCGTCGCCTCTCCGTGACACGCTTCTAAAACATCGAGGGGTCTTGTCCAACGAAGTTCAGCCGCTTCTTTTGCTCTGCTTGGCTCGCCGGGTACGTTGTCCAGTAATACGGCATGAATAAGAGCCTTGTCAAGCCACCTTGACGCCTCTGGCCAGGCTGCGTGCGGCCTGTGTGTCACAGCACGCTCTGCCATTGGCTGTATTGCATGGACGCGGAAAACAAAATCTATTGAGAGTGCTGCATGTTGTAGCTACCCGTTATAGTATTGAACTTTCCGTGCTGTGTTAGAATTGGGTGGGAGTACAGCTTGTTAGATATAAATGTAACCCCGTGTGCAACTCGTGAACCAAGTTGGGGATATCATCATTGTTGTTGCTCGCTTTTGACCCACACGTCATCTTCATTGCATATTTATTTTTCATCTACGATCCACAATGTATTGTTTGCCTCTCACAACGCTGCTTTGCATTGTCGCCATCCATATTAGCTCCGTGGCGGCGGCAAAGAACCAGTTTCAGCAATGGTATCCGGAATACGGCTTCATCTTTGACCGCATCTTGCATAACAACTGCTCATCGCAGTACGAACTCTACACCAACGGCACAGAGAACCGAACGGAATGGGAACAATCTTCCCGTTGGCTCGGTGCAGGCTCCACCTCCGCGCTCATCGTGCCTCTTGTCAACTGCGTACTGGAGAACGCCCCCGAATATGTCAAGAGTGGAATGGCTGGCGCGAGTGTAATATTAGGCCTGACTCCAAGTATTCTTGCTGGCCTTGGTTCCGACTTAGCTGAGAGATCGGTTCTATCCGTCATTGGAAGGCGTCCTTTCCTCGCACTTTTCCTGAGTGTGGGATCTCCCGCCGTGTCTCCCTTGCCGCTATTCGAGCACCGCAAGTTTATTGAAATCTTGGATGAACGGAGGGGCCGAATGGAACCCAAGTTCTTCACTAGTGAGAAGTTGTACGTCGAAAGTATGATTCTGATAGCTGAGTGCTTGGTTGTCTTTGGTGCCATTGCCAACAACGCCCTTCTTGCGCGCGACCTTGCGATTAGAGCCGTGGCGAGTTTTGCGCCGCAGCTGACATATCTGCCTCTTCTCTGGATCTCTCTGGCCGCTGCTCCGCATATATTTGCGGTAATTGCTCTTTCATGTCTTATTGCTGTCCAACCCGCAACACATGAGATGTCATTCGGACGCCGGCTCAAGGCATGGCTCAAGGCATGGTTCGTGCCGTGGATGAAGCCGGAGGCTGCTACTCTTATAACGGATAACGAAAGTGCAACGTACCTGTCGCTTTCGTCTTTCGTGTCAATTCTCACTTGTATGCATTTCATTTTCGGCACACTTCTCTTTTCAAGTATTCTCTTTGTTTCAGTCCGAGATAGCCTTCCCATCGTGGGCCGATTTCTAGCTTCGGTTTTTGTTTGTAGACTCGTTCTCATGTATGAGCTTGCGAGGCTCAGGCACCTGTATAATACGACAAATACATATCTACTGGTCAAACGGGAGGACTGGCGAAGATGAAATATGGGGGGAACGTAATAGATATTAGTGGATGCATGGTGCAGCGTGCCTGGGTCGCCAAGTACATGTACATGTTTAGTCAATATAGTAGGGGACGAAAGAACAAGTGAGAACAGCGGAGTTGTTGGGTGTATGTAGTTTCTCACTACGAGACGACTTTCATTCGAGACTTTAGCGTAACAGAGTTTATTTCTATGCCAATACAAGGAAGCAAAATCTTGTGCCTAAATTCCCATCTATTTATCCATCTATCCATCCATCTCCATGTCTTGTGCAATAAATTTTACGATGGCATGAATGTAGCTTCAATTTTGATGAGCAAACTTATTCTTCCTTTGGTGTTGCATTTGCGCCTGTCAATAATCTCGCCGCAGCCGGGACGGGCCACGCAAGCTGATGAGTCGGGTCCTCACGGACTTCACCTGATGTTATTGCGTCGACGAGAGCCACGCCAACATAGCCCCCAATGCAAGTAAAGATGTGCCACCTGCTCAAGCTTCGTTAGAAATGACAGCACTGAAGAGCACCAAATTATTAAACTACAAAGGATACATACCATCCATGTAGCTCGAGGAGAAAAGCCAGGGGAAGGCCAGCTGAATGCTTCATCGAAGTAAGCAGCGAGCATAACCAGCCATCCAACAGCCACACAAAGTACCCAAAGGCGAAATTGACTGCGGAAAATGTAAGCTCAAACACCCCGACTTGCGAAATTAGGGTAACATACAGCAGCCAAACAGCGCGATATTTCGAAGGTTCTTCCTAATGCGTTGGTCTGGCACTTGCTGAGAGATAAGCTTCAGCGTTCGGGTTGCGATTACATAGACAGCAAGGCCAAAGGTCGTTGCATGGAGAAGGAATTCGTCCATGACCATGTGAGTGACCATGACCACTGTGAAGAGGATGGTAAGAAGTACGGCCACAACCTTGGTACGCTGCGGACTACTCTTGAACGTCAAGAGACGATACACCATTGGCGTTGTCAAGAGATGCATGGACAATTCATCCGCTGGAGGTGAGGTGAGATTACGCAAAAACTTCCATGGTAGGGGTGTTGGCACGCACACATTTGGGTGTGATATTTCAATGTCATATGATAACTGGCAGAGCAAATGCCTACGCCGATCAATCCACTGTAAGAAAGCAGACGAGCGCTAGTCTGACCATTCCGGCCTGGTCTGGAGAGGCCATATATTCCATAGGCAACTACCGGTACAGTACAACCAGATTAGTGAATGTCGAGATCCAAGACAGCATGGGTTCTGTATGCAATTTCACGGACCGAAAGCTAAGCTGCTGAGAGTATTGATAAACTCAGCGACATATCGTGTAACGACATAATCCTACACGACATTTCGCAATGGCTCGTTAGCGAGTTTGGCCATCTAGCCGCCTGGTCGAGAGGGCATGGCGAGGACTACCTCTTCGCAAAAGCTAAATGTTGTGAGCAATTATTGAGCCCCAAGGCATGGACAGAAATTCCAAGACATACTTCAAATAAGACGTAGCCTCACCCCAGAATGGGTTGGCGCGAGAAGAATGCATTGTTTGTATGGCTGCGATGAACAGGGGAGAGGCCAGTCTTTGCTAGTCATGGAGGGAGCAGAAGAGATCTTGGCTCGATACGATGCCTTTTAAGAAGGTTGAGTTGTCACGTGGATCTGTACCTGTCGTTGGCCAAGCGATGCTAATAGCTCATAGGCCCAAATGGCGGATTAGCTTGGATCCCTATCATAATGTGGTTCTTACTGTAGGTATTTATGAATGTCAGTCGTTGTTTAAGAGTCGTGGCGGCTCTACCCAGACCAGTGTGAATTGAAATTGCAGTGATTTGATTAATTGATAGCCATGATGGGTAGGTATATGTAGTGTAGTTCATGGTTTTCTAAAGTTGGTTTGTTGAGTCTAGCACAGGACATCCTTGGGCGTTAGTTGTCGCCGAAATTGGCGGTCGAAACTGTGACAAGGCGTTTCAATTATTATAGAGCTATAACCATGGAACGATTGTTATGATAAATAGCTGAAAAAGATGTATATATTACTATCAAGAGTGCTTGGTGTTTAACTAGTTACGGATAAAGAAACATGGATGGATCTTTCTTCTAATTCTTGATTTGGATTCATGATGTATAAAGTCGAGTTACCCGCTGACAGCAGAACTACTGCGCTATAGCGGAGCGCTGTGAGCTGAAGGCGGGCGCTAAACGACGTGGCTGAAGTGACCTGGAATGAAACAAGACAGCCGCCAACTGCGATGATCCGGCCAAATTTCCCGATATAGGTACATGTACAGGTACCTAAGCAAAACTATAATGTCAGGTACCTGTACGAGTGAGCCAATATCAACTACAACGCTCAGTCACATACTTTTTGCCATTCTCTCTAGACATCAACTTGGATTCATAAAATGAAATGCGACTCAGATACATGCAGGTTGATCTTAACCCCTCCAAGGCGAAATTTTGATTGCCTTATCCTGAGTTAGGTGACTTGACCTGTTGCTACTCCTTGAGCGATTCATTCTGGCTCTGCAAGCAAAAGAGGTCTGCACTCTTCTTCAAATGTGTAATACCTGCTTGAAGGACTTTTCTAGACGATGGGAGTGATGATGGAAATGACTATCCTTTGGTGGACGGCTATCACGTAGATGTCTACGTGTGGTCTCATACAGTGACACTTTTGGTACATGTATGGAGGTATAAGGGAACAAAATCAGTACCTACTTTATGCAGTCCAATTGCCAATAGTACTTGTCAAGATCAGTATTCTATTGTTTCTAATCTTGGTTTTATTTTCTCTTGTAACGAGCTACAAGAAGACAGACAGCAGTGTTCTAAAATAGAAATGTTGCTCATGGCCAAACGCCGTTTGCCTCTGACTTGACGTTTCAAAAGGACAGGGGCCAATAGCTTGCCCCGCCAACTCCTGCATATTCTCCGATCACGACACACTCTGCAAGGCTGTCATCCATTGTGAGCAGTAAAAGATGGCAAAAAGAAATATTCAACACAAAAAAGGTAAAAAACACATACAACAGCCGGTGTTCGCTGATGGTCACCCACTCAACTACTAATCTGCCTCTCATTAGCTTGACTCTGGGAGAGCGGACGGGATCCCGTATATTCTAATGGATATGGTCGTATGTGCTCGATTGAAGGGGTAATCGGATGTATATTCGCAAGCTTGATCAAGACAACAAAAAGACAAAAACATACAACAGCCGGTGTTCGCTGATGGTCACCCACTCAACTACTAATCTGCCGGTTAGGGGCTTGTCTAGGGGGGAGCAGACGGGACCCCGAATTTTCCACTACCTATGGTCGTATGTGCTTGTTTCATGAACAGCAAGATTTATTAATCCAATTCGGTGCATGGATCTACTATAGTAACAATACGTTAAATCACCTATTCTGATGCAAGTAACTAACTAACAATGCATATCAGTACTCAAGGGCGTGATGCAAAACCTTTCCAGGTTGCGAAATTGGCAAGTTAAGCACATCCTTTTTCTAGGTGACTCACTCAAATCTAAAGGAAGCCACCTAAACTTTGCCGCTCCAAACTTCTAACATATGTTTACTTGGGCTGGACGTCGAATGGCTTAATATTTGAAGTCCGTTGGGTCTCGTGACTAAGGTATGTGACCAGCATTCTCGCTGCTAAGTAGGCTTCAAACTCTGCACATCAGTCAGTCATCTAACCCTTCGGAAGATATCGAATAGACAATGAGCATAGTTATAATTTTGGCGACTATGTAACGATTGGATATGTGCAATAGACTATGCTGAGCAAAACTTTCAATCAGTGTGCAGTAAATATTGCCTGGGCAGAACCAATCAGCTAGGTCATATCCATACTTGAACTCCTGAAGGCATCCTTGGCTTAACGATCCCGCATGTGGATGAATTCATCAAAAAACTTGTCTTTATTCACTTGAACAATCCTGCCTATCAATCATCCACACCCCTTCCACATGTCCCTGTAGGGTGGGATTGCCGCTTCTCAAGCCGCAGGAGGTGGTGCCTGCTCTTCTTATAGTTCCATTTCTTAGACCAAAAGAAGACCCGCTATAAAGACAATTTTGGGTCTCGAATGCTTTTCAGCGCACTGAGAGTTCAGCTTGCGATATTCTAACATGAACATGAACGAAGCTGGCTAAACGAGAAACGAGTCACCCTTTCGAATACGCTCTCCAGAGATACGACGCATTAGCTGGGCGCCACATAACCAGGTCCACTTTATCCCCGAACAGCATCGAGACTTAGCTCACCTCCTCCCAGTTCGTTCACCTCCAATTACGGAGTAGATTTCTTCATATCTATTGATGGCTGGAATAAAATTGGTACCGGATCCACCATGTTGCTTACAAAAGGGTGAAAAGAAGAGAGAAAAAGACTACCTGAATTTCTCCACGTTTTGAAGACACACGGATTCATGATGCTTTTGGCTAATTTCCTGCCAAAATGCGTGCACGACGTTTTATGGGTATAATAACGGTGGTTGCGAGGACTAAACGGCGGCGAGCATCTTAGCACGGGGCTGGTTAACTACATGTACCAAAAATGGAATCATATGGCTCCGGATTTAGTGCTTTGGAATGTAAAAAAATAGAAGACACCAAACTCAGGAGAAGATCTTGAAGGGACCCTAATTTCCCACTGCCTATGGTCGTATGTGCCTGATATCGCGATGCAGCCAGCTCATAATGCTTTCTTCCACGAGCTGGAGCCGGGAAAGCTCCATGTCAACTATACCTATCCGACTACAGTACATGTCTCATTCTCTCCCTGCTTGAACCTTCTACATAGCAGTAACTACTAAATATTGCGTGCGGCTCTTGTATACAGTTCTTGCGGTCGTAGTTCCCGGCAACCTGCAATGTGATGGATGCCCTTCGACAAGTTCCATATGACGTTGCCAGCTTACATGTACGTCTAATTGGCCAATTGTGCCATGCGTCTACGCCCCATTATGGAGACATGCACCCATGCATGGACTACCCACGCCGTATGAGGTTGCCATTGATGGAGGCCACGAACTATTTTTGGCGCGTGACAGTCTGGAGAAGTGTCCAGCACATCACCGAAGAGCTGCATCATGCTGTACCACTCCCGCCCATCCGAGCCTGATGTCGGGCATCACCCAGCAATTCAATTGAACAGCATAACGAGGCTTGCAGATTAATGCTTTTATTCCTCTTGGTCCACGTAGCCATTCCAAGACACTGCATGCATGGTGGGCTCTGAGATGTCATACAGCATTGGGTAGCCAGGCATAATATTGGCATAACGTTGGTATGCGAGATAATGCCAACGGACATTCGTTGTTCAGACCGTAAATAATTTAGTGCCAAAGACGTTGTTAACATGGTGGTGATGTTGTCAAAGCTGATGTGGACTTGCGTCCGAATTGCGTCCAATATGCGCTTTCCAAGGACAGATGGCGTCGGGCCTTGGATCTGTCAGTGAGACACTGAGCATGTGGTTATGACCTGTGCGGCTCTGTTCATCACCAATATTCCATGTAAATATCCGCATTCTCTCCCTCAAGCTCTTGCGCAGCACACTTCTAAGCATGCGTATTCTGCTCGGTATACTTTAGAGCAAGAGTTGTCCTCTACTCGGAACTCGATTTTAGTTTGAGAGTTTAGATTTATACATCCCCCTCCCAAAAAGACGCCATTGTCATTAACCGCAGACATCAGTCAATATGGACGACTTACGCCTACCACATACTCACAATGACTACACTATCGGATGGGTTTGCGCATTACCAAATGAACAGACAGCTGCAATCTTCATGCTCGATGAGAGACATGAAGACCTCCCCAACCCATCTGGTGACCAGAATACATATATTCTCGGAAGCATTGGTAAACACAATGTTGTTATTGCTGGTCTGCCCTTGGGCAGGGTTGGTAATAATACTGCAGCAACAGTTGCAACTAGAATGGTGTCTAGCTTTCCGAATGTACGGGTTGGGTTGATGGTAGGGGTGGGCGGAGGCATCCCTCAGAAGACTCGGCTCGGAGATGTGGTCATCAGTTGCCCTAACGGTACGGAGCCTGGCGTTATCCAGTGGGATATGGGCAAGACAGAGGCCGGCGGCCAGTTTATACGAACGGGATCCCTGGCTCCTCCGCCAACAGCTTTACTTACAGCATTGACAAGATTTAAAGCTGATCATATCACAACACGAACAAATATGCTTGCTTATTTAAAAAATCTAGAAAGCATACCCAATATGCCGAAAAGCTTTCTCAAGTCTGACTCTCTCCAGGACGTCCTGTATGACTCAAGCTACGGCCATATGGAGGGAGGCGACTCTCGTCTTGATGACGAAGATGAAGACGATTGTCGCATGTGCGATAAGAGCAAAGTGATTCGGATAAGTCGAAGAGAGAGCGGTATGATCCACTACGGCTTGATTGCATCAGGCAACCAGGTAATCAAGGACGCGAATCTTCGGGACACGCTCTCCCAGCAATTTAACAATAATCTCCTTTGCATTGAGATGGAAGCTGCAGGACTGATGAACGACTTTCCCTGCGTTGTTATTCGAGGAATTTCTGATTATTCAGACTCGCATAAAAGCAAGAAATGGCAGGACTACGCTGCTGCAACAGCTGCAGCATGTGCAAAGGCATTACTCATGGTGGTGGCCACGAGTGAGGTTGATAAGCTTCAACGAGTGCAACGTAAGTTTACTCTCATTCATAATAAGATGATTCCCGGCTAATAATCTCTGACAAGTCACAATCTCACCTGGTATTATACAGAGTGCGATGAATTTGTGGCCATTTTGGCGAAATGAGAAGAAAGACACCGTCAGTCCAATAGGTTCGCACAACGACCCACGCGTTATGCCATTTCTGAGAGCTTTAACTAATATTTCATACAGTGATAAATTCTGAAAACACCAAAATTAAAAACGATTCCCAACCTCCACAAACATCACCGGCTGAAACGGTCAAACCGGGCGGCACAGGACACGACGCGAAGTTGGAAGAAACAGCTCCTGAAGAGAAACCAGGAAAAACAATCCCTACAGAGGTGCCAAAACAAACGAATTCTGATGATACTTCCTCGACACAGCCAAACCTTGAAGCGTGGTTACAGGGAGCACCGCCATCTCTAAGAACGATGCTTCAACAGGGGAATATTGAGGCAGTAGTGAGAATCATCTGTATGGGTCTCAGCCAACTGCCGGTTCACCAAGAAGGTGAAAATCTTCCTCAGGGTTATACTCCTAGCGGAAGCAGCGAGTGTGGAGGTTATGATCGTGATCTTGGGGCTAGGAGCGGTAGCTATGCTGAGATGCCACCACTTGAGCGAATTAATAGTATGCCTACTCAAGCCTCCACGACATTTCCAGAAGAGAACAAGGTCCATGCTTCTGAGAGGAATCACGATTACGGTAACAAGAGACGCCATTTAAATTCTGTTCCGCTGCCTACCCAAACTCCCCCAGCCCTTCGACTGGAGTTTAGAGTCCAGGGTCGTGAGCAGAGTCAAACAAATAATAATGATGGCAATGCTCCACCAACACCCCAAAACATACCAAGATCTATCGCATATCGTTCTCGAACTCCATCACCCTTCCAAGAAGGGCACGAGAATCTCGTTTCTGAACAGAATCATGGGCAATTCAGTATTGCGCCAGCCTACCCAAGCCTGCATATATCTACGAAATATCCAAGCAATCGATACGACACCTTTGGCTACCCATCGCCTCCTCAATCCCCAGTGTCTCCTGAAAGTACTGGCCAAAGTGGCTCCATGAGAAGAGACAGCGAAGCACAAGACGAAGGCAGAAGAAACTTGTTAGCGCATGATGCAAATGCTGAAAAAAACGACATCTTTGGAACCAAAGGTGAAAATCACCATTACTTCGCAGAGCCAGACCAAATCAACCCTAATGAAGAACAACGTAGCACTACCCCCAGCAAAAGCGCACAGTCTTCTATCAGGGCTCAGAACACATCAGGGCATGGCCCACATACCAGGAACAATGGTATGAACACAAGATATTCACACCCTAGTAGTACAGGGTCAAGCGTGATCAGCTCCAAAAAAGTACAGCGCAGTGCCACTCCTATTCCGGATCAACGGCCTTCTAATTTGGCCAGGAATAAGTCAACATCAGGTCCAGCCATTAGAAATATTGGTCGTGGCTCAGGAAACAACCGACCTTGTATCTCAGGGCTAAAAACGACTTACTCCAGTGAGAGGCAACCCAGCGCCAATCCCAACCAAGGCAAACGTCCTTCTCTCATGACTATGAAAAACAGTAGCGTCAGTGAGTTAGGGACTAGAGCCCTCCAGACTCACTCCCAGACTCAATCTATCCCACCAAATCCAATTAAAAAATTCCAGTCTCAGAATACTGTTTCAAGACTACCACGACTCCGTCGAGCGACATGATTTCTTATCTCCAAATACAACAAGGCCAGAATATAACAACACTTCATAGAGCCTAAATTTATGGTCAAGATGAAGGGTTTAATAAAGCTATAACAGCTGATTCAACAAACGGCTATGCACTAGCCCTCGAAACAACACTTGATAGCTCTAGATTGACGCCGGAACGTCTTCTAGATACCTATCAAAGTGGAACTACACTCATTGACGCACTGTCCAAAGGGCAGGGTTATAAATTAACATATAATAGCAGTCATCATTATGCCATCATTAGTCGTAATTTTCTTTGTACTATTCAGCACTCTTTTTCCTTTGTTGCACAAAATCTGGATCTGACGTTATAAAGTGGATAAAACATCCCGCCGTTACATCTTTATTAGATCTCTCAATTAGATGATGATTATTACCTCTATAGATAAAATATAACTATCAACTGCAACTCGCAGACATTAGCTACATAAGATACTCCTCTGCCTAGACTTTGGTGGCAATGCTCTGGTACCGCTGGTAAAGATGTGTTGAATTATATTAATAAGCTGGAGTTGGAAGGCTAGGGAAGAGATGGCCTTGCACACAAAGAGGTAAATGTCGATTATAGGGCTATTTTTGATCGTTGGTTTGGACGTCCGAGAAAACATAGCTTTTCGCACCCACACACCCAGAACGGAAGATTGCCGCACATCTTGACGAATAACCTGCAAACTCCCTCAAAACATCCACCAGCTGACTTTTCTGGTAAATGAGACGTCAGAATATGGCGTAAGCAATTTACAATTATTTGTATTGCAAAATATGTTTTGGAGCAAACAGAAGAGATCCATAGACCGTTGAGCGACCGCTCTATACGTGCGATTATACAGCCTGGAGAGAAACCCTATTCGAACACAGTCCACTCATTATCTAGGTAGCCACAACAAGAGAGAACAAAAGCCTGTTCTCCACCCTCGGGAGCTGATTGCCGAACAGCTATACTTGGACTGCAAGCTGAGAAGATTTGAGCAAATATGTGAGACTGTCAGGCTTCCGATAAGCATCTTATCGTTCACAATCCGCTAATTGGTTCAACTAGAAGAACTAGAGGCGACAGTTCGATGCTGCGCTCCATTATTTCTAGCATACATGTAGGTTAACCCCGGGAGCCATACGCCAACCCGGAACTTCGGCAAACGCTGGATATTTGTTCAAGATGGCATTGCGCAATCAGATTTGTGCGCATATAAGCTGTTTTTGTCCTCCAGTGTTCAGTTACCAAATAACTGCAATACTTGTTTGAAGACAACAGAAGATCGTTCATTTCCAAAACATGTATTCCACACAACACATGTAGGCCATGAGCAACTAGAGAGAGCACATAGCGAGACCATCATCCAAAGAAATCGCCTTCACCATGGACATGGACAGTGATAGCCCGTCGTCCTCTGCAGCGCTGACCCCGGCCGGTGTCGACTTTTCCAATGAAACTCAAGCGTTTGACTTTTTGCAAGAGATTCTCGATGACTCAATTTTCGGCGCAGTTGGCAATCAGTACGCACGGTATTTCTGGTATGGAGTCGTAGTGGTCATTGGCATGGCGAGTCTCTGCAATTTTGTGCAGAGCTGCGTGCTGCGGATGAGGTGGGTTTTGCAAACCATGGATGTTCTCAACCTAAATGGAGATATCTAGCGTTGACAGTACAAATCAGACTCAGACGAAGCGCAAGAAACCGTTCTGGACCAGCAAAGCCCGCGAATCTCTTGACCCAATCCATCGCCACTGCGACCGCCCTCCTTCGAGAGCCGAGCTACCTCCAAATGACGCCTGTATCAGCATCAACTTGGTTAAAAGTGCCTCCACTTGGCCATGTTTATGTCGTCGCCGCGTATTTGGCTTTTATCCTTGCTCTAGTGTTTATCAACAACAATGTCCCTGGTGCACAGCACTTCCAGGCTCTGAGTATACGTGCTGGATGGCTCGGAGCGGCGCAAGTGCCGCTGCTGGTGTTAACATCAAGCAAGACAAGCCTGATTAGCTTCCTTGTCAACTCGTCTGTCGAACGGCTCAATGTCTACCACCGATGGGTCTCGCGTGGCTTGCTGTTGCTGGCAACTTTGCACTTTGGCCTACAGAGCCATGCCTGGAACCTCTATGGCCTGATGGCCCTTGAATGGCAAACCGACGAGTGCCCGCCCACAGGCATGGCTGCGTATGCCCTCTTACTCTGGATGAACCTGACCTCGCTGGCACCGTTGCGGCTCTTCTCGTATAAGTTGTTTGTCGTGCAGCACTTGCTCACCTATTTTGGCTTTACAGTTGCAATTGTCTATCACCTGTATGGGACTTCGTCGCCCTATTCGACTAATTACATCTACATTAGCATTGCCCTGTATCTGGTTGGTCAGTTAATTCGCCTTGTGAGGATGATTGTCATCAACATTCGACCGAGTAGAGTGACCCTGATACCGCTCGAGGGTAGTGCGACCAAGATCCGGCTTTCTAGCCGGCAGATCAAATCATGGCCGGCAGGCTCGTATGCACGCTTGTTCATCCCCCGGTTCAGCCTTTTGCAGGGACACCCAGCGACGATATTGTCGACTCCATCATCACATGGAGGTGATCTGGTGTTTATCCTGCGGTCCTGCGGCGGCTTTACCAAGCGTCTTCTCAGGGCTGCTCAAGTTGAGAAGCATCAGCCTATGCACCTGACGCTCATTGACGGGCCTTATCCCAGCCCGCATGCGGATTTTGCCTGCTTCGATACGCTCGTCCTAGTTGCCGGGTCGACGGGAATAACCTTTACTCTCTCCGTTCTTCAGGATATTGCAGAACGTGCCAAGATGCACAAAGCCCTTCCACTTCGAAGCGTTCATTTCATCTGGGCAATCAAACACCTCAATTGGATATCTTGGGTCTCCGAAGAGCTGCGCACGGCGTTCAGTGTTCTGCAAGAGGCGGGTATTGAAACGCTCTGTAGTGTTCATATTACCGGTGGCGATGATGTTGCTCGCGACGAGGAGTCTACTGGAGGAAGCCAACTTAAATGCTGCCAATCAAAAAGACACGAAAAAGAACATGACAGTGGAGTTGATGAACAGCCTATCCCTGGTAACGAGAAGACTTTGAAGGAGAGGATGCCGCAAAAAAAGAGACCAGAGAACCGTAGGACTTCGAATATATACCTTTCGTTCGCTGAGGTGCATTTCGGACGGCCTCCGTTCCGAAAACTCCTTGAAAGACGAGTGAGCCAGGCACAAGGCGAGACGGCCGTCGCCGTTTGTGGCCCATTCGGGTTATCAGTTGCAGTGAGGTTGGCCGTTGTGAAAGTAAGTGATAATTTGGCTGTAGACAAGGGGAGCGGATTGGATGGACTATACTTGCATGTCGAAAATTTTGATTAGTCGTGAAGGATTTATGTTAACAGGTCATCGCTTCGATTGCGACTAATCTTATCTTTCTCCTACCATGACTGTAGATGATTGATAAACGTGAGCACATACGTATATACAGAGCTTTAAATACCAGTAAGAGCTGATAATTTTCTTGAGAATTGTGAAAGTCATATATTTGATGACTAGGAAATATTCATATTAAATACACAACTGCTACTCTGTACATCTCCCCTCCTCCCCTGATGTTATAACAAGTCGAAACCGCACTACCACCACTATAACAATAGCAGAAACACTAACACTGACATTAATAAAAATAAATTTACCAACAATGGAAGCATAATTATCCGGTGGTTTAAATTAGCATAAAAAAGAGAAATATGGTCCTTAAGAAAATATATTCGTTGGCGGTCATTGGTAGTGCCCAATTCAACTAAGAATAGCGGGCTTGTGTGTAGGCAACAAAGCTCAAGTAGATTGGCTGAAAGTCGACACAAAAGGGTCTGGGTCGTAAACAAAATAGAATAACCAGACTAAACTCTTCAACTTCATTGATTGCTTGTGTTGATTTCACAAATAGCAGGATTTGACAAGCCAACTCTCCGTATAAATGTACATATTTGGAGAACCATATAAATAGATAAAAGTGAAATTCTTGAGGATCACTCCCAGAGCTTGCCAATCACCTTGATATTCCACTTGAAACCCTACAGATCTCCCGGACCTCGACGACTTCTTTGACCTCTTGCTTATTGCCTTCAGATTTGTTGGGGACTCGATCATAATCGAGATTGGTTCTAGATACTTTCTTGCGTATAATGTTCTCTTGCTCCGTGACGATGATGTAATTGCCCTCAGGTGTTGTTTCTCTGGATCGAATCTCATATCTTTCAAACATTTCTTCGGTTTCGGCCAGATGGGTCGCTCCTTGGCTACTTGTTCTTCCCATAGGCGATATCCCTCTCAGAGTATAGCCCAGTGATTGCGTCATAACATAACTTGTATCGACGAAAACCCTCGGGATTTCTTTCTCAGCAGCGGTAGAAGAGACATTAAATGCGCTTGTCTCTCGGTCTGCGGCTCTTGGTGTAGTATCAGAGGATGCACCGAGGTTGTTATCCGGTTTGCCAGTTTTATCAATTAGCACGTTCATGTCATTTATCGAGAAGGGGAGCATTATCTTGAGTATACCGACTCCCTTGGGTGTTAGCTTGTAGTTCCCCTGTTGGAGAGAGTATGCGGGTATCTTGAGCCACCGCTCCGCTAACTTGACAACACTGCATGCCTCTTCTCCGGATACTAGGAACCATTCTCTATGTTTTTTTTTGCATTGTGTACACCCGGAAATAAGAATCCTTTTGTGAGCTAGTATTGCGTGAGCAATTCTTTCAGCTTGGAAAGCACCAATGAACGTCCCCCCTTCGGTCTGATGAATAATCTTCGTCTCAAGTTTATAGCAGTTTCGAGGCTGCTTAAGTCTCTGGTCTGCAGACGTTCTCGTCCACCCAATCTTGCATAAATTAGATATTTTGGTATGCTCGCGGACATAAAGAATGCCGCCACACATGCTAGTAGCACTGGGAGGATCTCGTATCGTCTTGTATATTTCAACGTCGTCCTGCTCCTTCCCTTTTTCGGGGAGACGAACATCACCAAGCCTCTTAAACCTTTGCGTTTGTGCTTCGGCTTCATCAAAGCAGCGGCAGTCTGTCTTGGTCTGGGTGTCGTGAGCCGTAGTACAAATTTTCAAGCTCTTCATTTTCTCTGTAATGTAGGAGTCCGAGGTAGGATCCTCATATCCTGGACTATCAGGAACAGATCTTGGTAAAGTAATTCCTCTGGCATCAGAGAGAGACTCTAAGGAATCAGCGTGTGGTATCGCACTTCTTGGAGTCACTGGCGGTGAATCTGACGCAACTGTCTTCCTTTGTGCCTTCCATTTGTCAAAAGCCTCACAGGCATCCTCGCGATGTCGTCTTTTACAGTGCGTGAGAGTAATAAGGCTTTCCATTTTATCATAGAGGCTGCCAGTGTCGACACATTTTTTTAGAACTCGAAATTCAGACAACAGAGCCGTGAGTTTTTTCCGTTCTTCAGCTGTGCCAGGTGAATTTCCGCAGCGACTCGTGGAATCTTTCTTAAATCCTCGGCATGTATCAAAGTTGAATTCGTTCGGATGAGGAAATGGGTTGATGCCTTCTAGTATTAAGGCAAGTTCTGCGATAACTCGTGGGTCGATTGTGGTTGCCATGCTGAAGCAGGATTGATTCTTGATTACAGCAATACTCGGATTGTACTGTAGAGATGCTTGGGAGAAGTAATAACTATTATAGAATGATGGAATGAGGGGCTAGGAGCTAGGCTGTGCTGGTAAACAAAGAGTCGTATGCATGTTGGTTGTTAGTTTCTCTAGCTCCGCATTGTGTTCATGTGCCCTGCGATGGAAAATAATTTCACGATTAATGATAGGCTGATTCCATCACACCATGTAGCAGTTTCATGTAGCTAATCAAACATGGCAGCTCATTTAAGGAAGCTGAACACGGGTTGAACCATTTATAGACTCCTGCCAGAACGGCAACCCCGTGTTGTATGTGACGGCTTGTCTATTATTGGCTGCTTAATACTATTGCGGTATTAAAGCAGGGCTGTTAATTCTGGCCCATAGCACGGAAAGTTATTGCTATTTTCCCTGAAGAGACGATAACGTATGTTCATAGTATATTCAAGATATAGCCTGGCGCTGGATATCCCTCCACTTAATGTTTCCTATCGTGTGCAGTTTGAGGCATGCGAATTGGCGTCACTATTACTGCCTCGATTCGAAATACATTTCATATGTTGTTGGTCCTCCCGCATTATGTACGGGCCCCTCATGTAGCCAATCAAATACGAGTGATGAAAGGGGTGGTTAATAAATGTTGGATATTAAAAGACACATCCTCTTAAAATCCTTCGACGCTGCCTGGAGCCGAGGTTTGGAAAATGGACTAGTGAGGCCTAACTTTGTAATCTAGAGATGTAGGAATTGGGAGGCAAAGAATTATGATAAAAAAAGAGTTGGCGTGACCTCACATTTAATCACCTGTGATCGTATGTGCTTGGTTACTGTTTAATTTAGCTTAGCTTATCTATCCGTAGCTAGGTTAAATGAGGCCGTAATGTATGGAGACTCTGTACAGGGAATTTTACACTGATCTAAGAGTTAGGATACTACGACTGTATCTCGTGGCACTTCTGCTGAGCGTTTGAGTGAGCGATTTTTATCAGAGCATTCCCCTCCCCATCCCTCTTCTCTCTCTGCTCCCCCTTTTCTTCTCTTCTCTACATTCAAAAATAAAAAAATTAAAGATAAAAAATAATAATTAAAGAGCTATTCCTAGATTCTTCGTGTGTAGCTGCTGATGCTTCTGATAAAGGATGCCCTTAGCGATGTCAAAAGTGCTATATGTGATCTAGATAACTCTAGACTTTCTTCAACATATTCTGTGTCTTGTTCAGTTAGCTAGGCTGGGCCGTTCTGGGACTGATCGTTTGTATCTAATCTTGTCTGTGTATAGCAGGTATACGATATTTTATATGCGAAGCTTGCAAGAATCAAGATGTTCAAGAGGCAAATACTCCCTTTTCGTATCCAAGACGGCGTATCCTTCTACAATCTGTACATTCTTCAATACGTAAAGATGGTGAATAGAAAAGCTCCTGCCTGCAGCGTAAACGACTTGTATAGTTAGGGTAGGTAGGTATGTATATAATCGGCGGGAAAACTTTCACTCATTTGGTAATAGATCAAATGCAAGACTAACTTTCACATAAATTAATGGGTATTTCCGTGTATCTGAACACACCGTGCCGCAAGTCTTTGAGCTGCGTACTTGTTCTCTCAGTGTGCTTGTCGACCGTTTTGCGCAATGCTTTTACATCCGAATCACCGATTTCACTGCTCCTGCACGTCTCCCGGACTGATACTTCATATAAGCTAATGAAAGTAGCTCAGTAGATTTAAAATCCCTATCTATCTAACCGCGTTCCATGTCTAACAGCAAAACTGGCGATGAGGTTCTGCTATATCATCCCACACCTATTCTTTGCATTAATGTAATTTAGTCCTCTGCTATATACAAAGCACTCTCAGCCTCTGGGAACGAACGCACCTGGTCCTGCCAGTTGTCTTCCCCTTGGGGGAACCCCGTGAAAAAGTCTTGACAAGTGTACATGCAATGGGATCGTTAGGTGGGTTTAAAGCGGCTGTTCGGGGCTTGTGGCTCAAGCTGAAACATGACCATGAATGGGTGATACTATATCCCCAATAAGCTAAATGCATAGCTAGGGTCCTATTAGACGGCGTGATGGGAATTAAATGGCCCCGGCTATCTCGTATCCGGAGCGAGCTCTACGCTGACCATTAATGAAGAGATGAGTAACCCAAGATCTAAATAGTGCCTGTCAACTTCCAAGCTACTACTATTGCTTATTCGGAGAGACTGGATCTTTCACTGGCTGCTTCGGGATTTCGCCCTTGAGAGAGATTAGGCTGGCCTTCAACCCTGTCAATGACCAATCGTGATGTCCAGCGGCACACCTGAGTGGTAAGGCCATCGTGTAACATTCTCCACTGATATAGTCTTAATGTCTCCGAAATCATAGCTCCATGGCCCATATATTGCCCGTTTTGGTGCTATCATCGCCACTTCTATCGAGGCTACGGCGGCCTCTAATCGAGACATCTCCAGCCCTAGAACTGAAGGTATGAAACACGTAAGAGAAAGCCATATGTGATTGATCAAGTTTTAGCACAGTAGTAAAGAAGAGTAATTATTTCAGCCATTCTATGTCCAGCGAATGAAGCTCACGAGAGGGGCCGAGCGGATCAACACACATGCAAGTTCTGCGGAAGGAGGCGGACTATTGAGCTCCGCCTGTTATGGGCATTCTCGTAATAGTAACTCAATTTGAGCCAATTAGAAGTAAGATAAATTTGATGCAGAAGTTGTTTGGCATCTGCTTGTAGAATCCCAAACTCGCCGCACTCTGGGGTAAGAAATGGACTCTGGGGAAATGGCAGGAGTATGAATCCAGCAAAGAATAAACTCGGTTATCCCATCAATTATGAACTAATGGTTATTACTACTGGCTTAAGATTCCCATCTACGAATAGTCGCCGGCAATGTATTAATTGTAGTTGTGACTCATGTATGGGTGGTATGCTCATGCCATAGGATGGGGAAGAGCCTGTAGTTGTCCCATCGCGCAAGATCTGGACGACATCTGATATATCGTATGAGTTATGCAGTAGATAAACTACTTCAAATATAGCTATTATTCCTCAAAATGACTGTCTCCCAGTAACTTCCACATCGGAGAGCAGCATTCTCCGGAAGACATGGAACGCCGGGAGTGGGCCGGGAGGCGGATCTCGGCCTTAGCCCGGCCTGTTTTTAGTTCCAGACTTGGCGATGAAAGCCGTGCTTCAAATCTAGTCGGCATTTTCGAGCCGAGTGGCTGCTGTCAAACCGGGCCGCCAACTATATCGAGCCTAGTCACGATGCCTCGGGACGGCATTCGAGTTTGGATTGATCGATTTGTCAGGATATACGAAATGATGCCTTTTACATATATCTATTATCTACTCAGTATGTGCGATGGGTTGTATAAAAAGTTCTACTGAAGCTCGACGCAAGTAACTTTAGTTTGTGTTGGACAGCATATAACCCCAGTTCCCATTTCTCTGAATAGAACGTGGTTCTCCACCGGTCTACCGGCAGATATGATATATCGAGATGCCAAGACAGGATCTGCCTTGGTATCGCGGGAGGCGCTGCATGATCAAAGCCAAGCCATTGTTCTCACCCTGATTCTTCCAAATTGTTTCGTCGCTGTTCTATCGATGCGCTAGAAGGCGAATGGGGTTCGAGAGTACTCCACTCGGCTTTTTTAAGATGTCGTCATTGTGTGGCGTGAGGTTAAACTCTCCGTTCCGTGGGACTACGGCACGTTCGGAAGACGCACAAAGAGGATAAATTTTCCGATGCAGAGTGGTTGTCTCAAGTATGAAGACGAAGAACCTGTCTTCCTGACATGCTTATTGTTTCTTAAATAATACCAAAAACATTAAGTCGTAAAGTATCTAAATAAGAACGTCAATGTACGTGATGTAAAATGCTGGACAAGATTTCCTTGGCCAACTCGATGCATTTGGAGTATTCCATATGGTATGGGTCCCAAGATTCCTCTCCGCAGAAGCACCTCTGACACGACTAGTCATGTTAAATCAAACAAGGCTAAAGCTCCTTGAAAAAAATATTTTTATGTAGCTGAATGTGATTTGGCCACAGCTTCTCCGAGGTCGGATGACACACTGACTCCCGAGCAGACTGGATCTACGCTCAACCCTCGGTACAGCTGGCAATAGCTGGCACTTTTGTCCGGAATCATAGCACGCCCTTTTCGTTTATTTGACGAAAGTAGTCAGTTTTCAACCGTGTTAGTGGGCCGAAAAAAAAAGTTCCAATCTTCGGACAAAAGTCGTTATAGTCAACCACACGGAGCGATCGGCATCTCCTTGAACTAACCAGTAGTACTTAGCTAGGCTGGTATTCGTATCTACTCACCACCAGTTTGTCTATATCGCAAAACAGTCATCCACGGAACAGCCTACGGGAGATACATAGTTTGTATGACTATTGCCACGGGCTCCAGACGATGGAGTCTGGTGCGGTGAAGTAGTCTCAAATGTGGCGACTGATTGGAGTTGCGATGCATCTAATGTCGTACTACTAAATATATTTATATATCCCCAGAGTGTCTTAATTTCCCCAGAGAGCCTCAATTGTTTTGCCCCATCGTTTGCTGCAGGTTTTCAGGAACCAAACCCGTGTCTCATTAATCGTCTGTCGCTTTCAGAATTCTTCAATCGTTATATCATTGATGCGCAACGTATAGCTCGCTTTCGACCGTTTCCAATCATTAACATGGGCTCTGAGAAAGAGGATTATTCCTCTGGACCCGAGGATGGCTCTACCAGTCCCAATGTCGTCCTCCCAGCTGCCATCAAGCCACAGCATCGACCTCTCCACGATGCTACCGTCACTCTCGAAGAATACATGTACTACGCTGAGAAGACAAGAGCAGAAGAAGATGCCGTCGCAGCCACAAAACCACCTACTACTTTCATGGAACTGATATTCCCATCAAAAGGAACCGCAAGAAGGATAGAGGGAGTGCAGCCCAACGAGAAAGAAGCAAAGGAAAACCCGCCAGCACATGCAGATCAGGCACCCTCCAGTGACAAACTGCAAATCACAGATCTAGAATGGACAAATGCAAGCCGAGCGTTACGTTCTGCAAGTGCGGCTGCGTGCTTTTACTTGATTACAACGGACATCTTGGGTCCATTTGGAGTCGGCTTCTCTATCGGTACGATGGGCTGGGGAGAAGGCATCGGATTGTTCACCCTTTTTGGACTCTGTGCTGGATTGTAAGTTGTCAAGGTTCTGCATGGATGCTGTTTGTTTGTTTACTAACACAGTTTAGTTCCGGCTACCTTCTCTGGAAAGTATTCTTAGACGTCGACTCATACGAATTTCCGACCAAGAACTACGGTGATCTTGGTTACCGCATCTGGGGACCTTGGCTTCGCTATACGATCAATTTCCTCCAAGCCCTGCAACTAATGATCAGTGTTGGCATTCTTGTTATCAGCAATGGCCTTTCGATCTCGCAGGTGTCCAAGTTCCGCCTCTGCTACGTCGTATGCTGCCTGATCTGGGCAGTTGTGGGCTTCTTCTTAGGACAAATCCGGACCCTTAACAAGCTGGGTTTCCTGGCGAACTTCGCCGTTGTTCTCAACCTTATGATCATGTTTATCAGCATGGGTGTCATGGCCCATAGTGAACCGAATTACGGTGCTGCTCAGTCCGGCTCCGCTGGTGCTGCTTTGGGTGGTCAATCCGTCGCGCCATTTGCCAACGGAACTTATCCTCCCGTTGAGAGACATGGCGGCATTCCTCCTTCAACCAACGGGTTCATCGGCTCCATCAATGGTCTCATGAATGGTGTCTATGCATACGGAGGTGCACAGTTGTTTGTTGAGTTCATGGCTGAGCTTCAGCGACCTCGGGATTTCCTCAAGGCCATGTGGGGTGCTCAGTTCTTCATCTACGCCTGCTACATGTCCTATGGATCCTTTGTTTACTACTACCAGGGACAATATGCCAATCAAGTAAGTTTCTCAGATATGTGCAAGCCGAAATATCACATATTTAGATCGCGCATGCTAACAACTGCCAACTATAGCTCGCTTATCAGGGCCTGTCACCTTATGCCTGGCAAACTGTTTGCAATATGCTTGCCGTCCTCAGTGGAATCATTGCCGCGACCCTCTACGGCAATATTGGAATCAAAGTCATCTACAACAACGTGTTCATGGAGATATTTAGAGCTCCGCCACTCACTACTACTGGTGGTAAAATCCTGTGGGCCGTCACGGTTCCAATCTATTGGACCATCGCTTTCATCATTGCTGCATCTATCCCCGACTTCTTCGGCTTGACTAGCGTTATCGCTGCGGTTTGTCTTGTGCAATTCACGTATACATTTCCTGCCTTTATTGGTCTCGGGTATTTTATCCAGAAGAATGCAATGCAAGGCGAAGAAGCCTTCAACCCGGCAACAGGTGTCGTTTATCGCCGGGATTCGGGAATAAAGCGATGGGTCCGCGGCTTCTTTGCCAAATTCTGGTATATAAATGCTATGCTGCTCATCTACACACTCGGTTCAATGGCGCTGAGTGGGCTGGGAGCATATGCAGCCATCGAGGGCTTGATGGCTGCATTCAAATCACCACAGATCAACACATTTACATGCAAATCTCCCCTGGAAGGTTAAAATGGAACGTTAAATAGATAAATTAGATAATGATAGAGCGATAGAAATAGACGACTGATGGTTAAATTACTTCCGAGACCAGAACAGTAGCTTCCATCCATTTACACTAAGGCATCTCATACTGTTTACAGGACAGACATGTTTAGAATAATCCTCCTCAGAGTTGTTGACAGTTCCTTGCTCTACAATCATCATGAGCGGCATCATACCCTCCAGCGCCGCTTCCCAACAGTTGCTCGGCAAACATTCTCGACTGCATTGGGATCTTTTATTCCCATTAGGAGGCCGATTTGTCCATGATAAAACGTTGAACAAGCGTGGCAGAATTTAGCCGTTCAAAGACAAATGAGACAAGCATTTCATGTGTCCAGCCACATAGTGTAGCTATCTTCTTCATTGACCGCTACTATGCATACAAGAAAGGCTTCAATCACCCCACATGAGATGTAGGGGGCTTGGCAAGAAGCCTATTGTTCAAGGCCACATATTTGTGGCTGTTGCCCCTGCCATCTAGTACAGTAAGACCAATCTACGCCTGATATTTCTTAATAATTACCTACCTACCTATGGAACAATCGCTTTTGGGATGTACCGCTACAACAAAGAGAGCAAGGCGGGTGGACTCTACTCTGTGAAACCCAATCCATGTCCTAAGCCCCAGTGACTGTGTCAGAGCTCAGCCGCAGCTGACAACCTGTCGGCTTGCACGTCGCTTACAGGACGCAAATAACTAGGGCATACACTTTGGTGGCTAGTGCCGTCATTGACGGTAGCTATTAATCGGTGCCCGGATTCGTCTTCCGAGTAACCAAGACCTCCTTTTCAATGCACTTCATCAGTTTCCCCGTAAGATGATTTCCGTTTTGTTTATTGTCAGCATCTAAAAAGAATAAAGTTTGCATTTAGCTATCCGCCAAGTAACCGTTGTGAAATTGGGGGCGAAAAACTCGAGTTCATACGGTGTCAATGTTAGCTTCTGGGTGGAAGAGAATACCTCCTGATTCCATGAACACTTCATTCCATTGCTCTCCTTACATACAAGTGTGCCTTTTTTACGCTAGATTACGGTCCCAAATACTAGACAAGTGATTAACAGGTGGCGATGGCCACCAGGATTGACGGGCTACTTTGACACTAAACGAGCACAGTGAGGTGTTGGAGCTTCGATGGCGGCAGAGCTGAGCGTTAGTCTTATTCCAGCGTATCCTGATGTGGCATTCAGCGGTAGTCGATTCGAATCTAGTTGAGGGGCTCCCGCGGCTAACAGCCTAGGTCATTGTACTTGTTCAAATAGTCGGAATATTTTCATGCTATTAGGATTTAGCGGGTATTTACTCCTGCTAATGGGTCAAAAGGTCCAATCAGGCACGTTTCTGTTTAGGAGTAAAATGATTCAAGCCTTGAGGCTGGAAATCTAGGCCTAGATCTGCATTGTATTTGCTACGTAAAGTCAAGCTAAGCGTGCAATCTCTTTTCGCGGTTTGGGCCGAAGTTTTCTTGTGAAAAAGCAGCATTTTAGCGTAAGCAAGGGGCTGTCTTCAGCTCACTAGGAAAATTGGGAGATCAGATGAGTGTCAAGCGAAGACACCAAAAGGAACTAGTTATGAAGTGGTCAGAGCGATCATAATAAGATCAATGATTGCTGGTTGCGCAGCCTGCTTCTTCCAGACTCTCTTGGCACACAACCAAGTCTCAAGATGGTGTCACTCAAGATCTTGTTCCCTGCTCTCCTCTTACAAGCCCAGTCCGTACTGGGTATTGACCGTGTGTGCCAGCACTTCCCATATAATGAACTGCTCCCTCTCAAGAACTACCCACCAGCGGAATCCTACTGTTCCCGTCATTGTGAGTGATCTTTTGGGCAATGTCGAGCACCTGTACTAAACAAAACAAGATCCCTTGCCTGCTTCGACTGTCACTCGAACGATGACGATACCGACGACTGCAGTTGTGACCATCTCCAAACCTATCCACACTCTTACGTTCACCACCAGTGTTACCACGTCTACTGTTTACACGTCGACTGCGACAGCGTACGTCTATACGACTACAGCGACTGCCACAACTACCACTGGAACTTCGGTAACTCATCTTTAATATTGTATAGCCTCGATATGATTCACCATCTGACCTTCCCTGTGCAGACCCAGACTATCTACACCGGCACGGAGATTGATACAGTCTACACTCAGACCAACCTAGTCACCGAATACACTGCTACATCAACGGATTACCAAACAACAGGAACTGACACGATGTGAGTTCATCACATGCTGCCCAAGTTTGTGGACACAAAATGTAACCGAGATACAGCACCACAACCATAGCTACACTTCCCACGACGATCACAACCGCAACAATCACAGTTTTTGCCTCCCAGAAAACCACGGCTACGGCGTCATCTGGAACTACTACGGTCTACACAACTGTCGACACCGGTATACAAAAGCGCCATTACCATGATTATCGTGATGATCTTCTGCCGAAGCTGGCAAAATGTCAAAATAACATCCTGAAGACGGCATGCTCAGTATGTCTCATCTCGAAGCCTTCCATCCAACGATCATTTGCTAACGAAATGAAGTGTATCGAAGTTCACGCACCGACACATACTATCACGCACACGACTAAATGCACCCATACTTCGTTCAAAACTGTCGGGGGGGCTACTAAGACCGTGAACGTAGTTGGTACAATGACAACAAAGCAAGCATTAACATCCACCATAAGCACCGCATCTGTGAGTTTGCTTTCCCTGACTTGGCTACTAAAGTAGCTCCTAATTTCCCCGCTTAGACAACCACTACCTCTGTTGGTTATATCACAACATTATTGGATGTCGAAACAGATACTACCAGCATTGACTCCACCTCAACGCTGTCAACAGTCTTTGTGACCGAAGTTCCCACAGCAGCTGCGACTACGACTTCAGTCACTTATTTCTCCCCAGTCAACGTCGCATTCACAACAACGTCAACTACCACGTCTACTATGACTGTCACAGTACCTCTCGCTACCACTACTGCCTCGATTAATGTTGCCTACACCAAAGTATTTGGCCCAACAGACGGATGCGCTTACGTCTTGGAAGCGTATGTATTCTTTCGGCAATGTGAAAATTAAAAGATAAAGTAGCTAATTTCACAATTACAGTGACTACCTGGATCAATATTCACAAGATATCCCTACCGGCACACCACACGCTGATAGAGTTGCCATCTGCGCTGCGTTCTGTGACAGAACGCCTGGATGCAAAACATTCGGTATGAATTGGTTCCCGTCTTGCGGAGCAAATGGCGAGTCGGTTTATTGCATTGCTTCTCAAGATGCATGGGCAGGCTCGGGTACTATGGAATGCGGTATTGGAACTGGTTATAATGGATGCTCCATCTACCAGGATGGCACTGTATATCAGTATGCAGCCCCCTCCATTCCGTATAAGGAGTATAGCTAACTGAATCTACAGAAAATCTTGAGCTTGAAATTAAAACTTGATAACTCACATATATTTGGTTCACAGGTCTCACACTTGTCATGTCAAGGCGCATGATCTAGAAGCGTCGCGACAGATATCTAACAAGCTTTTAAGCCCTAAATAGTAAACTATAATGTAATACATCGACCCTTATAATGTAGAATATAAGTAATCAGTAATTTCAGTACTTGGCCGACATATTTTGATAACTAGATTTAATGTCCTCAAGACTGAATTAGGATATGTGTATAAGGCGTGTATTTGAAGATAATTCGGAGCACATGCTACCATTTGAATCACCCTCGACCCCATATATAAATATTGTAAAGAACTCTAAAGAACTACTCTAGAAATTTTTATTTGCAGATATAAGGAGCAGAAGGAATTATGCCCTTTTCCAATTCCCCATCAATGAATGACTTGGGCCAAATCTGTATTTGTCACATATTGCACGGAGTATTGATCAGTTTACTGTAAAGTGATTCCCATCTTCGAATACACTAATTTCAAACTACCCAAATAATGTTGGTGATATATAGCTGAACTTACTATCAGCTCTCCAAGGGGACATAAGATGTAACCATATATATATTAATTATCAAGCAATGTACTTTAACGAGAGATAAGTTAGAGCTCCATAGAACAAAGGGAATAAATGGATATCAATATATGATACCTGGGAAAGAATGTGAGGTATCGTGCTGAATAAACAAACAAAAAATACATGTTGGGTAACATGCCGTACAGAATAACTTGACATCATCACATCAAGTGGCCATTTAAGTGAAAATGCGGGATTGTAACACCCACTCCCTCTGGGCCGTCTCCAATATATCATTTTCTGAATCGAACCCGTTTGCAATTCCTTCCAGCCCTGACTCATCAAATCTCCACGTCTTAGGCGGATCATATTTCCATGATGGCAATTGGCGCGAATCTCCCATATTGTCATTGAGCTGGAAGTCACGGTCCAAACTTTCATAAATCTTATGAACATCATTTTCCCGTTTAGTCCAGTATACGGATTGAGGTTTATTGAGATGCGATCGTATAGTATTCAAGAGTGATGAGTGAATCCAAGCCTGCTCCGCAAGGAACTTGTGGTCGTGACGCGAATAGCCGTTGTATACCACATCGGATGGCGAGGCAATCTCTCGTATGATGTTATGGTGGATGTCCATGGCGTAGGAGAAATATTCTTCTTCATCGTAGCCATCTACCACATCCAAAGCCATCGTAGCATAAATGCTTGCCAACAGCCGCGATACTTCCAACGTGTCTTTATGAAGTCTCCCGCGGGCTCGCTGCAAGTTGTAGTACAGCTGTTTCGTTGTACGAATTGCGTCTCTATATAGTTTTTGAGCACACTGTACATGAACCAGGAATTTGCCAATCTCGATAATCTTTTTAGTATCGGAGCCGAACGTTGATCGGATGTCTCCACGCGAATCCCACAAGCGAGAAAGCACCCGTTCAAGCTGTTCATGGTTGCCTTGGGCGTGCAGCAGATTGATGAGGCCGACTAAATCCTCAGAACGAAGTGTTTCGAAATCTATTTCCAGAGTGTCAAATGCATTGATAACGTCGTGCATAATAGCCTGCGAAGTTTCTATCATGATTGCCCCGTGAGTGTCATTGGGGTGATCAGGGCGAAGTGTACCAATTCCAACCAAATATTGGGCAAGAATGTATCCATAGCGGATACGGCGACGCTCATGATAGAGGCGCTTCTCTCCGGAGAATTGCATTATAAATCGGCTGATTTGGCTGGCGTTATAGAACTCGCCGTTGTCCAAGAGACCCTTAACGTGATCATTACCAACTTCTAGCATGACAGTGTCAAACTCGAAATTGACGGTGGGTCGATCTTTGCCGAGTTCATCCATTAAACAGTAGTAAAAGTTTTCTTTTACATCTTTATTGCAGTCAATCTCAAAGTATTGGGCATATGCCATTTTGAAGCGATCCAAGAGGTCTTCATCAAGAGTTTTAATAAAGTCTTCGCGTTGATAGGCCTGCCAGAACCGACGAAGCCTTGCACCGTATTGTAAAACCACCTCTATAGGGGCCTCCTCGTTGTTTATACGCGAATATTCTTCATAGAGCAAGGATTCTAGGACGATCTCAGCCATAATCTTGGAGTAGGAGATGTTTTCGGTGTGCTGTTCAAGACCATGCCCGAACGCAATTAAGAAAATGAAGATGGCCTTCCTCGTCTGAGAGTTCAATACTATGTGGATATCATTTTTGGAAAAACGTTCTCCGTAAATGACAGTTTTACGCATTTCTTCGAGAAGGTCCCTTCCATTCTGTATCAAATCGGCATTGACAAAGAGCGCGGCCAACGAAGCAGCAGCATGGAAGAGTGTCAAATTGACAGCAGCGGCGGTGATAATGTGCTGGGCTGATTCTATCAGGAGCTCTCGTGTAAGTCTTCGAGACTCCTCTGTGTCTACTTGTTGATATAACAAGATGACACAATCGAGTTGATGTAGTGTCTGCTCAGGGTAATCCTCAAATGCGGCCTTATACTGATGATAGGTTTCAAGTGAGATCTCAATAGCACGCTCGAGAGAAAATGTCGTTTTTTGAGAACCTTTAACAATCGTCACATACATCCGTGATAGACGTTTCTTGACAGTCTCAACTGTAATTTCTTCGATTGTGTCGGTAGTTTCTATCGTCTTCAGTTTGTCGAGGACTTGTTCATAGTTCTTGATCGATTCTTCATGATGCTCATCACGTGTTTCGCAAATCTTTGCCAGAGTAATTAGAGCATTAATGACCAATTCGGGATTATCATGATAATGTTCGCTGATTATATCCCTGTATTCAACAGCGATGTGATATAGCACTGAAAAATCCACGTTGACATGGAAATCCAAGACGTGAGAATATTTTTGATAAATAGATGCAACATCGTTTCCGGTAACCTTGAGTTCTCCTTCAAAATTCTTCTGCTCACGGAGACGAAGAATAGTCGCCCACAATACGGTACAGATGGATTGAAGACTATCCCAAAGCCGACGAGCATCGTAGTGTATGGAAAGAGCCAAAGCAGCCTTGATAGCGTCGTGATGACAATAGTTGATGCCGCCGTTCAGCAGAGTCACTATTTTCCCATAATAGATATAGGCAGATTCGAGGCCGAGAGTCTGGTGATAATCTGCTATAAAATATAGCGTTTCGATGGTTATATCGTGCTTTTCACCCAACTCCTGTTCATATTTGTCTAATATTTGCGTATAGACACCAATGACCTCTCTGTGGCGATGATGTTTCTCATAGAAAGCAACCAGGATAGCGATAGCTTCCTTAAGAAGCTGGGCTCCAGTAAGAGGACTTTCTTCCGTACCAAGATTGTCTTCGAGCTTCACGGACATGCATGCGTAAAAAATTTGTAGGTGTATCTTCTCCGCCATCTCAAAGAGCTTTTGGGTAGAATAACAATCTGCCAACTGGCGCGCTACAGCTATGCATTCTTCGATATAGTGCTCACAGAGCCTAACAGTGGAGCTATCCGTCAACATTTCGTTCCATGTAAGCTGCAGAGTCCTCTTGAGAGCGGCTTCAGCTTCACGCCAGTTGTTTTGCTGGTTATAAAGGCTTATCAATGCTTTCGTTGCTGAGAAGAGAGATGTGCCCGTCTTATCCTGCTCGTATTCGTCAACAAGACGCCCAAAGAGTTTTTTGACCACACTTTCTGTCTCCTCTGTAACGACTGTTTCTGTTTTGGTATTTTTAGTGACAGTAGTATCACTGACTTCTTCCATAACTCTGTTCATAAGCAGCACAGTCTTCTGGACTTCTTCATTGGAGCCGTATGTACTGAATGATTCCAATACCTTAGTCAACATGGAGACAGCAATGCTTGATAAGCCAGCCTTTTTGCACTCTTCTGCGACCTCCCTGATGCGGATGATGATTGTCTCGGATTCGAGGGTATATTTTTGGTACTCGGCCCAGAGACATATCAGAATGCTGCACGCTTCTTGAATGCGATTTTGTCGGCCAAGGAACCTGGCGTATTCCAGAGCAATATCGATCCTGACCAAATGAATATCCACTTTTACTGCTGGAGAATAATTTGCAGTTATGCGCTGCCAAAGGCTAACAAAGAGTCTTTCAGCGTGGGAGAGATGCTCCAAATTTTTGCAACTTTCATATGACCGCGCCAGCCTCATCCAAAGCTCGATACACCGGAGATCTGTGATTTCAATATTCTCGCTGGTTTCAAATATCAACTCTTCGAGTTCACCGATCTTGTCAATTGGTGCGCCGTTGAGAACTATGTCCAGGGTAGCAAAATACGCGTTGATTTGCTTAACTCGGCTCGATTCTTTGCCCTCCCTGGCGACCAAAATGGCACGTATTTCTTGGTAAGTAGCCATAGCCTGCTCTTCTTTCTTCATATCGGTATAAAATTTAGCGAGCTTCTGGTACCAAGAAATCACTTCATCACTGTGGCTTCCATACGTTTGTCCATCAATTTCGATCGCAAGTCGAAGCATCTCTTCATACCAAATGACGATATCGATTTTGTGCTTATTATGGGTCGTGAATATCTCAATGTCATAGTTTATCTCAAGCCCTGTGACACAATCAAAGAAAATGTCCATACACTTCTTCACAAGCGTAGAGGTCTCGGACAAGATCTCTTTCCCAAGCTTGGCAGCTCCATAAAAGTAGAATGAGGCATCAGTCTTTAAACCAAGAATATTGAGATAAACATGTCCAAGCGTGATGAAGTTGTGAAGAACGACGACTTCTCGATCTTTGAAGCAATCTTGCCGAATTTGGAAAGCCAATTTATGGCTAGTCACGAGTTGCTCTTTTGTATATATTCTTGTCCAGCAGGTTCTTTCAAGAAGCGCAAACGTAATAGAATTAGGGAATACTTCCGATACTTCGGGCCCTGTGAAGCCCGATGCTTGAAAATGCTCTACCCAATTCTGCACAACGTACGCGAGAAGCGGATCTGCAGAAAACAAAGAGAGAACAAAACCATAGTCTAAGACATTTGTAGAAATATCTCCAATGTCCTTTAGTGTGAATTTGACATAAAGTAACATTAACAATGTCAATTGCTTCTGTGTTGCTTGCTCAGACTGTATCGACATTTTGAAGAGGTGTTCTTTCATGAATGATTGAGTAGTTTTAGTGCGAAAATGTACATAACCGTCTTTTATCGTGACGAAGTTGGAGAGAGATTTGGAGATGAGGCCGGCAACGTCAGGACCAACAGACATTGACTGGCTTTGAAGGTCAACTGAGAGGAGTTTTTCGAGCTCTATCACTGTTAGTGGTCGAGTAGCAACCAGCATTATAGATAGAATAGTCTTTAAATCGTGATTTTGTTCCAGTTGAAGCGATTTGACAAGCTTAAGAAGTACGTCCGAGATCTTTGGGCCTATCTCATGACTTGTCTGAATAATCGATGCCTTTGACCTCTCTTTAGATATGATTTGAACAGCATAAAACGCCCAGAGCCAATCACCGCCAGCCTTGATTGCCATGCTTTTGATAATATCATCAGCCTCTTGGCGACTTAAATGACGGAAATAGCGAGAACGAGAAAGACTGTCACGAACATAAGCCCGGATATCCTCACGTATTTTGGAAGGTTCTATTTGACGTGCGTAAACCTGAACCGGATCCGGAACTGAGCGACAGAATGCGACGACCTGCACAGGGAGTCCGGTGATGCATTCCTGAAGCCTAGCATAGAAGTCTTCTTGTATTCCCGCAATTTCGTCGCAGTCATCCAAAACAATAACTATTGACGCCTGCTGAATATGAATGGCCCCAAGGCAATTCTTAAACGCTTTCCAGAGGATTGCCTCCGTAGGCTCAGAGTCTTTTCGAGCAGAATGATGGTGGAAAGCTTGCGCTATAGCTTTATACACACCAACATTACTGATGTTTTGTCCAAGCAGAGTGAAGAGAATACTCTTCAAAAACGCAGTAGAGGTTGCTCTATCAGGAGAATTAAACGCTATAAACCTGCTGTTAGCAATGAAAGCGTACACTTGGAAGCAGGAAAACTCACGAAAAGTGTATCGAAGAACGTGATACGATTTGACATTGAGTGGTCGAGCAAGCCTCTCCTCCACCCACTTGGAGAGGAAAGTTTTACCGCTCGAGTCCTCACCTGTCAAAAAGAGCAACTTCTCTTCTCCACTGAAGAATTCAGAGAGGACATCTTTTAGCCAATAGCACGTTTTGGAGTGTGGAGCGTGGTAATCGCCCACTTTCTCATAAATTCTGTCTGTGACAGAGTGGTTGTACGGGTATTGAAGCTTCCAACGGAGCTCCTTGAGAGTAACTGATGGATACGCCTCTTGGAGCTTATGCTTCCAAATAGCATCGGAAAGTGCTTCTTTGGATCGCCAAATCTCACGAATCTGCACCCCAAAGCTAGCGTCGAAATCGATGTATGCTCGCGATCCAGGCTTCAGATCACTGATTTTCTGTTGATACACTGCCGCGATGTTACCAAGAAGAGCAACCAAATTTTTGAATGTTTTGGTGGCCTCGTATTGTATCGCCTGCGACGGCATGTGAAGATTGTGAATTCGGGTTATATCCATGAGAAGAACAGAAAACTCGTACAAGGCAGTAAAGGTTGGTAGAAGCGCTTGAGCTTGTACGTGCCCGATCTGAATATAGGTACGATTAGCCATCGACTAATAAACAACTCAAATTTTGCCTTCAGTTAGGAGCATACCTCAAGCAATGCATGAGAAGAAGCAAGAGCTGCTGAAACCAAGTCTCCTGTTTTGCTGATTGCAACAGTGTTCTTTTTTCCGTTGAAAAACGCATCCACGCTTTCTCCAGTGAAAATAGCACTATTGGGCTCAGCAGATCCATTAACGAAACCGTTAGTCTCCCCACCATGGAGAGGTGAGGATTTCCCATCCCAGTTGGTGAAAGTATCGACCCTGTCTCCAAATTCAGAAATATGAAGGCCAGAGTATTGAGCAGCTTGGAGAACCCGATCCCAGGCGTCGCCTCTGTCCGGCATTCTAATGAGGCGTTCATCTGAGATATATTTGAGATACCACTCCAAAGTAAAGTCAGCGACGTGAATCTTCACATTAGCAGTAGGCTCGGCAACAACAGGACCTTGTGGCCCACCCCTCTGTATCACAACTGGAGCATTTTCCACCACTCGCCTTGATTGGCGCGTGGTAACAGTGGTGAAGCTCGTTGTAGTAGGAGGTAAAGTTTTAATAGTCGTGGTTACCACTTCATTGTTACTGTTGTTGCGTTGAGGCGACACTGGCCTGACGACTGTCGCCTCAACATCTACGTCTCGTGTAACCTCTGTCAGCGGAACAGAGGGGGGTGGCTGTGGGAGTACCAAGCCGCGAGATTTTGTGGGTTCCATAGTTTCAGCGCGTCGTGGGACTTCAGGTATGACGAAATTATTTTCACTTTGTACAGACGTTGCCGCACTGGCCGGAGTGCTACTCGTTGCCGTGGATTGGGCGGATATAAGCTCAGCAGTCTTATTGCTTTTCTTCCCTAAATAGGTCGTCAGTCCCATGGTTGGAACAGATATGTGCTTGATGAATACGCCACCACTCTTGTTGGTCTCCCAAAGTATACAAGAGTTGACAGAGCTAATACATACGCGCACGTACCTCTAGCAAAACTTTTGAAAGATTTCATGCTGAGTTGTAAACTGATGGTAATATGCGAATTCACCCTGATTAGAGATTTATCAGGGAATTAAGGAAGAAAAGGCATGAGGAGTCATACCCGTGTCAAGAAAGCTGTCTCACAGACCCTGTTGGGATGGAGAAAAGGAATATCTGAGTGGGTTACGTATGACAACTATTGATATATATAGAGGACTTACCTCATAGATTGTGGTACGTATACGTGCGTGTATCTTGTCTTAGTATACTTTGTTCTGCATATAAATAAAACGAGGTAGTCAACCTAAATCCGCATTAGATGCAACCCAACGAGAGCCTCACACCGAAAGCTCGCCTCATTGGTGGTATGAAGTTCGGCCTCGCAGACCGCGTCTCCAGGTGGCTTGCATGCAGCCGGTGAATGTGGACTGGACTCTGACCTGGCGGCCAGGTTGTCAGATCACGAGCCTATCAGAAAGGATGGAGCTTGTGTATTCAACTGAAACTTGCATTGTGACCACGTCTCTGTGTTTTGTACATGGGAGCCTGATGCGCAGATATTCTCGAGATAGTTGTTTTCGTTCTTCCTTGCTGCGCCTCGTATATACTACGCGTGCTCATTTTGAATATCTCTACCTTGACGAATTACATCCATCACTGCTCAAGATGCTCTAGGAGAACCCACATAAAATTGGAATACTTCATAATACAGAGTAGGAACGTTAGTAATGCTCCCGTAGCAAAGAGACACAAAGTTATGTCTATTTGATCATGACATAAAGTCAGAGGGGCCGGATTATTCATTAGCTATACTCAAATTGCTTTGCATATATCTGCCGGGGTATTGAGCATGGATACTTCTTCCGGCTGCATTTCTCACTCGGCTACTCTCAGAATCGCCGATGCCCTGCTCACGATCCCACCATCCTGCCTTGGCCGCAGAACGGCCGCCGCAGGCTACGTGTAATTATAGCATAGGGCTGCTCCGCCACAGATAATGTGTTGAATCATCATTGGCAAAACGCCAGGCTCTGAGAAATTTGAATGAGACATTGGTCCGTTCCGCCGTGCCTTATCGCGCTTGGGCCATCCCAAAGGTTAGATCATGAAGGATTTTCAGCTCAACGGTGAGTAGCTCAGCTCCTTGCATTGTGGCTAACCGACGTCGGATCTGGCATTATTATACGGCAATTACCACTTGAGTACGGAGTAAACCGGTGGCGTTATAAAATAGTAGGTATTGGCTTGCTAATGCGACGGGGACGTAGCCTAACAGGCGGCTCAGCTGCTTCTGAAAACGGAGCTATCATTGTGGCAACTTTGCAACGGTTTGGAACTCCGAATGCCCAAAGAGGGCGGCCTGTAATCTGCAGTTACTATTTTGAGATATTGCTGTAAGAAACCATTAGTAGAGCCGCATATTGTGGAGCTGTACACCGAAGAGCTCAAACAATAACTGTTGACTGACCGCTCGAAAAACATTCTTTATGGCCATGGAGCAAAGGATAGATGAGCACGCATCTAGGGCAGCTTGTGGGAGTCTTCTCGTAATAGCTATATATCCATGAGACGGACGCATCCTCTAGGCTTCGCTTCAGTTCGTTTATCCAACACACAGATAGATAACAGTGGAGTGTATTTGATCTAGGTAACGGGCGGGACTTCGTATCCATTTAATTGAGTAAATCGCTCTATCGGAACACATATTTTATGCTACGGACAAGACATTGGTGTTCTCTATGGAAAGATTAATGTCGCGATTCTTGCATTGATATGGAGTATGTCCCTGTATATCACATATCAACAATGTACAAATAACTACGTGAGACGGCTAACCTGCTGCCATATTGGTAAATGTACATGTAAAGTTCCCATTCGGTCCCTCCCGTCACAGTGAACAATTCATACCTGCATCATCACCGAAGCCACAACTGGATGCCTGTATTAATATTCAGTAAAAAAAAGGTGTATAACAGAGCCTCAATTTCTCACCATCCGGAGAATATCTTGAAACTACGCCATCACTCCTGTAAAGACACCGTTGTATGCGGGAAGTTTGACAGCGAATGTGCGGAGTACATATGCCAATCCTGATTGGTTTGGTCTGCACCAAGTATGGCGAATCAGGCGGGAATACAGCCAAATGATGCATATTCTCAGCTAGCCACACAATTCGACACTAACTTCAATTAGCCGAGAAAATGCTTCGTGCGTCTATGGCGATGAATTGGGCAGAGATGGGTGGTCATCAGAGCGGCAGTGAGTTTGCGCGTAGTGTTAGGCAGAAAATAGCTTTCACACACATATGCAGGTTTGCATAAGCTGATTTAGCTTTAGTAGCGGAGTAGACTCAATTTGTTGTTAATTTTGACCATTGAACTTCGTTAATCAGACGCCAAGTTTTTAATAATGCCAATCTTTGCTAGCCATATCCTCTCTCACTAGGTAGTTGAGCTCCGACTGCTTCAATATTTCCATGTCAACGTCAGCAAGAAATACACCCTCTGAACTGTCGCAAATACGATTGACAGGACCAACGAATGGCATGGCGACCTGTGAGAGCCCAACAAACGTATCCGAAGGCCCACCAGCATTCGCAAACACGACAGCGCACGTGTTTTCAAAGCAACGAGATGTGACCATTGAGTTGAGTACAAGAGTTTCATAGTCGGGGTTGAGCTTGAGTCCATAGGGGCTTGATTCATCGAGCGTCCAACAAGCTGGTACGATTACAATATCTGCCCCATCCCTCACAAGCTGGCGGAATGCTTCTGGAAACGCGAGATCCCAGCAGATTAAAATTCCTACTTTTCCTAAGGGAGTAGATATTGCAGAGTGCTTTTCTTGGCCACGCGATTGATGAGGACGCTCGGTACGCCACAAGTTCTTCTTCCGATAAAATCCCAGAATCTCCCCTTCGTGGGAAATAAAGTAAGAGGTGTTGAATAGGTGGTAGTCTCCGTGTTCACTACTAAGGGTTCTGCTACCAAAGATTGCAGACTGAGTAGTAGCTGGATGTCGTTCAACAATGGTTCCTGGTACGAGACAAATGCCGAGCTCTCGTGCCAATGCGCAGTATCGATCAAGGTATTCTTGGTATTGTGCTGCCTGCTCGATGTATACAGGATCTTCGGGTAAATAACCATTTAAATGGTATCTGTATGATTGAATCAGAATATGACATGATGGAATAAGTGCAAACGAACAGGAGACGAAGGGAGGGGGAATACACCTACTCTGGCAGGACGACAAGTTGAGCTCCTTGTTCAGCTGCTTGGTGGACGAAATCACAGGCTTTCGCAAAATTGCCATTTATATCAAGGGGCTGCAACATGTTTTAGAACCACAAGTGATGGTAAAAGAGGCTGACATACTTTTGAGTACAGCTGAATGACGGCGACCTTGATCTTTGTTGACATGATTGTTGATATAGTTCACTTCGTATAGCCTGTTGTCTATTAATTGCTCTTTCTTTATGTAAATATGTGTGCGAATTAGCGATGTCGGATCTATGAAGAATCTTATTCGCCCCAAATTGGCGAACAGATCCCGCACACTTTATACTTAATGGAACAATTCGGGTGAGTCCCCTAGGCTAGTGTATTGGAAGCACTATTTGCTCAGGAATGCTTTGCCGCACCATAACACCAATAGACGCGGTCTCGAGGCATTACATGAATAGTGAACAAAAATTAATTGAGGCACGCTTCTGGCTAAGGTATGTAGTTATATAGGATGTCTGTAATGATGCCCAACTCATAGCCTAAACGAGGGGCACCTTCTATGTTGCCCAATCTACCATTGGCGTTCCTTTTAATGTGACATGATTGGGTTTCACAGCAGAAGTTCTATGTGTAGACAGGTTCTCTTAGCTGGACGAATACTGCTTTTGAGATTACTTTTATAAATTTTCCGTCTCTACGGAATAAATTGAATCACAAAATCCGCCCCCAATCCAACCTTTTCATAATGCTCCATAGCCTTCTGTATCTTGCTGAAGACATCCTCAACACCCACAGTATTGCCATCAACATCGACGTAGCTGTAAGCACCAGTAACATGAAACATTGCTACTATTTCCTCTACATCGTCGGGAACTTCCAGGGTATGGACATCACCGGGGGGCTCGAAAGCGTAGCTGTTTTGCTCCGCCCACCAAGGATGCTCAAGATAGTGCCATCCACGCTTGAGTACCGTGGCGTGCACAGGACCGGCATGTCGATGTCGCGACAGTATGCTAGACTTACGGACTCTGAGGATGTTGATAAAATGGCCCTGGCTGACGGATAATAGTAGAGGTCTAAACCACACTTGGTTGGATCGAGGGACTCAAAGTCACTCATCGCAGTTGAGGTTTCATACGTCGGGAAAAACTTTATCTTAAAGGAGGTTAGGAAGAGGCTCGCCTCGATAGGCGAGGGTATCTTGATCAAGTTTGGTGAAAGAAGGGTTTATGAATTTGTGGTAATGAGTTTGGAAGGCGATATGAATGTGAAGTATGACTGCTGATTTGTGGCAACACCAAGATATACCGGTGACAAGGAAGAAGCATGCCTGATGGGAGTCGCGATGCCAGCAATGATTACTTATTTCAGTATCCGAGCATTGAATGAGCACCCAGGCTCGTCGCCGACGTAGATGGGGCTAGACATGTTGATTTTCACGTTCTGGTGGATACTGCGTCCCTAATTCTCCGGTCAGCACCTACACGGACCAACGATCCGGGCGCTGAGCGCTTCAGGCGCGGGGCAGATTTCAATGTTCTCTTGAGGCTTGCAGAATTAGCTGCCTTCTAGTCCACTATTTCCACGACTAAATGATGACAGTGAAGCGATGAAGATGCCCCTTGTCGCAGATTCACTCGCCATGGCGCCTGAGATTACCAGCTGGGAACAATTACTTTGGGTATCTGAAGAATTTGACGATGAAACCGAAGACTTCCAATATACCGCAATCGCGAAGGTGGACGATGACAGGATATTTTACAGCGAGATAAACAAGCCAAAGGCAGACATCACGTTTCAAGAAATCACCGCCTCCCTCACTCGAATTCCTGACGACGAAATCTTCCCACCGTGGCCCCAAGCTTTCACTACAACCAAGGCTCCTCAAGAACTCCCTCCAGGCATTTTCATCAAACGGCCCCAAGTAGGAAAGTATGACATATTCTTAAAGCATAAAGTTGTGCATCTCCTCCGCGATGGATTAGCAGAGGAGGCAGAAGTCATGGAAGTGCTAAGGAACCAACCTCACCCGAATATTGTTGGATATCATGGTTGCCATGTCCGGCGTGGATATATCACTGGACTTGTCCTGGACCGACACCTCTACGACTTGAACAGGTTCCTAAAGAGTGGCCAAACCATTCAAGATAAAGAGCTCTTCATGGAGTCACTGCACTCGGCAATTTATCACTTGCACACGCTTGGCTGGGCCCATAACGACCTTAACCCTTCAAACGTCCTTGTGGCAGAGGACGGTAGACCCATTCTGATCGACTTCGGCTCGTCTCGGAGAGTTGGGGAGAAATTGTCAACTAGCCGTGGTACGAAAGGCTGGACTGATTGCGAGATGAAAGACTATACAACGTCAGAGACACATCATGATACATTTGCTCTCAACAAAATCTGTACCTGGTTAAGTAACCCGACATTTGAGGATTGAATAGCAAATTCAGATACCCTCGCATGGCTAGACAGGATGCATTTCAATACTATGATGCTCTACATGTACACTATGAAGAATTAGGAAATCAAGGGCGAAAGCACGGGTATAATTATAAATATTTGCTTGATATAGTATGTAGTGATAGTTTTGCTCTATTACAAAGCTTTTCTATCATAGCACCTACACTAATAGCAAAAACGAAGAACTTAGTTTTAATCGCAAAGTGATCGTACCGTATCACTGCGTATTCAAATGATTGCTTGTATTGGGGAGGGTCTACTACAATTCGATCAATGTAAGGATCCATGAGATTGTGATGTTATATTAGGAACTACCTATTCCTATTAAAATGCATCGCCGCCGCCAATGTTGAGAGTCTTGTGATAGAGTAGAAACTATTAATATCCAATGCCAAGTTTTCTTTAGAACTCAAACTCGTGAATCATGGCATAACACTCCCTCACAGTCCAGGGGAGACATATCGGCATGAAGGCGCAGGAGGATGACAGGCTGGATCACGAGCATCCACAGCCTGAAGGGCTGACAGAGCAACAGAAAGAGCAAACAATTTCATTTTGAATTAATGATAGATAATGGAGTTAGAATGGACGACAGAACTTCAAATTGTACTGAGGGTGGATGATTCAAACTATTTATCACGTCTATGAATAGCATGCAAATGGAGATTATCTGTACTACATACATTATTGGCATTGACTGTGTACGCCAAATACCTATAGCTCTTCTTCAAAGCTAGTACGGAGTACGGAGTATAACATACGAGAATGATTATTGCTTCTTTTCGGGCTACTACCATCGTCTAACCAGATGCATCGTTGCTATCTAAGTCCTTCAAGGCCTGGATTCGTGAGCTGGCCCTGCAGCGACCTGAGACTATTCACATCAAGACAGCCACCAGCAGCTCTTCAGGCTTAGCGTCTGGCACTATGCCCCTGGGCCGTCGTCTTCGATTGGGCGCTCAGACGGCAATTAGAAGAAATTGGCCTAGCTAGCGGGCCGCAAAGTCCGTGCTGTGCTCCAGCTACTAAGTTATTGTTTACTCCGTAGCGAAGGAGTTTTCCTTTGTTGATGTCTACGAGTACTGACCAAGTCGGCAGACAGTATTTGCCCCCCCAACCCCCACTCATAGTTTTGAGATAAAAGCTACCTAAGAATGGTCTTAGTCGTTCAAGACAGGGAATGGAGCTTGGTGTCTAATCCCTCATCCACTAGCTTCAGGTTAGGAAGTAAAATATTCGAATCGTGGATAGCCGATCTAACGAGAATGACTTAGGTTGCTGAAGGGAGGTTTCTCCTTTTCATCGGAGCGGTCCCTCAAATCAAGTGAATGGTGCTGTTCAATTCTGGCATTCGTTGATTTGATGAAGATCACAGACTGTGTTCCAAGCGACATTGCGGAGCCAATTATATGGAATATAAAACTTATGTAGTAGAAAGGGATCGACTTGTTGGGGCAACATTTTGCTATCATCAGTAACAAACACAGCTGGAAATTCAGATCAGATATCTATTTCCATCATAATCAGCAAAGCTGCCTAAATGCGGAGGCATCATTTGGTCTACCCTGAAAGTGATATCCCTACGAACATAAATAAGCATAAGCTTATCATGGAACTTGGCTAATTACAAGCTAATTGTTATTCCAAAATTTCTCGGTATGATGGCAAACAGTTCGACATCATTATTAGTGAAAGCGCTGTTGATGTGGCTGAAGCTAGCGACAAGGGCAGCTGTTCTAAGTCCCACAGTAAGAGGCGGTTGATGATCTTCACGAACTTGAGTCTCAATTCTAACCTGTTGCAGCTCACATGTAACGCTCAAATCGGTGAAGTTCCCATCCTAATGTGGCAGCTCTTCACCAAGACTGTTTTTATCAATAACAACCATTTCCCCACATTCCCCAGCGGCCTTTCGTTTAAGTCACCAGCTTTTACCATAACGCCGGCCATCTGGTCCCGCGGTCTGGATTGCACAACTACGGAAGATAAAACGCTGACTGTGTATTCGAATAGGTCTGAAACTTAACCTAGCGTGATGAATTTTATAACAGGTTTTGACGCATGCCAGGCTTGCTTCAACACTCTCCCAATACCTAGTCGACATGCCGTCTCCCGGCGGTCGTCCCATTCAATCAGCATCACATTGTACATCATGCTCTTATTTGATGGTGTGCACGCCGAAGTAATAGGATTAAATCCGGCAAATTGGGCTTCAGATAATACAATAAACTCATGTCGAGCTTGATCAAGCTCCGGCAGCCTTTCTCCATTCAAGACAAGGTATCCACTCAGTTGTCTTGCAAGCTGTCCCAGAACGAGGTGTAATTTGACTGGAGGGTTCATAGATGACTCTCTCTGACTTGCAGCAAGGCGAGCTGTCTCCCCAGGGGCAATGTGCAGTAGCGAGCAAGACGTCCAAAATTGAAGAAATGGGCGTTGCTGTGAATCGAGATTGCTTGTTGGCAAACTGTTGAGCGAATTCCCCAGTAACTCGAAAATAGGCACCCAGCAGAATGTATTTGAGCTCCTTTCTTCCCCAAATCGTGACTCATCTATTCCAATTCCAATCTGATTGATTAGCTTGGCGCCCTTTTTGCTCTCATTGTAATACCATTTTACCGTAGGTAACACCCTCTCAGTCTTCGAGGAATCCAGTTTTTCGTAATGCGCGTGTCCAATCCATCCTGCCCAAGACCAACTGGGAAGATGGTTCTTGCTACCTTCTCTTCGCTTCTGTTTAGTCGAAGGAATCCACAACAATGCCTGGTCCAGGTACGCTTCCGGAAGGCCAGCAAGAAAACGAGTATTCAGATGACGCTGAAGGAGACTACCAAAGCCTTCGAATGCAATCAGAATATCATCGTCAAAGGTAAATTGTCTTTTGGTGTAGCCCTCAACAACCGCTATGTACTCTGTGATTGCGTCTGGCTGTTGTAGTGGTAGCAGTGACAACGTCGGGTTTGGCTCTGGTTGGCGCTCATTGAGCCTGAATTCGGCTTGCAGCTGCCTTAACCGTTTGGGTGGATATACCTTAATGATAGATGGAGCATCCTCCAGTAGGTGACTAGATGCGCACTGCCATACCGCCTGGCCATCTGTTGTGAAAGCCAGTAGTCGCTGCGATAGTAGCTGTTCTTGGTACGTCCAACCTCGAGTTGCCCAAATTGACTCTGCAATATCCCCCGGTGATGGGGCAGTAGCCACAAGAGTGAGATCGTGCCAGATAGTCGCTGCGGACTGGTCGAAGATTCGGGAGCCTGGGCGGACTCCTCTCAAACCAGCGTTGGCATCCGAGCCATATGCAGCAACTATTGTAAGGACAGCTGCTCCATAAATACTGTCCATCTTGCCAATTTGTTCTGCTTTTTGAGGCGAGTCTTGAATGATACATAGACTGTCGACCCATAGGTATCGTTCACCCATAGATCTGACTACATGAATGGCATCCTGAACTGTTTTAGATAAATCGGCCATATGTCGTGCCAGGCTTCCAGGACGTTCAAATTCATTGGCACTGTCCTCGCCGAGTCTCAACGTAGCGACTTGGCCCCAGACATAGCTTAGTGCAATATAGCGACAATTCTGTGGTGCTAGAATTATGCACTCATCAACGGTATCGACAAGACGAAACCCTTCGGGCAGGAGGGATTTCTCTATTTCCCGGCCAGGATCCTGGCAGTGTGGTAGATGTCGTTTCTCGCATTCCCGGAGCCACTTGCTGCATAGCCCCAAGTCAATCTTGTCTCTGGAGACAAGTTGGGCACACTGAAGGTGATCATCACCTCTATCCGTGAAAATGGGACAGATGTTGAACTTAATCTCAGAGTCCTCTGGAGTCGGTACTGGTTGCAGATTAACTTTTAGAAGAATAGTTGTCGTAAACTCAGAAATGCCGTGTCCTGATGAGCCTGCCTGGAATTCACGTTCAAAATTGAAAACTAGAGGTTGGCCGTTTCTCTGGTGAATAACACGCCCACTACGTGCCAAATGCCGTGCCTCTCGGAGCAGGAGACGGCAGAATTGGCAAGAAGCTTCGGCCTTCTCGGCATCTTTGACAGATATAGAATTAAGTTGCATATCCTCAACATCAGGATCAAATAGAGCGGAGAAGTTGATCTGCCAACAGTCTCCGCAGAGTGAGATTGGATTCAATGTGGCATTTTGGAAATCGTCTGTCAAGGGCTCCATCATGTGTCGGTTTGCCAACTTCACAGGAGAGATGCCTCGAAATATGTGAAGAGTCTCTCACAAGTACCCTAAGAGACGGAAAGAATCCTCGAAGCGGTACTGTGGGCAACCAAAAGTACCTCAGCTGAAATCCAAATATGGCTGACCTGTTCTCCGTAGTGCACTAGGCACGTGATAGATATGTACATGTGCATGACTAACCACGAGGCTGGCGGTATATGAAGCGATTCGTGTGAACGGGAGATGATTCGATGTAGATGCTGGGTATGGTGGCGTACATGGTAGGTGTATCCGCACTCGTTGTCACTGTTGAGGATTGACAGCAAGTATATAGCGGAAATTTTAAGATATTGTGGAGTACGTGCAGATAGGAAAACCGGAACTTATACTGTACTGTGTCGTTGTCGACAATTATCAGCGAGCAGCAACTAATCGCGGCGTTTTCTATCGATTTATAGGTAGGTATTGTATCACCTTTCTGCACCGTACAACCGAAAACCATCTCCAGAGAAATGGGTGGCATGCAAATGCTGAAACTGAACCCTGGTGTTGAATTGAGCAATGCTGGTGCCGTTGTTATTCTACAATAATCAGGACTCTAAAAATCTAGATCATAGAGAATCATGGATCTTAATTTTACACAACGTCAATAAAAAATCCACAACTATTGCCCAAAATGTGCCACACAACTCCCGCTCGATTCGATCTCGGACGAAGGCGCTTATCTTGGTCAGAGGTCTCCGACGCCTCTCTATTTGACTTTATCCTATGGAATAGCAGTTTTCATCGCTACTAAAGTAGATACTATTACTCAAAAATATTTTCCAAAGGTAATTCATATAGAGAGTAAAGCAAGATAATGAACCCGAATATACCCCACAAGGTTAGCCAAACATTCCGCAGCGACCAAAACCCTCCTGACAGCCAGCTAAGCAGTGATCTTCAGTCGATCCGCACCAGCCATTCTTGGAACAGCAATTGTCTATCTTCTGATTCAAACAGGTGGTGTTGCCAAAAGCACTGCCACAACGACCGTCTGTAGTAGGTACGGGAGAGAGAACAGGGAGAGTTTCATTGGTGATGGGGTGAGATCCATTAACTGGAAACTTGGGGCTGTTATCTCTATCATAATGCTTCGGGCGTGTGAATCGAAATTTGTCCAGAAATTTAAGCGGATTCCTAATCTTGAGACCAAGTCTTTCCGTACTCTGAATCTTTTTGGGAATGGGTATCGGGAGGCCCAAGAAGTATGAGGTTTGGTTCTCAGTCTCAGCGGTAATTGGACCTTGATCCAACCCCACTGAGCGCTTCTCGCTTTCTTCATCTCGGCTTCGATACCAATTTTCTTCGGGATCCCCTAGGCACTCGCCAACAGTTACGGGTTTGAAACCGGCGTTGTAGAGAAGATCGATTGTGTACGGGATAAGAGTGTGTACCGACTCGGATACTATGTCATGCTCGATGTGTAAATACGAGTCAGTATCTAAGTCCTTTTCATCAAAGGCTCTCCTAGCAATGTCTTCGGAGATGTCAATTTCCTCTTCATGTAAGTAACCTTCTGTATCGAGATCAAAATACGTGATATGGTATCCGAGCTCGCCGAGCCATCTATCAACATCTTCGTCGCTAGCAGAGTAGGGTGGGCGCATATATGTCGGGAAAACACCAAGAATGTCGGCAATAGCAATTTCGTTGTAAATCATCTGTTGACGGAGACGCGATTTGCCAACCGTTGGAAGGCGTTGATGAGACCACGTGTGGCTGCCGATTTGGTGGCCATCCGCCTTCATTCGACGAATGAGACGAGGCCAATCTGTGGATGGGTCATTGATGGCTCCTTTCCCCAGATTGCGGCCTGTGATGAAGAAAGTAGCTTTGACGCCATTTTCCTGCAAATAGAGCGTCAGTGACTGGTTCCCTTTAGACTGCTATAGTTTTTAAACGAACCTCAAGAATATCCAACAGCTCTTCAGTGTATTCCCATGGACCATCATCAAAGGTCAAGGCCACAGTACCTGGTTCGGTACAATGAAAAATGGCTTCTCCATATGGTACAGAACCCACCTGGTACCGGGGCCAATCTTCTGTGTCAGCTCCTTCAGGTCGCCTGTTGGCATCGCAGCGAGGCCCATATTCGAACTGGCAAGCTGGAGCGGAACAGTAGAGGTATCCGGTTCCGCACCATCTGGCTTAAGTCAGAGTATTGTTATTTAATTCACCCAGTACTAAAAATGAGTACTTACCCTTCACCAGAACAGCATTCATCGTTTTCACACCTGGTGCCAAAATCAACACCACAACGGCCGTCTTCCGTAATCGGAGAAGTTATAGAAAGTGGTGTGAATACATCACTTGCCGTTGGCAGCCCATCTCTTTTCTGTAATAGGGTGGAAAATGCAACTTTACTTTGTGCTATTGGATCCCGCTGAATAAATGCAGCTCCGTAGGCGCCCTGGGTCCAAAGGGTCACAAGAGAGATGCCGAGAATATAAAGCTGTCCAAACATTACGAATTTCTTTGCGAGGTGAAGAGACTAGTTGGCGAAACTATTAATGATGGTATGGTAAGTTAAAGATAAGTCGTCTGAGCGATATATAGAGGATATATATACTTGAATGAATAGAGACAGAGCAGCTGTGAATGCAACGAATTTGATATATAATAGAAGCTATTGGCAATAGATCTGTTAATACATGGGTAAGCATATTGATCTCAACAAGTCCCCTCATCACATCATCAGCAGCATGAACAAAACTTAATAAACAAGGACGAGGTTGCGGTCTGCAAAATCAAGCCTCATTGGGCAAGAAAGACCGACGGCGAAGAGAAAAAATAAGATATTATGATGAAAAATGAAATAATTGATGACGAAGGGGAGAAACAGGTGACGACAAATGTCTTGAAGAGGTAGCGATGAGGGAGCAAACTATATGTTTGAGGAACGAGGGGAAGTTATCCCGGCCTTATTCTACTGACCTACTCCTATGGGGGAGACCAATCAAGTGGCTCGATGTCAAATAATAACGCCGATATGCCCACCTCGTAATTCAAAGAATAATGGAGCTCAAGGTTTTTCTTCACGAGAGAGCGGGAAAGGTGGAATTTATTCGAGATATATGTAAAACTCCCTCAGGGCAATATCGTCATAAGTATACCTTCAAGAGACTGTAGCTATTGTGTGTTTCCACTCAACTCCACCTTTGGGGCCTGTAATAGCCAGAAAAAGTATCCGGGCAAAAGAATTGAAATCGTCAGGATTCGGCGCCGGTCGTATCAGCATATACTCGCTGGGAACATACGACGGCTCATCAAACAACGCAATCTTCCGAGGTATCTGGGCTGTATATGGGAAAAGCTCAGCTCTAGAATATTGGTAGTACTAGACCTTCAGCTGGAAGTACGGATTTGTACATCGACGTGGCTGGCGTGTTAGAGATGACCACATTGTGTATTAACGGACCAAGAGTAGCCAATAGGACATGGCAGTTGCAGAATGCTTTGCATTGGAATAATCAGTGGTAATCGAAGGCAATATATTACTGAAGTACGAAACGCCACTAGATAAGAGACGATACACTCGTTGCTCGTAGATAAGATGCATCAAGCACCATAGGAAGAGCGATGAATTAGTCTGTGACGACCCAAGATTCGAAGCCTATGACATTGAAATAAGCTTAGCGAAACTATGGTAGCTTATTTGGAATTTGGTCCGCGGGTGTAGCTCGTATTGACCTGTGAATAGGTAGTTTTTAAGCTTTTCAACGAAACGTCTACTGGAAACAAGATACAAGCGAAGATCGGTTAGTTAGACGTCGGCTGATCCTGTCTGCCTGTTGGAAAGGGTGGGACAAAGAGTTGGAGTTGGCCAGCTGCTCTAAGATAAGACTTGTGCTTGTGCTACTGATGGCAAATATGAGAACTGCCCGTGTGAGTAAATTGTAATTGATCAAAGGAGTAGCAAATCATGTTATTATAATTGCAACGACGGGATGCGCGCGCATGGTTCGAATTGGGAGAATGCATAACCCTACTGAGACTCCGAGTTTCAACTTATGAAGCCTAACATTTCGTTGAGTTAGGCCATGTTCTATTCATACATTACCCTACAACGCGGACTGCTCTTTAATCGAGGACATTGGCCGGCGGTCCATCGCAGAGCTTCCGACCAGATGCGACAAAAGGCAACGCCGCTAGCGACATTGTGGCGCGAAAAGCTCCGAGAGAGGAGCCTGTTAGTGCCTCCCAACTTGGTCTGGACCTGAACTCTCGCGCCATTGCTGAGAAGCTGCTTTTGCCGTGGAGTTGTTTCTGCCAGGTTGTGCCTGGAATGATGATGGAAGTTTTACGGGTGCTACGGACCGCCATAATTGGAAAATTGCTCAAGCCCCTCTGAACTGGATTTTGTGGCTGCGGTAAAGGGCGGACCCTACCGGTGAGAATCTTGGGCCGGAGGCTCTGGTTCAGACGACAAGATTGGATAATTGAGGTGGATTGGGAGAAATTTTCAGAGGGACAAAAAACACAATGAAGCACAAGCCAAGGCAAAGGGAGGCAAGCCAGCTAAGAGAGAAGCCCCGATACGATCTGGGCACAGGGCGAGCAAAGCTACATACCATTGAGCCACTTACAACAGAGCAAGCCAAGAAGCCAAGATCCGAAGTACACACTTTTACTCCGTACGCAGCCTGAAAAGTGGCTCGAAATACGACGCCGATTCCGCCATTCCCTATCGTTTCCCAATCTTCCGACACAATAAGAATCCCCGTGGTTCTCGTGGGAACACGCCATGAGACCTTTCCCTCTTCTCGCCACCCACTGTCAGCCACCACCATGAGCTTCTACATGCTGCACAATCCCAATCCTTCAGGGGGTTGTACAGGGCCTGACCGCCGTATGCGGCTCTTGACTGCGATTCCCACAGGCGATTGGCTGTGATGCCGGCCTCGACATGAGTCGTTTCACAGACCAGGGCTTGTCAATACTGGATTAGCCAAACTTGGCAGCAGAGGCCGATGGAACCTTTTAGTTGGCTATGAAGCTGAAGATTTTTCCTTGGTGCTCCATTGTGGCCCGCTTTAATCTGATCATCAGATAACAGAATGATCTAAACTACCGAGTCTTTGCTTCTTCGGGCCACCATTGCGGTGCAACTATGACCGAAAATTTTTAAAATCTAATCGATCGCATCAGGCAGACACTTTTGAGTTGACGCTAGAGAATAAATATATAACTTGTGCTACGGCCGTGGCGCCCGAAGACTCCCCCTGCTCGCACTTGCATATGCGCATGCGTCCTCGTCCGCATCCGGAATATTTCAGTGACGCTCAGCAGTCAATAGATCAAGGCTGTGGATTAAGCAGTGTCTTCTTCCTGTCTCACTATTCATCATTCTCGATAAAGTGACGGAAAGCCGCTGATCGGCGACTCTTTGACTGGCGGTGACACTGAAAGCTCGCCTTGCTTTTCGTCGTGCCTCCATCACCAACCATGGCTACCGACTTGGACCCCGCTTCCCTCCCTGAGGCGGAAAAGACTGCTAGCCAGGTCATGGCAAAGGATCACGAGAAGAGCGCTGACAGGTCCGCCGCCGACCTCGTCAGAAATATCAAGTCGCCTGGTGTTTCTCGTATCGAGGCCATCACAGGCGCCATCACCTTGACCGACCGCGTCGTCATCTTCCTCAGCGTCCTTCTGCTTGCTTACTGCTACGGTCTTGATGGCACTCTGCGATACACCTACCAGCCGTATGCTACTGGTTCATGGGACAGTCACTCTCTCCTGTCGACGATCAATGTCATCCGTGCCGTGATTGCGGCGGCTGCTCAGCCAACCGCCGCCAAGATTGCCGACGTCTTTGGCCGCGTCGAGCTCATCTGCGTCTCCGTCTTCTTCTATGTCCTTGGAACAGTGATTGAGGCTGCAGCCACCAATATCGCGACCTATGCTGGCGGCAACGTCATTTACCAGGTCGGCTACACCATGGTCCTGCTTCTAGTTGAAGTCATCATTGCCGACATTACCTCCACCCGTGCCCGTCTCTTCTTCAGCTATATTCCAGCGCTACCATTCCTCATCAACGCGTGGATTAGCGGCAACGTTGCCAACGCCGTCTTGGGAGCAACAACCTGGCGATGGGGTATCGGAATGTGGTCCATCATTTACCCAGTTTGCGCTCTGCCGCTCATCATCAGCCTCTCGATTGTAGGCCGGCGCGCAAAGAAGCAGGGTCTCCTTGCCGACTACCGATCATCCTTTGAGCAGCTTGGCTTCAAGAATCTCGTCGTAGAGCTCTTTTGGCTGTTGGATGTTATCGGCATCCTCCTCCTCATCGCCGTCTTTGCGCTCATCCTTGTACCCTTTACTCTGGCTGGCGGCGTCCACAGCCAATGGCGCACTGCGCACATCATTGCGCCGCTCGTCGTTGGCGTTTGCTGTATCCCATTCTTCGTCTACTGGGAGCTCAAGGCTCCTCACCCACTGGTTCCATTCTCTCTCATGAAGGACCGATCTGTGTGGGCTCCCATGGGCATTGCTGTCTGCCTCAATTTTGCGTGGACTATGCAAGGCGACTTCCTCTACACTGTGCTCGTCGTCGCATTCGATTTCTCCATTACAACTGCGACCCGAGTCACATCGCTATACTCGTTCGTCAGTGTTGTCATCGGAGCCATTCTAGGCCTGGTGGTGTATAAAGTTCGCCGTCTCAAAATCTTCGTCGTTGCCGGAACCTGCCTCTTTATGGTGGCCTTCGGATTGCTCATCCATTACCGTGGATCCACCACGGGCTCCAGCCGTGTTGGTGTCATCGCAGCTCAGGTTGTCCTAGGTCTCGCCGGAGGCATGTTTCCTTACACTGCTCAGGCCTCTATTCAAGTTGGCCTGAAGCACGAGAACTTGGCCGTTATGACGGGTCTTTACCTGGCCGTATACAACATTGGGTCTGCCTTGGGAAATACTGTATCTGGAGCTTTGTGGACCCAATTGCTCCCAACGGCTTTGGAAACCCGGCTGGAAAATATCAATTCCACATTGGCGATTGAGGCTTATGGCAACCCTCTTGTGGCCATCCTTCCATATCCTCCTGGTACACCTGAGAGAGATGCCATCGTCGACTCGTATCAGTATATCCAGCGCTTGCTCGCCATTACCGGTATCTGTATCTGCATTCCTCTCATTGCGTTTTCTCTCGCAATTCGCAACCCCCGCCTTACTGGGGAGCAGACCTTGGCTGTGGATTCAGACGTTGAAGAAGCCCAGGAGGGAAGCCCACGCAAGTAAACTTGGGTAAAAGCTAATTGAGAAGGAAAAGTTGGTGATAAAAAAAATGAAAAGCTATATAGTGGTGTTGCATGTGGGAAGATAGAGGGAGTTAGATGAAAACACTCCTGTTCCCAGCTACGTATAAAGTATATAATTGGTAGTTAAAGTAATAAATGATGCCTGGTATGACTAGTGGTCTAAATAAAACTCATGGATCTGGATCCGCTTTAAGTGTTCCATGCGTGCAGATAATATTTTCGGATAAAGCTGATCACCATGACTGAGCAAACGCGAGCCAATCAATACTGCTAGTCTATACATAGGAGGATAAGTCTAGTCTCTACTTAGGAGGATAAGTCCAGTCCATACATAGGAGCATAAGAGCTTCTAAGATTTTAAGACAATCTACGAAGAATCCAGCAATGTGAGACGGAACGACGTGTGCTTATTCAATACGAGGGTATTTTATGTCTATATTTCCCGCGCGTGTGTATATATACATTCATGTTTCTACTACAGGCCTCACGGCCATATACAGACGTCACTCGATGATGGCAACGTGGGATCGTATAGGACGATGATGATGGTTCTCTCCATAGGTAGGAGGCAGTAGGAGATGGAAAATTATAGTGATATCGGTAGTGTAAACACTATCGCATCTATCCTCGGGCGTGGGTAGAAGGTGCCCAACTCTGGATTCTCTGCTCCAAAGTCGTCTCGTTCGCCATGCATTGCCGAAATCGGAAATAAACTTTGCTGAACAAAAACAATGCTTGATACATGATACAATGGTAATTCCTTTCCAGCCCGATCATATGGAGAAAAATACTTTAAATGTGTACATCAACTCATATATCACGAAGCGGGCATAGTCATTGTGTAAATGGCGGCGTGGCAACGACGTGTTACAGTGGATATAATGAATAGTGCTCTTACCGCATACGCCTACCCGTATAATCATCGAATTCTCGAATCAATCCAATTAAAAGTCTAATTATATTTAGAATAAGCCTTTGCCTGATTCACGAGCTTTACGAGCCTCCGAAGAATTATGCTTATCATAGAAACGAAGAGGCGAATAGTTTAATTCCAAATTCCAATATAACTAGCTCTTAGGTAATAAGCCTTTCTACAATAGCAAGCCATAGACTATAAGCTAATTCTAGGTCACATCTATTTCCGGGACACATGTCAGCTAGGATACCCGCCGGGTAACGTTTGACCTGATCCTCCGGGAAGCCCTCTATATTACCCCTCCTCGGAGATATGATTCCTCGGGTATCAGCAGCTACCCCGCAATTCTATCGACTGATGCTGCGCCAATGAGATTTTTGTCAAATGCGGCTGTGCATCCGAGAGGCGTGAGGCGCATGTAGTCTTGTGCGAGAAAGGCAACACGGGTTGTGTTTGGGCGTATTGGGGCTTGCTGAGACTTGGCTGCCAAGGGTTTGTTGATGTTGAATCGATCTAGAACGCATGTAGTATACTCGCAACGAGGGGTAAGTAACATGCATGTTGCCGTCAATGGTTGGAGAATAGCACTATATTGGAGTCTTTTCTTTAAATATGCGTTCCAATTCCTTTTCTTCCTTTTACACTCTCACCTCCATTGCATTTATTTCGTTCTCCAGCATTCCGATTACCCAAGCATCAGCGTTCTGTGTAATACTAGCGCTTATTTGGACTCCATCAATTCATCATCATGACTACCCACAAAGAGGGAACTGAATATGACATTATATTCGCTGGAGGTAAAGTCACCACCATCAATTCATCTCCTCATATAACAGATGGCCTAACATTCCCAAGGCGGCACTGCAGCCTGCATTGCAGCCGGTCGGCTGGCGAAAGCAGATCCCAATCTGTCGATCCTCGTTATCGAGCGCGGCAAGAACAATCTCGATGACCCCAATGTTGTCAATGCCTCCAGATATCTTTACCATCTAGCACCCAATTCCCAAACATCCATTGCCTACAAAGGAAACAAGACAGCCGATCTCAATGGCCGTGAGCCAATCGTGACCACTGGAGGCCTTCTTGGGGGCGGCTCGTCGATCAATTTTGCCATGTATACACGAGGTAATACTGGAAAAAAAAGCACAATACTCTTGCAGATTAGATCCATCTAACATGGTATAAATAGCATCGGGTGTCGATTATGATTCCTGGAACACCGAGGGATGGGATGCGAAAAGTTTACTTCACTATGCCAAGAAGTTAGAGACTCATCACGTTGATCACCCAGGGGTTGACAAGAGCGTGCATGGGTATGACGGGCCAATTAATGTCTCCTTTGGTCACTATAGTGCCAAAGCACCACAAGACGACATTCTAGCCGCCGCGGAGGCTGTTGGTCTTCCTGAATTTCCCGATATGCAAGACTTCAAGACTGTCGGTGGGTTTTCGCGATGGCCGCGATACGTTTGTCCAGACGGAAAGCGACAAGATACGGCCCATCGCTATATCCATCCTCTTATGGCTTCCGGAGACTACCCTAATCTCCATCTTCTCGTTGAGAGCACCATTAGCCGTATTATATTTGAAGGTAATCGAGCTGTCGGTGTGGAATACTCGCCAACTACATGCTACCAGCCCGTCAGTAATTTTACAAAAGGGCCGCCTTTGACTGTTAAGGCGAGAAAGCTCGTCGTAGTCTCTGCAGGGGCTCTTGGAACTCCGCTGATCCTCGAAAGATCTGGAGTCGGTAATGCTGAATTGCTGAAGAAGCTGGATATTCCTGTCGTCGCTAATGTGCCAGGTGTTGGAGAGGAGTATCAGGACCACAACTTGATCTTCTACAAATACAAGACCTCATTGAAGCCCGATGAGACGCTTGATGATTTGAATCGAGGTCAAATAGACTTCAACACGGCGGTTGAGAAGAAAAACCCCGTCATCACCTGGAACGGAGTTGATATTGCCGCCAAACTTCGTCCAACGGATGAGGAAGTAACGCAGTTGGATCAAGAGTTCCAAGATCATTGGAATCGTGACTTTAAGGAGCAGAAAGAGAGGCCTTTGATGCTCCTAGCAGTCGTTAGTACTTACCTTGGCGATTATAAGACCTTGCCTGAAGAGCAAAACGGACCATCTCAGTACCTCTCCATTGGCATGTATACAGGCTATCCGTATTCTCGAGGCGACATCCACATCACCTCTAAGGACCCTGACGTGGCGCCTTCCTTCAACACTGGCTTCCTATCCAAGAGAGTGGATATGACGAAGCAACTTTGGGCATACAAGAAGCAGCGAGAAATTTTCCGTCGCACGAATGGATTTATAAGTGAGCTCCCCATAGGACATCCCAAGTTCCGTCAAGGCAGCAAAGCGGCTCTTCGGAATGGGCCCGAAGTTCCAGGTGGTTTCAAGACACCCGAGGAGAGAAAAAGTCTACCACCTATCGAGTATGATGAAGACGATGACAGAGCCATTGAAGACTACATCCGATCAAACATTGAAACGACATGGCACTCTCTGGGGACTTGTAAGATGGCACCAAAGGAAAAGGGTGGCGTTGTGGACAAGCATCTTAATGTCTATGGTACAGTTGGGCTGAAGATTTGCGGTGAGTAGCTGTTTCTCTCATGGCCACATTATGCCGTTCTTTATACTCGTGTTGCTTACTGTTATGCAGATCTCTCAATTGCACCCGAGAATGTTGGCGCCAATACGAACAATTCAGCCCTTATTATTGGAGAAAAGGGAGCTGATATCATAGCAAAAGAGCTTGGGCTTGTTGTATGATGGATGCAAAATCCTTCGCACATCGAGATATATGGCCAATTTCAGCAATTATCATTTAGTCTAGATGTTATAGCTTTGGCTTCATATGTCGTCCAGCGCCACTGAGCCTTCATGCACACTGTCTCTTTATAATATAAGTTTTATGCCTCTATGCCAGAAGACCAGCGACCAGGCGATCACCAAGGTCCTTAATACTATCCTCGAACTCTTCAGCACTTCCAGCACTCCAGTTGGCGCTGGTACCAGGCACGGCATCTGAGCCAGTGAAACCAATGTACAAGACATCCTTCTGATCGTGACCGTTATCACCGGTGAGGCCATCATCGGGGAAACAGAGCTGTGCTAGAGAAATGGAGGACTCTCCAGTAGAGGTGAAGCCGTTGGTGTCGCCCCAAACGCCGTAGATCTTGGCTGTGCATTAGCGATAATTCTATTGTTATCAAAGAAAAAAAAAAGAATCATGATGTTAGCCTACCACTTGGTTGTTGCAAACAACGGCAACAACGCTCAAAGGCTCCATTCCAAAGTCTTGGGGAGCAAAAGAAGGACTATCACCTTCGTTGCCAAATACAACGTAAGGATGAATGTTGGCGTCCAAGTCCTCGATACCGAAGCTTTGAACGGTATCCTGGAATGACGTTTGTCCTTGGCCAGTGGGGTCGTTTGCGCAAGCTCCACCAGAGTTATTGGCACCATCACAGTCGACGTCCATGTTATCATAATTGCCGTCGGAGCCCTTCAAGAAGATGGCATTTGGGATATCGCCACAGTACTGTGCGCCACCCTCGAAGGCATCGGACAAAGGGTTTTGGCAGTCGCCAGACTGCAAAAAGTCCAAATTGTTAGAATTAGAAATAAATAATTTGACAGAGTTGATTTCTCCTTACGATGTGGTTCTCGTAAATTTGTCTCAGGTTATCGGGCAGATTGAAAGCAGATGCGACAGCGCCAAGGGTGGCGAGGGTAAAGAGCGTTTTGGAGTTCATGGTGGACTATAGTGTGCGATATTGAAGCAAATTGTGCCAAATGCAAAAAAAAAAAAAAGAAAAAGAAAAAGATTGTGATTAAAGACAGTAGTACTGGATGTTTTCAATTGTAGGCAGTGGACAGTGATTGATGGGGGCAGGCAATAAACGCGAGATTCAGCCCTTTATATATATCTAGTCGGGGCCAAATATTCATGATTTGATGTGCTTACGGAGGCTGGATCTTTCGAGTTAAAACGTTTGATGATCGACGGCGCCCCATCTCAAACATAGCATATAAGAGCATTTCCATGCTATTTTCTGCCATGGAGTATCAAGTTCGCGTTTTGAAACCCGCCGCACGGCCAAAGCGCTGTGTCATAAGGGGCAGCGTAAAACTGCTTAGACAATTGCTGATCAAGCGATGCAGAAAAAGGAAGCTAACATCTATTTTCGAAACAGGAAGCGTGAAATCCATCCAAAGAATTAAGCTCATTCTATTTATTTTAACCTTGGGCACCCGCCCCTGCTGCTGAGTCTAAATACTGCTAGTCAGGAGTGAGCGCTGTGGAGATGGTTTGCTTCACCTACCAACCTACTCTATCTTGTGCGAAGCCCCACGGCGGCCAAGTCAGATCTGACATAACAGCTGGCGATCGCATATCGGTCCTTTGATAACATTTGAGTTTGCTAGCCGTCTAAGACAGGTACATTCAGCTGTTCCATTACTAAACCCTGTGCTCCGGTATGCCTCTCTCCAGCGTTGACATGAAGTGGCGTGGAACACGCAAAGTATTGCCATTGAATCAATTACCTGAATAAGTCAGATTACCAATATTATCAATCTATAATTATACGCTATAATGATGTGTACTCATTGAGCTAAAAAAAAAAACTGGAGGATGCTCTATTGTGATCAACTTCACAGCACGGAGATCAAATGGAGAAAATATGTTGAGAGTGGCAGAATGTATTAAAAAAAAGAATTTTCTTAAGAAAAAAAATCTGTATAAATTTTGAGGGGGTTGGTATGTGTTTGAACGTCGTCTACCATACAGGAGCCCAGATTTTGACGGATAGCATCCGATGCCTATTCCTTGGTGCCATGACCAACCATGTAGATGTCCACAAAATAGAAAGGCGGCTCAACTACATGCAGCTGCTGGTACTCGATATGCCAGATGTATTTATTCTTGTTCTAGGCGCCAGTAGATATTTCAATGTAGGTGATTTATCTGAAGATACATATTCACTGATTTACAGCATGCAAATGTGCATATTGAGGCTGTGCCAGCGAAGTGGCCAGGGTTTTGGCCTCTAAGCCTCTGGTCGTCCATCCACCGGATCTCTCATATTTTGGATTCTTATTTTATCTCGCTGTCATCATTCTTTCCCCTGCCAATACCATTTTTAGTCATAGAACAGGTCATAGAACAGGGCGATTTTGTACAAGAAGCGATGGCATCCTATTAGTGGGTGGGTGCCAAACGGCCTCGTGGTAGCGAGGATCATGGGGTCAGTGCTCTGGAGCGAGTATGGTTGGAACCGTGTGGGTATTTGGCGCCGGACAATACGGTTTTCAACTATGGGCCAACAAAAAAAAATGGGAGATTTCTGACCATCTACCATTTCTCTTACCGACAGGCGTGGAGATGTTAATCTCCAACATCCTTGAGCCTAGCTGGCCGGCAGTATTGAATCCAGCGCCACGCTTAGTTCCTGTGCCACCGTCTGAAGCTCATTATTTGTACACCCCATGAGCTAATGCAACACAACCAGAAGATGATGGACACACACATTCAGACTGCAATTTGCCATATGTGAATAGCACGTACAGGTAGCGGGAATAATCTCATAATTTCATCTGGATTGCCGAACACATCATCGAGAACGAATTACGCTTGAAGTCGATGGCGGCTGCAAGCAAATATTCTACGTATTCTAATAGCTTCTTTGACGGGGATTGCCGCCGCCCACTCTCCCTTCTAAACTGGGGCTCTCACCATTTACGTGATTATAGGCACTCGCAACCGCGACTTCTTCCTTCACGACTCGCGGGAACAAAGAAAGCTTCTAGTTACCAGTCAACCCTCCTTTATCGTTACGGCGAGCGCATAGTAAATAAATTCTAACGTAGAAAATACTTCAGCAAATTTACCATCAGCTTAATGCTACATATTATTCTGAGGTTGTTTATTAGCTAAAGAATGGTACTCTAAGATAATTTCCCGTTCAGACGCTGACATTAGTTCCTGATGTATGCGACAAACGTAGATTCTATAGCTCTCTAAGTGTCTATCTGCTATATCAGCAAAGCTAGAATAGAAATTGAATAAGAAATTGCCTCCAGCTCAAGTTCTCCATCCTCGTTTGCATCCAACGAATTCTTCTAAGCGTATCTACTTATGGAGCTGATACTGGGCTGGGATATTTTCTGGCCATGCATCTGCGCCGTCCATAATAACGATGCCCATTCCACCCATCATATGAAGCTCAATATGACAGTGAAATAGCCATGGGCCTGGATTGTCCACATAGTATCTGAAAACGCTCCAGTAAGCCTCACCACCAATGGAGAACGCTGTGATCCAAGTATCGCGCAAGCCAGGGGTCTCCAAGTTGAAGTCTTCCGGCCGTTCATCAATTGCTTCTTGTACACTGGTATAATTCCAAACACCAGTCCCGAAACCAATTCTCCATGTTTTACTGCCGTGTTTATGGATGAAGTGCTCGAATGCAGATTCATCACCAGGCAGAGTAGAAACTTGAAGGATAAGGTCAACCCAAGACCCATTTTTGGTGCGGATCACAAGGTTATCATTTTCGGTGCCAACGGTTGCGTTAGGATAAAATAGCAGAGGGTCGTTGTTCTGAAAATCAATGGGATATAGGTACTTGGTGTTCATCGTGTAGTTGAACGGTGCGCCCACGCGACCCAATGCAAGAAGATGCTCCTCGTCAGCATTACCAGGCCTGGGCTTATTCGGAGGCCATGGCTCCATGTGATCCGTCTCGAGCATCCAAGGGAAGTATGAGTTTTTCTCGACTTCTGGCGTCATGGGGTTGCCTCCATAGGAGAGGTATGGTGTGTCCGACTTCTCATCATCGTCCTCGTGCCCCTCATAGATCATTTCGGCATAACCGCCTAGAACCTGCGAGGCCCCAGAGTTCGGTATGCGCATCGTGTATCTGCCCGGCTCTTGATCAAGTTTTATCATAACCGAGAAGGTCTCGCCGGCAGACATCACCGCAGAGACAAACTTCTTAGGATTAACGTAGTTGCCGTCAACCTCGTACAACCAAAAAGGGTGTTGATCAACAGAGAAGGTAATCTGGGCAATGGTGGCAGCAGCCACAATATGGAAGCTAACCCAGCCGTTATTCTTTTTCGGATTAACAGTGATAGTTGCGTTTGCGTTCTCAGATGCTACGCAGCCCTCTTGAACGCGCGGTGGTATCAGGTCTGGGCGTCTTGTGACGTTCCAAGGACCACCTTGAATTTGATCAATATCTGCTGGGAAACATCTAAGGGTATAAAAGTAAGTATTTATGGGATATGATAAACAGGAAATTCTGATTTTATGCCCACTGCTTACCCTTTATCTGAGACTTTGGTGCCTGGTGGGAAAGCATCATCAACTAGGCCCGGAGCAAGCTCGCTTTGAAGGAATTCCTGGCCTGGGCAGTAGAGATTCCCTTTACCATTGACTAAAATACTATCGAGGCAACTATTACTTCCATTAGTTTCAACTGCCACATGAGAGGCGGGGCAAGCAATTGCTAGTGATAGACGTACAAGACGAGCATGCCCGAATCAGTAGATATCTTCCAGTATTCATCGGAAGTATACTGGCTCCAGTCAGATACGACAAGATACTCAGGGTCGTTAGCAGCCTTTTCCATGTCCTTGATGTCTTGTTCGTTGTCACTAATTTGTCTCCATAGTTCTGTGCGATCTTGCTTTGGCCTACATCCTCGTTAGTTGATATTTGATTTCGAAAGGGCCAAAAAAACAATACTGACTTGATATGAATGGCTCCATAAAGGCCATCAACAAGTGACATTCTCTCATGAGAGTGATACCAGTGATTCCCTGCAGGAGTTGCCTTGAAGTTATATACAAACTCCTGTCCGGGCTTGATTGGACGTTGAGAAAGACCAGGCGTGCCATCAGCCCAAGGAGTATCTTTCTGGCTGAAATGAGCGCTCGGTATTAGTTAACAATTTCTTAGCTAGTTGGAGGATTTCAACAAACGTACTCTAAACCATGCCAATGCACAGTAACATTTTTGTCCATGTCGTTAATAACTGTTATCTATCAGGCGCATGTATCAGCATTGCAACACGAAACAACTAAAGAAAATAAAGACCTACTTCAATGTCATCTCCTTCGTCCCAGACAAGGGTTGGACTGGGAAATTGCCCATTGGTGAATATCATTTCTCTTGGCTGTCCATTTGGAGCACCTTCCTCCCAGGTGAAGCGCAGAGTTTCTTGAACTTTCTTCGCCCAAGCGCTTGACTGTAAAAGAGTCGCAACTAACAGCAAACACGTAAAGCGACCCATCGTGAATGCAAAAATTTCAGGAATAAAGTCTTAGTTGACGAGGTTTGAATCATCCATTTGAAACGCCGACGTGGAAGAACTTGCTGAAACGCTGTTCTTATATCACAAAACATGAGCAAACAGCTGGAAGACACAAGCAGCATCATAGATTTTGAAAACAGAAGTATGGCCGAAAAGGCAAGATACGAACAGGCCTCCAAGCAAAAATCTTGGCATGGCGACGCGTTCGTCAAGTTGAACTTGTTTGAATACTATCAACGCCCTTTTCGGCAGCATTTTACAACGAAGATCTCGGCCCTTTTCAGTGTGGAAGTCTGGTGACCGACCTCAGCTGCTTTCTGCTAGTACGTATGGGGGCTTGTACAGCTAACTCAGCCAAATAAGGGAGATTTCTGCAGCAACTAAGACAATGTAGGATTGCAAACAGCGTCGTAGCCTTATGTTGTTACCTCGGTAAGTTGCAAGCTGAACATTCCGGATCAGGAAGTATCTGCCAACGTCTGTCAATGCCTGCCAATGCCTGCCAATGCATGCCAGCGTCTGCCAAAAGTGACACCTAAAGTAAATTGAACACGTATATTAAAAACTTAATATTAATAAAGCCGGAAGATCAGTTTAACCTTAATTCTTAAGTAATAATGATTGTAAAAGGCATATGACCTGCGTATAGAAAGAAGGTTATTTTACATAATTTAATAAATAAAACTTTATATTTAAGAAATCGTTGTTACTTTTACATAACTTTGTTTTTACATATTCGCAAATTTAACATTACTTATGTAAGCTAATAGGGATTGTAATTATTGCTTAATAATGGTATTTATGTTAATTTGAATGAGGCTGTTAGGTCATTGTAATGTTATTTAGTATTTAAAGTTTTTAAAAAATAATTAAAAATTACTTTTTAAAACAAACGGTAGATAAACTAAATTAAAGTTTCGTCGAATAATCAAAGTTTTGCTAATTAGTTCATGTTATGCTTATAAATTAAGTTACTAGTAAACTTTTATACAAATATTAAGCATTGTACTTGATACAACCCAGCATTTGTTCGCAGTACCAAGTATGCAGAAGGGCATGCTCGGTCAATAGTACCTGTTTACATGCATTTAGAGGGCTACCCACATGTACCATTTATCCCCACTGAATATAACGGCAGGGGTTGGCAATGTCTAATTCACATGTAAGCACTACTTCATTCCTCCTGATAAACAAGTAGTCTGACAAAAATAACAGGATAATGGCATGAATTGCTTTCGGGAAATGAAGTACTTCCGTTAATGAATGCGGAAACGGTTTCGATATGTGTATTTTTTTTTTGTTTTAGATGCATGAAGAATTGCTTTTGATGAATGCAACATTGCTTGCGACGAATGCAGGTATACCTCGATGAACGCATACGTGGTTTTTCTGAATGAGGATTGAGTTACACAACAAACTTTCAAGTCCCCTTTCAATATATAATTTATGCTTCCGGTTCCTCTCTCTTATTTCGTTCTGACCCTTGACTAGAATGCATCTCTAGTTTATTCCGAGATATTAATCGCGTCGTCAACTCCTTCACACAACCGTCCACTTCGCTGTAAGCAGCTTGACGACATGACTCCAATGGCCACCTCAGACTCGCTTCCCCCCAAATCGCAGCAGCTGCTATGTCTCACCATTACGGGCTTTCGCAAACAAGGACTTAGCGAAGCTGCCTATAGGGAGTATATGACTAAGATCCATGCCCCCTTGGTGAGCGGCCTCATGGAGGAATATGGGATCGTTCGATACAATATGGTAAGTTGTTTATTTATTTATTTTGGGGGGGGGGGGGGGGGGGCCTAGATCATTCAATTCCAATTCTTACATCGCGCCAGACCCACAACGACAGTACAACTCGACCGTTGCTCTTCCAGCTCTATGACCCTGAGTTCTCGAAACTGTCTGATTACGATTGCGTTGTGCAATTTGTATTTCGACGTATGGAGGATTTCCTGCGGATGAAAGCTGATCCCCGCTTCTTGGAGAGAGTCGCTCCCGATCACAAAAATTTTGCCGACACTTCAAGGTCTACGTGAGTTATCTCAATTCCTTTGCCCAATGCAGATCGAGATTACGAAGAGGTGTTGACAGCGGACCTACTATTAGGATGACCATTGGATACTTTGAAGAGTTTTTGAACGATGGACAGGTTCTAGCTAAATAAATAGTAGGTACACAGGGAAGGGGATCTTCCTGCAAAATATTGGAACATTTGTTGAATCTTCATCTGCTCGCGATCGTTCTTAAATTGACCATGCCTGCCTGTGATTCTGTAATGCGACGCTGTACTGTACGCTGAACTGACGTCTCGCCTTTGAGGTCTCGCCCAAATACAAGTCGGGGAGACCATGTCATGTGCACAAGGTAGAGTGTCTAGTCTATTCTAGGAGCTGTCTACGATATTCCGAAAGCATTCCTACCGATTAGTTATGTATATCCTGACTATATGTGGTGTAGTCAAGACCTTTTGTTCCGAGAAAACATCGTGGCATGGTTAATGAGACGCGTGGGCAATGAATCTTGCCCTATTAGGATGCGCGATGCATGCAGTGTCCGCAGGTGGTTTTCTGAGTATCCTTTGTAGAACGCCCTGTGAAAAGGGGGAATGCAAATAAAATTTGATTGTCTTATCTATCCAAACACCAAGGGGCAATTTGTCTCTCTACTAGGCACTAATAAACTATTTACATACATGCACTACATACCAAGAGAGCCCTTCATAGCTCAATCAGTGTCTAAAGGAATAAGTGGTTAGATTGAAATGCGTAGTACAATAGAAAATCCCTATATTTCCGAGATTATCTCATAAGTCATGGACAGTAAGTCGATATGCGTTCAATATGTCAGCTGGGATCTACGCGTCCACTGCCAAGCAAGGGTTTGTCTGCTTGCATCCAGGCATGTAATATGGGTGGCACCTGATGGGCACGGAATGAATATCTTTGGCCGGACTCCAGTTTAGGCTAGAATGGATCGGCGACAATCTACAGAAGCTGTTTTTGGACCAAGGGAAAGTTTATCGGCCCAAAGGTCGGCCTCATACCATTAGAGCTAACATGAGTTTCTCTACATGTGATTGCCGACATATTCATCTAGACATGCTTCCCTCAATCATGTAGGTGCTTTGACTACAGTGTCTAAGCCACTTTTTTTTGTTTTGATCTCAATGGACAACTGAGTGCCGGCCCATATTTACTTGTACAATTACGTCTTGCTTCAATATTAATTCGCCGAGTACTATAAACAAAGAGTTTAGTCTCCTCCAGGCATGGAGATACGGTTCAGTCTCGATCGATCGGGCACTCCTCTCAACAAATTTAGCCTAAAAATTTAGATGCAGGCTGTTATATTCCTTCACGTACTGAATCCGGTCTCGATAAAGTTTCACGCCCTCGGCTCAACTGCTTCCTGGCTCTGAAAACGGTTGTAGCCACCCTTGATGATAACTCGATGAGGTCACTTCGAATGCACTATCAATTCTGATAAAAATACTGTGTTAACTTATTCGTAGTACTTAAACCATACGCGAGAAGGACAAATAGGAGAACTGATTATTTAATCCTTTTGTTATCATTCTTCTGTTAGGTCTATGCTTCATTGTACGGGATGTTAGATTCAACGTCCGTCATGGAGAGCACGACCATCATCGGGTCCAATGCCGGCGCCGACTCAGTTCGAGTTTTCGTCTTTGGGGATCAGAGTAGTTGCAGCCTATCGAACCTGCAACTACTTCTTCTAAAGAAAGACAACCCTTACTTGATATCTTTTATCGACCAAGCCAACTACATCCTACGACACGAAATAGCTCAGCTTACGACCACGGAGCGCCAGTTGTTCCCAGCCTTTTCCAGCATACAAAATCTTGTTACCCGGGGGATAAAGAAAGATAAAAATGCAGCGTTAGAGAGCACTTTGGCAACCGTTTATCAGATATGCTGCTTTCTCAAGTAAGGATTCCTCTTTATTTTTCCCAGCGCCGTCGGACGACTACTAAACAATGCACAGCTACTTCGGAGATGGCCAACAAGCGTACCCAACCGGTCCGAATAATTACGTATCCGGTTTATGTATCGGAGCATTAGCCGCAGCTGCAGTCTCTTCGTCCAACTCTCTCAGTGAACTGGTGCAAGCAGGTATCGACGCTGTTCGCGTTTCGCTTCGAGTAGGTCTTTTGGTTGCTCGAACGGCCGCTTTGTTCGGTCATCCAGAGTCCGATGGTACAGCCTCTTGGTCATACGTTGTCCCAGAGTCACAGTTTCCGCTGGAACTTGCTGAAAAAACTATTGCATCATACACAGACAAAGCCGTGAGTAAATATCGTGGTGCTGTTGATGGGTCAATATTTGCTAAATGCATGTAAGCAGAACATCCCACGTCTCTCATCGCCATACGTCAGCGCGAAGGGCCAAAACTCTTGGACTATCAGCGGTCCACCAACAACGGTGCAGCACTTCCTCAAGACTTCCCCATCTGCAGGGACGTTGAAGTTCACTCCTATTGCTGTGCATGCACCATATCATGCGCCGCATATTTTCTCTGCGAAAGATGTTGAAAACATTCTTCAGGATGTCGGGCCAGTTAGCGACCTATCAGGCAAAATATCCTTCATTTCCAGCTCATCTAGCCGCAACGCTCCAAAGGGGAAGACATTCCGAGACTTGCTCTGCCATGTTGTTGAGGGCATCCTCATTCTACCGCTGGATCTGGGAGAAGCAGCTGAGAACATGCAGCGTGTGCTTGAGACAGCAGACTGTATGGGCCAATGCACTTTGTTTCCAATCTCAACCGGCGTCTGTCCAAGTCTCAAGACGTCATTTTCGCCAGTGTTGTCGAAGAAAGTGCAGATAATTGACAGTATCATGGAGGCCATTGCAACAGGTACTGGGACAAATCACTCTACTTCTGCTAAACCAGGCGATTCTAAGATAGCTGTGATTGGCATGTCTGGCAGGTTCCCAGAATCTGCGGATATTGAATCATTCTGGGACCTTCTCTACCAAGGGCTTGATGTTCATCGGCCTGTGCCAGCAGACAGATACAATGGGGAGCTATACTATGATCCGACTGGGAAAAAGAAGAATACAAGCAAGGTCAAGCATGGATGTTGGATTAACGAGCCCGGGCTATTTGATGCAAAATTCTTCAACATCTCGCCCAAAGAAGCCGAACAATCCGATCCTGGACAGCGCTTGGCCCTGGCAACCGCATATGAGGCTCTTGAAATGGCAGGTATCGTGGCGGATAGAACACCATCAACTCAGCGAGACCGCGTTGGAGTATTCTATGGCATGACCAGTGACGACTACAGAGAAGTCAGTTGCGGCCAGAATGTTGACACATATTTCATCCCCGGTAAGATTAAATATAATTTCCAAGCTTTATACACACAATACTAACCATTTCAAGGTGGGAATCGAGCCTTTACACCAGGAAAGATCAATTATTTCTTCAAATACTGCGGTCCATCAGTCAGTGTCGACACTGCATGGTAAGCTACTTACACGGTATTCATGACGGTCGGATTCAGCTGACATATTATCTAATACCAGCTCATCGAGTCTTGCAGCCATTCACCTGGCTTGCAATTCTATCTGGCGCAATGAATGTGATATGGCCATTGCGGGTGGAACGAATGTCATGTCAAATCCCGATAGCTTCGCAGGGTTGGATCGTGGCCATTTTCTGTCAAGAACAGGTATTTATATACTTTCGCTTTAGTAGAAGTCTCATGAGCTAACATCATATTTACAGGCAACTGTAACACTTTCGATGATTCAGCGGACGGATATTGTCGCGCAGACGCGGTGGGCACTGTCGTCCTAAAAAGACTTGAAGATGCAATCGCAGACCATGACCCCATCCTTGGAGTCATTCTAGGCGCTCATACCAACCATTCTGCCGAATCCGTGTCGATCACCAGACCACACTGCGGAGCTCAAGAGGAAATCTTTTCTAAGCTGCTTAGTGAGTCTGGTGTTCATCCTCACGAAGTCAGCTATATCGAAATGCATGGCACCGGTACACAAGCGGGCGATGCGACCGAGATGTCGTCAGTTCTCAGCTGTTTTGCCCCATCCACAAAACGGCTGCCACATGAAAGCCTTTATTTGGGATCAGCAAAAGCAAATGTCGGTCATTCTGAATCGGCATCTGGAGTGACAGCACTGATCAAGGTTTTATTGATGATGGAAAAGAACCTGATTCCCCCCCACTGTGGCATCAAGGGCAAGATTAACCACAAGTTTCCTACCGATTTGAAGGAACGCAACGTTCATATAGCCATGAAGGCCACTGAGTGGAAGAGACGTGAGGAATTCAATAACATACGTCGCACTTTTGTCAACAACTTCTCCGCAGCTGGTGGTAACACAGCACTGGTTCTGGAGGACTACCCAGAACTTACGAGGAACTCGTCACTGGAGGATCCTCGTACGGCTCACGTGGTGACAATATCTGCCAAATCGATCCCATCTCTCAAGGGAAATATTGAAAAGATGAGAAACTATGTGCAGCAGCATGCATCCACCGAAGGGTTTCTGAGCAAGCTTGCTTATACAACCACAGCTCGACGGATGCACCATCCATTCCGCATTGCAATCGCAGCTACAAACTGTGAACAGCTACTAAGCTCCTTGAATGAAGAAGTTAAACGAGACAATCACAGACGCGCTCCAGAAACACCCGTTGGCTTTGTATTCAGCGGTCAAGGGTCGCAGTACAGCGCTATGGGCAAGCATTTACTGCAATTCGCCACTTTCCGTGATGAGATCAACTCTTATGACATGTTAGCACAGCGACACGGCTTCCCTTCGATCATGCCACTGATCGATGGATCCGTCGATATTAACGACCTTGAGCCACTCGTCGTCCAACTCGGCACTACATGTGTGCAGATGGCACTCGCAAGCCTCTGGGAATCATTTGGTATGCAGCCAACCTACGTGTTGGGCCATAGTCTAGGCCACTACGCTGCATTAAAAGTCTCTGGTGTTCTTACAGCAAGCGATACAATCTATTTGGTCGGTATGAGAGCTCGCCTTCTTCAAGACAAATGCAGTATGGGAAGTCACGCAATGTTGGCAATTCGATGCAGCGTCGATGAAGTTCAGACATATTTGGATTCAGATATCTATGATATTGCTTGCATGAACGGTCCACAAGATACTGTTGTCAGTGGCCGTGTAGATGACATTGAAAATCTCTCTCAAAAGCTTGTGGCCAATGGCGTCAAAGCGACAAGAGTTGACGTCCCGTTTGCGTTCCATTCAGCCCAAGTTGATCCTATCTTGGAAGAGCTTGAAATCATTGCCTCTCAGGTTACATTTCATTCCCCACGCGTACCAATTGGCTGTCCTCTTCTAGCCAAAACTTCTATCGTTGGCGAGGCACCTTTCTTTGATGCCAAGCACATCAGTCGCCACTGCAGGGAAGCTGTCAATTTCCGTGATATTCTACAGTCAGCTAGAGACGACAGTCTCATCTCCGAAAAGACTATTTGGGTTGAGATGGGTCCTCACACAGTGTGTTCGTCGCTTATGAAAGCCAATCTGGGGCAAGACGTCATTGCCGTCCCATCTTTGATGCGTAACAAAGATGGGTGGCAGGTTCTGGCTTCAAGTCTCTCAACTTTGTATACTCAAGGATTGTCCATCACTTGGGATGAATACCACCATGACTTTGAAGGATGCAAAGAAGTTTTGCGTCTACCCGCTTATAGCTGGGATAACAAGAGATATTGGATTGAGTATGTATATGATTGGTTACTCACGAGGGGCGATCCTCCCGTCCAAGCTGCCGTTGCTCCACTGCCAGCGCCAACTTCTACTTTCTCAACTGCTTCAGTGCATCGAATTGTTAGTGAGCTTGTTGACAACGGAAAGCTCACTATCACTGCGGAGTGTGAGTTTACGAGTGATCAGTTGCATGAAGTAGTATATGGTCACGTTGTTAACGGCAACCGCGTTTGCTCATCGGTATGTATTCAACTATTTGTCTTTTATGCTTACTTTCTAATATTGCTATGCAGTCACTCTACACGGATTTCGGAGTTACTTTGGGCACGTATGTCCTCGAGAAATATCGATTGGACCTCAAGGATCACTCAGTGGACGTCCAGAACATGGTTGTCAATAAACCTCTAGTCCACAAAGAGGGTCCACAAATGCTCCTCAGGATCGACATTAACCACGACGTGGCTGGCAGCAATACCGCAAAGATGTCCATCTACAGTGTCAATTCGAAGGGAAACAAGACTTCCGACCATGCCCAATGTACACTCTACTTTGGACAACCCAAGGTCTGGCTAAAGAACTGGGACAGCACTCAGTACTATGTTGAGAGAAGCATTGAGTGGCTGAAGGAGAAGGCCGATAAAGGTCACTATAGTCGTCTTTCTTCAGGCGTAATTTACAAGCTGTTCTCCAGTTTGGTTGACTACAGCGACGCCTACAAGGGCATGCAGGAGGCCATTGTCAACGCTGAAGACTTTGAAGCGACCGCACTGGTTCGGTTTCAAGTTGATGAGGGCAACTTCCGATGCAATCCCATTTGGATTGATAGCTGCGGTCACCTTGCCGGCTTCTTGATGAACGGCCATTCTAAGACTCCCAAAGACCAAGTGTTTATCAACCACGGTTGGGAGTCATTCAGAACCGTAAGGAAGTTCCGTAAAGACAAGATGTATCGCACATATGTTAGGATGCGGCCTTTCGAAGGCACCATTTATGCAGGAGATGTTTACATCTTTGATGATGAAGGCATTGTTGGTGTCTGTGGTAACATCAAGGTAAGCTGGCTTTCACCCAATCTCTCATCTTCAGTTGCTAATTTACGTAGTTCCAAGGTATTTCTCGAAAGGTACTCGACAGCGCGATGCCGCCGCCAAAGTCTGCAAACGAGCCTCAAGTCCCCACCCGTCTCACCACTGCCGCTGTTAAAGAGGTACCCAAGACGACAGCAATTACTGAACCTCCAAGTCGCCTTGCTAGCACTACTCCGATTGAGCCTATGAAACTTGATGCGGCTTTGAAGTCAGCGTCTGCTGCAAGAGATCCTATGCACGCTGTTCGCAAGATCGTGGCTGAAGAGATCGGTATTCCCCTGGCCAGTGTTCAAGATGATCTCGCCTTTACAGACTACGGCGTGGACTCGCTTCTTTCTCTTAACATTTCTGGACGACTTCGCGAGGAACTTGATATGGATGTCCCTTCGTCCGTCTTCGAAACTTGTCCAACGCTTGCCGACTTTGCCGCTCATCTTGGATTAAATACGTCCCCATCTGATGAATCTTCTGAGCAGTCAAGTATATTCGAGAGTGTTTCCCCTACCAGCGAGCCTTTTGGAGGAACTAGCAACGCGACTACGCCTCCGTCTCGAAGTCAACGGGAGTCTCTGTCTAGCAGCTTATGTAAAGATATGTGCGCAATCCTAGCAGAAGAGATTGGCGTGTCTGCGGGTGAGATCATGAATAATGCTAATCTTGGCGAATTGGGCATGGATTCATTGATGTCCCTGACTGTGCTCGGCCGCCTCCGCGAAGAGTTGGAAATTGAGCTAGAGGATGATTTCTTCGTTGCTCATCCCACCTTTAGTTCCTTCGAGCACATCTTCCAATCAGAGTTTGAACAAGAAGTTGAGCCTGAATCATCTTCTGCAGAGCTGAAACAGTATCGCGCAACTTCAACGCTCTTACAAGGTAGTCCCAAAACTGCGACCTATACGCTGTTCCTCTTCCCAGACGGTTCCGGCTCTGCAACTTCATACGGACCCATTGACGCAGTCAGCAAAGACGTCTGTGTGTACGGTCTCAATTGCCCTTGGCTCAAGGAGGCCGACAAACTCGTTCAGTTTGGTCTGAAGGGTCTTGCTTCACTTTACGTCGAAGAGATTAGACGCAGAGTACCCCATGGACCATACAACGTAGGTGGATGGTCTGCGGGAGGTATTTGTGCCTATGAAGCGGCAATTCAATTTACTCGAGAGGGCGAAACCGTCCAACGCCTCATTCTCCTCGACTCTCCCAACCCAATCGGTCTGGAGAAGCTACCTGCAAGATTGTTCGACTTCATCAATGGTCTGGGGCTATTTGGGGCTGGCAAAGCACCGGATTGGCTCCTCGCACATTTCCTTGCCTTTATTGATGCGCTTGATGAGTGGAAGCCAGTCCCTTGGGAGAAAGCACTGGGCGGCAGAGCTCCACCTCCAAAGACATACATTCTCTGGGCTGAAGATGGTGTGTGCAAGGATACTGATGCTCGCCCAGAATACAGAGATGATGACCCTCGAGAAATGCGATGGCTTCTTGAGAATCGAACCAACTTTGGGGGTAATAATTGGGATGTTTTGCTTGGTGAGGAGAATCTTTCTATTCAACGTATTCAAGACGCAAACCATTTCACAATGTTACGGAAGGGTAAAAACACGCAACGCGTTGCATCTTTCATCAAGAATTCGTTTGCTTAATTAACATATAGGAATACATGGTGCAAGAGAAAACTATTAGTTGGTACTTCAGCTTAATTTGGTCGAAAAAACACGAGTTATTTCTACCATCGATAGATAAATATGTAGGGTAGGATTAATACACGCAATCTTTGGACGCTTCATGGGATTCTCACGCGTTGGTTCAATTAACCTACTTGGAGAGGATTGTGCTTCTTAATGGGGCTTAACTTCACAAGTCGTAGACCTGTTCAATGACGAATCAAATCATCTAAAGTAAAATCATCAGGTGCATAGAGCCCATCCAACGTGTTCTACACCGTATCGCGTGGTCTAGATTGTATTCCCAAGTTTTCTCTCTGTTGCAGGCATATTAGGTTTGGTGTATACCTGTATAGTATTCTATTTCTCAACTGCTGGTATATAATTGGGCTCGTGGTCTAGGGGTATGATTTTCGCTTCGCATGTGAAAGGTCAGGGGTTCAATTCCCCTCGGGTCCAGTTTTTTTGCTTTTTTGGCATTCAGTAAAACTTCCATAGCAACAGCAGCAAAATCATATAAATACAATTTGTAGCCGCTTATGTAATAAAATGGGCTTGTGGTCTAGGGGTATGATTTTCGCTTCGCATGTGAAAGGTCAGGGGTTCAATTCCCCTCGAGTCCAACCTTGTGTCTTCTTTTGACGACTACCTTTTTTTGGTTCTCTTGTATAGAAGATATCGTCACAATAGATCATCCAAGATCAATTTCATGCCTTTGGTCATAGGGCTATCTGGGCTAAGTACTATCTATACTATAATGTTGTGCATTTGAACCACGTGTTACTGTTGGAAGGAACAGTATGAGTTATAGTTTGTTAGTAAACCTTGTTAGCGAGTATGGATTGTATCAGACGTCCTACGACGTCGGTTAGTTTATTCCTTTACAATAAAAAAAACAACACATTCGTTCATCTTGTTCGTTTACACACGTACTTCAACAGTTACGAGATCAGTCGAGGAGGTTGTCAATAACAAGAAACATATATTACACAAGATCCCCTAGGTTACTCTAAAAACAAGTCATTGTTCTAACTTCCATTTCTTCATTCCATCATATTATACTCTTCAGTGTACAAACAAGGTAAATGGTGATCCTGAATCACGTTATATCAGATGCGTATGATTGCAATTATGTATAGCAAACACGCAGCGTGATATGGGGGCAAATAAAAATGTTTCTAGTCACGCACCTGACTATGAATTCATGGTTTCATGAAAATCTACATTGTTGAACACCCGCGTGTAGTACGGGCCGTATCTGAACCGGGGGAAGAGAGCTAAAGTTGCGATTGTGATCGGAGTTACTTCAATTGTCTCTCTACTTGTGTGGGATGCTTACGACTCATACGCCGCCCAGCTTTCAACGCGACGTTTATACAGATGTCCTCGGCCCGTACATTTTGCTCCCCAACCCAGCGTTATTGGTCAATATCTATCTTTCACTAAAGTTGGCCGGTCATTCACATGGATGATTGTCTCGTTGAAATGCATCTTCCTATGTTACCTTAGGCACCTAAGCTCAATTGCGGACTGCTTGTTAAGCCAACCATGCGGTTGCCTCTCATCAGGTCGATGGAGGCTACGGGGTTCATACCTTCGTCGTCCGCTTGCTTGCTCAACCGGGAGGCAATGCATCTGGCCAATACGAGTCCATCTTTCAAGGTTAGGGTTGCAAACATGGCAATTGGTTTTATTCAAAAATTGAGGGCTCTTGATATACTGGCAGGTCATTCAGAAAACATATTTGGATGCATCCAGAGCCATATTTTTTTGTCATGACCAGAATTAGTGGGCTAGGTATACTTAGCTCTCTTGGCACGGCGGAGTTGACTCTCGACAAGGTGGAACGTAACCAGCAGCGAATTGATTCAGCTTAAGCAGTGGCATCCGAACACAGCATTAACGGTACATAAGAACGCTACGAACACAAACCTCTATTTCACTGTTTCAGATACAAGAGTTTAATACATAGTGTCATTTTTCTTTTCTTTAGCAATTACGCTCTATGTCTACTTGACAGTACTCTACCGCGTTCTTTAAACGTTAGGTTATTGGTTCAGAACTTCTGACGAACTCATGATAGACTTAATTGGAGTCACATGCCATGACTGTATTTTAATCCGATGAGCGGGGGGCTAAGAACGAATGACACATCGGAGACTAAACGAAAATACACTCAATCCTGCGCGCGCCTTCCATTTCAATTAGCTAATTGAGTATTAATTTATCGCTTTTATTATATGTTTGTGCAGAGTTGCTGGTTACTTTAGAGAAGCATAATAATCGCCATAGTAACGACACTACCTCAATAACGGACGATGTTCGATCCAACAATGCTCGTAGCTACAAATGAGCCCAACTTTGAGAGGAGCATGCATGACTCAGTAAAGATTTATGTATGACCAGATGAATAAAAGTCCATATAACCCGACAATGGTGGTGTCAAGGTCATGGGTAGGGCGCTGCGCATATGTAGTCTGAATAGTGGAGAGAAGTAGGTTTTTTTCTTGCTTCAACCAGACATGGCTGTCTCAAATCTCCGATAGTTAAATGGCATTAGAGTCACCTTATTTTAGTCACCAGTCTGTGGTTCTTCTCCATCAATCCAGTTACCTTAAATGCCCGCATCAGATCGCCAGTCTTGCTTTGCTCATTTTCCATAACGTTGATACATCTTTCATCATGACCTCAGCTCTCCCGAAACCGGTAAATAACATCTTGGGCGCAATTGGCAACACCCCGGTAGTGCGCCTCAATAATGTCGTTCCAAAGGAAGCTGCAGAAGTCTTCGTCAAACTGGAATGCCTTAACCCTACCGGAAGCTACAAAGATCGTATGGCTAGGTCGATGATAGAAGAGGCAGAACGACGAGGAGACTTGAAAGCCGGCATGACCATCGTTGAAGCCACTGGTGGTAGTACAGGGGCATCACTGGCTCTTGTCTCTGCTATTAAGGGATATCGCTTTTTAGTTGTATGCTCAGATGCCTTTTCAGTTGAGAAGTTGCGTACAATCGCTGCCCTTGGAGCGGAAGTCGATATCGTACCCAGCGCAGGCGGCAAAGTCACCGCCGATCTCATTCCATCTTTAAGACGCCGTGCGGAGGAACTCAGCAAGGCGGATGGGTATTATTATACCAACCAATTCCACAACAACGACGCTCTTGTTGGCTATGGGGAGATTGGATATGAACTTGTTGAACAGTTCAGCGATGGCATCGACGCCTTCTGTGGTGCTGTCGGTACCGCAGGCATGGCCACAGGAGTAGCAGGTGTTTTACGAGCAAAGCAGCCTTCCGCAAAAATAGTAGTGTTGGAGCCTGCTGAATCACCTCTGCTCACCAAGGGCGAGAAGGGAAGCCACACAGTTGAGGGTATCGGCTCTGGATTTATTCCGCCGCACCTGGATCAGCGATTGTACGATGAAGCTCGTGCTATTCCTGAAGCAGAGGCTCGAGATATGTGTCGCCGCCTTGCGAAAGAAGAAGGACTGCTAGTGGGAACTTCAACTGGGATCAATATTGTTGCCGCGATACAGCTAGCCAAGGAGCTTGGACCTGGGAAAAGGGTAGTTACTGTGGCGGTTGATACTGGTCTCAAGTATCTCAATGGCACGCTTTTTGCAGACCACTAGAGATGGCTCGCATATAGACATTTTTGGGATATTGGTGGAACTAACAGAAGAAGCTGCTAAATTGAATTCTTATTCAGAACGCTCCTGGTACCTAATACCTTTCACAATTTACAGGCCCCACGGTATACCTGCTTCAAAAGTACGCGTAGCATCCCCATCATAGCCCACTTTCTCCATCCACTGCTTCAAACTTCTGATCCTTCCTGGATATATCTCATCTAAGAAGTTGTAGTCCCTCTTACAGAGTCCAAGCTTCGTGTTGTTCCCACAATTCTGGTATATCCTCCACCATGCGGAGAAGTTTTGACGAAAGGTTAGCAGGGACGAGTCGCCTGGTGCCGTCGAAGTCCCTAATTTGTGTTGCATATCCTCTTCCGACAACCCAGTCTCTTGCGTCCACTCGTCAATAGTGAGATTGGTTGCTTTCGCAGGCTTCCCAGTGACATCAGTGAAGACTTTAGCTATTTGTTCGAGTGAGACGTCCTCGACCCCAACCTCTAGATTGAGTCCCGCAGACTTGTCTGGATGCTCAAATACCCATCGTACATAGTAACCCATATCATCCAGGCTTACGTATGGAATAGCTCCATCAGTAATGGGCAGGCGGAAGTCGTACACGCCAGAATCCGATTTTTTAGGGTGCTGGAAGTACCAAAGCTGCTCAATATAAGGCCCGGTACAGACAACGGACCATTTCATAGGGCTCTGTGGCAGTGCTAACATCCATTGCGTGACATGTCCTTTACCATAGTAGTGGCCACAGCGCATAGCGTCATCATATTTCGTTTCCAGCGCATAATTATCGAGCGCTGACCAGATATAGTGCTTTACACCGCTTTGCACTGCAATCTCAAATATCCTTATGCCCCAGTATATCTCGTTCTTAATACCGAGGGCGAAACTATTAAGGTTGACAAAGGCATAGTCTACCCCTGCAAAAGCAGAACGTAGTGCATTCTCGTCAGTAGGTGTACCGGTCACATATTGGACATTTGGTACGACGCTTCGGAGCCTCTGTGAATGTTCAGAGCCTGCATCACGAGTGAGCACGGACACGTGGTAGCCATGTCGATCGAGTTCTGTAGTATGGTCAGGGAAAAGCAAGGGAAGCCCATAGAGTTCTTCAACTTGCCTTGTACAATGGGCACACCTTGTGCACCAGTCCCTCCAATCACTAAAACGGTTTTGGCAGCCATATTGCAGTGTTTTTTTTTTATGGTATACAATCCAGAGCTCAAAGAACCGTGGAAAGAGGATATTTCGCTGAGTTTATATAGACCATTCTACATGTCACTCGATGAAACCAGTAATTTAAAGATCAGTATAGATGCTTGAAGAGGCTAGTTCTGGGCACGCAAATGTTTGTCCGTACTAGAGAGTGTATAGTAGAAAACACGAAGGCCTGGCAATATTAACACTCAAAACGTCCAACACGCATCAGATTCCCAATGAGGATTTTGCTGCTATAGGAAGGGGAGCCGAGAGAGGAAAATGCTCTTTTCGATGCGCAGAGGCGTGACTTTACACAGGCATGGCGTTTGCGGCTTTTCATTCGCTGAATTTCTGGCTTCCTAGGCTAACATGCGGCGATTCTGCGTAGCTCAATACTTAATCTCAGCAAAGATAAATATTGCAGGCAGTACAATTACGTACTCTGGTTCGAGTCTTCTCACCAATCGGGCGCCTTAGATCCACACAGCGGCAGAAGTCAAACAACTGTAGATAATTAATTGCTGACGTGAACACGGCTGGCATGGAATCATCTTACAAGCTTCACATGCCTGTATCCGTCTCAGCTCCCGGCCACTTTTGAACATATGTGACGATATCATCTTCTTGGAAATATATATTGTGTTTCTGTCTGGCCTGTCAGTGAACAATGGATACTAATTTTTTTCATTCACAAACTTATTTAATTAATTAGGTGATCTTCTATTCAGTGTATGCACATACAGTATGCTAATAAGACTATCTTCGATGTTACTCGTCTGGTGAACTTGACCCCATCCGAGATCAACCACTCTCTAGCATTAAGGGAGATAGATGTAGAAACAATGAACTTGGGCCCTATGAGCGATGCCCTATTTGCCAACAATTTGCAAATATTTGGATGTACTGCCAAATAGAGAACTATGCTGCGGTGGCAAGATAATAGCGTTAGCCTGCGCCAACCCCCCCGTGCATGAGTAGAAGCCAGACCAGCAAACTATTGAACAATTATTTCTTAACTGTACTATGTACTATCAATATACAATTACTGGACCGCGGTGAGATAGAATGTCTGTGTGCCTTGCGAAAAGTAATGTCTTACGGATGAGGCGACAGGAAGCCACAAGTAATTACAACAGGCCTTAGCCCAGTTACAGAACATAACACGTTAATCAGCAAGCTTCCACAAAAGACCGAATATTAATGGTTACTCAGAGTCAGTGATCCTAAAGACCTGCTAATTTACAGGAAAAGTAAGCACCTAGAAGAATACTAACGCAAAGAAACTAGAAGGGTTGAAAACCAAGTAATAATATAGAAGCACCACATAGCAGAGTGTGCTATCCTCGACACAACATATAGAACGCCTCTTAAAACATAAAGAGGCTTTAATACTAAGAAAGAAAAATCACCGCATGAAATCATTGCTTTATGCAAAGACTAGACTGCACTAAACAGGGAGAAGGAAAAGAAGTAATACCTTGTACAGCTAGCGAGACCCTCTCCTCCAATTCCATTCATAAAACAAATGGAATCAATGCCTTTGCCTTGTGTCTGCGTGTTGTTACTACGTCTACGTCTTTTACAACTGCTCACATGGCATTACCGGATTAAAGGAGGCAGATCAGACTTTTTTGAGGCCAGTACCGAGCAGGCCAATTCAAGGGCTAAAGGAGCGCAATCTCGTAAGTGGTGGGATCCAGATAGAGCAACGGGTCCAATACGTGGATATATCTACTCTGAATACATAGCTGACATAATCACAAATGATTTCTACTAGAGATCATGTCCTGACAAAGTGCGTCTATGTCAGGGCATTGGATAAGCGAAATGTCAAAGACATATAATACAACATCAGCACATAGAACCTCTAAAGACTGAGCGCATATGATACCGTTTATGTTATCACTACCATAACATATCATTGAAATCCCAGCAAGTCGTTGCTCTTCATCTCACACGCCAGAAGTAGAGTTATACATCAGAGAATATGAACTTACCCAGCAGGCTCGTGTCGCGCGTTGCCTTAAAACAAGCTTATGACTACGTGCATAGTCGACGCGATTCTTGTAAGCTCCTCTCAAAATCAGTACAATAATATTGAAAGTGAGATTAATGTGCCTAGTAATAATCTAGCGTTGGGTAGCTATGGCCGTTATGCATTCTACCCTACTCCAATGATTACCAACAGCGATTGCAATTTGGTGGATAAATTGCAAGTTTGATGCAATCATCATCCACATCTAATGCATTGAATTAACCGGCCGCTTGTGCTTCTGCCACATAGACAGGTCTAATTTCCTGCCTATAGCCGTAAATGAATTTGGGATATCCTTATCGCCTGCATGAAATAAGCTGCATAAGATTCACAGAGTTCCATTGCACATATATCTGCATTTCCTTTATGGAGTGTCTTTCCCATAGTTAGAAACTCTCTAAATATATAAATAGCGTACCTAAATGGTTTGGAAACTCCTTGCTCTTGTTGCTTCTAGTCCAGCTATGATACAATCTTCGCTATCTATTCCTATTCCAGCGACATCAGCTGAGATTTACATGAACATGAAACGAATTGCCGAAGACTTCGATGCGCAATAAAGAGGAGAAAGGTTCGCCATCTTCAAACTATATGAGATAATAAAGAGACCCATAAGACGGGAACTAGGTATGCAGCCAGATATACTATTCGTTGCGCACTGTGGCAGGAGTCTCTTACACTCGATGGTACGGGGCTTCGTCTTCGGAGCTTTAGAACTTGATTGAAGCTAGGTATCCATTACCAGCAATTAACCACTGGATGGCTGGCAAGACGAATTGTATAATACTGATCTTCGGGCCATCATATCAGCATAATCAACAAGTGTGGGCAATTTTGATTCCCTCGATTGCCGACAGATGCCGCATTTCGTCATTATTTCATGACAAACTTTAGGGCGCCATTTATTATGACTGCAACTTGGGATTTGATACACGCCCGTCGTATCCAAATCCGCTAACTGAGAAGACGATTGCTCGCAAGAAACAGCTCAAAATCTCAGGGGATATTTGTAATTCGACTTTCCTCTTTGGATTGCATACGGAGTACACACAAGCGATAATCCAGCTTGGTGGACCTCAAGCGCCAGTCAATAAGCTGAGACATGACAAGATCCGTTTGGCGATGACCCTCCGCCGCAATCGGGACAATCAAAGAGCCTATAACCAGAGAGTTAGTATGTAAACGTAATCAGCCAAGAAAAGAACGTATATTGCGTGCTTCGCGGTCGTACAACTGCTGCAGCGATTACACTCTGTAAGCTGGATTGCGTGATTCGCACTATCAATAGCATCAACACGGTACTGATCATCTCCGGTAGTGGGCTACAGTAGCACCCTCCAAAATCCGCCGACAGGGAATGTACTGATTAACGTCATTTATCTACCAAAATGTAAACCCGAGGATCAGACAAGTCTCATTTGGGATGATTGGATGATTCGCCAATTCGCCATAAAGTTCGCGATGCATGCAATTGTGGGGGTGGGGTTCGCCCGATGCCGATGCAATGAGACGGATGGGCCGCGACAGAGAGGGGAAGAGACGCAGGTTGGGCAAACGTATAAAAGGGCAGTGCCCAACGAGCCGGTGGAAGTGAATTGTCTCATTATTTCTGTGAGAATCCCAAGAAAAAGACAAAATCCCATACAAAATGGCTCCCGCATTGGTTGAGACTACTACCAGCAACAACGGACCAGTTCCGGCTTCCGTTTATAAGTTGGACCTTGGACAGTACAAGGAGATTGACTTGACGTACATCGACAAGAACGCTGAGGAGGGCAAGGCTGGTGGACCTGCTGCCAAGGTAAGCCTCTCTTTTGGATGATTCGATATGGCTTTATGCTAATACAGACTGCATAGTACCCTCACTACCTCCCAACATGGAATCCAGCACAAAAGTATCCTCCTCTCCAGCCCTTTGAGCACTACGAGCACGGCAAGGATGCCGATACCTCGTATCCCAATCTTCTTCCCAGCGGAGTCAAGGTTACGGAGCTCACTCCCTCTATTGGCTCCGAAGTGAGAGGCATTCAGCTCTCCTCTCTCAGCGACGCCGGTAAAGATGAGCTGGCTCATTACGTCGCCACTCGCAAGGTTGTGGCCTTCCGAGACCAGGACTTTGCTGATCTGCCCATTGCCGATGCTCTCAAGTTCGGCTCATACTTTGGACGACATCACATTCACCCCACATCGGGCTCGCCCGAAGGTTATCCCGAGGTTCATCTCGTCCACCGCGGCGTCAACGACAAGGGCCACTTGGACTACTTCAAGACCAGAACCAGCTCTGTAGCATGGCACTCCGATGTCTCATACGAGCAGCAGCCTCCCGGAACTACTTTCCTCTACATCCTTGACAAGCCCGAGACTGGAGGCGACACCATCTTCACCGATGCCGTTCAGGCATACAAGCGACTCAGCCCTCTCTTCCAGCAGCGTCTGCATGGTCTCCAGGCTACCCACTCAGGCATTGAGCAGGTCAACGCCGCTGCGGCTCGTAACAGCATCAAGCGACGAGACCCTGTTGTTCACACTCACCCTATTATCCGAACTCACCCTGCCACAGGAGAGAAGGCCATCTATGTCAACCCTCAGTGTAAGTTCCATATGCCCCGAATGCGGACTAATCTGCCACATCATCTCGATAGCTAACATTCACTTTGCAGTCACTCGTGATATTGTTGGCCTGAAGAAGGAAGAGTCCGACACCCTTCTCAAGTTCTTGTATGACCACCTTGCCTTGGGAGCCGATTTCCAGGCACGTGTCAAGTGGGAGGACAGGACTGTTGTTGTCTGGGACAACAGAGTTACCCAGCACAGTGCTCTTGTGGATTGGGAGAATGGCCAGAGGCGACACCTTGCTCGCATTACCCCCCAGGCAGAGAAGCCATTCGAAACCCCCTTTGAAGGTTGAGAGAGAGAGGATGATGATTGTATTTTTGTGAGCATTTTAGCGACTTAACTTGACGGGCATCAGAAGTGGCCTTGTACAAAAATATTCGAATAAAGGTGGATGTCAAATGAGAGCATAGGAATTGATTGGTTTTCCCCAGCTTACAGCTTTAGAACTTCTCATCATCATGAATAAGTGACCCATATATCCACGTACACGTGTATCGACCCCATATCCGGAGTTGAGCCCATATCCGATGGCAAAGTTGAAGAGCCACCTCAGCTATCTAGTTGAAGCAACAGCCATTCAAAAGCAACAGAACGCTTCAAAAGCAACATAAATATGGCTGCTGACTCATCCCTGAACTTGGGTCCCGTCCTCGGCTCATACGAGTACAATACCAGCATAAAGCGCCACCACGCTGCCCCAATTTTTGTCCCCAAATCTTGTCAACTAGAGGGCGCGCATGATGGCGGACAGGTTGGTCAAAATATTCACCACGGTCTATAACGATTGTCATCAAAGCAGTTGGCCTTTGATATAAGGCGTATGATCTGGCGGTGGAAAAAGAAGAAAAGAAAATCGTCGCATCCTGTTTTTAATCACAATGGCGACATCAACGACCACCGCAGTTGAGCTCGTTGAGCTTCCTTTACAGACTAATGCATCTGGGCATAACCGGTTTCATAATAATGCAACCATTGACGAGTCTCAAACTTCGTCATCTGACGATGTCTTGGAGGCTTCTCGCCTAGCAGATTCGGTCGTGCCAGATGGAGGCTATGGCTGGGTTGTCGTCGGTGCTTGTGCTGTCATCTCGTGGTGGGTAGGTACATATCTGGATCTCCAACTTAATGCGTGATTGGGAAAGGATACAATACTAACACGAAATCACCTGTCTTAGTTTGTAGGAATGGGCTATAGCTGGGGAGTGATCCAAGGAGCTCTTGTTGAAAAGGGACTTTCAACTCCCGCAACCCTGTCTTACGTCGGCTCATTAGCCATTGCGCTCATCTCCTGCATGGCAATTCTCAATGCGCGTATAATCCGAGCCATTGGGGCGCAGCGAACAGCCGTGCTAGGCATCTTTCTCCTCGGAATGTCTGAGATAATAAGCAGCTTCGCAGTCTCCAGCCTTGCAGGATTGTTCATCACCTCTGGCGTCACGCTAGGCCTTGGTATGAGCCTCTGTTTCATGGCCGTATCCGCTACTCCGGCGCAATATTTCAGCAAGAAGAGAGGGTTAGCAAACGGCATCGTATTCGCTGGTGGAGGCTTTGGTGGAGCAACTACGAGCTTTCTCCTAGATGCAGTAATTCAGCGGCATGGAATTCCATGGGCGTATCGAGTTCTTGGATTGGTGACGCTGGCCACTGGTCTCCCTGCGGCATGGCTGGTGAAAGAAAGGTCGCCAGTGAAGACTGCAGGTTTCATCGAATGGTAAGACGAATCCTTTGATACAGGAGGCTCAACTCCGAAAGCTAATCACATATTCAGGCGCCTTTTCCGTGATCTTTCCTTTGTAATCATATTCACTGCTGGTGCGATTGCAACTTTCCCTCTCTTGGTCCCTGCATTCTTTATTCCACTTTATAGCAGATCAGTCGGTCTGTCTGCATCTACCGGCGCTGGTCTCTTGGCAGGCTTTAATCTGTCGTCCGCTGCGGGGAGAATACTTTGCGGCTTCTTTTGTGACAAATTTGGGGCGCTCAACGTATTATTATTCTCCTTGTTGATCAATGCCGTCACCATGTTAGCGCTGTGGCCTGCATCTACTACTCTGGCTCCCTTGATCGTGTTTGTTGTTATCAACGGCGCGGCGAACGGAGGCTTCTTTTCCACCATGCCTACGGTGGTTGGTAATGTCTTTGGGTCTCAGAGAGTGTCTGTGGCCATGGCCATGATCGTTACAGGCTGGGGCGGTGGATATCTCATGGTAGGTTTCCACAACTCTTTCGTAATATTGACATGCCACCATTCACTTTGCTAACATCAATAGGGTTCTCCAATTGCTGGATACCTTCTCGATGCCTACGGAGGAACGGGAAGCGGATTCCAGGCGTATAGACCCGCCATCACATACGCAGGATGCATGGGACTAGGGGCTACAGCTCTCGTGGCGTTTGCCAGATTCCGAAAGAATCGCGCTTTTCTCGCCAAAGTTTAGCACATGATAAATCTAAAAGCTGTATTTGTACGAACAATATTAGACGCATATGAACAGATAGAACGCTCTTGTAGAACTCAAGCGCGGACAGCAACGAAAAATAGACGAGGATATCGCAACAGCGCAGTTCCATCATCACAAAGAGGATAAAGCTCCTTCAATTTCTCCAGATATGCCGCCAAAAATCCTTCTTTCTGCTCCGGGTTGAGCGGATCGATAAATGGCCGCAATCCCGTGCCTTTGACCCATTCAACGATGTCCTGGTGGCCGCCCAATGGGTGATTATAGTACGTATGCCATACATCTATTGATGAGCATAGGGGTTTCAGCCCGTTATAAAGTTCCATGGGCGTCTGGAAAGGCCCAAGTGACGGTTTAAGACGTCCAAGGGTCTCTGCCCAAGGACCATTCGCGGCAACTGTCCGCATAGCTTCGTGAGACTGCTCGGTGTAGTTGTCGGGAACCTGGAATGCAAAAACACCACCAGGCTTCAGGGATTGAATCAGTCGTTTGATGATGGGGATCCGATCCTCAAAGTTGATCCATTGAAAGACTGCATTGGAGAAAAGAAGATCAACTGGCCCCTCTGGCGTATAAGTTTGCAGATCCGCCACAGTAAACTCCAGGTTAGGCAGTGCCTTGCGTGCCGTTTCAATCATGTTGGGAGATGAGTCCATGCCTAAAATATGTGCGTCTGGCCATTGTTTCGCAAGAACCTCTGTCGAATTACCAGGGCCGCATCCAATGTCGATAATACGAGCTGGGGATGCCAAAGGCACTTGAGCAATAAGGTCACGCGAGGGCCGGGTGCGCTGCTCAGCGAATTTGAGATACTGGGCCGCCGACCAATCTTTTGTGCCGGCTGCTCTTCCCTGGCTGGTTGATTGAGTGGCCATTGTTCTGCTTAGTAAAGTTCTCGAAAGTCGGCCGAAGCCACGAGATATCATCGTCCAGGCTAGATTGAAGTGATGAAGGAGGAGAAACTTGGCTATGTGAATTTAAGCGCTGTCGATCTTAGGTATAGAGCGAGGTCGATGCTACAGAGTCCAGATCCAGGAGTACACCTATGTAATTTATATATCAAAAACTATGTATACGAACGCAAAAATAGGATATTACACAATGACAACTTTTGCCCCAAATCTCATCCAAACATCTCCGTATTGTGAAAGCTTCTGTCATGATGCACCAAATGACAGCATGCGAAGGATTAATCCGAGAGCAACCTCGGCCGTCCGAAACTATTTCCGCCGACAATGGCTTCGGACCCGAGGGCTCTTTCACGGGCGTCCGAGATCACGTGAAGGCACCGCCCCTTTCACGTCCGAAGTCGCCCAAATGATATCGATTGAAAGCGCTTTTCAACAGCAGAGCCAACACGTCTGATTGCGTATGCTTTTCGATATGTTGGTAGTTGAAATATAGAGGGTGCAGCAGCAGTTAGGTGTTGGTTTTATTAAAAGGGCGTGATGGGGGTTGTAGCCTCTAGATGGACCAGTGGTTTCGTTCTCAGGGCGATGCAGCCGCAGCAATCTGACATCTTCTCGTGTCATGGTCTAGATAGTAGTAAGACAAGCCAGATTTCTGATGTAGTGTTAAGTGGCAGTTTCATCGGTTCTCAGATACGTTCTCTAGGTAATTGTCAACAAATTAATGTATAATTTTAATTATTTCTGTAGTCATTAAAGTAAGCCTTCTGGGCCTAACCCCCCGCGCAAAGGCTTGGTTTGGCAAATTATATAGTAAAAGGGGAATCAATGGGTACATGTAGCTATTTAAAACGAGAGGCGGGTCTATCGAGTTCTGGAGAAGAGGCTGCAGTTGATTTTGCTCCTCGGCTGATAGCTATTAACTACCTTTAAGACCGACACGCACGCCATGTCACCCTCGGATTCACGCCCCAGTATCGCCATCATTGGTAGAGAATTCTATAGCCTTCATCTGAAACTCCTCCAACAAAAGTACAAATTCCATTCACAATCTACTAACTTCTGGAAAAGCTCAATGGTTCGGCATTTATGACGCCGTTTGGCATGCTTGATCTGCACTGGCGGCCATCCGCGCCTGTGGTGTATAGGGAGAGTTTCAGAAACACACACTCAATTGCAATGAAGAGCCCATCATCATGGATAAGCAGGTCAGGGTAATTCATAGAGATAATGGAGGCCCGGGGCCTCAAAGCCGCCCCGAGATTTTCGGGGCTAAAGGGATTGCAGAGCACGACTTCGTGGTGGGCACTGACAGGGGGTGGTCTAAGATTCGCAATCTTGTAACAAACAGTTCAGCCATATTATGGCGGCATGCAATAACTTATACCAGACATCCTCAACACTACATCTTGATATACTGCTTTCGGCAGTAAATTTTGAGTTGTAAGCTAGCGTGAAACACACAATTACATTTGTCTATACATTGGGGTCTCAGCGGAGGATGATACTCCATTTTGCGCGTCTTCGGCAGTCTTGGAAGCCGACAGCCGGAAAACGAGTTTAGTAGAAAGTCCGGATCTTTTTTTGTACATGGGGCTAGCAAGTCGAAGATCTTATTTCCAATGCCTCTTGAGGAGACTCTAGCTGCAACAATCACGACCCAAATACCTGAGCCCAAGTCGTTGTACATGCTCCCCATCGGTCATAAGTGTGAAACACAGGCTGGGGTCGCCATTATTGTTGATGCAGCTCATTTGATGATGCCTCGGGCGGGAGAAGGTGTCAACGTCGCATTATGGGACTTGATAGATCTTGGAAACGCCATTCTCCAATCATGGGATGGATCTGAAGATGCTGCAGAGTTTCAACACGTCATGACATCTTTGGTTTCTGAATTTGATGCAAAAATGTTTGAGAGATCTACACGAGCAGCAGAAGAAATGTGGCAAACTCTCAGATGGTGTTCTCTGAGGATGGCGCCCAGGCAATGGCTGATAAGATAACTGCATTGAAGCAAATGGCACATTGATTGGGAGAAGAAGGACGAACCCGACTATCCAAGGCTGTGCTACAAGATGGAGATATCGTATATTAATGGAATATGTATAATAGTATAATGTGTTTATAATTCTTTACTCCATAGATATATGGCAGATTTCTTCAGTATTCATGCAGGTATGAACTTGACAGGTGTTGGGCCAAAATGCATGAAGTTACGTCGGTGTTGTGATGCAGTAGACATTCACCTACTCAGGCTACCGCTCGAATGTGATTCTGTCTGCTATTTTATCTCTTATACCTGTATCAAATCAACATCGTCGCCTCACTCCCCTCACTCCATGCACAACTTGTTCACAGTTACCCCTCCCCCACCATTTACGTCTCCATCGCGGGGAATTTATTCGTCGCCGTCAGTAGTGGGGTTGGAGATTCGCCGTGAGGCGCAACATTTCTGCGATCGGCCAACTTTTCGTTTATTAAAAGGCGATTAAGAATCTTGATACATCGATCTGTGGCCATGGGTAATATAGATAAGCGGTGCCAACACTGCGTTCATTGATTCTCTTCCAGTAAACAGATGTTTGTATATCAACATCAACTGCTGCTTCAACCCCCCGCGAGCTCATTTGTCAACGGTGTTGGGGGTCAAAATTCCACGTTACATTGCAAGCCACTTCTATAGCCAAGCTAATGCTAATGTCAGCCAAATGAACGCCTGACCCCCACCACAAGAGACGATGACAGAATAGCCTATATCGGCGAACAAATTAAGGCATTCCCATACAACAGTTTCCGGGGAATAGTGAAGTCAAGAAGATAAGCTTCATACACTTTTCGGCAGCGGGATCCGAGACGTTACATTGTTAGTAACAAGCTGCCGCCGAGGTTGATGCCCCGCAAGTGATGAATCGAGCTCAATAAGGACCGAACCTTGAACCATCACCCTTCTGGCTTCACAGAAACATATTACCGAGTACTGAAATCTCTTCGGGTTCTTCTTCAAGAGGCGTACAAATTGGAAAAGGGCTTCGTCTGGCTTCAAATCAACGATTGTATTCCGCCCAACTTCAGTCTCTCAACAGTCAAAATGGTGTCAGCAGAGCAGCGCGAGAAAGTCGGCCAGGTGAGATTTGAACACCTTTTCACTGGGACGGGGCTCTGACTAACATATTTGGCGCTCAGCTATTTGCTGTTGGCTTTCACGGCCGTGAGATTAACAAGGAGATCACAACTCTGATCCGCGATTACGGCGTCGGAGCCATTGTCCTGTTCAAACGCAACGTGCTTGATGCCACACAGCTCCAGGCGCTTTGCTTGGGGCTCCAGAAGATTGCCAAGGAGGCAGGCCACAGCCAGCCTCTCTTCATTGGAATAGATCAAGAAAATGGCTTGGTTACTCGCATTTCACCGCCCGTAGCCTCTCAACAGCCCGGCCCCATGACTCTCGGCGCTACTGGTTCTCTCGATTCTGCTTATGAGGTCGCAAAGGCCACAGCTGAGATGCTGAGATATTTCGGCATCAACATGAACTACGCCCCCGTTGGCGACATCAATTCAGAGCCACTAAACCCCGTGATTGGTGTTCGAAGCCCCAGCGATCAAGCAGAAACGGTGTCCAAATTTGCAGCCGCCTGCACAAAAGGCTTGAGAGAGCACAAGGTTGTGCCGTGCATCAAGCATTTCCCTGGCCATGGAGATACGGCTGTGGATTCACATTACGGGCTGCCAGTCATTGACAAATCAAGAGCCGATATGGAGAAGCTCGAACTAATCCCATTCCGCGATGCCGTTGCCGACAATATCGAAATGATCATGACGGCTCATATTTCTTTACCACAGCTATCAAAGAACGGCTTACCTGCCACCCTATCCCCGGATACGATTGGAATCTTGCGAAATGAGTGGAAATATGACGGTGTCATCATGACCGATTGTCTTGAAATGGATGGTGTCCGCGCGACTTATGGCACCGTTGAAGGATCACTTATGGCATTCCAGGCTGGTGTTGACAACGTCATGATCTGCCATACCTTCGACGTGCAATCAGCAGCTGTCGATCACATCTGCGACGCCATAAACACCGGAAAGCTATCTCAAGAAAGGGTAGACGAATCCCTGGAGCGTCTCCGAAAGTTAAAGGAGAAATACACGAACTGGGACGTTGCCCTCCATGCAGAGCCACCAGCGACGTTGGCGGCAATCAACGAGAGAGGAGAGAAGCTCGCTCACCAAGTGTACGCAGATGCAACTACCCTTGTCCGGGCTCAAGAAGGTCTTCTGCCCCTCAAGTCGACCACAAAGATTGCATTTGTCTCTCCTGGACCCGATGTGCCCATTGGCGGAGCTGTTGATAGCGGGACTCTGCCAACTCGAGTTCCTTGGATTGCGGATACTTTCGGGGATCGCATCCGCAATAAGGCGCCTCAATTTTCCGACGTCCGATTCATTAACTCTACCCTGACAGATGAGCAATGGACGCAAGTCGAGGAGGCTGATGTTGTTATTTTGGCTACCCGCAACGCCCGCGAGTCAAAATACCAGAAAGAACTTGGCCTAGAAGTCGCCAGGAGACGCGGAACATCGCCTTTAATCTCAATTGCCACATGTGCTCCGTATGACTTCCTGGATGATACTCAGATTGGCACATATATCGCCGTATATGAGCCTACTGTCGAGGCATTTTCAGCGGCGATAGACATCCTGTTTGGCGATGCACAGCCAAGAGGGAAGCTCCCGGTGGCGCATTAAGTAGACATTAAGTAAAGATTGCAGAAGTTGTTGTAAATAGTTATTTAATTATATAATTTCTGCAATGCCTTATTCGTATACGTGGTCGCGCGAGTCTATAGGTTTTAACATTGAACTACGACTACAACCCGCATATCCCCGACGACGACTCCTTTCACTCAATTTTGACAATGTTCTTCTCGTCAGTATACTTAGCAAGAGAAAACTCTATCGTCAGGTTGTCGTAGTCAAACGTAAAGTAGACATTGCGAAGATAGGCATCGCCCAATAAGTTGCCAAAGGGCGCGACAGGTGCAGTGCAAGTTCCATCACCATTATCAATGGGCAGAGAACTCAGCGGCACGTTGATGATAGCTCCCTGGCCAAGGTTGACAGCAATGAAGTCATCAGATGGCTCACGAAACTTGCAATCCACAAACAGGGTGTCGTTTGGATCAGGGTTTGTGAGGCCCCAATAGCTGGTGAGAGCGTCAAACAGATCCTGCTGAACAAACCATCCGGGAGAGCCGGTGTCCCAGAGAGCATACGTGCCATTATCATAAGTAGAGGTCACTTTAGTACCATTTGCGAGCTGCAATTCAAGGCTAGAGAGGCTGACCCAGTTAGGCTGTTCATTCGCCGCTGTGATTGTCGGGTCTTGGACATCCAACTTGTAAACAGGGCCTTGGCGTTTAGCAAGATCAATTCCACCGATGAGTAGCGAGCCTTTGGCGTCGGCATCGTTCGGTCCTAGATAGACACTAAAGGCACGACGTGAAATAACGCCGTGCTCGTATAGCTGGTTGAGGAAAGTCGGGTATGTGTCGCAGGCCTTGGTCTGGCAGAAGGCTCCAAGGCCGAAGATGGCAGTTTGCTGTGTGTTGATGGGAAAAGACGCAGCGTTTAGCTCAACAACGCCAAACATCATATCTTCGAGGGTAATGCCGCCGACCCGAAGAGTGTCATTAATAAAACTTCCAAAGCCATGATCGATGAGCATATCACTATAATCACTGCTGATCCATTTAGTGGTGGTGGAAGTTGTGTTGTCATAGGTGCCATATGCTGAGCAGAAGCCTTGCTGGCATACAACATTGCCTACGTGTGTGGGATGAAGGTCAGCGGCGCCATCATGGTATAGACATATGTCTCCTAGATACTTAAGAGTCTAGAGAGCTTGGAGGGATTAATACGTACGGGGCGACTCAAAGGCGTAGGTAGGGCTGCCTGTATCGGCCGAAATGATGACCCTTTGCGGCGGGTTGCCGACTTGGAATTCTGCGCCATACGCGCTCTGATTTTTGATGCGCTGGAGTGGGATTTCAATCACGCCCTCTGGCAGAGCAGCCGCGGCGAGGGACGCGAATGAAAGAGACGCAAGAGGGAGGTACATTTTCTACTTGTTGAAGCAGAAATGGTTTAACAGGCTGGGGTTGGTTGATTCGCTTTTTGGTGTTGACAATTACAGAGTTGGGCGGGTGGCGTTGTGTTTTATACTGTCAATTACGCGTTTACACAGACGACAAAACAGTTGGATGCCCTAGATAGGCAAGGAGATGTCTTGTCATAATAAATACGAGCTCCGGGATTACTATCCAATCGACGTGTAAGAGTATAGCATTTACAGCATCAAGTGCCAGATGGGATACGACCCACCCCGGCAATACTCAGATTAGGAACCTAATGGAGATCCAAGCGGCCGCTTCTAGGATTAAATCCGCGAATCGGGAGCTATGACGGGAGTTGAGTTTGCTGTCTCAACATTCAGTCCCAGTCTACCCCTTTTTCTAGCATCAAAACTTACTACATTTGGTGGATCAGTACATGTAGGGTGAAGTAGAGTAAAATGCAGAGGTCATGGTTAGGGTGACAAGGTGACCGACTATTTCTCATCAATGCAGCCGGGAAAGTAGAGCCGATGCTCCATTATGCGGAGTATTGCCCCCTGCAGATGACATCAAGGCACTGAAGCTTCCTTCACAGTGTAAATTGCTATATTTCGAGATGCGTGTAAGAAGAGGGCGTAGGTTCGACGTTGGTACCAGTCACCTTTTGCCTTTGATGCCTTTTGAGAGTGACAGCAATGCATACGCTGGCGAACTCTTGTCGTGCTAAGCTGACCCTTTCTCAATTACCAATACGGGCAAACAATACAAACCACCAGTATAACTAGAATGTTTCTATATACCACACTGCATACTTTGTTCCGTGACCATATCTCAGTAATTCCCTGACTCACAGTTATGGACATCAACTTGACTACACCACAGCTGCGTAATCGGAGTTCCTCGAACGCCTCTTGCCAGCATTCTCTCTCTCTGCTCCGACAATCTCGGCCGCGCATCAATTTGCGACCTGTTGTTGCCCTTCTCATCTATCTTGCCCGACCACCAAATCTCAGCTGCCGCTCCTGCTCGCGGCCAGATGATGGAGTCCAAGCTAGTTGGATCGATGGTCTCGGTCCAGACGGCAACTTCGCCACCAATGACATTCTTCTTGAGGTCATCGGATACACCGTCCGTAGGCTCGTGTGAGTACATGAGTTTCCAGTTCTTGGTCGGGTCGCACCAGTCCAGGAAGGGATAATTGTTGTCAAAAGGAGCTCCATTTTCAAAATCGAGCCACTCTCCACGACCGCAGTCAAGATACTATCAACGTATCAAAGGTTAGCAAAAAAAAAAATTTAAAAAAAAATACACGCTTAGAAACATTCTCACGAAAATACTGACATAAAAGTCGTTGCTGCTGTCAATAACCTTGAATCCAGCCTCCGCGAGTTTCTGAATCGCTCCTTTACCAAGCCATGTCTGAGCAACCACATCCTTGCCCAGAGTCGCGTTCCAATCGAGGATCATTTCTTCCCAAACCATGGGAACGAGTCCCAGCTTGCGGACTTTGTTATGAACATGATCCAAGAACCGCTGCAGCATCGGCTGCAGGACGCTCATGTCGTTTGTGCGAAGGGCCGGGTCAAGTAGCGAGTTGTTTGCCTTATACTCGTCGCCTCCGGTGTGAAAGTAGGCCGAGTACGGCGATAGGCGCGGCAGTAGATCGTCAAACAGCGTGTCAATGAACTTTTCGACATTCGTGTCGTTCAGCTTGAAGGATCCGCAGGGCGGCTGGGCGCAATACCATTGCCACGGGTTAACCTCATAGGCGTTGCTAAGTCCAGGGTATGCCTTGTCAATGCCAACGTGGCCTGGCATATCAATCTCGATAATGACTTGGACACCTCGATGAACACCATACTCTTGCAGGCTCGCAAGATCACTAGGGGAGTAGCTCAAGCCCTTGTGGTAGGCGCCCTTCTCAGCCAGTAAAGGCAGGGATGGAATCTCCAGCGGCCATGATTGCGTGTCAGTAGCGTGCAGATGCAGTACGTTCATCTTGTTCATAGCCAGAGCATCGATGGTGCGCTTGATGTCGGAAATCTCGAACCAGTGACGGCTGACGTCCAGCAGAAGACCGCGGTGAGGGTATTTGGGCTCATCGCGGATTGAAACAGGTGCAAGCTGCGTGTACCAGGCAGTGCCTGAGCTATGCTTGAAGAAGAGCTGAGTGAAAGTCTCGAGGCCTCGAAGGATGCCTGTTGATGATGGAGCGGTGAGAGATGCATGGCCCTTTGCATCGACATCCAGGGCATAAGATTCATTTACCGCGCCGTTCAGAGGCTTGAAGGTATCTGCGGTATCATGCTTCGTCTGTATAATCTGCAATGTCCGGATTCGCGTTCCGCCTAGAGCCGGCTCCGAGTTCGAATCACGCTGACGTAGCATCCATGGCACAAAGCCCTGCTGGAAGATGGCGCCGAATGTCCGTGAGAGACCGCCTTGGACGATTTCCTTGCTGGTGAAGTGCGGTCCGCTGGGAGGCACATAGCCGGCCGTGTAAGTGACCTGTTGGTTATCGATCCTGGTCTCAGCAAAATCCGGGGATCCGGGGGCATCATTTGGAGGAGTCCACCACACCTGTTCACCATTGTAGGTAACTTGGACCGTCTGGTCAATGAAGAGCGTGCCGTTGCCGGTTGAGGAGTGTTTCGGCACGGGCCACAGAGCAAACGACGGGCCGCTCAGGGCCAATGCGGCGACGATGGCCCTGCAAAGCATCGTCGGCGTGAGCTGATGGTCGAATGAGTTGACAAGGTCAGGCCACACGAGCTTGAACAGGTCGAATAGCTTGGGACAGCTGCTTAAATTAAATACACGTCCTGTCCCGCCCCTTGCAGGAGTGGTTCACTCTGTCTTCCTTTTCGGCTTTGGTCCCGCTCCAGCTCCAGTTCCAGCTCCAGGGTTCTGGGGAGATAAACTATCCGTTGTTACCCCAAGTTCCACGTAGATCAGCATGTACCGCTTCTCAGCTTCTCTGATTCGAGTACAAGTATGCAGTAGTACTACGACCATGAATGGGCCCTTGCGTGTACTCGTATGTGTTGGCGCGGAGCAGCGTAACGTTTCATCGCCAGTCCGATATCTCTTGTAAAGAGCTTGATTTGAATCAGCGCTGGTGGCTCGGTGACCAATTGATGCCAATCTCTGCCGGAAAATTCGCTTCCAAAGTGATTGTTGCCTCGCTCTAATCCTTCTCCCACTTACTGAGGGAGATGAACTGATTTCCACGTCTTGCGCAATTCCGGGTGATGATTCGGATCCATGCTCGAGATGCGGAGAGTGACGGTGGATAAATGCAGACTGGCCGATCGCCGGCAGATACCGATATGGATGGATGCTAGCAATGAATCAACGCTAACGTCTTCAAGCAGGTAAAGTAACGCAGCATCTTACAGTACAGAATCACGAGGAAGAGAAGAATAAGCAGCGGTCAAGGTACATGGTCGGGGAGCAGTTGGTTTAGCGGAGGCTGGTGGCAGCACAAAAGTGCATGTATGAACAGTTTGGCGGCGACAACGCGGAAGAAGCCTTATCTTGAGCGGAGGCTTAGGTTCAACGCCCTTGATGCTTCGGCTTCAGACTCCGTCCACTCGAACAAGCCTTCGTAAGCCCCATTACTTAATCTGCTCAGGCTGAGCTGTGGCGGGGACTCGTAAATTAGCCCGATCGCTGCATCCCACGACATTGAAGGTTTCGGCAGCAACCGGCTGCACGTAATTTATCGTTCTCCTAATCAGTGCCAGCTACTGTGGGCTACATGAAATTGATTCCGTGTACATCATCAAGATAATCACGTAGTTCCCATGACATTGGAGCGTAGCGGTGCATACAAGTATATGTAGTTTAAATTCAATGCTCTCATCGTTATCTACCAGGACGCGTAGTGAGCGGCTGGTCAGGTCACCTCACCTCCCAACTTACTCTACTGCCTAATTCCGCAGTGACACCATCACAACGCCAAACCATCCAGCTCTTTCACATGAATAACATCCCGACGATTAATCTCAGACAATGCGCGAATTCCCCCATCCAAACAATCTTCGTCAAACTCCCCTCAAAAATACGATGCGAAACGGCCAATAACGGATGACGCATAGCAAATTACATCACATCGTCCTATCCCCCACCAGTCAGACCATTTCTCCAGGTCACGATTCCCGATATGGCGTGACGCTCTCGATCATGCATATTCAGCCCAGCCTATGTTGAAAATGGCTCGTTTTTTTTTTATTGTAGCAGCAGTACGATCATTCGTATGGCATTGTAGTTTTATCATGTAGATTGATAAATAAACCCGTGTGGACAATTGTTAAAAAAAAAAATCACACATCCTTCGCCTTGGTTTCCGTTTCTCGTTTCGCGACACCACTCTACTACCCTAAACGCGGTCCTTTACATCACCATTTCACACGCCGTTGATTCAATAGAGGAGTGCATTCAGATCAAATCCATTTAAATTACAATATAACGTGTATTGTGATAAAAAAAAAAGACACAATGAACCCCTACTCAAGGCCGATTAAACACATCCAGCGCGAGGATCTGTACACCAACCTTGAAGTCCGAATCCAATATCTCCACTCATTTCTCGACTTTTCAAGTCGTACGTCTACATTCATCACAGCGACAACCTCAAGGCAACGTTAAGAAATGATTGACATGTGATTGCTCCAGGTGACATCGATGCTCTCATCAGCGACTCCAAATACATCAAGGCTCTCATCCCCGCCGTTGTCAACATTGTCTACAAAAAGCTCCTCCAGTACGACATTACTGCCCGCGCCTTCACCACCAGAAGCACATCTTTTGAGGGTCCTCTCGATGAAATCCCCGATGAAAATAGCCCGCAAATTCTACATCGCAAGATGTTCTTGCGGGCATACCTGAACAAGCTGTGTTCAGACCCAAGCAAAATGGAGTTTTGGGAGTATCTCGATAAGGTCGGGTAAGTCACTCTCCATTGCACGCGACATATAACCGCGCCTCTATAAAACCTGTGTAAAACAAAGGCTAACATCCGTTACTGGATAGCATGATGCACGTTGGTCTTGGCCGAAAACATCCCCTGCATATCGAATACGTCCATCTGGGCGCATGTCTAGGGTTCATTCAAGACATCATGAACGAGGCCATCCTCTCCCATCCGCGCCTTCACATCCAGCGCAAAATCGCCCTCGTCAAGGCCCTCAACAAGGTCATATGGGTGCAAAACGACCTTATGGCTAAGTGGCACGTCAAAGATGGCGCCGAGTTCGAGGCACCCGACTCCGACATTGAGATTGAGCGTGAGGGATACCTCCACGGCAAGAAGATCCTCGATGAAGATGATATGAAGGACCATACGAATGCTGAGGGATCTCCTGATGCGGAGGACAGGCCGAGAGCGCAGGGGACGTGTCCCTTTTCTGGCGTATCAGCTGCCGGAGCGTCGGTGAGGAAGGGAGTTTCTGAAGAGGCAAACTAAGGATAGAATGATGCTGGGATGAAAGCGAATGATGAAATTTCATAAAGTCCGGTCATGATATCCTTGCCAGGACTTGATCTTTGTATTACTATTACTATTACTATTATTATCATCATCGTTGCGATGAAGTTTGGTATCATGAGTTAACGGCGTCGGGCTATATTCGTAGGTGGAAATGGACAATAAACACTCAACACATTGAGGTAGTGTATGCATTCTAGGTATGAATTCCAGCATACGGGTATCCGATCTTGCGCCACCTTGAACTCCTCTTGCCGACCTTCCCCTCCTATCTATTACACAAGCAGTGGAGATTCTTCGTTTAGTACGCCAAACAACTTCTCAATCTCCTTCTCGGCGATCTTCAGCTCCTGGGCAACCTGGCCAGTCACCAGCGTGTATGCATAGATGAGAGCGTAGTCCTTCTCTTCAGCCATCACCACGCCAACTGGAGCATCACTGGCAGTGGTGGCCACATCAGCATCATGGCTACTTTCACCATTCTCGATTTCGCTCTCTTGGATAAAGCCGAGGTTTCTTATGGCTTCGATCGAGTGCTCCTTGCGGAACTGGAAAATCTTGGCGAGCAGCCGATCGCGGATGCCAATGACGCTTGGGACCGCATCGGTCAGGGGGTATTCCAGCATCATGGAGCTGGCCAGCACTTGAAAGACGTGGCATATTCGGTCGCACAGGACGGCTCGCTCCGTCGCCGTGTACTCTAACAAGGCGCGCTCACCCGCACTAAGGTTTCTATCACGGTGTGTTACGAGACTCATGGCATAAAAACTGTCGAGGATCCGGTTTGTGCTCCGCATGATGCGGCCATACGTCTCAAACGGGAACGGGCCGCGAAGCTCAAACTCTGCTGCGGCTGATTGCCGTAGACTCTCTAGGCGGTTGGCATACCTCTGCATGGCAACCTGTTCCCCAGACTTGAGATAGCTTTCGGAGCAATCGGTGCGGAGTAGGATAGCAAGGGGTCCTCGCCTCCAGATAAGACCCATCTGGAGGTAGAGCATGGAGACACCTTCTTTGAACTTTCTGCGGGCCGAGATGGGCCAGATGACCCGGCACACAATTAAGCCCCAGAGAATACCCGCCGTGACCGAAATAACTCGATGCTTTACAATTTTCATCATGATGGGATGCAGCCCACCCTCGTCATCATCGTCATCGTCAACGCGTTGGCTCAGGCTGTACGCGTACAGTGTCGACACGTTGTATGCCAAAATAGTCATCCGACCCAACGGAGCTTTGCCTCGAGCGACAATGAGATAAAAATTCCAAAAGGCAACCAGCCACCCCAGTATGATGAGTGCCGCCGCATTTCCTTGGCTTACAGTCCAGTTGAACAAGGAAAAGAATGCGCCGAAGAATGTCCCCATGAATCGAGCCCAGCCCGTAGTATTGGAAGCACCGACAGTCATGGAGCAGACAATCATGAATGACAGAAGCCCCCACTCGCCACGATAGTGGTTGTAAAAGTCTCGAGTCTCCTCCAGGAAGGCCAGCATTCCCCAAAGAGAGGCACCAATGCCCACCTTGAGCCCAAAAAGAACTAGTAGTAGAAGAGCGGATTAGTTTGGTCATGACGTAAATACAGCGGGTTATCGGTACTTACTGTCGTCTCGTGCAATTTCCCGCGCGAATCTCAGAATAGACTGAGAGATGGTGGATAGTATTTTGCTGGCATTGGGCGCTGCTTGCCAATTGTATGTGTCCCTTCGGCGAACCATTGAATCCGGAATACCTTTGGGCACATCGCGCTTCCTGATGGGTTTGATGAGGCTTTCGGCTTCGGATGAAGTTTGGAACGGCAGACTTGACATTTTACGGCCCTGAGCCGCGGTATCATCCTCCCTCCACCATAATATCCATCGCCAGCTTCGCTTGTTGTGCTCGCTGACAAACTTGAGATCGTCGAGAACATCCAGGTACTTTCGCATTTCTTCGCCAAACGTCTGCAAGCTGAAACTGAAATGCCCACAGGCAGCAGCGACTTCCTCTAAGCCAGCTTGTATCCGCCTCGACGTCGATTTCTCTCGCTCGATCATATTGTACGCCTGCCGCAAGGCGTCGCTTCTCGCCACATTAAACTGGAAGAGAGCTTCCGCGAGCGATTGTCGAAGCTCATCGCTGATGGTGACCTCATAATTGGGGGTAGCACCTAAAGGTGGCTCTCGGAGAATAAGGACAAGGCTTTGCGTTAGAGCTTCCATCGATGGACCTATCAAGTCGACAAACAGCTTGAAGAGGGATGATGGTGTAGGGCCATTATCATGATCGTGGGCTGAAGAACCAGGCCGTTGTCCGGGGGAACTGGGCCGACTCGACACAAGAGCTGCTCTCGGGCTCGAGCTACTAGGCGATATGCCCTCAAAATCCCCAAGTGATGAGACTGTTAGAAAGCGCGTCAGAGGTGGCGGCACATCGTCCGACTCGGCAAGTTTGAGGAGGGACAGCTGGGTATTAGCCGCGCTGCGTAAGCCACCTATAGAGCGAGCCAGGGTCTCGATAGCCTTGACAGTGGATCTCTGCAACACATATATCCTCTCTCGGCCGAGGAGGTAGTCCTCAAACTTGGCCTCTCGCAAGTTCTTGAGCATCTGTGGATAAGTAACTGTGTAAGTGGCCGAGGACGCAGTGAATTCTGCAGACATTTGCTCTTCTTCGACTCCTTTGAGGAAACTCGCAGAAATGGTGGAAAGCATGCCCCCCAGTGATGTGGTTGCCTTTGCCATGGAGGTCCTCAGGAGATCGCGAGCTGACACTCTCCAAACCAAAACATTGACAGCGGCCGTAGACGTAATGCCCATGATGAGCATCTTGAAGACCTGGACAATCTTTTGGTTGGAGAAGACATTTGAGATGACGGCGTTTTCTTTGGTCACGACGGAAATGATGGCCAGCGACGCCAAGGTACTGCCGACATTGACGAGCGGATTTGCCATCTTCTGCTTTACCCATCCCATGAAGCCAAAGCCGCCACCAATGAATATTATGACGACCAAAACGTGCGCCAGAGTGACTAGGCCCATGACGGAGCCGACAAGGACCGAGACCACCATGGAGAGGATCGAAACGAGTTCGGCATATGCGATGGCGACGACGGCAATCAGGACAGCCTCAATCATGGAGCCGGTCGACCGCGCCGGGTGGAAATATACGGTGATTGTTGCCACGACATGCTTTCCGTCGAGCGTTCCCAGGAAGTTGGACAGCGGCGAGAGGAAAGTGGCCAGGCTGGCGATGGTGTAGGCCAAGGTGCATTTCAGCACGCCGTGGCCCAGCGGCGAGTCAAGCCAGCGGATGAAGCGCAGCAGCGCGGCCTTTGCAGAGCTGCCCATGGCGTCGAAGCTGCGGGCCAGCGATGCGTGGACGACGGCGAGGAAGCGCTTCAAGCAGCCGCTCTTGGTAGGGTCTTGGCTCGATCTCGAGAGGGCAGCCCGCGGCTGAGGCGACAGAGATATGGTGTCATCATTGTTGCTCGTCTACCGCAGCAAAAACAAGGTCAGCCGGTCTGTGCGCATGTGCCCAGCGAGTACATGTATGTATGACGCGCGTTGGATGGTGGCACGCCTTGTGGACGAAGGCAAGGGGAACGGCGCAGCAGAATGTACAAGGGACTCATCGTTTTGTTGTAGAGAAGAAAGAGAAGAAGGAGAAGAAGAAGAAGGACATTGGAGAGACTGACATTTCGGATAGGATTCGCGGCGGCTGGTGATGGTGTTGCGCCAGGCGCCATGGCAAAGCTGTATTAGAGCTCAACTGCTTTAGACGAGCCTCATAGCTTTTCAAGGCGCTAGAGCGGGAGCTTGTGGATGCCGGAGGTGCATGGACAGGTACTCGTAGTAGTATCTACTCGTAGTAAGGCGATGAGCTAATGATGCGAGGGTTCTCGTAGGACGGCGGTTTGGCGGCTGGGCTCGAAGCAGGGCTCGGGATTGAGGAAAAGGCGTGGTCCACTCGCGAAAGCTGTGATGAAACATTGGGCGGCCAATGTTCACATGTTTGCGGGCGACTTGGGCGGTGGGTGGCAATTTGGCGGGGGCTGCAAGTAGCGTGCTAGCAGCTAGCCTGCCCCATGCATAGCGCTGTAGCCGATTCTTCAATTAGTAGGTAGGTACGGAGTAGGTACTCCGTACTCCGTATTGACAACAGCCTCGATGTTACAAGTTTTGATTGAAACGATTCACTCATGGAAAAATGCAAAACTACTAGGTATAGTAGATAGTACTCCGTAGTTAGTTTTTGCATCCATGTGTTTTTACTCTTGTTGACTGTGCATGGCAGATTCAGCATTCTACAGCAACTCATCCATTGCTCGTACTAGCAGCTGAATCAAGCAAAAAAGCCTTATCAAGCCTGCTGCCTCGGATACGGTGTAACCTCGTCGCATTTCGGCTGCATACGGCTGTAGGATTTCTCCGCCTTCCTCAATCAGCCGTCACGGCTTGGCTTGGGCTGTGGGGGGACTGACTGTTATCAGAAGATGCCCGATGCATTACCCATGTTCGGAGCACATGTATTACTCGTATGAACTGGTGAATTTACTTGTTCAATTTTTTTTTTCTTCTTCTTTGTAACTTCTTCTTCTCGTCATCGTCTTTTCTTGCTCTCCCCCCGCCGCCCCCCCCTCCTTGGCAACGTTTTGCATCGGCAGCCTTTTATTGGAGATGCCTCAACTCAACTTACGGGCGCTTCAGCCGTCAAACTCGCTCGGCGTTGATCAAGACATTCCACTAGCAGAGAGCCGTGCAAAACCCCGAACCAACGGCTCCCCCCACCCTCTGTAAAAGTCAGGATTAGCGCCCTGCTGCACCTGCTGCAGGCCTGTTTAGCGCCCACATCGGCGCAACTAATCGCGGTTTGGTGCATGGCCGTCCCTGTCAACGACATCTCCAGATAGTGCTGACAGGTCGGCCACTCCGACTCAGTTCATCTTCATGAGAAAACACCAGCTCTGCAACACCAACACCAGCGTCTCAATCTATCCACGTGCATCGCCAGGTGTGCAGTCGCTCTCCAGCATCTGCCGCTCGGTCAACGCTTTCGGCACTCTGTCGATGCCTCTTCGGGCGGCCAGTCCGACAGCTCGGCCGAAAAAATGCTTCAGACTGGCGCCACGATCTGGCCGCAAGCGTTGATGCCGCCTGATCGGGAGCGCTATTGATGCGACTATTTGACGGATATGTGCCTCAACCGCCAAAAGCGGATGCCATTGCAGGTAGCTGAAGCCGGCGATGACTAGAGGAGTGAGATGATGGTGCTGTATCAACGTGGTGAAGAAGATGCCAGGTTGAGAGGCCAGCTTTGGTGTTTCAATGCTTGTAAGACTTGCCCACTCGATTGCCGGGCCAGCCACACTTTTTCTTCGCTTCTTCGCCTTTCTTCTTCTTTCTTTCTTTTTCTCTTTTTCTTTTAACACTTATCCGCTTTCTGCCAAGTATGGTAATATCCCCATCACATCTACCTGGGGACTTTTTGCCCGGCTTCTCCATAGATACGGACAAGGACATGGAGTCAGGCCCTCCGCACCCCAGACTGTGCTACAGTATCGTATGAGTAGTGCCATGCATCAGATGAATGCTGGACAGCTATGATGTGTGTACATGTAACGTAATAGTCAACTACACAGAAAAAGCACGGTCCAAAGATCATCACCGCCTTGTACGCATTGACGTACTGTATGTATGTAATTTGCACTGCAAGGACGGACGGCGGACGGCGTGTACCTGCTGCTACTAGGACTAGTCCGCGTAGCTGCATGTACTACCTGTCGCCAAGAGCCAAGCTGCCAAGGTCGGCAAACACAAGCCGGCAGAGGAGAGAGCATGAGATCAACTGCCAACTCCGGAATCTCGAAAAAGACAGAGAGCGTAAAGTGTGGAAAAAGAAAAAAATCAGAAAAAAAGGGAAAAAATGACAAAAGGTCGACACACTCGACCCTGACCCTGCAAAAGACATCGAATCCACTACACCGTGGCAGATATGCCGTCTCTTCCACCGCCAACCATTGGGCGTCTCAGCATCACGCACATGGCCTTTGTGTCCTGTGCTTTCTTCCCTCACATCTGCCAAATGAGGCGATTGTTGTGGGCTATCCTGGCCCCGGTCGACTGATCCTCGAGTGGGCCTGAAGAGCTCGGATCAACACGACATGACCAGTTAGCGCTGTCCGAGTTCCAAGCATGTGCAAGCATCTAATACAACAAGAGTTTAGAACGTGTGTGTACTAGCATCGTCTTGTGTGGACTCTCCTCGATACCACTCTGCGCAGGTGGTTGCTGCAGACTAACGCACGTTGGGGGGAAAGCTCGAGTCCAAGACACGGTCGTCGCCTCGGCGTAACTTTGTGATGAAATCGATATAGATAGCCGGTGCTACCCCTTCAGCTGAGACCCGAGCTCTCCTCTTGGTTGATCTGATCACCAGTGACCAACTTCCTCTCAGTTGTCGTCTCGAGGGGCCAAGCTTTGTTGTTGTAAAACACAACTTCCTCTTGTTTGTTCACCTGGAAGCACGCCCTCTGCCATGATGGAGCCCGCCATTGAAGTTGGCGCGCGCCGCAAGACCTTTTTCCAAACGGCCCTGCCCGTCTTTGCTTGTGGTGCCGGTCTCTTCTCCGACGGCTACGTTAACAACGTCATCGGTTCCGTCAACACCGTCCTCAAGCTTCAGTACGGCAAGGTCTACACCTCGTCCAATGCCAGCAAGTATGTCTCCGACATTGCCTTTGTCGGCACCGTCGTTGGACAGCTGCTGTTTGGCTTCCTGGCCGATCGATGGTCCCGCTCCAATTCGCTGCTTGTGTCCACCATCATCCTCATTGTCTTCACTGCCTTGGCCACTGGCTCTTACTGGCACGGCGAGCCTGTTGGCATGTTCAACATGCTGACTGCCTGGCGATTCTTTGTCGGTATCGGCATTGGAGGTTCGTTTCATGCAATCCCCAAGACCGCCCAATTGAAGCGTCCTTGATACTGACTCTTATGCCCATAGGCGAGTATCCTGCCGGTAGTGTTGGCTGTGCCGAGACGAGCGGCGAGCTCAAGTCTGGCACCCGTAACCGCTGGTTCATTCTCTTCACCAACACCATGATTGACTGGGGCTTTGTCATTGGCGCTTTTGTTCCTTGTAGGTCTTGATTATCCAAGAGACATGAGGGCCGCTGCTCACACACTTGTTTTAGATGCTGTCGCGGCTGCTACCCACGACCAGCGCCTCAGCACAATCTGGCGAACCTCTCTTGGAATCGGTGTTGTTTTCCCTCTGATCCTCTTTGTTCTCCGTCTGAAACTTGAGGAGCCTGAGGAGTTCTCCAAAAACTCCATGAGGCGCAAGACTCCGTACCTGCTCGTTCTCCGTTACTACGGCTTCCGACTGCTGGTTGTCAGCGTCATCTGGTTTCTTTACGACGTTAGCCTTCTCTCTCTCTATAACCCATGTACTTGCATTCGAGCATTCTAACTTGTTTCCTAGTTCTCGTCGTATGCTTTCGGCATCTACTCCTCGTCCATCCTCGCCGGTATTTACTCGGATTCCGCTCCCCTCACCACCGTTTTTGGATGGAACACCGTCATCAACCTGTTCTACATCCCCGGAACCATGATTGGTGCTTTTGTCAGTGACTTGATTGGCCCCAAGTACACCCTCATCATTGGTGTTTCTCTGCAGGCTATCGTCGGCTACATCATGGCTGGTGTCTATGACAAGATCTCCAAGCACATTGCTGGCTTCGCTGTTGTCTACGGTATTTTCCTGAGTCTGGGAGAGCTTGGCCCTGGAAACAACATCGGTCTGCTGGCTGCCAAGACCTGTGCTACCGGTGTTCGTGGTCGTTACTACGGTATTGCTGCTGCCATTGGCAAGATTGGTGCCTTTGTTGGAACCTGGGTCTTCCCCCACATCGAGGCTGCTGGTGGTAATGATCCCACCAAGGTTGCCCAATACCCTTTCTGGGTCGCCTCTTCGTTGGCTCTGCTGTCCGCTGTCATTGCCTTCTTCTTCATTCCTAACGTCGGCCAAGACACCATCGCCGAGGAGGACGCCAAGTTCCGCGAGTACCTCGAGAGCCACGGTTGGGATACCACCCAGCTCGGCCTAGACAAGTCTGACTCTATCCCGACTTACAACGAGGAAGAGCATGCTGTGCAGAAGGGAGAGTAAAGGGTGTCTCTCACTTAGTTATAATATCTACTCGCAGTTTAAATAAAAAGGTTTATGAATTAATATGAGCTATGAAGTAAAGATATGTTCTTATTCTTAGTACAACACAACTTTGTGGCTATGATTTCGCAGTAAGGGCGTCCAGGTCCATGTCGGTTAACTTGAAACTCCTTTTACGTATCGTATTATACAGGTAGTGCATTCAGAAGTTCGTACACTACTTCTACAACATAAACTCGAAGACAACCTGCAAACATCCAGACGTCCCATATTTATACTGGCCAAGAAACGCGCCAAGTGCGCCAATTGCTTGGCCTTTCGGAGGAACCAATAATGGGATGTCATTGATACGACCTAGTTTGCCGAAAGCGCGCCACTGCGAGATTTCGTCTAATCTGCCAGATTAGTTTTTTCTTGTCATGGTGAGATTTATGCCGGCCCGATCCGCGTACCAAGGGTCATCCGAGCATCCCGAATTTGCTCTGGTCTACGTATTGAAGCTTGATTTGGACTATAACAGAGATAGCAACAATGTTAAAAGAAGGCCCAAATGATTTAGCTTGGATATTTGAATTATTAATACATCAAGGTTTGGCTTCGCATACGCAAGTAATTGTCTAAGTCGACACACATCGTCAAGTACATCAAGGAGATACTCAATATCCCACCCCTTATTGGTCTTCTACACGGAATAGAGCCAATGATAACGCATCGCCCAAAACCGACGTAGGCGGCTTCTTGTGAACCGTCAGCATTCTACTTAAGCTGACTTCACCACCTGGGCCTGGTGACGGCGATCGAGCCCTCGGTGCACCCTCTCCTGGCACTGAGAGATTCCTACTGTGCCGCACACTTTGTGTGGCATTGCTCCTCCTCAAACTCGCTGACCCAATTCCGTTGCCGAGGCTGTCCGAACCTGGCGGCATGAGAGACACGGGTCTAGCTTTGCCACCTTTCGGCGCTTCAAATCTCGCTGCTGAAGGAGATCGGTCTCGTTCTTGTGGCGGAGGGGCGCGGCTTTCTCTGCTTCTCTCGTCTTTCAAGAGACCCCACAAGTTGTTAAGCCATTTTTGTTTCTCTTCTGGCTTCATAGACCGAATGGGTAGTACTTCTGCGCCGGCCATCTCTCTAGTCGGCCAAGGAAAGGAGACTGCCATTTCTTTGAGAGTCACCGTGTCCAGCTGACGCAGCACAATGCGCAGCTGCGGCTCGACATTGTCGACAAAGTCGTAAGCCCAGTCATCTCTCCTTTGCAGACGATCTGCGATTTGAGTCATGGCGCCGATTAGCCACTCGATGGCTACCTGATCGGGAACGCTGTTGGCCTTCTGCAGGAGCCAGCCGAGCATTTCGGGAGAACCGGATTGGTTCAGAATGGGAATGCTTCGTTTATCGTGCTCTCGTCCTTGAAGCTTGAGAATAAAGTCGTTGTACTCTTTCAAAGCATCGATGGGCATGCCGATAAACTTGCCGTGATTCAATGCATGTACAAGCTCGTCTCCTAGAGATAAGCCTGCTTTGATTCCGCTGTTGAGTCCACGGCCAGGCCAGAAATGGACAGTCATTGCTGCATCTCCAGCTACTGCAACAAGGGCATGGGGGCGCTTGACGTTTATCGAATCCTGTGGTGGAAGCATCTGAACACCTTCTCTTACAGCCTGGACAACAATAGGGATGCGAACAACGTTGATGACTTCCTCTTCCTTGAACCCAAACAGCTTGAGGCCGTCCGAAATTGATACCCACAGTGGACTGCCCCTATCCTCGGACGGTGCGAATACTTGACTGTGCTCAAAGCCTTCGGGGACGCTTCCGTCCAACTTTCTGAAACAGCCGGGCCTGCCAAAGTGAACGGGCTGGCCGTCGACAGAAACCATCTTGTGCCACTCCTCTTCAGTAAGTTGCATGTTTAGGTAGCCTCGGCCGTCATGATCACTCGCGTTTAGGAGGTAACGCGTCTGTCCAAGAGTGAGGAAGACGTTGAGAGGCTGTGACCATGGCAGACCAGCTGGTCGGTCAAAAGCTAAGCCTAGCGCATAGCTTCTCCCGCGCTCATTCTCATATCCTTGGAAGTATGACTGTCGTACCCATGAGGCGGCGCCGTCGGCACCAAGCAGAACGTGGAAATCGCCAACTTTAGCAAGGTCCTCCCTGGTAACTCCATCGCAATGTAAGTAAATGAGCCCCTGGAACTCTGGATCTTGCACTCGCTTCAGGAATCGATCTTCGACTTTCCGGATCTGAATGTTGGCTGAGCCGGGCCATACTCGTTCTGGTCTTCCGGCAAAGAGCGCTTGGAATGATGGTTTGCTGAGAAGTCGTGTGACAGAGTCCTGAAGCGTAACGACTTGATCTCTTCGCTTGGCATATGGAGGATAGTCGACGACAATAGTACCATTGGGGAGCACTTTTTGTATCCAGCGTTTTTCGTACATGTGAACCTCGACACTACCAGCGCCCTTCTCCGCGATTGAAATGGCCGATGCCAAAGCAGTAGGCCCACCTCCTACAATGGCAACCTTTAACCTTCCCGCCGGATACTTGTAAATGGACACATCTCCAGTGGGCAAAGGATTGAGATTTCTTTCTAGTGTTGGATCGAAGAAGAAGTCAACGACAGATCTTGTTCGGTCTGACAGAATGAGCTCTGGCACGCGGGCTTTTAGAAGCATGAATCGTACGGACTGCATCAAGGGTGTCGTAGCAAACGAGCCGTGTGAGTCGCCAAATATCCGATGCTGTATTGCTGTAGCTAGGGCTTGTATCGTTCTATTCTGTGGGTTTGCAACAATCGTGCGCAACTCTTCGATAATCTTGGGATCAGGGGTCATGTTGGCCATGCGTAAGAGAAAGATACGCGCTCGGTCGAATTCAGATCGGTCATCTGAAGGTTTGCCATCGGAAATACCCCAAGCTTCTTCGTATATCTTGGGGAAGACGATGTCGTTGAAGGAGGATGGCGCCTGGGTTGTTGCGCCGGGATCGCGCCGGCGGAAGGGTATAGAGGAAGGCATGATGGCATGAATTGTCAAAGCGCAAATAAGAAGAAAACAAAATGGTATATACGGGGAAAGGGTATCTTCAAAATATGCGTGAAAAGTTTTATTGGATGGGGTGTTGGAAGGTTGATATTGAGGTTAATAAGAGACTGCTGAGGAAGTCACCATCCGCACACAACCCGCAAACCCCGGCTTCAGTTGCGATAATTGGTAACTAGTGTCGTCTTGCCTGTAACTGTAATTGTCCGTTTGCGGGCGGCGGCAAGTTGCTTGAAGAGATCCTAGACCCGCGAGTCGAATAGTGCTGACTGGCGTAGATGGCTAAATGTGATGGATGAGATCGCTTGCTTATTAGATTCAGCCCGAACCCACAATTTGCATGGGGTTAAGATGAAGGTAGATTGCACATGGGTGTTGGAGATTTATAAGGGAAAAAAAAGAGAGATACAGTACGCTGAATCTGAACAATAGAAAGATCTTTGGCGCCTCATGCCAATTTCAGGCCCAACAACCTTGGAACTGGCTGGTACTGTACGAATCGTCATGCTTTCGAATTTGGAACCAGTCCAGGAACAGGAAGAGATAAAAATAGGTTCAATGTCCCCGAGGCTGTAACACATGCTCTTCGCGCTCAATGCTTGTGTCGAGCCAATCGCCACACGGGGCGACTTTGATCAGCCTTACTTAGAGCCAACAAGCACGGCCTTGGCTCTGTTTTGCAGCCCCTTGGCGCCACTTAGCCATCAAACTAGTCGCTAGGTGCAACGGGTTGACTGTTCAATCAAGTCTCGCGAGCCAGCCAGAATGGCGGCCCAAGTACTAAACGGGACAAGTAGAGAGGCCTAACCCCAAGGCAGAAGAGCAAGCATGACAAAAAGCCCCCAAGCGGAGCTGATGGATTTGATTAGCAATGCTGGAGCGAATATTTTCATGTTGATGAACATTGGGGGCTAGGCGGAAGGAGGAGTTTGCGGTAGCCGCGCCGCGGATCCAACGGGAAGTTGCACAAAGGAGTGGCGATGACCACCTAGTTGATGACCTGAAGGGCAGGTGTTGATACGTGGCTTGCGCATCTATGGTTGAAAGCAAGAAACTGACTGAAACCGGGAAGATGCAACCCGTTGAGGCTGGCGATTGCACAGCCTCAACCCGATCTCGATTTCAGATATTGATGTAACACGCCCCGTGCACTTGACAAGATATGCATGCTACAGATGATTCACATGAGATATGAAAAGAATAAAGTGCTCAGATGTAACATACACAAGCTTTGCTTGCGCCTAAATAAGGCGAAAATTCACTCAATGTCCAGGGCACCGTAACACTCACTCATCTCTAGCTTTTACCTTTCCATCTTTGCCCCTTCTCAGCGTCTTACCACCCCGTGCACCTGTCATCTTGCCCTCATCCAGAGCCACCTGACCGTTCACCAAGACGTATCTGATACCTTTACTCGGCAGCTTGGGCTGCTCATACGTTGCCATATCTTTGACGGCCTCCGGATCGAAGAGAACAAGATCAGCAGCCGACCCTTCGGCAACGAGGCCACGGAACGGGTAGACAGAGAGACGCTTGGCTGGGCGAGAGGTGAGATGTGCAATCATGGCAGGTAGAGGAATAAGCGAGAGTTCGCGCGAGTAATGGCCTTGTTGTAATATTCAGCATTAAGACAAAGATCTTGGTCCCTATAAAGATGTAAACGAGGTATGGCTTACCGAGATAACGAGGAAATGTTCCATAAGCACGTGGGTGAAGCGTCTTGCCGTGCAAAATTGCATCACTGCCTGCCATGTGCACCCGATGTTGCATGATTAATCTCACATTCTCCTCGTTGCCCACATGCATAATGATGCTAGTTGCAAGCTTGTCTTTTTGCAAGAGCTCAAAGAAAACTTCGATGGCCGGCTTTCCTACTGATTTGGCAATTTCTGCAACCATGCGGCCGGAGTAAGATGCCAAAGATGGCTCGCTCGTGGCGCCGATTTGGATCTCATCCCAATTTGTCGGAATTCCATGGCCGCCATCACACCCAGTCACTTCGACCGCTACTCGAATTTTTTCCCTGGTTTCTGCGTCTTCTAGCCTCTTCAGTGTTTCGGCTGGGCCGCCCGCAGAGGCCCAACTGGGCAATAAGGCAGCTAGAGTTGTGCAGCCGGGGAGGTAAGGATAAGTATCGAGAGTTACGTCGATGCCTTTCTCGAGTGACTTGTCAATCATGGATATGAGTATTGGGGCTTTACCTTTGTTTTCAGAAAAGTTCATGGTTGCGTGTGTGAGATCTAAGCTGATCAGCTTTTGAGTGCTCTGGCTCCATTTTTTGCTATATGACGGGGGAAAACGTACGAATAGGGCAGCCTGTCGACTCGCCCAGTCCTAGCATTTCAGCGTAGCTTTCAATCGCTTGGAATCCATAACTGCGATGATGAGGCGCATAAAATGCGCCTGGAAATTCCTTCGCCAGTGCTTCACAGAGGGAGGCCAGTTCGGATGTTGAGGCATACATGCCAGGTGTGTAAGTGAGGCCACTATACCAGTTAGAAAACGCATTTCATATGGCGTAAAAAAATCGCATGTAGTTCCGGAGATAATGATTACCTGGACATGCCGACGGCGCCTTGCGCCATGGCCTCTCGCAAGAGCTGGATCTGATCTTGGATTTCCTCTGGTGATGCCGGCGTGTCATATGGACCACACGCGAGCAATCTCAGATTGCCTTGAGGCACCAACGTGGCAACATTTGTAGCAGTTTTATTACGCTCCAAGCAGTCCAGATACTCGCCCACGGTTTGCCATTCAAACATGCCAACCCCGCTGAGCGTCGTACGGCATTCTTCATCGGTGGGATTGCCATTCCAGCCTGCGATTTGTTCTCGAATAGCCTTGAGCTGATTGACATTGCGGATTGGCGAGTAAGAGATGCCATCTTGACCAACAACTTCGGTCTGCAATATTGATTAGTGATTAGCTACCAAGTTACAACCAGCACTACATCTCAACTGCTTCGCTAAAGGCAATCAACTCTGCCAAGCAGGGGGCATCGATCTCTCGCCCCCACGGCAATGGAAGCATTAGAGCGTGTCCCTCTCCGTGGGGGCGGTATGATTGGGGGTTACATCAGCCTGTGAGGAATGTCCTACCGTGCATCCTTGGGTTATTTTCGCTTCATGCTCTGGATGTGTGAGGAGGTAGAGATCGGAATGGGCATGCATATCGATAAATCCGGGAGAGAGTACATGACCCTTTGCATCGATACGCCGAGCAGCAGAGGAAACATTGATTGAACCAGGAGCGCCAATCTTCGCAATTAGGCCGCCTGAAACCAACACATCGGCCACGAACGGCTCAGCGGATTCGTCACCGGTTATAACGGTTGGTGATTGGAAGAGGATATCCGTTGCCATGAAGGGCTAATTTCGTTCAAATCTCACAGGCACAGACAATGAATATCAATGAAACCTCAATGAGAGAAATCTTGCAAAAAACTCATGAGGACAAGGAGAAGGGAGACGGATGGCATTAAGATTGAGACCAAAGGTGAACTGCTCCGTTTTGCGGAGAAGCGCCAGCCCCCCACCCTTTCTTTAGTCATGAGGTAGGCAGAACGAGCAATCATCTGCTTATTGTATGGGGCCATTGCTGTTGAGAATCAAGGAGAAAGGAATGTACATCACAGATGCAACGATATCTCAAGTTTAAAATGATGGGAAAATTCATGAGTTTTTTTTTATCTATTTTTTGCTTTATGAAATGAGAAGGATTGCCGAGCACCACAGAATTGCTCGGAGGAATCCAATCGTGTCCTAGCCTTGACCTTAGTCTTAATCCCAGTCAACACCCAGTTACCCCTCTCGAAATGTCTTCGTCCACATATCGTTGAACATATCCAAACAAGCATACCATGATTGCCGCTCACAGCATCATGTATCATGGAAACTGCCACTGCGGTCGTTATCGTTTTCATGTCTCAACGCCAGAGATAACATCAGCAATATCTTGTTCCTGTAGCCTATGTGCGAAGAAAGGATACTTGTGGCTGAGTCCGGCGGAAGGATCATTCACAGTTGTGAGAGATGAAGGCTACCTTGTAGAGTACCAAACATCTACGTTAAAAGATAAAGTATACCGATATCCATATCTCATTCCTACTAGACTGTACTTGACTATTTTTTTTTTATAGAAACGTACTGATAGCCTACAGTTCTGTAACTACTGCGGAAGCGGAGTCGTGGGCGAGCATCTGACGGGTCCGCTCCGAGGCAGATTTTTGATCAACATTCGAACTTTGACAGATCCATATGTTAACCCATTCAAGCTTGAGTCAGTTTGTCACTCTACTATTTGAATCAAACCGTACTGAAGCATTTGACAGATCAGCGATATCCGTAATCGAGGCTGAAGGCGATACACGATCGATCGAACCTCTTTCGCAACAACCCAACGAGCCAGCTATAAAAAGCTTGTTCTCGTGTCATTGTGGTGATGTCCGAGCTACTTTATTGGGCTCAATAGAAGATGAAGAATTGAAAGAGGATAACTGCAGTAAATGTGTGAGGGTAAGTCAAATTCACTCGCGGCTCGTGTCTTATGAGAATCCTCTATTGTAGTTTGTTAATATTTCTCGACGCAGATGGCGTACATCGGAATTTACCCGAATAAAGAAAATGTGAGAATTTACGGCCGAGATCGAGTCTTCGAATATCTCACAGGTGGAAAATTCACTGGGTCTACGTTCTGCAAAACTTGCGGCGTTCATGTTTTTAGCAACATTTATGGCCCTCCCATAAGCATCTTTGACAAACTTCCAGCGGAGAGGAAAGAGAGGGCCTTGTCAGTGTATTACAAGAATATGGCAATGCAGCCTCTAAATTTGCGGGCGATAGAGGACGTGAAATTAGACACTCTTCGCCCGCTGATCAAGAGGGAAGATGAAGGAACAGATGGGTATGGGCTTGATCCCTGATTGTTAAGATCCTGCAGATTGATGTTTTCTGTTCCAAATTTAAGCACATATACTAATAGTAACGAAATGCCATGAGACGCTTCTTATGTGGTTTCCAGTGACTTCTTTTTGCGGTTCCAGAAAGACTGTAGGACAAATAGCATGACAATCATGCATATATCAAGAGCTATTGTCCAGTTATACCGATGAGATAACGCGGTGCGCCCGAAGTCCTCCAAACACTGCGCGCAGGTGGGAAAAATACAGCCAGCGCCATCCTTCAATTCCATATATACCATTGAGGTGGGCGTATACACCCCTCTGTATGTATCCCAAGCTCACACTACCAACTTGCCTGGTGATGAAAATAGAGCATCTTGCCGGCTTAGTTCTGACCGCATGTACTAGCAACCAAGATGCCATTGAACAGCTGGGAAGAATAGGCTTCCAGCAGCACCAACGAAGAACCGAAACACACAAAGCTGGTACATATTAATTACTTTAGACTGGATAAAGTTGAGTGTTCCTTATATGAGGTCGGCACCAGGAATAAAGTATTTTGCCGAGAAGCGAGTCATCTGCGATTATGATCAAACACGGACGATGCGAAAGGCTATTTGCATTGTTTTAAATATACGAGACGGCCTCAGAAGTACACTCAATGGTATTTGAAGAGTAAAATATCCAACCTTGTTCAGATATCTCAGTAAAGTAGCATTCAAATTCTATACTTGCTCCGTGGGCCGCTTGCGTGTGGGTGGTGTTGATATAGTTGAGCTTATTTCTAAACACTTTCAAATCTTCCCTCATATCACTCATATAGGCTATTCTGGTTGCAGATGAGTCTAAAGTTTTCGTCCAATAAACAAGGAAAACAAAGATTACGATCAATGCGCCCAACCTCGGTATCAGGCGATCCAACTTCAGCATCAGTCGACACACTTCCGGCGAGTCGCTAGATGAGAACCGCTGATACCCTTTCTGGCTATATATATTCACAGTAGTAGGTCTAACATTAGGCAATTCAAATCCCTCCACTGTGTCACTTTCACCGATGGTGTCTGTTCGATGCTCGCGAATCACCTTCAATTGGCAAAGGAATAGTTGGAAATGTAACTCGAGTTTTCGTTCTGCTCAATTTGGTCATTTCTGAAGCTAGCAATTTCCATCAATTTTTATAAGCTTCATTCAAGCATCACGTAATTTAATCTTTGTATAGCGTTGTTTCAGTATCGGTGGGCTTGTTACAGCGTGTATTTGGAAATTTTTACACCTATTTCTTTACTTGTAAAATTGCCTGTGATCGTAAATCTTTCTTATACCTCAAGGAGGTATTGTTTCATTGTTGTTCTATGAAACCATTTCCCTCTCTTTGCGCATGAAACTGTGAATATTCATCTCTCTAGCCTGCTGCACGAACATATTCAACTCCCAAGGTATACGCAACCGAATAGTTCAAATCGCAAGTGGGACTCCCAAACAATGGGTGCAATTATTGATGCCCTGGACTAGGAGGAACGGTTCCAGTATCCCATGACTTTGGCTCAGGCCCCAAGACAAACTCCAGAAGCCCGCCCTTCGCAATATCACTATGCTCTAGCCAACTCTTATTCCAAGCTTTTCCGTTGACTTTCAAGCTCTGGACAAAGAAGCTATTGTTGGACAACCCATGTGCTTTGATCCGGAGAGTATAAGAACCGCCGACGGAGACGGAAATATCCTCAAACCATGGAGATAGGATTAGGTATACTGGCTGGGTCACCACTGGATACAGACCAAGCATCTGCCAAAGCATCCAGCTGTCCATAGCGCCAGCATCGCTATTTCCGGGAAGGCCATTGGACCCCGCGAAATAATTCTCGTCAATGTTAACGCGAGATTGATTCACCGCTTTGTATTGGCGGCCTGGCAGATAATTATACAAAAAGGGAGTGCCGAAACTGGGTTCGTTGCCTAATGGTGGATTGGGGAAAAAGACATAAGCCGCTGTTAAATGAAGCATCAAATTTGCAGACTTACCGGGATTGAATAAGGTCGTCCCTGATCCAACTCCTACACCTAAATCCACCGTTCGGAGTTTAGGCACAAACATAAGGTCAAGCCGTTTCTCAGTTGCTTCCACACCGCCCATCTTTTCGATGAGTCCTTGCATATCAAATGGTATGGTCCACGTGTATTCTATAATCTTGTTAGGCTTGAATATGATGCACAGTAAATGGTCACTCATTACTTACCCCATGGCAATCCTTCAGTCGTGTAGGAAGTGTCTTGTGGGCCAATTGTTATCACTGTTCCATTTGGATAGCGAGGGCCAAGGAATCCCGATGTGTTGTACTGATTTATCTCCGGATTCCAAAGGTTTTTCCAATTTCTGCGATTAGCTCATCGTCAGGTTGGGTTATGATGCATGGCTTAGGATATCGACTCACCCTGATCGGTTGAAAAACTTCTGGTAGTCATCTGGTGCTATACCCTTTGCTATTTGACTTACTGCAAAGTCATTAAGTGAGTATTCAACGGTGCGACTGATACTCGATGAGAAAGTTGTTGAGACATAGCCGAGATTGATCCAGTCTGGAAGTCCGCAGCGACCCTGGTTATCCGTACAACCCAGGTCTTCTGGGTCATTGTTGGGAGGCGGAACAACTTCTGCATCAGTCCATACGGCCTTGTAGCCATCGTTCCAGTTGATGCCACCGGTATATCCTTTCACATAGGCGTCGGCCAGAACATTATCAGCATTGCTGCCGCCTTGTACTTTGCCATTGTGGTTACCACTGCGACCGTCTGGCATGAAACCGACATGTCTCCAGATGTCTATGAGGGAACGAATCATGTCGATACCTCGCTGCGGCTGAACTAAAAGATAGAAACTGTTGAGACAGCGAAAAGTATCCCAGAGGGTATAGTAGTCATCATAATACGGTTCGGTGGATTTCCAGTCTGGATTTTCGCCGGTTCTATCGGAAGGCATTTGGTGCATGCGGTAAAGCGCAGAGTAAAAGAGTGTGAGCCGTGTATCATTCTTGGTAGATTGCTTGATTGATATCTTGCTAAAAACCTCATCGTCCCATAGCTTTTTGGTCGACTGGACAGTTTGATTTAATGTCCAAGATGGAATTTCGCTTTGGAACGCACAAGCCTTCTCGACGGAGATGAATGACACCCCAATCTTGGACTTGAGAACCGTCGTTGTAGCTGGAAACCTAAATAAAGCTCCGACTCTATCACCGGAATCATCGCCGTCGGGGCCTCCCTGGACTCCATTTGGATTTGTTGATGCGTTACCCCAGGTCACTGGCGTAGAAGGGCTTGGGGGATTGTCTGGAGCATTCCACGGCCCTGAGAAGTATTGCCAGGTCAAAGGAGCGGAATCAAAGTCGTTGCAGAAGTAAATTTTGTAATCAGACCCTGGCAACACTATTAGCATACGACAAGCTTTGGTAACTTGATGATGACTTGCCTACTCCCCAATTGATGCCCGTACCCCCCCAGCCGCCTCTCCAAACTCCCCAGCCTTGCACTCTCTGGCCTTTCTTCTTGACCTCGATTTGACCATTGCTATATGATTGAGATTTTCCAAATTCTGCCAAAGATGGCAAGTTATGCGACACATCCAGGAGGACAAAACGGTCGGTATTTTTTGGATATGAGTACTGAACAAAACCGGCATGGTCAGATGCGGCCAGCTCTACTTTGACTCCATTCGCCAGATCAGAGCGGTAGTAACCAACAGAGGCCCTATCCATCGCAATGCGAGGTTGCTGATAAGTCGCATTATCAAGGACATTGACACCTGATAGAGTTGTAAGTGGCATGTGTCCAACGACACCGTACTTTGAAGCTCCCCCAATGCCGCATTCGTGAAAGCAGGTGAAAGCAGTGACTGCGGAATTTCTTTGGTTAGATATACTTTGCTGAACCTAATAAATGAACATACTAGAAGTTTAGAAATATATGAGTATGTAAAGGTATGTAAATTATTACCATTTCCATCCGGTGTATATCCAGCAAAAGCGTTTGTGCTCGGATTCATCTCCGTGGTATCTGGGCCAAGTTTCACAACTCCAAAAGGGACAGAGACACCAGGGAATGTGTCCCCAGAGTTTGCGCCAGTGCCATCAGGGCCTTCTGTACCAATAAAAGGGTTCACATATACTGAACGATCTTCACGCTGAGTTGGCGACGCAGCGGTCAGAGCTTCGGTAAGGATGCCTAGCACCACCAAAGGTAACATCTTGACGAGTTTGCCACAGTAGACAAAGAGACTAATGAAATTGCATAGCGATCACAAACCGGACGATTAGGACTATTATATAAAAATCCGAGATCATAGCCATCTGTCGAGGGGATAATAATGCGGGGCGGGAGAAGATCCGGGGTAAACTATCTAGATTGCGGTTTTGTATATATTGTGCCGACGGCATAATTCGGTGGCATTCAATATCCTTTCTTTGATCTGCAAGTGCCTCATGAAGGGCAAATCTTCTCGGCTGCTCGGGGTCTACGATTTTTTTAGCGTAATTCTATCTCACGACCTAGTTATATTCTCTATTTCACTAATGCCCTTTCCAATACACCACAGTGTTGAGCTAAGATGCAAAAGTTTGACCAAGAAGAGGGAACAAACGTCATTATCCTTCGTCTGTTTAGCGTAACATCGGCTCATCTTCATGCAGATGCAGGAGCTATGCTTCCTTACTCCAAATGAAGCAATGATTTTCCCCGTTATTACCGAGGAATTTTATTTACAATTTGACGTCGGTATTAAGGGCATTCACACGGCGAGTTATGAGGGGCAAAACCCGGAACTAAGAATGAGCCGCCATCTTCGTTACCACAACCAACGGAACCTTTGACAGCAAGGGCGTTGAAAATGAGATTATAGGAGTACGCTTAATTTTTTAAGGCCACATCTTTGAACACCAAAATTGACAATTAATCTATTGCCGAGTTACAGTAGCTCAAATGTTCTTTGTCAAACAACGGCCAATTTAGACTAAGTTAAGAACTGTTCAACAAGCTTTATTTATGTAGCATATATGCTGCACTTAGCTATTCATGTTGCTCTACCCGTTGAATCTTGTCATTCTCTAAATCAGGTAGAATTGCAAACGGCAGAGTTTTCGCCACACCCACTGTATCGAAAATAGACTTAGACGTTGTGAAAATCTCATCAATTTCTTCCAAAGTGCGACCTCGCGTTTCCGGATAGAAAAGGTAGAACACAGATGAGGAAAAGGCGCTGATAGAAGCGTACACGATGTAGTACCTCCATCAAATATTTGCAAACGCAACTGGAGTAACTTCTGCGATAACGAAGCCAAATAGCCAGTGTATAGCGGCGGCCATAGCGGTAACTTGTGATCGGGTTCTCAAAGGAGCGATTTCGGCAGCGTACATAAAAGGAAGCAGAAAGAGACCAATGGGAAAGAAGAAAAGAGCGAGAAAATAGAAAAAGATGGCTGCATCAGAAGCATGTTTGTTCTGAAGATTGGAGGTTAGACCAGCTAAACATGCGTGTGCTACAGCCATGCCTGCTGCCGACACGATAAGGAGGGGCCTGCGGCCGACTCGATCCACAAGGAAGACGGCTAGGCCGGCAGCAAGGAGTTGCCATATTTGGAGACACCCTGAGATGACTCGCGATGTAGTTCCAGAATATCCAAGATTAATCTGAAATATAGTTGTCGAGTAAAAAGTGATAATGTTAACTCCAGTCATTTCCCCCAAAAAGCACACTCCCAGCCCAAGCATTGTACGGTGGAGGTACCGTCCATGATTGACAGCAAAGGGGTTGTTCCAGCCGTCAATGCTGGCCTCCTGTTCTATTGCACTGCTGATAGTCGCGATTTCCGCCGCAATAGTCTCTGGTTCGACAGATGTATCTCCGAGAACGGCTAAGACCTTAGAGGCTTCCTCTGTGCGTGAGTTCTTGAGAAGCCAGCGAGGAGATTCTGGCATGAACAGAATGGCACTGACAACGACCAATGCCAAGACTGCTTGGAAGGCAATAGGGAAACGCCAGTTGACAGCGTTTTCTTTAACATAAAAAAGGCCAAACTCCAGCCAGGTTGCAGTGACAATCCCCCCCAAAGCGAATAAGCCCTGGAGAAGAACAAAATATCCACGGTCTTTAGCATTCGCACATTCTGATATCCACATAGGAACAGTAGCAGTACAAGCGCCGAGACCAAGACCTATTATTATAGAGATTTGTTTATTAGTATCAGTTTCGTCAACTTTTGCGCTCTGGAAAAGTGAGACCGACCTGTTATGACCCTTCCAGCAATGAATTGCCCAAGGCTGAAAGCCGATGTTTGAATGGCCACTCCTACGAGCGTCACTACACCGGCAGCAAATACAGTTCGTATTCGACCTAATTTGTCGCCGATATACACGCGAGCCAGAGCCCCAAGTGTGCAGCCAACTTCGTAGATGGCAATGGTAGTACCTTGGATCGTGGCATTATGCGACTTTTGAGCGCCTTTGGTATCGAGTGTATCTGTCTGAGGGAAGACACTTAGAAATGTTTTGAGAGTGAGGATACCATTCCCGACAGCTTGATCGTATCCTTGAAGGGCGAAAGCAGTTGCGCCGATAATTCCAATGATGAAATTGAGGGTCTTGCCACTTATGCCGAGATAGGGAGTCATTTTCGTACTCGATCCAATATTCGGCGTCTATACAAGTCCCATTTCCTCATTAAGGTAATTGTAGATCTTAGGAAGGGCTCCAGGAAGCCTTTTGTAGAATCCCCAAATAAGCCAGAACTCTCCTGTATCTCGGTGGTGCGGCGTTCTCCGCCCACATTACCAATAACATCAACACTATCGGGCGGGTAGCCTCAACGGTTTAGATCTGCGGCGCTCGCCGCTTTCGACACTTTCGGAATCGGATCTGTCGCCGCCAAAGGAAACTCTCGAATCTCGTCTTCACTTAATTTCCGAATATGTACAGCGCAGTTATATGAGAGCCTAGTAACCAATCGCTATTACTCTGCAGCCTCCATGTCTACAAAAGACCATGAATCGTCGTCTAACAATACGTCTCTTCGGCGCCGAAACCGGAAAGTGTTTGCCGCTTGCCAACGATGTCGATATCGCAAGATCCGCTGCGACGGGTCTTTCCCCTCGTGTGCAAACTGCCAAAAAGCTGGGGAACCTTGTCTCGATCCACACCGAGAAAAGAGATTCCTCGAAGGTGAGTTGTTTCACTGCTCTACTATGATAATTGAATCAGGACATGTCGCACTGATTGAGTTTTAGCTACGTTGTTTCATTAGAACAAAAAGTCAGATCATTAGAAGCCATCATTGCAAACAGATGTCCCGATATAGACCTAGCTGCCATCGCATCAGTTCGCCAACAAGTCGACTCTTCAAACTCTGTACCACCGGTTTGCCAGAGCCCAACCGTGGAAACCCAGCTGCCGGAGCATGCAGATTCTAGAAGAAGTCACTCAACTTTGACAAAGCAAGCCAATAATTATTTCTTTCTGCCTTTAATTTGCGCTGACGATTCTGCAGTCCAACAGCAACGAAGACAACATCTCCGTGGGCTCCTTCAGGACATGTACAATCGGACACTGAACTTCTCACCCATGTAATTGCTCTTGTATCACTAAACGGCTCCTCAGAACCTAAATATCTCGGACCGTCAAGTGGATTTTCTTTTGCAAAGCTATTAGCCAGTCCAGGGCTAAGATTGGACCAGCGAATACGCGATGGGGATAAACCAGATGCTGGGGCCAGAGCATCAGCGGAATACCATGCCGTACCTCTTCCACCGTTCCATGAAGCTGCAATTCTCGCCGAGGCTTTCTTTGATGAGGTGCAATGGCAATATCCCTTTCTACATAAGCCGTCGTTCCTATCTTCCCTTCGTGAAGTATACAATGATAAAGGCCAAAGCCAAGCTGAATCTAGCTACGCGGTTGGGTCGGATGTTGCCAATGTTTATTTTCAAGTCTTCATGGTACTCGCGGTTGGCGCCTCTACCGTTTCAAAAACGCTCAGTATGGCAAAAGATGCTGGGAATTATTACGTCTCAGCGATGCAATATAGCGACGGAGCTCTTTACAACGTATCTCTTCTCACAACACAAAACCATCTTCTCTTGGCAATGCATGCACTTTTTAACCCGCGATCAGACACGAATATATGGTTCATGAATTATCTTCTGATGGCTAGCTGCATTGACTTGGGCCTCCACCGAGACGTTGGCCCCCGCCAAGATAACTTGCCAAAAGAAGCAATCTTGAAAGAGGAAATGCGAAGAAGGGTTTTCTGGAGCTGCTATTGTCTTGATAGAAATGTTGGCACCGCACTCGGACGATCACTTGGAATCAGAAATGAGGCTTGCGATGTACCCGTAAGTATTTGCCATTTACCTGCTCAGACGGTGCATTGCTTGTCAGACGCTAAATCTTTCAATTGAAGCTTCCATCATATTTTGATGATGACGCTCCAGAATTTGTTGCCGATAGGAGCGGGAGAAAGAATTGGTCACCTATATCATGCTCAATACACCTTTCTCGTCTCGCCATTATTATTACCGACATGAAGCTACATCTTTATAGGATCTCGTAGGACCCTGACAGAATTCCGTGGCCATCAGACCTACACTCGTGGAGAGACAGCACGTACAGGGACCTCATTGAATGGAAAGCAGCGACCTCATTGTTGAGTAGCGGTAAAGCATCCTTCTTTGCCCACCTCGAAGTTTCTTATTATCCTGCCGTTATGTTACTCTATCGCCCATCTCCAAGGTTCCCTAAGCTGTCCATGGACACCGCACACATTTGTAGCGACTCATCCATCAAAGTTATTGAAATATTCGACAGTCTTCAGCGCCTAGGAAAGATGCAATACAGCGTGCTTAGTGTTCACAGCACTTTGCTAAGCGGCCTGACAATGTTATACAGTGCTCAAATTTGTTGCAAAAATGATGCTTCTGAGGAAATGCGGAGATTGCCAAACGACATCAAAATATGTTCTTCTATCCTATCAACAATGGCAGAGCTGGGTTGGGCACACGCCAAACGATCGTTGTCCGTTTTTAATACAATAGGTCGGGTAACTGTCAGGTATGTGCAGAGTGTAGCTGCTTTAGGGACTTTGGAATCTTCAAATTTGGATCCTGACGCCATGCGTGCAAAATCCTTTGATGGTGCTGAATCCATCACAATGGCTGAGGGTACAACTACGTTGAACTCTGAGATCTTGTCCAATAGGTTGTCACAAAACAGCCCACCATTGCATTTCACACCGATGTCGCCTCCACTATCGAATGACCAATTCATGACCGCGTTGGGAGCTGAAAATTTCCCGTTCGAACCTTTTCATGATGAAGGAGGTATTCAGACTTCAAATATGGCTCTAGACATTACAGACTGGTCGAGCTGGGAGGCATTGATTCCAAACTGGGAATCCATCTTCCCATATTAGACACGGAGTTTATCTCTATATTTCTCCGCGCCGAGGCCTCAAACTTAACAGAATCCTTTTGTACCTCTCATAGCTTTCCTTTGTGCCTCCGAAGAACCTCCTCAAAAGACTGACCTTTGAGGGTATCTTCAGCACAGTTAGTATCAGCTTTGACAATATGTGGTAAAATCTCGAGACAACTTTTCACAGCCTCTTTTGGTATGCAGACGACGCCATTGAGATCTCCGATAAGAACATCTCTAGGCCTTATCCACGCTTCTTGTCTCGTACTATTGAGGCGCACAGGGATGTTGATTTGCGATGGAAAGCAGACTTCTGCTGCTGCGTTTGTACCGATTCCTCGTGCAAAAACCTGTAGAGTTGGAATTAGTTGGGAGTTGCGCAATACATAAATTCTAAGTTGAAGTACAAAACTCACAGGATAGTCAAGGTCACGATGTTCCTGTAAATCACGGACGCGACCGTCCACAATTGTGCCTTTTGCTCCCAGAAGCTGCGCGCGCATTGACATTAGCCCGCCGTACACACTATTGATTAAGTGTGCGGGTACTGATATGAACAGAATAGCATCCTTCGGAACAGTATCTATCTATTCGCATCATGTTAGCCAATACTAACTGCACTATCATTGCAATGATCATAGAGTACCAAAGAACCTACAAAATGATTCGGCGGGTGAGGATCGTTTCGATGATTCACTGCTGCGAATCGTACAGTGTAGGCTTCTCCAATTATCTTCGTTTTTCCGCTTTGTATAGTTGGAGAGTACATTGTTAAATCACTAAGGAAGCCACCATGGGCATAACCCAGTTTCGAGAGAGCATCGGCAACCTAGTGTCTTTGTTAGCGGTATTTGGCTGACGTTTTGTTCTCAATGTGGCCAGACATCACACGATGTGTATTTTTCCAATTCCTTGACTAGAGATCTATTACTGTTGGGATCGGGCGCCATGGCTACAGACTCTGGATGTAGTGCGTAAGGACAAGGCAACATGGCTCGAAATGTCAAAGGATCCAAGGCAAATCCTTTTACCTTGATGTTAATATAATCCATCTGAAGATATCTTTATTATGGCCGCAGTGGAGTAGCGGCGGTCGCCGCTCAATACACTGTGACGGAATACCTTCCGTGGGCTGGGAGCCGTTCTCCAAGTTGATTACGAGCCAATATAGATCCACATGAAGGAAGTATAGCGCCTTCGACCAAATGATGGACAAGAATACAGGGTTAGTAACACTTCAGCAAGGCGAATCTTTCCATTATTAGTAAAAATAATTAATAGTCCCGGGGATGATTCGGCAATCCAGAACTACGAGTTTAGAACTTAGTCCTAGTGCGTCGAATACCGCGGCTTCTAGTATAACAAATCTTTACTTCGCATGCGCTCTAACTAAGCCTTCTTCGACAGCTGTATGCCCATTATTCTAATTTCTGACCCATCGGTTGTTTTTACAAACAGTTTAGCATATGGTAACTACCTTACGTCATATCGTATATTGAGCTTGCTTGCCTCCCCCCAGCCCCTCCCCCCTTCTCTCCCCCGCCAGCCGTTTATTTACTCGGATTATTCTCCCACATGCACAATATCAACATCTTTTCCTCCCACTTCTGTCCTTAGTGTCAATTCTTCGCCAGATGCAATCATCTTGTGCAGTTCCTTAGCCCGCTTGACCGGAGACATTGTATCGTCCATGAAAGCAAGATCTACCAGCTCTAGGCTAAGGCCCTTGGTCTCCGGGAAGAATAAATAGATTATAGGAATGAATGAGAAGTTAAACACAGCAAAAATGATGTAAGTTTTCCATCCTATGTTGGATATGCTTGATGGGACAATCTCAACCATCACGAAAGAAAACAGCCAAAGGGTGGCAGTTGCAAGACCCATTCCTTTTGATCGATATTCAAGTGGTAAAATTTCCGGTCCATAGGCCTAGATCAAACTATTATCAGCACATTTCTCACATACTTTGACCGAAAGATAAAGTGTGAAGGTGTTAGCGGAAACGTCGGGAATCCTGGCATAACATACCCAGACACCACCCATGAATCCCCATGTGAAAAAGGCCTGATACGCAAAAATCATGACAACGGCGACAATTCCGGAAGTTCGAGTATTGACGGCGAGCATCGCTGCAACAACTGCCATAACCATACCCATACAGCAAGCTGAGAGCATGAACAGTCTTCGACGCCCAACACGCTCAATCAGCCACCATGTGAGTGTTGAGGCCAAAAGAAACCACAGCTGGAGAAAGATTGACATAAGCAACGACAAATGCCGAGAGAAACCAACGGAATTTTGAAATCTTTCAAAATTAATGCGCGTTAGTAGTTGTACAATGATACGTCAACAGCCCTTCTCTGTCGAGTTTAGATATTCTTGGCTCGACTTACATAAAAGTCGTATAATATGCTATCGGAGTGCTTCCACTCAGGTCTTGCATTAAGTTGACAATGCAAGCAATGATGACGCGGCGGCGGGACTTAACCTTGTCACTCTTAAAAAGATCTGTCCAACTTTTTTGAGCGTTGAGTTCTAGCAAAAGAGCCTCCTTGATCTCTGCAATCTCGGCGGCTACCGTATCTCTATCGTTGGTGTCTTTGAGAGCTTGAAGAACTGTGACGGTTTCTTCAATGCGATCCTTCATTATGAGATATCGAGGAGCTGCAGAATTTGTATCGTTAGCCTCATGGATAGAATAACACCTGGAGGTTATCGTAATCTGAGAGCTTACATTCAGGCATAAAGAATAATAGGGCGCTCATTAGAAGTGCTAGAACCGCTTGAAAGGCAATTGGAAAGCGCCATGTGACGGGACCAGAATAGTTATTCATGCCGTAGTCAATCAAGTTCGCTAAAAGCTGGCCGACAATAAGGAAACTCAAAGAGCACGCAACCAATGTGCCGCGCACATTCGCCGGAGCCGTTTCTGACTGCCAGATAGCGATATTGCTAGATATAAGGCCAAGACCGATGCCAGCAACGATGCGACCGACCATCAACTGACCAACAGAGAAACTGGAGGCCTGAAGAAGGGCACCGATGGTAATGGATAGTGTACCAAGATGTGCGAGAGTTCGGCGGCCTAATCGACCGCCCGCAGCTGCTGTGAATAGAGACCCAAAGAAACATCCCAACTCGAATAATGAAGTAACCACTCCTTGGAGCGTAGCATCGAGATTAAAAGTTGATTCAAAATCGGGAGCTGTAAGCAGACCACCAATAACACCGTTGTCATATCCTATACCAATAAAGAAGAATATTAGCTGAAGAAAAAAAGGGCCGCGTTAAGATGAAATCCGTTGCCAGAGTGGATTTCCATACCAAATAAAACAAACCCTAATCCGCTGGAAATTGTGATTCCAGTTAGAAGCCTCTTGCCTCTCAAGTTCAGGTACACCATCTTGACGCCCCTTCAGGTAAAGGTTTTGTACTCAAACGAAAGGCACACGGACTGCAGAATAATGCGTGAAAGTTCAATAGCTCGGGGTCTTACTCAGGCCTTGTTCGCATGATTAACAACTGTCTCTGCAAGATCTGGGGTAGTATTTAAATATAAGAAACGCGGGGTAGAATGGTTTCATGTGGAGAAATCGTGGGGAAACAACAGGCATTATACTGCTGATATTATTTGTATTCTAGAAGAGCCAGGTTCTGTATTCAAGTGTCAGTTCGGTGAAATGGCCGATCCAGGTTCTAGTGATCCTGCTGTCAAGTGATTGAGCTCTAGTACCGGCAGTGCTCAGACACATTATTCCGAGAGCCAATCATTACACAATGCTCGGCTATATTGGGTACAATTCACCCGCGTGGCTGGACTTCTGTTAGCCTTGGAATCCGATTCCAAGATTCTCTGGAGTAATGAGCCACTATTCACCACTACTTGAGCCTCTCCGTTTCTCAAAACAAGAGGCATATGCTGCTCTCATGGACGTGCGTACTCTAATGACATCAATTTGTTTTTAATTGCAATACGTATATATGCAAGTTTTCTAGACAATGTTATGATGAAAAAACAAGAGGCGTATCCTACGGTTGTAATGATGGGAGAATGGGCCAATGGCAGTCATGTAGCCGGCAATATTGCACATCATTGCCGAAGAGATTGTAGAATCCACTATTATCCCCTTGAAGTAGCATTTTCCCTTTTAGCCGCATGACACCAAATGCCGGAAGCCGATGCCGTATGCATAAAGTAAACACGTGTTTTGCTCCAAGGACAAATTAAATTATTTCCATACTGTGAGGTTGAAGTAATAATGGTTACAGCATATGTCAAATAATGGAAAACGTAAATAACTATATTTGATAGGCCAGTGTGCTGCGTGGATTATCCTCCAGGCTAGACTAGGACAGAGACGGAAAAACTCAAGGATGTGAAGGGCAATCGGCAGTGTCTTGCAATCCATTAAAGTACCATTATATGCATACCGCATGTTTACAAGAAATCTTTTTAATAATCAAATAGGAAGAATGAATGTGTGAAGATTGCCCACAAATCAGAGCTCAGATGGTGTTGCAATTAGGCATGAAGGCTGGAATGAAAGCACAAAGTCAGCAGGAGCCAAGTCAAGACGTCACCACGGCTATAGCAAGATACATTTTGCCGATTGGACAAGCTTGATTGGATTTTCCGTTATCAACTCGTTCGTGTTCGTTTGTCAAAGCTACTAATGACTTAGCCTCGATGTGACTGTACTTTAATTCGTGTTAACTAGAGCTGAAATCTGGATATCCACATCCGAAACCATCAGGGGCCAGACACAAGCGTTTAGGGAGTAATTATAAGTTTTGAAAGTGTAGTGCTAGCACAGCAAGGAATCAGGAGTTCTTAGTCAAGGAATGAGCTGATGCAGATGAGTATATGCCAGGTTGTATAGACTAACGCGAAGGCGTCATCCACGTATACTAACAGAGAGACCTGAGAGTAATATACAGATATCTACATCCGAATAGACAGGACCTGTAGACATTAGAGACGGAAACTAACAAGCTAAACTGATTCAACAGAGCATCATACAAAGAATAGTTAAGTTTGTAATTGTATAGTGCATTGGATAGCATGGTATGTGCAAATAGTGTGTTGAAACAATTATTATTATCCAAGTCTGAAAGCTATATACTATCTACCTAAAAAAAAAATGATAAGAGGTGAGAGGTGACCACCAAGTTGATTGAATGATGTGAGCCGCTAATTCTAAACCTTTTCCATGGACCAACCAGCCATTGCATTAATAAATACCCCGCGAACTCAAGTTAGGAAGGTTGAGCTGCGTTTTGCATTGCAGCATTGAAAAAGGAGATAAGTGCAGCAGGACCATCTTCATGCCGAATTATGGCAGCCATTTCTAACCCACTCTTTATATGCTCGACTCCGCGACGGAACATATCTTCTTCATATTCCACGACGGCGCGATCCAAGGCATCTGTGCCATACGTTGCAATTTTTGAGGCCAGTGAGAGTGCATCTGCCATGGCACAATTAACACCTTCGCCATTCGGAGTTGCGACATGAGCAGCATCTCCGACCAAAGTCAGACCAGGAACTGAATTCCAGCTCACTGCTTCTGGAGCCATGTAATACAGGGGCCAGCTGCGGAAATCTTCTGAATATCGAATCAAGTCTTTAAGTTCTTCTGCCCAATTACCAAAGAATTCTGAAGAAAGAAATAAGCGCCGGGTAGATTCAGTATCTTCCAGATCGACAATGCCACCTCGTACAAAGTTTTCGGGTACAGTAACGCCGAGATAGATTCTATACGACCCGTTGCCCTGACGCTGAGTGACGATCTCTTTCGAGGATCCTAAGCACATTAAAGTGCCTGCACCTACTTTTGAGACCATTGTCGGGTAGTAAGGGCTGTCGGGGTTTATCCTTGACTCTATATAATGGTTGCCCGAGTATTGTGGCTTTGCCGGTGTAATCTAAAATTTACATTAACTATAAGTAAAGCCAGAAAAACAGTGGGGGGAGCTCCAAATTCATACCGAAGCCCGTACTTTGCTCCAGGCGCCATCTGCACCAATAACGAGCTTAAATCCAGACGCTGAAGATCCGTTTGTAAATTGGAGAATATGCTGGCCGTCTTGCTCCAAAGTGACACTCTTAAGAACGTGATTCCAGCGAACCTTTTCCTTTGGTATCGAGTCTAACAATATTTGGCGTAATAAGACTCGATCGATTTCAGGCGCATCGCGGGCTTGGCCAATCTGGAACACCCTTTCTCCCTGTTGATTGGCAATTGCAAACGACGTATCTTCGTACCTAGCATGCTTCTTAAATTCATTAAAAAGACCTGCTTCTTTCAACGCAAGCTGTCCGGTCTCTGCATGAATATCGAGGCTACCTCCCCTACGATTGGAGTCGTCGGATTCGTCACGCTCGTACACAACATAGTCGACACCTTTGCGCTCCAAAAGGCGTGCCAGAGTTAAGCCGCATGGCCCAGCACCAATGATAGCAATAGTGGGAGACATGTGTAGTGTCCGCAGTGGATAGCTTTAAGTAAGAAGGGATAAAGTGATTGAGTGTTTTGTTAGAGAGATGCTCATGGCAAGAGTTCCTAAATTGTTAAACGATTCGTCCTTTATATAGATTCTTTATTCAGCTTTAAGGGGAAAGCTATTCGCAATCCTTCGGGACCAGATTTCATCCCACAAAGTGCCAAACACGGCCTGGCGGGATGCACCGCTCACCTTGGGTCCGAAAAAATAAATGTGGATGCATTTTCGGGACCGAGAGCTCTCGGGTAAGGCAACCGACCGGAGTTCGACTGCTAGACTACGGGGCCGTATCCTATTCTACACACGTCTTTTTTAAGATGCTAGTCATGATGCGATATATGCTTAGTATCTACTCCGTAAATATATTAGCAATCTCAAAATAAAACTGGAGCCAGTTTGCTTTATGCACTACGAAACATTCTGGTTAGGGGAAATGAACCGTAAGAGCTACGCGGGGCAAATGTATAAGTTCTACGTAGAAAGAGACTGCAAGTAGAGCTACCTTTAGGTTGTAGAGCCAGGCCTTAAATCGGCTAAATAGAGAGAAATATTAATACACATTCTAGCTAAGACCTGGAACAGATCTTATGAGAGAGTTATTGGTCTTATGAGTCCCCGACAGCCGCCTAGTTTCGTCAAATTATGACGGCCAAGGTTCCGTAGTAGTGGAACATCGCCATTCCGCGCATATTTGCTATGAGCGTATATATACAACCAAGAATCTTCTTGCACCCTTCATGGGTATTTCTTATGCTATATAGGCATAATTGACTCTTGGCTGAGGCTTTTTCCTCTGCGGCAAACGTACGTACAAAAGTTGTGAAGCCAGCATTTTCATTTGCATGCATGTAATCTGACAATGTAAAAACTACGGCTTGTGTAATACTACACGAGTTCTCCTATTACTACCTTATATTAATACAAATGGCTCCTCGCTATTGAGAGTTGGCGATTCTCATATTTTTGGATATGTGGTCTCCGCACAGTGCCTATAGATTGTTCACGTAAAATGCCAAGGGAAATTGCTAGTAGTAGGCACTGCCATCCTCCCCGTTCCCATTCTGACACGTTCCCGTCCCAATGCTAATAAATATTGAGTTGCTCTCTACTCTCTGATCTCTCTTTTTTTTGTCCTCTAATTTTCTCATATTGGGTCGAAGGAATTTTCCAATTCGAACTCCATTATTTATGTCCACCAGACTAGCCTACATGATGAAGCCAGTGCTCGCTTCGGCCAATATCGCCTCGGTCGCTCGAACGCTACATCCTACAAAGATGCGCAGCATCTCTACTACTCTCAACGTTTGGCGAACCCACCGAAAATATCAGATTATCACCAACTATCAACATCTCATTCGGAATTTTTCTAGTTATTCCCATCTTCGCAATAAGCAGAATAACGAGGATCTCCCGTCGTTTAGCTTTGAGGGGTTGGGAATGACCAGAAATGTTAAACTCTTTGTCATTGCTGTCTTGAGTATTTTTGGTACAATTGAGACTTGGGTTTGGTGCAAAGGCATTTATCGTTGGTGGAATGGCCCCTCAGAGAAGGAGAAGAAATTGGCTTAAAGGTATCAAAAAGAGCATGCGGTACCTAGGTAGCAAAACAGCAATTCTAGCCTTTGGAGAGAGTGGTCGAAGTATGAAATGAGCTAAGAGGGATTATGTGCAAGTGCGCCTGACTGTGGCTAAGGGTACGTGTAATTGTAGACAGAATATTCAACTCTTAAAAGGGGATTCTACCTGGAAAGAAGAGATTCTCACCTGTCAAATATGTCAGCATCCAGATATTACGCTGTCCCGAACGATGGATATTTCGACGAAATAGCAGAATAATGGATAACAATGGTAGAGCAGCCAGCATGCACAGTGTCCTACGTAAAACTATTACAGTAGCTTGCTCGTCCCTTAGACCAACACCAGAGAAATAAGTACCATCAAACGGTGCAGTACCTAAAACACATCAACAATTTATCTTATTCCTATGTATCCTGCAATGAAAGTAACTTTCCCCTGCCATATATAGCTTAGTGCATGGTAAAATTAGGTGGATACTTCGTCAATGCAGTTCGTGAAGGGCGTTTCTGGTCATTGCGCGGGGCAGAACAAGGTAGATAGAAAAACCAATATGAACAGTTTACTCATTGAGCAAAAATAATAACTGTATGTACTTGCAAGTGGCAAATTGAGGGGATTATCTAATGGTATTTGGTTTCATTCTATGAATTGAGTATTCTCCTTCTCATTGGTGCAAGATAGCGTCTTGGATGTAATACAGGAGGCTGCAAGACCACCTGCAGTATGTGCAAGTAAGCTTATTGCCTCACGTATGTAGGCAATCACTAGTTAATTTCATTTTCCTAAAACGGTTTGCCCTCAAGGCGATTTCCAACTGCCTCTTCAAGTGATTGCAACTGGTTCTCATTCAATCCAAGCGCTTCGTTATCCAGCTTATCGTAAACTGCTCCGCCTGTTGCCCAGATCCGTCGCAGCGTACCGACAACTGCCCTTGGATTGCCCTCGTCCCAGTACTTCTTCTCGAAGCTCCTCACTTCATCTAGTGTGACATACTTGGCATTGAGCTTGTGTCCAAGCTGCTTTTCGTATTCGGCCAGGATCTGATTTGGTGACTTTGTGAACGAGGCAATTTTGAGCACTTTGCCAAATGATATCTCTGGACGTTGTAGGGCTGCTACCAAGGCTTTGCCCACACTGCTCACACCTCATCGTTAGCTCTATCAGTAATCGCCAGTCAGCGTCGGAGGTGCAACTTACTCTTCCATGGCGGTAAACCCAATGGGTTGCTCTCCATCTCCAAGAAGAGTTGCTTCTTTATTCTTTACATCGAATCCGCCAAATGCATCCTTGAGCCCGTCACCGTCAACCCACATTTCAATATATGGCCCCACAACCAGATATGTTGGTTTCAAATTCTTCACTTGCTCGGTAAATGTCTTGCGCACTCTTCTCTTGAATTGATGGGGCTTCTCGAGAGCGCTGCTGGGGTCATGATCTGGATCGGTGCCATATTCTGAAGGAAAAAACCACCGGACAGATTCAGATTCATCCGCCAACCTAATTAGCTCGAATTGATGCTCAAGTGCCCCTCGGCCAAGGCAGCTGATGGCAGTGTCAACGTCGTGATACGCATTCTTCACGTCTTCCGAGTTTGTGATGTCACCGACAATGACCGACACGCCTGCAGCTTTCCACTGACTCAGAAGCTCAGGCTTGGTTGCCACTGTGTTTGGAGAGGTGAAGATTGAGATTTTGGGGAATGCGGGTTTAGCGCGAATTAGTTGATCGATAATGTGTTTCCCAATGTTGCCAGTGGCGCCAAAGGCCAGAATGTGCAAAGGTTTGAACGAGGCCATAATGACAGCTGCGACTGGTATTAATTATAATGACTGTAGGTGAAGATGAATAATTCCGGCAACTTTCTTTTGATACTTGTTGAATTGGGGCAGCTATTTATCATTCGGGGGCTGTCTTCGGCATTGGGGTGAGGGGTAAGTAAGCTCCAAGGGCGTCCCAAGGGCGTCATTTGGAGAGAAGATATGACGCCTTTCCACACCATAATCCGGTAATTTTCTCTAAACCAAATAGCCCCATGCATATATAAATACAAACTCGATCTGCTTCGAAAAAGCTTCCCATAATTTCTTGATCTCCTATCTCCTCGCCTCTAATTTTAAACCCCTTCTTTATTGGGTCTCGGTGTGGCTGTTGGAGGGAGGAACTTGGGCGTATATTTGCTCACTTTTCGAATCTGCGCGCCTTTGATGTAGAAAATGACGGGCACAGGTGCCAGTAGAGCGGCGACACACCCAATTAACGTCATTGTCCATTGTATCCCCATCCCTTTAAACATATAAGAAGCGAAAAGAGGGAAAATGGCGCCAAATAACGACCGCAAAAAGGTATTGGCTGCTGGGGCCGACGCCGCAAGCTACTCATCGCGTTAATGATAGATTGGGACACTGAATGTTCGGTTGGAACAAAACACATACCATCAAGTAAGCGTCAATGAGATAATTGAAAGCTTGTAGAAAGACCATTGAGATACGAAGGCCTGTCACAACACCACCGATTGTCGGAACGATCCAGTGGACTTCTTTACGATAGCCAGACTAACCGAGCCAAAACATGCCACCGGCGAACAGTACCGCTCCAACCATAGCCTCAGGCAGTCGCCACTCTGGTATGGGCATATTGTTATTTACTTCAAGTTTGCGCCGATAGGCTGGTGCCCTCAAAACCATTATGACGCCTGTTAAAATGCAACCCAGCACAGCGCCTAGCTCGGGAAGGCTGCTGATACCCGGCCTCATACCGTATACTCCCTGGAAAATGATGGGATATGCAGTTAGAAACAGATAAAGTAGGCCATAAATAAACGCAGAATAGAGACTAAAGCGAGTGGAAGAATTAGTAACCACAGTTGGAAGACATAAACTAAGTGGCGTCGATATACCTTATTAGCAGGACAATGGGTTCGACCACAAGCATGCGAAGCGGACGTATTAAATTACGTTCAACCATCTCGTGGAAGTCGACCTCGGTTTCCTCCTGCTTCGCGTGAATAGCCCAGTTCTCAGTTCGGCGACGCAGTTCGGCTGCCTTCCGAGCCAAAATAATGGGCGGATAAGTTTCGTATACTACGAAGTTCAGCACGGCGGCCGCAGAGGCAAGGATGCCAGAGAGATACTGAGTCTACGCCAACCAAGGTGACTAGTTACAATGAAGCCCCCAATGAAAGGTGAACTCATTGGGCTAACGAAAACAGATAGGGTAAAGATAGTAACCTGGCTACAGTTCTGCGACAACATAATGGTTTTTGGTATCATGGGGAGGGGGGGGGGGTTACAGCAATACTGCGCGTCTTGTTGTCAAATAAATCCACAAACACAGCGCCACCCACAGCGAGAGGACCAGTTCCAAAGAAGCCTGCAAAAAAGCGGTTGATCATGATCCTTTGAAGATCTTTCGAAACTGCCACGGCAAAATGAAAAATAGCAGTCCCGAAAGCGGCAACGACGAGACGCAGCCGCCGCCCCTTGATTTCAGAGAGTGGTCCCCACAGCACTGGTCTACTGTAGAGTGAGACAAACAATCATAGAGGAGAGTGACGATTTCCCCAAAAAGCAAACCGCCATTAGACAGGATACTTACCCTGCTGAAAATCCTAGGACATACAGCGTGACGCCAAGTGTGGCAACTTCCGGTGCAACTTTATAGTCCGCTGCTATTGTTGAAATGTCGGGCGCGTAGATTACACTGGCAAAAGTTGTGATAAATGTAGTAACAGACAAAATTGCAGTTATTATAGCCCCTATATAAGTTAGATTCTGTCATTTGACGTTGCTTTTAATATACTGACTTTGTTCTCGCTGGCCAATTTTGTGGGTGAATGGGATCATCAGCGCCATCGAATTCCACAATGTAGCCAACTTTGTCCAAGAGAGCCGGAGGATATGGCTTTCCGGCTCCCATCTGTGGCAGCGGCAATGCGTCTTTACTGTCTGCCAACGGGACCCCTACGGTACGGCTATGCTGGCTTTCTATCGTTCGCGCCCGGCCCAAGGCTACCTCTTCCCTCTCTGGGTCGCTTACGGGAGCATTGTTCCCACCAAAATGCTGTTCGGATCTGGACTGATGTTGTTGCCCATCGACATCGGCCCCCGACTGACTCGAGATCAATGCCCATGGCGAATGCGGTCGTTATTATCCCCCCCCCCCCCCCGGCTGCGAGATATCCTCTTCACTTCGCTGAAAAAATAGTTGAATCTTGACTGAGCGTTAAAATGTTTATGTTAAGATTGTACAATCAAATCGCTGAGATATACGGAGTACATCCATGTAATTGCAAAGTTAGCGGAAACACAGTACATAATTTCTATTTATCACTAGATAGAGTCGTGTTTAAATTATTCATCTTTCTAACGAGATTGATTAGCAATAACTCGAGAGCCTATTAAGCAATGTCCTGCTTGCTCTATATCAAGATATACGAAATTTCTAAGCAAACCTGCAAACTTCGGTAACTCGGTAGCTCGCCCTCGGAGGCTCGGCGGTTCGGACTGACGTCAAATGCAGCGAGTTGTCAGAACTCTGAACCTCAAACAGGGTTGGCAGATACCCATTTCAGCAAAGGAGATTTTCGCTGCTGTAATTGGCAGAATGCTTGTTATGTAAATTACCATAAACGGAATATGCCCTTCTTGGTTTTTACCATAATGGGGAACCGTTCGCAACAGTTTTATGCGAATTAGTAATATCACTAAATGGGAATCTGCAAAGTGCTGGTCTCGCTAAAGTAGGGATATCTACATAGTTTGAGTTTGTTACTTGGTTGGTAAAGGTGCCGCGTATTGATGCGTTTGTTTCTAATGATTTAGCATGTGACACCACAGGCGAAACCTTTTTGCGAAGACAAGTCGTTCTCGCTTTTGTCTCAGAAGAACTGTCCGAACTTGGCTGAGTTGTTATAAACATCCACAGTTACAAATATGCTTAGTCAGTAAAGTACGCATTTATTCTCCCGAGATGCCGATGGAGCCGAGTTCCCGAAAGCATGAAGATTTTCTTCAGCTGGAAACATCATGTGTTGTGTAGTGATTATCAATCGGCAATACAAAGGTTGTAGTTGTATGTATATAAATTTCAATATATATTTGATAGATCCCGAATCAATGGACCCATTCCACAACTCATGAGCATTCAAACAACTTGAATTAAGATTTACGATACTAAAAGATTAACACCATGTTCAACAACATGAGAGCTATTGGTAAGACTCAAGCTTCCCAATAAGCTTTGTGCCGTACCGCGGGATTCAAATTCTCACCTTTCATTTTATGCGATAGATATTCGGGGCAATGTTGGCCCAGCAGAATCCCTTTATATGGCAGAAATTCCCAAACCGATACCCAAGGAGGGCCAGGCTCTGATAAAGATCAAGGCTTTTGGAATCAACCGCGCGGATATTATGCAGCGCGATGGCGAATATCCTGTCCCGCCTTGGGCCGGCAGAATTATGGGATTGGAGTTCTCCGGCATAATAGAGGAACTAGGAGAAAATAGTGAATCGTCCTTCAGTGTTGGCGACGAAGTGTTCGCGTTGGCGTATGGAGGTATGACAGCTTTCCCCAAAAGCAATCCGTGAAGGCAAGCTTGCTAAAGAAAGATCCCTCAGGAGCATATGCAGAGTACATTACCGTCTCAACCCATATGCTGATTCATAAGCCACCTCACCTGTCATGGGAAGAGGCTGCAGGAATTCCCGAAGTAAGTCTCGGCATAGTATTGAATGTGCAAGTACACCTAAGCGGATGCTAACCTGCACATAGACCTGGCTTACCGCAACAAAAGTGATGTATAAAATTGGAGAATTCACGCGTGGCAAATCTATTCTTTGGCATGCCGGGGCTTCGGGAGTCTCTATCAGCGGTATCCAACTTGCTCTCAGCGCAGGTGCTTCAGCTGTTTATGCAACGGCACGATCTGATGAAAAATGCGATTTCTGCGTCAACACCCTAGGCGCTACTGCGGCTTTCAACACCACTGACCCGAACTGGGTTGACCAGGTGATGAAGGCAACTAATGGCAAAGGCGTTGACATAATTGCGGATCTAATCGGACCCGATGTCTTTGCTGAAAACCTCAAGATTGCTGCTAAAGATGCAAGAGTTGTGCTGGTTGGATTAATGAGCGGGTTTACCTTTAAAAAAGAATTCGACATGGGACTTCTTGCTTTCAAAAGAGTCAGATACGAGGGCTCAACTTTACGAAGCCGAGATGAAGATTTTCAGAGGAAGCTGAGAGATACATTCGTATCAGAAGCCCTTCCACAGTTCCAATCTGGGCAGTTCAAAGTCCACATCGAAAAAGTCCTACCATGGGAACAAATAATTGATGCACACAAGCTGATGGAGACTAACAAGATTATGGGCAAAATTATATGTACGATCGACTAGGGGATTGTCCGGAAATTTGATGACAATGTATGCTTTTACTTCGATGTATAAGGCGATGCTGAGTACTTCATTTAGAACAACTTTTAGTACATTTTAGTCTTCAATAGTCTATTCGTAAATGCTATCGTATTGAAAAGGGAAACCAACTTCCTTTGGTTCGATGCATGGACTCGAAAGTTTTCCTCTAATAGCTCATTCGTTCTTATCCGGTTTCTTATCAAATCTATAATGTATTATGGCTATCTGTATACTCTCCGTCTATCTAATCTAAGTTCGTTCCGCCGATTTCGTCAACGATCTTCTCCCAGGTCGTCTCATGATGTGCTGCAATCAGTAGAAGTGGGGCTGGCCTAATTAGAAAAATGGAATCGATGATACGACGGGTCATAAATAGAGAAAGTGGAGGTATTATTAGGATCGATATTACTGTAGAAGCAAATGCCGCGGTCTTTAAAAAGAAGACCAGAAGTAACACGAGTATGGAGAACTGTTTAGCGTCTGCTCAACGAACAGTAGCCGCTTCTGTGATGTTGAAATGTGAGAAGCGAGGTCGTGTGCCATAAGAAGTTATTTCAAAATAGGTAAAAGGCTAACCTGTTAAGTAGGACAGCGCCTTCTACTAGCAAATACGATAGGGTTGGCAGTGGTATGGCCAGGCAGCCATGTCATTTTCCGTTACAAATATGCTGAGCTAAATAATCTGCATTTCGGGGGTTTCCTTCCCGTTAACTGTTCACGCATATCGCGTGCTTCGGTCAGAATGTTACATCGGAATAAAATATATGCCCTAAATTAGGTAGCCTCGTCCTTACTACGGAGTGTTCTACACTCGATTCACTGTGCAGACAGAGGACCACATAACGGAAGGAGACTGAGGGCTTTTGTCAATAACCTAGTATGACTCTTCAATTTTGAGAGGTTGTATACGTATTCCTATCCTGCAGGCTAGTATTTCATATTCAATGCGCATGTGCTGCTACTTGATAAGACGTAGCCTCGCCGATTCAACAACATAAAGATGCGAAGAAAGTGGCTGTTTTGAAGGAGTTCTAGATGGCTCGCGGCCAGTAGCGTGGGCAATTTGGCATCCACACATATTTGCGGAGTAAAATCGCGTCCTCGTAATCATATCAGGTCATTGGCGCACGCACTAGTAGCACTTCACATGTTTGGAATGCCGCCAAGATGCCTCAAACGCACCCTTTACCCGAATTTGCAGCTTTAGCATCCACTAGTACTTCCTGCTGAACTCATGGCATCAATCCTTGAAGCTGTGGCGTTAAATGTCGCGGCACGACACGAATGCTTGGCTAAGCACAGCGGCAATCTCCGACCGCCAGACTTGTCTAATCACCAAACTTCTCCGACAAACGCCACAGCCCCTTAGGCTGGAACGAACGAAGTTCGATTGCTGCTAGGCGAAGGCGAGGCACACCACCCCAAAGAAGGGCCGGGTCAGTTCGATAGTCGTCACGCCAGGGGCTGCCAAGTTATGTGCCTAGGTGCCGATGTACCCCAATGCGGTAGCCCACCCATTTTGTTTTCGTTATCGGTTCATGGCCAGCATACTCACTATACTGTAGGTATCTATACTGTACGTCAACTACTAGTGTGATGCATTGCTTTTATTAATGTTTGATTCAAGCATACGAAATAAGATCCTGTTTTGCTGCTTAAACCGTCATCATCTAGAGATATCATGACAAGGGCGTAACTTGTGCTTCCTTTCAATCGTTTGCATGTAACGCCCAAACATGGCTCTATACTCGTCGGCACCGCCAGAAAGGCCATTCAGCGATGCGAAACCCACATTGCTTGTAGCTTGGTGGATAACGCTTTTTTGCACCTGTCTCATCTTGCTACGCCTGTCAGGACGATATATTCGAGTGGAAAAGCTGTTCATCGAGGACAAGATCACGGCATTGGCATTGATACCATTATATCTCCGGATTGCGTGCACCCACGTCGTCCTTTTATATGGCACAAATAATATTCAGCTTGATGGTCTGGAGTTATCATCCAAGGAGATCAATCAGAGGATCATCGCAAGTAAGATTGTGCTTGCTGGAAGAATATTCTATGCTGCCACGTTAGTTCACCTCTGCTGGGTCTACTCTTTTGTTCTTCATGCTTTTGCAATGGGCACTAACCATTTTATTTTGCCTTTGGCTTTTACAGGATATGGACACTCAAATTCACCACGCTTGAATTTTTGAACCGGCTGGCTGGTGCGTCCTCAAAGAGACTCTACAGCCTCCTCATCAATGTTTTACGAGGCATTCTTGCGGCTTCCTTTGTGGCCATCATAGTGAGCACTCTGGCCGAATGCCAACCAATCTCTCACTACTGGCAAATCATTCCGGATCCAGGACCGCAGTGTCGTCAAGGTGTGGCACAGCTCCTCACCATGGGAGTTAGCAGCGCAGTCATCGATGCCATACTCATAATATTTCCGATTCCAATCATCATCTCTACTCGCATTCACACACGGCGCAAGATCTTGCTTGCTATGCTGTTCTGCTTTGGGTTTTTGACTGTCGGCATTACAATTTACAGAATACCAGAGACCATCAAACAGCATGGGGACCAGGTGGTTCGATCTATGTGGGCATCCATAGAACTGCTTGCAGCAACTACAGTAGCGAATCTGGTAGCTCTGGGCTCTTTTCTTAGAGATAGCGGAGCGAGAAAGAACAAATTTCGGCCAGATTACAACAGCAGCGGAACGACATCTCGGCCCCAAGGTCAAGGAACTGCTACAAGCGATTGGTATCAAGCTGAGAATGAACACCGGGTCAAGTCGGACATCAATGGATGGATGGATGATAAACAGGCCGATACCGCATTCCAATCCTCAGCTGCCAGTGGCAGTGGAGTTAGTCCAACGCAGAGCCATGACTCGCTCATCCAGCCGGACCACGGATCATCACAGGCTGCCGCGGTCTTGGGTCTTGAGACCCCTCGATCTCCAGAACCTCTGGTGCCTGCCGGAATGACTAGCCTCCGGCGCAGATAGATACTTCGCCAATCATACTACTGTATTCTTATTCTTAGCGTCCCTAAACCTTCAGGCCAGTTCCCAGCCACAATAGCCAATCGACTAATAGTCCGAATGCCCATCACACCCTCATATCTTACAACCCCTTTTCCTTGCCAGTTTTAGTTAACAGAAGGAGAAAAAAACACCCCGGTGGTTTGTAGTTCATGAATCTCCATGCAGCTCGCTTGCATACAGCCACAACCAGCTAGTGCATGTTGATTCCATTATGCCATAGAATCGGCGAGGAACCTGTCTAGGCATCCTTTTTTTGTGATTCCGTTAGTCATGTTTCAGATGCAATCCTGCCAAGTGACAATTGTTATCTCTCAACCCCAGGTTTGCGGAGACCAGTGTCCCCACACACTCAGCCACATGGCTATAGCAGATGCAGGTGTCGCTGTCATGAACGAACTACTCTTATCTAGCCCGTGCTAAAATAGCGTTGAGACCTCGGCTCCAGCCAAGCTGTGGCGGGAGGCTATTGATGTGTGTGAAACTCTTCAACGGCGCGGTGCATAGCACCATCAAATTGCATGATCACCGGACGGAGCCTTACCATTTCGAGGCAGTTTGAGTGCCAAGATGGCTTTGGAAAGGAAATGAGATTTCCACCCTAAAAGAGCACTACTAGTTGTGTCTCGTTCTGCCTGCGTTCTAATGGCCTTCCACAGACCTTCCATGAACGCCAACCCATGCATACTTAATTTTCCGAGCGAGCTGGATCAGCATTCTTTTCTTACGTGCATTTTGTAAACAGGTGTAGAAGGCCACCGCAAAAATGGCATCCAACGAGCCAGAAAAGCCAAAATCCGTCAAAAATGGAATCACATACACTCGGGATTTTGAGGTGGTCGAAATGAGCGATCTATCGGCAAGTAAATCGAGGAGTCAGTTTGCTGTAGCAACATCGTATTCCATCACAGCCAATACACGGCCCAGGACCTCTCGCAAGAAGTCAATGGGCCGCCGTTTTGTCGACAGTTTTCGCCGAGTACCTGGAGGTCTTCCCATGACTGGTAATCATGGGTATCACATCAACGATGATCTCCCTGAAATGGGCCAAACGGGTGGTCGCTTCTATGACCTCCGTGCTGCCAACGTCCGAACAGCCAATTCTGCACTTGCGCGCGATCTCAAGGGTCGGCATCTTCAAATGATTGCTATTGGAGGTTCTGTCGGTATGGCTACATCTCCAGAAGTCAACTGAAAGCAAAGATTGAAAGCCTAACAACCGAGTGCAGGAACCGGCCTGTTCGTAGCATCAGGTCTGGCGCTCTACCAAAGCGGCCCAGCTTCCCTATTGCTTGGTTACCTCGTCACTGGTGCTATACAGTTCTGTACTATGCAAAGTCTGGGAGAGTTGGTAACAACTTTTCCGGTTGCTGGTTCTTTTTCTGCATTTTCGAGTCGATTTCTGGATCCATCATGGGGTTTTGCCATGGGCTGGAAGTAAGTAAGAAGAAGAAATCCAACTGCATTAAATTATCCCATGCAATTTCACCTTGGAAGAGTGGATTCTGCAAAGCCTCATAACAGAATCATTGCTAATGTTAGCCTCATCAGTTATGTTTTACAATGGCTTGTTGTTCTGCCCGTCGAGATGATTTCCGGGGCTTTGGCTATACAATATTGGAATGCGTCTCTTAATCCATCCATATTCGTAACCATATTTCTACTAGCAATCGTCGTCATAAATCTTATGGGAATCAAAGGATATGGCGAGGCAGAATTTATATTTTCTACCGTCAAGGTAACTGCCATTGTGGGCTTCATGTAATATCTACCTGCTTCTTGATCCCCAGCATGACTTCACGGTTCTTCTGCTAATACCATGAGAAACCCCCTAGACTTCTTGGTATAGTCATCAATATCGGAGGGCCGCCCACCAGCGGTTATATTGGCGGTCAATATTGGACAAATCCCGGCCCAATACACAACGGCTTCAAAGGCTTCTGCAGCGTATTGGTGACGTCTTCGTTTTCGTTTACTGGTACCGAAATGGTCGGTCTGGCTGCGGCCGAAACAGCCAATCCAAGAAAATCCCTTCCAAGCGCTATCAAGCAGGTGTTCTGGAGAATCGCCGTCTTCTACATTGTATCCCTGCTGTTGGTGACTCTGCTGGTTCCATTCAATGAGCCACGTCTTCTTGGAGGCCAAAGTTCTGTCGATGCGGGTGCCAGCCCGTTCGTCATTGCCGTTGAGAAAGCCGGCTCAACAATTTTACCCAGCGTTATGAACGCCGTAATCCTGATTGCTGTATTGAGTGTGGGAAACTCTGCCATATTTGGATCTTCGAGAACACTGGCTTCCTTGGCTGAGCAGTCTCACGCGCCCAGTATATTTTCCTACGTTGATCGCAAAGGACGACCATTGGTCGCTATCCTTTTTGCCTCTTCTTTGGGACTTTTGGCATACCTAGTGAATGTCAAGATTCATTCAGAAATCTTTGATTGGCTCTTGGCCATTTGTGGGCTGTCCAGTCTTTTTACTTGGGGAAGCATTTGCCTTTGTCACATTCGTTTCCGGAGAGCTTGGGCAGCCGCAGGCCATTCACTTAACCAACTACCTTTCGTTTCACAGGCCGGGATCATAGGTTCTATCTTTGGATTTGTTGGAAATATATTGGTGCTGACTTCCCAGCTTTGGGTAGCCATTTCCCCGGTTCAAATTAACCCAACAGGTGGCCAGCCTGCCATCACTGCCAGAAATTTCTTTTTGAAGATGCTGGCTGTCCCGATCGTTATTTTGTTCTATGTCGGACATAAACTGTGGTTCAGGACAGAAATCGTTAGTATAGCAGCCATGGACATCCACACTGGGAGAAGCTTTTCGAGAGTGCAGTCCATCTCGACAGAGGAGGAGGATATGCGCCGAACATGGCCCTTGTGGAAGAGGATTTACAGGACACTATGTTGAGAACATTAACTGTGAGAAGGAACAAACTAAATTTTTGCACATAGTAGCTCATTATATACAGCGATACAACTGTTTATTCACTAGAAGTGTCTAGTCAATTTGCCATCCCTTCATTTTGCAGCCAGGAGCCCCATGATGACGATTGAGGATGAATCGAACCATAAAATGCATCTGCTGAATATTTAGAGCGCTATTTATCTAGCTGATTGTTTAACCTCGGCTACTCAGGAGCTCGCGTGGATGGGGCAATTTCTTCTCGCATGCCTAGTGTACGAGGGGCAAGTTTTTTTTTTTTTTTTTAGCTTTGATCCATCCGCCAAACTCCAGAACCATCATCAATCTACTCCATATACACAGCTTACATAGGGGAGGGGGCCGTTAAAGACATACCTTATAACTGCAACGCATATCTAATGCACTTCTTTCTCATCGCTGTACCCTACCCTAGAAGATTTTTACCTATGTGTACAGTAACCGTGCAACCAACAGAATTTGCGTTGGCGCGCTAAGCTGATACACTGTGATTCGCTGAATAGATGGACATAACACAGCGGAACTTTGTGTTACCGGCAGCAGTAGCCGATGCAATTACGTGTCCTATACTCTTGTACCTACCTACGTCCTATTGAGATGTATTTGATGTTGATTCCGACTGGATCCTGTCTCTTTCTATAAGATTTGCCGGCAACTTGATATAAACTCTGTCTTAATCGCGACGCCAATCCGTCTGTCTGCTGTGAACGGGATGAACTCCGCTAACGCTTCAGCGCGCGATCAGGCGCTCAGCTACTATTCTAACCCTCGTTTCAGCCAAGAGTTCATTCTTCCTGGAACTGCAAACCATGAAGCCATCACCATTAGCTATGCCGACTTAGGTTTCAAACCCGAATCTCCGACTGCTAATCGGAGCACGCCAACTGTGCTCTTCATCCCCGGCATGTTTGGGTCCAGATATATCGGAGCTGTTCTGGATCCAGTTGCGCGTAAATTTGGAGTGCGAGTTTTGGTGGTTGACAGGTGAAGAGAGGCTTTCTTTGCACCCTTTTCATTACTACTCAGTCTCTAACCTCGTTGGGTTAAATACACTAACGCCTTTCTTCCATTCACAGGCCGGGAATGGGCCGCTCAACGAGCGTGCCGTTTCCTCAGCGGCTTTCAACGTGGATTCGACTTGTGCCTCTTCTACTGGCACATCTGGATATTGAGCATGTTGCACTAGTTTCGCATTCTGCTGGAACGATGTACCTTCTTAACACGTTGCATCATTATCGAAATATATTACATCCAGAGAAGCCTTTTGTCGCATTGATGGGTAAGTAGAAGATGTCAGCTGGATTGTGGGCAACCTCATTAACAAAATCTCAGCGCCTTGGGTTGATCCCGCACATTCCAAAGCGACATTATGGCAGATGGCTCAATATGTTCCAACACAGGCCTTTGGCCTATGGAACCACATTACGCCTGCATTCGCTACCAGTGGAACTATTTTTACCAAAACTGCTAGCTTCTTCTCTTCGTCTATTGACAATGGTGACGGGCAAGAGCTCTCGTCCCGGAACAGGGATAGGCAAAAGCTAGCGGCTGCCTACGACTTGCCAAGAGATGTACAATTAGAACTGGAAACGATGCTTATGAAGAAAATATTCGGTGAAAACACCACTGGTGCGAATGATGAAGCCCTTCAGTGTTTGAGAAAAGGCAAGGGATGGTCGTGGGGAGAGTGTGATGACTACAGTGTCTTTGTGAAAGCACTTGTGAGCGCTGAGAGACAAAAAAAACAGTTGGATCCAAACTTTCAAGACAGCATGAAGCTGAAAATTAGAGCATATTTTGCCGAAAGCGATGTTATGATTGGCGTCGGTGGTCAGAAGTACGTTGAAGAATGTTGGGGGTGGCCAGAGAGCCTATTTGATGATGTGATTGACTTTAGCTCAGTTACAGTTGCTGGCACTGACCACGACAGTGTTATGCAATCCATTGAAGTGCTGGAAAAGCTTTTCGCGGATGCCGGGGGCAGTTCGATGCGATAGCTGGCATACTGATGCGAGAAGGGAGGGACTGGCAAAAGCTTGGCAATTATTCCAATGAAAACGTAATATTCCACAGTTGCAACAATTCTGCAATTCGCCTGCAGATCTTCTAAGTGTTATACAAATCTTTCAGACTTATCCCTTAAGATTGACTAAGAAGAGCCGAGTCTTGGAAACATTGCATTTAAGAGGAACCTTCGAATGGATAACAAGCGCTTCGAAATTTTGGGGATTTATTTTGGGTAGGGGAGAAGTGGCAAATATTGCTTTCAAGCACGTACTTTATAGCGCGCATGTTACAACATTTTGGTTTTTTTCCCTTCCGTACTATGCGCTAACCTTGGAACACTCACATGGCTTTGAGGTTGAACGTTTTGAACGTTTTGGTGATTGGAATTAGTGATGAGAAAGAACTCCCGCGAATCACTGCCAAGAGATAGCCATAATCGTCTAAAACATCCGGAATCGTCCTATGCAAAGATTATGAAGGTAAAGTCTTGTCTGGATCTTTCCCCCCGTCAGAAAGTCCAATGAATAACTATTTGAAAAACCATGGCTGCAATAATATAACGTCGGTAAAATATGAACATACTCCATTGGGGTATGCTAGTTAAGATCTGAAGCGGGGTTGTAGGGCCTTTTGAATATGAAAGACGGAGTTGAATCCGCTATCTATCCGGTCAATGCCGAGAATCACGGAAACTAAGTACCCCATCAACTAACATCGTAGTTATTACAGGGCATTGAAATTGAGATCGGAGTTTACAAGCTTACTAGATGTAGCAACTCCCCTGGAGCTCTAGGATTATCGACAGCCACACAGCCGATACCTGCCTAATACTGCGTGGACCTTTGTTAGCGTTGCAGGGTACAACCAATGAGCGGTGTTTACAATGCTCAAGGAACAACAGGCAAGGTGAGCTCCCTTGGTCAGCGCCCGCGGTCGACAGGGTTTCTGGTCTTGTAATAACTTCAGTAATACTCAGCTCCTCTCTAGATCTCGGATATTCGGCAGACGGACTTTTGATAGGGAGGGAAAGCTAGGGAGAGATAGTAATATCCTAGCAAATGTGCATACGGAGATTAGCTAGTGGCATAGGGGGAATCCAATGAGCACGATGACATGACAGATAGTATGGGTCTTTGTTGATAGAGTATAAAAAGCATGGCGACTTGATCAAGAAAGCTTGAACTGTTGTCAAGGCTTGCCAAGACGGTCCTTCGCAAACCAAGTTCATAAGATTCACATCAAATCTATTGAGCAACATGGGCCATCCGCTTAGGGTTTTGCTGGCTCTTGCAGCGGGAATTGCATTCACAGACTCGTTTGTGTATGGATTGCCGTCCAGCAACTATGTGCTCCACGAAACGAGGAATCCGACTGGAACCAGCCAGGTCAATAGCCATCGACAATGGAAACGTGGCGATCGCCTCGACCGAGATGCGATAATTCCACTTCGAATTGGCTTAGTGCAAAGTAACATGCACCTTGGGTATGATAAGCTGATGGAAGTCTCTGATCCATCATCCGAAAACTTTGGCAAACATCTTAGCGAGGATGAAGTTCATGAGTTGTTTGCCCCCACTCATGAGACTTTTGACGCTGTTCATTCTTGGCTGGTTGAGTCTGGCATTAACGCAACAGACATCCGCCAGTACGTCAATAAAGGATGGCTCGCTATCGACCTACCTGTTTCTCATATCGAGGATTTATTCCTAACACAGTATCACGAGCATGAGCGGGAAGGTGTGATCAAGATTGGATGCGACCAATATCATGTTCCTAAGCATCTCGCAAAACACATCGACTATATTGTGCCTGGCGTCAAGTTATCGCCACCCATGGTGAAACGTTCCCTAGAAAGGCGTACCGACACTAGCTCCCATAACTATCGAAAGGGCTGGAAGCCGAAGCAAATGCCGCCGAGTCTGTTATCATTGTCTAAAAAGCCTCCCCCAAGCTCCAAACTCCCGGCCGATTTACAGGACTGTGCGCGGAACTTCACTGCTATCTGTTACCGTGCGCTGTACCAGATCCCAGCAACCAGCATCCCAGTTCCGGGACATGAGCCGGCAGTTTATGAGTCCGGCGACACATTCTCTCAGGAAGATATTGACTCATATTTCCACAAATACGCCCCTTACATCGCCAATGGCACGCATCCCAAAGTCTTATCAATTGATGGTGGTGAAGCACCTGTGCCCGCTGATTCCGAGTTTAACACCGGCGAGTCTGACATTGATATCGATATTATTCAGACTTTGATCTGGCCGCAATCCATGGTCTTATACCAAGTGGATGACCGACTGTACACCACCGCCAACAATTATTCGGGCTTCTTGAACAACTTTTTGGATGCTCTAGATGGATCTTACTGCCATTACTCAGCATATGGCATCTCAGGAGATAGCCCGGGGATTGACCCCTCGTATCCTGATACCCGCCCAGGTGGGTACACTGGTAAACGTCTGTGTGGCGCTTACAAGCCGAATAAAGTCATTTCCATCTCGTATGGTGAGGGAGAGATTGATGTGCCCAAGAACTACTTTCTCCGACAGTGCAATGAGTGGCTCAAATTGGGCCTTCAAGGAACTACAGTTCTAGTGTCTTCCGGAGATTACGGCGCCGCCATGCCGTCTGGCGAGGACTCAGCGAGCGGTTGCCTGTCTGGGTCAGGTCAAAATCAGACCATCTACAACCCTGGAAACCCTGTTTCGTGCCCATACCTCACTGCCGTTGGTGCTACCCAACTTGAGCCTGGTACAACTGTCCTTGATGCAGAGGGCGCCATGCAGACGAACCTTGGCCCCGGAGCCGAACTTTTCGCCTCTGGAGGCGGTTTCTCAAATTATTTCCCCGTGCCAGACTACCAGAAGGCAGCAGTCAAAAAATACTTTGCCAAGCACGACCCGGGCCACCCTTACTATGTTGCGAATAGCGACGCGAGCAACATCGGAGAGAACGGAGGAATCTACAACCGCGCTGGTAGAGGTATTCCCGATATCTCAGCCAATGGTGCCAATTTCCGCGCGTTCAATAACCTGAGGGACGGCCACTGGTTCGGAACAAGTTTGGCAGCACCTCTTTGGGCCTCTGTCATTACCCTTATTAACCAAGAGCGCGCCAAAGTCGGCAAGAATTCCGTTGGGTTTATTAACCCGGTTTTGTATGCCAACACCGACGCCCTCACTGATATCAAGCAAGGGTCCAACCCGAATTGCGGAACCAGTGGCTTTACAGCAGTTGAAGGCTGGGATCCAGTTACTGGATTGGGCACTCCCAAGTATCCGAACTTGCTGAAACTGTGGATGAAGCTTCCATAGATATATTGTCTTCTGAGGTAGAAATGTGAACTATTTATATAGTAACCAGTATTGAGAGCAGGAGATGAAGTCATGTTTAATATTTCCAATGCCTATTCCAATGTTTTGTGAATCTTGTCGGATAATTTTGTAAGTTCTATTTAATTAAATTGAATTTCATTTTTTGGTCAAAAAAATATGTCCACGGCCCTCTTAACTCTCTAGCTAGAGGGCTCTCGGTGCATAAGTGTAACAAACGGCCTTGCTTATGGTATGTCACAGCAGTGATTCGATGGTTCATAATTACCTCTGGGTAAACTGTCATGAGCTGGCCCGGCAACTATCCATCTCACCATATGAATCCACATAATCAAGCCTTGGCATTGCCTAGCATCATTCAGTCGAGATCCCCCAAACTTGGCTCATCCTCTAGGACTTGTTTCCTCCGTTTCTCCCGTCCATGTGCATACTTTATCCAAAATGCCATTGTTATCATTCCAACAGCAATTCCAATAGATGTTGGATACCCTTTTGGATACTCCGGAGCCTCGACTTGCTGCCAGATCAGTAGTGGCAGCCATGCTTGGACCACATAAGCCATTTCATTCATTGATCCTGTTACCAGTGCTCGCTCTTCATTATCATCGGTGCAAATTTCATGGGCCCAAGCAAATGTTAGGCCACTGATACCTCCACCAAATCCAGCCAAAAAGAAGCAGGCCCACTTCCAACCAACAGGAATGTTCCATACCGTAAGACTGACATTAGTAATTATGCTTATGATACCTGCAAAGACGATTGGTGGCCAGCGTTCTCCTCTGAATACCGTATCCGAAGTCCATGCATAGATTAATGTAGTAACAACTGTAATAGCCGTGGTGATTGTGGGGTATGTATTGATCTGCGTAACGCTGTATCCTTCCTTCTTGAGCCATAGTTGAAAGGCAGGCTGGGAAGCGGCACCATTTCCATTATTGAAGAAGATATATAGCAATGTGAGTAAATAGATATGCCAACTGGAAAATATCTTCTTCAATTTCGCCTTGGTGAATGGGGCACGGTTTGCTCTGCCCTCAAGCTGCATTCTTTTCTGGGCAATCGCAATGTCATCCGTCGTAAAATACCATGCTCGTGTAATCTCAGGGACGTCGGGTATCATAAAGTATCCGGCCAGAGCAATTGGTAGAGAGATGACTGTGTTGATGATGAATAGCCATTGCCAGCCTTTGAATCCATCCTTACCTCCAAGATGATAGACGGCAGCCATAAGATAACCTGAGAACATTGTACCAATAGCGCTACTGGTGTGAAAGATGCAAGACCTTTTGGCCAATTCATCTTTACGATACCACGATCCAATGATGTATTGCATCCCAGGGTAAAAAGTACTTTCAGCAAGTCCAATGAAGAATCGCAACACGTAAATCTGTTGCGCATTGTTGCATTTGACCATGAGAATTGTTAACACGGACCAGGCGACTTCGCATGTTGGAATCCATATTGATGGTCTAATACGAGTCAATAAGATATTACTGCCAGAAAATAGAATGTTAGCAGAAAGTTCGTTGAATTAGTAGGGATGGAAAAAAAGATTTTGTTTCTCGTACCTTGGAATCTGCCCAATGACGTATCCTACCGTCCAGCACGTTTGCATGTAATTCAACTGATTGCCGAATAAGTTGAGGTCTTCCTTCATGCCAGAAACGAAAGCATTATTGATGTTGACTTGGTCTAGATACTTGATAAAATATCCCAACGAAGCGAATGAAAGAAGCACTGCATCGAGTTTGAACAGAAACCGCCTCTCTTCTGGTGACTTGTCCAAAGTATCCCATAGGTATGAGACCCATCTTCTCTTTGCCTGTGTATGGATGACTTCGGGAGAAAGTGAGTCTGTTCTATCGACATTGACAGAGCTCAACGATTTGCTGTCTGGATTGTGGTCGGGAGAGGTCACTGCTCGATCAGTAGTAGGCATGTCGTCCCACCTAGTGTTTATGGAAACAAAGCAATGTCCTCACAGAAATGAACCCTTTTTTATTTGACATAGGATATTTCTTCCAATAATTATTATCGATTTTGAAATTATAATGCCCATATATCATTCATTTAGCGGTTTTGTTATCATGCGCATTGCGTGCTAAGAGGGGTATTTGAGCACATAACATGGTCTTTGCTGGCTCAGTGTTTCTCTTTGGTCCGAACGGCGATAAGAATTATAGCAAGATAAGAGCTACATTTTGGGACTCGCCAAATCCGTTCAGTTATGGGACAGATGACATATCCATAGTGGAAATGCCAGCTTTGCGATGTTTCGTCTTTTTTGTGCTTTTGAATTGGTCAGGTGGTTGGTGATATTGCAATAGAGTTGCATCATCACGCCACCACCCCTTAACACAATCCCTGGCAGATATCGGCATCTAGATCGCATAATCACGGTATTCGCTATCGACATTTGTTGTTGATCTGCACCTGCACATATGACAACATTCGTCTGCTCTGCGGGGAAATATGACCGGTCACATCAACTCAGTTGCAGTAATGTCGCCATATCCGAAGTAGCTTGGGCGATTGTATAACCTCGCTGAAATCTCTATAGTTTACGTGAATTGATGAATCACTGATATCAGAAAAGTCAGCTAATGCGGAGAACAAAATGATATCAACTCTGTCTTACTTATCGTAACACGCAGGCCCCCCTGAATTAGGCCTCTACTTATATAACTTCATTCTCACTCTACACCAAGCATTCATTACAATTGATCCAGGGCCTCACAGCCAATAACTGACTTTTTTTTTTTTTTTATAAAAAAAAAAAATCCCCCTCCTACCACCCAACATGGCTCCTGCCCCCATCGATCCCGCCATCACAGATGTTGTACAGCCAAAGAAAGATACTTTGCCAATCCCTGGCCCTGCTCGGGAACGGTTGTTGAAAGCAGGCATCGATCTGTCCAATGGCTACCCCTACAGACCATCTAGACCTCTGTATCTTCAGGATGTTTATAAAATTAGAAGCGCAGATAGGAAGCACGTTGATGCTGGGGCCAGGGCGGATAAATCTAAGAAGAATTTATTTGCTGCCGCGACTAAAATCACTGACTTGACAACCAATATTGGTACCGAAATCGAGGGTCTTCAGCTAAAGGATCTCACTCCCGAGCAACGAGATGAACTTGCTTTGCTGATTGCCGAGAGAAGTGTTGTCTTCTTTCGTAATCAGGACATTTCACCTCAACAGCAGAAAGAGTTGGGAGAATGGTATGGGGATGTTGAAATTCATGTTAGTATGACTGCAAAACTTTACGCCATGCTATTTCCTAATATTTTTTCCAGCCCCAAGTACCACAAGTTCCAGGAGTCGCAGGTGTGACTGTGATCTGGCCCGACCTTCTCGCTACGGAGCGACCAGCGAATTTCCGAAATCCTGGGGGAGCATCCCGCTGGCACACAGACCTTGTACACGAACATCAACCCGCAGGTATCACTCACTTACACAATGACACGGTACCACCAATTGGAGGAGACACGTTATGGGCCAGCGGATATGGAGCATACGAGAAGCTTTCTCCAAATTTCCGCAAGATTATCGATGGGAAATACGCTGTTTATCGATCTGCTCATCCATACCTGGACCGAGAAAATCCTGAAGCTGGACCCAAATACGTTGAACGCACTCACCCATTGGTGCGAGTTCATCCAGCGACAGGATGGAAGGCTCTCTGGGTGAACCGCTCGATGACTGAACGTATTGTCGGTCTCGATAAAGCGGAAAGTGATGTGATTCTTAACTATTTGTTCGATGTGTATGAGAAAAACGTCGATATCCAGCTTCGATGGAAGTGGACCCCAGGCACTTCAGTGTTGTGGGACAATCGGTGAGATTGCACTCAATCATATTGTGTCATGAAGCATACATCAAGGATTAGAAGCTAATAATCAAGGGCAGAATTACTATCCACAATGCCAGCTGGGATTACGCTGGCAAGCATCCTAGACATGGAACGCGGGTGACATCGCTCGCTGAGAAGCCATTCTTCGACCCCAACGCGCCAACGAGGCGACAAGCACTTGGGCTTCTAGACGAGAGCGAAAAGCGGGAACTTGACTTGGATTCGATCTCTGGCAACCTGAATGATTTCTCTTTGTAAATTTTAATCAGGCAGATATAGTTCATCTGATAAAAAAGATGGCCAAGGAGCTTGACACCTTACCAGTAGCTTTCCCTATAAATAAGCCTTTTTGTCAAAATTTGTTCATTATTAGGTCAGTTGGCCCTTGTTTTGCATCAGAGGATTCGGTGAATGGTGTTGGCACAATCAAATAGTGCTATATCGTTGGGTAATGCGTATCGCTTGCCAATAGGAAGCAAAAGCAGCACGCCTCCTGCTGGTGAGCTATCTTGTTGAACGCTTTGAGCAATTTACCAACAAAGGTTACAATACGCCTATTGGAAATATAGTGAGATATTTAACTACGGACATGAAATATACTCTAATGTTTTTCCAGCATTTTTAACAACATCAAGGGTCATTTATGACTGTCTAGGAAAGCAGTTTTGTATGTTTAATGGTTCGTGCGCGCCTTCACTCGTCCTCTACATGCGGAAACTAAGCTCCTTTCCACGAGTCTACGTCTCGATGTGTACAACCGCATGAATAGAGATACATGGTACCATGGTGGATCTCGTTCGTGGGTGGGGAGGCATTAGGAATTGCAAGTGTGTGTACAGATTTTATCGCGATACTGGCATAGCTGAGATATGAGATCTACAGTCAATGTTTCTCCAGCTCATGTAGGGTTTTTCCATAAACCACTTGCCCTAATGCGGCAGTTCTGTCTACCTACAGTAAATAAAGATATGTCTTGCCTGTTATATTGTTCAAGCCTCAAGTACACCTCTATATCGCAGTTTTCCGCTCTCCAACCTCTCGAACGCATTTGTGATTCCCTCCACTGTCATTGGAAATTGCTCAATAGTAGGCTTGATGTTGTGTTTCACTACAAATTGGAGCATTGTCTTGACTTCCTCTGGCGTGGAAGAGCAACTACCGTGGATTGATAGCTCCTTTCCGATCATTGCCATGTAAGGAAATTCTAGATTGCCCTCTGAAATGGTGAGTGGGTATATGTGCCCGAATGGTGCCATCAAGTCCGTGTACCTAATCAGAGTGTAAGCTCATAAGATCTTTGCTGTGGCGGCGGGGAGGGTTGTAAAACTCACAGCTTCCAGTCAGGGACAGCACTGGTAGTAACTAACAGATGATTAATCTTCTTTGGGACATCTGTAGCTTTCAAATCTGAAGTGCTGTAGAATTCAGTAGCGCCAAACTTGAGGGCTTCTTGTTTCTTGTTGTCTGAGCTAGAGAATACCACAACGGTGCAACCCCAAGCAGCTGCAAATTGAATGGCAAGATGCCCTAGGCCGCCGATGCCGACAATACCAACAATATCGGATGGTTTAATACCCTGCCGCAAGAATGGGATGAAGACGGTCTGCCCAGCGCACATGAATGGACCCGCGTTGACACTGAGCATCTCATCAGGAATTATTGCCAGCCGAGTTTCTGGCCACACGCTGTAGGTTGCGAAGGACCCTTGATCAAAATTGGAGAAACCGAATCCGCGAACACCCTCAATGCAGTGCCAATTATGACCTGTCAAGCAATATTGACACTTTTTGCATCCATCCTTCACGAACCCGAAGCCAACTCGGTCGCCGCTATAACGATTGGATCAATAATGAGACAGAGGAACAGAGGGTATAACTTACACCTTTACAAGACTAACTCCATCGCCTACGGCTTGAACAATGCCAATTCCCTCATGTCCCAAAACAATATCAGCGTTAAGGTAGTGTGCATCAGTACCGCATACTCCAGAATGAGTATTTTTTATCAGAACCTGGTTACTGAGCAAGGCCGGAACCGTTGTCTGGCTTTCGATGATTTTCTTGGTAGGAGACCCTTTGAAGACTGTAAACGTGGTAGACATTGCTCGTTTGAGTGTCAGAAGCAAGATGAAGACTAATTGATATAGATAGACAAGAAGTTCGCATCTACGATACTTTTATATCTCCTGACTGTCTCCAATAGCCTAGTAACGCCGGACAATGTAGCCAGATCCAGGCATTGGTGGAGAGATGCCAAGCGCAATGAACCCCACCACTTTCTTTTATTCCATTAGCTATTCAAGAGAACTCTCCGATTGGAATGAAACCCATCTGAAATCCAGAGGTGTTCTGACAGCTTACCAATATGCTAACAAGATGCTGGAACCTTTTGCTTCTGCATGGCCTGTAAGCCGGAAACGCCCCACCAGCTTCTCGAAGAAGCTAGGTTTCGATTCAAGGGTGGATAATGAGGCTAGTTTACCAAGCAGTGGAAGCCAATAAGTAAGTTTTTATTAAAGGAGTCGCTGAGGCCAATGTTATTGAGAATGATTGACCGGCCATCATAAAGGCTACAGCTATTAAAAAGATCAGATTTATAAGACTCCCAGCACCCCAACTTCGCCTAATAAGACGAACTTCCACTTTTTGGCACTCATAGGGCCATTCTCAACACAAGATTGCAGAGTTTATGCAGGGCAGATGCAATGACATCTCTTCAATCATCCAATAGAATGGCTGCGGCGATATGTTATTGGGGGCATCAATTGCCGCTTGAACTTTTTCCCAAGAAAGCCGACTGTCACTTCCACATGCCTTTTCCAAGCACAGCCTAAACCACGTTCCTTGGAAATTCTCTCTCCCTGAAGCAACAACTCCGACTAAAAGCACCCAAACCAGTGCGATCGGGTGGCTGGCAAAGATGTCGCCTCTGGAACTAAATGCAGAAATGATTAACTGCTTCAATTGGTCAACCAAATTTGTTATGATGCGAGAAGATCGAATTGCCCCTCTCAACACCGTATGAGAATAAAGCAATGCGGCTCTGGCCACGAGAGCCAGAACACTGGAGTCATTGGCACCGTGAACATGTTTTAGTATCGAACGATCCGACGCCAAGAGACGAAATCCAAGAGTGACTCTTCTATCTGGTGTCATATTATCTTTAGGGGTGCCAATCAATTCTTTAGCAATTAAGCGCAGCTCGTGAACTATTGTTAGTTTATGAGGTTGGATGTGGAATTTTTGTGAATCTGGCAAAAGAACCTGGGGGTGAACAAATTCTGAAGAGGAACTGGTTTCGTCAAATGATAGCCCCTTGTTCGACAACTGTGAGTGGCAGCTATCCGTCCTAACTCAAGTTAGATGCGTCTTACAATTAGGATGCAGGAAATGTTACCATCTAACAATTCGAGCCGCAAGACCTTCAAATCCCAGATGAAGCACACCCTTACGGCCTCTAATAAGAGCTTTTAGTCCCTGAAAATGGATCTCGGCTTCATTCAAATCGCCATACATAAGCTGATTAGTTAGCCTCTATAATACCATGCAATTGAGAGGGCGACGTACGTTGATATTAGCTAAGCAGGCCACAGTGGCTATCACCGCATCGCTAATTATCTCGATGTCGCTATGCACTTCGCTATTGGGTGGCTGCAAATGCAAAGCTAATGTTTGTATTGCAGCGGCCTTCAGCCTAAGCAAATGTTGTGCAGACTGATATTTTGGAGGGAGGGCACTATAATTTATGGACGCCCAGTGATACAGAGTGGTAATAAAAAGGGCATTGTTCTTGATGGCGTATTTCAGCCATCCAGTCTCGGCCGTGACAGTACACAAAGTTTTCGACTTGTAATTCAGGACTAGGAACGTTCAGCTGCGTTGCGTGTTGAGCAACCTCGGGCACGTGCTTGGCTTACAATGGTGTAAGAGGAATCTTGTTTGGGCATTAATTTCTACAGAGAGGCCCGATAGTCGAAGCATGTCGTCTATTCCGGTAAGGGATCGAAAATCATTGTTGCCAGGGTGGTACTCTGACGATGCAGTAGGATCACTGGGAACTTATGTTAAAATCAAAGACGCACATGCAGTTTAAGGGATGAAGAGAGGAAACTTGCCGTTCTGTCATATCTCTATCACTGTCTCTGTGCTCTTGCCTGAGTGCCCGCCTCTGCATCACCACTCTGTCCATAACGTGCATTTTGATCAGAGATTTGGTCACTGGTTTATGTGAACCAGTCCCCTTCTCTTGTATAAATACAAAATCTCCGGTATTCATGGTTTGCAGCGTTTTCCCTTCTTTTTCTTTTAGCAGTTGGGTTCGAATATGTGGGTATTGACTGTAGTAAAGGGCAGGCGTATATCACCATGAGTATAACTGTATAGGTTTGACGACGAGTGACTTTGAAATGGGGACTGGAAGAAAGAGCTGCAGAGCCTCGTGCTTAATAATCAGAAGAGATGTGCCACGCGCGAAGTTCAAACTGAAATATATCATAAAAAGTGTAGTTATGTTAATATTCTCACCCTTACAAAGCAGTAGAGCTCACTGGTGAAGAGGTCATAATCCAAGCCTCTACCTAGAGTATGTGTGGGACCGGACATTTCGGAGTTCTGAAGGCTCTATGATTCATAACTAAGTTTAATAATCATACACCAGTCTAACGCGATAAAGAGAGTGGTGGGGCGACTGAGTAACGATTTCTTAGCGGGCTTACGGAGTACTTAATTCATAAAAAGTTAATTGCCTGGCTAAACTCAAAAAGCTGAAGTCAGATATAATGTATATATCATTAGCATCTAATATCCTACGTGCGCAATATGAAGTATATTACACTCTTCAGGCTGTAAAAGTCTTGAGATTATACCACGATACTAACTATGATTGACATCAGTATCAAATGATAAGATTGCGGACGTAGAGAAAAAAGTTTACCAGGACAAGCAACGCTCATATTGAACGCCTGCCTTCTCAAGCATTGTCCTGAACTTGAGACAGAGCCGGGACCATTGGATTGGAAGCCCCTGAGAAAATTCTCTGGTGTTTAACATATTAGAAAACCAATGGGCGACTCCGTGCAGAAATACACTTACGAGAAAGTAAATTGTTAACATCATGTGTATTACTGGCTAATACAAGTCGTTCTACCCTATAACCCAATCTTTCTAAATAGGCAACATCACATAGAATGAAAAGGAAGAATAAGAGAGTAAAGTAACGAAAAAGGGACTTTCTGCACTAATAGTGCACCTTGAATACTTTTTATTCAGTACCATAGTTGGCGACAGAACCGTACGATAATCTCCAGCGGAGAAGTGATTTGTATATCTAGGTACTTTGGGAGGTATGTTTTCTCATAGGTGATGATGTCTATGCCATCGAAAGCATCTTCGTTCTGGGGGAACCACATCCCCAACTAGGTGACTAAATACGAGCCCGTACAGGTACTCATACGTATCGCTAATTGCTACACAGTGGAGGCTTGTGGGATGCTCCTACGTAAAATCCAGGTACTTCGCTGGCCTGCGGAACTCGTCTGTCTGCCCCCGTCGCAATTTTTGGGCGCTGTTGTCCGCTTAGTCATCATAAGAGACTAAACCATAAACGGGGTAATAAGATGAGGAATCATCTGGCATTGTTTATGTCTTGACCGTGAATTTCAGCATGCTGAATGGGAGCTCGCGTTGGGATGAGTCACCAAAGTTTGCCCCAAGACTTTGTTTCCCTCGGATAAGGAATAAATAGAGCCTTCACCGCGTGTTTATAGCTGGTTTATGTACGGCTGATGACGAAGATATACGTCAATCCTTTCTAAACGAAGGTCACAATGACGAGGGCGTCGTTCAGTGTCTCAACCACCGCAGCTCAGTCGGTCACTCAATTTCAAGAAAAAGTCTACGTCCTATTGCTTCAAATCCCCAAAGGCCGTGTCACCACTTACGGCGCTATCGCTCGCGCGCTCAAAACCTCTCCCCGAGCTGTTGGCAACGCTCTGCGCAATAACCCGTTTGCGCCCGACGTCCCTTGCCATAGGTGTGTGGGCAGCACCGGATTCATAACGGGGTTTGATGGTGAGAGCATTGATAAGAAGAACTTCAAAAGATCGAGGGATGGACAGGTCCAGGGGGCTGCACACCAGAGTAAGCCTCGCGGGCCAAAGATATCACCGGTGCAGCCTGCTGGCACTAAGCTTAGTCTAAAGATACAAATATTGAATGACGAGGGAGTTCAAATCGATAGCAAGGGCATGGTTATGAATCGAAAAAAAGTGCTTTGGGACGGACCGTGGAATATGGATGCCATTCAAGATGACATCAAATCAGCGTGTTAAAGAAAGCAACAGGCCATGCATAGCTTTTAATTCAACTATAATATAGGTATTGACTCTATACACCGTTGTGTTTATGGCTTTAGCCAACTAGAATGATACTATATATGGACACAACGATGAACAAGTGAAGATCTTCAATTTTAAATCCCGTTAGTCGTAAAGAACCTGGCTGTTTCTAAAGAACACCTTCTTCGGACTGTTCGCTTACTTGGCTATTAGTTGTTTGAATGAGGCTATCGACTTTATCAATCTCCATACCACCGCAGATACAGACGTTCGCCACTCTTAGGCTGATCGGAGAGAATGACAATACGGCGCGTGGGTTCGAAGCGGAGACTAAGCCGGTTAGAGGAAAGTAGCCTTTCATCCGCAAGACTGAATGCAAGCTATTCGCTGCTCCATGCTCAGGGCTCTGTGAGGGAAAGCGATAAAAATACTAGTTCGAGCAATCAAATCGACCTCTCGCATGTATTTTTACGATTTGCCGAAAGTAGCGGCTGAATAATGGCCTGATATCTCGGACAGTTTAACTCATCGGTCGAGCCAACCCAGGATATATATCATGCTGCCCTCTCAGCATATATAAGCAAGCCAACGACACTGAAATAAAGCATTACCAAAACACCAGGAGATGAGATCTGCCTCTAGACATATACTGCGTATCAACTACAAACATTTCATCACAATCCATTTATTCTCTATTCTTCCTCAACTTTTGATATGGCATCAACCACTACTTCCAAGTTTGTTAGAGTCTGCGAGGACGTTGAGATCGAGCTCTCGCTGACGGTACCGGCCGGCGGCATTGATGAGAAGACGCCGTCTCTGATCTTCCTCCACATTTGGGGTGGCTCTTCAAAGACATTTGGATCGGTCATTGAGATTTTGTCACCGTATTATCCAACCATTGGCGTCAGCCTTCGCGGCTGGGGTGCATCTACGGGACCAGATGAGCCTACTGCCTACAAGGTTACCGATTTCGCGTCCGATGTGGAGTTTGTCATCAGGGAATTAAACCTAAAATCTGTAGTACTTGTTGGCCACTCAATGGGAGGAAAAATATCAATGGCAATCGCTGGACGGCATCTTCTACCTGCGGGTGTATTAAGAGGCCTAGCTCTTGTCGGGCCTGCCCCCTCCGGTCCTGTTCAATTACCAGATCCCAGCATGAAAGACGCCCAAGTACATGCATTTGACAACATGGACAATGCAGAAGGTGTCATTCGCACTGTCCTCTCAGCGCCGGGAAACCTGGCGGACGAGGTCATAAAGGCAGTAGCCGAAGACATGGTCCGTGGGAGCAGGTGGGCCAAATATTCGTGGCCAGCGTATGGCATGGAAGACGATATTACCCATCTCTTTGAACATATTGATGTCCCTGTTGTGGTACTTGCTGGAGAAAAGGACATGTTGGAGCCTGTTGGGAGAATGAGGACCGATATCCGGGACAAGATTAATAATATGCCACATGGCAGGGCAAATCTGGTTGTTGTAGAGGGCTCAGGCCATTTGATCCCAGTTGAAAAGCCCAAAGAGGTAGCAGATGCTATTAAACAATTCCTTCAAATGCTCTGATGATAAGCTTTGAATGTTATTATATATTTAGCACAGCCAGTCGTGTCTTCACCTAGAGAGTTGAAGAACACGATCTCTATTGGATCTCAAAGTACCAGCGGCCAAGAACGTAACTTCTAGAATTACAGTCTACTGTGATGTTAACTAGGTATAAAGAGGACTTGAGAAGTCTAAGTAGAGATTTACAGATCTTTGTGTTTTCTTACCTAGGTAGCGTCCGTGATTCAATCTATGTGTACATCTTCACTCTTCTATAGCATCTCAACTCTCAAAAAAATATTACCGACTCTGCTCTAGTTAATATATTTTCCCTTGCATACGATGTGAGTATAATATTATGTTTGAGAAAAAAAGACCTATTCCCATTACAACCATCGTGTGGTAGGTCTCCTATGGCAGAGTTGCCAGTCGTACACTGGCCTTGAAAACCTGGATGAGTACCTTAATTATAACCGTCCATATTGTAAACCATATTGTAAATGATAGGGGGCACCAACGTGGGAAGTATCAGTACCCAGGCATACAGCGGTCAATCCGGCTACAAGAGTCTACAGCAGCTATGTAATTGTAATAGGCTGGGCCAATTGAACATACATTTCAACAAATAAAACCCACTCTATGTCTGAGGGTTAGACCGCGTATCGCAGATATCCTGAAGCCCACCTGCTGCCCCGGCTGGATGAACTAAGCTCTCTTGCCTCCATTCCCTCCAGATACCCCCGGCCAATTGTTTCTCCCTTTGTTATTTCTTTTGTAGGCATTCTTGTCAGCACAAAGGATCGAGGCTCTGCTCAATGCTATGCTCTTTGCTGCTGATATTCTAGTCGGCATCAATAGTGGTATGATACTGTAAGATTATAATCCAGATATCATGTCGCCATCAATTGCATACTAACACTGGGGCTCCAAATACTGTCCGAGTTCACAAGGATGACAGTTGTTTGAAACATATGCAAATAAAAGAACAATTTTTAGCTGCATGGGAGTACAGCTTCTATTCTTCAGATAGCTATATATTCTCACTTCTGTTTTGGTAGCCACAGCGCAATTTCACGACCGATGGTATGTGGATAATCCTCCTGGAAATAATGGAGACCATGCCCGAGATACACAATTTTTGTGTTTGGTAGCTTCTTGATAAGATTCTCCACAGTCTCCTTTGTAATAATAACCGCGGGTTCAGCCCAAAAGCAGAGCTTCTGAATATCAGTATACAATAGCCAATCCACATATTTATTGACCTTTTCCCACACATCAGCAGGATGTCCTTCGATCGGAATCTCATTGGGAAACCGCCAGAGTGGTTCACGTAATTCCAACTGAAGGAAAGGGCGCCGATACTGCCTCATCTCTTCCTCAGATAGCTGACGTAAAACGTTAAGAGGCAAAACTTTTTCAATGAGCACATTTTGGTTGATAAGCAGCTCCCGCCCAAGTTTGGGATCCCGAAATGGTTTGAAGTTATCGGCGACAGCTGGTGGAAACACATCCCAATCTGGTGCGGGAAGCACGAACTCAAAAAAAGTGAGACCGATAACACGATCCTCATGGCGGCGTGCCCAGTCAAAGCCAAGTGCTGAACCCCAATCATGGACAACAAGGATAACATTTTCGGTAGGTAGTACGGCATCAAGAAAGGCATCCAAGTATCGCTGGTGGTCCGCAACTCTGTATTCAAGCCCAGCAATCTTATCTGAGTCACCAAATCCTATCAGGTCTGGTGCCACGCAGCGACTCTCGCCAGAGACGTGTGGGATGATGTTGCGCCACACATAGGACGACGTCGGATTACCGTGCAAGAAGATGGTGGCAGACCCTTCAGAGGAACCAATATCAACATAAGCAATTTGACTGCCAAGGATCTCTATCTTGCGTTTCTCGAAAGGGAACTCGGCGGAAACTAGCTGCGAAGAATCATACGCCATCATTAAGGATCTGGCTGTTTCCTTGTAATGGTGCTGTGAATATTGGAGGTAGGTGGTGTTTATGGATAAGATTCAACGAGCTTGAAGAACTGGAAGCGGTGGTGATGGTGCATATGCGTTGCCTCAGAACGGAATTAAGTCAAAGTTGATATTGATATAGATGAGCGGATTTTGGGACATATATAAGATACTACGCAATCAAGCTTCGCAACCTTTCGTTTTGTATCTACGCGAATGGAGGAAATATTTTCGTCCTTAATTCGTAAAAGTCCCTTACCTGCTTTGATCGGTGTCGGAGACTAAAACCAACCTGTAATTAGTGACCAACTAGGCAGGAGCAATAACAATAAATTGCTTCCGAGTTCACGTAACCATTTATTCTAGAGTACACATCTGGCTCTGACAAGTGTGAAAATAGCCATGGCAACCGCAACATATTAGTGTGAAGAAATGACTTGGACATCCGAGCTGGAAAATTTGCCAGAATTTGTCAGGCGGAGACTAAACCGTTTACAGGAAAGCCTCCGCAAAGTGGGATGAAGCGTTGCTTTAATAGCTCTTGCTCAAAACGCAATCCTTGTGAAATATGTTATCTACAACATCGAAACATAGCACCACACGGGTTACCGGGTTACTGAGTACAGCGCAGCTATTGGACTGACGAGCGCAATTTCTATGTCGAACGTAAAGAGTATCTCACTTTCCAGATCCTGTCATGCTTGCGCCAAGGCTAAGCGGCGGTGCAAAGCTGGGTTGCCGAAATGTGAGCGATGTCTCAATAAAGGCCTAGAATGCTCGTATGTGAACCAGCCACTGGTCGCGCAGGTCGAGGATCAGCAGCAACTTTTACACAGCAAGTCTACGATTCGCGAAGCTTCTAGAGGCCGCCTACAAATCGAAGCTGGTAAAAGAATACCGTTACTCGATATGGAATTCTTCCATTTCTCACAAATAAGCACGCCTCCGCACCTTGTTCACAAGTGGTGCTATTCAAAGTTCACAGGCACTGGCCTGGCAGTCTACGAACCTCCATTGCCTGTTATAGAGTGGAGAAAAGACCTCAAGACTATTTATTATCTAGCGACTCACCTGAAAGCTTTCCCGATTACGTTCGCCAGAGAAGCAAAGACTCCCTTCATTCACCCCACATTATATAGCCAGTGGCTACCAAAGCAGATCAAAGACGCATATGCCATCTGTCGATCGTATGCATTTTCAATAGAAAGCAATGGAGAATTTTGCTTTCATAGTTTACAGCAAAGAATTGATGATCTCATCAAAGAATACCCAACGCTATGCTTATTTAGCGATATTTTAGCTTCGCTGCAATCTTTAACCCTTTGTCTCCTCATCTGCCTTTTCGATATGGATCCCCAGCGGAGAATATTTGCAGAAGCGCATGTTAACACTCTCAACCGGTGGACGCGCGACTTATGGGAACAGGCCCCGAGCGAGATTTCAGAAAAACTGAGGCCTTGGGAAGCGTGGGCATTCGCAGAAAGCGTTCGTCGAACTATCATAATCTCGTATCTGGTTCGAGGTGTCTACCATATGGCCAAGTTTGGCTACCACCCTCATTCCATGTTTGTTGAGACACTGCCATTTGGCCGTCATACATGGTTATGGGACATTCCATCTGGAACGGAATGGTCCTTACTGCCACGAAATCTTTCGTATTCAATTGTTTCTTACCATGAATACACAAATGAGTTTGCAAATCGGCTTGTTAGCCCGTACAATATATTTGAGTCGCTACTATTGATCATACGGTTTGGAAAAGAGTCATTCGATCAACGCATTGGTATTTCCCAATGCGAAGAAAGCACAACAGCCACAGTTTGGAACTAAATACTCATGCTGCATGATACATGGATGTGGAGGGGATAAATACATACTTACTCTTGTCATGTGATGTGAAGGACAACATTTGAAACATTTGCTGGTGTATACCAGAAGTTATGAATATGTGACACCTCTACCTTTGATCTTTGTACGGTCTTATAGTGAGCTTACGAGCAACTTCTATAGTTTTAACTCTCTTTCATGCAATAGAATATCACATCTTCACTATTCAAGGCATACACTGCTATATTTTCTAAAATACATAATATCCCAAAATGATAATGGGATCTTTGCCTCCCCATGTAGAATAATCCAGAACAACATGAGGTAATGACATTTATCCCTATTTGTCATCATTCGAGGGGAAAAAAAGGACTTATGTCACACTCCTTTGAATTATTATAATTGCTCCGTTTAATTGAGATGTTAGAGGCTTTGATAAGATCAATTATGTAAAAAGTCCGAATTTTGGTGTGCATATATTATGCCAGTAAACCTAATAAGTAGATCTGCTTGCTTAATAGTTGTATGATTACTCAGATGCTCTGCAACCGGCATATTGATTACGAAAGAATGTGCTGTTCTTTCAGCGACGATGAGGGGAGACTAGGCGCTACGTGTGCTGTATTAGGGCGTAGCTGAATGACTTGTTCATTTGCATGTATACAGAAATGATAGCGCTGGCTTCTGGTTGTTGGTTGATTTGGAAACATGGTTAAATGGGAAAAAAGAGAGAAAAAGTGAAAGTGAAAGTGAAAGTGAAAAGAAAAGAAAAGGAAAGGAAAGGAAAGGAAAGGAAAGGAAAGGAAAGGAAAGGAAAGGAAAGGAAAGAGGAGAGGAGAAACTTCAAGAGAAATGAATATCCGTTTTTCTGTAAGCATATTCATCTTGACTTTGGCCCTTGTTTCGAGAAATAATTACAACACAGTTTCCCCTCCAGATATAAACTCTGCAAAGGGTATAAGCGTGAAGATGGTTGGGTAGCTGAGCCAAAATAACGTGGACAGATTATTTATATCATGCAGCACAAAATAGTTAGGTAGGTTTGAGTACAAGAACAACATCGCTGACGTGGGCATAGTTTCTAGATTTCACACTCGGTATAATACATTTTGGGCGAATTATTAAGGAAAAATGATACTGTTCCATCCCATCATTACAATTAAAGAGATTTTGTAGTATGAAACAGTTATTTCTCATGGCTAATGCGGTCTATGTTTTCGTCGTCTGAACCCTTGCCTCTGTGAGTGTGGCTCCAATATGTGATGGATATGCTGCCTTTTGCATCGACGCTCAACATCTCCTTGCATTGAGTTTCATCAAACGAATCCTTCTCTGCTGAACAAATAGACCGTATCTCTTGGCCATCATTCCAATTGAATGGATATATCAGGTTGTCAGGTAATAAAATTATTTTATCCAATGTATCACCACAGATTTGATATCGCCCAATATTTTTTGCCAGAGCAATAGGGCCGGTTAGTTGTTCTGCTGATGGATAGTCATACCATAGTTGGTGAAATATACGCCTGCTTTTTTGTATCTCGGCCCTTGCAAATTCTAGTGGCAAAAGGAAAAAAGGATGTCGAGCCGAAGCAGCCATCCACGCGTTTGGCAGATGGTGATGAAAGGTTTGATCAGCGCCCATGCGCCCGAATATGGCGACGTGACTCGCAGATATTTCACCCGCAAATGTCTTCTCAACTTTGTTGAGCAGTGAACCATTATGTGATTTGAGCGCATCAAACGTAGGACGGAGACACTCAGTGTCTAAATCGGCGTATATCCTATTCTTGATATCAGAGATCAATAACAGTCTAGCACACAGGCATAAAATATAGCTTCAACTCACCCTCCAAACTTGTACATGTAGAGATTACGGGCCAAATCCGCCCGATAAATATTTCCAGGTAAGCTTAAAAAAGTGTCTTCAAGCCAGGGGAAGTAGTCTTTCACAAGTTGGAGATTATCTTCATCGGTCCACAAAACCCACTCCCAGTCTGGATGTTGCCTGCGACATGTATCACTCCATCTTTTAAATTTAGCTGGCAAATTACTGGATTTCCAGCTTTGATGAAACAATTTTGGAATACCCACCGTTGGTGGCTCAGTTGATCGACAGAGGAGTTCTGCGGGAGTTAAAGCTGGCGCTAGCCCAGTGAGACGGGAGGCTGTCTGTTTATGCGGCTCCAATGTAGCCGGGCATTTTGTTGATGCTCGTGAAGGCGCCTGATGACTCTCGACAGTGTGCCGACAGGCCGCTAGATTATAGACGTTAGAGCCATACCAAAGGTACGCGTTAAATTGCCAAATGGTAATACACAACAGTAGCGCCAGTACCAGTCTTCTTTGGCGGAGCGACCCTGGAAATGACAGCATCTTTACCCTGAATCATGCACGCATAAAGATTCGTAATGTTTGAGAGAATGGAACAATATTTCTCGCTTACTTTGGCCTGATCTCTTCTATTTATAACCAAAAGTAATTATGCAGCGACAGGGGGTTTCTCTGCCTGTTGCTCTCCCGACTCTAACTAAATCTAGGCCCCCAACAAATTTAATATAATATCTCATCATCGATGCTGTTTCGGGGTAAGCTCTGTGATTCGTTTACTTTGATATACACTATCTTGCTCTCTATTAATTGTATATCTTGATATTTATTCAACAAATTAAACATATATATAATATATCGGTACTGTTATAGGCGTTTGATTCGACATGTTGTATTTAATAATCTCTTTAGATAAGATAATCTTTTTTAGAAAAAAATTCTAAATAAACTCTAACTTATACTTACATATATACACAGCCATTAATTAATATTAAACTTGCCTTTTTTTTTGTTGTCGGCATTATGAAGGTTGCTGGAGACTCAAGGGGCTTCCCAACCCTGTTGCATCTGATCTTCGGGGCCACCGTATCCTGAGTTGCCTCAGCGCTGATATATTATTAATCTTAGCGCCAGTCCGAAACTGAAGAGCGAAGTCATCTAGAAACATCGATAAAGATATAAATAGAATCTCGTATCCTTTTTGGTTGATGGTGTATTCGTCGAACCGGTCCAGACCCCGCCTTCTCATGTTGTCACCCACAGCCATTGCGGCTGTGAAACGCAAAATCTCTCGCAATCTTCCTCCTTCAAGTTCATTGCATGACGTTCTTGCAACTCTGCTAATGGCTATTGTTACAAAATTTGAAAATGTTCAGTCGCATCAGATTCGTTTCGTATATCATGTGGAAAACAAACCATAAAATTTTGACTATAAGGAGTGGATTGTTAAGATGTCTCTGGTTGTCTTGATGCTCATATCTTGTCCTTGTATCGGCCGTTAACTGTTCCACTAGGTGTCAGAGTCTATGCCATGATTAGTGAGTGATATGGAGCACTCTGTTGGACGCGTCATCAGGATCAAGGCTAAGGGTCTTGGCAGCATCTGGTCGTTGATAACAGCAAACCAATCACAAGTCATCAACTTCTCCATCAACATAAAAGATGTATAACTACTAACGGTAACAATCAAATATTCTATATAAAAAGATAACTATACCAGCAAAATATCACTAATAATAAAACAAATATGCGATTTCCTCTGGAGAGAATTTTTGTAATGACCAAAATATGAGAGGAAAACGGAGTACTGAATAAGCATTAGGTAAGCTGGCCTACAAGGACGACCGAAGCTGGTTGGCTAGACAAGCAACCTCTTCATCGTTTGATGTGCTACCTACTCCGTAGTATAATTTTACCTCTCGTTTTCTTTTTGTCTATGTAGATTTTTTTCTTTGGTCAGCAAAAGCCGGGTAAGAATGTAGGAAATGGAATATTATGTCACGCCAGACCGCCCATTCGTTATACGCCATAAGTGAAAAAAAAGATAATGGGATGCTGTAGATATTATGAACCATTTGATGGACACGAATTCGGTTCATTTTATAACATTCGATGAGATCCCAGTGAAGCTGCGGGACGCGGGGTTTCATTTATCATGCACGTTTATAACGCTCTGATAGCGTTCTTTTGGTCAATTGATTCCTTATCACGATTTCTCCTGTATGCCTTCCTCATACTAAAGGAGCCGTTCGATGAACGAGTTATCGCGGTGTGAAGCGTATGGAATTATTAATTCCATTCACACGTGCTATTAGCATTCAAATTGTGGATGATGCAGTATATTGAATTGAAGCTATCAGCTGCGCAAAATATCTACGAAGCAGCCACAAGTGAAATGGGCCTTTGGAAGCAAGGGTTATGCTGCACGTTTGAGTCAAGCAGGCTTTCGGGCGAGTAAACTGACTGGTGTCTGATAATACGCCGCCCCATTCTTAACCGCTCCAATTAAGGCCGCCAATAAAGCATCGACTTCATGGCGAGGTGGTAGAGACTCATGGCCGATCTTATAAAGAGAATTTGTGCCCGCAATATGGCCCAGAACGAAAGTTCTAGTTGCCAGTGGAGCCATGGCCTTGGAGAAAGGATCCATTCTAAATTTCAAGACTTCTAAACCGGCCCGATTTACTCTGTTCGGAAGATCCTCTACCCATCTGTATTTGGCTGTGAATTAGTACGTGCAGGAATTCAACATGTAGTTGTCAATAGTTGAGACATACGAGAAGGTAAAGTTTGAAGAGCGGTAACTCAGACTAGCAAATGTATAAAAGGCCTCCGCTTCGGGCCCTTTGATACATAGTTTTTTAGGGCTAAGATCACCTTCTTCCCATTGTAAATACCCACCCGGTTCTATTGATTGAATTAGTCAACGGTTAAAATTCTGTATACAAATAATGAAACCTAATTTTTATGACATTGAATACTTACTTAGCAACTGTATTGCGTGTTGAATTATCGGCTCGGTATTACCCCCTCTCACTATAGGTCCGAGATACCGAATATGAACTACGTCATATTTTCCAAGAAGATCATCAGGAACTTTGGATAGAGCATCCGTGATTCGAAAGTTCACGTTATCGGGCACGTTAGACTTGTGAGGAAATTGTTCGTCCGAGATGTCGAACCCATCAAGCTGTACGGTCGGTGGAACCTGAGTGGCCACATCCAAAAGCCATACACTATTGATATGGTAAGATAAATTACGAAGGTTGCAACAGAGCTGAATGGAAGGGGGTTTACCCTGTTCCGGTTCCCAGATCTGCAATCTTAGTCTGGGGAGTAATTGGAATTTTGGGGTCGATTGTGAAGCCGTTGTGGATATTCCATAAAAGGTGTTGAGTTTCTAGTCTGATGAATGTAAGTCCATCAATCTACGATTGTACTTTCAACGTGTTCATTTCTGCTCAAGGCTAGGTGAAGACATTTAGCTCACCTCAACCCCTCTGCGTAATCTCGTCCAAGCACGTAATCATCGGTTTCGGCCATTTTATTCCAGCGAATTTGCAATTTTTAAAATATTAGAAAGAATTAACGTGTGAAATCCTTACCGGAAATTTTATATTCGAATTGAAGGCAGGAGCTTGATTTATGCACTCCAGATCTGATAGATAGGTAGGTAGCGTCATTGAAAACCTCGGAAAGCTGACGGCTAGTCATCCAAAGACGCGTCATATCGATCTACTTATGAAAGCACTAGCGGGATAGAAGATTTGGACTATTAAGAGAAGAAGTTAAGAGAGCTGGGGCAGATGCTGTCTGGGAAAAAAAAAAAAAAAAAAAACTGTATAATAAGCAGTAGGTGATATAGAGTGCTCCGTAACGTACCTAAATCTCTTAATGTATGTGTTCTAGGGAATGTGGTTATTAGGCTATGATTGAAACATTACGAAGACGTAAATCGCCGCTATTGAGTGATAAGCCTCGGTCCTGAAAAGAGGACAAATATACATTCGCATTAACACGTATTTGTTCTGAAACATATTGTGATATTTACTGTAGGGATGAGTAGTATGCTGTTGGCATTTGGTTTGCGAAACGCAATTAATCACATGTAAGATGAGACCAAGTCACAGGTATAGATTAATTCACAAAACTAAATAATGCGAAAGTTTTAGAAAAGGTCGTAAAAGCAGTTCGGCTGTTGCGGAAGAGTGGCGTGTCTGCTGTCTTACCGTAAGCAGCCGCTTATATCAATGATAAACTAACTCTGCTCAAAGCCAGATACTATTAAATGAAGTTTTCGTATCCCAGAAATGACTTTCCCGGTTTCATGTCAAGTAATATTTTTGCCCAGACGGCTATCTCGGCCTAGGATCCCTATTGAGTAACTGCATGTTTTCTGCGTATTAATGGCATGTTTGTCACTATACTTCTGCACAATATGTGGTTTTGGTTCGTAGTCAGATCAGTGTGGGTCTTTGGGCATAATTTCCACGGGACCTGGAAGATTAGAAGTGGGTGATTCTGATGCTCACAAGCATATCACAAATACAACATCCCATCCGAGGTGAAGTTTCCATATATGGAAATATTTATTTGTTTATCTATATATTCCGACTAGTATATTATAGACCACAAATCTATATTAATTCATCTTGCGGAAATATATAGCAAATACTAGCTGATTAACATCAATGTCAGCTATACCTATTCCGATATCTCCATCTCATCATGTTTACTCTTAGACATAAGAGCAAGTGAGAGTGCTGCCAGAGACGGAGCATTTGGTCAAATCCTTGTTATTAACAATAACCTCGCTCATAACAGCACCGCTGAGCGAGACTTTCTGCCCGCTTCGCGTAGCTGAAGCAGAGGTGAACTGAATGGCGGGACTGAAAGAAGCAAATGGAACTGGCTGGCAGTTGCTGCCATTCGAATTGCACTCTTCAAAATCCTCAATGATGAACTCAGCACTAGTTTCGCAAAGAGAACCTGCAGTGACGCGGCTAAATGTTTGAGTCACTTTCTGGCCAGTGGACAAGTTTTGAAGAGTAGCAGAGCCGCCGGTCAGAGAGGTAGCCACAACGGACATGGCAATCTGGTCGCCTTGGTTGATATCGATGCCGGTGAAATCGGCTGTTGCAAGTTAAACTGCTATCCTCCTTCGAAAGCTCCACAGGAATACTCACCGGCAAATTCAGGGTACCATTCGTACCATGCATCATATGTACCATCGCCATACCAGTCGAAACCCGTCTGCAGAATGGCGCTGTCACAGGTGGCGCCATCAATGCCAACCCAAGCAGAACCAGCAGCGCTGGAACCACCGCCGCCCTTGGGGACGTTGACAGTAGCCGAAGCTGCGGTAAAACCCGAACCTTCGAGAATGGCACCTCCCCAGTTAGACTGAACAGTAGCATGGCTGGTGTTGTTCCTCATGGGTGCTGAGCGGCGACCAGCACGGCGAGCAAGACGAGCAGCCAGACCGCGGTTTTGGGCAACGCCGGCCAGTGCTGCATCGGCGCAAAGAAGGGCCGTTAGGGCGACGCCAGCAACGAACATCATGTTGGGCAATGGATGTGAAGAATTGATTGAAGTGATTTTATAGACCAAGGCGTGCTTTATGAGGACTCTGCAGTGATACAGGATGAGCTATCAACAAAGGAAAGACTATTGTATTTATAATCGCGTTGATTGAGGCAGATAAAGGATATATCTTCCTAATCACCACAGCGCCTACCAAACTTGGAGATTGCAATCAAAGGTGGATTGAATTCAGTCCAGGAATTTGCAGTACACCTTCCCTCTTGACAAACATCTCCGAGCCATCATTGGGAACGAGATTCCACTTTAAGACCAGTTCAATTCCTCAACGTGGTGATAACATCGCATTTATGCCTCCATGAGGAGAGAATGCGTAGCACGAGACTCCTTGCAGCATAAGTTCGCTGTGCAGAAACAACCTTGGAACCTAAATGTAGATACAAGCTACCACACCCTACGGAAGAGGTGGTGGGGGGGCGAGCATAGGACCATATGAACGTGCCGAGATGCCGCACATGCTCATTCTGATCGTACCGCGAAAATCTTGCTTTTGGTGCTATAATCCGCTGATAAGACAACAAGGAGAAGAATGGGAGTCCGAAACGAAATGTTCAAGATGCTGTATCACGATCACTCGGAATATAAAATGCCTTTTACGAACATTATGATTATGGTTATTACTCGACTAGGGGAGAAGCAACCCAATGTTTAAGCATTCTTTTGCGAGATTGTGGCTTGGCGATCTTGCCCTATCGGAGCAGCTATCGGAGACTATTCACCTTCCTTATTCACGCGGGTAAAATACCGATCGTGGCTAGTATGCTCATATATCCACCAAATTCGATGCCGATATTCCGATTTCTCCATGTCCAAAAAAGGAAAGCGGCTAGACAACAGATGATTGGCTTCAGCAGACTCATTTCACTGACTAGCTACCTACTTAAGTTGGAAACTTCCGTGATGCCTTATCATGATGGAACAGAAAGATTAGAACTTTGGCATTGGCTATTACACTATGAAATGAAAATGGAGATATCTCTGCTGGCATGACATCATTGCGGGGGTTCTTCTCCCTGCAGCATCGTAGCATCTTCTCTCTTCTTTAGCAGTATATAATTAACGTTTAGTCAATGGACTATGAGCGTTTGCAGATCTTGCAATCATAGTTTGTCTTTACTGCGCTTATCCTGTATACAAGATACGTCAATTGACCATTGCTGTTTCACAGCAACTTATCTACGTCTATTATTCCCATTTATGGTTCATTGTTATCGATGAGGACTGGACTGCTTGCTAAATTTGTTCATAGTTCGAGAACTAAATGGCAAATAAATCTTCTCTTTCAAGATGCAGATAAATATTGTACATTATGAATAGACATGTCTTATGCTTCATAATGTCAATTTGCCCTACGTCTTGATAATAGATTACACCCTGAACCAATCACCGTTTTCTTCGTCTATGACTGTTTCAAATCGAGGAGAGATAAGTATTTATGAACCCCTCAGTACCTTAGAAATCTCGTAAGTTTGACTGCGCTTGCAATTTCTCATCGGAATGATTAATAGGGCGAGGTGTAATTTGACGGTCCTGATCTGCTGAAACCTCGTAAATTTGCAGCCTGATGCGACTAATCAGCTGGTGGATTGCTTATATACAATTGAGGTTCATGTATTGTGGTGCAATATTCAAAGTTACATCTTCAACAGTAGAGTGGTTCATTAAGTTTGAGTACCAGTTTAATTTCGGACTGCTCTCGTCCTCAAATCTGAGGAATATGGCGGTATCCTAGGGTAGAACTGAATTGCTTCGGTCAATCGAGTTTCACCACAGATATACTAATCATATTTTTCTGTTTTTATAAAAGTTATTGATGAATTTTATCTTTTTTCTCCTGAAGAGGAGCAATGATAAAGACAGTATTAGATGTATCACTAGCTGTACTAGCCTTATCGAAGACAATATCTATACAATTCATTTATTAACCCATATTCCTTCATCAACAAAATTCTGCAATATATATGACAATAAATGAAGATGCTAAACTATTAGAACTGGTGAAGAGGATATGCAGAATTTTGTTTCATCTCGTTGACATGCGAATTTATAATTGAGATGTCACAGAATTCGACAACTGCACAAGATCTCACCACATGTGGATCTTCATTTTACGTTCCATATAATAATTTTAGCACTATTCTAGCGGAACTCGTAACAACCTGAATTAGTATGTCCTGACGGCCTTCTTTTCTGGCTTTCTGTTTTTCTCCCCGTCATTTCTCATTTCTTCCTCCCCCTTTCCCTCGTAGATACTGTAGGCAAGGTTTGCATGGGCTTGAGATAATAATCGGTCTCATCCGAATTTAGAGGTGGACATAATCATCGGTCAAGGATTGATCGCATCAATTGGGGGCAGTAAGCAATGTTGTACAGATTTATAACGTAAGAAGATCCTAACACTACGTCCAAAAAGGATATACACGAGGGGTATATAATTTTGATTCTGTATATATTATAGCTATAGGAGGCAAAATACTATAGTCAATTCCCAGTTAAAAAACTGCCAGCCCAAGTACAGCACCCCTTTGTCCGCCGATCACGAGCAACGATTAGATGTAAAATCGGAAGTCATGACTAATGTAAGGGACCCACAAAGGCTTGAACTTGTGAATTTGACTCTCAATGGTAAGATTCAACCTCTGGTAAATATTCTTCCTCTTTAACGGGTTGTACGCAGGAGCAGATATAATTGGCCACTGTGAGCTCATTTTGTAATAAAAATTGACCGAATTCTCAACGAAAACATAATGTTACATGAGAATATTATACTATCGGTTTATCCGTTTATCGTATGTGACTTTGAAATACTCCGAAATTTGTCGGCCAATCCGCACAATGGAGACTCCTGCAAACGGCCGGAATAGGCACCAAAACATGACAGATTAGGCTAACTGATATCAATAGAGATAAAAACTATTATGGGCAAGTCCTATCATATGTAGGAACAAGAGCTTCATTATTATTGGTGCAATACAATGATTTAAGGCGAGTCTTAATCGGATATTCCTAGAGGGGATGAAACGGAATAATTAAATAGGCAATAAAGGTCTTGGTGTTTACAATGCCGGGATGCTCAGCCTAGAGCCTGTTGTACCCCGCCCCTTATTTCCAATACCCAGGATATCTTACTGGATAATTATGGGTTCCCCATTTTCACTACCACTTATCATTGCTTGCGATATTCCGCTCCCCGTATCAGCCACATTTCCTTTAGACCGTCTTTTTTACTGTTAAACATCGGACCAACTATGGTATTTATGGGCATGGGCACCACAATAATAAGTGATATCGCTTTTTATATATGTGCGTAGGATTAGGATCGAATCGAAGTGATACCTTGGGCCCAACCCTTCTACTGGGTCTCATCGTGCGTTTTTTACAGAGTACAACATTAGGGACAATGGAAACCGGCCGGTGGCTAAAAGTACATCAGGTATTGGCTAAAGATATAATAAATTAGCGGCTAAAAATTCACCAATTAAGTGGCTAAACATACCTGCTTTAGCAATTTGGAGGGTTACAAGAGAATGAAAAAGCCCCACTTCCCCACGTTGTTGTCTCAAGTTTACCTTTAATCTCAGGTGTTCCGAGATTTACTGGCTCCTTTCGGAACCTCGATTTTTGTGAACATTTCCACAGAAACAAAGATGGGATGGAGCGTTCTTAAGTATAAAGATATACATCGAGTAAAATTTAGGCTACAATATTTAAGTAGGCAGGCAGTTGGATGGGAAATTAGTCGGCCGATATGTAGCAAAATAGAGGACAGATTGGGCATCGTCAGTGTCAATACGTATAAATCTGTGCCGAGCTGCATTCAATGAAATGTATACATTGAAGAATTCTAAATACTAGGCTTATTTTCTATAGGCGTTTGATTCGGCTCAATCTGCCCAAGGAAAAACCGGGCCTTCAAGCTGTGAGTAATATGGATAGACATTTAGTGTGGTAGGAGCGCATTGTTGCATTTGCCGTGTAGCTAAATGGATGCTACAGTAGATGACATGGTCTTAGTGCCTGTTGTCGATGTAAATGAGCATCTTAGGCACGAATAATAGCCGGAAAAGATAGCCTCAATGTTTTCATGTCTATGGCAAGAAAATTATATATAGTCCAAGCTCTCTCCATCTCCATCTCCATCTTCACCTCCCTATCAGCTTGGATACTCCAAGAGCTTTATACACCATCTTTTGGAGCATATCATCTCGGTTGGACAAAGATTGTACATCATGTATCAGAAATTGGCCGCCATCTCGGCCTTCCTGGCTGCTGCCCGTGCTCAGCAGGTCTGCACCCAACAAGCGGAGACTCACCCGCCCCTAACATGGCAGAAGTGCTCATCTAGCGGTTGTACCGCTCAGTCAGGTTCTGTGGTCCTCGATGCAAACTGGCGTTGGACTCATGATGTTAAAAGCACCACCAACTGCTACGATGGCAACACCTGGAGCAAAACCTTATGCCCCGACGATGCTACTTGCGCCAAGAACTGTTGTTTGGATGGAGCTGCCTACTCGTCCACTTATGGAATCACCACTAGTTCTGACAGCCTCACTATCAACTTCGTTACGCAATCGAATGTTGGCGCTCGCTTATACTTGATGGCAACTGATACTAGTTACCAGGAGTTCACGTTGTCTGGAAACGAGTTCTCTTTCGACGTTGATGTTTCCCAGTTGCCGTAAGTAATCAAATTTACGTACCACAGCTGGTATTATGGCTCTAAACTAAATTATCCCTAGTTGTGGCTTGAATGGAGCCCTGTATTTCGTCTCTATGGACGCAGATGGCGGCCAGAGCAAGTATCCGACCAATGCTGCCGGTGCCAAGTATGGCACAGGTTATTGCGACAGCCAATGCCCTCGTGACCTGAAGTTCATTAACGGCCAAGCCAATGTGGATGGTTGGCAGCCATCCTCCAACAACGCCAATACTGGTATTGGCGGCCACGGAAGCTGCTGCTCAGAGATGGATATCTGGGAAGCGAACTCGATTTCACAGGCCGTTACTCCTCACCCTTGCGAAACTGTCGGCCAAACGATGTGCAGTGGCGATGGTTGTGGTGGCACATACTCTAGTGACCGATATGGTGGCACCTGCGACCCAGATGGATGCGACTGGAACCCATACCGTTTGGGCAACACTACTTTCTACGGCCCAGGCTCAGGATTTACTCTCGACACCACCAAAAAGATGACTGTTGTGACTCAGTTCGCCACTTCTGGTGCCATCAGTCGATACTATGTCCAAAACGGAGTCAAATTCCAGCAGCCAAACGCTCAACTCTCTGGCTACAGTGGCAATACGCTCAACAGCGACTACTGTGCAGCTGAGCAGGCGGCTTTTGGTGGAACTTCGTTCACAGACAAGGGCGGCCTCGCTCAATTCAACAAGGCCCTTTCTGGAGGCATGGTCTTGGTTATGAGCTTGTGGGATGATGTAAGTTCATGATATAGTTAACGCCATTATTATGGTTTCAGAGCTGATTGAGTTATGCAGTACTACGCCAACATGCTTTGGCTGGACTCCACCTACCCAACAAACGCGACGGCTTCTACCCCTGGTGCTAAGCGAGGAAGTTGTTCTACTAGCTCTGGAGTTCCCAGCCAAATCGAGTCTCAGTCTCCCAACGCCAAGGTTGTCTTCTCCAACATCCGCTTCGGACCGATCGGCAGCACTGGCGGCAGCACTGGCAACCCTCCTCCCGGCACTTCGACCACCCGATTGCCCCCATCCAGCACAGGAAGCTCTCCCGGCCCAACTCAAACGCACTACGGGCAATGTGGTGGAATTGGCTACAGTGGACCTACACAATGTGTTAGCGGCACCACTTGCCAGGTTCTGAACCCATACTATTCTCAGTGTCTGTAAGGTGCTTCGGCAGCAGCCTGAGATATTAAGTCGTATATGAGTCTTATCATCTTCAACTACATGTAGGATTTACTTATTGTATCTACTTTCGATTCTAGTAAATACGGTCATTTTATTTTCGGTGGACAATGGCTGTTCGGTGTTTCAATCAATGCGTATGAGCTTGGCAAACTGGCTTTTTCAAAGCATATTGATCCCTTGCTACAAATGCATTATATAGAAAAAGAATACGAAAATATTTTGCAAATAAAACTTTTTACGAATCGTATAATTATAGGATTGCCAAATATCTCAGCTTCATATATCGCTACCATCTTTTTTCTCATCAGTACTTATCTCGCCAATAGGGCTCAACTCCCATTTCCACAAATCTCCTTCTTTCGAAATCCATTGTAGCGCGCCAATTGCTGACTATCCAAACTGAAACAAATAACAAAATGGCGACAGCTGAAATCAGCGGCGCGATGATAGAAAATATGGCAAGTCCGTAACTAGCGGCCTGGAAGGCACTGTTAGAGATCAATTTATCTGTCGCAAGGCCAACTTGCATTGCTGTCAGTACAATAACGACGTAGCCGAGTATCGTTATAAGAGACGCAAAATTGTCCCGAATCAAGTCCCCGTAAATAGCGTATCCAGAAATTCTCGAGTATCCTCTCAGCAAATGGCCCTTTCGAAACCGATATATCTTGTTCAAGCGCCCGAGACGGAGTTCACCGTACCAGTACCTGGGGTTGACGGTAGAATAGCAATGGTGCTGCAAGATCTGGCCCGACAACATCTTCCAGTACTCCCAAGTTACGGCTTCCGGCAATAGTCCTTTCTCGCGTGCGACACGAAAGTCGCTGTAATGTGCAATGAGGGCACAGTACGAGAATAAAAAACCTCGAGCGCATTGTTCCAGCTCGATGCGCTGTTCTTGGCTGTCACTCGATAGAATATGTTGTTGCCAAAAGGCTGAATCTAGCAGATACTCTGGAAGAGGCTTCAGGTGAATTCCTTGTGGACCCCATATGAGATGCAATTCTGGGTTCTCGGTAATAATGATGTCTCGCGAGAGTACTCGCTGGTGATGCAGGGGCCGAGGAGGCATAGGTCGGCCGCATGCCCACAACCAATCTTGAACGGCATTGATCTTTCTTACAAGAAGCTCCTGTTGCAGAAATTCTTGCAAATTGCTGGTAGGGTTCAAGATCTCATCTCTGGTAGATCGAGTGGTTGCTGGCAAAATTCTCGCCAGGTGTGTGTGTGTTGCGTCTTGCACATCCCTGCTGGATGCTTCGTGGGCTGGGTCAACCAATTCAATGGTAAACGGTGGACTTTTCTCCATTATTGCAGTCATGGCAAAATACCATAACCCGGTAAACCTGTGTGAGTTTGGGAAGTCCCTGGACGAACCAGAAGGCCTTCGTTGCTAGGCCCTATGGAGCACGGTTAATTATAAATTCGTTTGAATGGAATACTATTTGTAATTTCCGTTGGCTGCCTGGAAGCAGTGGCCTGACTCTAATCCTGGTGCTTTCAAGACTGAATTAGTATTGTTTCGTCCTTCTATTGGCTGTTGAAAGAGCTTCAACGGAGAAAGAGGAGCGCGATGGATTAGCCCGCATTGTTCCAGGCCAGGATATCAGCCGCAGTGGGTTACACTCCGCAACTGTTGCGGAAATTAATACATAAGCCGCGAATTGCAGTTGTGTGTTGGCTGGATATGTTCCAACATACTAGTTGAGAGCAGCAACACGAAGTTGTCATGAGGCTAGCTCGGAATGTGTATATTTTCTGTGCAATGAATACAGAAATATCCGCTATCAATAGATGTAGCAAAATTAATTTTGCACTTCACTTAGGAAGCGTTGGAAATATTATCCTCACATTCTAACAGGACATTTACTTCATGTCAGCCGCACGGGCAAGTTTGGGGGCCATGCGAAGAAAAAGCCACTAAGCACCTTGTTAGCATCTGACAATGAAGAACTAGTGCTCGTAGAGAAATTGACACATCAAGTTTCTGCCTAACTAACGAACGACCCCTAAAACTATCCGAAGCATCTCCTCCTTCCAATTTCATAAAATATTAACCACCACTCACCAGAATTCTTCTCAAATTCGCCTTTCATTTTAACTACGATAAACAAACCCCAACGTTCTCAGAATGTCTCTTAATGTACAGCGATCGACGACTGTACGGCGATCGGCAAATGTCCAACGATCAGGAACACGAAAGGGCCCTAATCCAAATCTTAACACAGCTGCACCGAAGAAACAGAAAGGCTATGAGATAGTGCAGCAAGGCATCAAAGAGCTCTATCCACTTGACAAAGCCAACGTTGTCCCCGATCTCGAGTAGGTCAATTTTGTTAGAAACCCCTTTTTCTTTCCTTTCCCTTTTTTAACCATTGCGTAGCATTGTGTTTGTTCCAGGATTGGGCGCCAATCCAGAAGATAGTTGGAAGTCCAGTAAGACCGACTTTAACTGGACCACACACGCAGATGGCCTACAAAGAGATTTTCCACGAGCTCGACTGCTGCTCTATATGTACGACTCAGCATGGACAGGTCAGCTAAAAGTGAAACAATTTATGGGCAATATTGCAATGGGCCTATTAGTTGGGCTGAGGAGCAAGAGAGAAGTAAGCGACCGAAACCTCAACTGTTACTAGAACTGACGGAGAGCCATTAGAGTTGCCAACGGAGACCAATCGTGTTTATAGGACACAGCATGGGCGGTCTAGTGGTTGCAAAAGCGATCACACTTGCAGATTCTCGTCGCGATATATTCCCCATCATGTTCGAGGCAACGACGGCGTGCATTTTCTTCGGCACTCCATTTAGTGGCGCTCCTGTCGCGGCCGTGGCAGCAATGTACGCCTACTTTGCGGAAAAGGTAGACGTGGCATTCTCATCAAAATTGTTAGACCTCATGAAGCCGGGCGACGAGGAACTGCGACAACTTACGCATGACTTCATGCGTTTGGTTGGGAAAATCAACCCGAAAATCGAGTTATTCTGTTTCTGGGAAGAACATCCAACCGACTTTTCTCAAATGGCCGGCCTTCCAAGCCTCTTTGGTCTGACTAAGAATTTGATACCAAAGCAATATGCAGAATTTGTCAACCGTGATTCTGCCACACTTCCTGGGGTTGAAGAACTGGGCCTAGCATGCAATCATCGCGATTTGGTAAAGTTTGATGGCCCGAAAGATGATCGGTGGACACAAATGGTGCGAGATCCGGTTAAAAAAATTATCCATGGTGCTCAGTTATCCGTTAGGAACCGTTTGAACTCGGTGAGAGACATTGACCGCGCTATGATTAGTGGCATTATGGATGCCCTAGACGGCGCTCAAGTACAAAAGAAGAGAAAAGCATTATCACAATCTTTTACACCGTCGTCCTGGATACCTCAAGAAGCCGAATACCTAGAGTGGCTGCAATACACAGGGGATGCCGGAACAAATCGGGTTCCTCAGGCTGTAGATTGTTTGTATGTGCGTGGCCGTGAGGGCCGGGGCAAAACAAACGCTACTATGGCTGCTCTGCAAGGTATTGAGAGGCTAATGCGCGAAAACGAAGAGAATGATACTGGACAGGGCCCAATTCTCCTCGTCTATTTCTTCTGCGATACGACGACTGACTATTCTACGGCTGAGGATGTTTTAAAGTCTGTAATCAGGCAGCTCATTAACCAACAAGAGACCCTCGCACCGTACGCGAAGATATTCACCAAGAAAAAGGGAAAAGATGACGCAAATCGGTCACAGCAAGCACAAATAACAGTTGAAAACATGTGGCAGTCAATTCAAGATATGCTTGCTGATGAGTTTATCGGCAGTAAGGTCTATTTTGTGCTCAATAACCTTCATGCCCTGCCAGCGGAGTCAGATTCAACTATTAAACTGATGAAGTTTATCGCTGGTGAACTGGAAGCTATAGGTTCCACAGGCTCTAGACGTGTTCCAACACGATGGTTTATTACCAGTAGAGAGTCCCATAATATTGACGACGCCTTTAAAGTCAACGGCGTCCGCGTGATCGACCTAGAAGACAGCAGATATGAGAACCAAGTTCAATTGGAGCTGCGCAAACACGCTAAGAAAATGATTTCGGCAATTGGCGAACAAAAACAGTACAACAAAGCTCTTGCATATTTCGCCAGCAGTCTGGTAGGCAAGCGTGCACAGAATACTCAGTGGATTGATATCACATGCATCCAGCTAGGGGAGCTATCTAACACTGAAAGTGACTTGAGAGTTCGAAAAATTCTTGAGAATATGCCTCAAGATTTGAAGACGCTGCTAGATCATTCCTGGAGGCAAATCTTTGGGATGAACGAGAGCCACGTTGAGAAAATTAAGGAGATGCTGCGTGCTCTTGTTTTGACTTATGAAGATCCGACCGAGTCAGAACTCGGCCTTCTTGCCGGGCTAACTTCAACGGATCAGGAAAAAGGAGAGCTTCGTAAGTTGATTGAGCAATGCAAGCCGCTTCTATATCTCAAGCGAACGAGCAAACCCGACTCTGTTGTTTGTTTCGTCAACATTATTGTAAAGACGCACTTGTCAGAGAATGCCAAGACATTACTTGGATTGTCTAATGAGGAGGTCAAGTGGCAACACGGCGTGTTAGCTCTACGTTGCTTCTCTCACATTAAAGAAACTTTAGATTTCTCTATGCCGGAACCGGTATCCAAGGAATCAGCACTGGAAGCTCCCAATAAAGCCGAAGCAGAAATCACGGAAGAACAAGATGTTTCTGACCACGAAGACGCTCAAATCAAAGACGTTAATGCCACCGAGCAGGTTAACTATGACGAAGATGACGATGACGATGATGATGACGATGACGACGACGACGACGCATACTCAGGGAGCGAAGAAACGTATGACGAAGAGGAAGAAGAGGACGAGGAAGAGGACGATCCCGAAGTTGAAATGGTCAAAGATAAAGCCTTGGCTTATACCGTGAAGCATTGGTTACATCACGCTAGCAACGCGACTCTGGAAATTGCCGAGGATCTGAGTTTTGAAGATGACTTTTGGAAGCCAGATTCTATTATTCGTCGTCGGTGGATGATCGAGTATGCCCGCATGACTACCACATTTGATAACTTCGATTATAAGACACTCAATGGGCTGCATGTTGCTGCGTCGATTGGCTTCCGACAGCTAGTTGCAGCCCTTATACGCAACGGTCACGAAGCCGAAATAAAACAGCGTGACTCGCTGGTGAATACCCCAGTGAGTTCCATAAAGATTTTTTTATTGAATATTACTTGATGCTAAACTGTCACTAGCTGCATTTCGCTGCCTTTCTGGGCCGACCCAATATCGTAGAGGAACTGCTCAACCGTGGTGCAGTAATAGATGACGCTGCAGAGATTCACGAGCAAACGCCGCTGCATATGGCTTCATTTGGCGGACATATCCAAGTCATGAAGAAGCTGCTCCTAAGAGGCGCCGATCCGAACGCTGTTGCAAACGATATTGGGCCGGTTGTCAACGCTGCCATTTCCTCAGGAAGCCGTGAAGCGGTTGAGCTGCTGGTAGAACACAATGTGTCTTTGACTTTCAACTCGGACGACGAAAATGTCCAATGCCCTCTTGCATTGGCGGCATTGCTGGCCGACTACTCAATGTTTGAGTACTTGATTGAAAGCTACGCAGACAAACTTCCCCTCCAAGACTACAGCGCAGCACTTATTGCTGCTGCAGCTGCCGGAAGAATTGAAGTATTTAACAAGTTACTCAATTTCCGTCATGATATAGCTGTATTTCAGTCAGCTCTGGATTGTGCTGTGGAAGAGTGGAACTGGGATATTGTGAAAGCTCTCTTAGACCATTGTCAAGGCTTGGATGTCAACGGTCTTTTTACAGAAGCCGCAACATGCAGCGAACCACAAGACAAAATGCTACAGTTGGCCTGGGACTATGCACACGGTTCCATAACACAGGAAACATTAAGCAATGCTCTCTACAATGCGACTGATAGAGAGAAAATAACGACTGTGAGGCTTTTACTCCAGAGCTTTGGTGCAAATCCGAATGCTACAGGAGACGAATACGGAACAGCTTTAACTGCAGCCGCATTTGATGGTATTATTGAGATGGTGCAGTTGCTACTGGATGCCGGTGCAGATATTAACGATCAAAATGGCTGGGCATTGCAAACTGCCGCTGCTGAAGGACACTATGAAATTGTCCAAGAGCTCATTAATCGTGGAGCTGAGGTGAACGCGTGCACCCAAAACCCCAACTTTGCAGCAGGTACCGCACTTCAAGGGGCGTGCGAATCGAGTAAATCCGATATCGTATCCTTACTGTTAGAGAAGGGTGCAAATCCGAATCTCGGGCTTGGGACAGACTCGCCTCCAATTCTAGCGGCGTGCCAGCGTGGTGAAGCTCACATATTGGAGATGCTGGTCAACGCTAAGGCAGACGTGAATGTGTTTGGAGGCTACGATACATCAACACCGCTCATAAATGCTGCCGCATATCTTCCAAAGGAATCCTTACAGGTGCTTCTCAATGCAGGGGCAGATATCAACCTACCGGATAATGACGGGGACACTGCTCTGATTGTAGCTGCTGCACGTGGTGATGTAGAGGCTGTAACCTTCCTTCTTGATAACGGGGCTGATATCATGCATTCTAGCAAGAGGGACATGAATGCACTTCAGACAGCCTTTGCAGCCACTCAACAATCTGAAGATGAAGAGCAAGACGGGTTTGTTGGGTCTTCCAACGAGCAATGGGAGTGTTTGGGTGTGCTTGTTGACCGGGTTACTACTCTTCTTGGCGCTCTTAAGACGGCTGTGGATTCGGGCAATATCGCCTTGGAGAGCGTCATTCGGACTGCTAATATGAGCAAACAGGGCTTGGCCTATGAGGATAATCCTCCAAAAGCCTCTGAGTTAAGTGTGGTGCCTGATATTGCAGTCCATTCAAATGGCGGAGAAGATACTGCAAACAATCAACAACCAGATCAGACTACAAATCCCGAACTAGTTGTAGTCGCTGAGCCTAAAGTGGTCGCGGAAACAGCCCCCGTGGACATTGAATCTTCAACATATCCAGAAGCTAGCGTTCCAACAGTCGCTGAGGTTGCACACGTCCAAATTGCATCTCAAACGCCGGCACCAGTATCGCCACCTCAATACAACGCTTCGTCTATTCAACCGACGACTAGTTGGTCAACCATTGAGCCCTCGGTATCCATCCCAAAGAGGGAATCCATTGTCAGCATGCGTGATATTTCCACTGCACAAATCGTGGTTCCAGCACCTCTGGAGGTCATTAGAAGAAAACCTGCGCCGCAACATATTCAGAGGGTGGATACTGGTGTTCATTTCCAAGCCTCAGTGCCGCAGGCCACAGGGCTTCCTTACAATAGTGTGCAGTCCCTCGCGACAACCACACCGCCACAACAATTGCCACCGCAAATACATCCGCCGACAGAACAATTCAAAGCATATCCAGGACAACCAGGGGCACCCCAATACGGACAGTATCACAACATGGAATTGTATGACAATTATGACAATAGGGAAGCTCGGAATCAAGGAACGAAGCGGTATTCCGCATATGATGGCAGCAATACTGCACGGTATAGTGGATACGGCTCTCCGACGGCACAGCCGCAATCAGACAGAGCGCAACAATCGTATCAAGGACGTGAATATCCAAATTATTACAGCCAGCAGCAAGAGTATTATGGCAGCAACAGCGATATATATCCTCACAATGCCGGAAATACACAGGAAAAGCCACCCCTTACCGATGACAATCGTTTCTATTAATGCAAATTGTGGAGAGAATGAATGGGTACCATGAACAGGTGTGGTTTTTCGCGGGTTTACGTCACAAAATAACACTAATATTGATCTAGGTTATATTTCATAGCATATTAAGCAATAAGGGCAGGAACATTTTACACTTATTTCAGTATATGGTGTGAATGCCCTCAGCTTGACACGAATAAATCAGGGTTATTTGTCTTTTCTTCTTCTTTCTCTTCTTTTTGGAGGTTGAAAGAAGGGTGGAGGGGGGGGTTGGTTGGAAATGTCTCTGCCTGGCAGGGTCACTAAAATCGCGACAATACGATGAATGCTTAAATCTCTGCTGTCGCAGTAATAACAGTTACCTTTTGACATATATATACTCGATTCATTATTCTAGATCCCTGAAATAATAATTCGCATGAGCGTTTTGAGTATTACCAGAATCATATTTGACTATAAACCCGTGAATTGTAGAAGACAAACACCTCAAGATGTTATTCTGACTCACGACCTCCCAGTTTGCAATTTTTTAGTTGATGCCTGATGCAATCCATTCACCAAGAGCGAGACAGTGGCATAGCAACGCGCTGCTTAATAGAATATCACTATAGACGATATTAAGTTGACGATAATCAATTAGTAGAAAAACGAAGAGAATTTGGACACTGACTAACAAAATATCCATGGTCTTCTGTGATGCTATAAGCAGTAGTTTACATCACAATTCGCAACGGCGTCGAAGAAAATGAATTATCGTTTATACGTAAACGGTAATTAAAAAAAAGAGCGGGAATAAATAAAATCTCTGGTAAAATATAGAAATAAGCCTATTTTGACAGAAGGCTCTTGACGTACGTGTCTCCGAACCGCCTGACGCCGGCTGAAGCTGGCTATAACTAACTCACATTCCACCTTTAGCCATTAGTGCCCAGTCATGGAATCTCAGCGTCGCACACTTCATTATTAACCATTTAATACCTGATGGCTAAGCTCCTTCCATCTCGGTCGTTACGTCCCGCCAGTTTCATCGCCAGATCATTAGCGGTGTAGAACCTAGGCCCAGCTTTTAGCATTGGTACATCCGCTTATCCGATTCACGAACACCTGATGATACTCAGCCTAAATAGCACCCCCTCAAATAGAGAATTTCAATGCATGAAATGTCATACGTTTGTATTTATATAAAGCTAAATAAGTATGACTACCAGTAGACCATCTGAACTAGAGATAATTGCCTTTCCCAAATAGTCGTAATAGCCGGGATGGCTCGTAAACTTAGCCTGCTAGCTCTTGCTAGCCTTGTTTCTCTCTCACTTCAGCAGAACTGCGCAGCATTATTGTGAGTACAGTATACCGAACGCTATAATATCTAGTATCTCTGTTAATCCCAATATAGTGGCCAATGTGGAGGTATTGGATGGACCAGCCCGACGTGCTGCGTTGCTGGCGCCCAGTGCATCTATGTGAACGACTTTTACTCTCAGTGTCTTGCATCAACTGTATGAGCCTCGACTGCTTTTATGGGACCACTTTTAACCAAGCATAGGGCGGTGGCGGTTCTACTACTAGATCATCTACCTCATCTACCTCTGTTTCAAGATCCTCATCCGTTGGCTCATCATCCGGCGGCGGCGGCTCGCCAACCGGTGGTGCGTCCACATATACAACAACCGATACAGCTACAGTTGCTCCTCATTCACAATCTCCCTACCCAAGTATTGCTGCCTCCAGCTGCGGATCTTGGACTCTCGTGGATAACGTTTGTTGTCCATCGTATTGTGCCAATGATAACACATCCGAGTTCTGTTCAGGCTGCGGTACTTGCACCACGCCGCCTTCGGCAGACTGCAAATCCGGAACTATGTACCCAGAAGTCCATCATGTGACTAATAATGAGACTTGGCACTATAGTGTAAGACGATTAATTCCTGGGGTCCACGTGCTTACTGCGGCGCGCTGATTTTCGAGCCTTCAGAGATCTACGCATTTCGGCTTAACGAGTGGCGGAGCTTGTGGTTTCGGTCTCTATGGTCTCTGCACGAAGGGCAGCGTTACGGCGAACTGGACGGATCCTATGCTTGGATCAACTTGCAATGCCTTCTGCACGGCCTACCCCTTACTTTGCAAAGATCCTGCAGGCACTACTCTTCGCGGCAACTTTGCAGCACCAAACGGAGATTACTATTCGCAGGTAAGACAAACTGCTTATCGTTCCCCTACTAATCTAATGGCAAAACAGTTTTGGTCTTCTCTGCCAGGAGCTCTAGATAACTATCTGTCTTGCGGCGAATGTATTGAGCTTATCCAAACAAAACCGGACGGCACCGACTATGTTGTAGGAGAAGCAGGTTACACAGACCCGATCACTCTCGAGATAGTGGATAGCTGCCCTTGTAGCGCGAATTCCAAGTGGTGCTGTAAGTCAGCCACTGCTACGCATCACCGCAACCTTGGCTAACTTGTTATAGGCGGCCCCGGTGCAGATCATTGCGGAGAGATCAATTTCAAATATGGCTGTCCTCTTCCCGCTGATAGCATTCATCTCGATCTGTCGGACATTGCCATGGGTCGCTTGCAGGGTAATGGTTCACTCACTAATGGTGTAATTCCAACTCGATACAAGAGAGTCCCATGCCCAAAGGTTGGAAATGTGTATATATGGCTTCGAAATGGCGGAGGGCCGTACTACTTCGCTCTGACAGCAGTTAATACTAACGGACCCGGATCGGTCACCAAGATTGAGATTAAGGGCGCAGATACAAGCACTTGGGTTGCTTTGGTTCATGATCCAAATTACACTAGCAGTCGCCCACAAGAACGTTATGGTAGTTGGGTCATTCCACAGGGATCGGGACCTTTCAACTTGCCAATTGCAATTCGTCTTACTAGCCCAACAGGCGAGCAGATTGTCAACGAACAAGCCATCAAGACGTTCACTCCACCGGCAACAGCAGACCCCAACTTCTATTACATTGACATTGGTGTACAGTTTAGTCAAAATTAAGGATGGAAATTTAGGTAAATTGATATTTTCTTCCCATTGGAATTCATGTTGTTGTATCAATTTTGAGCTTGCGTTGGAATATGCATTTATATATAGTATTTATATATATCCAAACTCCCTATAGTGCAATCATGGAATTCATCCAAATACGGCCATCAAAGCATGCGACTGAGCATGTAGGTGTTATAAATGAAACATGCAGATTATCCTCTAAGAAAGTTTCGCTAGTACATCAAGCCAGTATTTTCACACAGCGAGTAAGTAACACTAGCGACTAAAATTCAACGAACAATAGGTACTAAGAACTCAATACCAAGATATGTACACGACATTTTTCGAGCCTACACTCCAGTTATGGGGGGGTTCATATGCGTGTTTATTTTAGATGCTTTGAACTTTGGCGTCTAATTGGTACCTACATTTGTGATGAGACAGCTTCTTAGCTATATAGTAATAGTAATTAAACAAGTTGGAAGCAGGACAGCCAGATCTAATATTGGGTACCTGTTGGACATGTTATCCCGTTCGATTAACGAATAGCAGAAGACCTGGAACAGAGGCTTATAGTAGTGGCGGAAGAAAGTTTCAAGGAGCTTTGTGCGGTTGCTCCCATGTTCACCATGGAATCTTGAGACTTCTTAAAAGCAGCTTATATAATTTGAACCGGAATGGCCAAGCCCGATAGACAACTCGACTTTCAGATTTGACCATCTCATCTGGACTAGCATTTTACCCTATATCCTGGATCTCCACAGGTTTTGTTTCCACCGACGTATGACAGAATAGATCGTGTGGTGTTGCAATTGAGACGACATAGGGATATATCTTTTGGAGACCGTACTCCGTAGAAATCTTTTAATTCTCGTCAAATGTGGCATTCCCTGCCTCCCAGTATCCGCATTGTTTGTGGGGTGCATCGGCTAAAGTCCCGATAGTGCCGTTTGTTGCCGGTTTGCCGAGAAGATGCATCGATATTAGACGATGCTGGAGGCGCTGACTCACGTTATACCTCGCTCTTCCAGAAGATGGAATGCCCCTCCCACTAGATTCTCCGGGCACAGTATGGAGATGACAATGTGGCTTAGTGAAGCTGGTGATGTTTCTAAGCCTTGCTCTGAGTATTACAAAGAGGTTTTTGTGGGCATTGTTAGGGGACGTGGTTAACCTGCGACAGGCACTCGCAGTGAAATGAAAGAGAAGCATGTGGCTATTGTCGCTATGCATGCCAGGGTGGCAAGTGCTTACCTTCTCTAACTTGCTGACGAGGAGTGCATAGTCATACTGCACGAACAAGGAGAAATTTACATCACGCACAAGTCGTAAGAATGCAGTACTCCAAACAAGATAGGTCGTGAATTATTTCAAGTGCCTAAGGGTAGGCGAAGTTCCGCAATACTAATATTTTCGTCTTCACGACTTGATAGTGAATTACAGCACTCTGATGGTTGCTCAACTGCCTTGTAGATGATTAAGTGTTCAACTAAACTCCGCAGTTCCGAATCCCGGCTAGAATAAGGAATTGAGGTAACATCGACCAATGGAATTTTAACGACAAATGGTCAAGCGCCAAAATCGAGGCAGCTGAAAAGTGGATTTATGTCAATAGAAATTAAATGGAAATACAGTATATGAAGTCAATATTCATCATAACAGTGAAGCCATTGAATGACATAAGCGATGGGAAGGTAAATTCAGGCGGAGGATACATTAATATTTGACGGTATTAACTATCGGATGACGTTACATGATGTCAAATTCAGTTACAAATCATGTTCAATAGACACGTTAGAAGGTGTTCTCAAATGAGAACTAATATAAGGTGAAGGCTAATGTTGAAATACAATAAGCCTTCCTCAAAGCTCAGCAACCTAAGCTATCAAATACAAACATCTCAAGTTATCAAATATATAAGTTATCAAACTACTTGTATTGATAACCTAATGACTTATTTACGAATTCATTAAAGATGATATATCGAACAGGTGGGTGTGATTTGCAAGCATTGGCTACACAAGGTGGACATCCTAACTACTTCGTGGGAATCTTACTTTTGTACAGAATCTTCTTTGGCCACATCATCAGGTAATCACAAGGGTAAACATTACCTTTTACCGCATTATCGATTGCTAACTCAGTCAGCTACAATATGCTTACCGCGGAGGTTAATACTTTGGTGACATGCTCACTGGCAGGGATATCTAAAATACATAGCATATCGTTAATAAAACAATATTATTTGTCATCGAATACTCTATGATTATCTATATCGTCATTGCATGAGAATTACAGAGTTGTTTAACCAACACTTGAACTCATCGCTAATTTAGATACCTTAGTCAAGTCTGCGCGATTGGCCTGGTATTGATTGAACCCCTGGCTCATCTCCGCAAAAAACGTCACCGCGGATAAAAAGGCTAAATGGCCCATTCTCACCGGCCTTGCGACAAGGATTCGAATATGTGTACAAAATGTTGACCGGATAAATGTGAGAGTGTACATAGTGAGATAATCAAAGTAGGAGAGGGGGGTTTGCAGGGCAATTGAGATAAAACGGACGTGTTGGAAGATGATATTTTTTGTTTTTGGCATTGACCTAGATGAGCAGAGTTCTCACATTTTAGATCTTTAATAATTCTTTCTTTCTTCTTATCCAAGATGATGTCCACAATTTCAGTGGCCTTGACCTTGCTGGGCCAAAGTTCGGCATGGTCTTACAATACCAACTCCCAATATAAAGCCAACATCAAGGTCAATGCTCGTCAGACCTATCAAACCATGATTGGAGGAGGCTGTTCCGGTGCTTTTGGTATTGCTTGTCAACAGTTTGGGTCTTCTGGTTTATCGCCCGAAAATCAACAAAGGGTAACTCAAATTCTCTTTGACGAAAACATTGGAGGTCTGTCTATTGTTCGAAACGACATTGGATCTTCTCCAGGAACCACCATTTTACCAACATGTCCCGCCACTCCAGATGGCAAGTTCAACTATGTGTGGGATGGTAGTGACAACTGCCAATTCAATCTCACCAAAACAGCTCTCAAATATAATCCTGAACTTTACGTCTACGCTGATGCTTGGTCTGCACCCGGCTGTATGAAGACTGTTGGAACGGAGAACCTAGGTGGACAAATATGCGGTGTGCGTGGTACCAATTGCAAATACGATTGGCGCCAAGCATACGCGGATTATCTGGTTCAATATGTCAGGTTTTATAAAGAAGAAGGTATTGATGTCTCTCTTCTGGGAGCCTGGAATGAGCCAGACTTCAATCCATTTACCTATGAGAGCATGTTGTCAGACGGATACCAGGCTAAAGACTTCTTGGAGGTCTTATATCCTACACTCAAAAAAGCTTTCCCAAAGGTGGATGTCAGTTGCTGTGATGCAACCGGCGCAAGACAAGAGAGAAATATCCTCTATGAGCTCCAGCAAGCTGGCGGTGAGAAGTTTTTTGACATTGCGGTTTGTTTCCCGTTGACTTCCTTTGAAACCCGAAAAGGCCGTCGTATCTAATTGAGTTTCTAGACATGGCACAACTACCAGAGTAACCCGGAGCGCCCATTCAACGCAGGGGGAAAGCCTAACATCCAAACAGAATGGGCCGATGTAAGTTAGAGTCCTAAAATTTCTTCCACCTTCTACTCACACAAGTACCACAGGGTACTGGCCCATGGAATAGCACTTGGGATTATAGCGGCCAACTTGCGTAAGTATCTTCTATACAGCCCATGTCTTACTCATACTTCATTGCTAACAATATACTGCCAGTGAGGGTCTTCAATGGGCCTTGTATATGCATAATGCCTTTGTGAATAGTGACACTTCGGGCTACACTCATTGGTGGTGTGCACAGAACACCAATGGCGACAATGCTCTTATTCGGCTTGACCATGACAATTACGAAGTGTCGTCTCGACTTTGGGCCTTTGCGCAATATTTCCGATTTGCCAGACCAGGGTCTGTGCGCGTTGATGCCACAAGCGATGTAGAGAACGTCTACGTAACCGCATACGTTAACAAGAACGGCACTGTAGCTATCCCCGTCATTAACGCAGCTCATTTCCCTTACGACGTAACCATCGATCTGGAAGGCATCAAGAAGAGAAAGTTGAGCGAATATTTGACTGATAATAGCCACAATGTTACTTTACAGAGCCGGTACAAGATTAGTGGCAATAGCCTCAAGGTGACTGTTGAGCCCAGGGCCATGAAGACGTTCTGGTTGGAGTAAATAGTGGGTATAGCAAATTGATAGTCAGCATTATGATAGAATATCTTGCAATAGTCTGATAAAAAATTTATTAATCTCCTTATAAGCCCTCAAAGTATGTGATATGCACGATTCTCCATGTGGAATAGCATAAATATCCGACTTCAACTAATCTCTTTCTAGAAGACCAGCATATGGGTTTGCGGATTTATATCGTGATGACCCTTTCGCTCTACGATGAGCAAATTGGCATATTGAAATCTTGAATTTATCGTGTCCATAATCTCTCGATGTTCTAATGTGCGGTACTCAGTGACCTGGATTGATCTATCTACAGATTCCCCCATCCCCCTTTTATACACCAATGTCAAGTCTTTCGGCTATATGTTCAAGTACATTTTGTCTTTATTGACCTTTAAATGGTCAATTTACAAATGCTTGGAAGATTTTGGTGAGATACTGGGTAAGACAAATTCAATATTGATCCATGTTATACAACTTCTGTAGGGGTTTCTCTGGCAGAAGCCAACAGCTAGTCTGTTGAAAGAGGGCTACAAACCCAAGCGAGGCCTTCTGGCTTAGATAAAATTATATGAACAAGTACTTTGCTTATGCAAGACAGCGCCAACCGTGCGCTGTAATCTTTATCGCCCTCCTCTTTATCATCAAGTCCCCGAGTGGTAGGTTCATTTGGTTAAGGTTACTAAATTTTATCGCTTGCAAGTTTGAATCCATGGCAATATCAAGTGACTAATGTAAGTCGGGCCGCCACGTTGCCATACACCAACTGAGAAGTGCAACACACCTAATTCGGAATGATACGCATATTATAAACGGAGGTGAAAAACAATTACGCCACGAAGGGTATAATTACCATATGGAGTAAGACCTCATGGACTCTAGTCTCGGTGGCTCTTTTGACTCAAGGCTCCAAATAGGTAACAATTGCCGACTTAATTTAAAGGGCATTTCCTAACCTATACAAACGAGTAGGCAGTTGGCGACGTGAGTTTTTTGCGTATAGAGGTACTAAACTAACCCTTGAAACTTGGCAACATTATATGGCAGAGCTTATACGTGTGAAATTATATCTAGCACTGTCTTATTGTTTATTGTTTCCTCTGCGGCGATGGAGTAGATTAGCCTTATTGACCCCTCACAACGGTGAGATCGCGCTTGCGATGAGCAAGTCAAGTACCCAACAGGTGACTAAAACCCCTCCAGGGCTGTTAATGGGTCGTGACTGAGCTGCATACTGACAAAAGCTAGTTACTAGGTACCTAACGGGTGCTGGACTAAGGTACTCGGTACTTAATGCCGCCCAAAGGAATTTGGTTGGACAATCAGGTAGCATTTCTCTTTCGAGGGCGGGGTAATAATAGATCGCCTTCCATCACGTCCCAGGGTGAGAGATCCAAAAACAGCGATATGAGCAAAACCAAATGCAAAAAAAAAAAAATTAAAGGCAGCAATACAGATAATCGGGTCCCCTGAGGGGTGATTATTATTTTGACGTACATTCAATGCTTAGTTTTACCAATTTTGGATCTTCTGAAAGATTTTCCATATTTAACGGACCATTCCAGATGCAAGTCCCATTTAAATATCTCGCCGTAGCTTCTCCTCTGACTCACCGGCAAGTGGCCACAATTACACCCTAGCTGCGCAACCAAGCCCAGCCAGTACATTTCGATGGAAGTTATAAATGTATTTGTTGATGACACTATTTAAGGATTGCCTTCTTCTCCCCTCCACCTTCTTTTCTTCTTCTGCTGACGGATAACGGTTTTGACCATCTACGCGCATACCACAGAGATTTCGCCTTCTTTCTATTTTCATCATATCTCGTCAATTATCGCGTCAAATTTTCAATTTCCTCCCAACCATGTCGGCGCCAAAGACGAATGAGCAGATTGAAGAAGTGGTGCGAAGAGAGCTGGAGGGTACAGAGTATGCTGTATCCTCCTTCACACCTCTCTCTGGGGGAACTGCAAATTTCATCTACCGTGCCAAGCTTCAACAACGCCTACCAGACGGTGTATCTGAGGTTGTACTGAAACATGGCGAAGCATATGTTGCCCAACACCCTGATTTCAAATTGAAAATGGTTCGATGTGTGAGTTCCCCTAATTTCTTCAACATCACCACAGAAAAAAAGACGAAGAAGGGAAGGAAAAAAATGCTGATGCACGCCTTGTTTGACGTTTTTTTGATAGAGTATTGAAGAGGAAGGCCTGCGATTCCTCTCGCAGTTTCCACATGTGATTTCATCCACATACGAAATTGGGACTCCGAAACTCTATCATTTCAACCCTGAAAGTAGTACTCAGATTCAGGAGTACGTATCTAATGCCGTCAACTTAAAAGACTACGCGCTCAGCCACTACCAACCCCCTACTTCCGAGGCAGTCAAGCCACAGTGCCTTAAGCTGGGACAGGGTTTAGGCCAATGGCTCCGAGGATTCCACAACTGGAGTGACGAGCCAGAGCGACATAACATGCGTGACCTGTTTGCCAAGAACACAGATATGCGGGACATCAAAAAGCTCATCAATTACGACCAATTGCTAGGAAGAGTGAACATGTTCCCAAATCTTCTACAAGAGTGTAAGGATGTTTTACAAGAGATTGTGAAGATGGCCACGGCCGAGCTGGCAGATGAGAGCAAACTGAGGGTTATCCATGGTGATTTCTGGACTGGCAAGTAAGTTAAATACGACATGATTTATAATTTATGCAACACCACGCTGTGGAGATGGGAGCTGACGTTTTCTTTTTACAATAATACCAGTGTGCTATTGCCAAACATTGCTTTTACCGAAGACCAGCCAGTTCCAGTTCGTATTATCGACTGGGAAATGGCGCAGGTCGGTGTACGAGCTGAAGACCTTGGCCAGCTGATTGCCGAACTATGGCAACTGAAGCTATACAAGGATATAGATGCTGCTCTTTGGATCATTCGCGGTTTTGTGCAAGGATACGGTAAGGTCGATACTGACTTTATCTTCCGCGTGTTGGTTCATGTCGGCGCTCACCTGATATGCATTGGATCCACCACACCTGGATGGGGAACACTAGAACAAGGTCAGAATCTTGCCAAGATAGGTAGAGATGTCCTGCTTAGTGCTTGGAAAAAAGATGCGAAGGCGTTTGAAGAGCATGACCTTCAATATCTATTCGAATGGGAGGCATAATTGAGAACAAGGACCAATTCCTGGAAGGTTATCGATATACGTAGGGCAAGGCTCTTACCTACCTACCTATGTTACGGGATAATGCAGTAACAGAATAAAATCACGCATTGCACATGCGGTCTGCGCTAAACAAGCTATTCAATAAGTGTAAATATAGTTATAGTGAATTTTACGTAAATGCCTAGATTACTCGGTACCTAGACAAGCGTCTTTTTTTTTTTTGGTGGGCAAGGTGTCGAATATAACATACTAATCATTCATTATCCCTCAGTACCTCTCTTCAGTCGCATCATCTGCACTGCAGGTCTGTACTTCTGTATTCCATCTATTTAAGGCAGCTACCATCAGAAAATCATAAGCATGTCAACTCCTTTGTTAGTATTGCCCCGTCCCGGGGTCACACCGCTTGACACGATGCAGTCGATATCTGCACCATCTGAAAGCGCCTTCATCGCAGCATTTGGTCATTTGATGCCTCAAGTATCGTTTCTGCAAACAAAATACGGCAGGGTCGCAGTTTATGAGCTGCTCCCCTCGTCTCCCCTACCCGCGGATGCCACGGGCGCGATATCCCGTGTACTTTTTGTGCATGGCATCCAGACATCCGCAATTGGCCTGCTGCCACTAGCAAGCGCTCTCTCTTCGCGTTTTCCATATGCCAAATGCGTACTTGTTGACTTGTGGGGTCACGGGCTCACAGACACTCCATTTGTAGCTCACGATGCGACTTTGTTCCACAGTCTACTGGAATCTGTAATGGTACACCTTGAATGGGAAAACGCTCACTTGGTTGGCTTCTCGTTTGGCGCGTCAGCAACTGCAAGTTTTGTGGCAGCAAAACCAGAACGCGTGGCTTCCATGACACTTGTTGCACCTGCAGGTTTCATCCGTCAAGGACAGTTTGAGGAATTACACAGAAGCTACTTGCGTGGTGGCGAAGGCACAGAAGAGTCGGCGAAAGAGTGGATTCTGCACCTCTTGGAAGGTGGAGACCTCGTAGTCCCGTCTGACTGGAAAGAAAGAGTTGATAGAGGTGAAGTGGTTGCTGAGGCGGTTAGAGACTGGCAAATGAAGAACCATGATGGCCACGTAGCGAGTGTAGTAGCCATATTCAGAGATGGTGGTGTTTTAGACAATGACGACGAGTTTTTAAAAGCAGCGAAAACGGGCGTCAGACATCTCTGTATACTGGGAGAGCTGGACGATATAGTCAGCGGACAAGATTTACTCCGCGTTGGGATGAACAACTATGTGGTCGTTCCACAGTCTGGACATGCTGTTGTGCGAGAAAAAGTCCTAGAAGTCGCTGATCTGATAGAAGATTTCTGGAAGAAGCTCAATTGAGAAATATATAGCAAAGTTCATAGACCAATGTTTGTCTAGAGTTGGCAATCAAGAAAGTCGAAAAATTGGCAAGCGTGATGTAGCACTCATCATGACCTTTGGAAATGCCCTTATCGTATTCTTGTAACCCACAGAATCCGCTGAATGAATTTAATTTTAAACGAACAGCATCCGCCATTCAAGTAGAAAGGATGTTTTCCAGCACGCTCTCAGGGTCTTGGCATTGGAGCCTCAATGATTGCTGCTGAGTGAAAGAAGAGATGACCTTGATTAACAGAAGTTCCTTCTTGCTTATAATAATTTCTACAGTAAATGTTGATAAATTGTGCGAATGAGAGAGATTTAGACAGTTGTGGGACATCTGCGAGTAGGAATAGCATCAAGGTGGTAGAATATCGAAAGAGATGCTTTGAGATAGCCGGGTGGAGAGGAGAAAAGATATTGAGTGATAAATAATCTTACAGTACATGGGAATCAGTCGCATCTTTTTTGCTCAGTCAAGAGTCTTCTTGACCGAGAGTTGAGAGAACTTCTCTCCACCCATAGTCCCTCCAGTACATCCATCTGAGATGCCATTACTCAGACACTGATGATTGTGCTCGGCCTTTCTCCAATTCTGCCTTCATTACTGCCAATGCCTTCTCTAATTCGGCGCCCAAATCGCAGTTCCAGATCTCTCTAATTGGGACATCAATAACAGCCTTTAGTTTCTCTAAATTGTCTCCCACATCTGGTCTTTGCAGGTCCAGCAGTTCTCCTTGTCGACGTCCATGGATCTGGACAAATTTGGCCCTCGGCATACGCACGCTCTCATATGCTTTAAATGCAGCGAGTAGGTCTGATGAAGAGTGACACTCGCCGAGGACATGAGAGAGAATATACGCATCTTCTAATGCTTGGCCAGCACCAGCTCCCTGATGAGGGGCACACGCATGTGCGCTGTCGCCCAGGAGAAGGAGACGGAGGCTTCGGGATGAGTACGTTGGGAGTTCGGGGGAGAGGTCGAATATGCCCCAGTGATCGGTGTTTTCCATTAGCTAAACCCCAAGTCAGTACGCAAACTTGCCCCTTGGTCGCTGATGTATTCATAAAGCATACCGAAAATATCTTCTGGCATTCCTCTCCAAAACCTTGGAAGTCGGCTGCCAAATCTTCTCGCTCCATTCGCTTGACCCATTCGCCTTCCCACACCCCGCTCTTAGTCGTGCTGAATGCAACGACGTTCATTACATCGCCGTTGGCGACGGGGAAAGTGAGCACATGCCCGCCTTTACCAAGAAACATGAAACGGTTCTGCGCTTTCTCTTCTCCTATGGCAGCAATAGCTTTGTCCATTGGTATCAGCCCTCGATATGCGTGCTTCCCCGTGAACATTGGTTGCGAGAGGGGGTTGCCTTTCCCCAGCACAAACTCCCTGCAAACGGAACGAATGCCATCGCATCCAATAACCGCGTCCGCTTCCGCGGTGCTACCGTCGGCAAATTTAAGTATGGTTTTCCCTCTGTTCTCATCCCGTGAAACGTCTGTCAACCTCTTGCCAAACTCTGCCATGCTGTTAGGCACAAGTTTGATGAGTTCGTCCACAAAATGCGCACGGTGAGCGGTACTATGGCGCTCAGTTGCCGAGAGCTTGGGAGATATGATGTGGGTCCCGGTAGGTAGGCCATGAAGCTCGTGTGCAAGTATAAAATCAAAGTATGTATCCTTCTTTGACTCCCAGCCCACGCTCGTCGAAATTCTGGCATAGGCCTCTCCAACACTAGGGTGTATAAGGCTCATAGCCCGAATAGAGTTGGCACCAAAAAAGACGCCAGCTACAATGTTTCAGCGACAGTCAACAATACACGTAGAAATACATGAAACAAGTCATCAACCCCTCTCGCGGCACAGAGCTGGCACTCACCCCCAATCTCGGAGAACTTAGAGGCAGCCTCATAGATTTTGATTCTGATATGATCATGTTGTTGCAAGCCAATAGCCAAGGCAAGCCCGCCAATCCCCCCGCCAACGATCGCTATTTCGATAGGCTCTAGATCCTGCACCGAGCCCATTTTCTCTTGCAATAGCGCTGAACAATACGAACGGGACCAGATGAGAGCAGATATCCTCTGTATGCTGTCAATGAGGTAAGCGTCAAAATTGTGAACCAAAGTCTTGTAGACAGGCAGCGGCGTTTCCAAAATGTAAGAAAACTACATGCAGCCGACTGTAACCCTTGGAACGAGGTCTCGTCTTATCTTCGGCTACAATCCTTCCGGGGAAGTACATGCTTTGTCCCGGTCACATTGGATTGCACGATACTAGCGTGCAGTGGTTCGTGAGGTGGGGTATGGGCCCGGATGTGATATCCCTTCACGGAATGCTCGAATTCTCTGTTAAATGTACCCCTGCATGGAGTCTCCAAACGCCTCGCCTGAAAACCCCTACCACAATGCGCTCGTGCCAGCAGTATTACTCTGCTCACCATGCACTGTGCCCAGTATTGGTGCCTAGACTGAGATTTCGATGCATTTGGTTGATCTTACGCTGAGCCGTTCGGCCGGTAACAGGCCCATGACCCATGTTGCATCTGCCCTTTTCGGATTTTTGATCCCAATCCAGCTTTCTAGACTTTCCATTGCTGATATATCATGTCAGGTTTAGTAAAAGGGGGTAGCCTCCGGTTAAGGTGTTGGAACTCTCTATTGGCAAAAGTGGTCAAAGCTTCCAATTTCGAAAAGTATTCCCTACTTCAGAATCATTTACACGGATCTGGCTACTCCCATTCATCAAAGCCCAAGTCGCCAAGACTTCTTTCAAACACGAAAAGGATCACTCGATGACCCCATCTACCCACTTAGCGAGTTAGAGAGTAAAAAAGAGTTGAGATGTTGTCACTCCCCGGTATTGGAAAGATTACTCCATGCAATACTCCGCGGATGATGGAGCAATGTTCTCCCAGGCGTCGTCACCGTAACATCCGTAGCTTAGGAAGATTGAATCGGCAGACCGATCCCTGTATGTACTCCTGGCATGGCTGACCATGCATTAGATTGCACAGTTGTCCATGGTCACTGGACTGGCTGTGTCCAGGAGTAGCTGACCGCCATTGCTGCGAGTCCTACTCTGAAGTGATGTTGTGGTTGTCCGTCCAATAGTGTGATCCCACATTCTAATGTTGATATATTCTGAGGTCGCTATAGAGAAGTAAAATTATTAAAATTAGAAGAGCAATGGCAAATTATCTGCGCTGGGTAAATGCGCCCAGCAATTCCTATGTGCACGTAGCCAAGCCGTTAACCGGCTGATTCCAAGAGTTAGCATCTTTAGTAAGTGTAGATGAATTCGGGATGGGCGTCTCCCAAATTATCACCCTCTTCCTCCAGGAGGTGATTTCGCTTCCCTAATCGCTTCTGCCGGTTTTCATACCAGAGCCCAGCCACGTAAATGCAGATTAGTCCAATAGCCATGCACATAAGTGAAAAGGTAGTCCTAAATCCAGTCCAGTAGAATGGGGCTGCTTTAGATTGGAAGGAAAACGACGCAACAAATCCGCCACCGTTGCCCAGACCAATTTCCATACCCATGGCAAAGGCCGTCTTGTATGACCCCGAAACATTGTTGAGAAGCAGTATCCAAGCCCCAGGCAAAGCAGCAAAGGAGCCAGAAGCAATAAGGTATAATGCCCCGTAACGTGCATTGACTGACACGTGCTCTTGGTTGAGAATGACAATATAGCCGATAACGGCAATGAAGCAGCCGGCCAGTGCAACTCCCGCGCGGTGCCTTAATTTGTCTGAGATGTATGCACACGCCAGGGTGGTGGCTGAGGCTGCAACAAAGATTGGAATTACGAGGGACTGGATCTTCTTTGGGGAGGATCCTGGCTTCAGAACCGAGACGATGGTTGGTGCGAACAGAGTGCATGAGTAAACACTTGAAATGACGCCGACGATGATGAAAGCACTAAACGCTTTATGTTAGCACAATTATGTTATGCAGCCCGCACCGTAGATATCCTACCTTAGATAAATTTTCCAGTCTGTGAGGCATCGGATGGCAGCTTTTCGGTCCAAGACGTCCATGCGGCCAATGATACCGTCGACACGAATACGTTCTTCCAAGACGGCTCTCTCGCTCGGCTTGAGCCACTTTGCTGTAGATGGCCAGTTATTCATAAACGGCCAGCAAAGTAACGTAAGGGCAATTGTGATCGACCCCTCAATGACAAAGATCCATCTCCAACCATGCCATCCATTTGATGACTGAATGCTAGCCACAGCATAGGCCAGCAGTCCGCCGACGGCATTGGAGAGTGCATTGCCAACGTGAAGCATGCTCACACGCCATTGCAGTTCGTATCTTGGATAGTATGCTGACAGCAAGAAGATGGAGCCAGGAATAAGTCCCGCTTCCAAGATGCCAATTATAAAACGTATAGCAACGAGACCTCCAAAGTTTTTGAGCAGGCCTTGGACAATTGTGAAGATCCCTACCCGATATGAGCATCTCGTTAATCGGATCGACTGTGTCCCTTACCGAGAATTATGCATTCACCACAGAGCACGGTGGACGGTGTGAATCTCTTGACCAACCAGTTGCTCGGAACCTGCACTGGCTTGTGAGTAAGGTATTAATAGGTGTTGGGTTGTTGGGCGCAAACTACCTCTGCAAGCATGAGGCCAATAAAAACGACAACTGGGAAAGGACAAGTTAGACAAAGCCTGCACGGATTCGGCGTTGCAAAAACTTACCAGTTGCAATGTTGAATTGGTTGGTCAGAGGATTCATCCCAAGGTCTTTCTCAAGACCCTGGATCCTCGCCGTACCAATGTTCACGCGGTCGATCAACGAGATGAACCATAATACGAAGAGCGGTGGCAGAAGATGCACGTCAAGTTTCCAGATAAGCTTACGATACTCGGCACTGGAGAGGGCCTCTGTTGCATCGGCAGTCGTCGTGTCAGAGGGTGACATCGAGACTAAGCCCAAAGGCTTCTCTGCTGCGACCTCTGCATCCAGTTCCATGATTGTGTTCCGTGTGTGAGTTTGCTGTGGATTGTTGGGAACAGTTCTGCCGCGTCTTGACAGGGTGTGTAGTTGTAGAAAATAAATCGAAGAAGAACGGAATGTGCGCTGCCTAAAGAAGACTCGACCTTCAAAACCAACCCCCTCGTACTCTGTACTATACCAGTAGCTTCTGCAACAGCCGCCGTTACAACAAGCCTATTTCGGCCAACCCCAGCCAGTGATTACACACTGTGCAGAGCCAGATTCATCCACATCCATGCGACCAGGTCGGCAAACTCATTGCTGATTCCTTCGTTTTCTCTCCACATCTACGCTCGTTGGTCCAGCTGCAGAATGCCCAGAATGCCTAGAATGCCCAAAATGTCACGCTTGCGTCGCGGATGTGGGTATTAGGCCGGGGCAAGGGGCCCATGTCGAATCACAGACGGATGGGATTTCCGGTGGACGCGGCCCGTGCGAAACCACGGCCGGGAGGAAATTGCCTGGCGCGTTGTGGGGGAATCCGTAGCGCTACAAAAGAAGTTTATGTTGCGAAGAGGTGAAGGCAGCGCCCTAGCTCAGAGCCGGCGGCATCACGGCGTGTCCTTAATGGCTCTCGGCCTCAACCCTAGCACCCGGACCCTGGAATCATCCCCCTACTGACAAAATCTTGGTCTGGCACCTGGCTTCCGCGAGTGGGGCGGCTTGACAAAATATCTACACACCATCTTATTTGCACCTCCCATCTACCGAAACTATGGGGTACAAAGTCGCAGTTCAACTAGTACAGTAGCATCACAAAGCCTCTGTAACCCTACTTGGTTGCAGAGGCATTTCAGTTAAAAATGGCCTGTATTCCAAAGTCGTACGAGCCGGTAAAATACATGATACAAACTCGTCCACACGATGATAACCACCCACAACATGAGACAGAATTTAGCGCAATGGGCTCCAGTGTGCGCATGCCTGGTCAAACTCCTTTACATGTACTCGGTTATCCGACCAGGAGAGCTATGGCATAACATAGTGCCAATTGTTCGAGATCAGGTCATGCAAAACAGGATTTTTTTGGCTTTACCGCAGGGGAGCAGGTCGAAAGGAGCATGCTGCAGACAGCAAGCATCCATGGCGATTTTGGTCCAGACACGCGTCGGCACTAGCAAGGAACGGACTTCAGCATTCTGCTGTTGCAACCAACACAAATACCGTAGAGTCGTATTGCATGGGAAAAATTTCTCTCTTCCATTCCACTATGAGTTAAGCTCAGAAACTATGCATCGTTTGAGTCCCACTAATTCTTCAGCTCGTGTAGCTGAACAGCGCGCTTTGTACAGTATGAGCATTGGGTTCCGTGTTTGTTGATTATTCTAACTGAAGCAGCTCCTCGTCTTGCAACCTTTCAACTGTGAATGCCCCCGGACTTGGGCTTACTCTTCTTCTCATTAATACCAGTTCATGAACGCGAAAGTCCTTTGGATATCTTTGCCAAAGAAATGGGGGAGGGGGGGAATCAGAAACCAAAATTTGCTGCAATAGTTGCTCGTTATTTCCGGGGTTTCAGCATTTCAGTGTTGGCCCAGTACAACGTTAGCAGCATGAAAGGATACGAAGCAAAAATGGGATGGAACTGTAACATTCCGGTTGCTACGCATAGACATGTTAACAGGGCATAAATTATACTGGCCTAGAGGAATTTCTCGGCGTGCTAAATCTTTACGAGTGGTACACAGGTAGACAATGACTTGTTGGGTCTCGTAATCTTGATTATTGATATTCAATTGTGAAATGATTGCACACGTAATCGTGATTTATCCTTAATTCCTAAATAGTTATTATACCCCAGCAGATGATCAATATTAGCTCATCAAATCTCTATTAGGTACAGTATACCTGTTAGGATATCCTGAGCTGAAGCCAGCTTTCGTAATGCTTCTGAATGAGTTACGCATTGGTTGCAGCTTTTCAGCCACCATGGCTGATAAGTAAGTGGTCGAGACCCGTCAGTTGTCAATGAATAACCATTCAAGCCACTTTGCGACAATTGACTAAACCATTCCCATGCGTAGCCCCTTTTCCGACGCCAGGGCGGTGGACAGGAGGAATACCGCACTCCCCTACCCCCAGGGTATGTTTCAGCCACCGGTCCGGATAACACCCGGCAACGGGTTCTGCGTACTGGATCCCTCGTTAGCATCGATGGCAGTCTGCAGGTGTACTACTGTACGGAGTACACATCGCAAGATGTTGCCTCGTGACATGCTCTTGTGGCAGAATCAATGCTTGCACAAACACGAATCAGCTGCGCTATATCGGAAATCCCAATGATTAGTCGATGGCGAACACCCGTGCTGTTGAACGGTGGTATTAATGCGCCATGTCATGTTGTTCTTTGGCAGCAGCGAGACTTAAGAATGAACTGGTCTGCATTAATCCAGAAGTCTACTATGTACGCATTGTAGATTTAAACGTCAATTTTATGGCTTACTGTATGTTTTGAGTTAGATTACATCCGATCTCCGCCACTAACAAGGCTGTAGTAGCATCTTGGGTCATTGCTAGGGCGGCCCCTTGGGGCTGGGACGTCCACGGATTCGGACGAAGCTTGGTCCACCTCATCTAGTGAAGCTAGGATCAAGGATCAGCTTAGCGGGAGAGCAATGTCTCGCTGTCCAACGCCATCGATTCCTTATAGATAGTGGGCTCTGTCAGATTAATTGCTGCGAGTGCGATTCAATCGCCCAATCCTTGCCTAACAGCGAAACAGAATGATAGGCTGTGGCAATACCTGAGATCGGTATCGACGACCTTTCATCACAGTCTCAGTCTTTATCGTTTCATTGTCCTCGCGTCCAGCCGATATTATGACAACAACTGCAAGCGCCGTGCCCAACGGCCCAGACACGAAAAATGGCTACACCTTTATATACGTGAATATACCTCTCCTTGTCATTGCGACGCTTATTGTTGGATTTCGTGTATGGTGGCGGTGCATCAAAATCGGCGGCGGCGCGCTGAACAAGGCCGATATATGCGTTGTCATCTGCCTGGTAATATTGCGCCTTTTTGATATGTCTTTGCATGTCACTAACTCATCAATAGATATTTAACATTATTCAAGTAGCCTGTATCACAGTCGGTAAGAACCATTCGATATTGCATCAATTGTGTCCTATTGTTAATCAAAACTTTCAGCAATTTTGAACTGGGGCTTTGGACATCACGCCCCTTATCTCACCGCGGAACAACGCTACCACTCGTTGCTATACTTTTTCATCTTCCAGTGCTTTGTCAAGAACACTGTCGGCATAACGAAACTATCGTTTTTGTTCCTTTACCTCGACATTTTTCCGCAGAAAAAATTCCGAATTATCTGTTGGGCACTTATCATTCAGATAGCTCTCGGTCTGGTTGCCCTCAGTTTCACAACAATCTTTCAGTGCACTCCGGTTAAGTATTCTTGGGATAAAACTATACCTGGCCATTGGTCAGTCATCTTGCTCCTTTTTTTGGTGTTAACCTATGTCTAATATTGATCCAGTATCAACATCAAAGCGTTTTGGTATGGTCAATCTGGATGGAACACCCTCATGGATGTTGTGGTTCTCATCTTGCCAATTCCTGTGATTCTAAAATTACAGATGAATCGTCGCGCAAAGCTTAGCATTTTGGCTGTCTTTGTTCTAGGAGCGTTGTAAATATTCCAAATATCTCTTGTCTTGCCCTTCTAACGTCTCTCAGTGTCTGCATCACTAGTATCGAACGTCTTATTAGTCTCAACTTCAATGCCACTTTCATCTTGGACTTCACTTGGGCGACTGGAACATCTGTCATCTGGACTCAAGTAGAATCTACGGTCGGCGTGATTTGTGCCTGCGCACCATCGCTGAGAATGCCGCTGGCCCGGTTTATTCCCTTCTTATTCGGCTCCTCGAACCAGGGCCGATCATACGAGCTGAGTGATGGTGTCCACGGTGGAGGTGCACGGTCAAGCAACTGGAACAGCCAATCCAACCGCTCGAAGAAGCGTAGTGAGTTCGATGATGGTATGGATGATTTGGAGACAAACTACAAGAGCGAAGGCAGTGAAGAGAGGATAATGGGTATTAAGAAAACTGTTAGTATCGACATGACATTTCAGGAAAGGGCGCGCGATGCAGGTGCAGATGGCAACAAGATGTATACTGCGTGAGAGTTATTAATTTTGATGTCGTGGTTTGGGAAAGCCGAATGCTACGACATCTTTTCCTTTACCTTATCTAGTAGAGAGCAATCCAATGACTATGGTAAATCCATTAGAAAATGCAACATTGTGGTCTTGCCTTTCAGGGGAAGAACTTGTGTTTGCGTAGCTAATGCAGTTGACCGGTTTACCCCTCGAAAACGGCCAGCATGGTCAACAATATACATTTATAAGTGAATGGAAGTAGTGCTATAATTATCCATTCGTATCGAAATGATGCAATTACGGGAAGTTTTTTTTTTTCTTTTAATTAGTTTAAATTATTTATTGCTATACTTAACCTACTTCACGGGACACCTCGATTTTCTGGCTTTACATATCTTTGTATTATCTCAAAGTTTAGTAATGACGTTACAACTCTTCCGCCCAGCCTACAGGTCTAGAAACTGGCCACCAGCTGCCCTAGACAGTACATAAGTGGCCATCTGCCTCTTCCGCCCAATGCTGGGAACAAACGCAGGTAGGACAATAGCAAAGATCTGTAGGGTCATATTTCTTCTTAGCCGCCTCAAGGGTAGGCAAAACAGCTCCGAACTGGTTAGTGAGGTAGTCAGGATCAAGGAAATTGCCTTCGTTCAGATATGAACCTGTATCGGGTGCAAAAGCCAGTTGAGCCTTGCCCTTATGGTATGCCACATCTTTCTGAGCTGCCTTAATATCTGCATATGGTGTTAAGCCATTCCAGCTGCGTGATACAATGTTTATCAGCAGCGCTCGGCGGAACGCGGGATTGACACCTGAGAGTGAGAAGTCCTTCGCTGCAGCACCGCTACCTGTTATGTCAAGGAGAGCCGATGTATTCTGTCCCGGTTGACTGGCAATTGCTTTGACCATTTGCGTACCGCCGTTGCATTGGTTAGATGTTTCTCCTCATACAAGCGCGACGACATGAGGATGCCTCTGCCAACCTCCGCGTCATGATGCATCAGTTCGTTTAAGTAATCATGCTTGGCATGGTAACTGGGGAAAGTCAGGTAATCAACTCTGGCCTCAATTCCCCGCGACTTGGACACTGTCAGTCTCTCCTTGGTTGGTATCATCGTGTTCTGCACCTGTTCGAGTGTTTGGTTGAAAACGCCCGCTGCCTGCTGAAGCATAAGAGAGGGTGGTCCCAGGGACGACTTTCCATCCCATGCCGCCCACCCCCCCCCCCCCCCCCCCCGTAACTTTGCACACCTCCAGCTAAAAGAGCCGGAATTTGCTGATACCAGGCAGTGACATAATCAAGAAAAGCCTATATCATCGGTACACTCCTGTGGGATGATCTGCAAGACCAGTGCACTCATAGGGGTCTCTGGATATGTGCGAACTGTTGCGCTAGTGACGATACCGTATGTTCTGGGACATCCACCACGAAGAGCCTGGAAGAGGTCTGGGCTAGAGCACGGACTAGCTAATACCTTTGAGTCATCCGCTAACACAACGTTAAATTCGAGAACCTGATCAGACCCAAAGCCATATCCATGCATTGCTGCTCCATGTCCACCGCCTTGTAGATATCTACCGATAATTCCAATCGTGGGACAAGTACCGCCCACAACAACACCATTATCGTGAGCTGCTGGATATACATCTGACCATGTGAAGCCGCCGCCAATACGCGCTGCGCTACCGCCCCAGTAGGAAGCAGCCCCGCCTGGCTGAACATCAGCGCATGATTCCGTGGGAACATAAGTCTTGTTCAATTCTAAATGTTTGATAGGATCATCTCGCAGATAACGAGTCCATATCAGGAGGTCGCATTAATGCTGTATGCGCCAGTATCCCCGATGGAGCATACCGAAGAGTTTCGTCCCGGTACATGGCAAGACCACTCATGTGGTAAATCATAACCAGCTGGAAATTTTGCATGAAATGCTGAGCTGTTGGAATTCGCCTGAATGACGGCACATGCCTCGGCATCTTGATGAGGCCTAGGGTAGCACAGTGCTTCGACTGGAACGGTTCTGATAAAATTCTTAGACAACGTATTGTTCAACGACGCCCACGCCTGGTCAGAAGGCCAGCAATGGTGACCGTACAGCTATACAGATCCAAATATATTAGAGAAAGACTCGTTTTAAATCCATGGACTACCAAATACACGTTTTGCAGGGCCATATCACCTACACATTTGCAGGCAGCACCCACATTTTGGACCAACCCCGCTAGAGCCGTACATAGTTAGAACAGCGGTATATCTGGCACTCGCCACCATATTAATGTGCTGGGGAAGCCTGTATACTCCTTTGGACAATTGCCCTGGCTATGAATACTTGAAAATGGCATCGTTGTTCCCCGTACAAGGGAAGATCCTTTATACTTTATACATTATGAGCATTTGTGGCATGTCACTTTACTCATACGCGCAAGGGCCCTCTGCATGCTTACTAATGGGCCTGTCACCTCACAATTAGCATCGACCAGAAAAAGAAGCCAAAAGAAAATGAAGGTGAATCAATTGCTTGTGATGTTTTATGCACTGCCCTGTAAACTTTTGGATCCCATTGTTATATTACATAGCACACAATGATAATGGCATTCGCCATCCTCACGCTCCGCTATATTTGACAATATGGATGGGATGCCTGATGTTTGGATTAAATGAAAAGCACGTAAAAATTCCAATCTACTATGACTAGTACCTAATTACAGCTACGTGACACTCATTCTGTCCCTCAACAAACTATTAAATTATCGCTATGGATCTTACAGCCTGTGTTTATTTCACAACCTTTACTTTTTGTGGCCTTATTTGTATGCAATTTTTGGAATTTCGTTTCTCCAAGCTTACGCTTAGCTATGCAAACTTTTTGGGTTTTGCAGCGTGCGTACTATTCCCATTTGAGTAGCTTCAGTCAGATCCGAGTTATATGAGAGGCTTGATGTTGTCAAAGTAAGCTATTACGCTAACATGTCAGCTATAATGGAGAAGCCGGTAACGCCGGAAGGACCACTATCATTAAATGGTATGCTATTTCATATTGTACTGAATCAACGTTAACAGGCAGACTTGAACCAGAGTAATTTTGCTTGCCCAAAGAAGGGCAGTAGCAGAATAGCGTTGCGTAGCAAGAAACATAATTTGGCTGCCTCGGGGCGACCCCCCGATTTGAAATAGCGTTGCCTGGATAACCTTTGACATATTAGTTTAGTGGATGCAACCCAAGGTTGCTTATGTTGTTGGTTCAGCATCACATTTTACAAAAGTCCGCAAGGGCCTATGGATTACAAACTTCCTAACTGGGAAGCTAGACAGGTAGCCTGACAAGGTTATGTCACCACAATCAGCCAAGAATAAATGCGGAATATGCCTGTAAAACCAACGTGTTTGCTGGTGGCTATAGAGGGCTAGCAGAAACACCTGCATTTCATATACGTATGGGTTGTATAATTCTCTAATACGCTTGGTAACCTAATGATCCATATCGAGAGTTTAAATTGATACTCAGGACGAGGAGCTCAATAAAGCTGTAATCGCTGGTTTAATCAAAGGCTATGCCCCAGGCTTTGGTTCAAAACTCAGAATCCGTCTTTAATTCAATTCAATCGGTAAAAGCCGATCAAATTCAACCTTGGAGATCCAGGACATACTACCAGCAGAAGCACAAAATGTATGACGGCGAAAGATATATATTGCCTTCATATTACCTGTTCGACTTTAACAGCAATAATGGCTTGTTAATCGGCATGGTTACATTTCACATTTCTCGGCTACTCCATTTCTATATAGAGGGCCATTACGGATGGTCATCTATGACAACTTTCTTTCTTTTTTTTCTTTTTTTTTAATTCACAAGATTTTCTATGCACTTTATCATATTTGAGAAGTGCAGTGGGAGTAGAAGATGTTACCGACAATAACTTGACAATTTGTGATTTTTTTTCTTGGTAAGGTTGAGGTCCCCTGTCTCATTCTGGTTAAGGAATATACCGCTCAATACTTCTCTGTGGCAGTTTCGTAGTGATTGATATATTGCATGAGCACTCGTTCTGATATATGCCGCCCTATTTCTTTTGCATAGTCAGTTAATTGTTGCACAACTCTTCCTCGCTCTCCGTTGATAGTATCCGCTCAGTACAACCATTATCGACTTTGTACCGTGCTTTAGTACCAATTCCCTAGAAATGATTTTGATTGTGCCGCTGTGTACGTTCCATTTTCTGGAAGCAGGGCTAGATCCTTCTTGTGTATCTTCAATCATTACATTTCATGAGTCCTTTACAAAACAGTTATCGTGGCGCACCATGCAAACAAGAATGATTGGAAAACTTATTTTAACTTGGGTACTTATTCATGTTTCTTTTTACTTTTCACCTTTTTTTTTTCTTTTTCTTTTTCTTTTTTTTTTGGAACCACGCGGGGAAAATTAGGGCTTCTGTTAGCTGATCCCTGACAGAGCCTTGTAGGAGTTATGCATGCATACTAAAGTACTTTTACTCCATGATCAGTAGTCAGGTACGGATAAGTCGGCTAGTTATGGGAGACATATCCATAATTGTTGACCTGTCACGTCTCAATGAAGAAAATGTGGTTGATATCGTCAGCAATGCCAGCAACCTCCACTCGTTGGGTGAAGTGTCCAATAGCACCTACCTCCCAAATGGATCAAGAAGTGACCTCAAAAAATCATGAACCAAGACTAGCCTCCACTACAGTACTGTACCATGCTAATTTTGATTGACGTATATTACTAACTCCCATGCTGTTACGTGAGCATTTACTATTCACACAGAATGCGACTCCGTAGATCAGTAATAGAGGTCTCTCAAGGCTGATTAACCATGCGCCTACTCCACATAGACCCAGGGATTACTTAATTACAGATTCTCCCAGTAAATTTAATCGCTTAGGCAAGAGTTTGATCAAACTCTTGGCTGCATTTCTCTCAATTGAGGAGAGTTCCCTTCCCTTTTGCTCTCGAGCCCCCTCATTTTCAGGTTCCAAGCAATCACCGAGCCATTTTGCTCTTTCACCAAGAGCCATACGCATATTACTTCCATCATTTGGGATGGCTTCGGGATTTAAAGATGCTTTTATCAATGCTTTCATCACGCCATTACATGACTCATGGGAACTATCAGCACTTATTTCGCTACTGGCCGGTATCGCTTCTCATCATCTAATCTTTCGGCCATTTGAGATTGATGGCTATGCTTGGCATCTCTTTTTCAGCTTTCTTAGCTCGATTTTTATCTTAATTATTGCATATATACAACTTGCTGGCTATGGTATTATGCTGGCTTTATGTCGTGCTTTGCTTATTGCAAACGCATACAATGCTGGAGTCGCGACTAGCATCCTTATATATAGAGCATTTTCCATCCACTAAACCGCTTTTCAAGACCATTTTTGGCTAAAATTTCCCTATTTTATGCTATGAATAATGTTGCAAAGAATGTTAAAGCCTTTGAAGATATTCATAGTCTTCACAAAGAATACGGAGATATAGTTCGAGTTGGTAGGCCTCTGTGTATCGTGTCTACTTTCTAGTTAAATGCTAAGTGCCCTGCGCCGGAAATAAGGCCCGCGTGAATTATCCATCAACCGTCCATCTGCTATCGGAGTTATTTACGAATCCCCTACACGAACAACAAGATCACCATGGTACGCACAAGTGTCGAACGATGTGACCAAAATTTCCTTGAACTCTACCCGTGTGCTCAACCTGCATAAACTTCGGAAGAAGGCTTGGGAAAGAGGTCTTGGATTTCGCGGTATGAAGTCAAGTGTTTTGGTTTTCTTCTAAGAAAAACTTGTATCATGCTAATCGAATAAGCTTTGGCTATTTATGCACCACGAATAAAGGCCAAAGTAGATCTTCTGTTATCCAAAATCGCGGACCGCTGTGGACAACCAATTGACATCACAGAATACGCTATGTTTTTTGGCTTCGATGTGATGGGCGATATCGGTGAGTGAAGCCAAGGACAGCAGCTATACAGAAATACTTATGGCTGTATATTTCACTATATCTGGACTAAGAGTATACCGCCAGGATTTTCCAAAGATTTCCACATGTTAGAGCAGGAGAGTGAGCATCCCGCTATCAAAGGTGTCCACGAGAGCATGTTGGCCATTGGTGTTCTAGGTACAGTGCCATGGCTATTATCAATGATATCTAAAGTGCCTGGAGCAGCAGCAAGCTTTTCTCGATTTACCACATGGTGTCATCAGGAACTTCAGAAAAAGCGTGAAGTAAGACTTCCTGCATTTTTCAGAATTTCAGTGAATCTAATGATACTAATTGGGCAAGCAAGATTATGGCCAATGAGGCCGCGATGCTAAAGGATCAAGATCAAGATCCACGAGATATAATATCCTGGCTGCTGAAAGCACTGAATGAAGGAGATCCTTCAGCTCCACCCGGTGAAATTGCAATTCAGGAGGATGCTCGTCTACTGATTATTGCTGGAAGATAAGCGAATATATCTCCTTACTCCTATAATATATTCAACCTAACCAAACATTTAACAGCAATACCACTAGCGTCGCTCTTTCAAATGCGTAAGTATCACCTCGTACAACTATATTCCCATATTATTTCTTTGTCATGCACTTTATAGTTGATGTAGCAGTATATTAACATGAGAAGAATCTTAGACTCTATTATCTCGCTAGCAACCCAAATAGCTATCGGCGTCTTCAAGCAGTGATTCATCAAGAATTCCCCAAAGGCATAAATGATTGGACATATGAGAAAAATATTCCATATCTGAACTATGTAATTCAGGAGACGTTACGACTAATGCCTTCCGTCCCAGGCGGCTTACCACGTCTCACGCCTCCGCAAGGCCTCATGATTGATGACCAATTCATCCCCGGGGGCACAATTGTTTCAGTCCCAACATATACAGTACAACGAGATGAACGATTTTGGTCAGATGCAGATGCTTTCAAGCCCGAGAGATGGGAGAGCCTATCAACAGAAACGTCTGCGTGGATTCCATTTACACGAGGCCAATGGGTATGCCCCGGTAGAAATCTTGCTATGATGGAGCTTCGCATGGCTCTTAGTCGCATTGCACTTCAGTATACTATCTCATTTGCTCATACAGATGCTGGGAAGAACTTTGACGCTGGAGTTAAGGATACTTTTACTTTGACACTTCCATCGTTGCATCTTTTATTTACGCCTTTATAAATGAGACACTCTGTTACATTGGTTTCAATTGTAATTCATATGGTACTATGGAGGTAAAAAATATTTGAGATTATTTTACCACATACCATGTATTGTATTAACTTCTGTTAGTAAAGTATATGCCGCCCTGTAGACCACAATGTTACGTGCCTAATAATTGGAGTCTTTCCAATAATAATGATATAGAAGTGTTCTTATTTGAATATTGGGTGATAGATACAGAGATTGTCGTTGTATTATCCTGTGATACTTACTCTTAGTAAACATTCACGTCAAGTGTCCACTGTCCTCAAATGCAATAGGTATATATTCATTTCTGGATGTTGTCATATTAATTTCAGTGCAGTTACAGAGTATGATGTAGACTATAGACCACGGATGTGTTAATACATCAGCTGGTGTAGCCCCAGTCCCCTATCATTCACATAATTTGAGGTGGATGTCACCGATGGGATGCCAGTTGATATAAAACTACCAATACTACACTGGATATCTCTTTTTCCTCTGAGGGCATAGTATCACAATCGTAGTCAGCATATCTTATCTCAATGAGCGTAGACAGCAAACACCTAGACTTTCATACATTCCAATCAAAAGCATTGTGTGTCTATTTACCTGTTTCAGTAAAACACATTACGTGAGTTTGACGACTTCGAAGGCTTTTTGGCGGCCTCAATAGGGATCTAAATCACGATTTCGCGGTGATTGTTACCTAATGCCATCCATGGGAACTCGGTTTATCATGACTATTTTGCATTGGCATTCTCAACACTGTTTCTTTGCAGTGTGATTACATGATGGGAGTCGGAAGACGTAGACAATCTGCTGCTTTATATTCCTCGACTTCATCCATAGTGAATCTGCATATCCATCCCTAAATCAATCTTTTTAAATGGTTATTGCCTCATTGTACTGGCGTATATCAAGGTTCACATTTCACAATATAGCAGATGGCACAACTTTAATGCGTACAGCTATAGTATAAAAGTTTCAGGATTTTGTTGTCAAGCCCCGTTTCCGGAGTACAATCAACACAGGTTGTAAAGGCTGATGGCTGGTGCTCCACTGCTGAACAAGATGGATAATAGAATAGGCACCCAGCACTAAATATTGATAGTTCAAACTTATACAATTAAGTAAATATTTTGTCTTCAAATGCGCACTAGTGAAGGTAAAAGCGCCATAGACGTAATACTGTAGCTTACAAGATTAGTACCAATCCAATTCAAAAGTTTATTATTACTGCTCCTCTATCAATGGACATTGTTTCGGCAAGGCGAAATCTCTTACCTGTAAAACCGAAATCATTTCAGAACTGTACCGGAGAATAGCGATTGCAACTGACCTAATCATGTCTCAGTACGATCGCATTGGAGCATTTTATAATGTTGTCGAAAACCTTCCTTATCGTGCTGTTGAAAAGCACAACGTATACATGGCGATCAAACCATTGCTAACGCCAGGTATATCTGTTCTCGAATTTGCTTGCGGAACGGGATTTTATGCATCACACATTCTCTCTTGGGGTGCTGAGTATATTACTGGCATGGACATCTCATCTACAATGCTGGAAGGTGCGGCAGTTCGTTTATCATCCCAAGTTGCTCGTGGAAAAGCCCGTTTTGTAGAGGGGGACGGTACAATTCCAGCATCGTTTGCTCCCGATAATAGCTACGGCCACTTCGATCTTGCTTTTGGGGCCTGGTTTCTTAACTACGCCCTTAATAAAGAGAAATTAGTAGCGATGTTTGAGAACATCTCTCTCAATCTCAAGTCAGGTGGGGTTTTCGTGGGGATCGTTCCACACCCAACGGATGACCTAGCAAAACGAGCAGAGATTTACAAAGAAGCCGCTCTGAATAGATATTTTCCACGTAATGAATATTCAGACGAGCTGGATTCGGGTGACGGCTGGAAACTAAGGGTTTTTCTAAGCGACGATGGAGTGGACTTTATGACTTGGCATCTGAAAAGGAGTGTCTATGAAGAGGCTGCAAGGTTGGGTGGCATGAATGGGAAGCTGGAATGGAGGCAAGAAATGCTGGGTGGAGAAGATGAAAGAAATAAGTTTGGTTTAACAGCTGATGAATGGCGAGTGAGAGTTGCAAACCCTCATGCAGGTATTTTGCTTGTTTATAAAGATTAAATGTTAATGACGAAAGTGTAAAGCGGGATCACCCTGGGATATTCAACCTCAAGGGTTACAGACGTCACCAACTGAAAGAAAACATATCTCTTAATATCGCAGTTTTGTTAAACAAGTTGTTGTATAAATGGGACAAGAATAACTAACGTAAGGATGAACTCCCAACCTATACTTACTTAACGGATTTATATAAGGAAGTCTGTCTTGATCTTTTCAATTCCTCAAAAGACGGACTCTGGATTTTGTTAAAGGAATTAGTATCAGTTTTAATAATAACATATAGCCAAAAGAGGTGGGAATGAATGCAAAGATGATCAATAATCATACCGAGTAGAATGTATATAGTTCCTGGAGCACAGATGAAAGCATATTGCCGTTGGAAATGAATTCGAGGATTGTGTATGAATGTGCTATTAACATAAACCAGCTCACCTCTCCTATACCTCAAAAGTATATGCGGTCTTTTCTTAAGTAACTCCATCCTCTCACTAAGGACCTAGCTGAATGGCAATGCTCGATGGAGACACTATCCTAATCCAGGAATGTAATAATTTTGACAAGAAGTCCGAATTCGCACATGTAAACCAGGAACCGCAAAAGGCCAGTGAAGATCATTCAGAATGCTGAGCTAGCCTTCAATTATAGCATCGACCCCCGCATTAACGATAGAAATTATAGAGTATCTTTCCACGGGTAAGCTTGGCCCCACCAACTGATTGTTTTGGCGCAACCAGATATTATGAAACGCCAAAACCTTCAACGTGCAATTAAATATGCGTTTATATTACCGTTGCTCCTAAGCTATACGCTGTAGTACTATTAAAATATTTTATCCCCAGGAAAACTAATTACTAACGTAGATTCCGTAAAGAATTTATATTACCCCAGTGGCTAACTTCCTAAATGAGAACACAGTATAGTACGGCAATACCCCTGAAAGAACGATTATAAAGCGTCCCACATTCTTACAATTTAACGCGCGGCATGTTGTAAGTGCAGCTCCTGCTCGGTGAACGATGTGGGCTCAGCTATTATGCATAACAAAAACTCGGAGAGGATGTGGATTGTGGAGCGATGCATTGAATATGTGATTTCTAATACTAGGAGGGCGGTGTGCTCTATTTCCATGACAAACTAGAGTATAGTCGTTCGTAAGGGATCCGTAACTCAATATAAAATCTTTGATCTAGAACTGTGTTTACGGTCGTTACTTATCTGAACATTGTTCCAAACTTCATTAAAATCTTTAAGCCTCTCATGTCTAGATTGTTTACTGCCCTCCTCCTCCTTAGGCAATGTTTTGCTTATGATACTCTCCTCGGGTTTAACTCACGCCCTTTAGTGGAGACTCGACCACTTGAAGAAATTTATGATGCTGCTCTTAAAGAGGGTGGAACTGTTACTGTATGGCATGGTGGCGACGAAAAAAACCAACAGGAATCATTGAAAAGCGCCTTCGAGAGCCGCTTTCCCGGAATGACTTTAAATATTACTGTGGATCTTTCTAAATATCTCGACGGAAAAATTGACCAGCAGCTATATAATAACAACGTTTTTGTTGATAGCATTATTCTTCAAACGCTACAGGACTTCCCAAGATGGCAACAGGAAGGCGCCTTGCTTAACTACGCCCCCGTTGGATTGGATAAAGTTTACCCGGCATTCAAGGATTCTATATCGGCATCATGGTATGGGTATAGCATCTTCTTTTGGAGCATCTCTTGGAACACTCGCAAGCTACCAGACGTCAAGAGTATATCGTCTTATGGTGATCTCTTGAAACCGGAGTTCAAAAACCAACTCGTTCTAACTTATCCTAATGACGACGATGCTGTTCTATTTGCTTTTCATCAAATGTGAGTTGGTTTGAGAAGAGAGAGATGGAGAAAGAGAACTTAGCTAATGGGGTTTGAGCAGAATGCAAGAGCTCGGAACTAAGTGGTTTGATGGCCTTTTGAAGCAAAATCCTCGATGGGTTCGTGGCACTGCTACCCCCCTTACTATTCTGAGCGCAGCCAATTACTCTCAATCGGCCACATTTACAAGCTTTGGCGGCTTTAACCCAGGCAACAATGTCAAAATCAACTTCCCAAATGACGCAAACTTTGTCAGTTGGCCTCAAACTGCCGCGATCCTGAAGAACGCGCCACATCCTGAAAGCGCAAAGCTGTTCCACAACTATCTGCTCAGCTCTGAATACCAACGCACCGTTAGTTTGAGTGTTCGACAAGACATTAAGTCTTCTAACTCATTATATCCCGACATAATGCACATACCACGTACAAACCCGACAGCATTTGCTAGGTTTATGAATGATCGTATAACCGTGGAACGATTGAGGTTTTTCTTCGAGAATCGACTCGGTTCAGCGCAAGGGTTAAGCCCGTTGGTCGATGATATTTAGGATACACACAAATAAATATATACATGTAACCTGATTATTTCTAAGGAGACCTCTGGTTTCCAAAAACATAAATAAATAAATAAATAAAGAATAAAAAAAAGATCAAGTTCGGTCAACACAAAAGAACTAAATTGGAGTAGTAAAGCCGATTGTTATAACCTGACTAGAAGTACATACCCTCTGGGTAAAGTACGGAAGTAACGATTAATTAGGATTAAGGATTCCAAGATTACTCCGGTATATATAATACAGGGAAGTAAGCCTTAACAGTAAGGTTATAGGCTTACCCAGTATAAAGAAATATTACGTTATAAGCCACCTAGAACAACTAAATATATAAGTTTACTTTATTATAATTATTTAAATAGTTTAAATAGCTAATCGTTAATAAAGTATTAAAACTAAATATAAATTATACTTTTTATTTTATTTTTATATATTTATAATTATAACTGCTTAAAAGCTACCTTTTATCCTTTCTGCTAATATAAACCTATAATTTAGGCTTATTACCTTAAGAACCTTTACCTTATATTAAAAATAGAGATTAAGATATTATATATTAATAACTTTTATTTAAAAGAATATTTATTATTTTTTAAGTAATAAACTACTATACCTAAATTTTTATTTAGTAACGCTAATATACTAACTACTAACTTTAGTGTATTTAGATTTAATAAAAAAGGGAATATTATTATAGAAGATACTTTAAATTAGGATAATATAATTAAAAAATAAATTATAACGTTCTTTTAAAATATATTCTAATTTAATAAAACCTTTATTAATAAAGTTAATAAAAATAAAAAGTAATTAATTAAAAAGAATATTAGAATTCTTATTAAATATTAACTACTGCTTATATATAATAGAAATATTAAAGAACTTAAGGGATATTTAATTTAACTTAAAGTTTACTTTAAAGACTTTAAGAATACTTTTAATATTTTTTAAAAAAAGGTCTGTTTTACTGCCTTCTGCTTTAAAGGTTAAGCTTTATAATAGTTTAAGCCTATTTTAAATAATTATTTAAAAGCTAAAGCTAAAGCAGTTAATAAAAGAATTTAGAAAATCTTTAGTAATTATAAAAAATATATAAAAGAATTTAAAAAAGCCTTTAAAGATATTAAAGAAATTTATATAACTGAAAATTACTTTATTAATATATATTAAAAAGGAAAATACTTAGATTATATTATAAGTTTTAGAGATATTTTTATTAAAGTTAAATAAAGAGAATTAGCTTTTATTAAACAGTTTTATAATAAACTTAAGCTTAAACTTAAAAAAGAAATATATAACTTTAATTAGTTTAAGTATAACCTTATATTATTTATAGATAAATATATTAAAGCTAATAACTTACTTTATAAATTAAAAATAGATATTTTTAAAAAAGTATATAAAAAAAATAAATATTAAGTAAACTAAAGTAAAAAACAGTAAGATTATATTATTAAAAATAATAATAATAAATTAAAAAAAATAGACTTTAACGTTATATAAAAGAAAAAAGATTTTAAATATTATAATTATAGTAAACTAGGCTATATAGTTAAAAACTACTAGGCTTTAAAAAAAAATAAAAAAAAAAAAAAAATTCTTAAACTTAAGAAAGAAGTTTATTTTATAAAAAAAGGAAGTTAAGTAATAACACTTTTATAATAAGTAGATAGCCTTATTTATAAAAACTCTAACCTTAAATTAAAAAACATTATCCTAAATATAAAAATACCTAAGGAAAATAATATTTAAAAGAATAACTATAAAAAAGATTTATAAAATTATAAAATACCCTTAGCCCTTTAATATACTATAAATATTATAAACCTTAAATATAATTTACTAAAAGTTAAAAGAATTAGTAAATTTTAAATATAATTAAATATATATACTAAAAGAAAAGCCTTTAAAAGAGGATTCTTTAAATAACTTAAAGGATAGACCTTATATAATAATAAACGAAGAATTATATATATTTATAATATTAATGAAATTTTTAAAGTATATAGAGTCTACTGATATATTTAAGGAGATTACTTTTAGGTCAACCTTAACTATTAATATTATAAAAAGGTATATTAAATTAACTATATAGATAATTAATATATATAATATTTTAAATAAAAAGCAAAATATAATAGCTATTTTAGAAAAATCTATAACTACCCAGTTACTAAAATATATTAATTTAACTAATACTAAAGATAAAAAGTCACTTATAAAAATTAAGACTTAAGGATTACTATCTTTAAACCCTATCTTACTTTACTAAAGGAATACATAAATAGCAGACTTATTAAATTATACTTTAACTATTACTGTAAATATTATTAAATAGAGAAGATATTTAAATAGTATAATTAAAGGAATAGAACAATAGACTGCTATATTAATTAATATAGTAGTTATTTTAAACTAATATATATCTGGTATAAAGACAAGAAGCTGAATAAATATAACGTTCTAATCCCTATTCCTAGTATAGGGTAAGGGTTCCTAAGGTAATAAGCCTAAGTTATAGGTTTATATTAATAGAAAGGATAGAAAGTAATTTTTAAGCGGTTATAATTATAAGTATATAAAAGTAAAATAAAAAGTATAATTTATATTTAGTTTTAATATTTTATTAATAATTAGCTATTTAAACTATTTAAATAAATATAATAAAGCGGATTTATATATTTAGTTATTTTTAACAGCTTATATTATAATATCCTTTTATATTAAGTAAGCTTATAATTTTAATATTAAAGCTTACTATTTAAGTTATATATACTAAAGTAAGCTTAAAATCTCTAATTTTAATTAATTGTTTTTTCTATATTTTACTTAAAGGATATATACTTTTAGTTAGATTATAATATAATATTTCCTTTTTATTAATTTTACCTTTAAGGCCTATATATAATATATTAAGCCCCTATATTAGTTCTTAGGTAAGTTTTCTTTTTTTATTTTTAACGATATTTTGCAGTATTATTAAGTAAAATCAGTAGTCTTCTGTTATTAAAAAATCTTTAAAAAATCATAAGGCAGCAGTATTTATAATTAAAACTATTAGATTCTTTATTATATTTTATTTATATTATAAAATTAATAAATTATTTTATAAAATAGTGCTTAAGTATAAAAGGTATAAAGAGTATATATATTATAGTTATATTTATAATAAAAATAAAATTTTATTAGTTAATAGTAAATAATTTTTTAATTATATTTAGTATTTTTTATATTAATTTTATAATATAATATTTAGCTACTAAAAAAGAGTATATAAACATTAAGAAACGTTAAATAAAGTAAAAGTTATTACAGTAGTAATAGTAAATAATATTATTAACTTAATAAATAAATAAAAAATTTATATAGTTAGTTAGGTTAAAAGAGCAGCGTAAGTAAATTAATATTTATAGGGAGTAAATATTTTATAAGGGTGTTTAATCTTTAAATAAGTTAGATGAAATAGAGCAGGCTGAGTTAAAAGTAGTTATTAATATATAGGCCTCCAGTAGGGTTAATATAATTAATTAAAATATAGTTTTTAGTAATATAATCCTAAGTTTTAATAAAACTCTTTTACTAATTTTTAAAA